ACACCTCGGTGTCCTCTACCCTGCCCCCCGTGGTCGCCTCTCAGCCCCAGCTTCCTGCTGTCACGGGCCAAGGTCTTTCTGAGAGCGAGAGGCTTGCGTTTGACGAGCTGGTCATGGACTTCGATCTGGATGACGATATCGTTTCCGTTCCCGCCGAAGTTCCTTGCAGCGCCGCTACCATTGCTTCTCTCCCCACTTCAGACACTACCACATTGAAGCCTACCGTGGAGATGTCTGCCGTCAGCGACTCTGCCGACCACACCTCTATCAACTTCTCCTACGCCGGCTTCTTGGCGCCCGACAATACTCCTTGGTATAGCGCGCCTCAAGCCCAGGTCGGAAACGAGGCCGCCTTTGTGGGGAACGAGAACGTTGGCTGGGGCGTGTGTGGTACGGAGGAGATGGAAACGAGCAATGCGGGTTCTTGGGGAGCTATCGAGTCTCCTTTCAACACCACACCCTTCGGCGACTCTTTCACCCCGGTCGCGGATGAGGCTGCCGACTGCGGTATGCGGGGACTGTGGAACTGAGAGTAGAAGTTCCGTATGGACAATCGGTCGAGCGGCGTATACACTGCTTCTTCCACGGATATTCATTTAGAGATAGAGGACATTGGTTTGCGTCATTACTATCGTTAAGAGTAGTTTACCCATTCGAGATAGTGTTTGTGATATAGCATAGCATAGCGTAGTAGAAAGGACTATGGTTCGCGTCGTGGTTTTCGATTTTGATCTCTTCTAGTTGTTCGTCATCATTAATAATACTGTGGATATGAACCCCGTACCTCGTCTGAGGATCTCGCGTTTTGTTGGACATTTCTTCCTCATACCCTCATAGGGCTTGACACCTTATACTGCCTGCTCGCGTGCTTCTGACATGATTATCAAGAGATGCTTTTTTCTTCAACAAGCCACCGCAGTCACGTGCGTGATTGATATCTGCCCGAAGAGGAAAGATCGACCTTGACGACGACGAGAACAGCAACAGCAGCAGAAGGAGCGTTTCCTCATTTCACTTTATGTCGAAGAATGCCAATACGACGAACCGAGCACGGCAATCCTGGCCATATCCTAACCGCAGACGACACCTCATCAATCAAGACCAACTTCTTCGACATTCGACGAGCGACGTCCATATGACCCAGTCTCCACCTGCCTGTCGTCGAAGCCGCGCCTAGTCTTCTCGCTGGACATGATCAGGCGCTACCTTCTATCCACCATTATTCGCATCTGACCAAGAGCCATAGCTATGCACTCGATCTTTGGACCCATTGGCTACTTGTTGCCTGTCACCAACCCGAGGCATTTTTCGTCTTTCCAAACGTCAGAAATAACCTCTTACGCTCTCCTCCATGTCACCTCCTCAATCCGACCAACGATGAGTCTTATGCTATTCCTTTGCCGACCGCAGACAGAACACTCGGCATATGACCGAGTCGAGCGACTCCGCCCTCCCACTACCAGACATGGTTCCCCTCGGCTAATGTCGACTAGAGTCTCAAATTGCTCTGCTATAGAGGGGACGGCCTACTGAAGGGTCTTTGTCGGCTTGATGACTGAGTCGCGACCCACATACGCGTCATCAGGAGACCATATACACTTGCGTGTCACCGCTGACAACCAAAAGGTTCACCTCCTTCATGAAACACCAATCATTCACCTACTCTCTTGCCATCCACTTGCAGTCTGGAGTACATTGACACTTTAGGCCAACAGATGCCAGACGGTGCCACGGACTCGACATCTCCTCCCCTGCCAGAAGAAGGAGTTGATCCCGCACACCTCTGCGTCATTGACTCGCCATGCATCGCCCCCCACCCCGTTCCCCACTCATGCTCGCCAAGGCCGACCATACGTGCGTACTCTCACTTGCGATGAAAATTACTGGTTGAGGGGGTCCTTTCATCTATTGGGACCCTCAGGTACCCCGCTGGTGCACGCGCGCGTGACGTGAGACTTCCGCCAATTCTTGGTCTCTTGCTTGTGGCACTGTCGACAACTTCTGCTATGCATCTCGTATAGACATGAGACCTGTACCAGCATACGGCCACAGCCGTTCCGCGCCTGATGGTACCAAAATCGCTACCCATCGATAAGTGGATGCATGCGCATGACCGCAAACCAACATTCCTCTGTCATGCGTGCTAAATTTTGCGTGCGAGTTGAGGCGATGCTCAGGACGGCGAGCGATGCCCGCCCATATCTCCTGGGAATTCCCATCCCCCATCTCTCTTTCTCTTTTACAACACCCACCCCCCATCCACCGTGAGAACACCCCAAAACCCACAACCACAGACATCACTCAACCCCGACCCCACCCCAAAACAAACCCGCACCTCAGGATGTCTGACAACAGCGGGTTCGTCCGCCTCAATCCCGTTTCCCAGGCTCTTGCTGACCGCCTCTTCCTCGCTAGAGTCTTCACCGGCTTCCCCAGCCCGTCTCCCATCACCTACACCACCACCACCAACACCACCAGTGGTGCCAACAACGCCCTCGGTCTCCAGCTGTTTGGCAATAGCGGGTTCGTCTGCCCCAGTCCAGCATCCCATGCCGTTACTGAAGACCTCTCTCTCGATATAGTGTTTCCCCCGCCTCCTCTACTCCGTCTACTATCACCTACACCCTCATCACCAATGACGGCAACGCCCTCCTCGGTCACCCGCTTTCTGCCCCGACCCCCTCTCCCACCGGGAGTGGCGACAAGCGCAAACCCAAGCGCAAATTCAAACGCAAGGCGAGGTCTTCTGCTCACGCCAGCAACACCAGGGGCATCAAGGCGAGCGGAGCCGAGAAGAAAAGACACCCTGAGAACTACATTCGTATGCCCGCCTCATGCGAGCACTGCAGGCAGCAACGAAAGAAGGTAAGCACGCTTTCTCCTCTCCTTCCCGCCAAAGGTTCGAGACTGACTCAACTTTGCAGTGCCAACGAAACAGGCTCGAGGCCTGCATCCAGTGTACCGACGATGATTGCGAGTGCATATTTGCCGTCAAGGCAAAGCAGGGCGCGACGAAGACTTCTAGGGAGCTCATCGCTTTGGAACGTATGTTCTATGAGAGAGTCATTGCCGAAATGCCGTCTACCCCGTCTCTTGCCTCGTCTTCCAGAGCGTCCTCTATGAGTCCTATCACCCCCATCACCCCGACCAGGTCCACCGTCGAGCTCGGCTCCGGTCCCTCCTCTGCTAGCGTCTCTGCCGGCCTCACTTCTGGCTTCGCCACTCCCCACATCTTCATGCCCTTCGTCCCGCCCACCCAGCTTCTTGTTGCTGTTGGCGCCAACGGCATACTGAAGGACCATCGTGTTGTCGAGGCGCAACAGAAGTTGTTCGACAACAAATCCGATTCGTGGTGTTGGGCCGTTGCTGCTGCTCATGCCAGCGAGTCAGTTCTCTACCACCCTCCTGCCTCGGGCACCACCCCGGTCAAGCCGACTTACGTGCGCCCTGCCGACGTCTTTCCCGTGAAGGCTCCCCATTTCTCACTCCACAACGAATCGATGCCCTCTGCCCTGCCTTCTATGGGCGTCTGTCAACCAGAGCTTCCTGCCTTGATGGGCCAAGGACTTTCCGAGAGCGAGAGGCGCCAGGTTGACGAGCTGGTCATGGAGTTCATGGATTTCGGTGATGATATTGTCGCCGCTCCTCCCGAGGTTCCCTGCGGCAACGCTCTCGCCGCTCTCCTCCCCACTACAGAGACTACACCAGTCAATCCTACCGTCGAGATGTCTGCCATCAGCGACTCTGCCGACCCGGCCTCTATCCACTTCTCCTACGCCGACTTCTTGGGGCCCCAGCCCGCCACTTGGTTCGACGCGCCTCAAACTCAGGTCGAGGACGAGAACTTTGGCTGGGGCATGTGTGGCATGGGGGAGATGGAGATGAGCGATGACAGCGCTTTGGGGCCCATCGAGTCTCCGTTCAACACCACACCCTTCGGCGAATCTTTCACACCGCTCGTGTAGCAATCGACGGAAGGTAATTTCGAGGACGCCCAGTGAAGAGAGTAGTAAAAACGGACAATCGGTCGAGCGGTGTATACGCCGTCCCTTCCACCAATATTCATTATAGAGAGGGGGCATTGGTTCGAGCTTTAGCATATTATCGAGTAATTCACCTGTTAGAGAGCTTGTGAGGTAGCATAGCGTAGTATGGACTGTGGTTGCGTGATATTATAGAGAGTAGTCTGGTTCGCGTCGTGGCTTTCGACTTTTCATCTTTTTCAGTTATTCGTCGTCATTAATACAATTGTGGATATGAACCCCGTAGCTCGCCTGGAAAGCTGGCGCATTATGTTCAGTAGTCCTGTTATAAACTAGCTCAACTTGCTCAGTTCTTCAACAAACCACAATCCGGTCTTGATCGATTAACTCCAAATGTTGAGTTGCTGGATAACTGGATTCCTGTGCTCAATGGCAGACCTCGACGACGACGAAGGGAGAACGTTGGAGTGTGTACAGTATGGTGCTGAATAGAAGAGTCGGGTTGGTATATATATACACCCCGGCCATCTCCAAGCCTAGAGTAGTAGCGTCCCTACTAGGAAGTTCAATCCCGAAACTCTTCTTCTTCTTACATGTTGGTGAACAGCGCCATTCTTCCGCGGACCCAGATCTTTTTGCTCCTTTAAATGTCAGACATTTCCAGTTCAGTGGCCTAGGAAGTACTCGCACTATGCGACATGTCACCCAAAATCATGCAGGATCCTCCCACCCTGCTGCCGCAGTTCATGCATATGCGGTAGTTCGAGAGGCGCTTTCACATATGTAGATTCCCAGTGCATAGCATGAAGTACACACCCCTCTACAAATATAGTGATGAGTCATCATCGAAATATCAGAAGCTGTATCTCGCAAAGTATCGATGCGTGTCGCTTACAGCAGCCTGCCAAAAGAAGGAACAAGACTTCATCCGCTCAAGGCGTGCCGTGAAGTGGGATCTAGATGATGATCAAGTGTCAGCCAGGGCTATGCATCTCAAAGAAAGAAAGTAACTCACAGCTCAAAGACCCAAAAGACTTCGCAGCTCCTCGACGCACAACGCGAAAATGGGTCCCCTGTAAGATTGCTTCTCCTCAATCCCCGCGGTATAATATTCCCTCGTTACCTCAAACCGTCCAATGACTTTCGCCAAGTTTGTCCGATCCACCTCACTCAATTCTCCGTATTTCTTCGCGATACTCTCCAAGATTGGTCGAGCATACTGAGCGCTCAGACTGTCCCTGATAAGGGGTGTTTCGATACGGCCCAAGACCACGTAAAGCACGTCGCATTGACCTTGATGGTATCGGGGTGGGGGGGAGAGGCGGGGCTATTGCGAAGTGAAGAGGTTATAGCCTCCACCTGAGAGAGGATATACTGAGAGGTAGTTTTCAACTGGATGGAGACCGTCAGTCCTAGCACGCGATAGATGCGAAAGAAATACCTCGGCGATGTCGCGCTTCTGATCTTGGACAGTAAGGTTGTTGGAGAGAATTCCATACGAGCTCATGCTGTCTTGTGGAGCAAGAGATTGAAGATACTTGGGCCCCATGGGAAAAGTACCGGTCGGATGCTGAGTGTAGATTGTGAGATGTGCGCGAGAATTTGGCCCGGCGCCGCTCTTCTGCTTCCTGTTTGGTTCCTGACCCAGCAGTCCGCCGGCTGAGCGTGAACGATTACGTATCACGCGGACCCGGCGCGGTTGTTGTCATGTAAAGACCTGGCTCGACGCAAGCCCCCGCGTCGGCCGGAGGAGTCTCCGCGGGCCATTTTACGTCAGCGGACGAGGGGCTTGTGTCGAGCCAGTGTAAAGACCCCCTTTTTCATAGATATGCATAGAATGGCAAATAGTATATCGAGAGGATCTGGCCGAAGACCAGACAGAAGGGTGGACCTTCCACATCCGCATAGCTACGTACGTCGCGTCGATGAACATGCCAAATGTAGGAGATGCCCAGACGTCAAGCGTCAGCTTCGACTCTTTCTCTCAGAGTAGAGAGCTCACAGCTCAGCCTTCAAGTAGGCTCCGAAGATCCTTGGCACACGACCCAAAAATGGTCGCCCGGAATGCCTGAGTGTTGGGACTAATCTTCGTATCGACCTGCACAGCATAATAATCCCTTCCTGCCTGAAACCTTCCAATAACCTCTGCCAGCTTCCCCCTCTGGCGCCGGCTCAGTTCTCCAAGATGCTCCTCAACCAGTTCCGACAGTTTGGACGCGGCATACGCTGCAGTCGGATCGTCCTCCTTCGCGATTGGGTTGATCCTGCCCAAGACCATTTGGCATACATCGTCGAATCTGGCATTGACCTCGATATATTCAGGGTGAGAGGATGGGCGGGGCCGAAATCGAGCGTCGATGGCATCTACGCGAGATGTCAATTGGAGGGAGGTGGCTTTCAGCTATGCAGGATTGATCAGTCTTTGGCGCATTGCACGGTGCTCCTTGATCACAGAAGAGACCCACCTCGGCGATCTCGCCCTTTTGGTATTGACTAGCAGATGCTTCAGCCATAGTGGTCCCAGGATGGTTACGTACTGGTAGAACCACATTTCGCTCAACGCTGCCAATCCTGCTGGCTGTCGAGTCTTATTACCTTCTGCTACAGCAGCTGTCAGAGCCGAAGGATGATCCGAGAGAACACTCATATGGACCTGCGCTAAGGACCATCTCACAGAAGTATAGAACAGCACCAGTAGCTCGGCTACTATATTTTATATTGTACCATGCTAAACATAAGCCAAGGTCGTCAATCGTTCAGCCATAATATGAACACGCCACGAGGATACATACCCACAGGATACTATTGAGAACAAACAACTAGAGATGATCGATCACTCTATGCAAATATACGTTGAAGAAACAATATGTATACACCGCTCACCCGATTGTCCATTTGTAGTTTTTGACTCACTCCCGCTACTCGACCTTCATAACGCCTTCCGCCGCCTCATCAACGACCGGGGTGAAATAGTCAAAGATGTTGAATGAAGAAGTCGGAGGAAAGGTAGAGTCCACGTCGCTCATTTCCATCTCCATGCTCTGCGTGTCCCTGTCGACGTGCTCGCCCTCAGCAACGACATCGCCCTCAACTTCAGGAAGCGGCATTGTTCGAGGCAGGGACAGCGAAGGTGGGGTCCGCGGCACCAAGGAGTTGTGGTTGAAGAAGAGGCTGGGCAGGGTGGATAAAGCGGGCTCGCTGGCAGAGTATCTCAGGGTGGGCTTTACCGGGGTGACGAGGGGAGTGACAGACGTGACAGGAGCCTTGTCTTCGGGAGCGGCGAGGGGTGTGGAGAAGATCTCATCCATGTCAAAGCCCAAAATCTTGCAGTAATAAACCCTCTCACTCCCATAGAGACCTTGGGCCTCGAAGGCAGGGAGCGGAGCCTGAGACGCATCCAAAGAAGCAGGGGTGGAAGGCGCCGAGATGTCGTTGAGACAGAAGCTGGGCTCGAGGCCGGCCAAGAAGTGGACAGGGGGCTCGAAGGCGGACTTCAGAGGCGGCTTCACGGGCGGGTAAGAGAATATGTGGCTCATGTCCCCGTCCATGATCTTGAGCTTATTGTATTCCCACTCGTCACGGACATGACCTGCGGCACCAAAAGCCGGAGGCGACATAGTGTGAGTCTCGAACCAAGAAGGCAGAGTAAAGACCGCGAAGATGTTGGGAGTGGTGAAAGAGGGAGGGAACTCAGCGGAGACGTCTCCGGGGAAGGGGGCAGCGGCGGGTGCGACAGCGGGATCAGGGCTAGGCTCGACAGGAGACTCGACCTCAACCTTGATGGTGGGCTTGACGTCTGGGTCCGGTCCGACAGAAGGCTCGACATAGGGCTCGTCAGAAGGCTCAATGGTCGGTGTGACGTCAGGCTCTACAATAGGCTGGACCGCAGGCTCGACGGTAGACTGAACGGTAGAAATGACGGCAGGCTCTACGGCAGGCCGGACGGTAGTAGGCTTGACCGTAGTAGGCTTGACGGTAGACTCGATGGTAAGCCTGACGCCGGACGGATTCTTGGTCGGAGTGGTGGGGACGGTAGGAGTCAATGAAGACATTCTGGATGAAGAGGCAACAGCCGGGGTGGGTGGGATACCGACGATAATATCGCCCATGCTGAGACGCCCCATAGCATGGCGCTCCCTAGTGAAAGCCTTCTGCGACCCTCGCTTGCCTGTCGGGACATGGTAGAGGCACTCGGCGCCGGCCAAGAGGCAGCGATTACATTTGTTGAAGCCGTCGTGTTCGCACTGCAAGGGTCGTAAGAGTCTACTATGACTGTTTTGAAGAGAAGAATGCTTACTTGTTTACGTCTCTGTCTGCAGCGCTCACAAGATAGAAAATGGCGGGTTTGACCTGGGGCGTGCTTCTTCCTCCCTTTCTTCTCCGGCGAAGCTGTGTTCTCTCCGCCGCTCGCTTTGGTGCTATTTGTCTCGATGAGGGGAGCGGAAGACTGATGATCATTGGACTTCGGAGTACTAGCGGTGGGATTGCCCGTAAAGTCGATCGTGCGAGTAGGCTCGACGGAAGGCTTCTGCGTAGTCGGGGTGGCAGTGGAGGTGATAGACGTCAACGAAGACATGTTGGTGGAAGACGGGGCAAAGGACGGGGAGGGCGGGGCGCCGATGCTGAGACGCTCCATAGCAAAAAGTTCCCTAGAAGCCTGCTTCGACCATTGCTTGCCCTCCGACGTGATTTCATATTGACACTCGGCTTGGGCCTTGAGGCAGTTGACGCAGCTGTTGAAGTCGTCGCGAACGCACTAAAACAAGTCGAGTCAATGTCTGAAGATCATGGAGAGGAACCAGGTATGCTTACTCTCATTCGTCTTTGTATGCAACGCTCACAAGAGATACTGTTTTGCGTGTAACCCGCAGTGTGATCTCGCGCATGCTTCTTCGAGGCCGGATCCTTTCCGTCGCTCGCCTTGGCCTTGTTCACTATGGTGATGCGAGCGGGCGAGCGATTCTCAGGCCTGGAAGCACTGGCTGTGGTAGGCTGGACCATAGGCTCGACAGAGGGGATCCCCTTGGCCTTAGTGGCAGCGGGGGCGATAATGGAAGTCAAGGAAGACGTGGTTGAAGATGGAGCAAGGGACCGGGTGGAAGGGGTGCCGGTAAAAAATCTTCTCATGCTGGGACGCCCCTGGACAAGGAGCGCCCTGGTGGGAGTCATATTTGACCCTCGCTTCCCCACCGGGGCGTGGTAAAGACACTCAACGCCGGCTACGAGGCAGCCAGTACAAATGTTGGAATCGTTGCGGTCGCACTGACAAGTCAGGAGTCAGCCTCTCCCTGAGGGTTATGAAGTGGAAGGGACTGACCTTCGTTTGTCCCTGCTGTCTGCATCGCTCACAAGATAGATCACTGTGCGTGGGACCCTCGGCGGGCTTCCTCTCTCTCTTCGCTACCGCCAAAGCCCAATCCTCCCTACTGCCTGCCTTGGGGTTGTCCGTCTTTATACTGTGAGCGGAGGATCTAGCCTTGGTCTTGCCCCTGTCGCTGGTATTCTCAAATTGAGGCTGTGGACTACTGGGGGGAGGAGAAGAGGAGGGAGAGGGTGTTGCATAGATATGCAGGCCGAGGGCATTTGGATTGGCGGTGGTGCCGGTGTTGACGATGGGAGCCGGAGCGGAAGGGACGGAGGGCGTATGAGGAGTGCGGTAGCGTACAATAGTCTCGTCTGGGGGAGAGTGAATGATGTTCTGTTCGCTGGCAGACATCGTGGAGTGTGGCAGTGTGAGGTGGGTTGAGTGATGTCTCTGGTGACGAGGTTGGGGGCTTGTCGCTGCGAATGAGATTGGGTTGGATAGAGAAGAAAGAGAAAAGGGGGGGGGGGCAAAATCGTCCAGCCACATGCCGAGACTCCTCCACCGTACTGGAGCTTCGCCTCGGCACGAAAACTCGCACGCAGGCCGCCCTAGCGCAGAACGTCCCAAAAGCCGCTTGCGAGCAATGAACGTGCATCAACTGAGCCTAGAGAGTTGTTCTTGGTGCCATCGAGTGCTGTATTTGTGTGGTAGTATACTGTCCCAAGCTGCATCTCGATATGCCAATACTGCGAAAGTCGCAAAGAGAGGCAAGAGCGAGAGACCAAGAAACGGCAGAAATCTCGCGCGCGTGCGAATTGATGGGACCTGACCATTCCTGCAAATTTACGTCAATAAACCCCCTAAACAAATCAATTGGCCCCACAAGACCGCGCTCGTACCTACAGCCAGCCTCGGCGACCGAGGGTGCACGGCGAGGCGATGAGGGTGCCGCACGGGGGTGAGGTAGGATTGCTTGCGGGATCAATTACAGACCGGGAGGATTTCAAGATCGTGGCTGGCTGGATCACCGTCCGACTCACGAAGTCAAGCACTGATACGAGCTCGAGAATAGGCGAAAGGGAGAGTATGACAGATGATTGGCACAGCGGGAAGCGACGGTAGCCCTGTAGGATGTGAGCAAGGTCACGTCGTGAAGTCTGGCTACGGGCTCACCTAGTTCACGACTCAATGTTATCATATGCAGCGAGTTCCTCCCATGCAAGCACCTGATGATGACTGCCACATACACCATGCACATCAATACAGAGCAACAAACGCCATTCATGAGGGGAGGGTGGAGTCGCGCCAGGTGGTGGTATAGATCCTCGAGTATATGGCTCGCGGAAGTGTCTAGCGAGCAAGATCCGCCGATAGCTGAGTAGTACATTAGTATAGAGCGAAGCAAGACAGTCTGCTCTTACTATGTCATCAGGTTGGTAGGAGCGCATCCGTGGGTCTCTTGTGGCGTACCGTGACGCAGATGCAGTCTTCGCCACGACGCTACTTCTTCGCTTGCTGCACACAACTCAGGGGCCGCCGCTCTTGTTTTGTCGAAGCAGCATTGTCCGAGATGAGGGGTGGATGGAGAACATGCAAATGAGCCTCGTTTTGCTGTTGCTGTCGCTGTTGTCAAGGTCGTCGGTCTTTCCTATTCGGGCAGTTTCTCGTTGAACGGTATATCACGTGACTGCAGTCGAAGAAGGAGACGGTATGTTGCCTCGAATACGATATTTTAAGCAAGGTATGGCTGTGCGTGTTGCCCTTAGGTCTCATATGGTGAGTTGACAAGGATAGTTCCCGAGAACGGACCTCTGAAGTGGCGGTGTCAGACGATACAATCATGTTGAGATGTATGGTCTTAGCGGTTGGATCCTCCTTCAACTTCATTACTCAGCAATGTGAGAATAAGAGTGAGTCGCCAAGTGCCTCACAGAGGCTTGAAGCTTCAACACTAAACGAGAGGTACTGCAACGATACACTACTCGTACAGAGAAAGGAGACGCATAGTGGTAAAAAGTGACAATGTTGTCTGCACTGCAGTCTAGGCGTTGGGCTCATAGATGCTTGTTGATATCCAGTAGTGGAGGCGACAGCGGTCCGCTCAGTAAGCTGCAATGTCCTTGTCTGATGGGGGCTGCTTGTGCCACGGGCTACCTAGATCAAGACCAAAAGTGATGAGATACCATACACGCCAAACACAAGGACAGCTTTTCTTCAATCGCTTTACCTGATACCACCACCAGGCTCGCCGGTATGTCAAAGCCTTCGGAAGCTTCACCCAAAGACATTTGCTGCTTAATACCACAACTCATATGAAGACGATCCATGGGGATTAATATCCACAATTCTATTAATGGTGACGAACAACTCGAAAATATCAAAATCAAAAACCACGAACGGAACTATTGTCCAAACTTCTACGCTATGCTATATCACAAACACTATCTCAAATGTATAGACTGCTCTTGACTATGCTAACGACTGGAACCAATGTTTTCTATATGTAAACGATCATCCGTGGAAGAGACAGTATACACCGCTCTGCCGATTGTCCTTTCCTACTATCTACTCCCAAGTCCACACTGCCGCACTACCCCCTTCAACCGACTCATTAACGAGCGGGGTGAAAGATTCGCCGAAGGGTGTGATGTTGAAGGGAGACTTGATGGGTCCCGACAAGCCAATATCGTCGATACCCATGCCCATCTCCGTTCCACACATGCCCCAGCCAAAGTTCTCGTCCTCGACCTGAGTTTGAGGCGCGTCGAACCAAGTGGAGGGCTGGGGCCCCAAGAAGTCGGCGTAGGAGAAGTGGATAGAGGCGGGGTCGGCAGAGTCGCTGATGGCAGACATCTCGACGGCAGGATTGACTGGTGTAGTCTCTGTAGTGGGGAGGAGAGCGGCGAGAGCGTTGCCGCAGGGAACCTCGGGAGGAGCGGCGACAATATCATCACCGAAATCCATGAACTCCATGACCAGCTCGTCAACCTCGCGCCTCTCGCTCTCAGAAAGTCCTTGGCCCATCAAAGCAAGAAGCTCGGGTTGACAGACGCCCATAGAAGGCAGGGCAGAGGGCATCGATTCGTTGTGGAGTGAGAAATGGGGAGCCTTCACGGGAAAGACGTCGGCAGGGCGCACGTAAGTCGGCTTGACCGGGGTGGTGCGCGGGGTAGGAGGGTGGTAGAGAACTGACTCGCTGGCAGGAGCAGCAGCAACGGCCGAGCACCACGAATCGGACTTATTGTCGAACAAGGTCTGTTGCGCCTCGACAACGCGATGGTCCTTCAGTATGCCGTTGGCGCCAACAGCAACAAGAAGCTGGGTGGGTGGGACGAAGGGCATGAAGATGTGGGCAGTGGCGAAGCCAGAAGTGAGGCCGGCAGAGACGCTAGCAGAGGAGGGACCGGAGCCGAGCTCGACGGTGGACCTGGTCGGGGTGATGGGGGTGATAGGACTCATAGAGGACGCTCTGGAAGTCGAGGCAAGAGACGGGGTAGACGGCATTTCGGCAATGACTCTCTCATAGAACATACGTTCCAAAGCGATGAGCTCCCTAGAAGTCTTCGTCGCGCCCTGCTTTGCCTTGACGGCAAATATGCACTCGCAATCATCGTCGGTACACTGGATGCAGGCCTCGAGCCTGTTTCGTTGGCACTGCAAAGTTGAGTCAGTCTCGAACCTTTGGCGGGAAGGAGAGGAGAAAGCGTGCTTACCTTCTTTCGTTGCTGCCTGCAGTGCTCGCATGAGGCGGGCATACGAATGTAGTTCTCAGGGTGTCTTTTCTTCTCGGCTCCGCTCGCCTTGATGCCCCTGGTGTTGCTGGCGTGAGCAGAAGACCTCGCCTTGCGTTTGAATTTGCGCTTGGGTTTGCGCTTGTCGCCACTCCCGGTGGGAGAGGGGGTCGGGGCAGAAAGCGGGTGACCGAGGAGGGCGTTGCCGTCATTGGTGATGAGGGTGTAGGTGATAGTAGACGGAGTAGAGGAGGCGGGGGAAACACTATATCGGGAGAGAGGTCGTCAGTAACGGCATGGGATGCTGGACCGGGGCAGACGAACCCGCTATTGCCAAACAGCTGGAGACCGAGGGCGTTGTTGGCACCACTGGTGGTGTTGGTGGTGGTGGTGTAGGTGATGGGAGACGGGCTGGGGAAGCCGGTGAAGACTCTAGCGAGTACGAGGCGGTCAGCAAGAGCCTGGGAAACGGGATTGAGGCGGACGAACCCGCTGTTGTCAGACATCCTGAGGTGCGGGTTTGTTTTGGGGTGGGGTCGGGGTTGAGTGATGTCTGTGGTTGTGGGTTTTGGGGTGTTCTCACGGTGGATGGGGGGTGGGTGTTGTAAAAGAGAAAGAGAGATGGGGGATGGGAATTCCCAGGAGATATGGGGCGGGCATCGCTCGCCGTCCTGAGCATCGCCTCAACTCGCACGCAAAATTTAGCACGCATGACAGAGGAATGTTGGTTTGCGGTCATGCGCATGCATCCACTTATCGATGGGTAGCGATTTTTGTACCATCAGGCGCGGAATGACTGTGGCCGTATGCTGGTACAGACCTCATGTCTATACGAGAAACATAGCAGAAGTTGTCGAGAGTGCCACAAGCAAGAGACCAAGAATTGGCGGAAGTCTCACGTCACGCGCGCGTGCACCAGCGGGGTACCTGAGGGTCCCAATAGATGAAAGGACCCCCTCAACCAGTAATTTTCATCGCAAGTGAGAGTACGCACGTATGGTCGGCCTTGGCGAGCATGAGTGGGGAACGGGGTGGGGGGCGATGCATGGCGAGTCAATGACGCAGAGGTGTGCGGGATCAACCCCTCCTTTTGGCAGGGGAGGAGATGTCGAGTCCGTGGCACCGTCTGGCATCTGTTGGCCTAAAGTGTCAATGTACTCCAGACTGCAAGTGGATGGCAAGAGAGTAGGTGAATGATTGGTGTTTCATGAAGGAGGTGAACCTGTTGGTTGTCAGCGGTGACACGCAAGTGTATATGGTCTCCTGATGACGCGTATGTGGGTCGCGACTCAGTCATCAAGCCGACAAAGACCCTTCAGTAGGCCGTCCCCTCTATAGCAGAGCAATTTGAGACTCTAGTCGACATTAGCCGAGGGGAACCATGTCTGGTAGTGGGAGGGCGGAGTCGCTCGACTCGGTCATATGCCGAGTGTTCTGTCTGCGGTCGGGCAAGGGAATAGCATAAGACTCATCGTTGGTCGGATTGAGGAGGTGACATGGAGGAGAGCGTAAGAGGTTATTTCTGACGTTTGGAAAGACGAAAAACGCCTCGGGTTGGTGACAGGCAACAAGTAGCCAATGGGTCCAAAGATCGAGTGCATAGCATGCATGCATGGATGTCTGGCGACCAAGATTATCCCTAGCTGCAAGACCGGTTATCGCATACCACGTACGGGAGGATGCTCTTACTTTCTCTGGTAGAAAAGAACCCGCAGACGAGGCTTCTATAAGTTCCTGGCTTGGAAGATAGATGAAAGTCCGAGACCTCTCTGGGACGGAAAAACTCAACGATGGATTGGATCATGGCATAGCTATGGCTCTTGGTCAGATGAGAATAATGGTGGATAGAAGGTAGCGCCTGATCATGTCCAGCGAGACGACTCGGCGCGGCTTCGACGACAGGCAGGTGGAGACTGGGTCATATGGACGTCGCTCGTCGAATGTCGAAGACGTTGGTCTTGATTGATGAGGTGTCGTCTGCGGTTAGGATACTGGCCAGGATTGGCATTATTCGACGTAAAGTGAAATGAGGAAACGCTGCTTCTGCTGCTGTTGCTGTTCTCGTCGTCGTCAAGGTCGACCTTTCCTCTTCGGGCAGATATCAGTCACGCACGTGACTGCGGTGGCTTGTTGAAGAAAAAAACATCTCTTGATAATCATGTCAGAAGCACGCGAGCAGGCAGTATAAGGTGTCAAGCCCTATGAGGGTATGAGGAAGAAATGTCCAACAAAACGCGAGATCCTCAGACGAGGTACGGGGTTCATATCCACAGTATTATTAATGATGACGAACAACTAGAAGAGATCAAAATCGAAAACCACGACGCGAACCATAGTCCTTTCTACTACGCTATGCTATGCTATATCACAAACACTATCTCGAATGGGTAAACTACTCTTAACGATAGTAATGACGCAAACCAATGTCCTCTATCTCTAAATGAATATCCGTGGAAGAAGCAGTGTATACGCCGCTCGACCGATTGTCCATACGGAACTTCTACTCTCAGTTCCACAGTCCCCGCATACCGCAGTCGGCAGCCTCATCCGCGACCGGGGTGAAAGAGTCGCCGAAGGGTGTGGTGTTGAAAGGAGACTCGATAGCTCCCCAAGAACCCGCATTGCTCGTTTCCATCTCCTCCGTACCACACACGCCCCAGCCAACGTTCTCGTTCCCCACAAAGGCGGCCTCGTTTCCGACCTGGGCTTGAGGCGCGCTATACCAAGGAGTATTGTCGGGCGCCAAGAAGCCGGCGTAGGAGAAGTTGATAGAGGTGTGGTCGGCAGAGTCGCTGACGGCAGACATCTCCACGGTAGGCTTCAATGTGGTAGTGTCTGAAGTGGGGAGAGAAGCAATGGTAGCGGCGCTGCAAGGAACTTCGGCGGGAACGGAAACGATATCGTCATCCAGATCGAAGTCCATGACCAGCTCGTCAAACGCAAGCCTCTCGCTCTCAGAAAGACCTTGGCCCGTGACAGCAGGAAGCTGGGGCTGAGAGGCGACCACGGGGGGCAGGGTAGAGGACACCGAGGTGTTGTTGAGGGAAAAGGTGGGAGCCTGGACGGGGGAGACGTCGACAGGTCGCACGTAGGTGGGCTTGACCGGGGTGGTACGCGGAGTAGGAGGGTGGTAACGAGCTGCTGCCTTGCTGGCAGGAGCAGCAGCAAGGACCGAGCAGCATGAATCGAACTCGTTGTCGAACAGCGCCTGTTGCATCTCGACAACGGGGTGGTCCTTCAGCATGCCGTTGGCGCCAACAGCAACAGGAAGCTGGGCGGGCGGGACGAAGGGCATGAAGATGTGGGGAGTGGCGAAGCCAGAAGTGAGGCCGGCAGAGACGCTGGCAGGAGAGGGACCGGAGCTGAGCTCGACGGCAGACCTGGCCGGGGTCATCGGGGTGATTGGGGTGATCGGGCTCATAGAGGACGTCCCGGAAGAAGAGGCAAGAGATGAAGTTGAGGGAGTAGCGATGTAGACGCCGTCGGCGGAGGGAGCACGACCCATAGCGGCGAGCTTCTTCAAAGCCTTCTGGGAGCCTCGCTTGCCCTTGGCAAGGACGTATTTGCACTCGATGCCATCGCAGGTACAGCGGGTGCAGGCGTTGAAGTCGGTTCCATCGCACTGCAAAGTCGAATCAGTCTCTTGGGGTGATAGCAGGACGAAATTGCTTACCTCCTTTCGTCGCTGTTTGCAGTGCTCACAAGACATGCTCTTACGCTTGTAGCCCTCGGCATGCTTCTTCTTCTCCTTGCCACTCGCCTTGATGCTCCTGGTGTTGGTGGCATGAACGGAAGATCTCGCCTTGGGCTTGGCCTTGTCGCCACTGCTGGCGGGAGAGGGCGTCACGGGAGAAAGCTGGGGACCGAGGGCGTTGCCGTCGTCATTGGTGCTGGAGGTGTAGTTGATAGTAGACGGAGTATAGGAGGCGGGCAAGGCACTATAGCGAGGGAGAGGGCGTCAGTGATGGCATGGGAAACAGGACTGGGGTGGACGAACCAGCTGTGGCCAGAGAGCTGGATACCGAGAGCGTTGAGGTCACGCCCAATGACGGCGCAGGGGACAGTAGACAGATTATATGAGACGGGAAAGATACTACAGCAAAAGAGAGGTCGTCAGTAATAGCATGGGAAACGGGACTGAGGCGGACGAACCCGCTACTGTCATACAGCTGTACTTCGGGGGCGTTCCCGTCACTGGAGGTGGTGTTGTTGGTGGTGTTGTTGGTGGTGTTGTTGGTGGTGGTGTAGGTGTTGGGAGAAGGGCTGGGGAAGCCAGGGAGAGCACTGGAGAGGAAGAGACTGTCAGCAAGGGCCTGGGAAACGGGAATGAGGCGGACGAACCCGCAGTTGTCAGACATCGTGGGGTGTGGGATTGGTTTGGGGTGGGGTGGGGGTTGAGTGATGTCTGTGGTTGTGGGTTTTGGGGTGTTCTCACGGTGGATGGGGGGTGGGTGTTGTAAAAGAGAAAGAGAAATGGGGGATGGGAATTCCCAGGAGATATGGGGCGGGCATCGCTCGCCGTCCTGAGCATCGCCTCAACTCGCACGCAAAAACTCGCACGCCGAACAGAGGGATGTCGGTGTGCGACCATGCTCATGCATCTACTTATCGATGCATGTCGATTTTGGTACCATCAGGCGCGGACCGGCTGTGGCCGTATGATGGTACATGTCTCATGTCTATACGAGAAATACAGCAGACGTTGTCGAGAGTGCCACAAGCAAGAGACCAAGAATTGGCGGAAGTCTCACGCGCGTCCAATTTGGTTCCCCCCCAGGAACACGATGATGGTACCTGAGTATTCCTGCAAATTTATGGTCAAAGGACATTCTAAACCAGGCAATAGTCGTGGCACAGAGCGTACGTACGTATGACGTGCATCGGCCAGAGAGGCCAGGGTGGGGACGGGGTGGGGAGCATGTCCGTAATCTGTTCGCGCTATATAGGGCTCTCTCTCTCCTCGTCAGCCTGCTCTGACGTGTGCCTCTGTATGAGCTGCCCCTTCTCGTCTTCCTTATCAGCTTCCGAGACTACTATCGGAGCATGAGTGTCATGCGACAGGGATGCTTCTGACCGGCGAGTCCCAGTGATAAGTCTGCTGGCGAGCGAACCATCTGATCTGCTCTTCTTCACTGGCCGGTGCAGCCCACCAGAGAGCTGTCGGACTCGCCACACTTATGCATTCGTGAGAGAGATACTACCAGATAATTGACCTGAGTCGCCCGCCTACATGGCAAGCACAAACGCATCAATTGCTCTCCAATCGCCCCAATCGCCGCAATGAAACGCACCAAACAACTCGCATAATACGCGGAAGCCCGAGGACCAGGTTATGCACGGCCCTCGCCGCCGATGCTCAGCGAAGATCCACCGCCTACAACCAGCACCGTCTACGGACTGTCTATTTACAGCATCATCGAGTGCAACCACGCCATGATACACCTGGACCGAACCAAACACGCACCTGTATAAGAGCGTATCCACCATGCCCACCATGTCCGCCAGCGTCGGATTTTGCGGCGATACACCATACGAGGACGCTCCGATGGTGTCGAGTCGCCTCCTTAACAATCGTATCAGGAAGACTTTCGGGGCTATCAGGCCCAGATCAGTAGGCCCCCTTCGCCATAGACTGTAACATACTGACCTGTCCATAGGGCACAACCACGCCCATCACCCGCCCCTCTACTCCTGAATCGGCCCCAGTCTTTCCTCAAGAAATCCTCGAGCAGATCCTCGCCGACTCTTCACACGACCACGATACCCTCCGCGCCCTAGCTCTCACCTGCAAATCCCTCTCCCCCCTCGCCCTTGCGCCTCTATGGCACCGAGTCTCCGTCGGCCTCGAGTCCCGCTCCCCCATGCGCACCCACTATTTCGGCCCCACCACCCGCGAAATCATCAGCCTCGGCCTGCTCAAGCCGCCTACCCTCTCTAGCTTTTCTGCCGAAGTCCGCAGCTTGACGCGCATCATCGACTTTTACTTTCGGCATTTCGCTTGGGCACTCGCCCTCTATCGGCGAGAACACCGTTTACTCGAGCTGTTCGCGCAAGTCAAGGTGATCCGTATACACCTCGATTCGCTGTGCGGGTACATCTCCTCTGGCGGTGCCCCTTTCAAGTACAAGAATGAAGACGCCGCCTACGAAAACTATGTCGGTCGTCTGCCCGCTTGTGAGAAGGCAGTCTTTATCGGGCCTTGTCGTATGTCCTACTACGAACGGTGGTACGCGCACTGGAAAGAGCGCACAGAATACGAGTCCAAAGCCCCCAAAAAGCTCGTCCTGCTCCTCAAAGCCAACGAGCACCCCATCTCCTTCAAATTCGGCTCCTTCCCCTACTCCATCCTCTCCAACGCCAACATCCCCACCTCCCGCCTCTCCGATATCACCATCATCTTCTACCAAGGACCCCTCCGCTCCAAGTCGCTCAAGTCGCTGACGGACGACTCGTGGCGTAAAGTCCGGGAAGACTTGGTCGATGTCTTGAAGTTGTTGCGGCGCAAGTACCCGAGGACGCGGGTGACGCTGGTCAACACGGGGTGTTTCAAGTTGACTTGGCTGGGGTTTGATAGGGGGGTGAAAGAAGGGGAGGTGCAGGAGAGGGTGAAGCAGGGGTTGAAGAAGGTTGGAGTTGCTAAGGGGGTGAGGTTGTTTGGGACTTTTGGGGGAGAGGTGGAGCGGAAGAGTCGGGAAGATGAGGCGTCCTCCACACCTTCCTCAGTTGCGTCTGGGTCTGAGGGGTCCATGTCGGACGATGGGCTGCCATTGAAAGAGCCGATGAACGCTGGAAAGGAGACGGAGAGGCTGATCACATTGGACGAGTACCTGCAAACAGAAGACTGGGAAGGAGAGTTTGATGAGGAAGAGGTGCAGCCTTGGCTTCACTGTTAGCACATAAAAAAGCATATCATTAGGTTGTATCAGTAGACTTGTGTTGTAGATATATATGAAACGCATTAATGGATGAGTCCGGAGCTGTAAAGATCGTGCCGCAGATATCGACAAGACATGTCGCTCTTATGGACGCCCGACACAAAGAACCAGATGACGATCTTGCCATGTGGACTGCATGCTACTGAATGCATGAATTCTGATAACAATTTGTTTGATAGATATGTCGAGTCAACATCTGGGGCGACCTTAGTTGTCGGCCATGACCCAAGGCTATACGGCAGTGTCAGCGGTCGGTCTTTCTCTAAGGCCTTCGAAGGGTCGGATGCACTTACCCAAGCGATGGGCTGTATAACAGAGACGGCAAGCGATCAGCATTTGACCTGAAAGATAGTTAGACTGAACATACCTCGTAGTCGGAGAGCTCCTCCTGGGCGAACCAGAGACCGATCTCCTTGGTAGCAGAGTCGAACGCGTCCTACACGAGTCCACCTCACATCAGTCTCAGGTCCGGGTCACCGAGTTGATGGACGTACAGAAGCGTGGATAAGGTTCCTACCGACAGAAACAGCGTACTGTCCTCGGACCGATCCGGGGTCGGCGTCCTGGGGGTTGGTAGCACCTACAATTCGACGCTACCGTACCATCTCTCCGTCAGCTCAATCCCCCTACCCCCACCGCCATTCAAGACAAGTAAAACTCACACCTTGCTTGATGACATCCTTACCCTCCCAGACCATGGCGACGACGGGAGTACCGGAGGTGATGTACTTGACGAGGGAGCCGTAGAAGGGTCGGGCGGAGAGGTCGGCGTAGTGCTCTTTGGCGAGAGCGGGGGAGGGGGTGAGGGACTTGATGCTGAAGGATGATAAGCTACAGCTCAAGAGATATGGGGTAAGAGAGACAACGTACGCGACAAGCTTGTAGCCACGCTCTGCGTAGGAAGATCGTTAGTTCAGGCTCCACCTATATCCTATGGGACCGACCACGTACCCTCGAATCGAGAGACGATCTATAGCATAAAGTCAGTACTGTCCTGATCATTCTCAAAAATCCACGAAAGCTCACCTTGCCGACAAGCTGCCTAGAGACACCATCGGGCTTGATCTACCATTCCCCATCAGTACCACTCCATCCCCACCTCAAGGTGATAAGCTCACCATGACGAAAGACCTCTCAGAGACGGTACCCTTCTCACCAGCAATAGTCTTGGGACCCTCGAGGAGGACAGGAGACCTGGTGCCTGTGCTACATCAGCTCCATTCCTCGACCCCTCGAGTTCAGAATGTGGGGTAAGATGAGAAGGACGTACTCTCGTAGAAGGCGTAACCAGCGACAGCAGCACCAGCAGCGAGACCAGCACCGATGTTGGCCCTGGGGGCAGCCCTGGCAGGGAGGGTAGAGAACGCTCGGGCTTTGGGAGGTGTTAGTGAAGATCTGTTTGGTCGTTGGGGATACTTGCCAGAAGAGCGAGAAGCGGTTCGGAGGCCTGTGATGGGTGTCAGCTTGAGCTAGCACACGGTGGGGGAAGATACATACCCTGTCGGAGAGAGTTGGCGAACATTGTATGGTATTTGTGTGAGTGGGGAATAAAAGATAGAGAAGAGTAGCGCATTGCGCAATTGAGGACTGTCGGGGTCCGGTGGAGGCAGACCGCTAAATCCGAAATCTATCTTCTCTGGCATTTTCCATTTCTTCGTCACAGTCCACAGACCGAGCTGTCACAGGTCTCCCAGAACAAGGATGGGAAGGGTATGAGCTCTTCGACGTCTTCCTCCCCCGATTCCCTCTTCTCGGAGCTCTCAGAGGCGCCGAACAGTCCTGAACAGGTGTCATGCCCAGCCGCCAGCCGAAGATGCCCGCCCATCCCCGGGCTCTATGTCTTTCCAAGTCTAATCCCTGAAAGCATATCTCGTAAGCCATTGTCCCAATCTTCAGCTCTGACAGCTGACATTCCACTAGAGCGAGCTCTACAAGCCATCGGAGATGACGACCTCTTCCACGGCGGGGTCCGAGACCAAGTCATGCTATTCGAACCTCCCCCCTCTCAAACCGCTCGCAAACCTCTCCCATCCTACATGACATCACTCTTATCCTCCATCCGCAACCTCATATCAGACTCTATACCACCCAAAGTCGGCTCTGTCGTCTTCAAACAAGACCTCGCGCGGCAGGTGATCGTCAACCTCTACCCTCCCGGCCAAGGCATTTCGTCGCATATCGACTTGCCGAATAGGTATGCGGATGGTATAATCGGCTGTTCGCTGATCGGGGGATGCGTCATGTCATTCTCCCGACCCGTGCCCGACTCTGCCTCTGAGCTTGGGGTTTACAGGGTGTATCTCCCGCCTCGGTCTATCTATATCCTCTCGGGTGCCGCGAGGTGGGAGTGGGCTCATGGGATTGCGGGAACGCTGGAGGATGTCGTAGAGAGGGAGGATGGGGAGGGGGAGGATACGCTGCTAAGGGATTTGAGAGTGAGCGTTACGTTTAGGTGGATGAAGGATGGAGCGGATGTCCTGTCGTAGTAGACGCAAAATGTCTTGTACATGTCTATCGATGGAATGGTTTGCAAAGAATGCATTACTGCATCCACAGCGAATATTCCAATTTGCATTGGCTTATCGCACTATCGCTGCGCCCTCTGTCCCTCTGTCCCTCTGTCCCACAGCGGGCGGCGTTGGTGCTCGATGACTCGGCCACTAGCTTTGTGACGACCTCTCTGGGCCTTGCCTTGTAGCTTCATCATTGTCGGGCGCTGTACCGAAGCTGCCCAAGGGAGCAAGCCGAGAGTCTCCTCAATTCCCTCAAGGACAACTTCAACCCCTAAACCTCCCTTCCAACTCTCTCAACCTCGCCTCAAGCCTCTCCACACCCTCCTCCCCAACCTTCTCATCCTTCCTAACTCCCCCTCCCCCACCCATCATCTCCAAACTCTTCTCCAACCCCTCCATATCCCTCTGATCATTCACATCCAACTCGAACGCTTCCTGTCCCTCTCCATGCTCCTCTTCCTCGTGCTGCTTTCGCTCTTCATCTTCGGGCAGTACGGCGTCTCTTCGGACGGACGAGAGGTCGCGGATGAGCACTCGAAGATCTTCCACTAGGTTCTCAGGGGCGGAAGGGGATAGAGAGGTGGCGAATGCGAGGAGGGCGGCGGCTCGGCCGCGGAGTGAGCCTACACCGCGAGAGAGTGGGACGGCTTGGGCGAACGCTTGGTCGAAGCCTTCTTGAAGGGTGACAAGTTTACCGTCAGTGATACCTTCTCTATATCCCGCCTGTCATACTATCAGCACATGTTGGGTATCGACTCAGAAGGGACGCACGTCAGAGTAGACGGTAGAGATTCGAGTGTACTCTTTATCCACAAGCGGGTCTTTGGCGCCCCCTTGAGTGGGGGGTTCGAGCCAGTCATCGTCGTCGATGATACCCTGGGTGTCTGGGAGGGGATAGGTCATCTTGAGGTGTATGGTGCGCCGTGGGGAGTGCTCAGAGCTTGATAACGGACGGGATAGAGAGCATGAACAAAAACAACAACAAATATTTCGAGCAATTACAAAATATCTGGGCGACGAATAGAAAGGGTTGTAATCAATGTTTACGTATGATTACAGTGCCTGGGTCTCCATTTTCGCAGATTTTTCTAAATGCTTGCAGTCTCTTGCATCTCTTGCTTCCACCCAAAACCATCTCCATCCCTCCCTCTTCCCCTCTTCCCCTCTTCTCCTCTCCACCATCCTCCAGCTATCATGCTCCCCCGTCTTGCTCTTGCCAGAGCTCCCGTGTCTCTTCTCTCGAGGAGCGCCGTCCTTTCTAGGAGTCTCATCCGCGCTCCTATCCTCTCTAGGTCTGTACCCCAGGTTCAGAGCCTTTCTAGTGAGTCCGAAATCCAAACATGAGATTACACACTGACATACCATTAGGCATTCTTAGCGCTCGAGGTTACTCTGTCGCCGCTCAAGGAAAGCCCGAAGATGACTTTTTCGCCTCTGAGGGCGATGCCCCCGCCCCCACTTCTCTCCGACAAGACTCCAAACCCATAGAAGCCGAAGAAGTAGACAACACCGCTTCTTTCGATTCCCTCAAAGGCCGCATGAACCACGACACTCTCAAATCTCTTACCTTCAAGCCCTTCAAGTTTGTCACCATGAGCGAGGTGCAAAAGCGTGTCTTGGGACTGTTGCCCGAGCTGGCGGGCGGCAAGCTGAGGGGACCGGCAAAGGAGGCTGCGGAGGAACAGGGAGAGCCGTTGATTGATGAGACGAGATTGAGGGAGGATTTGTTGGTCAAGGCCAAGACTGGTACTGGAAAGACTGTTGTATGTCCTTTTCCTTTCGCTACCAATATATCACTGACTGTTCGCAGGCTTTCCTTGTCCCTGCTATCGACTCTCGTATCAACAAGCTCGAAGAGCTGTCCAAGGCTGCTCAGGCGGACGGTACGATCCCCGACAAGCACGCTCAAGGCCGGATCTACCGCGAAGTCTCTCGCTCCCATGCCGGTGCCCTCATCATCTCGCCCACCCGAGAACTCGCTACCCAGATCGCCGCCGAAGCCCAAAAGCTCATGACATGGCACAAGGAGATGGAGGTCCACACTTTTGTTGGCGGCGAGTCTAGGGTCAAGCAATTGCGTCAGTTCTCGAGAAACAGAAAGGATATCGTCGTTGCCACTCCTGGCCGACTGAGGGATCTGCTCAGCGAGAGTAACGTCAAGGAGGCCTTGTCAAAGGTCGACACTCTTGTTCTTGATGAAGCCGATACCCTTCTCGACATGGGTTTCTCGGCCGACCTCGAGTACATTATCGACCACCTCCCCAAAGAGCGTCAGACTCTCTTCTTCTCCGCCACAGTCTCCAAGGAGATCAAGAACATTGCTCGTAAATCTTTGCGACCGGGCCACAAAGTCATCGACTGTGTCCCCGCCAACGAGAGCAACACCCACCTCCACATCCCCCAATACTGCACCGTCCTTCCCTCTGCTGCCGACCAGCTTCCCCATGTCCTCCGCCTCATCTCCCACGACCAGCTAATCCACCCCAAAGACAGCAAGGTCGTCATCTTCTTGAACACCACCAAGCAGACCATGCTCACTTCGACACTTGTGCGCCAGCTCAAGGGATCGCTCCCCCAGAACACTTGGACTTATGAGATCCACTCCAAACTCAGCCAGAACCAGCGTACCCGCGCTTCCGACAGGTTCAGGGCGGAGAAGGGTCCCAGTGTCCTCATCACCTCTGACGTCTCTGCCCGAGGTGTCGACTACCCCGGTGTCACTCGTGTCATCCAAGTCGGTATCCCTTCCAATGCTGAGCAGTACATCCACCGTGTCGGACGTACTGGCCGAGCCGGCAAGCAAGGCCGAGGTGACATTGTCCTCCTCCCCTTTGAAGCCGGTTTCCTCAACCAGCTGAACGAAGTCCCCATCAAAGCTATCGAAAGCCGCGACCTCGCTGCTGAAGTCCACGAACTTGCCACTTCCCAGAAAGCCAACGCCGCCAAGCTCGCCGCCATCCCCGAACGCGTCTCCGAGCTCCTCCCCACCCTCGATGCCGATGCCGTCGAAGAAGTCTTCATGTCCATGCTCGGCTACTATGTCGGCAAGGGCTCTCAGATCGGCATGCCCAGCCAAGGTATCTTGGAGGGCTTGAAGGAGTGGACGACGGAAGGTGCGGGGTTGGTCGAGCCGCCTTATGTGTCGGAGATGTTTTTGAAAAAGTTGGGGATGGGCCCGAGGAAGGAGAAGAGGAGTTTCGGGGGCGCTGGTAGAGGGGGCGCTGGTGGTGGAAGGGGTGGCCGATCGTTTGGTGACCGAGGATTCAAGGACCGAGGAGAGGGCGGTGGTGGCGGGTTCGGTAGCCGGGGCGGAAGCGGCGGTTTTGGTGGACGAGGAGGTGACAGAGGGGATCGAGGCGGTAGCCGTGGAGGATTTGGTGGAGGATTTGGCGGACGAGGCGGCGACCGTGGCGACAGACGGTCAAGGGACTTCTAAACAGGTTTCTTTCTCACCTCAACGCGGTCTAACTGTCTGAAATAGATATATTACACTCAACATACCATTCATCCTTCTCCAATCTTCGTACTCCTTCTCATTATCTGATTACAATAGTAAATTGTTGTATGATACGTATATGTTCGTCTTCACCACCATTCAAAATGCATACTCTCACGATCAGAAGGTCTCTGACATCCCTGTTTGAAGAGCAATGGCCGTAGTACTGCGACGTCTTCTTTCATCGAAGAGGGTCGAACTAGACAAGATGATGAGTAGAAGCAGGACTTCTTTCGTCGATTCAGATCTAAAGCACCATATAATAGAGTAGTATCATCTATTCGCGACACCTAGGGATATATTTCTCATAGATACCTTCTCCAATTGCCCACATGGAGTCGATTGCATCATCATAGAAATCAGCTACAATTGCGCACGAAGCTCTGTCAGCTCTGCCTCTATAGCTCGAAGACTGGACACAACTCACGCCAGATCTCCGTCTTGCCTTTGTACGAAATGACCTCGTATCTCACCGGAAGCTCTTTCTCCATTGATTCCGTCACGCAGAAATGTGAGAGCAGTGCCAGACCTCTAGTCGAAGTGTACTGATTCAAGTCCAGCGTCAAAGTGGGCTTTCTGAGGCTTGACGAAGGGAAAGAAAGTTTCCAAGGGGAGCGTTCGAATTCCTCCTTGATGTTTCTCCTGGGTAGGAGGACGTCATGAAACTTCAAAGCGGCTGCGTTGGTAGAATACTGCATGGTAAGCGCCTCTACGATATCGCTGTAATGCTCCTCGTCCTCAGCGATAAGGCGGTTGATAAAACGAACGTCGCTGATGTCTCGGATGGCACGCGAAATAAGCTGGCTTGTAGAGGCATGTCCTGGTATTTGCACCGTCAACGTCGAATTCAATCAGTACTCGATGCCACATACTGGAAGCGGGAGTGTGATTCTTGATACCACGGAGATTGGGAAGCGTTTCTGGAAAGACCGCGCTAAGAATTTGATGGCAAGCTTTGTTCATAGGTGCGCTTGTGGGTGGCCTTTCAGGTCCTTTGACCTCATTTGGACTGACAGAAGGGGCAGGATCGCCTTAAGGCTTAGTCGGGGTCGAGTCAGATTTGAGTGATGCTGAAGTATGGGTAGTAGCGACAAGACTGCTCTGATGGCGAAGAAGCAGATACGTACCATGGGATGGAGGGTTTGACTTGGCCAGGAAGGAGGTGGCAATACGCAGGGTCATTTGTAGGGTCTCTGTGATATTTAAGTGAGCGTCGAATGCAGGTTGAGGTTGGTTGACGGACAGTTGACAGAGGCAGCAGGACGGCGGAGGACAAACAGACCCAATTGCTCCCGTTCAATTACGTAAGACGTTCTCGTGCCACTCACCACCACCACCGGCCACCGCACGAACCCGAATCCATCTCCTCTTTCATTTCCATCTTATTCCCCAACAGCCATGTCCCTCTCCCCCCCAACCCACGAATCATACCTTGTCGTCGGCGGCTGCGGCTTCCTCGGACGGCACATTGTGGAACAGCTCTTGGCCCGAGGCGAGAGTCAGGTCTCTGTCTTTGATATCGTGCAGAGGCACTTTGACAGGTGAGTCTTGAGCGATGGCAGCGAGATATGGGAAATCAAGTCTGGACTGAAGCTGACCGTGTACAGCAATGTCACTTTCTTCATTGGCGATCTGTCCAAGCCGGAGGACGTCGAGAACGCTCTCATCAAAGTATGTTTCGGTCTTTCGCTGTTGCACTGAAATTGAGCTGATCATATGTACCAGTCCCAAGCCACAGTCATCATTGACACTGCTTCACCCACCCACGGTCTCGGTCGCGCCATCTACGAGCTCGTCAACATCACCGGTACCCGCACCCTCCTCGACGCTGCCCTCTCTCCTTCCTCCCTCGTCACCAAAATCGTCTACACCTCTTCCGGAGGCGTCATTTACTCTGGCAAGGAAGACATTTGTAACGCAGACGAGAGGATCAGTTACCCCGTGAAGCCGTTGGACGCCTACAACGAGACAAAGGTTGCCGCGGAAAAGATGGTGCTCCAGGCGAACGGGCAAGAAAAGGCTGGCGGCGGTTTACTCTCCACCTGTGCTATCCGCCCCGCCGGTATCTTTGGTCCTGGCGATAGGCAGATGATCTCCGGGTTCTACGGTGTCGTCAAGAATGGCCAGACCAAGTGGCAGATCGGCGACAACACCAACCTCGGCGACTTTACCTACGTCGGCAACGTCGCGCACGCCCACCTGCTCGCTGCCGACAAGCTCACCACCGTGTACCCTTACTCTGCCCTGCGTGAACCCCTTGCGCCCATCAACCTCTCCCTCGGCTCGCACCGCGTGCCCACCTCGGCCGCCAAGCCCATCGGGCCGAATACCAACCCCTCCAAGGCCGACCTGCTCGCAGCCGAGCGTTTCGAGCAAGGGCTCATCGAAGAGTCTGACCTCAGGCCGGTGTTGAGAAACAAGATGGATGTGTACTATGATGCCGCCAGCCTGGAAGATATCGAGCACCCCGAAGCTGGTTTGCCCATTGCCGGTCAGGCGTACTTTATCACCAACGGTGAACCCATCTTTTTCTGGGACTTTGCGCGAACCATTTGGCGCCAGCTCGGCCACGTTCCTCCGTACACCATCGTCCTCGCCACTGCCCTTGGTCTCATCCTCGCTACCCTTGCCGAAGCGTTCTCCAAGCTCTCTGGCAAGGAGCCAGGATTCACGAGGTTTAGGGTGTCGCAAGCGACGCAGCAGAGGTTTTACGATATCGAGAAGGCTAGGAGGCTGTTGGGTTATAGCCCGGTGGTGGGATTGGATGAGGGGATGAAGACTTGGACGACCTGGTACAGGGGAGAGTTGGACAAGCAGGCGTTGGCTGGGGAGACGGACAAGACAAAGTAAAAACAAGCACCGTCTCGGAGGCTTCAAGGTTGTTTCTTTTCATAGGCTTATATTCGGATGATCTGCATGTAACTGTATGATACGATTATCAACACGGTTCATAGTATTATACATACATATATACAACTTTCCAGATATTATACAATCCGCATCGCCTAGCACTCATTGACTAGTCGATGCAATCTCCTGGCAGGAGCCGAGTCTCAAGGTTGGAGGCAGTGGGACGTCCTGAAGGCTTGAGGATGATGAAGAGACGAAAAAGAAAAGATATCTGCTGTCAAGAAGCGTCGTGTTGGCAACCGGAAGAGTGTGTTTGTACACTCACACCCAATTGTACGTATTACTACCGACCACCGTCCTATATCACACAGCACCCGTATCTCCCTCCATCAACGGCTAGCTCGTCCTATAATCTGCCGATACATACAGAAAAGTCCAACGTTCCAGACGCTCCTACATACTCGTTCGTAATGAGGCTGACGCCAGCCGCGCCGCGCGTCTAGAACATTTCTCACCTTTGATTCGCCGTCCATATGCTCCTCAAGACTGTTATGCGGTGTACGTTTGCAGTCAATGATACCTATGTGGGCGTTTTGTCTCCTTTTGAAAAGCTTCAGAATAGATCCTGGCTGCCATCAAGTCGGTCAGTCCTAGCCTTTCTTCGTTCAGCCTCAACACAGCAGACTGACTTCCATCATCAAACAGATAGCTCGCGCCAAGTTTCCGCCTTGTTTTGGTACTTGACGTACTCAAAATCTGCTTGGTTCAGACAACCGGTGGTCAGCATACAGAAAAGAGAAAGCAAAGCCAAGACCTCGCGTCTTGATGATCTCACAAGTCCAACGTCAACGTGGCTCTCGGGACTGTCTCTTCACATGAAACTATAGCATGATCTGTATGTATCCAACTGTACGATACAATTATAAACAAAGTTTAGTGTATCGTCTATATCTATATACAACTGTGTTTTTTCCTCTCAAACCAAGAGATTATAACTCTATCGCTCTAAAATCACCATCTAATACTCCTCACTATCATCACTACTCCCCTCCCCATAATCCGCACCCCCAAGCTCCCCCCACTTTTCCAAATCCCACCCCTCCACGACCCCCTCCCCCTCCCCCTCCAACCACTCGCCCAGTGTCCTAAACCTCACCCTCCTCAAGCGATCCTTTACATCCCCCTTCATACCCTCAGCATACCACTTTGTCTCGATCCTGCTCCTCAGGCGATCTTGCATCACTTTCCCAACTTTGCCCGTGCGCATAGTGTTGAGCCCCATGTTGAGGAGCTCGCCGTCCATCGTTTCGGTACCGACTATTTCTATTTCGGTCCGAAAGGGTACTGCGAGGCATGTACCTGCTACGTCGTCGACCAACGACACGTAAGAGGTGGAGGAGCCGTCTTTGCGGGCGTTGTAGAATGCGATCTGCCATGGCCTGCCGAGTTTGGGCGGGGAATAAAAGACGAGCACGAACCGCTCGAGCGTGAGGAGCGTCTTTCTATGACGAAAGCAGTGAGAGTAAGGCTGGTAGTCTTTCGCGTCATAAGACAGACCGGTGGGCATGACGATAGTCAATTCTTGGCACGGCGGCAGGCGGGGCGAGTGGGTGGTGTTGGTAGCAGGGGGAGAAGGGAGTGGGAGGGAGGAGAGTGATTTCGGGAGGGAAGTGTTTCGGGTGTGGCCGTTTTTGATCTTGGGTAAGACTTGGGCGGGGGGTGCGAGGGAGGCAGTACGCGTATGGTGTTTGCCCGTGGGCGGGAAGAAGGAATTGGCAGGAAGGAACGAGTTGGCCGACGCGCGGTAGAGCGCGGAGACGTTGGATGGGTTGGCGTTGGGCACGAGTAGGAGCGGATCGTTCGCGAGGTGGTCGTCCTCCCCTTCACCCTCTGTCACAGCAATCAACGGCGTATTCGGCGACGTCGTCCCCACCGACGACCCTGTACCCACCGACCCGGGGGTAGTCGGCGTGGTGGGCGTGTTGTAGTACTTGTGCGGAAAGGCGAGGGGGAGGACAGGCATAGGCGAGCGGGCACCGAGTATGACGAGTTTTTCGACGACGAGGTCGCGGAACATGGGGCACGTTGGTGGGTAGCGCGGGCAGAATGTCATATGGTAGTCGAACGCCTCCCCGAGCACGATCCGCAAGCTATCGAGCTTTGGCAAGAGATAATTGAGAGTTACAGGCGGGCAGCATGGAGGGGACGGCTCGTCGTCGTCGTCGTCCTCCCCATGGCTCCAGACGGTGACCTCGCTCACGCGCTTGAGCAGCCTGTCCTTGAACCGTTTCCTGCCGCCGGTGACCATGCCTGTTGCCGCCTCGTGCACGATCACCGACCCCCTGAGCACATCCTGCATCGATTTCGGATGCAGCTCAATCTCCGAGTAGAGCAGGTGGCCGGCGAGGTGGAAGATGAGGCGGGAGACGGTGAGGCATGCACGGAGCGTAGGGGTATCGCAGTAGGAGAGGATACGTTTGAGGATGGGGGTGGGAAAGTGTCCGCTGGCATTCTTTCTGGATCGGATATTGGCTACAGGATAATGTATGAGTTGAAGCCTGGGAAGACGGGAAAGACGGGTGCGTACCGGTGTGGTGCAGCTCGAGGGATGTCTCTGGGTACAGCGATACAGACGACTTGGCTCGTGGGAGAGAGAGGGTGAGGGCGGGCGGGGTCACTGCGCCCGAGTGCTTCTTACCAAACTTGAGCGCATCCTGGGAACGGGGCCGTCAGCACCAGGATTATGGGAATGCGGGTGCGGGACGAGGCTGTCTCGGAGGTGGTCGCCCTCCACCTGTCACCCTGCTATACCCTGAGGGGGCTACCTACCGCAATGTCGGTAAAGCTGGCCGACTTGAACACCATGGTCTTCGGCGGGGGGCATGTGCAGACGGGATGAAGAGAGGAGGATGCAAGATATGTACGTCTTTTGTCTCACACGCAATTTTGTCATCGGCTCATCGCCCGGCGGCCTGCGTCAGGCCTGGACTCTGTTGACATGGCGAGCGGCGTGGACAGATCACCCTCCATCTCTCCAAGGGGGGCCCCTTGGCACAGCATACCCATCCATACATCATACAAACACCCCCTATGTCTCCCCGTCCCCGCCGTCCCCCGGCGCCATCCGCCACACCTTCATCACCAGCCAGAACACCACCACCCCCAGCACTATATACGCTATCGTCCTGTACTGCCGCAGCGTCGAGCTGGCAGCGATCGAGCGCGAGTGGTGCCGGGACGTGGAGAAGAGGGACGAGGCGAAGGAGGAGAAGGTGTTGGTCTAGTATGCGACCACGGCGTAAGCATGGGACTCGATGCTGCGGTGAAGAACGTACAGTGCGGTCGAGCTATAAATAAGGGGGCGTATCGTCAGTGTACGTTGCCTAGTCTGCGACCCCATGCATCTAGCGTCGGCGTCGACGTTATCGCAATGTTTACGACGACAACACTATCGCATGGAGCTCCATCCCCTAGCACAGCGCACACGGCACAACCAAGACTCACCTGGTCATTCTGTCTGTTCGCATCGTCCAGTATATCTATTGTCACCTGCCCTCCTTCATCAGCTCTATCCCTTTACCCTCTGCCCTCTGCCCTCTCCCTGAGCCTGAGCCTGAGCCTGAGCCTGAGCCTGAACCTTGGCATGAACCCCAAAAGGAAGGCAGAGACTCACCGAGCGCAAACTCCTGATCTTGTTATGCAACGCATTCAGTTCCTCTTCATTCTGGTTATCCAGCGTCTGGTCTGAGGCGCTACATCCAGGCCTTTCCATCAGCTGTTTGCTTTTGCCACATGCCTTCAGAGGGCGGGGGAAGGGGAAGGGGAAGGGGAGAGGTTGGACTGACCTAGGCATGATGGGTGTGGACCTATAGACTTGGGGCCCTAGGGGTCGATTCAGGTGAGAGCAAATGGACAGAGGGGTGAGGGGCGCGGGGGCGCGACGGGGGGTATGCGGACCGAGCGTGTTCTGGGTGACTGGATTCTTGTCGCTGTGGCGTTGTGGGTCTCCAGTCGGCGGGCAGGGGGGGTAGACGATGGGGGAAATAAGTGTCGTAAGAACAGCTAGTGGATGGAGAAATAGAACAAGAACAAGAACTCGAGGAATGCCGAAATGGTGAGCCCCGCACCACAAACAAGCTCCACGCGTTCTGGACTTCTTATCATCTCATCTTTCTTCTCTTTTCAGATTGATTCTGCCAGCGGGTGAAGGTCTGTTATCCATAATGGTGTGTGGGTGGAATGTAAGCAAAAGCAAAACGCTGTTCCCTACAGTACCTGCCATACCCTGCGACTACTCCGTGTACGCGACTAACGACCAATGGATTGCAAAGTATATATTCATGTTTCCACAAGCTCGAGCACATACACAGCTTTAACCACTCGTATGTCTTTTTTGTTTTCTTATATATATTATCCGCAACGGCTACGTACAAATGAAGAAAGAATTCCGATAATGAACAGACATGGTTTTGTTGAATAGACAAAAGTAATGAAATGTCGTCGTCGGTCATAATCAGAAAAAAAAAAAAAATGATTGTTCCAATAAACAGACGGAATGAATGGGGAGGGGCCCGGCTAATGCCCATTGACCTGGCTCAACACCTGATCAGCCCTCTCCAAATCCTTCTCCGACAGCCTCCTTCCGCCCGCAGGGGTAGCAGTGCCCGAGATGGCGCTCGCAAGCGAGTCGGAGCGGTTCCGAGGCTTCATCACGAGTGGGAAGGGATAGTGGTTCTCATCGTCGTCATCATTGATGCCACGCCAGCCTGACCACCTTATCAGCATTCGTCCACAGCAAGACTCGGGAGGGGGACTCACTCTTGGCACCCATGTAATCTTGCGTAGTGAGATGCTCCATCTCCTCCGTCAACGTCGCATAGTCCCCAGGCGTCATCAACCCCGACACCCCGGCGCCCCTCATCCTCGGACTCGCCGGCGCACTCAACGGCACCCTCTGCACCCCCGTAAAGTCCGGCTCATCATCCGCAAACGCATCCGGATACGCCCGCCTCAACGCCAGCTGCCTCGCTTTCACATACTCCAGCCCAAGCGACTTCCAGTCCAAAAGCTCCGACAAGCGCTCGGTGCGGTTACGCTGGTTGATACGCTGACGGCGGGATTTGGTGGAGAATGCCAAGAGCTGGTCGGTGAGTTGGTTGACGGATTCTTCGATACCTTGGGATCGGCGGTCGACAATGTAGCAGCCATAGTCTTCGGGGGACTCGAGGAGGTCTTCCATGAAGCAGCCAAAGCCGGAGAGGTTGGTGGTGATGTTGGGGATACCCATGACGGTGCATTCCGCTGGAGTGTAGCCGAAAGGCTCGTCTGTTTCTCATCAGCACCCCTCTATATCAAGGGCGAAGGACTCACAGTAGGAAGGAAAGACACCCAAATGACAACCCCTCACAAACTCTTCATAATCCAACCCCAAAATCGGATTGTTGCTGTTCAAAAACTCGGGATGGAAAATCACCTTGACCCGATCCTCAGGCCTATTAAACATCTCCACCCTCCTCAACTGGTTCAAAATCGGGTCCGCCGCATCATCCGCCATATTATGCGTCACAATCGGCGGCAACGTCGTCCTCTTGAGCGCAAACACTCGCCTCTTCAGCAAGACCTTGTCTTCGTTGGACAAGAGGTCTTCGGCGTTGGGCACTTCGGTACCGTGTTCGCCGGAATAACGGGCGGCGTGCTCGAATATGCGTTTACCGATGCGGGAGGTGACTTGGTCGACGCAGTCTTTGAGTTGTTGGGTGACGGCTTGGCCCTTGAGGGCTTCGATGGTGTAAGAGTTGGTAGCGGCGGGCATGATGATGAATGCGACGACGGTGGTCTTGGAGCCCATAGCCTTCAGGCGCGCATTGAGTCCTGCTCATGTCAGCTTCGCCCCCCCCCTTTCACAAAGTAGATGGACTTGCGGGCAAGACTCTCAATAAACATATCAACACCCTTGTTCCTAAACTCGTATCGACCAGCGGTAAACAGGTAGATCGTATTCTCCAAGTCAAAGTCGTAATGGCCGTAGAAATGACCACGGATAAACTCGTTGATCTTTTCCTTGGACTGGACGTGCAGGTTCTGGAACTCGTGCATGGCGGCAAACTTGACGACGTTGAGACCATTGGGGAGGACACCGTCTGCTACGCGTCAGCTCAATCTTGAGAGTATATGGGGAGACGTACCGGGCTTGCGCTTCAACAAGTGCTCCGACTCGAAAGCAGTGATATGACTGACAGTCGTAAACACATCCGCACAATGCGCCGACGACCTCTCAATACAATATCGATGATAAATCCCCCTCTTGCCCGCTTCATGATCAACATCAAAGTACTGCAAGTTGTTGTAGAAATCAACACTGCCCGCACAGAGATACCTGCCCAGCAACGTCGCGTGAGTGGTGAAAATGGTGGTGACGTCGATATGCCTCTTGCGGCAGAGGGGGATCGCGAGACCGGCTTGCCATTCGTGGAAATGGGCGATGAGGGCGGTGGACGTTTCGCGGGCTGCGAATTCACCGAGGAACCAGGCTACCATGTAGCCAAAGACGATGGTCTCATTGGTTTCGTGGTCGTTGGGAGGGGAGGGGATACCGGCCAGGTTCCAAAGATCAGTCTTCCACTCGTCGAGACTGGGGACGTCAGTGGGGCTCTTGAGGGAAAGAGAGGACGTACCGGTTGTAGCAAGATCCAGTGTCAAAGAGCAAGACTCGGGGAGCACCTTCAATAAGCCATCGACCGTAGAGAAGCTTGACACCACGCTCCTGCATAGACTTGAGCGTGTCGCCAAAAGGTCCCGGCTCGCTGCAGCATCGTCAGGACAGCCCAAGTGGCATATGACCAACATAGGACGTACGGCTCTTCGGCTTCGACCTCGACAGGAGCCGACTTGTAGGAGAGGGGACCGATGAGGCATAACCTGTTGGATGTCAGCGTATGTCAGGGACTGCCAAGATCTCTGTCGGCGAGTCGACCCGGTCTGGGATCTGGGTGCCGCGGAGGGCAACGTGGCGAGGAAGAGTACACGTGAGTCAGAGCAGATCATGACCGGGTGTATCCGGCTACTCCGCCCGCCCAGTCCCTCGCCAGACACTGCTCGGCTGCCCACCAACCAGCACCCACTCGGAGTCGAGCCAGAGAACAAGTCACTCACCGATCACCATACTCTCGCACAGTAACAGGGACCTTGGTCTTGATGACAGTATAGATACCGCCGACCTTGTTTGCTACCTCCCAGGCACACTCAAAGAGGAGAGGGTTGTGGACGGAACGGGCTACGGGCTGGGATGCTGGTGGCATGGTGGTGGAGGAAGAACTGCTGGGGTTGAACATGGTCAGCTCGGAGTGCAGGGGTGAAGGGTAGAGAAGAGGGGGGAGGAAGAAGGAGGGAAGCGGTGGATCGTTTTGTAGGCAGGGGGGAGGAAGAAGCAGGTGACCACAGATGGGGCACAGCCTGATTCTGGGGCCTGAACGGAGGGGTAGAGGGGGGCGTTGGATGGCACTTACTCTGCGAACAGCTGATGAGATGGAGAAGCAAGAGATGACGGATGCATACAAGAGGCCCCGCTGCCCCGCTCGGCTGTTCCCCATCCGGCAATATCTCCACAGGGGCACCGTACGTCATCACACCGCCCGGAGCGGACACCGCCGCCCATACACTGTGGCGTTCAAGGTGAATCAAGGATGCATCAGTCTACCAGCTGCCCACGAACGGTATACTCCTCCACCCCTTCTTCTCTTCTTCCACCTCTTCCACCTTCACCTCGGGCTCTTCTACCACCTCAACCTCTTCAACCTCTTCAACCCCTTCCTCCACTTTCATCTCCTCCAACTCCTCCCTATCCCACTCCCTCCCCAACACCTGCTCAACCTCCCACTTCAACCCCTCCTCACTCCTCCTCCAATTCATATCAATCACCCATCCCAGGCCTTTATACCTCAAGTCAATGTAACCCTTCGGCAAGGGCGCGACCGGCGTCGACGGTATCCTCTTTCGCTTCTCCACCGTCTTGGATCGGAAATCAACCCACTCGAAAGGCGCCCTCCAGTCCGAAGCACTCTCCCTCCACTCTACCAATCCTTCATACCCCTCCCCCCTCCTAAACGCCCACTCTACATTCTTCCACCTCTTCAAACTCTCCACCCCCTCCTCCCACATCCCTCCCAACCTCACCTCTCTACCCGTCTTGAAAGCCTCATCAGCATGCTCAGCAAGGTACTTGCGTTCCTGCGACAAGGCGGCGGAGAGGGCAGAATACCCGATGAGGAGGGGGTCCCATACGTTTGTTGGGGGTGCGAGCCACGAGCGGGAGGGGAGAGGGAGAGAGAGGGGGAGGGTGGTGTTGGTCAGGTATGCTGGCCCTGAAGATGGGGATGTGAGGAGGGAGGGGGAGGGGCGGGCGAGGAAGGGGGAGGAAGGGGATGTGGAGAAGAATAGGATCGATGCCTTGTCGCATTTATCAGCCTTCTTCTTTCCCTTTCCTTTCCCTTTCTCGTAAGTAGAAAAGACATACCAAGGTCATGCAATATCCACAAGGCCGGATCTTCAAAAAGGATCCCAGCGCCAAGAGAGCTAGTATCAATGACGGCGAAGACTGCATCAAAACGCGAGTCAGCTTGCGCTCAAGACCAGTATGGGAAGATGGGCTTACGGCTAGGGGAAAGACGAGGACGTAGAGGAGCATATGCTTTATGCACATCATCTTGGGCGGACGGTCAAGCTGGGGTAGAGGTGGCTGGGATAGGTGTTGAAGGCTGCTTGATGGGCGTTTTCGTCCTTTAGGACGGTTCTGCAATATGTTCTTGCCGCTAGACTTTTCTTCTTGGCGTAGTCTCCGATGCGGGTAGCTTGCGGTAGTTCAGCAATGAGTGACGTCCAGAGAGGGTGGTGGGATCAAAAGATGTGACGGGATGAAGAACAAAAGAAGAATGGTGAAATGATGGAAATTGAAGAGGCGACGAAGCAGAACGTTCGGCGCGTGGTTTCGGTCATCGCCGCCATCGTTCAGGACTTTGAAGTTGAAGCCTTGAACGACCCATGTCAGGGTGTTGGCCGACGAGCGGCGGGACCCGTAACGCAAAGAGTCAAGCGTTGAAAGATGGCAGATTCATATTTAACTTTTTCAAATAGTATGCACCTAATTTTCAAGATATCACTCTATAAACGTTTATCGTACAAAATCCCGATCCTCCTTCTCTTTTCCCTTCCTGGAGCGTTTGCTCTTCCTTAACGGCTCAGGACCCCCGAAAACGTCGTCTGAGCTGGAAGCGGAAGGGCTGCCGGCCGCCAAAGAGTCCGTAGAACCTGCTAACATTGACACGTCAGATCCGATAGCAGGAGACCAACTTTTCAGCCAGAAATCGACTCACTCTTCGCCTTCTTCACTGGCGTTTTGCCGAGCAAAACGTCAGCAGAAAGGGCTTCTTGGCGAGGCCTCTTTGCAGGCGAGGAGTCCGGTTGCTTGGCTGGGGAGGAGTCGGTCGACGAGTCATCGTCGGCAACCTGGTACAGTATCGTCAGAACCGTTTTGGGACGAGATGCATGAAGAATAGAGGAACATACTCTGCCGTGGACGATAATCGTTGACGGCGTCCACTCCAGACCCGCACGCTTGCCTCCTCTGTCCATGAGGCAGCCCTGCCCGAGAAGGTCAATGGTCAGTGAGTGGGGCAAGTCATGAAAGACGAGATATGGTTTTACTCACTTCAATGTTGAAGGCCACGGACAGGACGACGTCGTCGGGAAGATAGTGGAGCGAGTGGAAGCCCGCCTCGTAGTGGGCGTCGTTGTCTGATGAGAGCGGGTCCACGCTGGGGCCACGGACGACAACCCTAGGCCAAGGGCGACGACGGTGCCCCGTGCCGTCCAGGATGACAGAGACGGCGGGCTCGCTCGAGGTCGGAGCTCGGGGGGGGGGAAGGTCTCGCCAGAGTACTGGCGGCCAGAAGTGGCCTAGGGTTGTCGTCCGTGGCCCCAGCGTGGACCCGCTCTCATCAGACAACGACGCCCACTACGAGGCGGGATCCCACTCTCTCCAATATCTTCCCGAAGACGTCGTCCTCTCGGTAGCCAGACATACGGGAGACGGCAACCCGCAGAAAGGAGAAATGGATAAAGTAGGTAGGCGCTGGAAGACAGCGAGCGATGGGGAGCTGTTGGGGAACGGACAGTGCAGTGGGTCAAGGCCAACGTGATTGGTAGGGGGAGAAGACAGGAGGAAAGGCGGACGGGGGCCGAGCGCCAACAAGGCAACAAGAATATGACTTAAACTGCCGCATAATGCGATTTGCTCCCGTCCGGTTTGTTTATAAGAAGCGATGCGGAGGTGCCCGCCGATGAGAGTAGACCGAGAGGGTCGGGGTCGGAGATGGCTGTTTGCGCGATTTTTCGAGTTGGCGAGGGAGGCGTGGGGGGCAGTTGCCATCGCCGAGGTGGAGCGGGAGGGGAGGGGGCCAGCCGAGGCCCGAGGGGTCATGTAATAGTAAATAGTAATAGTAATAATAGTAATAGCCATGCACTAACGCCGCCGGCAGCGCTGACACACTACCATCCTCATTTATCATCCATTTCTCATCCATTTATCATCTTCTATTTGCTATATAATCAGCCTTCTTCTTTTGTTTCGCCCCTCTGCCCATCTGCATGTCCACCCCTCCCTCCACCACACCCACCGCAAACAACTCTGCTCCCATCTCACGCACCCCCAGCCTCGCATCTCCCATGGCCACAAACACCTACCCCACAGGGCCGTCCGCCCCGGAACCGTACGCACCCAACTCGGAAGAGTATGGCGAGGAAGAGCGCATTCGCTCGCGCGCTGGTACAGGCCAGAGCGCATCGGGGCGGACGCTCAATAGCAGCTCGGCGGAGGGCTCGTCAGGGGAGAAAAATGCTTATGAATCGAGCAAGGCGGGCGAGTATCAGTCGTCAGAGGCTGCGAACGATTCAGGGCTGGTGAATGGGGCTGGTGCGCCAGGTGGGAAGGGACCCAGAAAGTTTGCGCACAACTGTGAGTCTTGTTTGGCTCGCCACTGTATGGGCTCCGCTGACATTCCCAGTCTGGGACCCCGAAATGGCAAAATTCAGAGGTATCGCCTTCAAGATTCTCGGCATGACTGTTGTCATAACAACGCTCGTGGTCTGGTTATGTCTGCCCGTCTATTGGGGTTCTTGTAAGTATCTCTTGACGCTAGAGCGTACACTCTCTGACTTGTTTCAGTGTGGAAGGCAAACAGGTACACCGACAAGCTCACCGTCCGTGTCATCAACCGCGATTCCGGCACCGTCGGCAGCACCATCACCGACACCCTCCTCACCCACAGGAACCTCCGCTACTTTACGACCCCTGCCTCTGAATTCCCCACGAACGATCTTGTCGCCGACGATGTCGTCGAAGAAGGTGTCTGGGCAGCGATCGTCATTGGTGAAGGAGTGTCTGACGGGCTTGTGTCGGCGAGGGAGAATGGGCTGGCGAGCTGGAATGGGTCGAACGCGATTGAGGTGTTTTATGCGCAAGGCCGACAGGAGACGGCGATCAATACCTATATGCTGCCCTATATCCAGGCGTCCCTCGCCCAGATCTGTTCTCAGATGAACGCTCAAGACACTGCTGCATAGTAAGTACCTTGATCATACGAAAGATCCTAGATTAACAGGTGTATAGCTTGCAAGCCAACGCAAACAATGCCACCGCTATCGGACTCCTCGCTCAGGCCCCGACTACACTCACCAACGGCGTCTGGTACACCCTCAACAACCTCCGTCCATTCAACCAGCCCGTCGCTACCGCCATCACCTTGGTCGGCCTCATCTACATGCTCATCTTGTCCTTCATCATGACCATGACCAACAATGCCGTCCGTGAAATCATGTACGCCCCTCCCTCTCCTGCCCATCCCAAGCTAATGACATGTCAGCGCGCCCTTTCTCAAGACCCGGTCGTACATCATGTACCGCCTCTTCTCCCCCATCTGCCTCTACCTCTTCATCTCGTTCATCTTTGTGATGGTCAACCTCCCCTTCAAAGTCCACTTCGACGCCCACTACACCTACGCCGGTGGTTTCTTCCTCTTGTGGTTCTCCTTCTTCCTCGGCATGTGTTCTGTCGGGCTCGCGACGGAGGCTGCTATCACGGTGCTGGGGCCAAAGTTTATGGCATTCTTCTTGATCCCGATTATCATTGTGAATGTGTCGGTGTGCTCGTTGCCGCATGAGCTGCAGCCTTGGATCTACAAGTATGGCGTTGCTATGCCTTTCTACAACTGCAACCGTATCGTCCGAACTGTGAGCCCCCTTTTTCCCTCTTCGATGAAAGACCAAATCTGACATGCGAAAAATTAGATCATCTTCAACACCAAAAACGACATCGGCATGAACCTCGGTATCCTTATCGCCTGGATCGTCGTTTCCTTCATCACCATCTCTCTCGGGACGTGGCTGTTTAGGAGACAGTCGGTGAATCAGCATAATAAGGAAGTGGGTGAGAATGACTCGGCTTAGGGGATGTTTGATATGATTTTTGAGGGGATCGTTCATGGATTGTAGGGAGAGAGGAGGGAGGAGCCTTTGCACTGCTTGTTAGGTGCAGTAAGTTTATATCCATGGTTTATAGAGGATTTATAATGTGTATCCAGTTAGTATGGATGATTAAAGAACTGGATGTCTTCCTGTAATAGCGGTATATGGTCGAGCCAGGTATATGATGATCGTTTACCTCCCCAATTCAAACAGTAACGTGTGTGTGTATGTGGTACTTGTGACCATCGATCAGCTACGGCGATACGATAAGTGTACTACTATACAGGATCCAGCATCAGTCCCCCGCTTGCATGTACTGCTATCTCGTCCTGCGAGACTGATCTGACCGACAATTCCACCCTCTTCGACCCACGCACATACCGCCATTACCACTCCACCTCATGGCGTCATCCGCCACAAACAACGGCTATCCCGTGCTCGCCTCTTCCCTCGAACCATACCTCCCAAACACGCATGGAGGACACGGTACAGACGACCAAGCCCACTCCATTGATGGGATAGAGGAGAGTGATTCGGGGCGTACTTTGCATCACAACTCGAGGGGAGGGTTGTCCGACGAGAATAAACTTGGGGTCTTTCAATCAAGCAGAGCGGGCGACTTTCAATCCCCAGAGGGCAAAGCGGCTAACAATCTGGGGCCTGCGGAGGGTACGGCTGCTGCTGCTGCCCCACAAGGACAGAAACCAATGAAGAAGTTTGCGTACAGTTGTTAGCCAATTTTCGTCTGGCGCGTACGAAGATGGCTCACTTGAGAAAGACTGCGTTCAAAATCCTAGGTGCCACCGTTATCATCGCCACAATTGTCATTTGGTTATGTCTGCCTGTTTACTGGGGTTCTTGTGAGTATCGCGCAACACATCCGACATGATCTGACCTGTCGTCATAGTGTGGAAAGCCAACAAGTATACCGACAAGCTCACCGTCCTTATCGTCAACTGTGATTCTGGGACCGTCGGAAACACCGTCACCAGCACTCTCCTCAACCTCACCAACCTCAACTACTTTACCACTCCCGCCTCCGAGTTTGCCACCAATGAAGATGTGGCGAACGATGTTATCGAGGAAGGTGTCTGGGCCGCCATCGTCATCAATGAGGGTGTCTCTGACAGGCTCGTATCGGCGAGGCAGAATGGATTGTCCACCTGGTGCGGGTCAGGTACGATTGAGGTGTACTATGCGCAAAGACGTCAAGAGACAGCGATTAACAGCTACATGTTGCCCCACATCTAGTCCACTCTGACCCAGCTCTGTGCCAGAGCAGTGTTCACCAAGAATGATATCGGGATGAACATTGGCATCCTCATCGCCTGGACCGCTGTCTCAATTCTTACCATCACGCTTGGAACGTGGGTGTATTGAAGAAAGTCGGTGAATCAGCACAACAAGGAAGTGGGCGAGAAGGAGACGAATGGTTTGGTCCAGGCTTAGAGAGCGTCTCGCGGGGGGTGTGAGGAAGGAGTGAGTGTCGTCTGACCGCCATACAATTTGCATATCACCTGTCTAGCCCAGAGAGTTCGATCCTGCGTCAGTCGCCGTTGACAGTCATGGTATACTCAAAAGCCAATCAATGCACTGAACAATGTCTCCATACAACTCGTGACAACTCTGCCCCAGGCCGATAGGGTAATGCACAATGCCCATATTCATGATATCATATTTACATGTCGACTTTCCTCATCTTGTACCCACTGAAGAGGGCTTTCTATTCTCCCTGAACAAGGACGAACCCGCCGACGATGGCGAGGACGGCGTACTTTAGTTGCGGGAAATCGTTCTACGCACGCAGTCGTCAGCTTCTATACATCTCATACATATCCCTATCACTCCCTTCTCCACAGCCTCCCACTTCGTACCCAACATTCAAGAACGGGAAGGGACATACCATAGCAATAGTCACATACCCCACATACGGCAAGAACCCCCTCACCTTCCCTACAATCTGCTCCCTCTCAATCCACTCTGCTCCATTGTAGAGCACGATATCGTCTGATGGATTGTTGTCGCCTTTGGTGAGCAGGCGTTGGGTGGTGTTGGTGGAATGTGATTCGATAACGCGGTGGACGATGGGGATGTCTGCTCCTGGTCTACGATTGGTTGGGAGTGTCAGTTGGGGACTATCGATAATGGGGGAGGGAGGGACGTACATTTTGTAGACAGTGATATCCCCTACTTCATACGGCACGTCCTCGGGATTGGTCAGAAACAAGATATCGCCACGGTAGAATGCAGGTTCCATTGATCCCCTAGGCAACGAACATATTAGCACGTGTCTCTACTTTCTGCCCCCCTCCTCGGTTCTTCCTTCATCGTTTCCCCGACAACAAGATGGAGGAGAGAATGGCAACCGCTGTACTCACGATAATACTACGACGATAGGACTCTCCGAATTCGTAAACAGACACAAAGACTTCCACATCATTAACCCCGAGGCAACGACATTGAGGAGTGTGAGGGCTTGGAACAGGGCCTGGTGACGGAACAGAAGTGGTTATGGAATAATAATGAGGAACATATAGTCAGCTAGGATTATTCAGGCGGTAGAAGAAGCAAAGACGTACCCCTTGCACACCCAATTTCCGGATCTTTGCAATCTCCGCGCTAAACATGTCTATTCCGTCTTCCTGCTTGGTTCTTTCTGTCGAATAGAGGATATGCAGAGATAAATGGGGCGAGTGGTGCACCGAGAGCGGGTTCTTGCGAGGTAGACGTCGTGGAGAGATACGAAAAAAGTGAACGACAAGGATGCAAGAGGTGACGCGGGTTGTCGCGGTGGCCCGCAAAGCCGACGGTTAAATTTGATCCCGTCTTCTTCCTTGATTCCCCATGCCCCAAAGATCATTCACTCTCTTAATCGTGTCGTCGTCCCGTACGCACTTTCATTTCGTCTCCGTCGATCGGCATCGTATCGGCTTGTGTACTTTTCTCCTCGCACTTCCCTTCTCGCTTTTGTCTTTCAGAGCATACTGATCTCCATTCCACGCGACAATGTCCTTGGGCTCTTTTGATGACTTGGTGAAGAATATCCGCCGCGGGGATGACCCCCCAATTAAACACATCGCACTCGCTATGAGGTTCTACTATACCGGCAACGACCTGGAAGAGACAGCCCTTGACTCTTATCTGAAAGATGCCCTCACCCCTTCAGCGTACGGCATCGCAGTCCCGCTGGGATTGTCTGAAGCAAGACGGACGAGAAGCAGGGGCATCAGAGACAAGCGCCGGCACCGCGAGACAGGTCGTAAAGATCCCACACCCTGTTATTCTAGGCGGAACGACTCTTCCTGCTCGCCCGTATGGAGCTCCGTTCTCTCCAATGCTGCTCAATCCTCCTAATCCGTATCTGGTATTCCGCATCGGAGAATGTCCCGACCTGGTAGACGTGAGGACTCTGTCTGCCGACGGGAAGAAGTTGATGGACTTTGGCTCGTGTGATTTCCATGGATTGATGGTCGAGTGAGCTACATACACATTTCTTCTATAAACATCTCGTGCTCATAAGATTGGCGACCCACCCGAGAGCAGCTACGGGTTACGAAAGCCAGACATCCTCATGTGGACTCCACAAACGTCGTCTCCGCTCGACCCTCCCATCACCACAGATGCATACGATCCAGCTCATGGGCCTTCAACCTCGTCAGATTCACCTTCACGCGGCGAGAAGCAATGGTATGTTGTTGGCAAGGGCGGTGTCCACTTATTGCCCTCTCTTTCCGGTGTAAACTGTAATCAAAGGGCTGGATTTTCGACCTCGAACGACTTCTTTACCAAGGTCTGGGGTACGGCAGTCTGTTGAAAGAGCTTTCTGGGACTTGCTTCAACAATTGCCTTGGGCGGGAACGAAATGGCGGTATTCTTCTTGATCACCAATTGACTTGGCCGTCGTCCCCACTAAAGATGCTCGCTCACCTCCCTCCGGTGTGTCTCGAGCACTCAGCGTCCAGGAGTATATCGAAGAACTCTGCAGCCGTGGGGAACGGCCACCTCTGGATATATTGAGCGACGAAAGATCCCGTCATCTTCTCTCTTTGTGTTCTTTCTTGTGTATATAGCCCTGTAGTCAGCAATGCAATCTTGCCCGTGCTTGATGACCAACGTGCATTTGGCAGGCCATCAACTAATCCAGAAGAAGTACTTGTACGTGACGCCAAAGCCACCACCGGGCTAGATGTCCTCTCACGCAACGTTGGCTCAACAACCCCTTTCTAGTATCCCTGATTGACCTCTCTACGCGTACGTGTATGCCGTACCACTTTAAAATCAAAGCAGAATGATATCTGACATCGAAAAGGGCAAAGCGAGGGGGTTTTACATATATAAGAAAATAAAATCAAAACGCTCTCTCTCTCTCTCTCTCTGTCGCTCTTCGATGAACTCGACCCCGTGTAAATCCCAGATAGAACTTTCAGTCCTTCGCAATGTCTTTTTGTTTTCCCCTTCCGTTTCCTCTGCTCTGCTCCTCAACAATCTGAGAGGTTGATCTTTACATGCCCTCACTGGCGAGCTTTTCCCTCTCCGCTTCAACCCTCTACAAAAAGACCCCATCAGCATTCCACCCCCCTTCCTTACCCACATCAATCGAAACAAGAAAGACTCACACTGTACAAAAGCGTAATGGCGCTCTGGATATTGTCAGGATACCCCGTAATCACCACCAGCCTTTCTTCGGGGTTTGCAGGAGGACCGTCTGGCAGGGTGGATCCTGGGTCGGTGACGCGGATTTGGCAGGCGGATTGGGTTCGGATTTCGTTGATTTTGGCTCCCGCCCGGCCGATGACTACCTCGAGTCAGCCAAGGACATCGAAGACAGGAGAAGAAGGAGAAGGGGAAGGACGTACTGGCACCGACAAAGGCGTTGGGAATAAAGATTTGCTGTTGCTGCATCCCCGGAGGAGGCGGCGCACTCGGGCTAAACGCCGGAGGCGGTCCCCTCCTCTCCCCACCCCGTTCCCGCTCACCCCCACTCGACTGTCGATACGACCCCCCACCCTGCGCCGGGAACTTTTCCTGATACTCCAACAAGATCGTGCCGATATAGTACACCGCGATATGCACCGCATCCGCCACCCCGCTCACCGACAAGACCCGCTCCGTGCTCCCCGGCAACATCGCTTCAGAAGCGTTCAAACGCGCGCCAGAGGCTTCTTGGATTTCCTTGATTTTAGACCCGCCTTTGCCGATGACGGAGCCCATGCGCGAGTTGGGGATGATGAATTTGATGGTGACGGCGCGGGAGCCGGGGACGGAGGGGACGTCAAAGGGTTCGTCGTTGATGCGGCGGACGATGAGGCCGAAGGCTTTGGCGACGGCGTCGAGGGGGCCAGACACGTTCAGGATGCGTTCCGGATTGCCGGGGATGGATTCGGAGACGGTCACTCGGGCAGAGGATTTGTCCTGTTTGCGTCAGCCATGATCCTTCTCTTTGTGGGATAAGCTTACTCGGATTTCGTTGACGTGAGCACCTCCGCGGCCGATGATGATACTAGCATCCTGCGTCACGATGAGGGAACGCATGGAGATTTGTTGAGGGCCGGGGTCGGCCTTGGAGGAGGAAGGGGCGGGGAGGGAGGATTCGGAAGCGGGTTGGGTGGATCTGTGATGGCGTCAGCGCTGGATCCTTTGTACACCTTGCTTCCGCTTTACATGACCACGGGCAGGGCACGAGCAGGGCATGGTTGCGCAAAAGCGGTACGTTTGTTTGTGTGGTGATCCACGGTCCACGCTGCTCGCTGCCTGGCTCCGCCCGTTACACCACACCTCGCTCTTTGCCCGTGTGACCCATAATACACGCAGGGAATGGCCATACGCGTATAGCCAATTCCCAAGCCCGCGGCATCTGGCTCACACTATCTCTCCTGATTTCAATACTCACTCCATATCGACGTCAGACATCTTGCCGTTCTCTCTAGTCTCTCGTAATCGTTCTGTGCCTTGGTCCGTCTTGACTCTCTTCGAGTCTGTGTGCTGGTCCTGGTGTGCTGGGGAGGCGGGGCGCTTTGGGTGTGCGGTGGCTGCTGCTGTGGGGGACGCTTCGGGCGGTATTTGGGGGGCGGGGGAGGGATCGCGGGAGGGGTTGGTTGACATTTGCTGTGGTGGTGGGGAGCTGAAAGGAGCGGGCATCAACAAGGGGAGGAGTGGGCGGCGATATGCGGCGATAGCGGTGTGGCAGGGGCATCTCGCGTAGGCATAGCAGCAAGAGTACTGGATGCATTGGCTGTGCTGTGCGCCATGCATCCCCTCCCGCCCAGGCCATGGCATACCCCGTACTCACCCGCCCCATGCATCCCCTGCCCCCGCGCTGCCCGCCGCCCGCTGCCCCGCTGCCCCCCCTGCGCTGTCCCCCTGCGAGGCATCCCCTATGAATGCTTCCGCAGAGCCCTCCATCCCCTCCCGAGCCAGTCCACGCGTCGCCCGTTCCGATTTCTTTCCCATCCCCATCTCTTTCTACCCGTGCACACGGACCGTACAGCCTCCCTGGCCAGTATATACCGCCTGCCACTGCCCTATATCCCCTATATCCCCACTCCCCTCGCCCACCAGCCTGCATCCCCCGACCCCCGCCCACTTATCTTGCCCTTTTTTCATCCCGCGCCACCCCATTTCTCCATCCGCCCCTCCATCCATCCGCCTTCCCCCATCCCTTGGCCTTTATCACTCAACATTACCTTCCAGCCTGCTTCCCTCCACATATTTTTTTTCAACACCATGCCTCTCCTCAAACGCAAACCCGTCTACCTCCCCCCGCTCCCCTCCCTCTCCGCAGTCCTCCAACCGATCCCCAACCCGGCTTACCCCGTGCCCGACCCCCTCGCCCTGCCCGACCCCACCCACCCCCCTCCTCCACCCATGCCCAACCTGACGCAAGACCTGCTTCAAGCCTACATCCCCGGCGACGCGTCCGAAGAGCGCGAGCAGCTCGAAAAGCTCACGGGCGTATTCCGTGGCGAGTTTACAGGCGGCACGATCAATATCGGGAATAAAGCCAAGAAGGGTAAGGCGGCGGCGGAGAAGGCGCAGGCTGTTTATGCTGGGATGCCGGGGGTGCCGAGGCAGGATGTGAATGGGCAGGTGCCGGAGCAGGATAGGATGTCGTTTGTGGCCTGGAAGATACATGATAGAGATACTTTCTATATCGAAGAGACTGGAGAGATCTTTACAGACTACGAGTATGTCCCTTTTCTCTCTCTCTTGGGCTGATGCTGATCTTGGACAGATCGTATGCTGCTCGAAGAGCATTTTACGACCAAACAATATTCGTAGACGAAGGTCCGTACACCCCCTGCTCGTCTTTTTACCCCTGCTCACTCGTGCACAGTCACCGGCAAATCGTCTATGGGCTACCTCGACGCACTCCGATCCGAGCAAAAAGAGATCCGCCAACTCCACTCTCGTTTCCCCAAACAGCTCAAACGCGCCATCTTGCAGGCTGTACAGTTTAGGGTCGAAGGCAAGTTGGAGGTGTTGGCTGATAAGATCTTTGAGCGGTTCCAGAACAGATTCTTTTTGAATGAACGTGAGTCCTTCCCCGTCTCTAGGTGGGATGGGGCTGATGGGTGTAGGCCTGTTTGTGGATCTCGAGAACGAAAAATACCTCGCCAGGATCATCCAAGTCCACCCTCCCCCCACTGATCCCGAATCCGAATCCACCGACCCGCACGCCCAAGCTACCAACCTCTCCACAGAGCAGGACGAGCTCATCCAGCAAGACGACCCTGCTCGGTACTTGTACACTGTCAAGCTTGTGGGGATGGACGAGTTTGAGGGTCGGCCTGGGACGGCGGAGGAGATTGTCCTCAGGGTTGGAGCTGATCGGATTTCGTAAGTTTCTTTCTTTCTTTCTTTTTTTTTTGGGAAGCGGTGGCAGGATGGAGGCTGATGAGAGGGGTAGACGTGATAGGGTGAATTACTCGAGGGCGATCTTGAAACGATTCATACGCGATTGCGTCGAGCGCGACCCCGCCGTCTACTCCCCCTGGACCCTCAAACCCACCATGGCCCAGCGCTACGCCATCTCCACCGAAATGCCCGAATCCACCCGGCTCGCCATCCAGGCGTATAGAGAACAGCAGATGGGGAAGAGGAAGCGGGAGAGGGAGGAGAGGTTGGGGTTGAGTAATGGGGAAGGGATCCTGATGGATGGAGAGGAGGAGGATGAGAGGCCAAAGACGAAGAAGGAGAAGAAGGAGGAGGAGAAGAAGATGAAGGATGATAAGAAGAAGGATGATGATAAGAAGAGCAGGGAGGAGGAGGAGGAGAGGAAGAAGAAGAAGAATTTCAAGTTTCCCAATGAAGGTGAGTGTTCCTCTGTGTTTTGATAGAGTGAAGCTGATGGGAGTAGATTACCTGGTGGATCTGTGGGAAGAAAAGGAACCGAGACTTCGCCCGGTCCCAAACAAAGACCTCCCCTTCGCCGACCAATTCGAAACGTTTCTCACGTCCTGGTCTTTCCTCAACGTCATGGGCACCCCTCTCAACCTCTCCCCGTTCACCATCGACGAGTTTGAAAACGCCCTCAACCAGACCGACGGCCCGACCCCCACGCTGCTGGCCGAGATCCACGCCTGTCTTTTGAATTTGCTCGTCAAAGACCGGCTCGCGGGCAACTTTACAAAGCCGCTTTCGGCTACGGGCAGGGTTATGGAGGATGACCGTGATTACTGGGAAGGTTTCAAGGGCGCTACGACAGAGCTTCTTGCGCCTGTTTGTAAAGACTTTGTAGACCAGTGGCGTTTGAGCGAGATTCCTTTGACGAAAGAAGGGAGGAAGGGATGGGAGACGGCGCTGGTGGGCGCGCTTTGGGAGAGGGCGAGTTTGGAGAGGTTGCCGCATTTCTTGGACGATATCCTTCAATTGACCTTTGAACCCAAGCCGGCGCCTACGAGGCCGACGTGGTCCACCGCCCCGTCGTCTTCTACCGGCCCTTCCTCCTCAGCAGCGCTCATCGCCATACCCATCCCCAAACTCACCGCCCCCTCCACCTCCCGCTACCCCTCCCTCGACCCGCGGCACAAACTCAACATTATTCACTTTTTCATCGAGCTCGCCGGGCAGACTGATAGAGTCCGCAGCTTTATGGAAGACTCGATTGCAGAGCTGACAGAGGTGAGGAAGGAGCAGGTGGATGTGAAGCGGGAGTGGAAGGGGGTGAGGGCGGAGAAGGATGGGTTGGAGCCCAAGGGTGAGGCTGGGGCGGAGGTTGGGACTGAGGTCAAGGCGGAGGGTGGGGAGGCGATGGAGGTGGATGAAAAGCCCAATGGCACCAATGGGCATCTTCCCAGTGTGAACGGGGAAGAAGACCGGGATGAGTTGGAAGACGACGTTTCGCCCGACGCCGACGTTGACCCCTCGCGTTCGTCTTCCGTCTCTCCTTCCGACCCGGGACACCATGCGACGACGTCTTCTCGCCGGCTGGCTATGGCTGCCGCCAAGCAATCCCGCGATGTGGAAGAAGCCGCGAAAAAGGAAAAGGTCAAGAAGGAAAAGGAGGAAATCCGTCTTTCCAAGGAAAAGGCCATTGAGAAGAAGCGGCTCGAGACAGAAGAGGAGGATCTTGCGCTCAAGCTCAAAAAGCTCGATTACGAGTTCCGCCGACACATCTGGTCCCTCCGTGCCAAGCCATTAGGTATGGACCGATTTGGTAACCGTGTCTGGTGGCTTGATGCCCAAGGTTCCGCGCCGATGCTCGGGCCGGATGACAAGGTCCAGTATGGTACCGGAAGGCTGTATCTGCAGGGTGTCGAGGAGGTGGATGAAGAGTACTTTTTGAGGAATGCGAATGCTGTCCTCGAGACGGCTGGGTTGGGGACGAAGGAGGGGGTGACGAAAGTCGCTGTGGAGAGGAGGAGGAAGGATGAGGAGGGCGAGGGCCGGCTGAACAAGGGTGAATGGGGATGCTTTGATACTGTCGAGCAGGTGAGTCACCCGTCCTTGATTTGGTTTGCGTTGCTGATGAGGCTGGTAGCTCAAAGAGTTGATGGGCTGGCTCAACCCCAAGGGTACTCGTGAAAAGGATCTCCTGAAAGCGTTGACGTTCTGGCGACCCGAGTTGGAAGCGGGCATCACCAAGAGAAGAGTCGTCCTCGGTCTCGTACGTCATACCTCATACCATTCTCGACTCTTACTGACTCCATTTTGCAGGAAGCCCCCGCTCAAGAAGAAGACTCGACACCCTCTGAAGAGATCACCGTCGCCTCCGCTACCGCCCGCCACAAGCGATCTACGCGCCGAACGGCCGGCAGTGTCGTGGGGGATGAAGACGGCTCTGTCGAAGGGCAAGGGCATGGGAAGGATGCGTATTTGGGGTGGAAGAACAGGAGGGTTGGTGCTTGATCTGGTCGCCATCTTGGATCTTGGCCTTAGCCTGTCATCTTATCCAGAGTTGGATGCCTTCCTGGACGAGGCGATCGCAAAAGCGAAGCTTGACAGCATGAGCATAATTTCTTCCTTTCTATCATTATATCTCTCTCTCTCTTTGTAGCGTTAATCGTTACAGTATCTTTCATACAATGTTTGAAGACTCGTGCCTCTCTTGGAGGAGCTGATGAATAACTGGTCTCGCATTGAGTAATGTTGACGCAAAGTTGAAGAAGGGTGCCGCAGACTTGGCACTACTGTAGAGAGCTGCTTTCTGGAAAGATTGTTTTGCGTTTCAGGGCGCGGGGGTGCAGCATACACAGCCCACTTGGACAATATCAATGCTCGTTCACGAGAGAAGAACGATGCATTCATCATCGAGATGCAATCACGTGATCCCCAACCATCCTGAATTGGGCGAAGAAGGAAGGGTCGCGAAAGGGTCGCGACGACGGATCCTCGTCTGCATTGCGCACGAACTTTGCTGGCGGTCTCTTTCCTCCCCGCGCTATGACAGAGTGAGCGGACTCTATCGTCTTTGACATAAGCTAATGAGTCTTACAGCTATCTCTCGCTGGACATCTAAGCAAGCCATGTACTTCCCGGATCCATCGGGCCTTTGTCCATCATCTCCCCTGAAACCGTATACGGATCGGCTTTCCGAGAATCAACCACTACCTCTCGCACCTTCATATCACGTTCCCCTCTCAGCATCTGATAAACGAGCAGTCCGGTGATATCCTCTTGTCAGATGGGGCACAAGGAGACTCGAGGATCGAAATCAGTACCTCTGTGCGCGACTTCGCTCTCGCCCTACACATGGGCCGCCTCGCCTCATATCGATGTACATGGCAGATGCAACAGCTATCAAGAGGTGTTAGCTATGGCGGAGCTGAGCTACATAAAATCAGTATCGCTCAATGACGGTGAGTTGCGAGCCACAATCGCGCAAGGCCATAAGTATTTACGTGACACCGCTGCCTCCCCTGCGTAATCGTCGTCGACTCGGCATGCATCGCCCTCCACCCCGTCCCCTAATCATGCTGGTCGAGGCCGACCCTACGTGCGTATGCTCTCTGACGACGACGTACCCTGGTTGAGGGGGTCCTTCCATCTATTGGAAGCATCAGGTACCGCTGCCGGTGCACACGCGCGTGACGTGAGACTTCCGCCATTTCTTGGTCTCTTGCGTGTGGCACTCTTGACAGCTTCTGCTATGCATCTCGCATCGACAGGAGACGTGTACCATCATACGGCCACAACCGTTTCGCGCCTGATGGTACCAAAATCGACGTGCATCGATAAGTAGATGCATGCGCATGGTCGCACACCGACATCCCTCTGTTCGGCGTGCGAGTTTTTGCGTGCGAGTTGAGGCGATGCTCAGGACGGCGAGCGATGCCCACCCCATATCTCCTGGGAATTCCCATCCCCCATTTCTCTTTCTCTTTTACAACACCCACCCTCATCTATCGTGAGAACACCCCAAAACAACCAACCACAGACATCACTCAACCCCCACCCCACCCCAAACCAATCCCACACCCCACGATGTCTGGCAACTGCGGGTTCGTCCTCCTCATTCCCGTTTCCCAGGCCCTTGCTGACAGTCTCTTCCTCTCCAGTGCTCTCCCTGGCTTCCCCAGCCCTTCTCCCAACACCTACACCACCACCTACACCACCACCAACAACACCACCTCCAGTGACGGGAACGCCCCCGAAGCACAGCTGTATGACAGTAGCGGGTTCGTCCGCCTCAGTCCCGTTTCCCATGCTATTACTGACGACCTCTCTCTCGCTGTAGTATCTTCCCCGTCTCATACGATCTGTCTACTGTCCCCTGCGCCGTCATTGGGCGTGACCTCAACGCTCTCGGTATCCAGCTCTCTGGCCACAGCGGGTTCGTCCACCCCAGTCCTGTTTCCCATGCCATCACTGACGCCCTCTCCCTCGCTATAGTGCCTTTCCCGCCTCCTATACTCCGTCTACTATCAACTACACCTCCAGCACCCAGCTTTCTCCCGTGACGCCCTCTCCCGCCAGCAGTGGCGACAAGGCCAAGCCCAAGGCGAGATCTTCCGTTCATGCCACCAACACCAGGAGCATCAAGGCGAGTGGCAAGGAGAAGAAGAAGCATGCCGAGGGCTACAAGCGTAAGAGCATGTCTTGTGAGCACTGCAAACAGCGACGAAAGGAGGTAAGCAATTTCGTCCTGCTATCACCCCAAGAGACTGATTCGACTTTGCAGTGCGATGGAACCGACTTCAACGCCTGCACCCGCTGTACCTGCGATGGCATCGAGTGCAAATACGTCCTTGCCAAGGGCAAGCGAGGCTCCCAGAAGGCTTTGAAGAAGCTCGCCGCTATGGGTCGTGCTCCCTCTGCCGACGGCGTCTACATCGCTACTCCCTCAACTTCATCTCTTGCCTCGTCTTCCGGGACGTCCTCTATGAGCCCGATCACCCCAATCACCCCGATCACCCCGGCCAGGTCTGCCGTCGAGCTCAGCTCCGGTCCCTCTCCTGCCAGCGTCTCTGCCGGCCTCACTTCTGGCTTCGCCACTCCCCACATCTTCATGCCCTTCGTCCCGCCCGCCCAGCTTCCTGTTGCTGTTGGCGCCAACGGCATGCTGAAGGACCACCCCGTTGTCGAGATGCAACAGGCGCTGTTCGACAACGAGTTCGATTCATGCTGCTCGGTCCTTGCTGCTGCTCCTGCCAGCAAGGCAGCAGCTCGTTACCACCCTCCTACTCCGCGTACCACCCCGGTCAAGCCTACCTACGTCCGTCCTACCGACGTCTCCCCCGTCCAGGCTCCCACCTTTTCACTTCTGAACGCCTCGGTGCTGTCTACCCTGCCTGCCATGGACGTCACTCAACCTCAGCCCCAGCTGCCTGCTTTTGACCCCCAAACTCTCTCTGAGAGCGAGAGGCTTGAATGGGAAAAGCTCGCCATGGACTCGGTGTTTGGTAACGGGTCTTTCTCCGCACCTCCCGAGGCACCCTGCGAGGCAGCTCCTGTTGCTCTCCTTCCCACTCCAGACACTACCCCTGTCAAGCCTACCGCCGAGATGTCTGCCATCAGCCCCCCCGCCGACCCCACTACTATCAACATCTCCTACGCCGACTTCTCGGAGCCCCAACCCACCCTTTGGGTCAGCGCACCTCAGACCCAGGCTGGGGACGAGGCTGTCCCAGAGGATGAGGAGGATGTTGACTGGGGGATGTATGTCAATATGGAGGAGATGGAGGAGGTGGACGATGGCGGTTCTTTGGGAGCTGTTATCGAGTCTTCGTTCAGCACTAGGTCCTTTGAGTTCAACACCAGGCCCTTCGAGGCTACCGACAGAGATATGCGCGGACTGTGGGGCTAAGATTAGAAGAAGATACAAAAGGACATTCGGATGAGCGGTGTAGACACCGTCTTCCATGGATATTTATTTAGAGATAGAGGACATTGGTTTCGAGTTGAGAGCAGTCTGACCCGTTTGAGATAGTATTGTGATATAGCATAGAGTATAGTATGGACTATGGTTCGTGATAGTATAGAGTAGTCTGGTTCGCGTCGTGGTTTTCGATTTTGATCTCTTTCTAGTTGTTCGTCATCATTAATGTGGATATGAATCCCCGTAGCTCGTTCTGCCAAAACATCAGTGTTGATCGGTATGCTCGGCGTGCGCGGACGATGCTCGGACGTCCAGCTACTCTCGAGAGAAATGAGGATGTGCGAGGCTGCCCTTCTGTAATAGTGTTTCGTCCAACTGAGCTGATATGCCCGTCTGAGCCCATAGCAAAAGTAGTCCCACCAGCACGATCTTTACCACCAGCCTCCACCGCTCCAACATACAGGCATGTCACACACTCTACGCCTCTACGCCTACCACTCGGATCCAACACTTCCGAAGCCTGCGTCTGGCATATGAATACAGACAATCCATGCCAGAATGTATATCTAGTCCTTAGCCCTTATCCATCCTTGCGTATCTCCTGGTGCCCACATGTCGGTTGCACCATCCCTTCGTGCCCCATCCCGTCATCCCATCGCTCGAGGTACAGAGAATTCCTTATTCCTCGTCCTCCTCGGCATCGGCACCAGCACCAGCAGGCTGCTGCTTTTTGAAGAATGATTGCCGGATCTCTTCTCTTTGTGGGCGAGGAAGCCATTTACGGTCCACCCCAGTGAACGACTATGCCAACCATCAGCTCCATCATCCAAAACAAAACTCTCCCCACGCGTAACGCGTAAAAGGGACAAAACTCACCCCACCAGCAGCACTAAAAGTCCCCAGAAGCGCCGCCATACCCGCACAAGCTCCGACAGCTACCGGCAAGCTCTTGTGCTGCACGCCGGCTATGAATCCGGCTGCACATCCGCCGGCGGCTGCGTTGAGGGCGTCGTCGGTTTCGCGCTGGTTGGCGGTGAAGGAGGTAAAGTAGGAGTATGAGAAACCCATGGTAGCTAGAATAGGGCATGTCAGTGGGCGAGTGGGGGATATAGAGTGAGGAGGCGTACCGAAGAGGGTGATGGTGCTTCCTGTTCGGGTAAAGACACCGAGGGCACCAGCGTTGTGTCTAGATGCTTATCAGCTCGCGCTCGTGCATATAAACCTTCTCTCCTCCAGCTCAAGTACATCCCCCTACTCACTTTTGCAACGCATTCTGTACGGCACTGACTAACAGGCCAACACCAGCACTCTGGAGGGTGACCTTGGTAGCAGAGGCGAGTGCGGGGTGGGGGTGGAAGGTGTGTTGCTCATGGACGGAGGGGACGAAGTATGAGGTGGCTATTGAGCGGGCGGGGAGTGGGGGCAGGAGGGGGTGGGCTGGGGAGGACATGGCGCTGCTGGAGGTCTACTACGACTAATGCCCCTGGCTGTATTGGCTGATGCAAGAGGAGGGCGGGAATAAAAACGGCGAAGGATGTGTGGCAGCGGCGCTCGCCGAGTGGAGGTGTTACATAACGGGGACTGACGACATAGAGAGAAGAGTTCAGTCTGAGGCAAGTCTGAGTATCCAAGATTGATCCAAGAGGTATCCCGGGTATCGCACGTCACAGTCCGTATACCGCCACAGACACTCTACAAGCCACCCCCAACTTGACCCACTGCCCGCCCCAAGTACATCCCACAATGAGGCAAGTCCACATGGCCCGACCGGTCTCCTCTTATCACGTATTCTCAAGCTGACTTGCCATTCGCCGGTGTAGCTCCCCAAAGCGCCGCGTTGATACAGATGTCATGAAACTGTAAGCAGCTATCGTAATCAGCGCTCGAGACTGCCCTACAACCCTAAAGAAACCGCTCTGACGACTTGACATTTGCCACCTTGCGCCGCGCTGTTGCCAATCTCCAGCCTCATGTCCGACTACGAAGTCACCCTAGTCAACAACAAGATGTCTGAATTCTATGTCCTCTTCCACGGCCCCACAGAAAGTACGCACCCCTCCGCCGCATGAGCACATCATACTGCACATCTTGCCACCCGGTTGACCGTGCCCCGGCTAACTTGTACGCGCAGCTCCGTTCCAAGGTGGGGTCTGGAAGATCCACGTAGAGCTCCCCGAACAGTTCCCGTACAAGTCGCCCAGTATCGGGTTTATGAACAAGATCTTTCATCCTAATATTGATGAGATGTGAGTGGGCTGGATGACCGTCGGCCGACCGATAGGCGCAGAGCTGATCTTGGTGTAGGAGTGGAAGTGTTTGTCTGGATGTGATTAACCAAACGTGGTCACCGATGTTTGGTAAGACACCACATTCTCTTACCCGTGCGCGACCAACTCTTTGCAGAACTCATCAACATTTTCGAAATCTTCCTTCCCCAACTCCTTCGCTACCCGAACGCCGCCGATCCTCTAAACGGCGAAGCCGCCTCCCTCCTCATGCGCGACCCCAAGGGCTATGCCCAAAAAGTCGAATCCTACGTCGAACGCTACGCTTCAGCCCAAGACGCCGATGAAGCCGGGGAAGAAGACTCGGAAGATGAGGATGAGGGTCTACCGCGGCCGAAAGCCAAGGCGAATGGGACGGATGGGACAGCTGGGTCGGCCACGGGGACGGGGGCGAATGGGCATGCGAATGGGAATGGGGGTGGGAATGCGGAGGATGAGGAGGAGGAAGAGGATGATGACGACAAGATGAGTGATATGGGAGAGTTTAGTGAGGACGAAGATGATATTATGGGCAAGATGGACAGCGACTAGATGACTAGACTCCCATCCCTCTTCCCTTCCCTTCCTCACAGATCTTTGTCCTATAGCATATCCCCCTCAAGATCTTTTCCACCCGCCAGCTTCATTCCCTGTCCCCGTTGGCATATACCCCTAGTCTGGTATCTGCCCAGAAGTATTCCTCCAAATGTTGTATGAATTGGTCAGTAACACATTCCACCCCTCGGCCTCGGGTCCAGGTACCCTCATGGAAGACGGAAAGTATACATGACAGAGTCTGCCCTTGCCACAAGTGTGAATTCATCAATAATCGTGAGCCCCACTCCACCCCTCCTCTCCGCTCCTCCTCTGATCTGGCAAAGCTGACTTTTGCGCGGTTAGCGAGTGTAATCGATGTACAGCCTCCCTCCTCCCCAAGGCTGACTCCATTGTCACCACCTGCTCACAAACCACCCTTCCAGGGTAGTCTACATCCCTACCCAAAGGCACTCTGGCAACTCTTCTCGCGTCAAAGGATAGTACTTCTGCGGCAGGCGCACGGCCGAATGCAGTTGGATCCAGTGGATAGGAATGGCTGACAAAGGATCGTTCTGGTCGCCTCTATCGATGTGCTGATGGGGTGGAGGGTGGCTTTGGAGGAGATGGAGTGGGTTTGGTGATGGGAATTGATCTTGAATTGTTTCGTCATTCATCTTTCGGGTCTTTTCAACGTTGGAGGTTTCTTGGTCCTCGACGTTAGTCACTCTTTACTCACCCACAACTTTACCACCACTCGCTTCTTCGACAGCCTCCCATTCTCCCTTTATCAACGCTCATCACTGATCTCACGAATCGCCATGCCGACTCAAATGTTCATCCCCGACACTGCTCCCATATACGCCTACTCTCCTTCTTCATCTTCATCTTCCTCTTCTTCGGTGTCTTCCAATTCGTCAGCCAGCTGGGTGGCGGCGTACAGCCCGAGAGGGGATGGGTATGATCAGACTTTCCATTTGGCTTCCGGCGATGCTAGTGTGGGGATCAACATCACTGGTAAGACCCCACCACCTGTCTTTCCAACAACAGCTAATGTTTCGTAATAGCCTCAGCACTCTCATTCTCCCTCTCGTCTTCCAACAAATCCTCCACCGCCTGTCCTGCAGAGTACAGAATAAACGCATCATCCTGGTCCTCCGCCTGCCCTTCCCCCAACCAAGACTTTGTCGCGAACGACCTTGCTGCGGGTCTGCATCAAGTTGAGCTGCGGGCTGTAGAAGGCGAGGGGCAGTTGGAGTTTATGGGTCTTGGGGGGGAGCTTGATTTGGCTGATGGGTGAGTGCGAGCCCGAAGGAGTCCTTTTAGATTGGTGGGAGTTGGAGACTGCTGATACAGGGATAGCTTGGGAAATTTGACTATTGATGATACTTCGCCGTCTTTTGTTTACTCGCCTTCTTCATCTTGGACTTTTTCATCTTCTTCTTCTTCGACGACGAGTACATCGAATGCGACATTGTCGGCCGACGATCTCCAAAACAGCTTCAACTCCACCGCGCATTCGACCCTTTCCATAGGGGCAAAGGTGGAGCTGAGTTTCCAAGGGGAGACGTTGTATGTCTATGGGATGGGGTTGGAAGATGGGGGACGGGGGGAGGTGAGGGTGGATGGGGTGTTGCAGGGGGTTATCGATACTAGCGTACGTCCATGGTTTTTGGAGGTCGGAAAGGTAGCTGACGAAGGCAAAGGGCGTTCGGAAGACGTATTCTTCTTTACTCTACATGGGGAGTGGCTTTTCAGCCGGCGCTCACACACTGTCAATCACATCCACTTCTTCCAATGCGTTGATTATCGACTATGCCCTCCTCACCACTCAAAGCTCGTCATCGTCATCTTCGACCAACATCGGTCTTATCGTCGGTGTCATCATCGGCGTTTCGGCATTCTTGATCATCCTCGGAGCTTCCGCATATGTCTGGATGGTGCAAAGACAGTCGAGTAAGAAGGGTGGGGCGAGGTACCCTTTTGCGGGGTATGGCAAGCATGCCGCTGCGACGTATTCCAACTTTGGTTCCCTCGCTTCCAAAGATTCTGACTGGGATCGTCCCGACAAGCATCCTCTTCAAAGAAGCCAGAGTACGCTGGCTTTGGGTACGTCAGGAGTGAGGTTGGGCACGACGTCGGTTTATTCGGATTATCTGCCTTATCGAGGACCCATTGAACCCCCGCCTTCCCACCTCCCCGAAGGACACCACATCGTCCAAACCGGCTCAAGGGAAGAACTCCTAGCCTATGGGGGTATGAAATCATCCCACGGCAGTGCGAGCTCCAGCGGCATGAGCACACCCCCGCTCATATCCGGCGCCAACCCCAGCGCCATCGGCTGGCTCCGAGGCGCAAGAGAATGGGTCGATTCGCCCACTTCGAGCACGAGTTTTGGCTCGGCGTCGTTCTCCGCTGGGACGGGGTATGCGGGTTCGAGGAGCGGGTCGCAGAGGTCTGCCGGGTCGGGTGTTGGGGGGAGGAGGAGCCCGCTTGATAGGATTACGCCGGGTTCGAGGGAGCAGATACCGCTGGAACGCTATCAGCCGGCGCTTTCGCCGCCGCCGTTTTCGTCTATCCCTTCGTCACGATCATCGCCTCCACGCACGGCGTCGACCCCCTTGTCGCCTTCGTCTTCGCTCTCGACTCCGTCTACTTTGGGTCTGGGGATGGGAGAGCAGGTGCAGCAGGCTGTGAGGATGCCAGCGCCTGCTAGGAGTGTAGCGAGATTGTGGCCTACAAGGGACGCTGTACCCAGCTCGTACAGGACGGAAAGCGTCATGCAAGGCGCGGGTGTCGGCATCGACCACCGTCGGGCAGGATACTCCAGTTCATCTCTTGCCCTCAACGCTTCCACATCCGTCGACGCCCTCCAATCCCAAATCCCCGCTGCTCCTACCGAAAACTCCGCGACGTCGCTGAGAAGGGGCGTGAGTATCAAAAGTATCAAGACTATGCGGTCGTTCTTTTCGGGCATGATCTTTGTCCCGCCGACTGCTGCTTCTTTACCGCACCTTACTCGTAGTGGAGGGGAACGGGAAGGGGAACCGCAGACGCCTGCTGTACCGTGGACGGCGGCGAGGCCGGATAGTGGGATCTTTCCTGGGCTGGAAAGGGGGTTGTCTCAAAGGTTTGGGAGTTGGAGAGGAAGGGAGAGGGAGAAGGAGAAGGAGAAGGTGGTAGCGTCGGTGCCTGCGAAATCGGGGATGGTCACTCGGTCACCCCTCTCCCTCGCTCGGGATCTTCCCTCGCATTCCCGCAGCCCAAGCGCGGACCAGATGGGAGATGTCGAAGAAGGGATCTTGGTACCAAACCGCTCTGCAAGTCACGTCGCGCGAGATGCACGGGGGCGAGAAGAGGAGGAGGAGGAGGAGGAAGGGGCATCGCCAAACTTTTTCATCGAGCTGGATCCGAGTAGCCCGATAGAGAGCAGCAGGCCGGCTAGTCAGTGGACGAGGTATACGAGGGGGAGTGAGGGGACGCATGGGAGGTGGGAAGTGTGAGTTGTTTGGGGAAGAGGGCTGAGGGGAGGTCACTGGGTGGTCTGGGGATCTCGTGAGACGAGCTTCGTCATGTATTGATTGAGCTGCTATGGATTTGCAGTATCCTTGCTACAGCTACAGCTATGGCATTGTGGAACTCGCTCAAACACTGGCAAAGTAGGCTATGGAGAAGAACAGCGGATGCTATCACAGTATTCATACAGCGACAGAGCAGAGTCACCGCCAGCGATCATTCAACCTGGTCAGTGCCACGCGCTGCCTTGCCCCACCACCATCAAATGAGCAAACAGCTGTCATCGGAGTCCGGGAAGTGGAGAGTGCTAGCAAATCACTCTGGGCGTGTAGTCTGATTGAGATCATTGAGAATTCGTATGGAGCTGAGCGAGCTTTGTCAAAAGAGATTACGGTGTCAACCAGTGATTGGAAGAGAATATAGAGCACATACATGGTAGGACGAGGCGCCACACAGCAGAACACACAACGGTGATGCGCAATCCCTGCTGAACAACAATTCAAAAGCCTGAGAAGACTCCTCAAGATCCTCAAGACCGAGCCATAGGAAGCTGCGAACCAGTAGGTATCTCATCAGAGAAGCCTCGAGATGCATAGCCAAGGGGAAGGATGTTGAGTCAATAGCACAAACCCATATAGAAGACGACCCGGTGCAGCAGAGTAACAAGAAGGAAGGGTGGAGGCACCGAAGCGGACCACTTTTCTCACAGGTCGCCCTATACTCGACCAGCCTCCTGCATCTCCCTCACGCCGCCATTCTCCGCCTCTGCGCCCTCGACAAAACAGGGTGCCCCCACGGACACACTCGGCACCTCCTTTCGCGCCAGGATCGCTGCTAACCACCATCATCAACGCACATTTTCGGCAAGGGGAATAAATCAACTTGACACCCGTGCCATTTCTATCTCTGCTTTTGATTCTGCCTCTCTACCTTCTCTCCCACAGCCCTCCACCCAAAACACTCCCCTCCCCTCTCACCATCCTGCACTGACCAACATGGCCCCCAAGCTTGCTGTGGGTCCCCGTCCCCGTCACCCTCCACTCCCCCAAACACACGTCAACCGTCACCCCATCGCCCTCCCACCTCCCTTGGCGCTGCAGCTGACCCATCACATAGCCCAAGGGCGATATCGCCTCGGACTTTGCCAATCTCAGCATTGGCGAGCTGCCCCGGGGTGTGCAGGAGACTCTTGACGGTGAGTCGGCGCCACATACCATGGCACACTCTTCACGACGGGATCGTGCTGATCATACCCCTTCCTTCCCTTTTTTCTCCCACCCTCTACAGGATGTCCTCCTCGACCCGGTGAGTAGTCTTGCGTTTCACAGGCGCAGGCCCTGTTGGTCCCAAATTGTCTTGGGTGCGGCTGACTCCATGACAGGCTATGGTTCTGCTGGTAAGGAGATCAAGGTGAACGCGAACATGTACATGGCTCGCTTCAAGAACCAGGGTATCACTGTCAAGTGAGCTCAACATTTCGAAAGCGGGAGGTGAAACTGACTGGCTTCTTAGCCACTATGATATTGAGATCAATCATGTCATCAGGAACACCAAGGACACCAAGTGGGTTCCCCTTGTCCTCTCTCACAATGGTGACTGATACCATGCGCAGGAAGCCCCGTCCCCTTCTCCAAAAGATCTGGAACCAGATGGTCGAGGAGGCCACTGGCGCCGTCAAGATCGCCCTCGAGGGCGCTGCTTACGACCAGCAGAAGTCCTTTTACACCCCTTACGAGATCCCTCTCGAAGCGGGTGGCAAGCTCGAGATCATCATTGGTCTCAAGGAAGACGGTGTTGTCCCCACCGACGACAAGCGGCGTTTCAAGGCTGTTATCCAGGCCGCCGACCACATGAAGATTGACCTCGACCGTATCATGGACTACTGCAAGGGCGACACTCAGACCGAGCAGGCTCGTGACACTATGCTCCGAGCCATCATGGCTATGAATGTTCTCATGCGACAGGACCCTGCTCAGAGATTTGCCATGTCTGGTTCTGCCGGCCGAAAGTTCTTCACTTCTGGTGCGTCCTCGTTATACGCTCTTTCTAGTGCTGACTCTTCTGCAGAGAACCCCACCCCTCTCTCCAACGGTGCTGTCCTCTACAAGGGCTTCCAGCAGTCTTTCCGATGGACCTCTGCTGGTTACCCCGCCGTCCAGATCGACACAGCTTACTCTGCCTTTGTCGAGCCCGGGATGCTCACCGTGAGTTCCTTGTACAATTCTTGGCCGTGTCTGACGAGATCGTAGGACGTTGCCCCCAAGCTTCTCGGTCTTGCCGGTGGCGGTGGCCGTGGTGGTCGAGGCGGCCGAGGTGGCTTCCAAGGCGGTCCTCCCCCTGGCGCTGCTCGTTCCCTTCAAGAGCTCAACCCTCCTCAGACCAGGCGTCTTAATGACATTCTCCGAGGCGCCAAGTTTACTGTCACCCATCGAAACACTGAGCGAGTGTTTGCCATCATCAAACTCACCGCTCAGCCTGCCGATTCCATCAAGTTTACCCTCAACGGCAGGGACGGTCAGCCCGACCGAACCGTCTCCGTTGCGCAGTACTTCCAAGAGCAGTACAATGTCAGCGTTACCCGCCCCCGTCTCCCTTGCGTTCAGTACGGCAAGAACTTCATCCCCATGGAGTTTGTCAAGCTTCAGCCTTTTAACTCTATCCCCATGATGAGGATCACTGCGGACCAGACTGCCGAGATCATCAAGGACGCTGCCAAGCCTCCTCCCATGAGGCAGGGTGCTATCGGCAACTGGCGAGCCAAGCTCAACTACTCCAACTTGCCCAAACTCAAGGCTTGGAATGTCGAGATCAACCAGAACATGATGACTGTTCCTGCCCGTGTGCTTCCTGGTCCTTCCGTCTTCTATCACGGTAACAAGGCTATCAGGGCCAACTTTGGGTACGTCTTTTGTTCTCTTCGTGTGATGGTGCTGATGATAGTACAGTGGATGGAACATGAAGGGTGTGAGATTTACTCAGCCTGGTGTGCCCCTCAAGTCTTGGGCTGTCGTCTCCTTTGACGAGCGATGTACCGTTCCGGATCTTCGTAAGTTGGTGCTTTTCTTTCAAGGATGACGCTGAAACCTCTGCAGAAAAGTTTGTTACCTACTTCTGCCAAGTCCTCAGCCAGTACGGCTGTCCCGTCGTCAACCAGAGGCCTTCTTGCTTCCAGTACAACCCCAACGCGGGTGGCCCCAACATGGGTGTCAAGGCCGCTCTCCAGCAGGCCGCCAAGAACGCCTATACCGACTCCAAGGTCAACCCACAGATCATCTTCTGTATCCTCCCCGTACGTCGCCTCGTAGACTTTGGGCGTGGCTGACATCATATGCAGAAGAAGGACCCGTCTATTTACCAGACCATCAAGGCCGTCTCATGCGAGCAACTGTTCAAGCCCGTCCCCACCCAGTGCCTCCAGTCCGCCAAGATCAAGTCTGACCGAGGTATCGACCAGTACTGCGGTAACGTCGCCATGAAGGTGCACTCCAAGCTTGGTGGTGTTACTCACCAGGTCCAGCACCAAATCCCCAAGACCACCATGATGGTCGGTGCCGACGTAAGTACCTCTACGTCTCGGTCTTGAAGACACGCTGACGAGGGTAGACTGGTCACACCCCCGCTCGAGGTGGCTCTGTTCCTCCTTCGGTTGCTGTGACTGTCGCGGCGATCAACAACGAAAACACCAAGTTTGTCCCTGGTATCCGACTTCAGGGAGGCCGAGTGTGAGTCCCGTACTCGATTCGCAGGGCATTGCTGACCAATTCGATAGGGAGATCATCCAAGAGTTGGAGGCGATGATGTACACTCACATTCAGCAATTCGAAAAGGGCACCGGTGCCAAGCCCACCTCTATCCTCTTCTTCCGAGACGGTGTCTCCGAGGGTCAATACGCCCACTGTGTCTACCAGGAGCTTGCCTCCATCAAGAAGGCTGCTCAGCGATTCGGTGGCGGCTACAACCCCAAGGTCACTTTCGTCATCTGCGCCAAGCGACACGCCATGCGATTCTTTGCCACCTCTGACCAGGACAAGGACAGGACTGGCAACTTGCCTCCTGGAACTATTGTCGACTCGATGGTGACTTCGCCTATCATCCACGACTTTTACTTGCAGGCCCACGCCGGTCTTCAGGGTACTGCCCGACCCACTCACTAGTGAGTTGTTTCTTACCGCCGGAGGCGACTCGCTGACTTCTTTCAGCGTCGTTGTCGCAGACGAAAACAAGTACACCGCGGACAAGCTCCAGGGCCTTGTCAACACTCTCTGTTACTCGTTCGCCCGAGCCACTCGATCTGTCTCTGTACGTCTTTTCCCTTGCACGTTGTATGGTGCTGACGTCTACACAGATGGTTCCTGTCGCCTACTACGCCGACATTGTCGCCGAGAAGATCAGGTACATCATCTCTGACGATGACTCTGACACTGCGACCATCCCGTCGACCACTTCTGGCTCCAAGGTTGAGCAGATGACCTTTGATGCTACCCGTGTGTCGAAGCGATTCGAGGCCAACCCCGAGTTCAACAAGGTTGCTTGGGTAAGTCGCTTCCCCTTTTCGTGTGTTGGCCAGACGCTGATAGAGACTGCAGTACATGTAAGACGCTGTTACGCGCATGCCGCTCACCACCACCGTCTTGATAAGATGATTTTAGGATCGGTTAGTATGACGACGACTTGTTTACGATATGGGAATGCATACGTCAAGTTTGAGTAGTCTCTTTGATCATTGCTCCTTCTGTCTTTGCACTCCCGACAGAAACAAACTCATACGACCTGATCTCTTGCAGCACGTTGATCTTTGCTGACTATTGGACTTGTAATGAGTTGAATGAAGTTTCTTATAAAGGCAACGCGTTCGCAACTAACATCGACGGCCATAGCCTCCTCAAAGTACCGCGTCCCGTCTGATCCGCGAAGTCAACTAGGAGAGCGCTCGGTTAGTACCAGGGTGGGGGACCACCTGGGAATCCCGGGTGCCGTCGTTTTTGTTCTTTTTGCGTTCTCTTTTGCGTTCTTAACGGAGGACATCCACATGCCACGCGCTCTCACACTCAGAGCTTGATCATGGCGCTGGTATGGATTTTTCTTATTGAGTAGCACCAGTGACTTCCTTTGTCTCTTCAACTTGACACACATCGCCTCAAAGGCTGTTATTTTGCGTATAAATAGGCTGCAGTATGAACCCTTCTCTATTCTCATCGCGATAGCCTTGCTTTTTGCTACCCCCAGTCAGATCAAGATGTCTCTCCCCGTACCATTCCAGCCCTCCGTGATCCTCACACCCCAACCCTCGTCCACTCCAACGCCAGCAGCACTGCGCGCCCTTCTTCCGCTCGCCAAGGACATTCTCAGAAACGATGAGGTCTACTCTGTCACCTTTTCAAAGATGCTCTGCCCGGAGGGCAAGAACAACTTGTTCACTTTGAAGCCTTACTACTGGGAGGTCGCACCTGGCGTATGGGGTGAGTCATTCTGTTTGGCGGTTTGGAACTTTACTAACAATGACGGATAAGAACACCGAGACGGTCAGAGAAACCCATACTGCGATCTCCCAGGCGGCCAAATCCAGCTCCAAGACATGGCCACCAGCGTTCATACTCTTGCACTCGCTGCTTTACATTTAGGGGACGAGGTTGACGATGCCGGCAATCCACTCAAGGTACAGTGTCTGGGGCATATAGAGAGACTCTTGAGAGTCTTTTTTCTGGACGAGGCGACGAGGATGGTGCCAGAGGTCTGGTATAGCCAGTGCAATCCGGGATGGAAACCTTTGAAAGGAGATTATGCGTTTGCGATTGCTGTGAGTACTGCTCGCCAGATGGGGAATGGAGTTGACAAGGTATTAGATTCGGTATCTTATTCTCGTATCTCAAGCACTCGTCATGGTGTCTCCCATGATCTCGGAGGATGTGGTCGATGGGATGCGATCATGGCTTGGCGTTCAGGTGGAATGGATGAAGACGTCCGAGCAAGGGGAGTGGGTCACGAAATATGGTGATAACAAAACCCTATGGTATCATGCTATTGTAAACGCGCCATTTTCCGATCGTATAACGCTGACGATCGTACAGATCGCGTCCCATTTATCTGTGACAGAGGCTGAGGAAGGTGCCAAGAGATATGCCGACGAGCTCTTTGACCAGTGGCGAGCCCAGTACCCTACTGCAGAAACGTTCTTCGCCCGTGATCTCAGGGGCACCCGACCCCGCCACTATGCCCTATTTGCTCTTCAGCCCCTGTTCATCCTTGCTCGGCTGACCGGCCAACCGTCTTCACCCACCTACTCCCCAACTCTCCTTCAGTATCTGACCGAGTTGGTAGACTTGCTTCCCCATATCGAGCCAGGAGCGATTGAGCGCCCGTTGGAGGATGAAGGAGGCCGCTACGAGGCTGTTTCGGCGTGGTATCAGAAGATGCTGAGTAGTATGAAGGGTGACGGGGAGGGATGGGAAGATGCGCCTGATGGAACTGGGTGGGAAGGTGGGTGGCAGGAGAGGGCGAAAGTCTCTTGGGGCTTTGTATAGCCTCTCGTCATCGTCTGTTGTAGAGGGGTGCTTTTTGTGCGAGGCTCAGAGCAATGTCTCGTATGCAGTCTGATACGAGTCGTCTAGCTAGTCGATATGCCCATGCATGTGAGTCACTTCCCAGAGAATTGTCTCTGTACCCCATACTCCCATAGACGCTGCCTCCACTTGAAGCAAACACGTCAACCGCCAATTCTCATCCTCGCCTTCTCTTTCTCCTGTCGCTATATCTGAGCTCAGAGCGAGTCTCCAGCACCATGTCGGACCCCGTCCTCTCCCCCGCTTCTGTGCCAGCGCCCACACCCCTCACCTCGACAGGTTTCATCACCTATCGCCGCCAGCTCCTCTCATACCTCGCCACTCACGCCCCCGACCTCTTCTACCACCTTTACCCATCTCCTGCTATCGAGCCGTACCGCAAGACACCCTCCTCCCTCGTGCACCTCGTAGAGATGGCTCTGTTCCGACCCTGGGGCCAGTTCGCGGGCGATCATCCGCCCTGCGCGATGGTGAGCGTGACAGGCTTGCGGCTGTCGGAAGAGCAGTTTCTCGAATGGGCCGACTGGGCTAGATGTGAACGGTCTCTCCGGAAGGTCTTCCGAAAGACATTCTCGCCTGGTATGTGGGAAGGTATGGGTAATATGTGGAGTACCAAGGATATCTGGGAGACGCTCGAGGCCGAATACACCCCTTCTCCCGTCGAGCGCCAATCACACATCATCTATTGCCTCCGGTCGACTCGCCTCCCGCCCCAAGCATCTCTTCGCGACATTTTCAAGCTGTGGGATACTTTCAACCTTCTAGTGATCGAATCCAGGGACGCTGGCTTGTTCATCCTCGAGGAAGAAGTGGTGGATAGGTATATGGGAGCTATCGGGAGCGGCGAGGCGGGAAAGCTCGTAAGGGCGACATATGGAAGCATGAGCAAGGACGAGCCTTTGAAGGGTACTTGGAGAGGAGCAAGGAGAGCGGTTCGGATGTGCATCAAAAAGCAATTCGACGATCACCAGCTCGCCATTTCCGGCCACCCTGTCCCCATCGCCAAAAGCTCGACGCTCATGCCCCCCACCCCAGAGTATGATGAACCACTCAGCAATACCGAGCCCAACCTACCTCCTACCCCGGAACCGACTCCCAGGCCAGCTACAATTCCCATCGCCCCCGACGCATACACCATTGTGGATCGCGTCAAAGACCGCAGAAGAGGTAGTACGCGGACTGCTCTGAGCGAAAAAGACAGCAACGCTCTCGCAAGCCCAGTGCCGCCCAAGAAGATGAGGAGGGAGATTGAAGAAGTGAAGAAAGATGGAGGCGACGCGAGGCATAGGAGGGGAGAGAGCCTGGCTCGGGGTGAGATGAGGGAAGTTGCTACTTCTCGTTGATTGGTGAGTATCTATACTGCAAGTGGCACAGTGGCTGACATCTAATGAAGAGATTATCCTATGGAATAGCTCGACTTACACCATCACACTGTCCTCGAATACCCTTACAAACATGCCTTACGACCTACATATCTAGTTTCCCGCCATACTTCAGCCTTCGACGATCGACCTCTCACACGTCTTCAATCTCCCGCGTCGTCATACCTCTCAACCCTCTTCTCTCCTGTGACCCTCTGGTTTCCATCACTCCTACTTTTCCTCAGCTGCTCGGACTCCTCAAAGACTATCAAACTTCAACGACGACCAAACGTTTCTTACTGCATCGGGGTGATGTTGTCGGATGTGTAGCAGGCGGCGGGTGGTTGAGATACGAATCAGACGAACGTAGATCACCACCTGTAGGGACAAAATGGATTATTATACTCTCATCATTACTTCGTACGTATCAGTAAATCAGATATCGCTCATGTTGGAAGAGGAAGAGACGACGCGTATGTCGAGTGTTCAAGGGTGTCACTTCCTATACTTGTCGCTTCATGGACTTTATTATGTATCGCCTTAACGGAGCTGAGCACTCTGACCGACTGTGCAGCTTGGACGACATCAGAATAGCTGCGAACGTCACGTCGGAATGGTCACAGCAGGGACTTTTCGCAATGGCCCCCATTGATCGTTTGCATTATTCAACGACATGTCTCGAGGGGGTATGTGGAGTAGCTCCCAATTTTGAATTCATTCTTGAGCCTTTACAAACCTTCTCCACATATCCATAAGATACGTTGACTGAGAAAGGCCAAAGGCTTTGGACGGTAATAATCACCGGGTCATATGGCGTTGTCACTCTCCATAATATACAACAACGGCGTAATTCAGAGGAAGAATGCGAGGCTCATATCGAGATTATGTAATTATTACATGAAATCGAGGTACCTCGAAGTCACATGATCGAAACATGTCGCCGTTATTAAATCTTTTTGATTTTTGATTTTTGATTTCCTTTTCATATCTTTGTTAATATATCACTACTTTCCTCAGTTTTCCCCTTCTTAGAACGACGTCGAATGCTGAAAGATGCACGATGAGAGACATTGCCTCGGCCGCCGGAGGAGCCAAACACTGCCGTTCGATCTTTTTGCTCCTCACCTTCGCCACAAAAACGCAGCAGCATGGGCGTACCAGAGGAAATAGGAGGGTCACGTTATGTGAATAGATTTAGGCCAGTGATACTAGCTTGGAGATCAGGTGTCAGCGAAGAGGGCCCCTGAGATTGATATCGAATGGAGATCGATGTCTTGTTGTTGGTAGAGACAACAGGCAGGGAGCATTACTTTCGGGGTAAGGTCTCTGTACCAACAAAGCATACAGTCAGCAGAATGACATTCAAAACAATGCCAGAGATGCAAAAGATCCTCCAGGCTGGTGACTTTGAGATGTGGCGCTGACGAGATGCACTCGAAGGCAGGGGCCGGGGTGTGCCACACGACGACGCGGGTGGTTGACGTCAACTATTGATCGCAATTTCATCCCCAATCACATCTCTCCATCTCTTTTTTTCACTCGAACCACCACTCTCAACATGGCCCCGCTTTCTTGTTGGTGTCGGGGAAGATCTTCAAGAAGATATGAACGTCGTATAACGTTGAGATCGGTCGCGCTGGTCCACTGCATGATTTGGTCGCGGAAGACACCATCGACAAGCTGCATCAACTACTCTAAGGCCTGAGCTTGGCCTGCAACTCCTCCGTAACAATCTTCTTGTACGACTCGACATCACCCAAGAACTTGGTGACCTTTCCATCCGCACACACCCAGAGCTGGTTCGAAGTGTTGGTAATGAATCGCTCGTCGTGCGAGATACTGATAACACCACCCTTGAACACCTTGATAGCTTCGATGAGGGCGTCGATACCTTCGATATCCAAGTGGTTAGAAGGCTATATGTTGTTAGCTTGGCCCCAAGATAGCAAAGAGGACTCACCTCATCCAAAAGCAAGATGTGAGGCTTGGTCATCGACAAGACCGCAAACGCCACTCTCGCCTTCTGACCACCAGAAAGTGTGTCGATCTTTTGCATCCCCGTCAACCCCGTGATACCGAACGATCCCAAATGACTCCTATACTCCTGCTCCGTCTTGCCCGGGAACTTAGCCTGCAAGAACGCCACGGCGCTGACAGTCATATCAAGCTGGTTGACAAAGTGCTGCGTAAAGTAGGCGATCCGGCAACGCGAGTTGTGCGTCGCACGACCAGTGATGGGCTGGAGGTCGCCCGTAAGGAGCTTGATCATGGTAGATTTACCAGCACCGTTAGGACCGATAACAGCAATACGCGAGTCGAGCTGGACATCGATGTTGACGTTTTGGAGGATGAGCTTGGCGGGCGTGTAGCCAAAGGTGGCTTCGTCGAGCTGGAGCAGGGGAGGAGAGATCTTTTCGGGGTCGGGGAATTTGAAGGTCTCGGAATCGTCTTCCTCGGGCGGTTCGAGCTCGGGAAGTTTTTCCAGGATCTTGATCTTGGACTGAGCCTGGGCAGCTGCTCTGTGTCAGTCATGCTCCGCACTACGATAAAGAGACGCACCTCGGTTGGCATTGTACCTCCATCGGTCGATGTACGCCTGCAAGTGCTGCCTGTACGTCAACTGCGTCTCGTACTCCTTCTTCTGGTTCTTCGCCCTGTCCGTCTTGGTCGCGTAGAATTGCGAAAAGTTTCCTTTATAGTAATCGAGACGTTGGTTGTGCTGGTGCACGATATCGGTGGCGACGTGGTCGAGGAAAGCTCTGTCGTGGGAGACGACGAGGATGGTGGAAGGCCAGGTTTGGAGGTACTCTTCCAGCCAGGCGATGGCGTTCAGATCCAACATATTGGAAGGTTCGTCCAACATCAAAAGCTGTATACTGTCAGCGCCGTCCCCAAACTGATATAAGCACTCACATCGGGCTTGACAAACAAGGCTCGGGCGAGAGCCAATCTCATTCTCCAACCTCCCGAGAATGCCGAAGTCATCTTCTTTTGATCCTCGTCCGAGAAACCCAGACCGTTCAACAATTGACCGGCCCTCGCCGGTCCCGTCTCGGCATCCATATCCACCAACGTCTTTTGTACCTCTCCGAGCCTCGTCAACGCCTCCTCCTTCTCCGTCTCAATCCTGACCTTGTCCTCGCCCAGCAAACCGCCTTGGAGTCCCTCCTTTTCGAGCGCCTCGACCTTAACGTTGAGCTCGCGCTCTTCGGTGACGTACTTGTGACGCCAGACGTCGGCTTGCAGGACGGATTCAAGGGCGCTGGTAGAGTCACCGGCAATTTCTTGTTCGACATAGAGAACGGAGATGTGGGTGGGGATGGGGACTTCTCGGAGGGCGAGGTGGCGCAGAAGGGTAGACTTTCCAATACCGTTACGACCGATAAGACTGTATCACATTAGCTTTGCACAAGAAAAGATCTGGGACGTACCCATATCGTCGACCATGAGCCATAGTAAGCTGAGCACCAGACAAAATCCTATTGCTTCCAAAGGACACATCGATGCTCGGCAAGTTGATATCCTTCGACTTGCCCTTGGCCGCGCCGCTCACGTCGAGAGGGTTGACCTTCATAAACATCTCCTCGTAGCTCTCCTGCTTGTTCTGCATCTCGATAAGCTTCGAGCCCTGGTACAGGTTGTCCTTCTTGGCCCTCTTTTGGATCTTGGCCTGAAGCTTGGCCTCGGCCTTTGCGAGCTTGCCCAAGTCGACCCTAGACGCCTGACCCTTGGTGTTGGACTCGAGGTCGACCTTGCCCGACATGGCGATAGTAGCCGACATGGCCTGGGAGCGCATGTGGATGGTCTTGTCGAGCTTGGTGGCGGTGGTAGACTTGCGCACACGTTTGGTCGACTGGGAGTCGAGGTACTCGAGGAGCCGGCTCATGAAGTCGTCGAGGTTCTTGGTGGTGTCCTCGCTAGAGGGACCACCGGAGAGCATGCCCTTGGTCATGTCGACAATGTCTTCCACTTCCTCTTCTTCATCGTCGACCAGGCCGGCAATGTAGGAGACGACGACCTCGTCGGTACGGGGAAAGGTGCGTCGCTAAAGACTGGTCAGCCTATGGCAAGAGCAGGGGGGTTGTAGCGGGATACATGAGACTTACGATGTCGGATGCGATTTTGGCCATGCTGGACAGGTCTTGCGCAGAAAAGGAATGGTGAGGATCATAAAAGTCGTGAAATGCAAGAGGTGGTGAGCGGGCGGCACTCGCCGCAAAAAGTTCGGAACCGAAAAGCTCGTCTGGAAAGGGTAAGATGCTCGTTGTGGTTCTTCATATGCATGATCGTCTCTATACTCTCTCCAGACATGTACGTGGGGTGGTGCATTACAACGACCAGATGGCGTACATGCTTCCACCCTGTCTCCTATCAAACACTACTCTCATTCGCCGGCTGCGATTGTGACTCATTAGCTATGTCTCGTCGACGCCATCAAAGATTCTGGAGGCTCACCATCTTCTCAAATCTGTCAGCAGTACCGTCCCATTGCAACTAAACTTGGGAACCTTCGTCGGGCTCATCTTTTTTTCCAGTCATCAAGTCCCAGAAGCTCGCCGCGCTACTCAAGGCTCTTCGAGGGCTAAAATCAGCTAGAGATTTGACCAAAGTTAAGGCTGCCGGCTCAGAGGAGTATCGACTGTTGATCCCGGTGGCATGGGGGGCGAGCCTACCCACAGCTGTAGGTCTCAAACTCAAAAAGCCTTCGTCGAATAGTTCGAGCGTTACAAGCTGAGCTCGTGCCCGGCGCTTGGCTTCCGGCAGATTCTTCTCTTCCTCCTCGACCTTCATTTTTGTTTCCCCCCATACCAGGTTGGAAAGCTCCGAAGGCGATAAACCTTGGTAGCGCTCTTGGAATGTGCCCGATGAAGGCGCGCCGAGGTTTGTTATCTCGATGTCATCTGCCGGAGCAGAGTCGGTCGTGGGGACTGGAGTTGGTGGCTGATCATTCGCTTCCTCGCCATGGTGAAGTATCTTGATACTCCCCGTCGCACCCTGGCTGACGCCTCCCACACAGCTACGCGCAAACATCCCCCAATACTTCTTCTCTGCTTCTGCAAACTCCGGCTCCTCCTTCAGCATGCTCACCGGGAAATCTTCCATCGTGCACCTCTTTACCCGACCACTCCTCAAGACGGAATCGAGTAGAACGTATCGTAGCTGGTTCTCGGTACGAGTAGAAGCTGGAAGTTTCGAGAATTCTTCAGGATAAGGTCGGGACAGAGTGTACAGATACGTGTGATCGTTCGGGTCAGAAAGGTTGACAGAGGTGGCGAGTGAGATCGTCTTGCCTTTCGTCATATCATCGGCCTCTTAGAGGCACATCTGTGCGATCGCCTTGGGAAGGGCCGGCAGGCTCATTGGTATCGTTACTGCTCATGCTGCGCTATCAAGAATATGTGTATGTCTCGAGTGTGTACTGAATGTGACTACTTTTTGTACTTGAATGCATCACCGGAGGATCCCCTTAGAGCTGCTTTGGAGCACAAAAGACGCAGATTCTTGCAACCCCGATCGATAGATCTCCGACAATTCAGAATCGTCCCAGTCAAAGAACTTTGTTCAGCAAATCGCCTCCTTTCTCCCATTGTGAGTACCTACGCGGTCCAGCAAAGATACATACTGGCAGTCATCGCGAAAGAGATCGTGCCCTGGGACTCCGGCTGAGACTGACGGCTATTAGGAAAACTCTGGCATTCAACCTATGATAGAGCAAGGTATAAAGCAAGGTATGGCAAAACGATTCGTCATCAGGATGAACCAGATATATCTCCAGATCTCAGGTTGTCAAGCGCAAATACAAGTCGATCAACGGCTTCCTCGACCTTCTTGGCAGTAGATTTTGTCCCGACTGTGTATTGTCAGCGCTTGAAGTGAATCGGTCAATGATGAAAGACTCGCGTTCATGCCCGGCATCCGCGTAGATACGTCCAAGTATAGGCCCAGGGTTGCGAGGTTTTCGGGCTATTCCTATCGTCAATCTTCCACCCCCAGTTCTGATGAATCAAGAAGAGCAGCTCACCTTGAAGCTCCGCTATAAACTTCAACGAGTGTCCGGGCATGACACGATTGTCGTGGTCGCCAGTCGTTATGAGCATAGCTGGATACTTGACGGAAGGGTCGGGGTTGACGTTGTGTAGAGGAGAGGTGGCGAGCAGAATTGAAAAGTCGTTGCTATCGTCGGGAGAGCCGTACTCGTCCATCCACATTCGCCCCAGGCCCTACATTTGCGTCAGCTTGGAGAGTTGATGACCTCAGAGATGAAGAGTCAACTTACAAACTTGTGATACCTCACAAGGTCAGTCAACGCCACATCGACAAACACCACTTCAGAGAGTTCCGGGTGTCGTATCGTCGAAGCAGACATGAGTAATCCTCCGTTGGAGCTACCATAGATGGCAGTGAGGGATGGCGTAGTGAGACCGATGGATTGCAGGTGGATGGCGGCAGAGGCAAAGTCGTCCCAGCTGACAGAGCGCTTGACGCCGATAGCGGCTTGATGCCAGGCGGTGCCGTATTCTCCTCCGCCACGGATACCGGCAATTGCCACACTAGCCAAGGTCAGCAGATAACTCCACAGGTCGAAGGAAAGACTCACATTCCTCGCATGTTGCGCATAAAAGTTGCAAACATAGGATCATAGTGTGACAGGACAGGCACACAGAATCCGCCGTAGGCATGCAGAAGGAGAGGATGCGGCTTGGAAAGGTCGAGGTCTTGGGGATGACAGATAAACATTGGGATCCTGGTACCGTCATGAGAGTCGTAGAAAATTTGAGAGCTTATCAAAGTCTCGTGTGGCGCAGGGTCATCGACGGGCCTGACATTGCTGATATCAACCTCCAATGAGCCCGCTTTGTTCTTGATGATCGCCCCTTTGAGCACGTATGAGGGAGCGACCCAAGTATCGACCGTAAAGTAGAAATCAGAGGCATATGGGCCGGCAGAGACGGAGGTGATAGCGCCGTGCTCGGGGATGACCACAGTACCCTCGGACGCTCTGCTGATCTCTTCCTCGGGGACGGGAATGTGGGTGTCGGGTGCAGCAACGACCTCGCCGTGTGTACCCTCGGCATCGGCAGCACCAAGAAGTTTTCCAGTGCGAGCATCTACAAAGACGACAGAGGCACAGGCGTGCTTGAGATAGATGAGGGCGATGACTTGGTCTCCAATAACATGTGCGCTTCCAAGCTGATAACCAGAGGGATCATCGGGGATAATCTCGTGCAGTGGCACATTGCTGCCGATGGGGGTAGTCTCCCATTCGGCGCTGTCGAAGGCAATAATACGGCCGGTAGAGTGGCCGTCGGTGAAGGAGGTGAAAAGGTGTCGGCCGGATGATAGAGATCCGATATCTTGGGCACTGATCAGCAAGAGAGAGTTTTCAGAAGATGTGCTCACAATGAGTCTCGCCAGTGAATCCTCTCGATAACCACTTGCCCTCTTTGACGACCAGCTCTGCTATAGTAGAGCCCACAGGATTCGCAGTCCCACCTGGAAGCTCAATTACAAGCAGCTCAGTCTCGGGACTTGTATTTCGATAGACATCAAGGGCGAGCCAAGCACGCTCTCCGCTACCCTCTTGTTCATTGACAGAGATGACCTTGGTTTTGCCGATGTACTGAAAAACGCCGTCGGGAGGACCCCATATAAGCACGTCGGTGGATTGGGGCTGGCCAACGGCATGATAGAACATGCCGAAGGCGCCGTCGATGCCATCGTAGCTGTCATTGGAAGGATCGTATATTACGGAGCGCTTGTAGATGAAGCCCTGAGCGAGGATCAGTTCTGTTCCCTGGCGAGCAGACGACACTCACCTTCTCACCAACCCAGGTAACGCCAAAAGTGAATTTGGAGCCACCGAGATCTCTTTCGAGCACCTCTTTCGTTCGAGTGTCAATGATTCGAAGTCTTTGCCAGTCGCTCCTATTGAAATGTCAGCAGGCCATTTTGGTGAGAAGAAGGAGAACCGACCCAGAGTATTGTAATACAGCACACCAAAGTCGGCCGCTGGGCGAGAAACTGTCGGCATACAAAGAAACCTTTTCCTCCTTGTTCAAGTCGTAGAACAAATCTGGACCCTCGCTTCCAGGAGCTTTGCCAAAGTGCTCAGACACGTCTCTAGACCTCACAATGACGTCGCGAGGTGCAGTGCCAGGATTGAACTTCCAGTAGTAGTACCCATCGCCCTGGAGCTCAGGATTGCTCATCTGCTCGTGGTTGTAGCATGCTGCGACGGCTTCTTCGAGCGGCTTTCGAAGGGGATGCTCGCTGAGCCGAGGAATGGAGAGCTACAACTCGCGGTCAGTACAGAACCTCGAAGGTAAGAATTCCACATACCTTATTCTGGGCCTTTACGAAAGCTTTCGTTTCATCAGACTCGAGATCCTCCAGAGCTCTCCAGGGATCATTCACTTCAATGCCAAAGATAGTCTCTGTGACACCACCAGTCTGGGGAGGATGTGGATACTGGATTCTCGAAGATGGGGACCTTTTCCAATCTTCGGGTTTGACAGTGAAACCAGAGGCAGATACACTCTTCACAGGGCTGCGCGAAGAGGTCTTGTTGCGAGTATGAGGAAGCTGGCTTGATGAGTGGCCCATTATATGCTGTTCTAGCTGTACAGTTGATATTGGCGATGAGAGAGAACGAGGGAGCGAGGTGGGATAAAGCAGCGGGAACTCCGATTGCTTTATCAGATAGCGGGCGGGTTGAGTCGTAGCCTTTGTAGAGTAGTTTTGCCGAGTCGTGTGACCTTGAGCATGTCCGTGGACTGTAGCGCCTCTGCTGGATCTGCTGGTGGGTGATCAAGAGGCGCGCATGTTATCAGAGAGCAATGGTGGATATTGACGCGCGTCTCCGTGGCGAAAGAACGATAGCGACTCTCACTCTCAGGGGCGATGCAACAAGTGAAAAGAGACCCTGCAGGGACGCGGTCCGTCGGTAGGCCGAAAGATAACACAGATTTCGGTCGAATCCGTCCGGAAGCAAATTGTTAAGTTCGTACTTGTACGTACGTTGACAGTCATCCTGCCATGAGAACGTGTGCCAAGCTGGTCAGCTCTGGCTGCTCCACAGCGGCTTCTGGTCAGTGGTCAAGTCATTTCTACATACAGTACGAGTAATAATCATAGAACTCATGATAGGAAAAAATCAACAACATTTGATGGTCATACAAGCTATGTACAATTCAAGCCCAGTACGGGCCACGTCGAAAGATCCCAAGATGACTGTATACTACACTGAATATCTTAAGCACAATCAGATCAATAAAATCCCATTCTCCCACCCCAGCTTCACCATCGTCCTCCGCCAACACACCGCCTCACCCGGCTTGCTCACCATACGCAATCTCCAAACCTCCTTCATCAGCTCCAACGCAGATCCCGTATTCCCAAACGCCATCGCCTCCACACTCAAGCACTCAAACGATGATCGGAAAAAGGCCTGCTGGGCAGCGGTTTGGCAGTGACAGCCGGCGATGGTGATCGGCATGACTAGAGCGCGGTGCATGTTGGGGTCCGAGTGTTCAATGTTGAGCCTGCTGAGAGCTTCTGATGTGTCTTGGACTGCTTGCGCTACCTCGGGTACTGTGAACAATTGTCAGCTGGAAAGACATGTGATACGTTGACTTACCACGAGGAAAAGGACCGTTGATGGCTACCGCCAGCAGCACCTTCGCTGCACCGAAAAAGATGTCTCTCAAAACAGACCCCAGCCTGTCATCCTCGCCCTTCTTCACCCGGCTCTGATCAGGCATTTGAAGCAAGTCCTCCCTCCACGTCCTCTCATCCAGCAGTTGTCGGATTCGGCCAGCCCTGTCAACTAGCTCGATATATGAGAGGCAGCCAGCTCGCACATTGTTCTCTTTCCACTCTTCTAGCGCCGATATTTCTGCAAAAGCTAGGAGCTGCCCAGTGGATCAGTGAATGCCACATGGCACGAGCAGAGACGTACCGTTGTGCTGTCACATCCCATCACCTTGTCCATCTCCAGCAACGGCTTCGAGACTTCTGATATAATGTCTGTCGGCAAGGACCTGAGTATTCTGCGATAGGTCGGTAGGATACGCGAACACTTTCCTGAGTTGACAGACGCAGAGATATCGATCCAAATCATATGCTGTATCAGAGGACGGTATCGCGACCACGGGCTCTTTTTGGGTAATGTTACACTGTGAGCAAGTCAGCAGGGTGCACCACGATATGTAGACTGAGACGCGATCTCACCGAGAGACAGCATCGTCGGCAAACTCGTGCGACATGGACAGAGCAGCCGACAGACATCTCTGGTTGATTGAAACGACTTCGGGTAGCCGCTTTGACGTCCCCCCAGAGAAGAGATGGTATGAGATGGCGAAAAGCGCAGAGGATAGTCTCTTGGGCAGTCAGATCTTGTGGAGAGAGGAAGCGGAGCCGTTCCATAGACTTCTGGTGCGAAGAGACTGCTACGAGGGCGTCCTCGTTCTCGATCTCGCTGATGCTCCCCAAATCCATCGGACCTCTCTCATGCGCATCATGCACTTCCAGGAGCCGAGACGCATAGTCGGCAGCTGTCACATCTGTGCGGTTGGTGTTCCGCCTCGAGACCATATGCAGAGCTGCCAGCGAAGACACGCTCTCAAAGACCTCGGACGCCCTTAGAGCTAAAGGCGCCACGAGCTCGCTCATAGATACAGAGATTGGGAGCAGGCGATATTGGAGAGGGAGGACGATGTTGAGGTAGTGGTGGACGTACTTCATCTTGCCAATATCGTGTGGGAGAGGACCGGTGGTAGGTGATGGGATGTAGATAAAGGGCGCAGGGCTGGGAGTACGCAGTTCCGTCTGGACCAAGCCGGTGCTTTCCCAAAGTGAAGTTTCGGCAGACTCGAGTAGATTCGACCAGAAAACATCAACCTCCTCATCATGCAAACTTTCGAAGTTGGAAGAAGTGAGAGCGAGAGAGGAAGTAGATGCTTGTGGGAAATCGAGCGCCTCGGAATTGAGCAAGGAAGGATTCAAAGTAGCAGTCATCGAGTGGGCGGTCAGATACGAATCTGGTTCAACCGGCATGGAGACCCCGTTGACAATGTCTTCGGAGCTGGCCAGGTATGAGGTGCTGCCGACATCGCTCTGACCGGTCTGCTCTTGAGCGACGTGCGGTTGCCTTGGGCGCTTGCGCTTTCGCGTCGACTCTTCCCCATCAATGGCGTTCGACGGTACATTTCCCAGAACGGAATGCCGGAGGTCCGCAGAAGGTAGGGTAGTGTCGTGCGACTCGTCTGCATTTGCTGAATGGGCTTCTAAGGCGAGAGTCGGGTCGAATTTTGGTTTCTTGAAGCGATGAGACATGACCACTTCTTTGCTATCAATGTGATTGTCAGTCAAGCCAGCCCATACATCCCATGGCACCCAGCTCACATCTGTTTTTTCGCCTCCCGCGCATTTGCCTTTTCCCTCAGCCAATCTGGACGCTTATCGCCATATCCCAAACACTCGATACCCAATCTTTCACATGTCGCGCAAGCTGGTTTCAACTCGTCGCATCTCTATGATCCGGGTAAGTGGGCTTCTAGATGTGAAGGAGACACCGCAAGCTTGCCTTCTTGCGTAGTCTACAAGTGATACATCCAGTCTTGGCTCTTTTGGAGGATCCCGAGTTACAAGTATCTGGCGTCGAAGTGGCCTCAGTCTGCGGCGTTCGTCAGTGACAGCCCCGAAAGTCAAACAGTAAACAGTATCTCACTTACGTCCATAGGTATTATCAGGAAGGGAGTAGGGGTATACACGGGGAAGACCTTGCAAGCTGAAAAGAGAGACACAAGAAAGAGGAGTTTATCAAAGGGGCAATCGAAGCAAAATCGAAGTGGCGGCCCCGACGGGGTTCCTGGTCGGAAAGCTCGGAAAGCGCCGAATCCCGATTTGTTCGGGTGGACCGTGGATGCACTTCAGTTTGTTCTGGGGCTCACGCTGGAACCAGTCTAGTATGTAACTTGTGGACTGGGTCAGAGGCTCTTGGGGTACATAGCAGAAGAGCGTAAGGCATTGACCTCAATCAGGAGCCATCTTGCAGAATCAGTAGATGAATGAGTCGACAACGTCGCGCATGCTGGCGCTTAGTTGTTGTTGTTGCAGACCAGTGCAGCAGCCAAAACCCCGCATAGAAGAGTGGCATTACGATACCGAATGGAGCCAAAGTATACACGTCAACAGCACAAATTAGGAACGAAGTACTGTATAAGATCACAAAAGCAGCACAACACGACAAAGACTACAACTAAAGAGCAAGTCTCAGAAAAATCAAGATACTCGCAAACCGGAAGTTCCGTAAGACCTTGCGCCTGATCAAACATATTCACCCGGCTATCGTCAAACAGTCTTGTCAGCGCAGCAAGCAGAGCATGTACTAGTATGGGAAGAACTTACACCAGGACCAAAATATCCCACATCCGGCAAATCAAGCAGGGGACACCCAAGCGCATCGCACCCATTCGCATAGACCGTATTGCCCCACCAAGCGGGCATCACAGCCCCAGGATAAGTCACGCAGAAGAAGATGACAACGCCGGATACAGCACAGCCGATTGTAGCACCGATAGACATGACGTACACGTACTTAGCCCACCAAGCCGGGAAGCGGCGATAGACGTGGGACATGAAGAACCAGGCGAAAGGGACACCAGCCCATACGTATGAGATGTTGTACGGCGCAAAGTACATCATACCTGGGTGGTATAGGTCAGTCGCGGTCAAGAATGATTGGAGTGTCCGAAATGCGACTCACCAGAGATGATGACAGGAACATTGATAGCTTTGGTGTATCGATTTGGCCACACCTTCTTGATACCAAACGCTGCCACAGTAGCAACCGCACCAGCCAAGAAGGCAAACAGAGTCCATTTGTAGAGGCCGTGAGCACCATACATCCTCTCCGGACCGACTACACCAAACATGAGCGCGGAAGAGTAGAATGTGGTCTATCCAGAGCCATAAGTATTCTCCTTCGGATGAGCTCGCTCGGACATTGGGCTCACATAGTATGGACATGTCATGAGGTCTTTCTGTCCAGGTTCACACAGGTCGGGGATAGCATTGAACTGCCAAGACAACACGCCAATAGAGACGATACTGCTGACCAGCACGCCCCAGATTTGAGCGCGGAATGTTGAACGAGGTGGGATGTGGAGGTAGTGCGCGAGCTTCTGGTCTTGGACGTACAGAAGCGCCATGATCAGAGCGACCCAGCCTATCCCAAAGTCAGAGCCGAACCTCATAGCATGTCACGGAAGAGACATACCGTAGAGCTTGAAGAGCATGTTGGCATAAGGTCGTCCTGGAAGTGCGACGCCGGGGATGATCTCGGCCAGGATGACCAGCGAAACCTGCATCCCTGTTAGCAAGAGCTCTTTGCACCCCCATTCAACGAATGAACCCACCTGCATGTTACTCAGAGCCTGGATAATTCCACCCGGAATCAGAAACACAAAAGCCAACAACAGACAGAGGAAGATGCCCCAAACCGGCATTGTGGTCTTGTAAACCTCCACCATAACGATGCCCGTGACCACCGAGAACACGAGGATGAGCAAGTACCAAAATTGAGGTACTTCTTTGTATTTGTGCATGATGGCGTAGTGAATGTCGTATTGAGGACGGTCGTGAGATTCTTCGGAGGCCCTGCCGCGTTGGACGAGAGAGATGACTTTCTTGAAAGCGGTCATGATGCCATGCTACAACATGGGTGAGCAGATGGACGCAGTACGAGGAGTCAGAGGTCCAGTGACTCACCTTGAGCTGTGAGCCATGTTCCAGGACAGCATACGTCAAAACAGCAGAATAACTCGCAAAGTAGGCAATCAAGACCAGATTGTATCCCGCCCCAAAGTAGATCGGTGAGTACGCCTGGTACGCCTCTACATCAAGGGTCTTGTCTGGGGCAAGCACAGCGGTGACGTTGTAGTAGGCGCCAAAGCGGTCGAAAGCTTGGTTGGAGTTGGGGAGGAGGTAGCTGGAAAACCAGGTGTTGGACCAGTATGTGCCGATGATAACGAGGAGGCCAATGATAGATCCGATCAGGGTCTGAAGTGTGGCCCACCAGCTAGGGAGTTGAGGTCAGTTAGATAACATCAAAAGTGAGAGCTGCGTACGGGGTGATGAGAGGTGTGAGACCGGCACCGCTGATGTACTGTTGATAGGGTCGTCAGGAAAATGACAGAATGTTCATATATGCAATGCAGCTCACTGTCCAGTCACTGCAGAGTGTCAGCTGGGTTAAAGAGCGAATGTAATTTGATGACGCACAATGTAGGTATAGGATTGAGCCCCAGGCCCGTCATGCTTCCCATGATTATGGCAAGCTACCCTTATTCAGTGTCTTTTCTATCACGCTAAGCAAAATTGCGCCTCACCTTCTTGTTATTGGGAGCAATCCACGTCGGCCAATTGAAGTACGTCAAAGACGGAAAGATGAAAGAGGTGAACCAGAACCACACAAAACTCGCAATAGTAGCAGTCAGGCAGAAGCGAAACATGGATATCTTCCAGCCATTGACGGGTGGATCGGCCTCTTTGGGATCTTCGCCGTGGTGATGCTCGGCGACTTGCACAACCCCGTCCTCGTTGACTTTGCGCTTATGGAGAGCGTTGAACAGCGAGAGCTGAATGGGCGTGAGAAGTTGTTTGGTGTGCAAGAGTAGACATGAGCTCACCTTGGCAAGATTCAAAGGCCAGGTCATATTGGATGGATATACAAGGTACTCTCGCGAAAGGCCGGCAAGAGATAGACCCAGGAATTGAGTAGACAATACCACAAGCCACCGGAATCCTTGACTGTTACCGAGATCCGAGTCGTTGAAGAAGACTGGCTGTCGTACGGCAATGACAATGTCGATGGCAGTCGCAGTCGGAAACGAGACAGTGGCCATCATTGTCACGATAGCGTGCTCTTTCACGGTCCAAGGTCCGGGATTGAAGGACCATGTCTTACCTCGGAGGTGGAAGACTCTTTTGGGAAGGAGCTTTGCAAGAGCGGCGCCAACAGGATGTGAGAAGAATTGGGCGAGGAAAGGCGAGATGTAGATTCCAGGCTGCCGAGCGCCGAACCACACATTCAGCCCTGATATACAAGATCAGCATCATGCGAGGTGGCCGGGGATGAAGACATACCGGTACCAACAACGGCAACAGCCGTACCAAGAACATACGCTCTAATAGTTTCACAAGACTCATCCTCGTCGTCGACTTCCACGGCAACAGCTCGCACTTCCTTCGGTGTTTCTCCGACGGTGATGTGAATACCTTCTCCAGTCGAGTAGTAAACCACCTCGGCTACATGAGTGTCAATATCATGAAAGGCTCCCTTATCGAGCCCCAGATATTTCTCATCTTGAGTCGCGATTGGGGGCTTGGAAATATCCGACATGATGGGTAGTGAAGAGTGTGTGTCAGGTGGCGAAAAGACGATCGTCCGTCCAGATGGTCCAGGTCATCCGATAGCGGCTGGATGTTCCTATAAGTACGACAAGCATGACTTTGCGGCTTATCGTGTCCCGTCTCGAGCTCAAGAGGCGCCAGTGAAACGTGAACGGTCGAAGGCGCCAAATAAGAAGCGCACGTGGCCGACGGAATCATGCGCGGCTGATACTACGTTCAAGATAAGAGACAGAATCAGGCGCCTTGAAGATCAACGTATTCATTGTTTGGTTTTGTACCGTTTCCCAGGTAAGATGGAGATAGCAAGATTTTCACATGGAGGCATCATCGTCGCCGTTCATGATTGACGATGAATCATAAGATAGGTGGTGGAGTCTTCGTTCGTAACGCGCCCTTGCCTTGTCATCAGGTGTTTGCCATGCCACTTCTCGTAGGCAATGCTGCCAAACGATCAAGGTATATCAATCATGAAATTGAGCAGAGCGATCAGGAAGAGATCCAGGGGCGGGGGCAGACTACTTTCACAATACAACACTTGATTGTTTTTCTCTTTACAACATGACATTTAACCCTTCCGCTGGCTTCTGATTCGCGTCGCTCTAGAGAAAAACCCGTATAATACTATAATACACAATCCCAGAAGGTAAGATCTCTGCACCAGTACAAGACCATGACTCCTCCATCAAGCTGAACAACCTTCATCAGCCCCGCCCAAAACAAAACCTCGACCCCGAGAGACATCTTGACTTACCAACATATCTAAAGTGTCTATTCTCCTTGTCCGTGAGATCCTCAAATATCTGCACCGCCGGGTGATACTCTTCATCCCCTTCCTCAAACTTCTGGTTCCTCTTCTTATTGGGAACCACGAAGCAAAGACGGAGGAGGAGGATGACGATGATTTCGGCGGCACGAGAACACATGCAGACGATCGTTCCGGTCTTGTAGATAGGCGCTTCGGAGGAGAGGAATGAGTATGCTAGACGAGACGTCAGATTGGATTCGGACGATAGACTTAGAGGAGATGTGACTTACGACCGACGATGTTGCCCAAAGCGACGCCCAAGAAGATCGCAGCCGAGCTCAAAATTTTCTTCGTTGTCCCCCCGACATTGCCCGATACCAGCGACAGTGCCAACACAAAGACCGCATTACTCGACCCCGTAAGATAATACCCGATCAGCCTCGGCGCCGTGGCTGTCGTAAACGTCATCAGCGCAAAGCCCACCACTGTCAAGATAGTGACGGTAGCCATAAGGTAGGTCCGGATGTTCAGGTGGTGGGTTTTGTGGTTGATGTAGATAGCGAGGTAGATCATGAGGGCGATGAAAGTGCCGTAGGGGATCTGGAGGAGGGTAGTTTGCATTGTGCTGTGAGGGAGCGTCATTATCAGTAATGAACCGGCTGTGGTTAAGACGGAGCTTACGAGAAGTTAAGGCCTTTGATGACCAGCGTCCCGAAGTTGCTCGTCGCCCCTGACCCCCAAAGTCAGTCAGCTCCTCAACCCAATCGTGCCACTCTCATAGACTCACCATTGGGAACATTCGCAAAGAACCCCAAAAGGAAGTACAAATAACTCTTCGGGTCCTTCAACGTCTCCACAATCTGGCCCATCTTCAACTGCCGCTTCTCGACAGTGTGATAGTCGTTTCGTTTACGCGACATGATAACGACGGCTTCGCGACGGTTGAGCCAGCGGGAGCTGTGGGGAGAGTCGGGGATGAGGATGGCCATGACGATTGCCCATCCGGAACAGAGGGCGCTGATTGCCGCGTCAGTCTCTGGAATGAGGAGAGGGAGAAGGACGCTTACCCGATGATGATGAATTCGTATCTCCACGAGGCAAGACTCCCTTTGATATGACCTATGCCATAGCCGAACAGCCCGCTGTATCAACCGATAAGCGACCAGACATCTTCAAGGCGTGAGAAAAAGTACTCACCCGATGGCAATACCAATACCATTGAAACTGTACCAAAGACCGATGATCGTAGGCTGCTGTTTTCGCGTAAACCACATACCGGTGATGGCGACTGGAAAAGAGTCAGCAATGATCTTTGCTTGATCGATCGGAGGAGGCTCGAGGCTTACCAAAGCACGGGTCCGCAACAGCTTCAAACATACCCGAAACGAATCGGAAAGCTACCATATCGCCGTAATCCTTTGAAACACCTTGGACCATGAGGAAGACGCCCCATAGGAAGATCTGACAAAGAGTCAATGTCTTGTGGAGATGTGTGATGAGAACACTTACGTTGACAGACAAGTATTTGGCGAGAGGGAACTTTGCGAGCAGGAGGTTGCCGGGTATGGCCCAGATGATCCAGCCGACGTAGAAGATGGATGAGAGGTTGGAGTAGTCGGTACCAGAAAGGTTGAGATCTGACTTGAAATCGAAGAGCTGCTTGACGTCAACAAAGTCCATCCAGCATCTAATGGTGTCGGAAGCTTACAGCCGCATAACCTGCGTAATGGTGTCGTCAGAAAAGAGACAACTGCGTGAGACTGTTCTGACTTACTTAGTGTTGTCTTGTCGATGTAGTAGAAGGCATAGTCGATCGCAAGGGCAGGGACAATAAGCCACCATATCTTTCGCTCAACCTGTGCGCCTGTCAGCTTGCCACTTGTCGAACTATGGGAACACAACTCACCCTCTTCACCTCTCCAGGGTCGAGCTCAGTCTCATTCGCCAGCGCAACGTCCTGAATAAACTCGACGGAAGGGTTTCGCCTCAAGAGCTTCCTCAAGCCAGTCCGGGGTTTGGTGGTGTCCTCTTGAGCATCATACTGGACTACTTCCCGAGCTTCGTCCTTGATAGAAGCGTTCTCGACGTGCTCGGTGGTACCCTTGTTGGCTTCAAGGTCTTTGAGCTGCGAGATGGGAGCTAGGGTGGAGGGCACAAAGTCTGTGGCGTCTGCTGAGGGCATGGTGCGGGATCAATCGTCGTCTGGGCTCTCGTCTGGACATCGATACAGCAGCGTGGGGCATCTTATATACCAATGCTCATTGTCTTATTCGTGCTGATTTTCAGGCGCCGTATGACTGGGAGAGGCCGTACTTCTCCACCTTGCGATCGAATGATCATCTGACCATGTCAGGTGTCTCACGAACTTTCCAATTGCCGAGGCTCATCATCATACCCCTCAAAGACTGCGATAACAAGCCCCCAGGTGCGTGTGGGGCTCTGTGGGGTCCCTCCGGATCGTAGGGCCCGTGAGTGGCCCGCCCAGGCCCGCTGAGGTCCGGCCGGGCCGTGAGAGACGGTCGCGACATAAACCCCGATTGACTTCCGAAAGGCGCTGATCAGAGATAAGATGGGAGGTGGATACTTGCAGATGTATACTTTTACTAATTTAAGCTTGTCAGCTTTCGTCATGTGCCCAATCACCGCAGGAAACCCGGCGGAGGCTACTTTCGCGGGCAGTAACTTTTTGCAGCCGATTGCCTGGAACGGCGGCGAGGATCAGAGAGAGGGACTGGGCGTACCGCATAGAAATTCTAGAGGGTGCTCTTGGCATATCGCGCCGGTGGATACCCTTCGTGGCATCGAGGACAGGCGAGTACAGACTGTTCTGGTGGCAAAAAGCAAGAGGTCATAGGCGGGTGCCTGCGGGGCTGTCCGCAAATATCGGCATTCCGGTCCGTAAGGTGTCGTGATGGCGGTATGTGGCGGCATGATGGTGCATCTCCTCGTTCTGTGCAAGATGTCTTACCCCACAATCCCCCGAATGTCTTATCTGATTCTCAGGTGGATACCCAGGAGATCCACCTGATCACAACAATTCGTCTTCCTTATAAGTCTAGTGCGACTTCTCGCTCTTTCATACCCAGCAGTCTCTACAATGCCCGTCCCTCTATTCTCTGCCCAATCTGTGACAGAGCTCATTGCTCTGAGAGCTCGTGAGTTCCCTCGAAGACCAACAAGATCATGATCTGATTGGCTTCTCAGAGACTCAGCCAGATGACCCTGCTGTCCATACTGGCGCCGCCGAATTCGGCGAGCAGCTCATGACCCTGACGTGCGTACACCTCATTCAATCTCTTGACACCCCTCTGACTGTCGAGTGTAGCTACACAGATATCGCCAAAGCTGTCGACCGTCTCGCAGCCCACTACACTGCCCTCAACATTCAGCCCAGCGTCGCCGAAAATGAACTTCCACCGGAACGTATCATCGCTGTCCTCACTTCCACAGCTATCGACGAGACCCTTCTTGAGATTGCTCTATCCAAGATGGGTCTTGCTTCGCTTTTGCTATCGGTCAACAATTCAACGGCTGCTGTGGCTCATCTTTGCAAGGCCACAAAGAGCGCGTTCTTGATCTATGGGCCGAAATACGCCAAGACTGCCAAAGACGTACAAGAACTCCTGGAGGAGGAAGGTATTGAGATTAGGGTGGGTAGTTTCTGTTGAGTATATCACGCATACTGACCACATGCCAGATCATTCCCGAAACCCGTTATCCTCTCTGGGGACCCGACGGTGCTCGAGTGTCCAAGATCACGCCCTACCAGGCTCGCCTCACTCCGGAACAAGAGAGCAAGCGCACCTGCGTCGTCCTCCACTCTTCCGGCTCTACTGGCTTCCCGAAACCAGTGTTCATCAGCCACTACGGTCTGGTCGCCAACGCTGCTCAATCTATTCCCAAGACTGGCTTCTCCGCCTTACCTCTCTTCCACGGCTTCGGGCATTTCTCAGTGTACGCCCATCTTTACAAATGACCAGAAAAAGACTGACAAGCAACAGGTTTAGGTGTATCTATCACGGCAAGACATTCACCCTCATGCCCCCAAACATCCCTCTCACCTCATCGAACATCTGCCGTATCATCCGCGCCTCTCCCACACCTCCCGTGCAACATTTTGCCGTGCCCTACGTGCTCAAATTGTTGGGCGAGACGGAGGAAGGAGTGAAGACGTTGGCAGGATTTGAAGCTGTGAGCTTTGCGGGGGCTGCGGTGCCGGATGATCTTGGAGATAGGTTGGTGAAAGCTGGGGTGAACTTGATTTCATTCTACGGTACTACCGGTAAGTCCCCTCTTTGCCCAATCCCGAGTGACACTCACGCGTCTACAGAAACCGGCGCACTCATGACATCCCGCCGTTCCAACCCAGAATCAGACAAAGCTTGGAACTGGCTCCGCGCCTCCGGCCCCATCGCCCAATACCTCGAGCTCATCCCCCAAGGGTCCGACACTTTCGAAGTCGTTGTCAAAGACGGCTGGCCCGCCAAGATCATGAGCAACCGTGACGACGGGGCTTATTGTACCAAAGACTTGGTACTGAGGCATCCGCAGGAGAAGACGTGGTTCAAGTACATTGGGAGGTTGGATGATACGCTCACGCAGACGTTGGGGGAGAAGACGAACCCGGTTCCCATTGAACTTGCTATTGTGAGCGTCTTCCTTATTGGGTGATTCTGTCAAGGCTGATGGCAAATAGCGTGGTAACTCACCTCTGGTGCAAGAGTGTATTGTGTTCGGGGACAGCAAGCCTCAAGTTGGGGCTCTTATTCTCCCTTCCGAACAAGGTGCCGAGCTCAGCAAAGACAAGAAAGCGTATATCGACGCCATATGGCCCGTCATTTCCGATGCCAACGCCAATGCGCCGACCCACTCTCGTATCTTGCCAGAGATGATCGACGTTCTACCTTATGGGACCGAGATCCCTGTTGTAAGTGATCGAAAATTTACATTGGATAGGAGCTGACGTTCCAAACAGGCTACAAAAATGTCCATCCTCCGCCCAGCATGCTACAAGAAGTTTGCACCTATCATCGACGCCATATACGACCGCTTTGAGCGTGGCACCGGCGAGCCCAAACTCCACCTAACCTCCAAAACCGAGCTCATCTCCTTCCTCACAACCACCATCCTCACCGCCCTCGGCGAAAAGGGCTCTTCCTCTACTCTTACACCGTCTACCGACTTGTTTGAGTATGGCGTGGATTCCCTGCAAGCGACGAGGGCGAGGAATGTGATCACCAAGTCGCTTGACCTTGGGGAAGGGGCCAAGATTGGGCAGAATATCGTTTACGAGTATCCGAGTATCGAGAGGCTCTCAGAGTATCTGCTTGAAGTCCAGGAAGGTGGACAAGGGGATGATGGACCGGAGAAGGCGCACAAGATGATGTGGGACATGGTCGACCTTTACACGTCCCAGCTCATCAAAGCACCTCTCTCTACCTCTCTTGCCGAGCCTCCTGCCACGCAGGGGCAAGTGATAGTTCTCACAGGCGCCACTGGATCCCTCGGTGCCCACCTCCTCGACCGACTCACCCGCCTGCCCTCCGTCTCCAAAGTCATCTGCCTCTCCCGCGCCAAATCCCACGCCGACTCGCTCCAACGTATCCACGCATCCCTCACCCAACGTCTTCGCATCCTCTCCCCTGACGCTCTGGATAAGATTGTATCTTATGCTGCGGATGTGAACAGGCCGGATCTGGGCTTGACGGAAGAAGAGTATGAGAGATTGAGGAACGAGGTAACGGGGGTGATACACAATGCCTGGCCGGTCAACTTTGTGCTGTCTCTCCCCTCTTACGCGCCACACATTGCCGGTGCAACCAACCTCATCAACCTCACTCTCCGCTCTCCTCACCCCACCAAGCCCGCCTTTTTCTTCTCCTCATCCGTTGGCACGAGGCAAGGCCAACAAGACGGCGTGGTCAAGGAAGACTTCGCAGCAGGGCCGGAGAGTGCAACGGGAATGGGGTATGGGAGGAGTAAGTGGGTGGTGGAGAAGATCACGGAGAGGGCTGGGAAAGAGACGGTGGCGAGGTGCGGGGTGTTGAGAATTGGGCAGCTGGCTGGCGACACCGAAAAGTAAGCTTGATCGTCCCATTGTAGAACTATATACTGACTTTGGTGATAGTGGGGTATGGAACGAGACGGAAGCTTGGCCTTTGATGTTCAAGTCCATCGACACCATTCACGCTCTTCCCATGCTCGAAGAGGTGTGTCCGTATTCCAAGAAACATGATCGCAAACTGACTTATGTTCCAGCAACCCTCATGGCTCCCAGTAGACCAAGCAGCCTCCACAATCACTCAAATCGTCTTGTCTTCCATCTCTACCTCCACACCCTCATCCGCACAGGTGTACCATATCCTTAATGCCCACCTCGCCTCCTGGTCTTCCATCCTAAAGGGCCTCGCTTCAGCCGGTCTCCAGTTCAAAAGCGTATCTCGGCATGAATGGCTCAACCTCCTGAGCTCATCCAACCCCGACGTCACTGTCAACCCGACTTACAAGCTCCTGGGATTTTACCAGAATAGGATCGGGAAGGAGAGAGAGAAGAAGGGACTGACGTTTGAGGTGGAGAAGACGGAGGAGGAAAGTGAGACGTTGAGGGAGGAGGTGAAGGCTGTCGAGGAAAAGCTGATCGCGCTTTGGGCGAATAGGTGGAGACAGTCTGGCTTTTTGAATTGAGGATAGAATTGCTGTTGAGATGGAATTGTCGAGAGTACGAAGACTTGCTGAACATGTATACCTGTTGTGTTGCACTGTGTCGTAGATTGAGGCACCCCAATAAGCAAGATAAGCCGCCATGTCGCTGATGTGTATATATACCCCATCTTGAAGACACTGCTCATTGCTTAGAATAGTGAGGCCCGTCCGTTCTTGGTGTGGTCGACTTTGCAACAACATGCATCGGTCCATCAAGACCAGTTATCTCAAGATCGTCGACGTCTTTGGGAAAGGATTTGTCTTGCCCAACACCACGATTTGCTTTTCGTGCGATATATACCCCTTCATATATCCCTGCCCCTCTGTCAGCTCCACCACCCCGCAACACAAGTAAAAGGCAACCCACACGGTAGATCATATTCGCCACCATACACTCTACTTCCTCCCCTTCCACCACCGCCCCACTCAGCTTCAACGCCATTTGGAAAGTCCCAATCGGTACCCTGCTCTCTTTGCCCATCGCTACCCACGCCTTCTTGAACAAGACCCTCAAACAAACCTCTCTCGCTCTTTCCATTGTTAAGAAGATGTTCATGCTTACAAGCCGGACTTGGCCCCAGATAAGGGCGTCGTCGTAGGCGGATAGGTTGCCGGATCGGAGGGCGGTGATGAACGGAGTGAAGAGCGTTTGGAGGCGGGGGTGGAGGCCGAGGAGTTGGGGAGAGGGGAGAAGGCCTTGGAGAAGACGTAGTGGGATCAAGTACGAGAGAATCAGTCTATAAACGCGTCAGCCTGTAAAGCCCAGGTAGATGAAAGCGAATGGCCTCACTCTGTATTCCGTACAGCCCCCGCCGGACAATGTTCCAGCGCCCATTCGAGCTCTTCCCCCGCCTTCTTCTCATCCCCATGCAAGAACGCCAGCATCCCCAGATAATACTTCCACGTAACCTGATCGCCTATCGGTGCTGTCGATACCGAGGGCGTTTTCGGATCCGACACGACGGCGCGGATGATGTTTTTGCAGAGATTGGGTTTGGAGACTTTGAAGTAGCATTTCAGGGCGAGGGCGGCGGTGTGGTAGATGCCTTGACGCCGGGATTCAGAGCCCTTGAATGTCCTAGAAGGGGAGTGAGTTTGCTATCGAACTAGGAAGGTGGATGGACTAACCGATCGGTTGCGCACATGGAGAAGGCTCTGCTGACTGTTCGGGTACATATTTCGAGGGAAGGCATCTTGCCTGTAGACTTATATATAGGAGCATCGGCCTGGCTAATATCAGTCTCGGTCTTTGGTGCTATACGGCAGACGCACCCTTTCAGCAAGATACCGCAGGTCTACTAGCATCGTGTACAGCACGGGCAGGACCCATGATGACTGATCCGGGAGCCAGCGGTAGAACAGCGTCAATTTGGTGTTTTGATGTTCGAAGCTATACACATTGAAATCACTGTCAGACAGGTCACGGTGATTATAGAGGACGCACGCTTGAGCAAAGTTTTGTAGTTTATACTGTGCGTGAACGCAAGCGCAGTGGCGAGCAGCAATCTCGCTCCATGGTTCTTCCAGCGTGATTCCAGGGTTTTTCAGTTGCCTTTCCTACACATCCAGTCAGCCAGGGACGCGAACTGAACGCGCGAGTTGTACGAACTGTAAGTTCCCCGACAGTCTCTGACAGCCCTCTGGAAGTCCTTGAATGTATTGATAACAGCCGGTTGAGAGCGGTCGCGTCTTGGTGCTGAAGTGGATGTGAGAATGCGGAGATGTACTGCGAGAGCTTCATGATGTCTGGGGAAGAGGGATATTTGGATGCGAAATGATAGAGGAGATGGGCGGAGGTGGTGATGCTGGAGGATGTGGTTTGCAGTGGCCCCCCACTTTAAAAGTTGACGTTTTCGAGAATTCCTTCTTCGCACGGCACCGGATCCGGAGTATACTTCTCAGCGATACATATAAAGCTATCTTCATTGATTGTGGATAACAAACTCCCATTCATTCGCCCATTCATCAACAGCAAACCCTACAAGCCGAAAACTACAAAGGAAACTTGAACACAGTCAGACCCATCAACCATGGCCGTCCGTAAGTCATTCCTATCCACCGTCTCTTTCCATCTGACTCTTCTGCAGGTACTCAATTTGAAAACTCCACCGACATCGGTGTCTTCTCTAAGCTCACAAACTCGTATGCCCTCCTGCGTTCATCGCAAAGTTCAGATCTAACAAGCCTCAAGCTACTGCCTCACCGCCCTCGCCTCATCTACAAACTTCTACTCTGTCTTCGAGTCTGAACTTTCCGATGTGATTCCCATTATTCACACCACCATCGGTGGTACCCGTATCATCGGCCGTCTTACCGCCGGTAACCGACACGGTCTCCTCGTCCCCTCCACGACCACCGACCAAGAACTCCAGCACCTCCGAAACTCCCTCCCTCCTACCGTCGCCATCCAGCGTGTCGAAGAACGTCTGTCTGCCCTCGGCAACGTCATTGCGTGTAACGACTACGTGGCGCTCGTCCACCCCGACATAGATCGAGAGACTGAGGAGATCATCGCGGACACCCTCAAGGTCGAGGTTTTCAGGCAGACGATCGCGTCCAACGTACTTGTGGGATCCTACTGTTCTTTGAGTAACCAGGGTGGTTTGGTACACCCCAAGACGTCGAGGTCCGAGTTGGACGAGCTGTCGTCGTTGTTGCAAGTGCCGCTTGTGGCTGGTACGGTGAACCGAGGAAGTGAGGTGATTGGTGCCGGGTTGGTCGTCAATGATTGGTGTGCGTTCACTGGTTTGGACACTACCGCTACCGAGGTCAGCGTCATTGAGGCTACTTTCCGTGAGTTAATTGTATGTCGTGTTCAGGACGGTGCTGATATGCGACTACAGGATTGCAAGGACAGACCTCTGCCGCCGTCATCAACGAAATGCGAGACTCCCTCATCGACCACTACGCCTAAGCTCTTTCCGTATACCTATACCTATTCTTATTCTATTCTTCTGCGCCTCTTAACCTCTACATCTGTTCTATCCCTAGGTTGGTATAATAGAGCGTAAATTGGGTGGTACTTCGTGGAGTGGTCCTAGAGAAGAAGTCGGGGATGTAACGATAGAGTGGAATATGTGCAGCCGGTCTTTGGGTTTCTTCTAGCCTTTCATATCACAATGTACATTCGCATGACCTTGGCAATGATCCTACTGTACTCGGATGCGCTACTGGAGTATGTACGGCAAGGACCGCGCGACTCTGGCGGCGGCCGGCGAGCGCACTATTATTTTATTATGACGCTTATTAGGCTGCTTCTACGATTCCCCTACATAAAGTACATAAAGTTATAAGCTCCCGCCCGCTTTAGCATCTCTCCCTACTCAGCCACCATGACACTCAATATCCCCAACAAGCCCTCCGAGATCATCACCCCCTTCCCCGTCTCGCCCAACGGCCCATCCAAGAACGCCCTTAAGGTCCTGGGCCAGATCCTCCGCAAGGCCACCGAGGCCAACGAGGTGTACAGCGTCACTTTCTCAGAAGTACTCTGTCCCGAGGGCAAGAACCATCTCTTCAGCTTGAAGCCTTACTTCTGGGAGGTTGCTCCTGGCAAGTGGGGTGAGTACATCTTCGGTTTCGGAAGCAAAGAGAACAGCGGCTGACCTGTGTCCGGGCTCGTAGAGCGAAGGGATGGGAAGCGTAACCCATACTGTGACAAGCCTCAAGGTCAAAAGCAACTGGACACCGCTGCGGTCCAGATCCACAGCCTTGCCCTCGGTATCATTCATCTCCCCGAGTACCGCGATGCTGCCATCAAAAGCATTCAGAAGCTCTTGACCGTGTTCTTTATCGACTCCGAGACCAAGTAAGCTGCCTCTCTTCTGTTCAAGGCGTTGGTGAGCTGACGTTGCAAAGGATGAACCCGGAAGTCGGCTACGCCCAGTGTAACCCAGCCTCATCCCCTCTCAAGGGCGAGAACTCCTTCGTCATTGCCCTCCGAAACATCATTCTCATCTCTCAAGCCCTTACTCTGGTCCAGCAGTACCTTGACAATGGGCTTGTCAGCAAGCTGAAAGAGTGGGTGGCTCATCAAGTCAAATGGATGCAAGAGTCAGAGCAAGGGAAGGGTGTGCAGAGGTACGAGGATAACAAGATCATTTGGTACCACGCCATCGTACGTCTGTCTTTCTCTCGTTCCCACTTTGTCGTATTCTGACACGTAGGAATCAGATTGCCTCCCACCTCGCCTTCATCAACCCCCAAGAGTCTCAAAAATACGCCCTCAACTTCTTCCAGACTTACGGCGCCTCCCACACTCCCCAAGCGTACTTTGAAGAAGACCTCAAACGTACCCGTCCCCGACACTACACCCTCTTTGCCCTCGAACCCCTTGTAGTCCTCGCCAAACTCACCGCCTCGCCCAAGGCTCAGCCCGAGTCCAAAGCAGCGGCCTACGCTCGAAACCTCCTTGAATTCGCCAAGACCGTCCAACCCGGCAAGCTGGAGAAGCCTCTCGAAGAAGGAGGTCGCTATGAGGGACAGTGGCAGTGGTATGAGCATATCATTTCTGGGTGGACAGGCCAGGGAAAGAGGGGCGGAGATGAACCAGATGGAGGGGCTTGGGAGGGTGGATGGACGCAGAGGATGAGGATGCTCTGGGGGTTCTTTTAAGATCCTGATGCGAGCGGGTACAATGCTAGGAAAGACGAGGAATAACTTATACTGTAGCGATTATGATCAACGTACACGAGAAGGGCACAAATGCACTACCAAGAAACATGAGGAGTACTCCATGAACGGCCTACCTATCGTGCAGCTTCTGACCAGCTGCTAGCTTTATTGCGACATCATCACTCATGTCAATGGCTATATACTACGTGTACTATCTACATGTTGCCCTGCATAGACTAATACGTCAGATAGCTCATTTCGTGCGCTGATGGCAGTTCCGACTTCTCGTCGTCTGCAGTCCCCTTCTCGTCCTCTCCATCAAGCCCGCTGGTCAGATCCTCCATGCGCCTTGGCCGAAGCTCCTCAAGCTTGGAAGGCGCATCGACAGAATCTTCCTCCACGAGTCGGATAGTCAGTTGACTCCAATCAACGGTCCTCTCATCAGGAGCCATTCCATTTTGTCGAAAGAACTGCATGTCGGGATTGTTGGATATGGCAGCGGTGAGCTGATCAACCCCTTTGAAGAGGGATAATCTGGCATCATCGATCTTGGACAAGATTCCTGAGCTCTTGTAGGGATATTTTCTGGTATTGTTGCGGAGGGCGGATAGTATATCTTGTGCTACGGGGTGATGCGACCGGTCATTCGACATAAAGATGCTGCTGAGGCCTTCGATGGTCTGGGACAGCGGCTGGAACTCCATATATGCCTTCATGCTTGGAGCGTCGAGTAAGTATTCGTTCATCGCGTGTGCCCCCTCCGGAAGGCTATCGGTATCATTCAGATCCTCTGGAGCCGCTTCCCCATATATTCCCTGGAATAAGCTTTCCTTTGCTTCCAGTTGCTTTCGCAACCCCTCCTTGGCAACTTCCAAAGATGTCGAGTTGAGAGATTCGCCCGTTACAGAATATTCCCCTATGACCTCGCCTGAGAGATGGCCGACCAACTCGGCATTCTCAGACCACACAGCCAGCTTCTGCCAAGTTGATCGATCCTGTTTTGGAGTGGGGAAACCGGACATTCTATCGAGCTGCTTCTCCAGGTCCTCTATCGACATGTCTTTGCAAGAGTCCTCAAACTCCACAAGTGCACTCCCATAGTCTTGCAAAAGTATATTGTTTAGCTTGTCTCCCACGATCGCGTTCATTACATGGGCCGGCGAAAGTGGATCGTTCAACCCCAGCAATGCATTCGAAACGACGTTCTGTTGACCTTGTTCGATTACGGAAGCCGTAAAGTCAACCAGCCACTTCTGGGGGTTCTCTTGTCCTTCAGCAAATACAGATGATGTTTCGATCTGCATTGGAGTCCTGCTATTTCCCAAGCTGTCTTGCGTGACTGGCTCTTCGGCAGTGTACCTGATCCTGTCTCCGATACGTTTTTCTGTTCCCTTGAAGAATGCTCGCTTGATGAGCTCGCTTCTTTCAGCCTCTTCGTATTCTTCATCAGGGGTGTCTTCCGGCAATTTGGATAAGGACGTATCCTGGGCCAGGAATGCAAGACGATGAGCACGAGAGGTAAAACCCCAAGTATCCTTCAGCTGGTGTACGGTCTGGTCCACATGGGACTGGACGTCTTCCTGTGAGAATGTGTTGGAAGGGGGCGGCGAGGACATGACGCTACTGAGTTTCGAATTGTTGCTTGGCAATGTAATCGATGGTATTGTGTTTATGGCCAGGCAGGACCTTTATATACATTTCGACGCCGCCTGTGTGCTGATGTAAGAGTGGAGTATAATGCACTATCCATGGCGAAATATTTCCAGAAACAGAGTTAGTAATAGGTTGTTTGAGCTTTTCTCAACCCACCGACAGTAGATCACAGGTGCTGTATATATCCGAGAACAACAAGTCGTTCAGAGCAACTATTCAGCGCACAAGCGGCGATCCATTGTAGGAAGCTCCAGCCGTGTTGTACTTTATACATAAACATGGTCATAGTTTGCAGCAGAGGCTGCTAAGAAAGTGAAAGGCAACATGGGCAGCATGACAGCAGACACAGTAGCACCTGTACACCTGTAATGTTGAGCGACTGTGCCTAGCGAGCTCTAGCTCGAGTGTTGCCAGCATTCTTCTTCAAGGCCTGTGGTATCGCGTGATGAGCCTCGTCCGCTTGTGCATGGTGCAAGACTTACCGCAGAGAACTCTTTAGCCATTTTCGAACCAGAAAACTCTTGCTTCTCTCCTCCTTTCTTCTTCTTCCCAGTAGTGTTCACCGTGGCCGATCTGTCTTTGTCGAGGTTCTCTTTGGCGCCGTTTTTCTTCTCCACTTCTTTTGTACCACCGTTCTTCACAATACCTTTCTTCACGCTCCCGGTTTTGACCTTTGCTACCTTTGGCAACGGTTCCTCGCTTCCATCGTCGGACGAAGTGGCCGAGCTTTCGATCGGATCAAGCTCAAAACCAGAGTCAGGAACAGAGTCGGAAGATTCGGGGGACGATGAAGGAATGCGTTTGCGCTTGGGGGATGATTTGGATGACCTCTTGGTCACGGCGGATGACTTGATCGATTCTCGAGGGGCAACAGCCCTAGCAGTTTCAGCATCTGACGCCGAGGCTTTGATCGTTGTTGCCGGATGATTCTCCTCTTCTGCATCCAAGTCCTCGAACGAGTTGTCTGTGTGATTCTTCGGGATGCCACTTTGGAGCGCTGCCATCGGCTTCGTCTTCTTCGGATGCCGTGATGAGGTCAAGTGTCGGTTTACTTGTATGAGATACCCGGCGAGATGAACGACGGGTCTTTTCAGCGACCGAAGGAACGGTGGCATCAGCCTTTGAAGTAGTGGAAGCTCGGGGACGTGGTTTCTTGTCGAGAGTAATCTTGGCCCTTTGCTTGGTCTTGGGTTCCAGAGTAGAACTTTCATCTTCAACGGACTTGTTGCCTTCTTCCATTGTTGGATCGTACACCACCTCCTCTCTGACCTTCTTCCCCTTTCTCGGCGGTGCTTCCGCTTCCTCGTCCGACGATTCGATGCGGCGTTTGGTAGGAGGCAAAACGTCTCCAATATCGCTCGAACTGCCCTCATCAGGATCGGCTCGCGGATAATCTTTGGGGATGCGCTTCCTAGACCTCCGAGGGTTTGGTGATACAGATGGGGCTGCAGCTTCGGATTCTGAGGCGGGCGGGTCGGCAGTCTGCAGCTTGACACTGGACTTGGAGCGGCGGGTTTTGGCCAGCGGCGCCTCTGCCTCCGACTCTGACTCCTCGGGGGCGGCCACTTTCGTCTTTGCGTTCTTGCCCTTGACCATCCCAGCTTTCACGGCAGACGGGGAAACCTCATCAGTCCCGGCTGACTGCAGAGTTTCGGGTCGAGCAGTGGGGATAGATGGGGATTTCTCGTCTTCGCTGGACGAATCGCCGTCGTCGTGTTCGGTATCGACGGATGAAGACGCAGCCTTCTTAGACTTCTCAGAGACCACAGTAGACTATAGTAACGTCATCAGCAACCAGCCCAAGGATAAGGATGAGATACAAGTACCAAAACTCACTTTCGCTTTGCTCTTCTTCTGCGTCCTGCCGACCGGCTTGTCTGTATGACTCTCCACACTCTCATCTCTCAAAGACCCCGGCGTGGCCTCTCTCCCGATCTTGATCTCCCCCGCCAAAGTTGAGGACTTGGTCTTGAGTCGCTTCGTCTGCTGCGACTCTTTTTTGCCGCCAGGTGTTAACGTGGGCAAGGTGGATGACTTCTTTGTTGATTTTGTCGCCTTGGGAGCTCGCTTGTGTGGTGTAGCAGTGATGGCGAAGGACTTGGGAGATGGATCATCCAGGATGGGCGATTTGACAAGCATCGGTCTGCGGGAAGAAGGTTTACTGCCATCTACCACCCCGTCAGCCATGTCAGTCCGACGAGAGATAATAAGGAACGAGCTTACAAGTCTTTGCGATAGCGTTCTTAGGGGTGCTCGAGATGAATCTGCGATTGACAAAGAGTTCATCCTCGGACTCGGAGTCTTCTTGTTCTTCAGACTTGAAGGGCACGGGCACTTTCTCCTTCTTTGGCTCAACCTGTTCCTCAACCTTGACTCTAACATCATGAGCATCCTTCTCACCCCCGGAAAAACATGCAGCAGGGGTCACGCTATTTCTTTTCGGCTTCGGATCATCCTCAACGCTTGAAAACACATCCTCCGCATCCGACGTGATCGTCGTCCCTCCCCGCGCCCCTCCCATCGAAGAGAATCGCTGCTTGCGTTTCATCTCTTCCACCTTCTTTGCTGGCGCGATAATCTTTTCAGACTTTGGATAAGGCTTAACGAGGTCTTCTACTGCTGCTGAGGGTGTCTCAGCTGGATCGGGGGTAGAAATGCGACGGGGGGCGCCGAGGTCGAGATGAGGATTCAGAGCGGCAGAAGGGGACGTGAATTTGATGGTGGTGGTATCGCCGAGGAGTGAAGTTGCTATGAGCTCGTGTGCTGAAAACTGCATCAGCGACCGTGGTATGAAGAGGGAATGAAGACTCACTGGCTGACCCCTTGTCATTCGTAGAGATATTGACAGATCGGACGTCTTGATGAGAATGACTAGAGCAGACGTCTGACCCAAGCTTGCCTCCCAACTACGTAATTACTTCTCGTTAACACCATAACCAGCGCTTCTTCATGTTTCAGTGAACTCACCTCGAATCTCCAGCCCCAGGAATCGATGTAAAGAAGCATATTGCCTTTGTCAAACGCTTGACTCGCGTCATCTTCTGCCGCCTGATCGTCCCCATCGATAGACATGCTTGTCAAAGTAAACGCGACAGGACGGACGAGCGAACTTTCTTTTGAGAAGATGTTGATAAGCTTTGCCAAGTGCTGCTAAGAGATCAGCATTGATCACATCAGACGCACAGATAGAAGATACGCACCCGAGGCACAAGGTCTTTCTCCATCCTCCCAATGGCCACCAGTCCTTCTTTCGCCACCTCGATGCTCCAACCTTGTTTGACGATGACGTCTTTGCAGCATTTGGTCCGTGCGGATGCTTTGCCGGAACCTTTGATGTGCTCTGGGAGGAGACGGTGGATGAGACGGAGGAGGGAGGATGAGAGAGTGGATGCTGTACACGGGGATATTAGCAGTGGCTGACGATGATAAGCGGGGGCTGGAGCTTACACTGGGAGGTGAAGAGAAGTTGACCGAGCTTTGTGCTGAGATACGTGAGTACCCCATTCTTGAGTTGTGTACTGTGGAAGAGACTCACAAGCCCAAAGTCTTCTGGTCTGTCAAGAGCTGGCGACATTCGTCGTTGTCAGACAGTTGAAGAAGAAGTTCTCCGATCTAGCGGGTTATCAACGTTTGGCCATGGAGACAGCCGTGTAAGACTTACGTAGAGATGCAAGAGTGGTCCTGCGAACCGACCTTCGGCGACGAGTTCCAGAACAGAGCAGAGAAGTTGAGTGACGTTTGCAAGCTCGGCTGGTTGACCACGGGCATCGAGCAGATCCTCCGTCTGTGGAACGTTGGTAATCAGGCGAGAGGGAGAAGTTGGGCTTGGCGTGTACTCACAAGGATACTACACTCTCGTCAGAACAGAAGTCTATGTATTGACAGGCTACTCACAAGCTAGTTAGACCGGTCAACAACCTCTCTGTGCGCTTGAGTAACCCCAAAGGTCCGCGGGCGTCTTCGGCGACGAGTAAGCAAGCTTGAGGTTTGGTCTTGGAACAATCGACGGTATCGGTAGCGGAGAGGACCTGGCCCATGATAGAGTGTGACCAGAGTAGCTTGAGTGATGCTGATACGGCTGCAGTTGTTGAAGAAAGCTGTTGGAGGTCTGAGCGCAATCCTGGGAGTGGTGTACGTAGTGGCACTCACGTCATCCTCGATCCATTCTGCCAGCTCCAGCGTCTTCTCAGAGGGCAGAAGGTCCCCTGCTTGCTATAGGGGCTGTCAGCTGACATATAGGATAATGACATAAGCCATCTACCAGACTTTCGTCAACCAGCTTGCGTCCTTTGGTCCACTTGAGAAGCCGCTTCTGGCCTGGAAGAGTCCTGTCTTTGGCGAGCTGGCTTTTGATCTTGTCAGAAGAGGCCTGGATGTCTTCCAGATTGGAGGAGGGCATTTCTAGTACGATATACGTGCCGATGGAAGTGGGGGATGAGATGCAGATGAAAAATAAGGGATGAGAAAGTTGACATCACCTCCCAGCAGATCAACCAACGCGACGCGTCGCCTTACGTAACTCACCTCTTGCCCGATCCGGCTATAGGTCGGCCGCGTCATCATTATTGGTCCCGTCCTCTGATAGCACACCATCCCATCCCATTCCTATCTCGCTTTCTCATCTGCATCTATCTCTTCGCTGCCCCCCATGCGCTTCACCGCCGCCCTCCTCCTCCTGCCCCTGGCCGCCATCGCCAGCCCCATCGCACAGCCCGACCTCGCTCCCCTCCAGGCAGCTCCCGAGGGCAACCACCTTGACGACTCGTACATTGTCGTCTTCAAGAAGGGCGTCAATCCCAGCCAGATCGCGCTCCATCTCAACGATGTCGAGCAGATTCACGGCGCCAACGTGAGTCCTTATCTTCTCTTACCGCCTTCCGCATTACAACCCGCCACTCGCGTGCTTCCTTTGTGGCGACCTGCCCGGTCTGGATCGTTCGCTGACCCTCCTGTAGCCTCTCGACTCTTTCACTGCCGATGGCGATGTCGAGGAGGGCGGTTTGAGGCATGTCTACTCTCCCCCGGGCCACAAGGCCGAGTCCGGTTTCTTTGGCTATGGTGCGTCGCACGATCCCGATAAGCCTGTTCCTAGCTGATTTGCCACTCCCCCTTATCACAGCCGGCAAGTTCTCTCTCGACACTCTTCAAGCTATTCGCTCTGCCCCCGAGGTTGCCTATGTCGAGCGTGACCAGATCATGACCACCCTCGAGGTCCCCCGCGGTGTCGACGACGTCGAGGAGGTTTCGGGATCTTCCGCTGGTATCACCACTGAGCGTGGCGCCCCTTGGGGTCTCGCCCGTATCTCCCACCGCGAGCAGCTCCACCTCTCCACCTTTACCAAGTACCTCTACTACTCTGAGGGTGGCGAGGGTGTGACCGCCTACGTCATCGATACTGGTATCAACGTCGACCACGTCGAGTTTGAGGGCCGAGCCAGGTGGGGCAAGACCATCCCCAAGAACGACGTCGACAAGGACGGGAACGGTCACGGTACTCACTGTGCTGGCACTATCGCTTCCAAGAAGTACGGTGTCGCCAAGGCTGCCGAGGTTGTCGCTGTCAAGGTCTTGGGTTCTAACGGTTCTGGTACTATGGCCGATGTCGTTGCTGGTGTTCTGTAAGTTCTGATTCATGTCTGTTGGACCATACTGACTCGTGTATGTAGCTGGGCTGCTGAGCAGGCTGCCAAGGACGCCGAGATTGCCGCCCACGAGGTCGCCGCCACCGGCAAGACCAAGCGCAAGGGTTCCGTCGCCAACATGTCTCTTGGTGGTGGTAAGGCTCAGTCTCTCGATGACGCCGTCAACGCTGCTGTCGAGGCTGGTCTTCACTTTGCCGTTGCCGCCGGCAAGTAAGTGTCTTCTCTTTGTGTATCTTGACCGCGCTGACCATCTCCTAGCGACAACAAGGACGCCTGTAGCTACTCTCCCGCTGCTGCCCAGAAGGCCGTCACCGTCGGTGCCTCTACCCTCGGCGACGACCGTGCCTACTTCTCCAACCACGGCAAGTGCGTCGACATCTTTGCCCCCGGCCTCAACATCCTCTCCACCTGGACTGGCGGCAACGAGACCACCAACACCATATCTGGTACCTCCATGGCTTCTCCCCACATCTGCGGTCTCCTCGCATACCTTCTTTCCATCCACGGTACCGAGACTTTCACCCTCCTCGAGTCTGACCTCGAGGCCGAGTCCACCTCTGGTATCTACGCCAAGGCTTATGCCCAGGCTTGGAGCCTCCTTCCCGGTCTTGCGCAGAGCATCCTCCCCGCGCCCGAGACTGAGCTTTTGAGGCCCGTCCCCAAGGAGGACTTGACCCCCGCTCAGCTCAAGAAGGCTCTCATCAAGCTCGCCACCCCTGGTGTGTTGAGCGACTTGCCTTCTGGCACCCCCAACCTCTTGTCTTTCAACAACGCCACCTTGCCCAAGAGCAAGTAAAGCCTCGTTGCGCCCTGAGCCCTGCGGGGACGTGTACGAGAATCGAGAAGAGATGAGGGATAGGGTATGAAGCATTCTTGTCATTCTTTCCGTCCTTCTTGAATTCCTTATACGCCAGCAGTGCAGGTGGACGTGTAGCATTTGGAATGGAATGAGATTGTTTTGTATATCATAGAAAGAAAGAAGTTGAACATGCATGTATGAATATGTTGCCTTGACCAGCTGGTCGAAGTTCTGGAGATGCTTGGTCTCTGGTATTGCCAATCTATCTCGCAGCCAAGCCCAGTGGGCTATTTGTCGTCTGCTTCGGGTGGGTCGCCCTTCTGGGGGCGCTCGCTGCTCCCGAAAAGAGGCGAGTGGGGAGGGTGGGTGGAACGCTACGACAAGGTGATCTAGGGATGATGGGGAGAGCGGAGGAGGCAGACCTCCTCCTGTGGCCGAGACGGCGATGGGGCAAGCCCCGCCGGGAGGGCACTGTGGTCCGTGCGAGGATACGAGCAGTCCTGAGATGAGGGGATGCGAGCTGGGGGTGTATGGGGAGCTGAAAAAGGCGAAGGATGATGTTTGTTATTTTGAAAGCGTCACAGGTTGTGAGGGAGCAGTGAGGGAGTGGGGGAACATCATCCACACACGTGGAGACATCCGCCATGTTGAACGAGTTATGTGGCAGTTGCATGTTGGCGAATTCTCAGCGGCCCTTCTGGCTTGCTGATCAGTATGACCCCCACGCATAAAGAAGGCTGGCTTACATCATTCACCTCCAGTTTCAGCCCCATCCACAAGCTTCAAAGCATGCGAAAGCTCTTCTTCCGCCAGACCTTTGAAAATGTCCTGACTGACCTCACACACCCTCACATTTTCAGACGAAGCGCTGCCCGGGCACCCAACGTTCTCATAAACTCGTCTTCAGATTCGCCTTCTTCTTCTTCCTGATCCTCCTCTTGCTCTTCATACTCCTAGTGCGCTCGGCCAGTCTCGGGACCGTCGCTGTCAAGCCACATATCTGGCCCAAAGAATGCTCTATCCAGCTCAACGTTGGCCGTGGTCGATAAAAAAAGGGCGCATGATCTTCAACCATGTCGCCGAAGTTGTGGCCTGTCGAAGGTGATCAACGGGAATACCGGACCCTCGATCAGACTGTCTCATCTTACCTGCATTTCCAGTATGTGTATCCCTCCCCTCGCTATAAAGCCGTATCTCTGCGACGTGGGAGGCCGATCAGACAGCCCTTTCAGTAGATTACCATACCCCAGCGTTTGAGAGAGAAGGCGATTGAGATCAAAGTCTGGGTCTCTGATCATGCCGGAGAGAGGGGGGCAGAAATGAACTCCACCTCTTCCTGTTCGCCACAGGTGCTCTGTTTTTCGTGATGGATTGGGCGGAGGTGGTTGTGCTATAGGGCGAGATGTGATTCTCTGGAACATTGGGAGAATAAATGCGGATGCCGAATGAGTAGCCCGCATGAGTATGTCGGGCCTTCTCAACCGATATCGCTCGTCTGGTTCTTTATTTTTGAAATGCATATGATGTCTGCAGTCATGATGAGCAAGGGACGTTAGGGAAAGAGCGATGCAACTCACTCGGCCATGAGTGAGTGGAAATCACTCGAGTGGAACGCCATCAACTGCCGTCCATCGGTAAATAGACCCTTGACATTCCCGAGTTCAGGACACTTCCCTATCCTGAAGTTTATGTGAGGATTTGGCGGGTTGTATTGTACAGGCGCAAACAGAGCTCCAGCCCGACGAACAGGTGTAGAAGAGCGCGTGATCTTTTCGCCTGTCTTTGGTGCTTGAAGCTTGCGGTTCGGATGGGAGACAGCCAGTGGGTTTAGGTCTTTATTCGGGACGGGCTCCGGAGTGAAGACGCTCCTCAAATGAGATAGTAAGGCTGTCTCTCCCAGGTCTCCTAAGCGAACGCGTACGGTGCCATAACAGGAGGGTCATTGACGGAGCGAATGTTTTTGACCAAGTCAGAGAAGTTGGTAGGACCGTTCATGATGGCATATAGGCAGTGGCCATGTGCTGTGGGAGACGAATGGAGGGAATAGTCGAAAGTACTTCGTTAAGGACAAGGACCAGATGGGGGTTATGTTCGGGTTATGTAATGGCATTTGCTTCCGTCGTCATCAGGTCACCCATCATTTCGCGCTCATCATCTCTTTCCTCCAACGCGTCGCCCCTCGCCATGATAACACCCACCCCTGCCCACGGAAGCAACTCCTACCGCCTCGTCCGCGGCACAAAACTCGCAGTAAGTGCCCCCATCCACCTCCCCACCCACAGCCCAGATCACCTCCTGACACCTTCTCCAGGACATCCCTCCCCAGCCACCCCTTCCCCCAGTCCCACCCCTCTCCGACCTCGACGGACCATTCCAGCTCGCAGAGTATCTCTCGCTTAAGGTGAGACATGACCCACACGACGTCAAGGGGCTGGTCGAAGTGCCTGGAGGGGACGAAAGTGTAGGAGGCAAGGGACCTGATCGCAATGTTGTGAGTCTTTCTGCTTGCGTCTGATCGTAGCTGATGGTGAGGTAGTGGATATACGAGCATCTTCGCCGGATTCCCATAGACTTGACTCCCCTTATCACCGCTCTCCTCCCTGTCTGCAATCGTGACACTTGTGGTCCTGAAATGCGAGGACAAGACTTTACCTACTTTTGTGTCGCCCACGGAAACGGCACCAGAGAGTGTTCCAGTTTGGACTATATCTTGCATACGCTGGACTGGACTGTGGCTCTGCTAAACAACCCTACCCACTTTCCTTCTCGGTAAGTCTCCAAAACCTTCGCATGAACCGAGCTGATGTGAAGCAGGATGCAAATACCCTCAGCCTCCCTATCCCACTTCCCCTCCATGTTCCGACGTCTCTCCCGCATCTTCTCCCACGCCTACTTTTATCACCGCGAAGCCTTCGAACTCGCCGAATCTGAAAACTCACTCTACGCTAGATTCGCCGGCCTTTGCGAGGCGTACGAGCTCGTAGGGAAGGATCTCTTGCAGATCCCCAACCCGAACGAACATATCGGCAAGCCCTCAACGGATCAAGAAAAGGAAGAGGAGAAGGAGAAGGATCTGAGGGGAGATGGGAAGAAGGAGAGAAAGTTGTTTGACTTTGGGTCCGAGCCGGAGAAGGAGAAGGACGAGGAGATTGAAGAGTCTGAAGATTTCCGACATCCCTCGCCGTTCACCCCTAGCACTTCGCCTCTTCCGAAGAAGAAGCTCACTACCCGCGGTACGCTTTCGCGCGGTAAAGCGCCGCGTACGAGTATGCTATGGGCGCACGACGCTCCTGAAGCTGAAGCCAGCTCTACGTCAATACCCGACACGCCCATACCCGAATCTAAAGATGGGCAGGAGGCGTCGAGAAAGAGGAGTGATAGTCTGGGAAGCACGACGAGCGTCGTCACAGCAGTGCACGATACCGAGTCTGAACACCCCTCAGAAGAAATCGTCGAAGCTGCCGAGACGCCTGCTGATACGATCATCGAAACGCCCGCAGCAGCCGTGGACCCTTCCGGCCCTAGCGAACCTGTTTCCCTCCCCGATCCTGCCGACCTCAATATCAACGAGACCACTCCTCCTGCCCTGACAGAACAGGAAGACCCGATTGACGAGGAAGCGCGGAAGGATGAGATTGATTTGCTTGAAGAGACTGGCGAGCTTCCTCGTGCTGAAAGCTCTGTTGCGCCGCTGCCACCTCCAACCAAAAGCGAAGAGGAGGAGCAAGCGCCAACCCCCGTCAAACAGGGACACATAGAGGCGTCGGACGAGAGTGGACAGCTGGTAGATGAGGAGAGCGGAGAGAAGGTGGAGGATGATGAAGGGATGGAGGATGTTGTGTTGGATGACGAAAAGAAAGGGATGGAGGATGACGTGAAGGCTGAAGTTGAAGATGAGGAAAAGAGCGAAGAGGCAGAAGGTGAGAAGGTTGAGCCAGCGACGGTGACACCGCGCCCAGAGCCAGTGGGCGACCTCATCACCGGGGAAGTCGGCCCCGACGATGTACCCGAACCCGCACCTGGATCCAAGAACGACTCCACCGAGCCCGAGCCCACTGCCTCTCCCGCGCTCGGATCATCCGAAGAACTGTCGCCCCCCCTCACCCCAAACTCTGAAGGTTCCGAAGGGAGCGACCGTCAGGACGCTACCTCCTCTGGGTCTGGTTCCGGCGCTGAGGGCGACAAGAAGGGTTCTGTAAGCAAAAAGACGAAGAAGAAGGCTGCGCAGAAGGCTAGGCAGAAGAAGAGGGCTGCGGAAGCTGCTGCTGATGGCGCAGTGTCTACATAATAGGGAAGTGAGAGATAGTTTTGGTTAGAAGAGGGGTTGAGGTGTGAGATTGGATATCTGTAGCATAGTCTTTTGGTGGTTGAAAAAGCGCTGGATCAAAAATAGGTTGTCTACGGTCAGTCTATGTTACGCTTGTGCATACATGCGCGAAGAACAGAGTGCTCATACCGAACATCGTACGCGAGAAACGAAGAGATTATGGGACCGCGGCGTCTGGCAGCACCTTGTTGGTAGCTGCTGACCACTCAACCATGTTCAGATAGACGAGCCACGAGGATACATATCCACAAGTATATTGATGATGAAGAACAACTAGAAAAGATAAAGAAATCGAAACCACGACGGGAACTAAACTACTCTATCACGAACCATGGTCCATTCTACACTTATATCACAGACTCTCTCAAATGGGTAGACTACTCAATGATATTATGCTAATGACTCAAACCAATGCCCTCTATCTCTAATCAACATTCATGGAAGAGGGTATGAACACCGCTCATCCCAGTGTCCTTTTGTTTCTTCTCTTAGTAGTTCCACCAGTCGCCCATCATGCCAGCGTCCACCGACGCATCAACGAGAGGAACAGAAAAGCCAAATGGCATAGTGTTGAAGGGAGACTCGATGAGCCCCGAGGAGCCGGTATCGTCCATCCCCATGTCCATACCACACATACCCCAGCCGACGCTCTGGCTCTCCGGAACGACATCGTTCTCGAGACTGGGGAGAGGAGCGCTCAGGCAAGGAGGGCTTTGCGGCATGACCAAGTACTCGTCGAAGGAGAACTCGGGAGCAGTGGAGCCGGCAGACTCGATGACGGGAGACATCTCGACGGTGGCCTCCACGGGAGTGGTGTCTGGAGTGAGAGAAGAGACAGACGCCATGCTGCAAGAAGCATCGAGGGGTGAGGGAAAGAATACGCCACCCGACCCCAGGCCCTTGGAAACCTCGTCGATGTACGCAGTGTCGCTCTCAGAGAGACCCTGGGGCTCAAGAGTAGGCAATTGGGGCTGAGAGACGCCCAAGGAAGACTGGGTGGAGGGAGCCGAGATGACGTTGTTGAGTGAGAAGCTGGGAGCGGGACTGGCAGAGATGCTAGCAGAGACCTCGTAGGAGGGCTTCACCGGGGTAGTGTGCGGAGTAGGGGGAGTGTAAAAAGGAGGAACGCCGAAAGCGGGAGCGACGGGGGACGGGCGGATGTCACACAACCTTGCGAGGCGCTCATCCACCTCTGTACCCATACCCAGCATCTGGTAGTCCTCAACGGTAGAAGGACGTTGGAAGATGGTAGGCCTGATAGGGGTGGGTGGGGTGAAGGGCATGAAGATGTGGGGGGTGGCGAAGCCGGAAGTAAGGCCAGCAGAGACACTAGCAGGGAAGGGACCGGAGCTGAGCTCGACGGTGGACCTGGCCGGGGTGATGGGGGTGATGGGGGTGATAGGGCTCATAGAAGACGTGCCGGAAGACGAGGCAAGGGATGAGCTGGAGGGAGTAGCGGTGATGATGCCGTCAGAGGCCGGGGTGAGCCCCATAGCGGCGAGCTGCTTGAAAGCCTTCTGGGACCCTCGCTTGCCCTTGGCGACGACGTATTTGCACTCGATGCCCTTATGGTCGCAAAGAGTGCAGGATTTGAAGTCGTCTCTGTCGCACTGCAAATTTGAATCAGTCTCTGACGGTGACGATGGGACGAGAATGCTTACCTTCCTCTGCCGCTGTCTGCAGTACTCACAAGACATGCTATTGCGCTTGTAGCCCTCGGCATGCTTCTTCTTCTCCTTGCCGCTCGCCTTGATCCTGTTGGTGTTGGTGGCATGAGCGGAAGACCTCGCTTTGGGCTTGGGTTTGTCGCCACTGCTACTGGGAGATGGGGTGAGGGTAGAGACCTGGAGACCGAGGGCGTTGTCGTCGCTGGGGGTGTTGTTGGTGGTATTGTAGGTGATGGGAGAAGGAATGAGGGAGGTGGTGAAGAGACTGAGGGGAAGAGGCGGTCAACAAGAGCCTGGGAAAAAGAATCGAGGCGGACTAACCCGCTGTTGTCAGACATCCTGAGGTATGGGTTTGGTTTGGGGTGGGGTGGGGGTTGAGTGATGTCTGTGGTTGGTTGTTTTGGGGTGTTCTCACGATAGATGAGGGTGGGTGTTGTAAAAGAGAAAGAGAAATGGGGTATGGGAATTCCCAGGAGATATGGGGCGGGCATCGCTCGCCGTCCTGAGCATCGCCTCAGTTCGCACGCAAAACTCGCACAGAGGGACGACGGTGAGCGACCATGTGCATGCATTTACTTATCGATACATATCAATTTTAGTACCATCAGGTGCGGAATGCCTCTGGCCGTATTCTAGTCCACCCCTACTGCTTATATGAGAAGCACAGCAGAAGCTGTCAAGAGAGTGACAAGCAAGAAACCAAGAATTGGCGGAAGTCTCACGCGCGTCCAATTTGGTTCCCCCCCAGGAACATGTTGATGGTACCTGAGGATTCCTGCAAATTTACGGTCAAAGGACCTCCCAAACCAGGCAATTGTCGTCGCAAGAGAGCGAGAGCGTACGTGCATATGACGAGCATCGGCCAGAGAGGGTGGGGACGGGGTGGGGGGCCATGCATGGTGAGTCGATGGCGCAGAGGTGTGCGGTGAGGTTGAGGCCCGAAAGATGTCGAGACGGTTAGCTGGGTGTCTTTTCGTGCTGCTGGTCGGGGTCCATTTTTGGTGCAGCATAGACTCATATGAAAAGTCGATGAGATGATACATGCTGCATGAAGAAGGCAGTCCTGCTGGCTGTTAGCGTCGTTGGCGGTTCTTTGATGGGTTGTGGCTCGCAACTCACTGTAGCCAAACAGACAACGTACATTCCCTCTGCAGCTCAGCCCCACGATAGTAACACAGTATCGCAGCAGTAACCCCCAATGACTACAACATCCGGCATGCGCGTAGATACGAGGCAAGGTGTACCATGTTTTGGGGGGATTCGAGTCGAGGAGGGCAGCGTGGCGGTGGTATGGACTATTCTATATTTCATTGTCCTCGGCTGGGTGATACAATTCTGTGGAGGCTGGTTGTTGGTTGGATGACGAGAAACAACAGTTCTCAAGATTCGAGAGCTAAGAGCTGGTTTTCGGAAAGGCAAAAGCCGTCTAGTAGGGAGGTGATGGACAAGGGCCGATGGCCGCAGGGAGTGTATGATTTCGCTTCAGGTCGGGGGCTTGTCAGTATATACTATGCATATGAAGGGATAAATCTTATGCGGAATCATCTCAGCTAGTACACCGTATACTTTTGCAGGGCCAGAAAGACATGTCGATCAACAAACGCTTACATTTCGTTGGGGCATCTCGTCATCTGTCTGGCGTCAAGCAACCATGAGCGGTCTCGCGAGATGGTCGCGCTGTATCAACTTCCCGGGTGGGATGCATGCTAGTAAATAATGCTGCTAATCTTCCTCCCTGTCAGTGCTCGTGAAATCAATATAATCATAATCATGGACGCCTTATGCGCCTTCCCCAGCTGTAGTCGATGTCTCGCGAAAGATAACCGACCCGCTTCCTCGCCCATCATGTCCAGTAGTACCTGCTGGAACGACCATAGACCCAGGCAAGTACACATATGTCTTTGTCTCATCATCAGGCGACAGCCATACCACCCGCTGATCCACTCCGCCTTGACTGAGATGATGCGTAGCTTTGGTAGACATGTATTGGCAAATCAAGACATCTTGGGCCGTATCTCGATCAGTGCGGCGGAGGCCGATGTTGCGATAACGCTCTGGGTCCTCGTTGACCAAGTCGTGATAGACACTTTCTTCTTTTTCTTTCAGTGGACGTGCGCTCTGCTGAGTGCAGCAATCGTCCAGCCATCCTCCATCTTCGTGGAGTGTAGCAGTAATCTTGCTCAAAAGTTCGTTCGCTACACTGACATTGTCAACATCAACCTTCGACGCGCTAGAAGCCGCCCCGGGCAGTGCATTGCCTGATACAAAGGATCCCCTCAAGATCCTTGACTTTTCAAGATCATGGCGTGAGTGGCTCCATATAGTGAACGAGCCGTATCGCTGCCCGGGCAGAGTTGACGATGGATGCCTCGTTTCTGCTTTGGGCAGGTCGTATTCTACGATACCGTTGACTGTTTGGGTGATATCGTCATTGGTGCTCTGGGGGATAGCAGAGTCGGCTCGGTTGGTTTCCCATGCTTGGACTGTGATTTGAGACATCTTCTCTAGTACTGTGATTTGCACTTCTGAGGCGGTGATGAGGAGGTTGTTTAATGGCAGTTTGATCCCAGTCGCCCTGGCTTTTATACCTTCTCTACAACTTCCCTTGTGTTGCAACAACACACACCAGCTAGTAATAGACCTCCGTTCTGAAGCAAGTATGAGATGCAGGCATTGCCCCCGTCGAAGAAGCACCGCTGTATCGTCTTTCCTCTTCTTGGCTATGAACAAACCATAAAGGTGGTTTACTTCATCGGACTTGTTGCGTTGATCAACGGATGTACTCTACCTCCATTGCACGGCGCGTATTCGGGTGTACTATGTCGAGCTTCCCTTTGTTCAGAAGTAATCAGACGCAAATCCTTTCATGTATGCAGCCCCAGATGACGCTGGTGGTGGCCGAGGCCATACTGGCTTGTGAAAGCCAATGCCACCTGCTCTCTCGTATAATTTCCATGGACTGAGTCTTTCCTCTTTTCTTTTCAACTTCTTTCATACACATGGACTGTCTCAGATACCAGTAACCAGAAATCAGAAGAAAGCTAGACCTAAAAAGTTTGAATATATAGATCTGATAGAACGACACACAAGCTAGATAGAGCGTGGGAGCGAGTGGGGAAGGTATGGGTTGGGTTTCTGGAATCGAAAAGCGCGTTCGGGATATGGGATATGTGGGGATCTATTCGAGTCGAGGGTGGTAGTGGGTAGGTGGTGAAACATACGAGATATACTGTACAAAGAAGACGAAAAACGTAAAAACGTAAAAGAGAAGGGAAGGGCGGGATATCAACAAATTCAGAGAAATGGTGTAAAATGCGGATGATGAAGTGGATGCTTGGGAAAAGTACAGATGGATGTTGTTGACCCTCAGGCCGAGGTCGAGTAGGGTTGAGAGAGATGGGGTTGATTAGACCCGTGTAGGGCAACACCCTCCCCTCAGGCTCAAAAAGCCACAAAGAGTCCCTAACGGATCGCCCCTCGCGCCCGCTGCACCTGCGCCCGCCCCAGCCAAACCGGGCCCAGACTGCATCTTCAACCCGCCCATCAAACTCGCCAGATTATCATCTTCTGACGAAAGCGATGAGAGTGCTGATTTGGGAGACAACGGCGAGGATGAAGAGGGAGATTCAGAGGCGATGGGGATGACGCTGAGTCTAGCTTCACCAGTCACCACGGCCGACAACTTGTCGCTATCTAACCCTCCCGACGGCCCAGAAGAAAAGGCCGACCAAAAGCTGGTAGCAAGTTTCGACGTGATATGGTTCTGCGCCGCCATAGCAACCTTTTCCACATCTTCCTTCTTTACCTCCTTCTTGGGCCCTTCGACCCAGAATTTGGGTCGGAGACCCTTGTCGAGACCTTGCTTGTCCATAGCAGCTTCGCGGGTGAGGCGGCTCCAGAGCTGCATGCGGTAGAGGTCGGTGACGCGGGCGTTGTATGGGGTTTGGTCGGCCCAGTCAGGGAAGGGGAGCGAGGTGGATGTGGATGAGGGAAGAGATGGAGCGGGGTGGGAGAGAGGTTGAGGGAAGGGCGTTTGGGTCTGGTGCGCGGGGAGAGGGCGCAACTTTGGAGAGGAAGGAGGCGAGTTGAGGAGAGGGTTCATGTTTGTCCTCGGGATGTCCGCAAACGACCTCAGCTTCTTCGGGTTGTTGACATTGGTGCTCGTCTCGGCTGGCGGCAAGACCAAGTCGGGGGTAAACATGGTATGGCAGACCGTAGGGCCGCCGCCAAACATATTGTCGTTGTTCCACCCGCCCTTCTTGAGGGACGGAGGTAGATCTTTGCGGGGGTTGTAAGTGTTGATCTGGTTGGAAGTGGGGCGGCGAACAAGAGGTGGAGGAGCAGGAGCTGGGGTGGCAGTCTCGGGGTGGAGGATGGCCATAGTGCTGGCCTTGAGAGCTTCCAATTCACGCCTATGACCTCATCAGCAACGCCCACCTTCTCAAATATGAAGGCTTACCTGAGGTCCTGGTTCTCATTCTTGGCAGTCGTCAACTCGCCCCTGATATCATCAATCACCATATCCCTATCCTTGATATGCCCCTCCAACGTCCCAATGTAATCCTTCCTCCTCGTCCTAAACGCCCTCGCACTAAGCTTGTTCCGTAACTGCCTCTTCTCCTTACTCGACAACTTTTTGTACTCTTCCGGACTCGGCCTCCAGCTGTCATCATCATCCATATCCTCCCCATCTTCTCTCACGACACTCGACAGACCACCGCCCTTCTTACCGCCCTTGCCTTTTCCTGCGGAGAAGATGGCAGAAAGAGGAGGGAGGGCGTCAATACGCGAATCGATAGAGAGCGATTCGTAAGAGGTGGAAGCGGATTGTGTGGACGTTGCGCGGGCGTTGCGAGATTCGGGGATAGGTGAGAGGGAGCGAAGCGGGGAGTGGGGAGGGTTCTGAGTGGTGGGAAGCGGGGCGGAACTCGACGCAGAGGTAGGCGCAGGAGACGTTTGCACTGTAGCAGGCGCAGAACTTGAGCCAGCGACTGCAACCTGCTGAGCCGGCTGGCTCGCAAGCTGACTGTCGGATGCGGGTGATGGCGCATTGAGCATCGACGGCTCCACCGTCAATGTCTCGCTCGACCCGCCCGCCGCACCAGGGAATCTCTTCTGGTACGCAATCATGCCCTCCATCAACTGCTGAAGCGCAGCTTGCTGGTCGGCAGGAAAGCCGGGGAAAGCCATGGGCGTGGTAAGAGGCGCAAGCGGGGCTGACGTAGAGGGAGATGGTCCGTTATCAAGAATGGAGAAGTCGAGGGGTTCTTGCTTGACCTGATCGAGACCCAGGTCGAGCGCCGCCGCCGGTGGCTGGACTTTGGTCTCGCCTAGTGAAAGGCCGACAGGGTAGTCGGGATCGAGAGCGGGATCGAGGAGGTCTTGGTCAAACCCATAGCTGTTGCCACCGTCATTGCGGAGCTGCGGCTCGTGGCCAAAGATGGGAGAGGGGGTGGCATTGGGAGAAGCAGTCGAGGGAGAGTTGCCGTGGGTCTACGCAAGGCGAGTCAGCAAAGGACGGGCAGGGAGGGAGGGGTCAAGGGAACGTACAGAAGACTCGCCGGCAGACTCAAACTCGTCAAAATTGAAGAGCTCTTCAAAGTTGTCGACTGGGGCACCCTGGGGGATGGCCATATCGGTGTCGGCCATGGGGTCAAAGTAGTAGCTGTGCATTGTGTCAGCGGGGAGGAAGAAGAGAGAAGGGAGGGGGGGGATATATGTTGTTTGGGGGATGGCCTGTGCGTGTGTGGTGGGTGGGAGTGCACTTACGGTGTGTTTGGGGTGTGCAGGGGGGCAGGGGGCGGTACGGGAGGGGGTGGGAGGGGTAACAGATGGAGATGCAATGGAGAGAAGAGATGCAAACGTTCTCAGGGATCACGACGACAACGGCGAACAGCGTCCGTTGCCCTTCGGCCTACTTCTATCGCATTCCACCTTCCAGTGCTTCCACCATGTATGCATGCTAGCTCACAGCCCTTCTATCCATCCCCATGCATCTCCCCATCACTGCACACCCCATGCCACCCATGCACACCCCCTCCCCCCGCCGCCACCCCCTGCCGAGGTTGACAAAGCCCCTCGGCAGCTCCTCTTTCTCAGCAGCAACTTCGGCGATCGGACATCTTTACGTAACTACCCCTTCCTCATGTGATCCCGCCGTACCGTTAGTCTTTTGTTCAAGAGGTGGCACTTTGTGAACGTGGCCGTATGAACGAGGAAAAGCATTTACCATACGCCTGCAGCATTTGCATCCACGTTTTATACATTCAACTTTCCTATCCCACCTTTCTCTATCAGCATCCTCTTTTTTTGGAAGTTTGTCTTATATAGTACTTTTACAAGGATCGCTTTTCGAACAGACTTGGAAAGAGCCACCGGACAAGTCAGAGTTGGACAGAATAAAACGAAGGAAGAGTGGGAAGGGAAGAAGAGACAGGATACTAATAAACGATATGAATAGCTCTTGCCGAATATCACGCCAGAGACGGTGGTTTACATGTACTACCCCCACAATCAGCTCAACTCCCACCATTACAACAAAGAAAAGACTCACCCAAGCAACATTCTCAAACTCTGGCGCACTAGCAAACCTCTTGGCGATCCTATACGCATCAAAGTCTGCAAGCTGCACCTTGCTGCCCGAAGTAGTCGACGGCACGGTAGCAGTTTCAGAGTCGTCATTGTAGATCCATGCACGTGCTTTTTCGGCGATGAGGTCGGCATAGTATGCGACCGGCACGAGCTATCAGGGGGGTCAGTACATGTTATTCAAGGCAAAGGGAGGAGGGCAGGAGGGACGTACAGAGACGGATCGGGTAGCACGGGCGTAAGAGTAGCACAGCACGTTGACGAGGTTTTGGAGTTTATCGGCAGAGTAGCCGATCTCGTCCGCAACCACAACGCTACAACAAGATCAGCACCACCCTCATCACATATAGGCAAAACGACGTACTAGTGGGTAGGCTTCGCTGTGCCCTGCAAACCGGCATGTGCCTGCAAGTAAAAGTCAAACAAGGCAGGCGACGTAACGCCCTTGTCAACCACAGTACCAGGCGGCAAATTACCCGTCCTGTCCCTGTCCTGGTCGCTCGTCGCAAAGAACCTCATGGCATGCCTCTTGCCGCAAATGACGAAAGTGACTTTCGGCTTGTAGTTCGGGAACTTGGACGCCGCCGTCTTGATAGCCCGCAGCTCATAGTCGAGACAGTGCGAGTACTGGCCCTCGGATACACCATCTCGGAAGAACAAGATGCCTTGCGGTTTAGCACCACTATTCTTCTCAAACGTCTTGATATGATCCGTAATCATATTCTCAAAGTCCTGAATAATCTCCACCCGCCCACCTTGCAACCTCAACGCCGGCTTAAACTTGTTGTTATTGCCATCCACAGCGGCGACGGAAACAGCAATACTAGGCGGAATGGAACCGCCCTTGGCAGGAGGATGCGTGACGTCCGCGCCAATCATCATGGTCGTCTTGTCAATCTTGTGGTCGACTTGATGGGTCAGACCGCCGACCTTGGCTTGCACCTTCATAGCGACGTTGCCACAGTACTGGTCGAGGCCGCGCGGCGACTTGATCTTGGCCGACTGGAGGCATTGGGTGACGACGGGTTTGTGGAGCCCTTCGGTGGCGCAAGTCTTGATGGATTCGTAAAGAGCAGTATCTCTGCTCTGCGGCAAAGTCAGCTTTATTTTCACAAGTATGCACAGCGAAAACGTACGGGGAGAATGACGAGGATCAACTGGGGGTCCTTCTTGGCGATCATGTATGCCGACTTGGCTGCGGTAGAAAGGGCGTTTTTGACGCCAAAGTTGTTCCCACCGGCGTGGGGGTTGGCGTGTGAGATTGGCGGCTGGGTGGTCTTAACGGGAACGCCGTAGGACGAGAGATGACCCGTAAAGCTACCACGATGTTAGTCTCGAGAAATTGGAGGAAGGGTGAAACGTACGTTCGGACAAACTCTTGACAGTCCTGGATGGTGCATCGCTGGTCGAGAGACACCACAGCCCAAGACTCGAGAGGCTTTCCGGGCTTGGTAAACTTGACGCCCTTCATGTTCCAAGAACTATACACAGGTCAGCGCGATATACCACAAAACATCCAACTCACCCGAAAGCAGCCCTCAAGTTCTTGTTACCCCCATACAGCACACTCGGCGCATTCAACACCCTCGCCTGCACCGTCAACATCTCCTTCGCCACCTGCACGCCCCACGCCTTGAGCTTGGGCAAGCTGTCATAATCGAGCTTCTGCCTCCACGCCATGATGGCGTCCCTTCGCTGTTGAGGAGGCTTGGCGGTGACCTTGATCATCTCGGCAGTCTGGTCTGAAGTCTGCCTGGCAAAGGGGATAGAGTTGTATGGCAGAAGCTTGACAAACTCCATGGGGATATAGTTCTTGCCGTACTGAACACAAGGCAGGCGGGGTCGAGTGACCTTGACGTTGTACTGCTCGGCAAAGTACTGGGCGACAGATACAGTTCGGTCGGGCTTGCCGTCCTTGCCGTTCAAGGTGAATTTGATGTTTTCGGAGGGCTGCGTCGTCAGCTTGATGATGGAGAAGATCCGCTCGGTCTTGCGGTGGGTAACGGTAAACTTGGCGCCACGGAGAAGACCGTTGAGTTTATGGACATTGATTGGCGTAAGCTCCTGTAAGGGTCGAGCAGGACCGGGGGCGCCGCCAAAGCCGCCTCGAGGACCGCCTCGGCCTCCGCGAGCACCACCCCTACCACCGCCGGGAGCACCATCGAGGCCGAGAATGCGAGGAGCGACTTCGACGAGAAGACCCGGCTGGAAGAAGGCAGAGTAGGCAGTGTCGAGCTGGAGACCACCAGTACCGGTGGAAGTGTACCGGTAAGATTGTTGGAAACCTTGGTAGAGGACACCCCCAGAAGGGAGGAGAGAGGAGTTCTCTGAGGAGGGGTTAGCATGTGTACAACAAAGCTCAACGAGGACTCACGCTCAGAGAAGAACTTTCTGCCGGCGGCACCAGCCATGTGGTACTTTTGAGCGGGATCCTGTCTAAACAAGACATTGACGGCGCCGATACCCCTCAACATGGCATCACCATACTTGGCAGCTTGCTTGTCGCCACCAGAGTACTTGTCGACTGCGTCGAGATCGATCTGGGTGTGGTCGGCAGGCTTGATGACAATCTTCCATCGTCGCTTGTCGTCCGTGGGAACGATACCGTCTTCAATAAGACCGATGACGATCTCGAGCTTGCCGCCTTCGAGGGGGACCTCCTTGGGGGTGTAGAGAGACTTTTGCTGGTCGTAGGCTCCGGCAGCGAGGGCAGCCTTGACTTCGCCCTGAGCCTCGTTGACCGCTTGATCCCAGATCTTCTGGAGAAGAGGACGGGGTTTCCTACGGCGGGATCAGTAGAAGAACTGGCAACGAACGGATTGACTTACTTGGCGTCCTTGCCCTTGACGAGAGGGTTGATCTCGACATCATAATGGCTGTGTTTGGGGTCAGTGTCGGCTCTCGAGACATGCATCGTGCTTCCCGACGGTCGTCATGCCCATCTCTCACACCATCACGCGTCCATCTCGTACCATCCCGTATCCATCTCTCATCCATACAGCCGACAGACCGCATCCCGACCGCCCTCTCGATACCCTCACCCATTGACGAAAATGGAGGCCAGACTCACTTGGTTCTTTTGACACCCGTCAACTTGACGGGAAACATATTGGCCTGCACATTGATGACCTTGCCACTAGTCCCGTAACCTACAAGAGAATGTCAGAGTCAGCTATATGCTTATAGCATTAGGGGAAGGGCCGCATGATGATATTGCGAGGGCGGGAACAAGGCGAGATGCCGCCCTATACGGTAGTGAGCGACAGGTGAAGGGACATACCGGGACGAGCGGGGCAGCCTGAGAAGGGGTCAGCAGGGGACTACGGGCAGGCGGTGGGTGGGACGTACCGTCTAGATTCTCGATGCCTTTGTAGAGAGGTTCCGTAGTAGTCATATTGGATGGTGGAGAAGAGGAAAGAGTGCAGAAGGCAGTGGAGATGGTGGTGTGGCAGGGAGAGGGCGGGCGTCGCCGCCTGGGAACAACAAAGAGCGGGTGTCAGGGGGCTACCTTCCTTAGGCTATGCCTTCAGAGGTCGCCGAGGTGTAGAGACGAAATGGTCTGAGAACTCGAAGTGAGTGGCCAGACCAATGCCGAAGGAAGATAGCGTTTGTGCGAGAGTGTTGAGTGAGAGAGAGAGTGTGTACTAGAGAAGACAACAATAGTGGATCGACGGAGTATCTACTGCTATGGAGACACGTCCTTATATACCCTGGCACCTCAAGTCTGCTTACTCATCATGTCCTCCGTCGAAACCTCTAGAATCAACTACATCGGCGAACCTGGTGGCGAAAGAATGTTCTCGAAAGTGGTGGAATGGGTTTGCTCTCTCTATCTCCGCGTATTTCCGTTATTGCCCGCAAAGGCTTAGCAAGCATAGAGCTCGAAGGCGGTGCTGGTGCAGCTCGGCCGTGGAGGTAGAACGGATGGATGTTATAGCCAGATGTTGGCAAGATGTGGGGTTGACGCGGACGTCGGAGGTGGAGGTTCGGGTGTTTGGTTCGTTACTTTGGTCAAGTGGCAACAGCCACGTGACAGCGGGTGCCTGGAATCTCCCTGAGCTGTGGCAGCATGCTTCTCGTCAGCTTCTAAGATATCACTCTCCGCTCCGTGGTTATGGAAATACTAACACATCATTCAGGGTACTGATATTCATTATCCATTACACCATTGTCATACCCACGCCTATCCCGATCACTCAACCTACATCCAATAAATGAACCTCGCCGGCATGTTGATCTTAGTATTCCTCCTTCCCAAGAGAGACCAACCAATCTGCATCACCCACAAATACATGCCTCTTTCCAACAGCTCCATGGTAACCGCTAGGCGTGTTGAACGAGAATACACAATGTCCATCTGCAGTCTTCGGCGCAGCATCCACCAGCTGAGATGCTGCCGTCAGAGCCTCAACGTAGCCATCCTCGGGCTGCGTTCCAAGGATCTGTTCGTTCAAGGGTTGGCCTTTAGACGCTTTGTATGATTTGGTTATCTGAAAGGCGTGATCATCGTCAATACCCAGACTGCTTCTGTAACGGGTGCTTCTGATCTTCCATAGCGAAGTTCGGGAGGAAGCAGGCCGTGTCTTGACATGTTTGTAGTCCTTGCTGAAGAAGGACTGTACATCCAGACCCGTCGATGCACCCTCCATTGGCATCCTGATATTGTCGTTCGCTGAAGAGCCCTCCATAGTGCCTTCTGGTGCTGTGCCTTGGGGTCTGGGACTGAGAACACCGTCCCGGCGAATCGCTTCCAGCCTGCGCGGCATGGGTGCCCTGCCACTGTCAAATATCAGATCCACATTTGCGTCCTTACTAGCCGTTACAATCCATCTGGAGTAGGCCCATCATCAACATCCTCGCCATCCCCATCCCCATCGCCTAGCTGCCCATCCCCGAAACCGCTCCTCCCACCATAAATCCTATACTCTCCATCGCAAAAAGTGAAAAAGTTCTTGACGGAAGGCTGGTCGCCCTGCGAGAGGACGTCGAGCACGTTTCGGATCTCTCCCTCCCGAGACGCAAATGACGGAGAAGAGAGCAGGTGCTGCTTCGTCTCGTTGAATTCATTGATGGACGCGCTGTCGTGCTGGGACGTCGCTCCGTCATCTCCTTCCGAAGCCTCTTCGAGGAGCACCTTCCACTCAAGGTTCATTAGCACGCCGTCTGTGTGAGGGGCGTTGCTGGATGGGGCGAACTGGCTACACCGCGATCTATCGGTCTGTACCTGTCTTTTCCCGAGACCTCAAGTACCTTCCAGTCTTTGCGGGTCGGTGGTGCTGTCTTCGATGGTGATGAACCGCGGTGGCGACTAAAAAAGTCTTTCAGGCGAGATACCGTACTATGGTAGGAAGACGAAGACATCTTTCGATATTATAACCGGCGTTGTGGTCCAAATCCAATGTACAAGTATGTCAAAACACCACAGCAGCCGTGGCGTTTATATATATGCTGGCAAGATCGATCCGTTAAGACCTACAATTTCTATGAACGGATGATGGAACCGCCTCAGCATGCTGGCTTGAAAGCAGAGGAGATATTCTGATCTATAGTATTAGTACACCATCCTGTCATCAGGTTGGGTTGATCATGACCTTCTGTGAATCAAAGATGTCTTGCTTGCATCCTTCTCTGCATAACATAATGGAAGGTCTACCACTGCCCTATTAGCGATCGTCTCAGAATAGCTGGATGCGCGTTATGTCTTATTTTTGGTCTTTTTACATTCATGTGTCCCTCCCTATCTACATACGAGCTCGGCACATTATGCATATTGATCTTTCCGACGATCTTCTTTGGGTGAATACTCGTTTCTCCGCGAAACATCGGGCCCTCAGGTCTTGGATACTGACATCCATTATCAATCACGGCATCGTCATCCTCACGCCTACTACCCATTCTCCATCACTCAACCTATACGATACATTTCTTCATGAATGAATGTTCGCACACCTCGCCGGCATGTATTATTTTCCCTTCCCAAGAGAGACCTACTATTGCCTCGAGCAACCAGCAACCGCCCATATGTCGGCGAGGGGTTCTGCCAGATCAAAGCATCAAGCTTTCGGTGTGGGTGCGGCAATCCAGCGAGGTGTGCTGACCTGAAGTACAAAGGTATCGGTGGTCGAGGCAGGAAGGGTAGGACATGCAAGGCCATTGGGCCTATTGTGCGAGAGGGGAACAAAGGGAGTGGTGTTGGAGACAGGAGTAGCGCTCCTGCTGGGCCTTGCGCTGCGGTGGGCATGGCGGCCCTTGCTAAGCGCTGTCGAGACCGGTACGAGTACTTGGCGCATTCATGGATGTGCTGTTGGATCACTATCCCTGCAGTAACGTCAGCACCATCCTTTCCATCGGCCCACACGGCTCCAAACATACACATGCGCTGGGGGTGACGAATCAGGAGGACGAGGCCAGAACGCCCTCTCCAAAGCAGCATATCAGGAGGCCGAAGAATACACGGACATTGGGAGGAGTGTTGCTGTGCTCTTGCTGGTTGGACATGTTCGGTGGGTTGGGAGTGGCAGGACCTTGCGTCGAACTGTAGAGAGAGAAAAGGATGAAAGATGGATTGCGTTTCTGGGTGACAGTGTCTTGCTGCCAACACTCGAGATTCGATCCCATCACCCAACCCCGTACCACCCCTTCTCTTGCAGCCCCCTCGTCAATATAGTCCTCAAGCAGTGGAGCACTTGATCAGAAGGAGAGGTCGTCATGTTCATCGCATAGGTCGTAAAGTGTGTAGAGTATAGAAGATGAGGTATAGAGCCGTTCAATCAACCATCAAGAGAGCAAGAAAAGCTGAAGCAAAAATCAAACAAGCCACGGGTAAGGGCATCATATACAAATAAGAAAATGTCTTCTTCAAACCTCAGACTGAGAGGGATAAGGTTATGTATGAGGAGGGGTAGGTATGAGGGGATAGTCGTGACAAAGAGAATATCAAGATGGCGTGAATGGAAGAAGAAAGATGTTTAGAGCAATTCTCCTGCCTCTTCCACAAGTCCTCCAAAGTCTCCCTCCATCATACTACTCCACAGATGCCATCCACCAAGCACCACAACGCCCAACAACACCAACGCCTTCATCCTGCTCTTCCTCTGGCTCCCACTGACGCTCCCGCTCTGACCCATCCCAGGCGCGGGCGCGTAGAGCACGGACGAAGAAGAAGGGGCGCCGCCGTTGAGGAATGAGAGGAGAGCGGGGGAAAATTGGTGTTTTGATTTAGACGAGATGGATGATTGGGACGAGTGGCCGTATGGGGAAGAGCCGGGCGGAGCAAGGGGAAGGGAGGTGGGGGCGAGGAGGACGGTTTGTTTGGGGGGAGGACGGGGGCGGGGGTCGACATGGGATGGTTCGGCTACCACGCGTCGGCCTTAGGGCTCATAAGGAGAGATAAGGAGACATGGGTACTCACTCAAGACGATGCCCGGTACTTCCAACGAACATTCCTCTTCACAGTCACTCTTCGGCGACGTACTGACCATCGCGCCCATCACAATCCTCGGGGGCGTCCTCATACTCTTTTCACTCTTTTCAGACATTGTAGGGCTCGACGGAGAAAGAGGGGACGTGGCCAAAGACCGCCGGGTTGGGGAGAAGGGCGAAGCGTACTGCTTTGACGCAAAGCCGCTGAAAGGCGCCGTGCTCGGCGGGGTGGTAGGAGGGGAGGAGGCGGAACTGGCGTTGGGAGAGTAGGTGAGAGGAGGGTAAGAGGGAGAGTTGAAGTCGAGGTGAAGACCTAGATAAACAAAAGAAGAACAAACCGCGACATTAGCATCGTGGTCTGGCACACTGCGATCGGTGGGTGCAACTCACGAGGCTTTTCAAAAGACATGATTGCGATAATGGCTTGTTGTGATATTTTTTTTTGTATGCTGGCTGAGTGCGAGATGGAAGAGTGCGAATGGATGCACGGTATGCGGTATGCGTGATAGGTCGGGCGGAGATGCACGAGATCAAAATCGTCGTCGGTAGGAGTCGGTTGTTGGTAAAGAGCGTGGGGTGTGAAAGAATGTGGGCCGGGTCGAGGTGTCTTTGTCTATAACGGCATGGAATAGCAGAGAGAGGCGGGGTGCTTTATAGGAGCGTTATATAGCGATGGGTGGGGAGGGGCTGTGCGTCCGAGCGCTCCCTTTAATCAGGAATATGTATCCCCGAGAATCGTTCTGGAATCGCCGGAAAACAGGGGTAAACAGCAACAGACACGAAAACGTGTAGTGGCTCAGGGAGGGGGAGGCGAGGAGGGAGGAGAGGGGGACCGAAGGAGGAGGGGCAGGGCGGTTGCTGTCGTAGCTGTGTGTGTCCCAACAGGGTACGGGGTGACGGTGATTGATGTAAAGAGCGTGGGTCGTCAAGCTGTCGGGGAGGGAAAAGGATGTGGGGAAGCTGGGCACAGTTACCACAGTATAGGGGAGGGCGGGCGGGGCCGCGGGCGACGTCAGAGGAGATGGGCGGTGGAGTGAGACAGAAAGAGAAAAACAGTCACCCACAGCAAACATCCAAACAACTCTGCAGGGGCGGGACGTGCCTGTGCCTGGGCCACTTTCCTGGTCGGTCCCTTTGCTTCCGTCGTCATTCCTGCTGCTGACAGCCTCACACTGAGTGCAGAACCGGCTGCAAAAGAACATCCATCTAACAACACCGGGTGACTCGCAGGCCCACAAATGAATCACACACGTCCACAAACCCTTCCATCCACGCCGATACAAGTGCATATATAAAGCCCATTCAAAACTAGAGATCAAAACCAACAACTACTTGTACAAGCCCTTCTTTCATTTTCTTCTTCTTCTTCCTCCCTTTCCTCTCAAACTCAACAACAAGAGACGACTCTTATATGAAAGGCCTCTCAGCCTGGGGCGTGATACGCGTACCATGTCGGAAACCGTCATTGTTGGGGTCGTAGTCGCCTGTGGCAGAGTGTGCTGTCACTCGGTCTGATACGGCATGTCAGCTGCCGTGCACACCAGGAGGAAAAAAGGAGACTTACTGTCCCAGAGGACGACGGTCCTGGGTTCCCATTTCGCGCGGACCTGGAAATCTTGGCCTTGGGCGATATGCGTGCTAATCAATCATCAGTACTCCTCGTCGCTTCCTGCAAGGAGAAGAAGACTCACTACAACAAGTTTAAAATCGCTTCCGACTCTTCATACTTTAACCCCACAATCCTCGTCGAAAACTGCTTGTTCACAAACAACGCCTTCTCGCCCGTCACCGGATGTCTCCTCACGAGCGGGTGCTCCGTCTCGACAGGCTCACGTTTGACGACACCGCCACGGTTACCACGGCGCGAGAATTCGGCTTGTTCCACACCAGAGTGGATGACGGTGAGTGTTTCGAGGTAGGCGCGGAAGGAGGGAGAGAGGCGGTTGTATGCCTCTGCTTTCTGTCAGCTCTCATCTCTCAGAAAGGGAAAAGGACGTACCAGTCTGAGAAACGTAAACCGTATCACCCCCCGTATCCGGCGAATCATACAAAAACAGTGTCGTCAGCCCCGGCGGCTGGAGCTCGTACGTCACATCGCTATGCCATCCCGTCGTCGACAATCGGTCGGCATAGTAAGAGATGAAGGTCTTTTTGGCGCTGGCTTCTCTGTAAACGAGGTGGAATTCAGGGAATTCGGCGGGTTGGCCAGAGGTGGGGTGAATGTGGAGACGGCCGAAGGTGGATCCCCAGGAATGGAGTTGCCATTCAGGGTCTTGGTCGATAAAGTCTTGGTCCCGGAAGACGACCACGCCCCGTTGGGCTACAAAGAGCGCGAGCTGACTAACTCTTCATCAGCCTTTATCCTCTGCCACACTTTGAAAACTCACCTCTTGGCCCGCTCATCCAACTGACTCAACTGCACCCCATGCACCTCACTCCCAATCTTCGGCGTCAACCTCACCTCCCTCTTCCCCTCCCCTTCCAAAAACTCTCTCGGGTTCTCGTGCTTCAAAGCAGCGTGCCCGGGGTCGACGTGCTCGAAAGGCTCGAGGGGAGGGAGGTGGAGGTCGTGGTCGTAAGAGGGGAGGAAACGGGCGTATTTGTAGTCTGGGCCGGGGGCGGGGAGGAACTTGGAGCGGCGCTGGGCTGGCTCAACCTCTTGCTTGGCCTCGGCGGCAGGGGCGGGGGCGGGGCCGGGGTCTGGCCCACCGCGGAGGGAGAGTGTGGCAGTAGGCGTTTCAAGGCCGGTGGCAGTCTCGAGTACCGTAGCGGACATCTTTTTGCTGTTCTTCAGAAGATCTGACAAGGGAGCAATACGATCTCTAGGCTGTGGGGTTTTATGTCGCTGGCAAGAAATCGGACATGGCCGAGCATGACGCCCAAAGTATTTCAATGCATCCCCTTTCAAAGCCCAGTGCAAATGCCCTCCTCGGCCCCTCAGTAGGTGCCTGGCAGCACGTCTTCACACCTCATCTCTTATCCATTGGCTACTATCCATGACGTACGTAATCATTCTTCCTCCCCATTGCAGCAGAACCGAGAATGAGAAGAAGAGAGTCAACGCAATAGGTTTTGTTGTGCGATGGCGCGATGGCAAAGATCGGTCATTACCGCTTCCGTGCCTGGGAGCTTATCATATCTTTGGGTTGCCGATAAGGGCTAGTAGGGGAACGGGATCGCTTGTTGGGATGGCGTGCGCTTGAGGTGATGCGTTTGGGGCAAGAGATGCGTCGAAGCGTACAGAGAAGGGGGAGAAGGAGAGGGAGGGAGGTAGGTATCTATACCCATGTATGAGCCATTGTGAGTGCATAGATGGCGACTGCTGGCGTGGAGAACGCTCGGTGTTTTGCTCTGCCGTTCGTGACTTTTGCCTTTCCCCTCACGTGCATATCAAATGTCGTTGCGCGTCAAGACGAGTATACACGACTCACACAGATAAGAAGCGATACGCAGCAGCAGCTTTTGCAAAAGCCAGAACCAAAGACACTTTTAAAGATCTAGAAGAATTGGATAACGTGAAACGTGATTCACCGACCAGAACTTCAACGCGAGGTGTGTCGTAGGTCATACCACTCCATCTCATAAGATCTTGCATCAAAAAGAGGCTAACGCCATTATGTTATCCCGTGAGCCGAGACACCTGATAGCGAGCGATACGCCATATTCGGAATCATCTGCTCGCTCACTTGGCACTTTCGTCTATCACTTCATCGTTCATCACCATAGCGGTCTAGACTGGGGCTTGTTATTTCACCGAAACACTTGTACCATCATTACGTGACTTGCGATTCTTGCAACATTGGTTGGGTGACACCAGATGATGCCTTTCGGTTTCCTCTCGAGCTTGCTTATTCATCATATTTTCCCTCTCATGTTTCTCGTTTAGGTGACGCACGGAGAAAAGGTTGAGAGACAGTCGGACTGCAGGTGGATATAACTGTATGTACCTTCTCGTGTGAATCCCTTACTCCACGAATTCCATCAACTCGTTCCCACCATGGTCTCACCACACGCAAAAGAAGAGACGCCCATCGCCTCACGCGACAACTCTATCGAATCCCTCTCCGCCCTCCCCTCTGACGAAGACTATGACGTCGAACGCAAACACACCGATCAATACCCCGTCAACACACTGACCTCTCACCAACCTGCCCCTGATGCCAAGGACCACCTCCCGAACAGCGGGAGTGATCCCGAGAAGCCGCAGCAGAGGCCGGAAGCTGCTATGGGTGATGCGATCTTGAGGTTTTTGGGGGTGAGGAAGAGGCTGCTGGAAGATCATCCTGATGCCGTGAGTTTGCCTCTTTGATTGTCAAGATAGAAGCTGATGAAGGATAGATAGCAACGCAATACAGCGAGCTCTGGGATTCCGACAAGGTCGAAGAATACAAGAAAATCTACATCCGAGATGACTGGGAGAACATTGAAGCTTTCGACCCGAGTTTCAGGTGGACCATCAAAGAAGAGAAACAGACGAGACGAGCAGTGGACTGGAAGATCATGGTACGTCTCCTCCTCTATATCTCTCACGGAAGAAGAAAGCTGATAAAAGAGTAGCTGTGGGTGTGTGTCATGTTTTCAGCACTCAACATCGATCGAGGGAACCTGTCGAATGCGACTTCGGACAATATCCTTGATGACCTTAACATTTCCACTGACGACTATGTAGGTTTCCCTTGATTTCTCTGCAGGCGGATCGCTAATGGGGTGTCATCAGAATTTGGGTGTGACGATATCCAAAGTCGGATTCTTGATCGCCGAACTTCCTTCTCAGCTCATCTCCAAACGGTTGGTCCCCTCCATCCCACCCCGTCTTCTTACCCGATCACTGACTTGCCCAACAGACTTGGACCGGACGTCTGGATCCCCATCCAAATCATCATCTTCAGTATCCTCTCCGGCGCGCAATTCTGGCTCAACGGCCGAGCGTCGTTCTTGGCTTTGAGGTTCTTGATGTAAGCTCCCTCCTTCCCCTTTCTTGGTGGCCATGAAGCTGATAGAGATACAGTGCAGTCTTTCAGGGTGGTTTCATCCCCGACACGATCCTGTACTTGTCATACTTTTACCCTTCTCGACGTTTGCCTATCCGACTGGCTTTCTACTGGATGTCTTCCAGCTTCGGTATGTTCCCTTCCCTCACTCTTCTATCAGACTTGCAGGAGAGACGGCTCACTTGAAACAGTGGACATCTTTGTGGGGTTCTGCGCTGTCGGTCTACTCAAAATGAGAGGTGTGCTGGGCTATGCCGGGTGGAGGTGGCTGTTCTTGATTGAAGGCATTTTCACACTCCTCATCGGTATCGCCTCATTCTTCCTCATGCCCACTGCTCCGGCCAAGACGAAGTCTTGGCATCACCCCAAGGGATATTTTACCGACAAGCAAGTCAAGATTATTGTCAACAGCGGTATGTCCCCTACGCCCTTTCCATCATGAATTTTGGCTGACGGATTGGCAGTGATTCGAGACGACCCCGGTAAGGCTTCCATGCACAACCGCCAACCCCTCTCCATCAAATCCATCTGGCGCTGCTGCCTCGACTACGACCTCTACCCCCTCTACGCCCTCGGTCTCATGTTCGGTATTCCCAAATACCCCGTCGCGCAATACCTGTCCCTCTCACTCCGCCAGCTCGGCTTCAACGTCATCGAAACGAATCTGTTGACAATCCCGAGTACGGTGTGTGGTTTGTTGACACAGTTGGGTATCACGGTGTTGAGCGAGCTGGTGAACAATCGGTCGTTTGTGGCGAGTGCGGAAGATTTGTGGTTGCTGCCGTGCTTCATTGCGTTAGTTACGCTGGCTGAGCCGGTCAAGCCGTGGTCGTACTTTGCAGTTGCGACGGTGCTGCTTTCCTATCCCTAGTAGGTTTCCGTTCTTTACCATTACTGGGAAGGCGTTAATTAGTGTCTGTAGCACACACGCGATTCAAGTAGCTTGGTGTAGTCGAAACTCTGGGTCGGTAGAGATGCGTACCGTCTCAGCGTCGCTTTACAACATGTTCGTTCAAGTCTCGGCCATGATTGGTGCCAATGGTACGTCCCTTATCTACGTTTTCTACCCCATATTACTCAGCTAACACATATCCACAGTGTACCAAGCCAAAGACAAACCCCGCTACTACAAAGCAAACAAGGTCCTCATCGGTATCATTGTTTTCAACTGTGTCGTCCTCTACCCCGGTACATACTTTTACTACAAGTGGAGGAATGGGCAGAAGGCAAAGGTGTGGGATACCATGAGTGAGGAGAGTCGCAAGGAGTATTTGGCGACAACGGAGGATAAGGGGAACAAAAGGTGAGTCTGCTAACGTTATCGGTTGGAGCGAGAGATGCTAACTCTCCGTTCTAGACTTGATTTCAGGTTTGCTCTGTAGAATCGGCGGTGGTGTATGGTCATTTTTGGTTCATATTGGTATCAGTGCCTTAGTATTATAGAAGTCCTGGGAGAGTAGGCAGGTATCCGTTGTATTTCGGTCGTTACTGTTTGGTGTTTGATCGATGATGTATTATTCGTTTGGTCGTATTTACATCCTCCCTGTGTCTCATGCGTCGACACTAGGGAGTACTCAAGTACATACATTTGCCCCGTAATACCGCAGACATGACATGGCATCAGATGTACCAATGGAAGGGAACAAAGGGAAGGAGAGGCTGTTGACGTACGCGCGATACAACACTGCCCGGGGGTCCATCCCAACATAAGGAACCCGCACATCACTACTGTCAATGGATATCTAAGGTAATCACCTTAGATATCTTCTTCATCAGGGTGTAGGCCACTGTGAACCATGCCGCATTTGAGAAGGAAGAGAACCCTCCATCGAGCCACAGTCGTCACGTGACTCAACTGAAGGGAAATGCCAAAGAGGAAACAGGAAAGATTGTTCCTCTTGACGACGACGACAACAGCAGCAATGTGAGGCTCAATTGAATGTATTTCTACAATCAAACGTCATCTCTTATAGTGCTTCTTCGAGGGAGCGAAAACGACGACCCGGGCCCCGTTTCCAGACGATCTTCCACCCACCACCTTCTTGATCAATGTTCCGCGACGTCTGCGTGGGCGGCGCTGTCTCCGCCTGATTGTCAGCGTATGTCTCGCTTGAAGGCATAGCTTCTTATATCCCGTTCATCATCACGGTGTCGAAATAACTCAAGTCTACCGAACGAGCATCACTCGCGTAACCGTCATCGACCCACCATGCATGGCCCCCCACCCCGTCCCCACCCTCTCTGGCCGATGCTCGTCATATGCACGTACGCTCTCGCTCTCTTGCGACGACAATTGCCTGGTTTGGGAGGTCCTTTGACCGTAAATTTGCAGGAATCCTCAGGTACCATCAACATGTTCCTGGGGGGGAACCAAATTGGACGCGCGTGAGACTTCCGCCAATTCTTGGTTTCTTGCTTGTCACTCTCTTGACAGCTTCTGCTGTGCTTCTCATATAAGCAGTAGGGGTGGACTAGAATACGGCCAGAGGCATTCCGCACCTGATGGTACTAAAATTGATATGTATCGATAAGTAAATGCATGCACATGGTCGCTCACCGTCGTCCCTCTGTGCGAGTTTTGCGTGCGAACTGAGGCGATGCTCAGGACGGCGAGCGATGCCCGCCCCATATCTCCTGGGAATTCCCATACCCCATTTCTCTTTCTCTTTTACAACACCCACCCTCATCTATCGTGAGAACACCCCAAAACAACCAACCACAGACATCACTCAACCCCCACCCCACCCCAAACCAAACCCATACCTCAGGATGTCTGACAACAGCGGGTTAGTCCGCCTCGATTCTTTTTCCCAGGCTCTTGTTGACCGCCTCTTCCCCTCAGTCTCTTCACCACCTCCCTCATTCCTTCTCCCATCACCTACAATACCACCAACAACACCCCCAGCGACGACAACGCCCTCGGTCTCCAGGTCTCTACCCTCACCCCATCTCCCAGTAGCAGTGGCGACAAACCCAAGCCCAAAGCGAGGTCTTCCGCTCATGCCACCAACACCAACAGGATCAAGGCGAGCGGCAAGGAGAAGAAGAAGCATGCCGAGGGCTACAAGCGCAATAGCATGTCTTGTGAGTACTGCAGACAGCGGCAGAGGAAGGTAAGCATTCTCGTCCCATCGTCACCGTCAGAGACTGATTCAAATTTGCAGTGCGACAGAGACGACTTCAAATCCTGCACTCTTTGCGACCATAAGGGCATCGAGTGCAAATACGTCGTCGCCAAGGGCAAGCGAGGGTCCCAGAAGGCTTTCAAGCAGCTCGCCGCTATGGGGCTCACCCCGGCCTCTGACGGCATCATCACCGCTACTCCCTCCAGCTCATCCCTTGCCTCGTCTTCCGGCACGTCTTCTATGAGCCCTATCACCCCCATCACCCCCATCACCCCGGCCAGGTCCACCGTCGAGCTCAGCTCCGGTCTCTTCCCTGCTAGTGTCTCTGCTGGCCTTACTTCCGGCTTCGCCACCCCCCACATCTTCATGCCCTTCACCCCACCCACCCCTATCAGGCCTACCATCTTCCAACGTCCTTCTACCGTTGAGGACTACCAGATGCTGGGTATGGGTACAGAGGTGGATGAGCGCCTCGCAAGGTTGTGTGACATCCGCCCGTCCCCCGTCGCTCCCGCTTTCGGCGTTCCTCCTTTTTACACTCCCCCTACTCCGCACACTACCCCGGTGAAGCCCTCCTACGAGGTCTCTGCTAGCATCTCTGCCAGTCCCGCTCCCAGCTTCTCACTCAACAACGTCATCTCGGCTCCCTCCACCCAGTCTTCCTTGGGCGTCTCTCAGCCCCAATTGCCTACTCTTGAGCCCCAGGGTCTCTCTGAGAGCGACACTGCGTACATCGACGAGGTTTCCAAGGGCCTGGGGTCGGGTGGCGTATTCTTTCCCTCACCCCTCGATGCTTCTTGCAGCATGGCGTCTGTCTCTTCTCTCACTCCAGACACCACTCCCGTGGAGGCCACCGTCGAGATGTCTCCCGTCATCGAGTCTGCCGGCTCCACTGCTCCCGAGTTCTCCTTCGACGAGTACTTGGTCATGCCGCAAAGCCCTCCTTGCCTGAGCGCTCCTCTCCCCAGTCTCGAGAACGATGTCGTTCCGGAGAGCCAGAGCGTCGGCTGGGGTATGTGTGGTATGGACATGGGGATGGACGATACCGGCTCCTCGGGGCTCATCGAGTCTCCCTTCAACACTATGCCATTTGGCTTTTCTGTTCCTCTCGTTGATGCGTCGGTGGACGCTGGCATGATGGGCGACTGGTGGAACTACTAAGAGAAGAAACAAAAGGACACTGGGATGAGCGGTGTTCATACCCTCTTCCATGAATGTTGATTAGAGATAGAGGGCATTGGTTTGAGTCATTAGCATAATATCATTGAGTAGTCTACCCATTTGAGAGAGTCTGTGATATAAGTGTAGAATGGACCATGGTTCGTGATAGAGTAGTTTAGTTCCCGTCGTGGTTTCGATTTCTTTATCTTTTCTAGTTGTTCGTCATCATTAATAGAAACTGTGGATATGTATACCGTGGCTCGTCTGAATATGGCCTGAATGTCAGCGTTATCATAGACTACCTCCAACTGTACAGCTAGCATCTAACAATCAGGAGGGCTGGTTAGACGACAGCGCGGTGTTCGAAAGGTATACGGGCGCTGATTGAGATAGAGGAAAGATGGGGGGTGAAGACAGTCCTTGGATGGCGCCGCCGAGACGCGATTAGATTCAGCGTGATGGCTTACCAGAGCTGTTCGAGGCAACAAACTCATGAGAACAGCCCCAGATTTCATACTATCTGCATTTCGAATCTTGTTGTACTTCTTCCATCTATAAACATGTTGTCCGAGGACCGTCTGAAACAACTTCTCTTTTCGCTCCTTTACTCGTACAATACCCCGACACTTATTCCTCCTCTTTGGTCTCCTCTGCAATCATATGCCTCCACTTCTTCTGGATCTCTACCGACTCCCTAAAGATCTTGTACTTGACATCCAACAACCTCTTCTCCGCAGCCCCAAACTCATCATTCCTCGGCTCCACCGCCTTGCCCTCCTGGGTCATCTCCACCATCACATCCCACAGCTTGTTGCCGCCCTTCTCCTTGGCCTCGTCGGCTTCGGCCTGGTTGGTGATGGGTGCGGATTGGCGGTCGGTGGTGAGGTTGTAGGCGTATCGGCCAAGCATGGCGGCGCCGAGGACGACAGCGGCGGAAGGCTGGGGAGGGATGATGACGGGCATTTGGGTGACGGTGGCGAGGAGGCGCATGAGGGGACCGTTCTTGGCTTGCGAGCCTTTTCGGAATGTCAGCATCCACCTTCTCCCGCCAAAGTAGTCACGCACCACTCATGTAGATGGAATCAATCTTGTGTCCTCGCTCGTTCATCTCGTCGACAATGTGTCTAGTCTGCAAAGCAATAGCTTCGAGGGTAACGTTGAACTTGGCAGCGAGGTCGTTGAGACCATCGTCGAGGACGAGGCCGGTGATCATACCTCGCATACGAGAGTCTGCGAGAGGCGATCGGTTGCCGTGGAGGTCGGGGTAGAAATGCAAGTCCTTGGTGAGGTGGGCTACCAGGAGTCAGCTTGTGGATTCTTTAGCAAGAGGTGTACGCACTCAGAGTCTTGGCACCCTTCTCCTGCTGCAGCTTCTCCAAGCGCTCGCCCAACAATTCAAAGATGTTCTTGCCAGTCTTCTTGGAGAGATCCTGAAGCTTGGAGTAGGCAGGGTGCGTTTGGATCATAAAGTCGATAAGCTAGAACAGGTCAGCGACGATCAATGGCGAAGGAAAGCGACTCACCTGTCCAGTAGACGACTGACCGCCCTCGTTCATCCAGAGGCCAGGGAAGACAGCATCTCGGTAAGGACCCCAGACACCGGGTACGAGTATACCGTCCTTGCTCTGGGCGATGTGGCAGGTACTGGTACCAGCGATAGCAGCGAGTCGGGAGCCGGCGTCTTCGAGGCTGGGTTGAGGGTGGCCCTCGCCAGCGGCGGCAGCGACGGTACCGATCCATCCGGCATAGCTGTCATCAAGTCAGTAATGGCTTGATTGAGGTCTAGAAACAGGGCTTACGCGTCAATGACACCAGAACCGACAGCAGTGCCCTCAGTCAAACCAAAGTCCGCAGCAGCCTTCTTGCTCAAACCCTTACCGACCGGCTGACCAGCCGTGAGGACCAAACCGTTCTTGCCGGGGATACCACCCAACGACTCAAAGTCTTCCTTGACCAGATTGTCAAGACCTACTCAAACATCAGCACGTGTTCAAAAAAGAAGGGGAAGCGACTCACCAATCTTCTCAAAGAACCTAGGCTGCCATCCGTACTTGCTGACCTCCTCCTTTCCGCCATCGCACTTGTGCTTCATGGTGGCACCAATGGGAACGAAGGAGCACTTGCACGTGAGCGAGCATGCTGAACGGGCAATATCGCTGGTGGCTTGGTAGGTCAGGAAGTCAGGGAGGCTGCAGGCGCTGGTCAGATGGGGTACCTTTGGTGGACATGTGCAAGGGTGCTCACTCGAAAAGCATGCAGTCCTTGAATTTTTCTTTGTTCATGTGCTTGTTGAGCCAGAGGGTCTTGGGGATCTCCATCTCGAGCTAGAAGGAAATGAGCGCAAGTCGCCAAAGGAGCCGGTACACGTACACTCATAGTCTTACCAACAAACTCAAGCACATCCTCCCCAGTAGAGTTAATCTTCTCCGCTTCCTCCTCCGCTCGGTGGTCTGCCCACAGGATGACATTCCACTCGCCCTCCTTGCCAAGGTTTTCGTCGCTCTCCTCGTCCTCGGTAGCACCGGTCCTAGAGACGCTCACAGGTTGTCCCTGCTTGTTGACGACGGTGAGCGAGCAGGTAGCGTCGAATCCGATGCCCTTGACCTGCTTGGGGTCGATACCAGATTCGGCAATGACCTTTTTGCTGCAGGTAGCGAGGGACCTCCAGATGTTCGTGGAGGATTGCTCAAAGATCCGAGCGTCGGTTGGGGAGCGATGGGTCTGGGTGGCCTCTGAGGTAAAGTGGGTCAATGATGACTCTAGAGTGTAGAGCATACTCACCAGCATGCTCTGCGATGAGTTTTCCCTTGCTGTCGACGAGCCCAGCTCTGCCTGAGCCGGTTCCACTGTGGGACGTGGTCAGTACGCACCGCACGGCCGGCGGCTCCACTTACACGTCAAAGCCAATGAAGTATTCCATGGAGATGTGTGTAAGGTGATAGTATGCAATGGAAGGGGATACAGGTTGATGGAAAGAAGTAGAAAAGATAGAGATGCAAGATTTGCAGCAAAAGAGCCTTTTACCAGTGTCATCATAGGGACATCATACCGAGGGCCCCGTCGGACATCCCCGCAGAGGCCCCGCATTCACAACCTTCTTTCTATTCAGTCGTTTGCTTCCATAGATCAGAAGCATACACATCCTGGTATTGAAGAGGGGCATTGTGTGCATTTCCACTACATACTACTACAGACTACAGGGGCAAGAAAACAAAGTGGTTATACTTTTTAGATAGCGAAATACAAAATCCACTACCGACCATCTAAGCCTCCAGAACAGTAACATTCTCATCCTGGCTCTTATTCTTTTCCGCCCCCTCGAAGTTCTCCACACCTCCTTCCTGCCATTCCCCTTCCCCGCGCATCTTCCCTCCAAGCTTCTGGTCCACCCTCAATTCACCCGCACTCTCATCAACTTCCTCAAAGCTCTTGTTCATACCAGGAGGAGGGAAAAAGTAGCAGGCGAGGAAGTAGACGACGCCGGAGATACCGGTACCGGTAAGCCAGGAGAGGTAGTAGACGCGTTGGAACTGTGCGGCAGGCAGTTAGTAGGGTAGATGGTGGAGTACTACAGGAAGAGGACTTACGCCAACAGGGACGATAATATCGGGTCGGAGGGCATTGATGAATCCTGGAGCGTTGAAGGCGAAGCCGCTGCAGAGCTGTCAGTATCGTCCTCGTATGAGTGAAAATCGACTTACACAAAGTACGCCAAGTATGCTCGCCAGTTGACCCCCATACTGTACCAATACCACCCATCCTCCTCTCCACTATAGAGGTCGTTCACCCTGATATGTCCCCTCCTCACGAGCCAATAGTCCGTCACCATAGGTCCCGCAATACACGACAACAACACCCCATACGATCCCAAATAGTTGCTGAAAGTCGCAGAAGACTTGTACAACAACCAAGGATTCATACAGATCCCCACAATCGCTGCGACATACCCGCCCCGGCGGATGGAGAGGTAGCGCGGGAAGAGGGCGGTGAGGTCACATCCTGCAGAGATGGAGTTGGCGGCGACGTTCAGGAGGAGTTGGACGTAGACGAAGCCGGCGGCGATGAATACGAGACCGGCGCGGGTGGAGGAAGAGCCGTCGTCGAGCATGGCATCCATGATCTGGTCCGACGTCAGCTCACAGTCTGTTACTTGGAGTATATAAGACTCACCTGGACCACGTCCCAGATCTGCTCACCAAACTGAGGCGCACTAGCAGAAGCAATCACAATGCCCAAGAAGCTCGTGATCGAGAACCCAATAGGCATCGCAATGATCTGAGGCCAGACAGCTGCACTCGGCTTTTTCGCGCGACTGGCAAAGTCGCAAGAGTTGGTGACGAGCGTGAACATGTTGTTGAAGCACGACGAGATGGAAATGATCATCTGCCAGCCGAGCGCACTACCAGAAAGTGTCGCTCTCTGCGAAAAGACGGGACCGATGCCGCCTGCTCGAGTGATGGACCAGCCGAACAAGGTGAAGCCAACGATGGGACCGACGATAGCTTTGCCAAGGAAGAGCCACCGCAGTTTGTGGATTGGTACCCAAATAGTCGGCAAGGAGAGTATCCAGTAGAGGACGAAGGCTATGATGTAGGCGGTGGTGGTTTCGGTAGACTCGGGCATGGAATTGTGGATTCTCGCAAAGGACGGCCATATGGCGCGCACTAGGACGTACATGCACTCTCCACCGAGCCATCTATCAAGGGATCAGCTTGGGACAAAGATAGCCAAAGAAGAACGTACGATTGAACACCCCACCAGATACAAGCCATCGCCGCTCGGTTGAAAACGGGCCAGAGCGAACCAAATACTCCAAAGGTTGTACGACAAGCAGCGGGGAAGACGATACCGTGCATTGCTCCCTACTTCTGGTCAGCTTGAAACAATCGGAAGATAGGGGAGACATACTGGACGAGCGTTCAGAACGAGAAGAGGGCCGACCAGACTATATCCCACAATGACACAGACCAAAGCTGCTCCAGATATCAGCGACAGCCTTTGAAGATGTTGCGGAACTCACACTGCCACCAATTCAATCCGGAACTCATCATCGAACTCGCAATCGTAAACGTATTCAAGTTGAAACTGTCTGCTACCCAAAACATCACCTAACGCACCCATCATCAGCATTCCGCCCCAACATCGTCAAGATGATAGCAGACCCACAAAGTTCCATGAATCCCACGTCTTCTTGTCTTCGGTGACCGGTAACAGATCCTCCGTAGCGAGAAACATTTCTTTTCTAGAGAGGCCTTCCGCATGGTCGCTTTCGAGTTTTTTGAGCAGTGTTCTGGCGCGCAGCGGCATGGTGGCCGATGTGTTGGACTGTTGAAGGATCTTCTAGAGGACGAGTCTGTATCGTATGCGGCGTGCTATCAGATCGTTTTTGAGCTACTCTGCTAGGGCGCACAATGTTGTGGGAAAGGGTAGGGCCGTAAATTTGGACAGTCTGATATGAACAGCCCATCACACTTATCTCTGCGTCGCACTCCTAGCCTCCCTCGCATACCAGCGTTGTGAAATTCGTTAGATGTCCGTAATTTTTGCTATCTCCCATCGAAGCAGCCAATCATGTTCAAGATCGGAATGAAACAGAGGAGTGGGGAGGTCGGGGTTCAGGAAAACCTTGATAAGCAGATTAGTTGGAGTTGGACTGAACACGTCATAGGTCCGGCAACTTGCAAGAGTGATCTTCCGATGTGTGATGCATGGGGCTGCATTCTCCATTGAGCGCTGGCCGAAACACAGCGGCACAGAACAAAGAGGGTTGTTTAGCTGTGATAGGTACCACTCAGCAGCCCCTACCAACAACATGCACTGCAGCCCCAAGGCAATGGACGGAAAGACAACGAGCTGTACTGACCGTGGCTCGTTTACAGATGGGTACTTGGCGACTTGGCGTTGGCATAGCCGCTCCATATTGGCCAATGGCGGGACTCGGAGGCCCATGAAAAGATAGGGAAGACTCGCTTGTTTTGTTTGCTGCGCGCTCGCTAATAGATCGCCGCTGCAACTTGCAAGCGCCGTAAACGTAGTAGTTAAGCGATGTGCCCTCTTCAAACTTCAATTGCTGCTATGTTTCTTGCATATATACGTCTCTATATTCGCCTCAAAGAGCCAGTATCCATGGAAGGTAACTGCTCAAAAATCCAGATCAGTGACGGTACCACACGTCCGCACCTTGCTTTACGGGCGGTAGTCAAGTTTGACCTTTTGGGTATATGTCCTTGACTTTCTCTGGTCAAGCGAGGCTTTTACCAACATCTATCACGAGTCTGGGGAGCCGAGTCAGTCAGAACTGGAATATTTCGACAAATCATCCTTGCCAGCCAAGTCAAGATTATCGAGGGAAAATGACCGTCATTTCTGTAAAGTCAGATACAACAGACATTTGAATTGATTAAAGAAGTCAGATGTTCTAATATACCCGGGTGTCAAGATATTTTCTTCTAAAATGCCCGGGTGTGCATATCTGTAGATCTAGAGTCCCAGGGTGTTTGGCCATTCACCCCATCTCGATATGAGTTCCATCTTCCGAACGGCTGACCTGTTACATACTCGTGTCTTGATGTCGCGTCATCCGGGTACCGTGAGTTCGAGGACGCATGCTTCATGGTCATCATCTCCCAGCTCTGAGATATACACATACACCTTCTTGCTCTGTTACGTACGTGAAGTTACAGGACGTGTGCTTCCATGCATCGTCGCCTCCTCTCACACTTCGACCATCACTTTCATCCACCAATCGACTCATCTCATCAAGGACCCTCCACACCATCCCTCGCCATCTGTTGTCTCCTTGACATACTACACTCTCGCCATGTCTGCCACGTTTGAGCACGTCCCATCCTGCGATTCTTTCCCCCACATACCTCCAAGTGCCCCAACAGCCAACAGCCGGCCTGACGAAGCCACATCCAACCACATCACCACAGAAGACTCGTCTATTCGTTAGGATTATTCGGTCTGATGGAGAGCGGTTGGTTTACGTTTGCGGGAGTCTTGTCGAACATGAACAAGAAGGAGGAACCCCCAGCCCTGCGGATTCCGCTTTTCCATTTATTACAACGGACGCTCCAAAAAGTGGCAGGTCTCTCGCGAGAACAAGAGTGAACTGGTTACAAAGCACAGATGTAGCCCCAAACCTGGGGGTAGGGCTTCTCAAAACAGAGAGGTGTTTGTGGAAGCGATGGTGAGTACCCGCCTCGTATACAATTCTCGGGTACTTATAGTCAATTGCAGCTCCGAAAGTTCTGTACTGTTGGGGGTACTGGCACAGCCAGAGATCGCCAGAGCGACGGGCATAGTCCTTTCTCTTCAAGCTATCAGCAAAGCACGACGGGGTATCATGCTGGAGATCCAGAAGGACGTCCCATTAACAGGCCATACTCCAGCGCCAAAACAAAGCACGCAGAAGGTCGCCGCCGTTACTCGTACCACAGCGACACAGGTGAAGGCGAACAACCCGAAGTCGAAGGGCAGAAAGACTGAAAGGTGCAATGTTTGTGGAAAACCAGGGCACGACGACTCCACCTGTCCCATCAATGTGGGAGTCATTGAAGAGGCAGAGACAAGCAAAGGCAGAAGGCGAGGCGGCGATACAGGCCAGGCAAGACGAATGGCGGCGGAGCGGGGCCGATAATTGGCGTGAATGGTAGGAGTAGGCATGGGAGATGGAGTTTGACTTAATATCCTATCGATGTGCAGCTTGTGCATGGCGTTTGAGCTTGTTGGTCAGTATCCCAAAGTGGAAAGTGATACGGGTCGGTCTGTTGCTGCGCAGAAGACGGACATGGCCGCAAACGTTGAAACGCGCCAAGGAAGCTGGAAGAGTAGTACGGCGTTTGTCCGGTGCCTCGTCTTCTCTTCCTTTGCTTTCTTATTGTTCAACAGGGTCGTCTCTGGTTAGCCTGGAGGCTATTGCAGCCAGAATGGTTGTCCATTTCGCTGAGAGTCGAGGCAAAGGAGGAGCACCAGGCAGCTTGACCAATCAGCTGGATCAGCTGCAGCGTGACAAGCTTGCGTTCTGGGGCCATGCTGTTGTCACCAATAGTTAGTGTCGATCTACTCGGGTAGGGCTCCACTTTCTTGGTGCACCCACAATCCTCATGGGCATCTTGTAACTTGTATACTACCACGTTGAATGATGATGGGAGCTGTCTCTGATGTATGCATTTTGCGCAGCACAGTGGCTGCCCACACTTGCCGACATGGAAGAACGTCGTGGTCGTCTCTCATCCAATATCTCTTTCTCCTCTCTTGACCGACGACCCGACGACTCCGACGACTCCGACGACTCCGACGACCAACTGAATCATTGCCTCATTCAGAATACCATTGTTCCCCATCTCTATCAATTAATGGGCAGGGCAGGGCAGGGTATGCGCGGGGTAGTGCTGACTGGCACGAAGGAGGCTTGTAACTGTTGCAGGGAGGGATGTGCACAGACCATGTCCTCGAGCCAAGCAATGATGTATACACCGTTTCATTGTGTACTCGAGAACACAATGCTTTCTCATCTCTACATTCCCATTCTTCTCTTTCTTTCCAACGACTGGGCAGAGAACGTCTGCTTTGTCCTATATACAAGCACGCCTCTGCATAGCCAGCCACCACAGCCAGCCACCACACGCCCCTCTCGGCACCCACGCTCCCTTAATTCACCCGCCTCGCTTCACTCGGTGTACTCCCCAGCATCACCCATCCCATCACCGCAGTCGCCCATCCCCTCCCGCCAGCAGCTGTACCAGCAGCTGTACCAGCAACGCCCCCTCTCTTCTCTCTTGCATGCCCTTGCATACATATATCTCGAGAATCAGGAGGCCAGGACCCAGCATAACGGCCCCACCCTGCATTAGGGCAGTTTTCCCTGAAAGACGCGTCGAAAGTCAAAGTCAAATCCTGCAGCACTGCCTTCTCGAATCTCGCCCGCGCCGCGGTCACGCAAGGCGATCTTCGATTCAGCAAAAGCGCGTTCTGGATCTTTCCTCTTTCTCGTGGGTTTTGTTCTGTACATATCTCTTTACCCCCCTCTTCGTCTCGACCATCTCCCACCTCCTGGCCGGCCCAGTCACTGACCTTGTTGATCAAGCTCGTCTCTCGTCCCGCGTCAAGTTTCTCCTCGCCCCTCGCCTCGTCGATCTTACATTTCTCGACACACCGTTCTTTGGTTAGAACGATACATACATCAAAGTAGAACCGCTACCGGCTAGCATTCTCATCCCCCGATCTGTTATTCCTCGGCTGTTCTGTATAGATCTTTTTGAAAAAGAGAAAATCCTTTGAGTGAGTCCCGGTTTCGCTCCTTTGATAAGAGCCTTTCGCGCTTTTCTAGCTCAGCTACCTCGGTTTTGATGAGCTGTAAAATCCTGAGAGATGCAAGGGAGAGAAGAAGCGCAGTTTGCTAATGCTGAAACGCCATAGGAGGTTGATCCTTTCTGATTAACGACTGTGAGTCTTGTCGATGACGCCGGGCTCGCCTCATCCGCTCTCAAGAAGACTCCTCAATTGACTCACCGCTGACTGTTGGCCATCTCATAGAGTATAGACGCGCATCTCCCCTATATTTTTCAAAAGAGCCGGTCGGCTCATCCAAAAACACACCTCCTATCCCTACTCCACGAACGATGCTCGCCTCCATTCTCCTCCTCGCCCTCCCTCTGGCCCTCGCCAACCCCGTCCCCACCTCTTCCCCCGCCGCATCACCTAGCTCCACCTCTGGCGGTTTCTCCGCCCGGCTCTCACACGGCCAAGGCGCCATCGCCCGCTCCAACTCTTACGCCAACGCCAAGCGCGGCCTCGTCGCGCGCGTCGACGATGAGGGACTGCCGCCGAGTTGGTTGTTGTGGGCTGGGGCGAGGTTGGATGCCAAGTACGATGGCGCGAATGGGTTTAAGGAGGCGTATGCGAAGGAGATCACGAAGCGGGCTGATAACGGTGAAATCTCGTGCGTCCTCACATCGAAAAGGGGAGATGGGACTGACAGAGATATAGATTGACAGACCACAACCTCGACACTTCCTACTCTGCCTCCCTCTCCGTCGGTACCCCCGCGCAGACACTCGACATTGTCCTCGACACCGGCTCCTCCGACCTGTGGCTCGCCTCGGACAAGTGCTCCACCACCGCCTGCTCATCCATGGACGAATACTCTCTCTCCAACTCGTCCACCGCCGTCAACTTGTCGACTTCATTTTCAATTGAGTATGGGAGTGGGAAAGCGAGTGGAGCGTTGGTGCAGGATTTGGTGACCCTGGGCGGTTATTCGGTCGCGAGTCAGACGTTTGCGGCTTGCGATAGTGTTAGTACGGGGCTGCTGAGTACGGGGGTCAGTGGGATTATGGGGCTTTCGTGGCAGGCTTTGGCTTATTCCAAAGGTGGGTTTGAACACGAGCGTTGATGGGGAAGAGCTGATAAGTGTAGCGACGCCATGGTGGATCACCCTTGCCAAAAGCTCGACCTGGAGCCAACCCCTCTTTGCTTTTTACCTCGCGCGATACCGCAACGTCGCCGGCGCCACCGCCAAAGAGACTGACGGCGGTACCGCCACTTTCGGCTACCTCGACTCTTCCCTCTACACTGGGGACGTGACCTACGTCGACGTCGACGATGACGCGCAGTATTGGCAGATTGAGATGGCCTCTGCTACCATCCAAGGCTCTTCCATCTCGCTCAACTCGTCGTACAACATGGTCGCGATTGATACCGGCACAACCCTCATCGGTGGGCCCCAGTCCATCGTCGCAGAGATCTACTCCAAAATCGACGGTGCCCGGCGCATGACAGGCTCTTATGCTTCCTACTACGAGTACCCCTGCAACACTTCTGTCGAGCTCGACTTGACGTTTGGAGGGTACACGGTCGAGATTACCGACCAGGATTTCAACCTTGGGAGGTACTCTTCGGATACGTCCATGTGTACCGGGGCGGTGTATGTGCAGTCGTTGTCTTCGTCGTCGCCAGTGCAGTGGATTGTGGGGGATGCGGCGATCAAGAATACGTATACTGTTTTCCGATACAATCCGGCGGCGGTGGGTTTTGCTGCTCTGGCTGGATCGGTGACCTCAAGTGAGGCCGCGCAGTCTACGACCATTGCGGACATCTCGTCTGTGCTGGCTGCTGCTTCCAACTCGGCTACTGCTTCCAGCTCGGCTACTGCTTCCACCACTTCCGCTTCCTCGTCTTCTGCTGCTACCTCGTCTACCGCTACTTCTTCAGAGGCAGCAAGCGCTACCAGCAAGGCAGCGTCCGTCTCGTCCGAAGCGCCGCACGTCGTCAGTGTTGGGTCATCGAGTACCGAGACGATCGGCAGTGCTACAGCTTCTGAATCGGATAGCGCTGCGGCAGCTTCAGCTACGAGCGGGGCTTTACCTCTATTCAGTTCCAGTCGATGGGTTGTAGCGCTCTTGAGCGCTGCTGTAGGCGTGTTGTTGCTGTAAGATTTGTCACCTTTTTTGCCTTTCTTTTTGGAGCTCTTTTACAAGATATAGTCATCCTGCATTTGTTTGTTTATTAGTACCTAGTCAAACCATCTCTTCCTTTCAAATCATCATCCATCCAAATCAACTGGAAACGGTCATCTTTTTTACGTACCATTGTGCTTAGGATCTCAACGTCTCTCGTTCATGCTATGCTCTGCTTTCTGCATTAGTCCTCTAGCCTCTAGGAATGCTTAAAGGCATATGCACTCTTTTGCGTTTTCTTCTCGAGCAAGCACAAATCACCCTCCTCTTTGCTCCCGCCATTTGCCCCCGCCTCGGCAGGACGGAACTCGGGTACCCGTTGCTGCGGGACAATCAGTCGCTCTGTGTTTCAAGTGTGGTCGCCAACGACCTCCCTCTGCCGCGCCCCCTGTGCGCCTTGTCCACAACCTAGACGACAGCCCCCAAGCGAAAACCCGTCCTGCTCTGGAATCACCGTGATCACCAAAGCCCAGACACCCGCCCTGCGCCCCCCTCCTGTGGACCTCAAAGATGCGGTGAAACTGACAAGCCCCTCGCCTCTTTTTGATGCTGTAGAGCCGGAAGGACAGGCCAGGGTGGGGGATCAGAGTACGAAAGTGGAGGATCGCACAACAATTGAGTTACTGTGTGTAATACATAATGGCCGGGGCGTGTCATCGACCAAAAGCCCCAGTTTGGCCGTGATGGCTCACGCTATCTCTGAGATCGGAGCTTTATGTATCTGTGGGAATTCTCCTTGCTGCTGTGCCGCTATATGCTGACGCTATCCATGGCAGCGATGGATCTTGCAATGAGGCTTCCCTTACGAGGATGTATACCTTGCTCGCGCAATACTCACGCCACCTCCATCTCGGCTTCTTCTTGATATCCAGCATGTACCCCCTGCTACGATATGGCGGTGTATTTGCCGAGCCAATCGCTGACGCACAGTCTTGCTTGGGCGCCTGGTTGGTCACCTCAAAGGGCGTACGTGCTGCAACTTTTTTCTTTTTCGAATTACGTAGTGTACTGCAAACGACACCTTTCCGACGACACGCTTTCGATTCCAGGCTTTCGGATACCGGAGACGAACACTGCGAAGCATCAGGCAGCAGAGCACACTGCGGCAAGAATGGCGTTGGCGGGTGGCCAGAGAGATTATCAGTTCCCAGGCAGGCTTCACGCGGAAAGAGAGGCATATGGCGCAGAGTGGAGGAGTGGAGGCAGGCCGCAGGATACGGGGCAGGTGGCAGGTACAGAGCAGGGCCGGGACGGGAAAGGAGTGCAAGAGATCGCAATGCTGACTCCAGAGTGACTCCAGGATCGCCAACAAGAGATCCAGCATAGGGGGCGTAGGTGGGGTAACTGCAGAGCTGCTGCCGTACTTATACCTCGCTGCCCTCCTCACGTCCCCCATCCCCCGTCCCCCGTCCCCCAGCGTATCGTGGAGCATCACCACGCACGTCCTTGCCCTACCACCGCGGTTGCTGACACGATTGCCTGGTCGAAGCGCTGAGCGTGCCGTCTATTGATCTCGCACCATGCCGTTCTCATCCACTGCTCCATCCACCGGTATATCTTCCACCTCCCCGCTCGCCACATCCACCTCGTCCACCCTCCCCCTTCTCCTCACCCGCCCGCTCCGCACAGAGCACCGCTGGCAGCCAAAGAAAAACAACATGAGCGTCAGCCTTCATTCCCTCGCAGACGCTGCTCTCGCCGACGCCTCAGAGCGCCCCTCTAGCCACTCTCGCTCGCGTTCGTCGTTTGCGCTGCCTCCCATCGCTGATCTGCTCAACCCTGTTACCGACTCTCAGAGCAGTGCAGCTCGTTCGCGTCCACAGACGCCCACTCGACAGCCTCTGGTCAAGGGGTGGTCTCCTACTACGCCGTCGTCACAGCCTCGCCCTTCCCAGGTTTCCGCCGAGCAACCTGTGAGCACACTCCTTTATCAAACTCTGATACAATCTCATTAACCCTATCTACAGGCCCAAGCGTTCACTAGCCAGGTCCCGGGTGAACAGGCCCAGGTGTCGTTCGAATACAACGTCCGCCGGTACAAGCGCGGTGGGAGCTCCCGCCCAAGCCAGCCCCCTGCCCAGACGACTCGCCGTCACACGGCCCCTGTCATTCCTACCACTGCAACTTGCCGTACCGATTTGTCGTGCAACGATCCAGCCCAAAACCACGGCCCATCGTCAGCAAAAGGAAAAGAGTATCCCCTTCAGGGTGTACAGCTCGACAAGCATTACCCAGAGCTCTCTATCCATGGCTGGCACGAAGACGCTCGACGTCTGCTCCAGCCCCCCCTGGCATTTTCGCCTTCGTACGTCCAGCGTGACCCGTCCGAGAACGCTGTGCGAAGGTCAGTGAGCCAGGGTTCGTATCCTTTCACACCTGTCGAATCTGGTGTGCAAGTCCGTGTACAGCATCCTCGCCCTTGTTGGCCCGAGCCGCTTCCCCAGCTCCCCTGCACGTACGTCCCGTACCACCCATACCAACAAATGCCTCATCATGTCCCCATCATTGCCGAGCCGCAACCACGCCCCCGTCAGAGGTCGTACAGGTTCATATCGCAAAACGAAGAGCTGGCCAATGCTGCGAGGGCGGGGCCTCTGCAGGCGTCTGCGTCCCAGTCATGCTTTGGTATCGAAAGGCCAGCAAAGAGGCAGGAAGAGAGAAAGAAAGTATCGGCGTCTGCTCCCGTCAGCCCAAGGAGCAAGGAGCGGCCTCCCTTGGCTACTGCAGCTTCTAGTAACCCCATGACGCCCGTCTCGAGCCATGAGCAGCGGAGCAACCGGTGGACGAGGCACGCAAGTCCTCGCAGCAGCTACCCCGTTCGCCCCGTCTCTCCTGCACAGTCTACCTTGTCCAACGCTAGCACCATCCTTCCCATTGACGGGGAGCCTGGGCTCGACATGTCCTCTACCACTTCTTCCTCGGGCAGTGAGCCTTTCGATGGTACAGACATGGACCATGATGAGTCGGATAGTGATGACGACAGTGATGCGAGGGATATGGGAGGCAAACGAAAGCGCACATTGCAGAAAATGACATCGCCTACCAACTCTACGTTATCCACGCCTGCCAAGCGCCTGCTTGACTCGTCCCAGCAGGGATCCACCCCCACCTCGTCAACGTACCAAGACTGTTCGCCCGAGAGCCTGGCCAAGCGCCAGCGTACGTCGAGGACTGGCCGCTTGTATGATGGCGCGATAGGGCCCGATGGGAAACCTGTCAAGAGGTCGCAGGGGAGGAACAAGGAGAAGAGGAGGGAGCAGAACGCCGTCGCGCAGAAAAAGTTCAGGTGGAAGAAGAAGCAGTTGACTGAAAAAGTACGTTCCAGATGCTAGCTGTTGATATATACTAACCGTACTGCAGATGGCCACAGACTTGGAAAGTGCCAATGCTACGATCAAAGACCTCGAGCAGCGCTTGGAAGATTCGCAAGGTCTTGTCAATAAACTCCAGTCAGAGCTTTACGTCTCTCAAAAAACAGCCGAGGGGTGCGCGTAGGCTGCTTATCATATACATCCATAGCACTCGCTTTGATTTGTACTTTATACTGACGACCATTACGAAAGAAAAGGAGGCAAGGTTGTATACCAGCACAGAGGACCCTGTTGAGTAATACATTTCCTGCTTCCCCCTGCGAGATTGCATATATACATCTCACGTCCATACTTCTCCCGGATAGCATCCATAGACATCTATTCTCTTGCATCATCCATGAATTCCAGATGATACGTATGCATTATAGAATGGCTCCTGTCCCAAAAGTTGTGCCAAGTGCCACATGGAGATAACGGCGGATAATCCCGCCACCACCTAATCCTAATACAAGTCAACCAACCTATAAACGCCCAAAACTCGTCCAGACAGGGGCCTCCACGACTCCGACAATGTCCCATCTACTACCCCCCAACCTGCTGCGACTGTTCGCCCCCCGCCCGCACCCGCCGTTCCTCAAACCACTCACCAGAGACGAGCGCAGCCGCGGCCCCAACAAGCTCTCGGGCGTTGCGCACCTGGCGCAGAGGATCAAGGAGGAAGCCGAAGATGCGGAAGTAAAGCTGGGAATGGAGGTCGCTGAAAAGGAGAAGGCTGCGCAGGCGAGCGAGGATGTCAAGCCGGACGTGGCTGATGCCGTAAAGGAGGAAGGGGAAGATGGAGAAGTCAAGGAGGTGGTAGAGGAGTCGGGAAAGAAGAGGAAGAAGGCCAAAGACAAGATTGCCGAGATGGGTGTTATCGGAGAGGAAGCTGTCAAGATGAGAAAGGAGCTGAGAAAGAAGAGGCAAGAAGAGTACAAGAAGAATGCGGAAAAGACTTGTGAGTGTGACGGATCGTGTTGGCGGGCAATACTGACCACCCTAGACAAACCGCAAGACGACCCTTCAGCCATCGGCGACCCATATAAAACCCTCTTTATCGCCCGATTAGTAAGACTATAGCGTGACTCCTGCCCTGTGTATACTGACCATGTGGTAGTCGAAAAAGGCCACCGAAATCGATCTTCAGCGAGAGTTTGAAATGTACGGTCCTATCGAGAGAATACGCATTGTCTGCGACAGGAAGGGAAAGAGCACTGGCTATGCTTTTATTGTGTATGAGCGAGAACGAGACATGAAGGGTAGGTCGCACCAATATTGCAAAAATCCACGAGACTGACTTTCTGTTAGCCGCCTATAAGGACGCCGAAGGCATCCCGGTTCACCACAAAAAGATCCTTGTCGATGTTGAGAGAGGACGTACAGTCAAAGGCTGGAAACCCCAGCGACTCGGAGGCGGTCTCGGCGGTCGACCCAAACCCATACCCGTAGAAGCTGCTCCTGTCCTGCCGCCGTCTGGTGGATTCAGGGGAGGTCGAGGTGGATTCCGCGGTGGTGCTCCTCGCGGTGGTGGGTTCCGTGGCGGATTCCAGGGAGGAAATCGTGGAGGCTTTGGCGGAGGAGATCGCGGTTACAACGGAGGCGGTGACAGGGGTGGATTCGGAGGGAGGGGAGGGTTCCGAGGAGGGTTCCAAGGAAACAGGGGCGGATTTGGAGGCGACCGTGGGGGCTTTGGTGGTGGAGATCGAGGAGAGTTCCAGGGCGGACGAGGTGGATATGGAGGAAGTCAAGGAGGGCCTGGAGGGGCTCCTGGTGGATTTGGGGGCGACAATGGCTACGGGTGAGTCGTCATTCTCTTCCATCTCTTTCCAGCCATACTGACATGAATTAGCGGGGGCGGCGGTTTCCAACCACAAAATAATGGCTATCAAGGAGGAGGAAACTTTGGCGGGCAGGGCGGTGGATTTAAGCGCGACTTTGACAATGCTGGGGGCCCAGGAGGATACCAGGGGGGTGGAGGAGGCTTTGGAGGGGGCGCTGGAGGAGGAGGTTACCAGGACCGAGATCCGAAGAGGATGCGGTATTGAGGTATTTACTTTTAACGTCATTTCTGGTTGTCTGTCGTCTGTGGCCTAGGGAAGGGCAAGTGGCACAGGTCAAGTATGTAAAAACAAGGTATAGCATTTCCCAGTGCTGTTTACGAGGGCATCTTATCAAGCAGGTTGCTTCTACATGGGAAGAAGACGTGGTATCAACTGAACAAGAGTGGGTATGGTAGGTGCTCGTGCGCCTTTATATGCCCCAATTGCCCAACAGTGCATGCCACTCATGATCCGAGACATACTCTTTAGCCAGGCTTCGTATTGTACAAACTATGATATGGAGTGCTTGGCGCCCCAGAGCAAGCCGGTGTTTGATCGCACGTGAGCTATGACAGATACGGACCCCTGATGTTCTCTGTTTTCCCCAATCTATGCATGCTCTACATGCTTGATAAGCATAGCCCTGCATAGTGTGATGTTTCATTCGCCGTAGCGTGACAAGACTCACGAGGATCCATACGATAGCGCTGTTGAACGGGTCGCAAACACCGAGATTGGAGATTGTGCCTGCTACGTGGGCGGCCTGGCTGTTACAACTTACGAGTACCGGAAGCATACACCGAGGCAGTAACCCGGCTTTTGAACAGGACGCCAATACCCCCCCCCCTTGCCTTGCCGGCCCCTGCAGCTCTGTACATACGGCCATACGATTTGGTCATGGACGGAAGCGGACGGAGCCCCAGGTGACTCGGCGTATGACGTGCGATGCTCGACGAATGGCTGCAGTGGTACGTCGCCGGGTCATGCCATCGCTTGCCATCCCGCCATAAAGTATATAAGGGCCTCGCTTCTGCCTGCTTCCATCCACCCACCCGTTCTTTACATCAATCACACAACAACAAATTCAGCTCACAATGTCTGGTTCTCTTCGTACGTCACTTCCAGACTTGCGCGATTTTCATTGACATTCTCCAGAGCTCTACGAATTCTCCGGTTCCGTCTGGTCCAACGCCCCCAAGATCGCCATCGAGGAAGGCGGCTTCAAGAAGGGTCAGGACTATGACTACATCACCATCAACCTTGCCGAGGTATGTCTCTCTTTTGACTTTGCCTGTTTATATGGTGGCTGACATGGCGTACAGGGTGCCAACTTTGACCCCTATTACCTCAAGATCAACCCCGCCGGTACTATCCCCACTTTGATCGTCGGCAAGGACACTTTCACCGACTCTATTGTGGGTACCCCTGTCCAGAGCTTTTCAGATGAACCTGACGCATATCGTAGAGCTCGGTCGCCGAGATCAACAAGCTCGCTCCCAACAAGCCCAAGGGCAAGGTCAGCGGCGGTGCGGGCTTCATCGAGGAGGTAAGTGTACCAGCGGACCGGCATATGGTAGAGCTGACACTGTGGTCCCAGATCCATGGCGCTGCCATTGACCCCAACGCTACCCTTTTGCTCGCTACCGACGACAAGGACAGGGAGGTCAAGTCGAACGGGCTTCAAAAGGCCTTCTTGGCCGGCAGGCAGAAGGCTCTGAATCAGTGAGTGATAGTGACAAGCCTTGTAAGGCAAAGCTGATCGAATTCTCAGATTCTCTCAGAGCCCTCCCGCAGAGTTCAAGGACTTTTTGAACAAGAAGCGTGAGGACAACCTCCAGCTTTTGGACTTTTACACTGGTGCCCCTGACGTGAGTCATACCTTCCATCAATAGATGTATGCTAACTGAAGGACAGGAGCAAACCCGCAAGGCGCACTACGCCCAAGGCCAGCAGCTCTGGTCTTCTGTCGGTGCCGCTCTCCAGGGTTTCGTCGCCGACGCCCTCACCAAGAACCACCAGGGCCCTTACGTGGGCGGCTCCGAGCCCTCTGAGGCCGACTGTGCGTGTTCTCTTCCATGTGTTTCAACATCCAGCAGCTGACATATCTGTAGTCCACTTGATCACCTGGCTCGCCAGGACCATTACCAACGCCGGCGTTGAACCCGGAACCAACGCCGACGACGCCATCAAGCAGCTGCAGGCCAAGACTGGTGCTTCCTCTTTCGACGACTCCATCAAGCTCTACTGGGAGACTTGGGCCGCTAGGGACAGCTTCAAGAACGCTGGTGTTCACTAAGCGAGAGGTGTCTTTGTATCTATAGGCGAGAAGTCGCAAGAAGTAAAAGCAATCAATACGTCGTTATCTCATGTATCATAAATAGTCGCTTTATTTTTTCATTGTACTCATCAGGCAGTAAGCAGCTGCCAGCCACATACCGCTCCCTGTGTTGCATGACTGACCGTTGATCAGGTTTCGAAGTGTTGCTCCCAAATAATGGACAACATACACAACGTTACGTAGTAAACATCAATGGAGTAGTGCGACAGTGGTTACTCGGTTCGATTAGAATTTTGTAATTCCTTCATCGAATGCCGTCAGGCGCGCAGGTTCGAGTCCTGCCTGCTCCTTACCTTTTTGCCTCTTTTTGCCCTTTTCATGCAGCGCATGCATAGCACGCGCTGCGCCCACAACCCCTTGGCACTGTCGTGACCAAGTGTCAAAGATGATAGGCAGACTGACGACATTAGACAAGCTCCACCAGCGGCCATTTGCCGAGCATTTCCTGTTCTCTGTCCAACTCAGATCCTCAATCATATCAACTGTTCAGAAACGCCTGTCTTTGTACTAATCACAAATGTCTCTGGTCAAAACTGTGACTCTTGCCGGTAGACAAGTACCTCCCATGGCCATCGGCGAGTCTCCTCCTCTTGCCACTCAAATCACGACACTGATAAATAGCAGGCACATGGGCCTGGGGAGATTCTACCTGGCAGTATACACCCAAAGATTTAGAGAACATCAAGGATGCTTGGCGGGCTTGTTTGAAGGCTGGGTTGGTGTTCTTTGATACCGCGTGAGTTTACAGATGTCTCGCTCCACCAGTGGATCGATTGATCGCAGTTGCTGATCTCTCGTATCTGTCAGTGAGATCTATGGAGCTGGAGAATCGGAGAGAATTATCGGACGTCTGATCAAGGAAGAGACTTCGGAAGAAGACAAGTCAAAGATCTTTATCGCCACGAAATGTAAGTTGTCGACATCTACGTAGCGACATTGATCTCATCGTGGTAACCATCTACAGTCCTCCCGGTACCCCATCCCAAGACCGGCCTATTCTTCTTCAGTCCTCCTATTGTGGAACGCTTGAAGTCATCCCTTCAACGTCTGGGGCTCGATTCAGTCCCTCTTTACCAGCTCCATTCCTCCATCTCGTTACACTCCCACGAGACTCTGGCGGCCGGGCTTGCAGCATGCGTCAAGCTCGGTCTAGCAAAGGCGGTCGGAGTGTCAAACTTTAGTAAAGATGAGCTGTGAGCGACCATCCGGAGGTATCACCCATGATATACACTGATACGCCTGTAGGATCAAAATGGACGAGCTCCTCAAGAAGCATGGAGTGACGCTGGCTTCCAACCAAATCGAGTTCAACCTTCTCCGTCAGCTTCCGGACCAGAATGGTCTTCTGGAGGAGATGAAGAAGAGGGACATTGCTTGTCTTGCTTGTACGTTTCCGGTCGTCTATAGACATGACTGCTAAACATCTGCCTAGACTCTCCTTTGGCCATGGGGAGGCTCACCGGAAAGTACAATGCTTCCAACCCTGTCCCAAGCGGACGAAGGTGAGTGTCTATCCCGGTTCTATCATGAATAAAGTCTGACCATCTCGGCAGGTTTAGCGCCCAGCACTCCTGGGAGCAGCTCGAGCCCCTCATTACCGAACTTGGCCGTATCGCCGACAAGTATGGCGTCAAGCACTCGGCGGTCGCTCTGAACTGGGTCATGTCTAAAGGTGCTATCCCTCTTGGAGGAGCCAGGAATGGGTCGCAGGCGGAGCAGAACGCCCAAGCGACTACATTTGAGCTTACGCCAGAAGAAGTCGACAGTCTTTCGAAACTCGGCTTTTCCGGAAAGAAGTGAGTTGTCTCTTTTCGCTTAGCGTTCCCGGTCTAACCATGACTCTCTTAGCTCTTGGTTCTGGCAGCGAGGATAAGATACACGAAGAAATAGCCAACTTCGGCGCAGCTCTCTATGTTATCAGCTGCTGTTTTGCTTGCTGCTAGTGTATGCACTCTTTAGATGTTTTGAATTCCTGTTTGGCCTTCTGGCATCGCCTCAATCAGTATATGCCGTCGTAACCCGCTTATAGACCCCATGTACTGTATACTCAGCTGTATAACCCTTCCGAAAGAACGTGAGACAATCAGCGTGTAGCGGTTCTAATCCGAATGTATGTAGCTCAACTGTGATAGATGTACATGGCCGTTGCCTAAATCATGGTCCTAGTAATCCGCGTCCTTGGCCTCTTTATCCCACTCCTTGACCCACTGTACAACATCACCCCAGTCCTTGACCCTATGAAGCCCATGATCCTTGCCCGTGAGGATCTCATTGAAAGGAAGCGGGAACCCTTGCGCAATCCTCTCCTCATAGTCCATGAGCTCGACCGGCGAGGAGAGGCTGCTGCGCGAACGATTCCATCCATAAGTGCCGAAAAGAAGGCATGGGATGGGCGGATCAGCTTGGATGATGGGCTCGAGGTTACCGTGGTGGTCATCGATGAATAGCGAGGCGTTTATTTGACGGAGGATTCGAAGCTTGCCCAAACCCGACTTTCCAGAGGTCACCCCTTCTTTCCAGATCTGTCTGAGCTTCTCATTCATCTCCTTCTCCCTCTCTACGGCGCTTGCGGTGTCGCCCTTTGCTTGGAGGTCGGGGTATGCAGACGAATACGAGCCGCAGAACCATGCAGCTTTGATAACGTGTTCGGGTCCAGAGCCGATCGATCGTTATATTCTGCTGCGCAAGCCATTCGGTGACGACCTGTCTGTCAGACTCTGGTCGGGAGGTGACGATGTGAATAGGGTGCCCTAGAGAGTGCAAAACACGAAGCGCGTCGTCAAAGCCTGGGATGGGAGCTGTCTTTGGGAGGAGTTGGTTGAGCGATTTGACCTTGCGCGTGCAATCTGCAAGATGCGGTCAGCATATGCGATCGGAGGTATATGGACATGTGCTCACCAGCGGGAGAACCCCAGCCTCTGTTCTGCCAGAACACATAGCTTTCAAGGTCGTCACTGTAACGCACAGATCAGCCAGGGCCATCGTCTATCCAAGTACTTACAGTGTCAAGTCGGTCCCGTACTGCACATTGTGCTCGGTGATGATGGCAAGCATGTTTTGCGTACATACATCATCGAAGTCTATCGCAATGATTCGGCCATTATGCACAGGCTCGGGAGAGACAGAATCGTCTTCGGTGTCGAGACAAGCACTGGATGCAGCTCCTTTGACAGAGTCTGCTGTGGCGTCGCGGTCCTTCTTTCGCTGGAAAGCAGTCAGATGTGCGAATCGCTCCCAGTCAGCTTGATGTTGTTGGTCGCTGTTCTTGGGGAAAGGGGTGCTGACGACCGAGCCGTGCATGGCTACCATCGACCCTGTGGGAGACAGCAAGTCGGGGGTATCAACACCAAAGCTCGTCCCAAGAGGAGAGAAGATGGCCTCGCTGGCTCCCTTGGTTGGCAGTTGCCCGACTTGGTCTTGGAATTGCCTGTGGCGATTGGCAGACGAATCTTGGTCCTGGGCTGATATATCAGAGCCCGTGTCCTTTCTGTCACTGGTGATCAAGTTGCTTGGGGTGGCAGAACCTGTATCAGGCTGCGTCTGGATGGGTGGGGCCTGAGTTGGTACCATAGTCGGAGGTTGTGCGGTCGAGCGAGAGGATGACCAGTGGGAAATATATATGTCAAAAAGAGCGTAATGGGATTTGGGACAGTCATGCGAGGGTGGCAATGATAAACCTTTGTCCACCGAGCGCCCGACCTTTGTACGTCTTTCCCGGGTCTTCTGCACTCGAGTATCTGCGGCGATGGTCCATTTGAAAAGATGCATGGGTCGATGATTATATAGAGTGATGCCTGCAAAGGGGTGGTGGTACTGTGGGAGGTCAGGACAAGTGACAATGTTTTGTGGAAATATCTTATTACCATGAGCGATTGTGTCTCTCACATGCCCACTACTCCACTCTTCTAGGGTTTGGCATGTCGATCTTCTCCCCCTCCTTGCCCGACCTCATAAACAGACTCGACGAAGTGTTGACGGGCCTGATACCCTTAGCTTCGTTGTCCTGTTGCCTCTTCTCTGCCAGGCCGAAGAATGCGAGGGAACTGGCGACGACCATGCCGAGGAAGAAGAGAGGGTTTGGCCCCTTGCGGGAGGGGATCCTGGGCCCTGATCCGAGGTTGGGATTTGGCATTTGGTGTAGATGGAGATGCACGATGGTAGATGGAGATGCAAGATGGAAACAGCGACGAAGAAAGCTCAGCTGGATCGTTTGGCCTCGGAGCCCCGCCCGCAGTTAGTCTTGTTTCTTCTTTAGTCTTGCACCGGATCTTTCTCTTTCTTCTCTCTTTCTTCTCTCCATCTACAGCTGACAGCCACGCCGTGTACTACAGCCCGACCATGCTCGCCCTACTGTCATGGCGGTACGGCCGCTTCCTGCCCCTCGCCGTCCTCATCTTTCTCGGCAGCATATTCGTCCTCATCGACAGCTCGGCCTCCTCAGAATCCACCCTGCCCAGAGCATCAATATACGACTATACATCCCCTGCCACCCACTGCTTCTGGCCCGCCGACAACTCCAGTAGAGCAGGTGCTGCGAGTGCGCAGCTGAAAGGGGCAGCAGGGAAAGGAACTGTCGGAAAAGTGAAGCAGTGGATGGGCTGGCAAGACGGAGACGAGGTGGACGAGGACGTGGCAGAAATGGAGGATACGCCAGAGGGACATGGGTTTGCCTGGGACGGCCAATTACCGGATGTCGTGCCCGTCAGCGGCATCGAACGGTACATGATTGCCCATATCGAGGAGCTTCAAAGTGGCTACGATGCGGAGCACGACTTTAAAGAATACGGGCTGAAGCCTGGGAATATCTCTCTATCAGCGTATACTTCCGAGCTCTTGCAGACATACAGAGAATTCCTGGTTCCTCCTGGTACACCGCCCCCAGTCCCGCCCCCGGCCTTCCTCCCTGCGGCGCTTTCCCGTTTGTCCCTCAGACCTCCTATTGCGCCTCTGCCTCCCAGGCCAAACCATGTCATGACCACTGAAAAGTCGGTCGACGATCTTCCTTGGCAGTTCAAGAGGTGGAAGGAGATCATGCCAGATTGGGAGATCAAGTATTTCGATGACAAGGCTCTGAAAGATTGGGTCAATGGGATGTTTGGTAATACCAAGGCTTCAAAGATCTGGGAGACCCTTCCAAGGCAGGTCCTCAAAACAGACGTTTTCAGATACATGGTGAGCTGTCATCGATCGGCCTATAGTCATCTCCTGACGAACGATTCAGGCCATGTTGGTTGAAGGAGGCATCTATACCGACAGGTAAGTCGCGCCCCGGGCGGATGTCATAATACTAACAAGTCTATAGTGACAGTATGTCCATCTTACTGATGTCTACTTCCCAAATACTGACTTCCTTGCTAGCTGCTCCCATCATTCATGCCGACCAATGGGGCCACCCATACAACCACAAGACGTCCCCGCTCCTCACCCACCTCGCCCGTATACTATCCATCTCCACCTCCCCCCACCTGCCCTCGTCTCACCCTCTTTCGTCTTTCTCTCCCGAGCACGCTAGTGACAATGTCGATGAAGAGCTCGGCGCAAACCTGCCCAGTGGCAAGTCGGCCATCTACGACGGTCCTCTTGTGGATGATGGCGCCGAGCTCGGTCCTCCTTCTTTGGTCGTCAGTGTTGAATCAGACGCCGTTGAATTTGGATGGAAGAACTGGGTACATACTTCTCTCTCTCTACATTCACATATACACTGACACACCCTTCCTAGCGAGAGGTCGGTTTGAGCCGAGCTGTGCAGATCACTCAGTGGACATTCATGGCGCGCCCGGGACATCCCGTCTTTCTCGATGCCTTGGGTCGAACCCTACGCAAGTCTGAGGAGATGGCTGCCAAGGTGGCGGAAGCAAAGAAGACGGGTGAAGAGTTTATCCCAGAGACAGCTGTGAGTACCGTCCTGCGCAATTGAGGGTTGGGTGCTGACATTTGTACAAGCTGGAGTGGACAGGACCAGGAGTTTTGTGAGTCATCCGCCAACTTGGCCAAGAGTGAATGCTGACCCAGTCCAGCTCTGACTGTGTATACCGCTACTTGATATCCAGATACGGCTTCAAACCGGACGATCTCATCCACACAAAAGATCCCATACGCGTTGGAGATGTCTTGATCCTACCGGCTGGGTCATATTCCAGTGTCAGTCCTTTCGGCGACGAGAAGCAGAGGAATTGGGCTGCAAGCTGGCACGGCTTTTTCGGTATGTCCTCCCTTTGCGATTAGATCGGCACTGACCCTTGATGTCATAGGTCGATGGCGAGGAGCTGATCCAGCGGTTCAAGAGTTTGAAAGACTCAAAAAGCTAAAGAAGGAGGCCGAAGAAGCGGAGAAGAAGGCCAAGGAAGAAGTAGCAGAAGCGGAGAAGAAGGCGCAAGAAGCGACGGATAGGGCGAAGGCTGTCGAGGCCGAAGAACAGACCGTCAAGGAAGTTGCGAGCGAGGGCGACGGGCAAGAAGATCAGGAGAGTTCGGAGATGAAGAAGGAAGAGGAGATGTTGGCGAAAGAAACCTCGAGAAGCGTCCGGGACGATTAAGAGACATAGACGACAGACGCCTTGAACGTAGTAACGTACTCACGTATCTCAATAGACATCTTGCATGTACTGTAGCATAGCTTGTAGCATAAGAAGTATCGGACAGTGCTATGGCGGCGCTCCTCCTACTGTTTTATCATTTGTCTGTTTCAACGCATCAACGACTTTGGATTTGGCTGCTTCATCTTTTGCAATACGCTCTTCCCCTGTATCAGTTAGACTATCAGCTAAAGTATCAAGTTGTGTGGGCGGATACGTACAAGTGAGTTTTTCTAGAGATCTTGTGCCCTTGAGCTGTGCGTCCCGACGGCGTCCATCGATCTCCTTCTTTGCCCAGTAGAAGCTGACTCCAGCAGCAACTACGAGGACCTATGATGGCCAATGAGGCATCAGTACGAGAACAAGTGCTTGTCACGAAAGTGGAGGTGACTCACACCCCAGCCGTAAGCCTACAGATGCAGAGGTCAGCTGGAGACAAGATCGACTGGCAGAGTACCCACGACAGATCCAGCAGTGTTCATGGTGAGTATGAGAGAGGATGGGTTATGAGAGTATGCAAAGATGGAAGAGCATGTGAATGACTGTCCACCCGACCAGTGACCTTGGTGCGTGATTTGTATTTGCGCGGAATTTGTATAAGGCATAAGCTGACATCCAGTCGTCCATCGATACATCTCTTCCCTTCTTGCCCAGACGATGCCCCCTGCTAAGGGCAACGACACTGCCCCCCCTCCCCACTGGCCTTCCGACGTCATCTACCTCACCAAGCCTCGCCTTTCCCCTCGCTTCCCTCCAGCCCTTCTGCCCCTTCTCGCCCCTTCATCCTCTTTTGCCCCTCGTCCAGCAAAACACCCAGCTTCCGTCCAAATCAAAGTCATCATGCAGACCGGCCATCCAGCGAACGGCCAATTCGGGCTGTTTGCGAAACAAAAGTTTAAAGAGAACGAGCTCGTCCTGCCCTACCTGGGTGTGATCCACGTCACATACACGCCGGAGGATGGGAGCGAGTCTTTGGTCACAGATGACCATTCAGACAGCGACTATGATCTTTCACTGCTGCGAATATCGTCTTCCGATCCTCGAAACCCTTTCCCCGGGCAACACATTTCCATAGGCGTGGATGCCGCCCACGCGGGCAACGGAGGGCGTTTTGTCAACGATTTCCGGGGCGTCAAGCCTTCCGGCCCCAATGCCGAATTCAGGGTTGGGAAGGGTGAAGCAGGGGAGCTGAGGATGGAAATTTGGAGCTTGAAAGGCGGCATAGGAAAGGGCGAAGAGCTTCTGGTCAGTTATGGGAAAGGGTGGTGGGGCGCCAGGCAGGGGTAGGCATGAGGGTGCATCACGTCCATGTCCACTGCCAGCCGCCTTGCAGCTCTTTATTGTCTATATCTTCCCCTGCCCAGAGACCACCTTCACATAATCTACGTGTCAGCCGGAAAGGTTCCTCGACACCGTCCATGGACAGCACATAGTCGTTTTGGTCTTGCGACATAGCTGCTACGATATAGGTGAGTGCAGCTCCACAGTTGGATGAAGATTGAGACCAACTCACATTCTTTTACAGTACCAACAGACGACCACCCAAAGACGCGCCTGACTCCATCGAGTATGGGAACCTTCTTCTCCTCCCATGTCTTTCTAGCTGTGGCTTCCTCGTCGATGCCTTTGCCAGTCAAGTCGTGGATGGGTATTGTTGCTGTAAGATCCAAGCGGGGTTCCAACATCACCAGACGCGCAGCTTTCCCACTTCATCCCAACGTCAGATATCTACGATATAGTGGACAACGGGAAGGACTGACGATGGGTCACTACAGGAGAAATGGTTGGCAGTCGCTTTAGCAGCAGCGAGCAAGTTGAGGTAGTCGTGTATGCATACGCTAGCACATATGATTAGCAAGGTGCTGCAAGGGATGGGATATGCCTACGTACCCGGGCTTGAATTGCCACTTCCCCTGACGACGATCTTGCTCCATAGCGCTCTCGCTATCATCTGGCTCCTCGTCCACCAGCCTTTCTTCCAGAAACATCGCCGCTGCATCGTACACAATGATCAAACTCGGGGCTTTCTCGAGCTGATGACATTCTTGTTGGTCTCGTGATCTGCCGAAGGAGCTCGATACCATCGTCAAGTATAGCTGGAGATGCTCAGGGGTTGGACAGTACCTATTTTTCGGGTGAGCGCGTGTCGTCATGAAAAAGACCTGAGACTCACCTCATATCCACCCTCTTGAGCCTATGCATGACGTCGAATATTCCACCATGATCACGGATCCACCGTTCGTTTTCGCGCTCAATACAGTCCTGAAAGTCCCCTTTCGTACCAGTCAGGATCAATACCCTCGAAGGAGCGACAATCGGTTCTGATGGAAGAGGTGCAGTGGCCTTCTCTTTGCCTTTGCGGCTGGGTGCGGGCGGAGAGGACGCGCAGACCTGACTATCCTCGAAGGCGAGATAGTTGAGCGCGAGGTGAAGTGGTGTCGTAGGAGGGAGAGGTCCGATGATATATGCTGGGGATGGGAGAGGATGGGATGGGCCGGGGGCGGATGGGGAGGGAGGAAGAAGGGCGTGGGGTACGTCCATACCCCTGATCTGTGTGTATTCTATAGGGGGAAACAAATTCGGTTGTCGAGATGTAGAAGGATGGAAAGGATGCAAAATGACCGTCGGCCACACGTCGCGTCGGAATATCTGCACAACCTCTGGGCGAGATGCTCTTTTCAGGTGGTGGTATTTTCATGATTCTACAGTTTCTCTTCGCTATTGCTATGGGTCTATAAAGGCTGTCTATGGGCTCGTTGATGAGACACAAGCCTTTTCTACTTTGATTCTTGCGCCTCCTGACCCTGCGTCTCCGTGACACCGTGCCTCTTGGAAGTGCTATCATGCGCGTCCTTCTTGACCAACAACCTCGTCCAAGCCCTGGTGTAGCCATCCAAAGTCAGCATCAACATGCCCTCTGCCTAGTGGGGATCACACGCACCTTTCGTACTGGATAGCAGGCGCAACGGCAGCCCCCAGCTCAAGTGCGGCCTCGAGGGGCCAATCCAAGTCTCGCAGGAGCTGACGACCGATGAAGATTATGTCCGCTTTGCCTTCCTCCAAAATATCGTTGGCCTGCTTGGCCTCGGTGATGGCGCCAACAGTGCCAATGAGGAGGTCGGGGTACGTCTTCTTGAGGTGTTCCGCAAAGGGAAGCTCTGGATAACCGTCAGTATACAGACGTCCCGGGGCATGAACAAGAGGCTTACGGTAAGAAGGCTTGGCGTTGATTTTCTGACGCAAGTCGTTGCCTCCCGAAGAAACGTCGACGAGGTCAACGCCGGCCTCGGCCAGCTTGCTCACAAACAGAGTAGTCTGTTCAATGCCCCTATGATTATTGTCAGCCCCCTTCTATCTTTATGCCTGGAGTACGTACCACCAGGCCCAATCGCCATTGGCGTCCTTTTCCTTACCAAGCGCCTCTTCGAGCCAATCGGTAGCACTGAGTCTGTAGAACAGAGGCTTGTCCCATTTCTGACGGACAATCTCGGTAATCTCCAGAGGAAGACGCAACCTGTTCTCCAAAGAGCCGCCATATTTGTCGGTACGAGCGTTGGAGATGGGGTCGACAAACTCTGATAAAGCGCGTTAGATTGAAGTGTATCTGGATATTGACATCACAAACCGTGGAGGAAATAGCCTGTATCTTGTCAGTGCCGAGGTCATCATGAGACGGGAGGACTCACCGTGAGCACCGTGGATCTCAATAAAGTCGAAGCCGATCTGGTTGCATCGGTCGGCAGTGTCACCATAAGCCTTCTTCAAGTTCTCCAAGTAGCTGGTGGAAGCCTCAAGAGGGTCGGGGTAATCACCGTCGTGGAAGGAGATGGCGGAAGGAGCGACGACTGGTCATACGCTATAAGCTCAAGCTACCTTAGACCGACGACCACCCACCTTTGCTTGGCCAGCCGCCCTGCTCCTCGGGGACGGTCGAGCCGCCGTGGAACCCAGCTTCGTTGGCAAACCTCTCGTTCCACGCAGCAGGTGTGGATGCTTTGCGACCTGCATGAGCGATCTGGATACCAATCAGACCTTTGTTGGCATGAACATATTTGACGATGCGCTGCAGCTCGGTGATATGCGAGTCATCCCAGATACCCTAGAGGGCTGTAAGCGAATCGCGGTACGTAGTGACTCTTGCTCCGGCTTACCATGTCTTCGGGTGAGATGCGGCCCTCTGGGACGACAGCAGTGGCTTCCACCATAATACTGCCCCAGCCTCTGAGGGCCATACTTCCAAGATGCACGAGATGGTGATCGGTGGCGTGACCATCGTCAGAGGAGTCTAGATTGAGACAAGCGTCAACGTCGGCGCGCAGCATTGTTGGACATCAGTACTCACACTGGCACATAGGAGCAACCCAGGCCCTGTTGTGAAAGGTCACACCACGGATAGTGATGGGTTCAAAGAGCTTGGGAGGGTTCTGGTTCTGCTTGTACTCGTCGGCATCGAGCAGGGAGCCGATGGGCACGGGCTGTTCTGGCAAGAACGTGGGGTATCCCTCGACTTTGCGAGGAGGGAAGGGGAATACGTTGGAGGATCCAGCGGACATATGGAGAGAAGTCGGGCGTGTAAGAGCACAGAAGAATGGGATATGAACCAAATATGAACTGGCGATGGATCATGTCGTGAGTGGTGATTATTAAGCCGATTGACCTCCACTCCTTCCACTTCAAGATACGTAATCCCAACTGAAAAGTAATTACAGGTTAATAGTGGCAGTAATTACACCAGTAACTATGTAGTGCGGGGGTTGGGGTGAAGAGAGTTACATAGATCTTGTAAAGCTCATCAGTTCTATGTACTTAGGCTGTACGTAAGACGATGTCGATCAACCCGACTATAAGTCAACGGCGTCCAGCCTGCTCAACCCAGAGCTACGTTACACGCACATACATACACAGCGACACGGGAGAATATCGACTACCTACTACCCCACTTCACGCCATCGTATGTAGAGGCATTGTGGATGACTTGACATGCCCTCTGGCGACTCAACTGGAAGGACACTTTGTGGGCTACATTCTACTCTCTACAGATTTATGATTGGTGGTTCAGTATGCTATATGCTGTTATCGTCATCTCGTATACGTTTCATCGTGCTCTCTCATGGCGCCCCGGCATCTTCCCCATCCTCCGGCTCAAATTCCTCGTACCCTTCTCTACTGAGCTCTTCCTCTCTCCTGCGGGCCTCTTCTTCCTGGGCTGCCTCGTCCCTTTTCCGCGCTTCTTCCTTCTCCCTCGTGGCCTCCTCCCTCCTCTGACTCTTTGCCTTACGCTCCCTCTCCTCTTCCAAGTTCTTTTCTGCCTGCTCGACAACCAGTGAGGTGGCCCTGCAAATGCCCAGCTGGTCCCTCTGAGGGTCATTGTACTCGCTCAGCTTGAGACCTGCGTGGAAGAATTTGACTCTGTTGGATTGATTCGTCTGCTTCCAAATGTCACTGTCTTCTCGCGAAGCCGGATCGATGATCATTTGCCTCATCAAGACATCCCTCAATAGCTCCAAAGAGAACCTCTGGGCTTCGTCATGGCAGGCTACCACTGCAGCCTCCACAGACTCTGAAAGGATGGTCAAGAGTTCATGGTCGGCGGAGTGGATCAAGAACCAGAAGGCGTCAAGGTATGAGAGGTTGGCCAAGGAGTGATCTCGCCCAGAGACGTTTGACGGCCTGGGTGGTATGTCGTTCAGTATGACGACGAGAGCCCGGTAGAAGGCGTCGACGAGGATAGGCGGTAGAGCTTCTATGCTGACGGGGAATTGGGGAGTGATGCCGACAGATGCGAGGAAGCCGCGATAGTACTCTCGAGTCCTTGAGCCTTCAACAGTGGATAGGGTGAAGTAGGTAGCTGCAAAGAGAGCAAGCTTGAACGGAAGTCTTTCCGGGATTGCCCCTGGCGGTGGAGGAAGGAGATTCAAAATCCACTTGATCACAGTCAGTGTCATGCTTTAATCAGAGCGATAGATTGCACTCACAGCCTCCAGCGTCGTATAGGCAGTCTGAAACCTCGCACAACTCTGCTTCAGCTCTTGGACTTCCTTCTGCAGTTCCTCCACGACTCTAGCTCGTTCCTCGGCGTCTGGTTCAGGCGTCGACTGTTGACCGCCAACATCCGGAAACGGATAGCCTTCTACGAGCTTCTCAGCCTTGGCGTCAAGGATACTGGGCGACATGGGATTCAACAGATCATCAGGTCTTGGCCTTCGCAAAGACGGGTTGGAGGACAGTGAGATTCTCCTGCCCCGCGCGCCCAAGTGCGAGGTGGGCGAAGGTTTCCTGCCACCCGGCTGAGCTTTATCTATCATCTGAACCAAGTCGCTGTGGCTTTTGCGCCTGCCAGACGGGACACGGCGGTCTGTTTTGGACGGGGATGTGGGAGATGGAGACCTGTAGACAGCAGTCATCTGCAGAGCTCGCGAGCTCTGCTTGGCGACGATGCTGGACCGAAGAGGCGAGGGGGCGGAGGAGGATGTTTGTGTCTGAGAATGCGCCGACTTGGGTGGGTGGTAATTGCGCTCTTCGAGCTCCGGGTCAAAGGATGCTGCGGTGGTGGCCTCGTGTTGGTGTGGCGTAGAGGTGGCGAGGGAGAGGGGTGGCGGCGGCGGCTGGCGGGAGGACGGGCCCGGCAGGGGTGGCGTGGATGGCATGCGAGATGGAAAGGCAGATGAGGAATGAGATGGATGCATGGGTTAGGACTTAGGCGAGCTGCAAGAAGACGTCTGGATCAACCCTGAACCAACCAACATGTGACGTGTCTCTCGGCCACCCGCTCCATTTGCTCCCGTCGTTTTCTCCTTTCGTTCTTCTCTTGCACAGTTCTTGCAACATCATACTTGTACATGTCACGCTACAGGCGTTTGTATCACAGCAACCTAGAGACATCTATAGTACACAATAAAACCCAGCCAGGAAATACGATCACAACGTTGCTGCCCTATTCTATTTCAAAGTCCATACACCTTTCTTCTTCTCGACGCCCTACTCTGTCGCTGGCGTCTCCTCTTCGGCGCTCACATGGCTCCTACCCGTCCCACTCCTGCGCCGTCTAGTCCCACTTGCGCTTGGCCGCCTTTCGTTCTCCTCCGGTGTCGTCTGGATCCCCTTGTACGACTTGTACTGTGACTCGCTCATCGCGGATCCATCGGGATTACACGGCAGGGGGTGGGAGATGGCACACTCTTGTCCTTGTTCAGATTTATCTAAGCGCAATCAGCATCTACAGCCATACCTGTCAATAGGACTTACGATGCCGTGTCAGCGCATCGAGTCGAGCAAATTTCTTCCCACAAGCGTCACATTCAAACAGCCGCAGCCCTTCATGCAAAAGCATGTGCCGCTTGCAGTCGTGCTGTCGAGCAAACCCAATGGTAGCTAATGTTATGTCAGTGACGTCCAATGACAGGCCATTTCTTGCTCACCCTTGGGACAGCCTTCGTACAAGCACTTATACGGCCGTTCATCGTTATGCGATCTCAAATGACCTTTGAGGTTGAAATGCCGCGTGAATGTGCTTCCACAGCCGGGTACTATAATGACTGTTAGCTTCTGCAGGTTCTGGATCGTTTGTAGACGCACCTGGGCACATGAAAAGACCATCTTGTGTCCGTCTTGTCTCACTAGCCACCTTTGTCGCCGCACTCGTCACCTTCATTTTTTTCGGATGGTTGTCCTCATACAGCTGTGGTACTTGAAGCGACGGTTGATATCCTGCATACCCAGGAAGCTGCATGCCATCCATCATTTCCATGCGGGGAGAGTGGTGGGAGAAGGATGAGCCCTGCGAGGAGATGGACAAAGCTGGCGATGCCGATCGGACTGATGATGCGGATGAATGGCGGGAATGAGACATGGATCGTCCTCGGCTGGTGGGCGGTAAGAGTGACCCATCGTCTCCTGTTATACTTTGAAGAAATTCGGCGCTGTGTAATGGTAGAGAAGAAAGTGCACCGCTTCAGCATAGCTCTCTGTAGATAAGACACTCCGTCGGTCGTCAGGTTCCTGGATACGCGCCAAATAGCGGTCACGGAACCAGGACTAACGGATCAGGATACCCGAGATAATTGGCGACTCACGTTGAACCACCAGTGCCCACACCCCAACCTGTACCGCCTCTTCCGAAATCCTCGCTCTTCGCCCACCGCTTGTGCATGCTTGACCCTCGGACCGGTCCAGGCCTGGCATTCAGCTGTGGAGAAAACTCGACACCGTAACCAGGAGTGCCAGCGCCCACGGCAGGATGCTCTCCGCCCCCAAACGAGCTTCGCCGGCCTTTGGGAAGACCAGGCGCAAGAAAGTACTGCTGAGATGGTCCTGCCGTGGCAGGATGCGTATACCCGGACGTCACGTTGCCAAAGGTAGTTTGCGTCCATGGCGCAGATACTGTCCCTGAAAGATGAGGCGCGTTGTGAGGATAGAGACCTAACGATTGGTAGAACACCAAAGACGTGGGCGAAATCTCGCCAGAGCTCGGCTTGACGGGAGGAGGATTCGTATTCAGAGGATAAAGCCGTTCGCGCTGAGCTTGCAATTCTCGCAGCTGATGCTGCTGGCTCTGGTCCAGTTGTGGTGGCTGTCCAGTCTGTTGCTGGATGAGCAATTGTTGATAAATGGCGTCGGTGTCGTCTTGACCAGGCAATAACCGCGGGTCGAGTGTTGCACCCGATTGTCCGCCCTCATTCCCTGCTACACCCATTTTCCACGCAGTCACCGAATTTCTCCACTGTTCCGCCGCATCGCTCGACATCCCCTGGTCCTGCTGGATCTCGACATTCTGTTGCAGTGCTGGCGCCGCGACGTCATTCGCCCCGATGAAGGAGAGAAATGCTTGTCGATCGAACGAATCGGCCGTAGGCGAAGGTACGATGGAATCAGATTTGGCACGCGGCCGTGTCTGCCCAGCCACTCGCAGATTGTCGCGCCCCCCGGCGGCGGATAGCCATCCATGCTGCCCATACTGGCCCATAGTTGCAGCAAAGTCTATTCTCTGGCTTCCCGCACCCTCCCCTTCTCGCCCAGCGACCTGCTCTGCTGATGACGAATTTGAAAGAGTTTGGGTCTGGGATGACGAAGCATGAAAGTCTTGAGACTGTGTGTCTTTTCCATCGCCCGAGTACTGGCCCTTTTGAGCTTGGGCCTGTTGGTTGGCTTTGGCGATACGAAGAGCAGCATCAAATAGCCCTCGGCCCTCTTTGAGCCCGCTGATGGGAGTACTGGGCTGGATGCGGATCATGGGGCCATCTGCGTTGGGTGCGATGGGGCTGATACCAGCCATCCCACCCAGGTGCTCAAGCGCCGGGTTGACGGGAGGGAACAAACCACCTGAACCCGAGCTTACACCCTGCCGAATTTGGGGATGCCCCAGCCCATGCCCAGTATACGTCTGAGTACCGGTGACTTGCGGCCCGGTAACAAGGGGCGGCAGCGCGGGAGAAGCTGTGGCGTTGGGAATTATCAATGCAGGAGGCGATTGGGGTTTGTTGAAGAATGGAGAATTGGGGTTGCTATGAGGAGATGAGGATGCTCTGGGGTAGGAAGGGTGTTGGTTTGCCAGTGGCGGAGACATGACGTTCATGGGTACGTCGGGCGTTTGCGAGGGCGCAAGAGGGCTGGGCGACCGCGACGCTGAAAGCGATCCCGTTCTCGAATGGCTGTTGAGAGGTGTGGGGGCTGTTTCTGGTGGCGCAAACTGTTGCTGTGGGTACGGTGATGATGTTCTAGAAGGATAGGAAGAGTGATGAGAGTGGTTTGAGATGCTGAAACGAATTACTTGTCAGTTCCGCGCATGATCTCCTTTGAAGGGGGTCCAAATCCTTGATTTTCACCCCTGGCCTGCACCGCAACCTTTGCCCCATGATAGACCCCGCAACAAATATTCAACTCACATTCTCTGTAATCCAGCTCCGTTCTCTTCATTGTGTCCATCCGCATGTCCCTGCTTGACATCATCCACCTGCTGCTGTCCGTAAAGTCCCTGCTCATCCCCCAAAAAGTCTTGTCCCCACTCTCCTTGCACTTGTTGACGTTGTGTACCATGTATATCTTCCATGGAAGCCCTGTGATTGAGATACGCCCCCAGCTGGTCGGACATCACAGAGTCTCCCATAGAGCTCGCCGTGGACGGAGGCCGCATGAAATCGATGCCAGCAGTGGAGGGCGTTGGCTGTGGTGACTGGAAGGGGCTGAAATGTTGTTGTTGAATAGCACCATACGACAGTGACTGTCTGGACAGACCGCCCCCCATTGCCCACGATTGTGGCTGCTGTTGCTCGGCCTGCTGATGCGGGTTGTGAAGTGACTGCTGGGGACCAAACATAATGTCGCCGATGGGCGGGGACGAATAGCCGTTGGAGAAAGCTGCCCCTTCATCACGCTTCGACGCGGTAGCAATCAGAGTCGAGTCTGTCTCTGGATTGAACGGCAGCGACTCTTTTCTGAGAGACTCGCGCCGTTTGCCGTTGACGTTATAGCCGCCTGACCTCATCTCTGGGTGTCCGGACTCTGTGTCCTCCCTGCTGTGATCTCTGCTGGTGGAGGCGGATGGTTCGTGGAAGTTTTCGGGGAGATCTTGTGGCTCGTCTGAGACTTGTTGGCGGGAGGGGAAGAAGGGGGCGTCCGCGGTGTAGTGTGAGAAGGAGTTGGTGGAGTTGGTGGAGTCGTTGCGGCGGGGTGCCTGTGCGAAGATGGAGTCGAAGGAGGGCGTGGAGGGGTCGCCCATGGTGCGAGTCGCAGCTGTCAGTAGGCAGTAGTGGGATATAAGTAACTTAGAGAGCGATACCGCGAGGCGCTGCATTAGAACGACACCCTATTACGTAAACACCGCTCTGACTGGAATTACTCAAAAGGGCGAAATCTCAGGTGAGACATGCGGATGCCGATGCGGCCTCTTCTCATCCTCCGAAACCCTTCTCAGGCCTCCGCCCGTGCTACGTTATGAATGGTCTGTACTCGAGTACGTATGTTAAAAAGACGTACAGGTCTCTTTAGATAGCAAGCGAGCTACGTAGATGCGAATGAAATCCAGCCACCGTTGTATCACAAGTATCTTTGCTCACATCTCATTCTGACGAGGTTGGATGACGATGACCAGCATCGACTCTGCTTGCAAATCCAGAGTGATTGTTTGCAACAGAACTCCGCTCAAGAGGCACATCATTATGACCATACTAAGTACATGCCATAGACAGAGAGGTACACCGAAACAGAGACGCCGCATCCGCACTAGAAATATGTCTTTCTCTTTCGAGCAGTGTACTTGGAGTCTGTAGGTACACTATGCGGGATGTCAGCCAAATTCTGTGGTCATAGATGATGTGGACGTACCCCTCTTTGCCTCTTGTTCTATACAGGTCCTTCTTCTTCATTACCCACTCCTTGGCCTTGAGATCCTTCTTGCCCTTCTTCGACTTTCTCCTCGATTCCCGACGTCTCTTGGCCTGGTTCTTTACCTGCGCCCTTCTCTGCTCCATAGTCTCTTCATCCACATTCATGTCATCCCCATCAAGCGCCTTCGGGATCTCCTGCTGTCCCACCATCAGACACAAGTACATTTTCCTCACTTTTCTCGAGTTTGGATAGTCCACGACCAAACCACCTCCAAAACCGGCTCTCTGGGCGGCAGTGGTGATCATGGTCACCTGATCGTCGGAGTTGGGGTAGAATTGAAAGACGGCACGAGAGGGATTACGGAGACAGGCGTGCAGGGTGGTGAAGAAGCGATTGAGACGCTGGGGAGGAGAGTGGGAGGATGAGTCGGCGTTGAGAAGCCACTGAATGACAGAAATGCTGATGGCGCCGTCAAATGTTCCTGGACGGAAGCCAAAGCCTTGTCCAATATCGTGCAGGAACAAGTCTCCTTCGACTTCTCTTTCCAGCGCAACCTCTGCATGTGATGTTGGCAAAACACAAACGAGTAGCGTGAGGAACTTACCGAGCATACTTGGCGCAATGTCCACACCGACCCAAACATGTCCATCTTCGTCCAAAAGCTCTCCGCTCAACCCTGAGCCACATCCGATATCGAGAACATACGACGATTCGCCTTCGGGTAGAGCGAGGAGTTGGAGCGCACGATCAGTCATTTGAGATTGGACATTTTTGATACGGGTGTTAGCCGTGTACTTGGCGGCTTCCGTGTCCCCGTAAAACTGTTGAAGGGGTCAGCCATTGGTCGTGATAGGAGACCGTGCCGCTCACCAGTTCGGGCGGGGAGATTTCTTCTGGTCGCGACATTGGAGGAAGTTCAGAACAGGTAGAGAGGTATGAGGAGGGTCAATTAGAGAGATGGTGTGCTGGACAGAGACGATGACAGCCTTGAAATTGTCAGTTGCAGGGCAGAATCAAAGGGTGCGCAAGAGGAGATGAAGTTTTGAGCTCCTCAAAAGTGACGACGTGGAAGATTCTCAAAGTCGCGTAAAAGGACGCGCCAGGGACGCGCCCGCAGAATCTTGTCAACAAACGCGCAACGAAATGGCGGCGCCAGCGAGCATGTTCCAGCTCGCGCAGCTCTCCTTGGAAGAACAGCACCTACCATTATCCCTCCCAGTAATCGATCCTCAATTCCATCTTCCGGAATTGGACGAGTTCGCTTTGGGCACAGAACGACTGGTGGGCAGCCTCAGAGGAAGTTCTGGGTATGCGCTCCAAGACAGGACCAAAATTCCTCCTTGGAACCCATCGGAAACTGGAGATTATCTCCCCGAGGGACTGCCAAGTGTAGGCACCGAGAAAGACGGGGAAGAGGAGCTGTGGCAGAAACTCGCAGAGGAGCCTTTAGCCGAGTCCCAAGCGTTCCATGTACGTCCCTCGTTAAGTCAGGGTATCTTGAGAATTGATGTTTCCAATCACAGCCCCTGCGAACATGGGACCCATCCGAAACAAACTTTCAGACAGCGTTCTTGTCTGAAGGCTCGACGGCCACTTTCGACGCGGTGCTTACATCGTATGTCTATCAATCTGTACCCAGGCTGGACGCTGATCCATTCCGGAGACTGGAACCCCCGATACAACTCCCATCTCTCAAGTCTCCCCTCCCTCCCCCGGCTCACGATTCCGTTCACCTACTTGACTTGATGATGCGCGCCACCCTTGGCACCGTCACGACAGAACATCTGCTGTGGGACGCCAAAAGATCCAAATATGGATGGAAGGAGAGCGGAGGCCGCCCTATTGGCATGGAACGAATCACATTCTCCAGGTGAGCTGAGTTTAGCAAGATGCTTCTGAGCTAGACTAAGTCATGTTCGAAGAGTGGTGGAAGAGTTCCTCTCAATAGCGACGGCTATCCGGCGTCTGGAGCTCATCATCAACAGCCAAAGTTTGCTGTGCGTATCGTGATTGTTATTCTGGTTCTTCGCCTGACATGTAGCAGACCTCTTACGCCCACGCACCATGCTCTACTTCATGCTATGTCAACCTATCTCACTTATATCAGAGAGCGATTGATGTTCGCCATCTCCCAGTGTGAGCACGAAGGCAAAGCGGACTGGAACAAGTGGATTTTGGCAACGAGGGACGTCAACATCTTGGCCCAAACTCTATGCGAGGTCATGAAATGGGTAGGCCACATGTTTCAATGCGACGTTCTCTCTGACGGTGGACAACAGCCCTTGACAAGCTCGAGAGCATCTGCTCTACCTACAAGAGCGTCATCCCTGCTTTCACATCTATACAGCCATCTTTTCTCGGCCCTTTCGGTCTGCCCCACGCCAACACATTCCATCCCCATAGCATTGGCCTTTCTATTCTCGGAATCATCTGGGCCCTGGATGTCAACTTTACATGCGTGGCTGGGGCTTGTTCCCTCGGACGAAGAGGACGACACGGATGCAAAGTCGCAACCTTGGGGTGACTTGGGCATCACTCGGGCGAAAGTCAATGACAGATGGCAGTACGATTTCTCATCAAAGCACATGCCGGTGTTTGTCCCCCGTGAAGCTAGGAGAGTATTGTTCGAAGCAGGGAAGAGCTTGCGGATTTTGAGAGAAGCCTCCAATGGCCAACATCCTCTATGCTCGACAGAAAAATGGGACATCAATGTTCAGTGGTCCTGGGGGGATGACAATGAAAGGTGGGTGCTAGGCCGCTCAAAAGGGGTATCAAGCTTATAGCTTCACAGTGGGGTCAGTGATATCCGAGGCCACCTGAAAAGAGTGAGAAAAGAGGTTGAATGCTGGAAACGATCCCAAAGAGGCAGTCTATCCGGTTCTCTGTCTGGAAGGAAGACATCTCGAAGAGAACGCAAGGGCATTCCTCTAGAATTCCGCGCACCACCCTCGACATCGCCTCCAGCCGGATTTCAAGGAGAAGCTGATCCGGAAAGCGAGATGGAACGTTTCTTTGCACTTTTGGGCCAGGCGCCTGGATCCCACCTTTCTGCTCCGCCGAAAAAAGAAGAGCCGGATCTGAATCTATGGGCACAAACGCCCCTTGAAACACTCCATCGGTTCATCTCTCGGCACTCTTCGCCCGACGACCCTCTCCTTCCCCAGTCATGTCCCACCCTTCCGATCTTTGTTTCCGACTATATCCTTGCTCCTTTAACCCAGCATGCCGGTATCGTATCGGCCTCATTGGTTTCGCTTTACCTCGACGACCTGCGGTTCCTCGACCATCTTGATGTACTCAGGGCCTTTTGGCTGGGAGGCGACGTGGACTTTATGGAACGTGCGGGAGGCGCGCTATTCGGTAAAGACAGTGCCGGCGCAGGCGAAGCTGCTGGTCTCGGCAAACGAGCCAGGACGAGAGCACGTCTGGGACTTGCCCCGGGGAACGACGCAGGAGAAAGAAGTGCAGAGTGGGGCATAGGTCTTGGCATTGGACTGAGCGAGCGAAGCCGCTGGCCTCCTGGAGGTGCCGAGCTCGCTTACGCCTTGAGGACCACCTTGATGCACGACGACATTGGTGGGATGTTGGTCAAGGAAAACAGCTCAGTGTGGCAAGAGGTTGAAGATCGGGTATCTTTTGCTATCAAAGAGCTGCCCGAAGAGGGCGACACAGGCAGGCGAGCCAGATGGCTCAATCCACAGGCTATTGAAGCACTCGACTTTTTGTACCTCGCCTATTCGCCAGACCCCATCATCTCGACTCTGCTGCCGCCTTTGATCATGGTGAAATATCAGTCGGTTCACAATCTACTGTTGCGTCTGTCGCGAGTGGATCTGGTGTTGAGGACGATGTACTGGGATGTCGTACATCAGTCCGAGTCATTTGATGAGCCGCTCAAGATGGGCGTCGACTCGGGGATCAACAGACCACCGAGGGCCGCCCGGTTCGCCCGTCGGGAGCGTATCGTCCATTCGTTATTCCCCAAAGGCTCTCAGACCGAGAGGCACTTGCAAAGTCTGAGGTTCAAGATGTCGCATTTCGTAAATACCTTTGGGCGTTACGTGATGGACAGCGCGATCTCTATCAAGTGGAATGCGATGAGAAAGAGGCTTGGGAAGCTTCAACAGAAGATTCCCGGCAAGGATGAATCGCGGCCAGGATCACCTGTTGACGACGATGACGGGCTAGGATCAGTCTCAGAAGATGAAGGACAGACTGATGACGACGAGTCAGAAGACAATCCTGCCAGCTTGCGCCAACTCCAATCCATCCACTCTCTCGTTGCTTACCACAATCTTTCTCTCGACCGAATCCTCCGCGCATGCCTCCTAGGCCCCCAAGCCGGACAACAAGTCACTTATAAAGTTCTCACGACCCTATTTGGACTCATACTGGACCTGGGAAAGACGTTGAAAGAAGTGGAGAAGGGATTCATGGGATGGGAGGATGGTGCGGAGAAAGTTGAGGAGATCATGGGCGAATGGGCAGAGAAGGAGGCTGTGTTTGTAAGTTCAGTGAAGCTTCTTGCCGGACGTAGCTGATACAATATCAGATGCATGCACTCGAGAGGCTGTCCCTTCGCACTACTTCCTCAAAGAGGTATCATACGGAGGGAGGTGATCAGACAGAGCAAGATATGCTCTTGCTGGAAGGAGAGGGAGAAGGAGCTGGCGTCGAGAGTGAGGCAGATTACTGGGCCAAATTGGGTATGGGCGGAAACGATTTGCAAGAGCTTGTGCTTCGTCTACGGCTGAGAGGTAGTACGGAGGGGAAAGGCGGGCGTTGGAAAAAGGAAAATCTGTTGTAAATGCATGGAAAATGCACAGATGAAGCATGGTTGCAGCGTCAGACGTGAATTGCCCAAAACGGCGCCTTCCAAGCAAACCTTCGGCACTCCGCCAGGCCCAGCAGTCGAAATTCGCTGCACCATCGACAACTTGGTCCATCCATCCACCCAGCCACTCTTCTCTCTTTCATCACACCCTGTCCCACATCCACGCTTGCGCGGCCTGTGCGCAATGGGCATATAAGCACACATTCCCCTGGTCGAAAGACTAGGGGACATTTTTGGCCCTCTCGACAATCACCTTCTTCCCTTTCCGACCCGACACCCCCTCACGGGACGTAGCGGTCGGCCTACGAATGTCATTCTATTCCACCGATCGTAAACCAAATCATCTACATCGACAGCCAGCCGTTACACGAACTCCAGAGCACGAGGGTCAAACATTGGTTGCTAGGTGACCACCAGTGCCCCTCACTCTTATCAGATCCCGACCCGGCCACGCCAGTCACAACAAAATCAGTCGCCCATCTGGAACAGCTCCATTGCTATTAGAAGAAAAGGAAAGAAGATAATAGAGAGATTGGAGAGATTGAATAGACAAGCGACACTATGTGAGTAATCCCCGGTCTAGCTCGGTTTCGAGGTGGTCTGTGCGAGCACGGACTGTGCGCTGTGTCTCCATATCCTCCTTATCCCATCACAATATCCCATCCCCTCTTTCTCTTTCGCATCTATAAGATCCCCCCCGCGCCACCACCAGCACTGCTGTGCTCCCTCTCCCCACACCCTCTTGTGTGTGTATCTTCGAGACCGCGTCGGCTTCCATTCTTTTCATCTCACTACTATACTTTGCGCCACCTCTCAATCAAGAGCACCACACCCACAGAACCCGAGGTTGACCCTTGTATTCACAGCTCTCCCCCACCTCACGTCGCTCCTTCAACTACTCCCACGCCGTTAGCCCAGCCCTCCCATCATGTTGGCCGCTCGCCGCCAATCTATGGCCTCTCCAGGCCCCCTTTCACCTTCTAGTCTCCCCCGCCCTCACTCTTCTACCGGCCACCATAACTACGGCCAACTTCGTACTAGACTAAGCAGCGATGCGGCCAGCGTTGCTGCTGCTGCACTGAATGACGTCCCAGAGACCCGTAATGTCAAAGTTGGTGAGTAGCTGAGCCCTATCATGTCCTGTGCGCCTGTTGACATTCCGTCCAGTGCTCCGAGTACGACCCTCGAATCCCGATGACGCCTCTATCCCCGCCAGATACCGTTCTGTGTTGGTTCATCCCACATCAGAGACTGAGATTCGCGTAGACGTCGACCCCGCGACTCTGGCGGGTCACGCCGGCACAGTCGGTTCCAGCAGGAAACACCCGACATTTACGTTCGACAATGTGCTGGGAGAGGACTCTGTGCAAACAGATCTGTATGATGCCACAGCAGGCGAGAATGTTGATGAGTTCATGAAAGGACACAACGTGACCTTCTTGGCGTGAGTGATTTTCTGTCAAGGCCACTGGACGAAATTGATCAATCTACAGGTACGGCCAGACAAGCTCGGGCAAGTCCTACTCTATGGGCACGACGGGCGAGGATACAGACTATTCGGGAACAAATTTCACACCCCGTACGGGTCTGATTCCGCGTACTGTGCAAACTATCCTGGAGCGTGCCGAGGAAAGCAAACAACAAGCTGGTCCAGGTGCTTCCTGGGAAGCCCGCATCAGCTTCCTCGAGCTTTACAACGAAGAGATCATCGACCTCCTTTCTGGCACTGGTATCTCCATCTCCATTCGCGAAGAGCGTGATGGCAGGATCGTCTGGTCTGGCGTGCGAGAAGCCAAAGTCAAATCTCTGGCCGAGGTAATGCAGCTGCTCCAAGAAGGTTCGGCTCGAAGGAAGACGTCCGAGACAAATATGAACTCGTCAAGTTCTCGATCTCACGCCATCTTCTCCTTGACGTTGGTGCAGAAGAGGATAGCAGGGCCCATGTCTTCGGCTGTCGCTTCTTCTCGCAGCGAAACACCCACTCGACAACTTCGTAGGCCATCTTCCATGATGGGCATTTCCAGTGCCGGCAGCGCTCGCTCCCCGACGCCGACCAGCGGCCGCGGTGGAGGGCCGCCCAGCAGCTTTGGTCGCATGACCCCATCGCGCCCGACGTCTGTCATTGGGACTCCCACCGGGGCTGACGACTACATCATTGTCACCAGCAAATTCAACATGGTCGACTTGGCTGGTTCGGAACGTCTCAAGCGTACCGCTGCTCAAGGCGACCGTATGAAGGAAGGGATCAGTATCAACAGTGGTCTCTTGGCCCTCGGCAATGTCATCTCGACCTTGTGCGACCCGGTCAAAGCTCGAGGTCATATTCCCTACCGAGACTCGAAGCTGACTAGGATGCTCCAAGACTCTATCGGTGGCAATGCTTTGACTACGATGATTGCCTGTGTTTCTCCCATCGAGGCCAACATAGGAGAGACTCTCAACACCATCAAGTATGCTTCCCGTGCTCGAAACATTCGTAACCAGACCAAAGTCAACGCTGTTGAAGCTGGTTGGGACGATGTCGAGCATCTCCAAACCACCGTACTCAAGCTCAGAAAGCAAATCTCGATGCTCGAGAGCGACAGCAAGGGAAGTGCTTCCGAAGGAAACTCGAAGCACAGCGAAAAGCTTATCCAAAGGCTCGCCGAGCTTCAACGAGAACACACCGAGCTCTACGATCGTTATCTTGCCAAGTGCAGCGACAATATGCGTCTTGGGAGTGAGCTACGTAACCGGGGCCCTGGTGACGGTGATGCTCTGTCAAAGTTTAACGAGACTGTTGAACCAGTCATCCTCGAGTAAGCCATTCCTTTGCGGGAAGGATGCCTTTGCTGACGGCGTTTCAGATACGAAAAGGTCGTCTCTGCCCTGAATCAGCAGCTTGACGAGCTTCGCGGCGAGATTGTGGGTAACACCTGACATATATGGTCATTGCGCTGATTTGCCGCCCAGGTCATAATCAATGATCTCTCCGAGGAACACAACCGTCAACTTGAAGAAGCTCGAGATCGCCAACTGCAATCTGAATCCTACGTCACCGAGCTACGGAGTCGTCTTACCAAGTTGACCGAGCGAAACTCCTCCAGCGAGGCCTATATCCAAGACCTCGAGGCCAAGCTCAAGATGTACGCCGACAAGGAAGACTCCCATGCCGACGCCGTTGCCGAGCTCAAGAAGGACATTTCAAAGCTTCGCGAGAACAATGCGTCTTCCGTCTCCAATGCTCAAGAGCTTGAGGCCAAGCTGTCCAGGTCGGAGGCTGCCTCTAGCAAGCTTGTTGCTCAAGTGGAAAAGCAGGAAGAGGACGCGCAAGTCCGAGAGTCGGCTTACCGAGAGCTCGAGGCTCATATCGTCCGCTTGGAAGCCCAGTCCCTCGAGGACAGCAAGCGATTGCTCGGGGAGCTTTCTGACCGGGATGACAAGATCCTGGAGCTCGAGGAGGAGCTTGAAAAGCAGAGGCTCGACGGAAGTAGAGAGAACAAGTTGTTGGAGGCCGTCAACGCCGAAAAAGCTGCCCAGCAAGAACTGCGCATCAGACTTGCATCTATGCAAAAGTCTGCTAGCGGCGTTGTAACTCCCCCTTCGGAAGGCTCGACACCCGCCGGCTCTGTCATCAAAAAGTCGGCCGCGAGCTCGAACGGTGGCGAAGGAGAACCGATCGGCGAACTGGAGCAACTTCGTGCCGCTTTCGAAAAGCTCGCGGCCGAACACGCCAAATCGGAATCTCACATCGCCGACTTGACCTCCCAGCTTTCGGAAGCCAAACTCGTCCAAGGCGAAATGGAGGACACAATGCCATTGTCTCCCTCGTCGCCTATCATCGACCACGACTCTCATTCTGATGATGAGCTGGAAGAGGTCGCTACGCCAGTGGACGACCTTCCCACACCAGCCAGATCGGCTCCTGGTAGCAGTCCCACCAAACGTCGGACTTCTAGCGCTTCCATGCGCCGTTCATCGCTGCCCTTATTGAACAATGGTGTGGCTGTCAAAATGGGTTTTCGCGGAGGGAGGGGATTTTCAGACTCGACAAGGATCAGGCCGCAATCGCTCTCGCAGGAGCTCTCCTCTGCGCAGTCCTCGGTTTCATCGCCGCGCGCTACGTGGAGGGACCCGAATACTAACAAGCTTCTTCTCTCTTCGCCCAGTATGGTACCCAAGCCTTCTTCCAAGTCTGTACAGTCTTTGGAAGCAGAATTGAGGTTTGTGCATGGTGTGGGTCATCTTTTGATTGGGACGGTCTGGAGACTAACAGCGAATAGATCGTGGACGAACGAGATGAAGAGCTTAGAGATCGCGAGGCCTATATCCGACAATTAGAAGAGCAACTGGAGTTATCCAAAACGCACGATATTCTCTCCCGCAAAAACCGTGCAAACCCCATAGATGTCACCACATCAGAAATTGAATCGATAGATACAGAAGTTGTAGAGCTACCGCGAACACCAGAAACCCCTGGAATTCAGCTTCAGCCTTCAGACTTTCCTCTTCCGCCTAGTCCTGCCCCGATGACTCCTTTCAAGTCGCTCAAGGTGGAAGCGGGAGACCAGGACGGAGACGACGAGGGGCTGAAGCCGCCCCCAGATGACGGAGAGAACGGAGCTCTGAGTCCGAGAAGTGTCAAGAGGTTCAGCCAATTGGCGGAGTCTCTGAGTAGGTTGGAGAGTAAAGAAGGCTGCAATGAGCAAGACATGATACAAGAATTGATGAGGTGAGCGCACATGACTGGCACGATGGGCTTGGTTGACGTTCCATAGAGAGATGGCCGAGAAAGAAGCCAGTCAGAGGAGAATCATTGAGCAACAATTCATACAGATTGCGGATCTGCAAAAATCCAACAACAAGTTGAAGGAAGAGTTGATCGAAGTTGTGGGTCGGTGTAATATGGCAAAGATTGGACTAACGATCAAATAGGAACCTCAACTCTCTTCAATCCAAAAACTCCGCTCGGAACGCGACCTGTTGACCGCCGAGAAAGCTGCCGCCACTTCACCTTCACCCTCCCCGGTCCCATCGCCGAGCAGGTCCATCCACTCTCTCGCGAGCAGTGCTGCCCTTGATCGCCTTCAGGAGGAGCACTCGGAAGACCTGCAGTCTATAATCACTGGCCATTCTCAGACCATCAAGGTGATTCAGCGAGAGCACCAGGACGAGATTGCCAAGCTGCAAGCCATCATCGAGAAGAATGAAGCCGTGATCGAGGAGTGGGCAGCCAAGGTAGAAGGACTGAAACTCGAGCATCACGGTGCGCAGACCGCTCAAAGGCTTGATCAGGAGGCGAAAGAAGCTGCCCACCAGAAGAAGCTCGACTGGCTCAAAGCAGACCACGCCGAGATTCTTGCATCTCTCAAGGATGCCCACGCTCGTGCGCTGGAAGATCTCCAGTCGGAACAAGACCTCATTGCCCAGGAGATGGAGTCTTCCTTGTCTTCTTCCGAAGAGCAGCGTCGTCAACTCAAGATGAAGGCCGACCAAGCTCTGTTTGAGCTTTCCCGAGTCCGAGACGAACATTCACTGCAGCAGAACGGCGATGCCAAGCAGATATCCGAGCTTACCAAAGCCAACGCTCAGCTTGAAAAGGTCAAGACCGAGCTGGAGCATGCCAATGCCGAGCTCAAGGGTCAGTGTGCCGACTTGAAGCACCAAACTGGCGAGTTGAAAACCCAGAATGGTGACCTCAAAGTCCAGAGTGGAGAGCTCAGCAAGCGCGCCACCGAGCTGGAGCAGAGGTTCAGTCGAAAGCTCGTCCCGCCGCCCCAGGTCCCACCACCTACTACCCCGCTGCCCCCTCTTCCTCGAAGCTCTTCCGGACACGGCACCAGACTCGGCTCGGACGGTGCTAGTATCACTCCTTCCATGCCCCAGATCGGCGAAACGGTCGGTCAAAGTAGGAGGCAGAGCGAGTCTTCTGCAGGTCACTCTGATGGCTCGGGTGAAGGCGGGAGTCAGGCGGCACTGTATGGTGCTTTGGCGGAGAGGGACGGGTTGAGGGACGCTCTGGTCAAGGACAAGGAGAGGATCAAGGAGATTGTGAGTACTGTTTGATTCGTGGGGGATTCGCGCTGATGCTTTGATCAGGAGCGAGAGTTGCAAGGAGAAAAGGTCAAGATCAAGAACCTTACGGTAGATCTCCGTGAAGCTCAAAAACAGGGTACGTTGAACTGTTGCGATGATATGGCCAGTACTGACATGTATACCAGCCAACACTATCCGATCGCACCTTGACGAGGCCCGCCAGGAGAACAAACGTTCCGCCCTATCGTGCCGCGAGCACACGTCTGAGCTTGAAGCGCGTCGAGAGCAGATGGCCAAGTTGGCGGAGCAGGAGCGCAATCACCGCGACTCGTTGCAGGCGTCTCAGGCGCAGGTGGCCAGTCTCAAATTGCAACTTGAGAGGGCGGTGGAGACCAAGGTGCAGAAGCGAGGATTCATGTGTTTTTAGTATGTGGTTCTACTTGGGCTTTTCTTTCCGCGTTCTGTCTGTCTGCTTCGTCTAGTATATTTCGGCTGTCGTGTCAATCTGTCATTCTTTCTTGTGGACAACTATCTTACTCGGTGGCCGTTTGATACGCGCCATTATTCCATCTTATGCTATGCACCAGTGTTATATATACTATGGACATCTATAGGATACATGTCTACTGGATCCAACCCTTCTCGACGGCGATCTCGGCATTGATGACAGAGGAGGTGGCAGCTCCCAACCTGACATTGTCGATCAAGCAGACAAACTTGACGTCAAAGACGTTGCACTCTCTGACCCTGCCGACGCTTACACAAGCACCGTTGTGGAGGTTCTTGTCCAATCTAGGCTGGGGCCTGTCGGGGGCATCGTGGAGGACGATAGCCTGAGCAGGCGCGGAAGGTGCCCCGAGCTCTTGGGCCTCGCACCTAAAGTCTCTGAAGGCCGCCTCAATCTCGGCCACAGAGGGGGCGGGCGACTTGGCAAACTTGACAGAGACGCAGGCAGTGTGGCCGTCAATGACGGGTACACGGGTGCAGTGCGCAGAAACGTTGATCTGCTTGGGGGCATGCAGGTCGAACGACGTCTTGTCATCTGAAAGACCACCGAGAATCTTGTTGGTCTCCCACTCAATCTTTTCCTCTTCACCGCCAATGTGGGGGACGACATTGTCCAAGATGTCCATGCTGCTCACGCCGGGGTAGCCGGAACCAGAGATGGCCTGGAGGGTAGTGACGAGAACAGTCTCGAGGGGGCCGAAAGCCTGTTCGAGGGCGGCGAGGGGGACGACGAGGCCGGTGGTGGAGCAGTTGGCGTTGGTGATGATGTAGCCTTTTTGGAGGCCGAGGGAGGCGCGCTGGTGGGGGATGATGTCAAAGTGGGAGGGGTTGACGAGGGGGACGACGAGGGGGCAGAGGGGGTCACGTCGGTAGTTTTTGGCGTTGGAATAGACGGCGAGCTCGGCGGCTCGGAACGCTTGTTCTGAGAGAGGAGTTGGTGAGTGATAAGAGATGCAGTAGCCAACGTACCAATGTCACCAGCAACGTCCTGGTCGAGACCACTGAAGACGGCGCCACACTCGGCAAAGCCAGGGGCATCAGGCTTGCATTCTTCGACAGTCATGTTCTTGACAGCCTCAGGAATAGGGGAAGCGAGCTTCCACTTGGTGACCTTGGCATAGGGCTGGCCTGCTGAGCGAGCAGAGGCCCCGAGGGCGTGGATCTTGAAGTAGGGGTGGGTGGCGAGGAGCTCGATGAAGCTGTCTCGGGTCAGCACGGATTTGGATGGGGCTGGCTGGTACTTACCGCTGGCCGACGGTACCGGTGGCGCCGAGGATGGCGACGTTGATGGACCTCTGGGGGTGGGCGGGCATGGCTTGTGTGATTTTGCGGGCGGGGTGAGGACAAACTTGAGGTGTTGGAGGATGTCGAGACTTTTTCAGCGTCGAGTCCAAAAGTCCTCCGAGCGGCTACGGCGCGTCCGGACATGAGCGCCCATCTCCTCTATCATCTCGCATCCCGCATCTCTCATGCATCCACCCACCATGGTCGTCGCTGCCCCCGTATTCGACAAGTCGGAGCCCAAGGCGGACAAGTGAGTGCACCGCATGCTGGAGCGACCGCCGCCACGCCACAGACGCTCACCTCTATACCCAGGCTGTTCCCATACCACCTGCCCAACTCGCCGGAATGGGACGAGTACAATGACTGGTACTCGCAGACCGCCATGACCTCTGCCGCCGCCGGCATGTTTATCAAGCAGCCCCTGTACGTGCTCCCAGCGCTGCGTGTACGGCCAAGGCGGGAACTGACACGCATTTGATGCCAGCATCGTGTGGGGTGCGTTTGCCCTGGCGGTGTTTGGGTATGTGAACCAGCAGCCGCTGCGCCAGGCCAAGGACGCAACGTCGCCGATACTCGTTCTGGGGTGAGTGGGGTGTGTGCTGGGTCTCTGGCTGGCTGGCTGACGCTCGGCAGGATGGCGCTCGCTGGGGTGTTTGGGAGTGTGCTGCCCAAGATGATGCTTGCGCCGGCGCCGGCCCAGACTGCGTTGTAGACGACGCTGACGACGACGAGGACGAGGACAAGGGAAGCATGCATGGGATGATCCGTGGCTGAACACAACACACCGCCGCCCCTTTCTCGCAGTACATATATGCTCACTCACCCCTCCTTCTCATCTCCACCGCCATGGACGAGCTCTACCGCGGCCACCTCGCCCCCCAGCCCCCCTCGGCTACAAACATCACCCGCAGCATCCACCCAGACGCTGCACGCCTCCCAGAGGAGGTCGTCGACCTGAACGCCCCCAATCACAACTACAGGGTCATCGCTTCCGACAACGCTCGTTCACCCAGCCCAGCCCCGGGCCCCTCGTTCGTTGCAGACATGGCCCCGCCACCGCCACCCCCGCCGCCAGAGGTCACTGTCAATGTCAGCACCGACGCCCATCGACCAAAGCGAGGCCGCTCGTTCTGGATGCGATGGCCCACGCCCCATCCCCTGTTGTGGATCACCCTCGCCATCAGCGTGCTGGCTCTCGTCCTCGAGGTCCCCAAGGGCTCCCTGCCCACCTTCAGCGGCCGCCACAAGGCGCTTCGAGTGAGTCGATCCACAGAAAAGATCCCCGTTCCTTTCACAACATGCCTCGAGCCCCTTCTACAACATGAACATCCGCTGACTCGCTGCACACTCGTAGGCCCAGGAAAAGGTCGTCCAAGAAAAGCTCCAGCTTCTCACAAAGCTCTCCACTTTCCTCCCTCCGCCTCTTGCTGCTCTGGTCGCCCCCTTTGACCCTGCTAACCCTACTGCCACGTCTCTGCTGGCCTTGCCTGATAACCACCAGCTCGAGCTCCTTCGTCTGGCTCCGACCTTGCGTTTCTGGAACACTGGCCTTGCCCAGCCGTTCGGCGTCGGTGTGGACACGGACGGTCAGCAGTGGTGGTCTGTCGAACAGCTTGGCGAGGGCGCTAGCGTGGTGAGGAGCAAGGGCGAAGGGCAGGACAGGGAAGTTTGGGTTCTTCGAATCCCCGGCGAGGTCAATGAGGGTCGGTCAACTCTTGTGAGTCTCTGAGTGACATGTTGCTAACGTATGCAAAGAAACCCCGCAAACTGCCGCCCTCACCCAGGCGCTCACACACTCACTTCTCCTCCGAGACCACCTCTCCACCGAGATCCACCAACTCAAATCCAACCCCTGCCCCGTCTGCCCCGCCCCTCCTCCTCCCCAGCTCAACCACCAGTACTCTCAATCCGGCCGCAGGTCTGCCGAGCACGAGTATCTCGTAGTCATTGAAGAGGAAGAATTTGAAGCTGCTAGGCAGAGGGACGAGTGGGAGAAGTATGAGGAAAAGCGAAGGAGGGACAAGGAACGGGAGAGGGAGGTGGAGGAGAGGGAGCGAGAAGTTGCGAGGAGGGAGAAATGGGTCGTCGAGGAGATGCGCAAGATGAGCGAAAAGATCCAGCAAGTTTGACACTACCTTGCACATGTTGGTGCTGACTCGCCATAGCACCCAAGCTAATGAACTCACCCTCGAAGACCGCATCACTGAGCGACTCAAGGCCTATCAGCGCCAGCTCCGGGAGCACAACTCTGCCAACGGCGAATTCTAAGTCATATCCTTGGTTTGTCTATACATACAAAAAGAAGCGATTGTGCATAGAGAAGAGGCGGAAGAGCCCAGGCCAGATCAAAACTGATCTGCTTAATCATCTTTGAGAACTGTATAGACTTAAAACTAGAGGTGGTCATGCATTGATTTACTTCTTACTGATGCTCTGCCTTACTTTTGACCCATGCTCTTCACCTCTTCAAAACTCGCACTTTGCCTCCCATGCGTCCGCTTCCCTTCCTCCCTCTCCTGCTTCGGCCCCAGGTACTGTGGCAGGATCTCCTCCACACTCCTCAGTCCCGCATCTCCTGGCGGCGCACTACTAGGCGCCGAGCTCGGGAAAGCCTTCAACACTGCTTCAAAACTCTGCGAAAACATTGGTGGGACGGGAGACACGATATTGTCATCACGCAGCTGAGTGACTTGATCTCGCGTGAGGGTAAAGATGTTTTCGGGAAGTTTCTCAAGGAAGAACCCCTGGAGTGCGCCGAGAGCATAGGGGATGGAGAGGATGGGTCGTTGCAAGCCGCTAAAACGCAGGACGAGCTCCATGATTTCACGGTAAGTAAACACTGGGACAAGCAGATCAGACGGCTGGCAGTGAGATTGACGAGAAGTGACTTGCCTTCAGGACCCCCGGCTTCGATGACTCGCCCTCCGACCTGCTTGGTCACTTCGGGATCGTCTCGACAGCAGATCTCGATGGCTCGCGCTACATCCCCCACGTAGACGGGCTGGAACCTGACGGCGCCGCCCCCAAATACAGGCAGAAAGGGGAGATATTTGGCCAACGTTGCAAACCTCTACATTATCGATCATCAGCTGATCCCCAATGAGAGTGAGCAGGACTTGCGGTGAAGAATGAGTCACCTGGACCAAAGAGGATGGAAGGCCGTATGATCGTGGCTGACGGGTGATTCTCCCAGATCGCCTCTTCGCCCTTGCCCTTTGTCCGCCAACTATCTCAGTCAGCCCATGACCTGCCCAACTTCTCAAAGGCAAGACTCACTAAGCTGTAGCTCCCTTGGAGTGCGCCCCAATAGCACTAACCCCCACCACTCGCCCAACCCCTTCTTCCTTTGCTGCTTCCGCTACCCGCCTCACCCCGTCTTCTTGCAGCGCCTTCATCTGCGCTTCGGTACCAGTGAGTAGACCGCCCATGGAAACGACAGCGGCTGCACCAGACATTGTCTCGCGAAGCGCAGAAACGGAAGAGGGCGAGGTGATGTCGATAGGAGAGGGGGCGAGAATTTGGTTACCGAGGGATTTGAGCTGGTTGTGGACTGGACAGAAGTTAGCCCGGCTTGCAAGGGAGGGTAGAGCGACTTGCGTTTCTCGGGATGCCTAGAGACGATCTGGATCCTGTTACGAGGATCGGCTATGAGAGCTTTGGCGACATACGACCCTGTTGCAAGTCAGCTTGTCGTCGTAGTGGATGGAGTGAACGGGCTCACCGAGGAAGCCTGCGCCGACGAGGACGATCTTGCGGGGGGACTTGTGGGTCGGGGGCACGGAGACGGTGGATGCGAGTCTCCTGGGGAGCATGGCGGGTGGAGATGGGGACAGCAGCGCATACATCCAACTTCCTTCTCGGGACGACTGGTGCGGTGACGTCAGAACGCGACTGTCCATGCCACTAATCACAAACGCTTCCTGGGATACGGATACATCTGCAGACACCAAGTATACAACAGGTCTGTCAATGTCCATCCTACTTTCTGGCCAGTCGCGCGACCTCGTCCGCCTCTCCTCGCCTCCTCTCGGCTTTGAAGAGGTTGGCCTGCCCGCCTTGCGCCGCCGCGGCTTTGCCCAACTTGGCGAGTATCATGGCTAGTCTGAGTGGTTTGACCGAGGGATAAGAGACGGAGCGGACGGAGGGTTCCATATAGGCCTGGACAGCGTCAGAAAGGATGATGTTGATGGTCTGCAAGCCGGTCAGCGCTTGAGTTGTGTTTCAGCCCGCCAATACTTGCGTGTTTCACTTCGTCAAAGACTCGATCCAATTCTCGCTTCTCCAACCGCTTGATCTCGGTCTCAATGAAAGTGACATCTGCCAACACGCTTGCTAGCGCACTCTCGTTCAACCTCGGGACACTGGAACCCGTCAGAGTGTCCTATTGCCCAGTCAGCTCACGCATCTCTCTAGTCATTCGATGACTCACCATTAGCCACTTGTTGATCCGTCCCAAAGCATTCGAGTATGCCCGCGTCTTGACTTCCTCACTCAACCCAATCAGTACCGAATCCACATACGCCGTCAAGAACGTAATCATCTCAAACACATAGGTGCTCGGTTCTTCCACCGTCGACTGGGGACGAGCGGGCGTCCAATCGTATTCTGCAAGCTCAAAGAATGACTCGAGTTTGGAGTTGACGACACTGTCGATGCGGGACTGGGCGATAGCGAGGGTGGAGGTGAAGGAAGCGCCTGCAGAGAGTTTGATGGGTCCGCCACGCTGAGAGGCTCTGTGAAGACGTCAGCTCTAGCCACTTGTCGGTAAACTACACATACCGCAAGTTCATCAGCACCGATTCCAGCTCATCGCAAGCTGTCAAAAAGTGTTCGAGGTTTATCACTATCTGGGCAATTTGGGACAGATTCGCCATGGACAACAGCCTCTTGGCGATCTGCTTGCTAACATGGGTGGACAGCAGGCCATCGAGAGACTGTTGTGATGTCAGCTTTTCACTCTAATCATGATAAAGATAGAAGCGTACTTTGCGAAGTACCTCGTCTATATCGAGATGTTGTTGAGCAACACCATCCGTGAATTGATAGAACTGGTCGACAAAGTTGCGGGTATTGATGCAACACATGGGATAAGTCTGAGAGAAGGGCATTGCTTGCGGAAATCCTTGCCTGGTACTGAGGTCAGCTCGGTCCACTTGACATAGGCAAAACTTACATGGCAAGGGACTCGGCTTCTCCTGTTGCTAGCCAGCAGACTCCAGCAACCTGATCAAATTCTTCTTGATCGTTGACCATCATGGGCTGGTTGTCGTCGTCCGTCACAATCTGTTGGGCGTCAGTCGTGAAACTTCAACCCATACACTACACTTGCCTGTTCAAAGTCTGAACTAAACTTGTTTAGCAACAACTCAGAGTAGCGCTCAAAGAGGGCAATGAGCAGCCCGTTCAGCTCAGAGATGTTATAGCCATAGACCTGAACAATGTCAGCACAGGTCGACTCCCGAAGCTCTTCGAGGACTCACATCCAGAGTCTGAACAAAGAGGAGGACCTCAGATTTCGTACTCAAAAACACCTCTGGATCACTGCACCCCTTCAGCCCCTGGCCCATCACATCAACAATGTTCTTGCACATCTCGTCCCAAAGCTCGTCCACATCCCGCTGCGTCCTAAATTCTGGCATGGTATCCAGCACATGAGATTCAATTACAAAGAATCCCACCAGCTCTTGCAACAACAGGGGAAGCGTCGTCACCAACGTTGCGGGAGTCGTAGCCATCCGGGAACTGAGGATGAGCGCGGCTTGGGTTTTGCGGTCGTCTTGGAACGTCCGCTGCAGCTCGGTCTTGGCTCCCAGAGCTTCGTAGATGTGGATACACTGGTACAGTGGTCTAAAGTCGACGTTGATTTCGTCATTGTCCAGTGCATCGACTGAGAACGGTCAGCATGGTCCCATCCGGCGTCTCGGCAGCCACTCACACTCGACTCTCTCATTGTGCACGAGCTCCAACGAGCCACCTACTCTCGCCAGCCTATCCCCTCCCTCCTTTTCTCTCCTCGCTCTCCACTTTTTGATCCTCACAGACATCTGGTCCAACGCGACCTTGCCGACTTTGGCACTGCTCTCTCGGACATCAAACAGCCATGACTTGGTAGACGCAGTGACGGCGTCTTTAATGGATAATCGGAGTGAAGGGAGAGAGGACATGACGTGGGCGTAGAATGGTGTTTGAGAGATCGATGCCGGGGGGAGATGGAGGAGGTCTTCCAGTGACCGTAAAGCTCCCCAGTATTTACCCTCGCGGACCATGTCGCTGACGCGGTGGACGAGGTCAAGCAGTCGCAGGCACGCCTGCAGGGTCTCTATAGCATCGTCCATATTTCTTGCGACCTTTTTCTGCTCAAGAAGAGCTCGTTTCTGCGCTACGAGTCAGTACGGGTCTGAATCATGTTGCGATGGTGGGGACTCGCCTTCTCTCCGAGTGCTCTTCCAACATCGCCCATCTGTCCATCAAGCTCTCCTATTCGCCGTCTGAGGTGCCCGGTCCCTTGACGGATTGTGAGTAGATTGGAGACCGAAGACACAAAGTCCTGCCACAGGTCAGCAAAGGTCATAGTCTGAGGAGGACGGACACCCTACCTCGTAGTTGCCTGCGCATATCGCCTCGATCTCCTTCTCCTTCTCGTCAACGAAAGCATCAAGACTCTTCAGATACAGTTGCTCAGAGTCCGTGTCCTGTATTGACTTGATGAGAGGGGCGAGGGCCTCGAGGTTCTCGGTCGTGGAGGTGGGGTCGAGGTTGATCTGTGGGGGGTGAGCATGGGAGAGGCGGAGGGGAGGACATACCTGCTGGAGCTGCATTTCGAGCTCTGCATTGGTGAAGGTGGGGCGCTGTTTCCTGATCATTTTGGCCGTGCTGTATAGTTATGTCAGTGCAGAGTACGTTAACGCGGTCATCCACCGGTGGACATCTCCGACGCGACTGGGAGTATCGTAGCGACGTAGCCAGCCTCCATCGCATCTCTCGGCGACTTCCAACGCTTAGCATCCCCCTAAAGACCACCAACTTACCACCATGTCCAGCGGAAAGAAGCCACAAGGCGCAGGCGACGACTATGTCCTCCTGGAATCATCAGACGGCTACACTTTTGTAGTGTCCCGTAAAATCGCATGCGCCAGTAGCATGCTGAAGAACATGCTTGATGAGGATGGTAAGTATCTATAGGTATACTGGATGATCTCGGCTGATCCTCGGTCTATAGCTGCATTCTCTGAGGCGACGAACAAGGCTTGCAAGATTCAGCAAAGGTACGACCATCGCAAGAGTCACCCAGGGGCACACTCTTGAAACGACATGGACCTGGGCAGCTGACGTATTTGATTCCAACAGAGGATGTATACTACTCAAAGTGATCGAGTATCTGGCATACAAGGTCCAGTACCAAGAGTTCAATGCGGAAGATGTCCAAGAAGATTTCCAAGATCGAATAGATCCGTACATTGCGCTGGAACTGTAAGCTGCCTCGGCCAGAGTTACAACATAATACTACCCTTACTGATGCGCTTTAGCTTGACTGCTGCCGACTACTTGGATTGTTGAAAGTCGGTGTTCACACAATTCACATGCCCCGCAATCTGTATAATCGTTGTCACCATGCACGCCCCCGTCCCCATGGGTCGGTCTTTGTATCCCGTACAACATTGCTGACTAACTAGCGCTACATTGTCGTCGAGCTGAAAAGTCGACGATCATCACAGTTGAAGGCATATCATGGCTTGCCGCTTTCTCCCTTCCCTCCGCCACCACGCCACTTGGCCATACTCTCCTTGACGCCCTTTCCAGCCTCCAAATCCTTCTTCACATTGTCATCCACCTCTCTTCCTGTTACCGCCTTTTTCAGGACTTGCTCAACAAGCTCTGGCGGAATAGCTACACAGCCATCTTCGTCGCCCACTATAATATCCCCGGGGTTGACTGAGATCTTGTAATCGAATGCCGGGTCATACAATTGCGTGACTTCTGGGGAGGAATAGCTGAGAGGAGACATGTCGACCGGGACAGACAATGCCGAAGGTCGTACGAATGACTTTTGACCAAGAGTTGTGTGATAGTTGGCAAAGACCTGCGTTCCTTATGAGCTCCTGTCCATAGCAGCCAGAATCATACTTGCCGGGAAATTGATGTCTCTATGCTCTGCAAGGTCCCTGCAGCCACCTCGAATCAGAACGCCTTGGACGTCTTTGGCCTTTGCTGCGGTAGACATGAGGCCACCCCAACAACCCGCATTTCGAACTGTGAGATCCAAAAGTCAGGCGCGATCTTTCCACTCGAAGCTTTGTCGGTGGTATCGTCCATGCATAGGAAAGAATGAACATACTGAAGGGGGCAGATATGACCATAACACTCCCATTGGGACATGCATCAACCTGTAAACAGTGGGTTATCGATCGTCAGCACCGACTCCAGGCCCCGCCACGTAAACTGGCTCGACGCAAGCCCTTCCCACCAGGCCACGTAAACAACAGAAAATAGACTGAGGCGACTACTAGTCTGCGCTCTGCCAAAATACACTTTTCATTGTCCCTCTTCACAACAACAACAGAGCGTTTACTCACAAAGTGCTCTTCGGTCTTGGGAGGGTTTTCATCTCTCTTGACATTCTCAGCTACCATCTACAACGACTCCTCATCAGCACCGACCCAATTTTGTTCTCGCATGCGGCACGCCGACCCGACCCTCGCCCTTACCTGAACAGTGAATGCTGGTCCAACGACTTTCAGACTCTCTGTATGCCGTGGGGAGAAGATGTGAAGGTCGGGAATGAAGCCGCCGGTGGTCAAGCCGAGCTTGATGAGGGCATCTGAAATCTACAGACAAGTGAGCGCAAGAGCAAGGGGGCTGGGAGGGCTGAGACGCACCTCGCAAGTGGACAGCTCCCTGAGAGCGTTGATTGTTTTTTGCGTCGCCATAGCGGGGTGATCAATGAAGCTGGTGACTTGTGTAAGTTGTCAATATGTGAACTGAGAGCCGTTGTATCTGATAACGATTACAGTCGTCGACCTAATAAGGAGGCGTCATCTTCGGCAATCCCCAACCGGCAAGAAGCCGAAACTCAAATCCGACTATCTCCTTCGACTTTTGACATTCGACGATACTTTCACTCTTGGGGCAAGTGGGCTCGATTCATCAGACTCGCCTGTATCTCAAATCGGCTGGCTGTTATACACAATTTCAGACTGCATTCAGTGACAATCTACCACAGGGCTCTCGCTCGCGCAAGCTCCAGCAGAGATCTCTTTCCACAAAAACCAAAAAGACAAGAAAAGGACAGCAAGCAAAGCACGCAAAGGGTATCAAGAAGGGTACACTCGTATCGATCTCAAAAGGTCAAACAAAGATTACAGCCAGCCGCGAGGGTTTGATTGAATCATGATATTCAATCGTTTAATGGTATTTGCTGATAGCGGCGAGGTAAGTCTGACCGGACTCGCTGTATGAAAGGTTAGCTGATGATATATTTCATAGTCGGCAGATCTACCTCAGAGCACCATTCTTCACCATGGCCCACGCATCAGACAAACCATCACCGTTACTACAGGTCTGATCAGCGATCAAGCCACATATCTCCTACCAGTACGACTCACGAGTAGGCATAGCCGGCAATCCTGTAATCGTTCTCAAAGATGTCAACGGCAGTTTGGATAAAGGTGTTGATCTCGCTCTGGTCAGTGCAAGGAATGAACGAAGAAGAGTCGTCGACTATACGCTCCGGTCAGTGTCTCTTCCCTCACTATATCACAGACATACCGCAAGCAAATTCAGTGACCCAGATAGGAAGACCGTAAGTGTTCCAGTAGTGGTCCTGTTACTGTCAGCTGATTCGATGCTAGGAAGGCATATATATGGACTCACAATATCAGTGTTGATCCCGGCGGCACTGTTCTTGTTGACGTGGATGTTCATAATGTCGGGCTTCCTGGTAACAGCGCTCAAGAAGGGACTGAGCCATCCACTCTCGGCGGCCTGCTTGCACATGGAAGGCCCAACCAGGACAGATCCCGCTTCACCGTGAGGAGCCACAAGAGAGTCCCACAAGGCGATACCTGCGCACGGTCAGTTTTGGTACGGCTTTCGAACGACAATAAGCCCACCAGTGGCAATGTCGAATCCGGAACTGCCGGATCCAGCATCACAGTCGGGCTCCTCGAATCCAATTATGTAGCTGGGCGTGCTGGTGATGGCAGAGAATACGGACAAGCGAGAGGCGTCGCTGGAGTCGGCTGAGAGGAGAAAAGGACGTCAGCACAGTCTAGGCAATCGGGCAACAGCCATTTACCGGAACCGGAACCCCAAATACAAGGGATAGCTACAGCAGATCCACTGTCTCCCGAGGGATTGGCAGACCAGTCGTACCACCATCCAATGTGGTCTTTGACCTACAGTCTACGGGTCAGCTCTCCTCGCGTTTCCACCACACGCAATCACCTACCCAAGGCAAGGCATCACCGGCACTGAGACCGGCCTTGTTTCCGTTAGGGGTCAAGTTGGCATAGCTGACCACACTCGAGCCGGTGCTGGAGGAGGCAGAGGATGTAGAGGCAGCAGCGGCCGAAGTTGTGCTCGGGGCGGCAGCAACAGAGGAGGAAGTCGAAGTGGCGTCGTCGACCCAAACTTGCTGGTTGACGATGGAAGAAGACTCGGCATCCGTAGAGCTCGCCTGGGTGCTAGCAGAAGTCTCAACAGTTTCGCTCGAAGCCGAGGTGCTGGACACATCGGTCGTGCTCGCAGCAGAACTGATGACCTCGGTAGAGGAAACAACAGTGCTCGAGGCCGAGAGCGTACTGCTGACGCCGGTAGGGGTATAGCTTTCGCCCCTCTTTCGGCATTTAGCACCATCGGCCCCTCTTTTGGCCACGTTGGCCATGTCTTTACCGTCCCTCTTCCTGGCCATCTTCTCCTCGATGCTACCGGAAGCAGCCCTTTTCATGACAGAGTCGGAGGCGTGCCCGACCGCAAAGGATGCGGCACGCGCATGGTTGTGACGACGGTGGGGGCTACGGGCGTCGAGGGGAGAGTTGTGGCTGGCGAGAGCAAGCGTGGGGAGGACGAGGAAGAGAGGAAGGAGGTTGATGGCCACCATGATGGATGTTGTTGTGAGTGATTTGACGGGGGGTTGTAATGAGCGTGGCGGTGGAAAGAGTGTGTGTTACTGGGCAGGTATGGTCAGTGGGGTATAGAGAATGGTGAGAATGCAGCGAATGGCAGCAACAGGGAGATGAGAAGAGGAGATGAAAGAGATACGGACGTTTGAGGGAGACAAGGCGAAACGGCCAAGGGTGCACGGATACTCGGATCTCGTTGTCGATTGCAGAAGGCCGCCGTTGACGCTGCCTGGTGCTCTGATGGAGAGGCGAAGAGGGATGGATGTAAGAATATACTCGACAGCATGCATGACAAGAACGACAACAACTTCGCCAGCAGCCGGGGCGACCCACCATCCGTGCTTGTTGTCCTGTTCGGGCAAATGTCCAATTTTTCGCCAAGCTTTAGATCTGGCCCTGCTGATGCACACCCACCGTCCTGCCCAGCATCCATGCTAATGTTTGGCCCCTGCCACTGTACCCCGGCGGCCCTCGTGACGCGGCCCCAGTGTATGCATGGACATGCAGCACAGCCTGATCGGACCAGCAAGGGGGGAAGAGGACAATAATGTTTGGTTCAAAGCCAGACGCGTCAGGGAATAAGCATCAGGGCACAAACGCCCAGGTACGCGTTGTGATGTTCTCCTGTCCCGTATAATCCCGGGCTATTCTGTGGCATTCACAATCCCACAACCATGCATTTTACTTTGGACAACTTTATGAGACTACTGATACACAAGCTACTTGTACCCAAAGTAGACACCGCCGACACCGCTTCCCTCGTCCGCCAGAGCCTCGTTCAGCACCTTGGCCAGCCGCAAGCCCGCCATGGCCAGCAATCTCTCCACAATCTTCTGTCTCCCGATCTCTCCCAGATACTCATCCGTGTCGAGCTCAATCAACGCTTGTCCGGGCTCATCTGTAAAGGCAGCAGGCCAGACAATGTCACAGTTGAGCTGGTGGATGCCGGACGTCCAGTGGAACGGACAGGCAGGGAAAGACATGTTGACGCCCTTGGCCTTGAGGACCTCGGGAGTCAACGCAAGCGCCTGGTCTTCAAACCCTTGGGTCTCTTTCAGAGGAAGGGCATAGTACAGGTCGGCCAGAGCAGCAAGTCGGCCCGGTATGAGCGACAAGGCCAAGGAGGACACTGAGCGGAAGTTGTCCTTGAGGAAGGTAGAGGCAGAGGGTGGGACAGCGGCTTGGGAGGAGTGTGGGAAAGGGTCGCCGTCGGATGGACATGAGAGCCATTCTTCGAGGTCATCGCGCCACCATTGACGGATACCTTCCCATACGATCCAACGGACATAGGGGTCGAAAATGGCGCCAGGGAGAGCGGATTCGATCTGTTTCCTACACAACGTCAGAGCTTCCTACAACCCTTGACAAGGAGACTTACGAGGGGAGAGGAGAAGTATAGTTGGAAAGTTCACGAATGTTCTTGGTGATTATACCGCCGTCCCATACCGAATGCAGGTTCCTGTGTCGCCCTTCAAACAAGAACATCGCTACGCTTCTGTCAGCCTTGGCCGATCAAAGCATCGCCAGCACCCACCTCCGTTCCCTCCCTTTAGTCTTCCCGCCAGGTGCAAGGGCTGATGGGCATCTCCGATGAAATGCACCAAGAACCTCAATGGAATGTCCACATCGCGTCCACCCTTTCCATCTGTGATTGCACGCGTAAAGTTCTGGATGGCGGTGACAACATTGACATCTTCATTCACCCAGCCATGCTCTCCAAATTCACAATGATCTTGAGGGTGGTCTCCCTTGCCTAAAATACTGTCAGCGAGGCTGGCCAAGTCGATAGAGACGACCCACCATTGATGTAGTGCATCGGGGCAGTACCCCGGTATCTGTTCCGTATCTGGTCTGCCCACGCAGCGATCGGCGCAAGATGGCAGTTGGCTTCTAGTGGAAGGATACTGCAGAGCTTCTCCTTTGTGGACGGGTGCAGGTGAATCTGTGCGATAGTGGCCACCATTTCATGGCCTGATACGTGCCAGAGAGCTGATAAGCGACGCAACAAGCAGAGTGTAGCAGACGGGCTTACCTGCGGCTCCCCATGAGAGGGCAGTGGGGATGGCGGTGGCAGCTGCGAGTGCCAGAGAGAGCAGCTTCATGTTGGCAGATGAGATGCGTTGAATGCAGTTGAATGAGTTCGCCGAAGGCCACTGCAGCCACGATGACGTTGACCAAGTGATAAGAGCGGGATCAAATTAATCCCACATCATCCGCTTTTTCTAGGCAGAGAGCAGCATTACTTGCATGAAAAGTGCGTTCTATACAAGACTCCATATCCACCATGCCCCTTTCAGACGAGACCAAGGACCGATACAACGCCGTTCTCGGGTAAGTCATGTTGAATCGTTTCTGCCGTCCTTACTGACGACCCGTCTCAGCATCGCGAAGGTCAGCCGCTGTCACAATTCCCACGGAATAACCACTCACATACTTTGTAGGCTGTGTTCAGCGTCGGTTGGATCCCCTTCATCATCTACGTCGGCTACAAGAACTCTACCCCCCAGCCTTCCCTCATCAAGTTGGTCAAGATCAATGTCCCATGTCAAACTCAAACTGACCACCTTTCTCTCAGGCTCATCACCCCATTAGCGTAAACTGCCCAATTAATCCTTGAGATAGAACAGTGGAGGGAAAGATCGAGGACTGGTATCTGTAGAACATGTGAGTGGATGGTGGATGATGCGGAGAATTGGGCTGACCGATTATCCAAGATGTATCAACACCTCCCTTCTCATGCATTACGATGAAAGCTTCTGGAACGATTCCTCCATCATCTCCCTTGTCTTCAGTGAACAGATCGTTACGCCCGCGTCTTCATGCGCCGACCAAGCCAGCGAGGATGCAACCAACTCGAGGATTTGCGTCCGTTCATCGCGACGCCAGTACTTGCCCATGTGCTCCGGCATCTCGGGCAAGGATGGTGCTGTAAGAGGCCAGGCTGAGCTGGCTTGGTTCGTACTGCACGAGGGCGTGGCGAGCGATCATTTTGTTGTTTGCCGGGTCGCAAGCTGAACGTTGCAGGTGCTCATGCCAGGGAGTCGGAGGCATCAAGGATACAAGGCGTCGCATGTCTTCTGAAAGGCCATTACTCTGCCATAAAAGACAGCAGACAAATACTATCGATACACAATATTGCATAGGCATCACCCTGCAACCCAATATATGAAATGTACAAACATCATCAGACCAGGATCAAAGCCAGACAGCGCTAGCGAGTCTACTGCTTGGCCTGGCAGCTGGCACAGCCGCACTCTCCAGGGGGACAAGAGCAGGCGACTCCAACGCCATCACAGCTATCTGAGGCGTCAGCATATCGACTCGGATTATCCACCAACAAAAGCTCCCTCACCCCTCGCCCAAAACCCCCGCGACGCCCGATCCTCAGCTGCCCCCAACGCTGGAAAACAGAGACTGACTCACCCGCAAGTAGTAGGCTTGCTGACAGGGGCCTCCTTGGCCTGAACAGGGCAGCTAGCGCAGCCGCACTGGCCGGGAGCACAAGTGCAGGCAGCACCTTCGCCGCCGCAACCACAAGTCTGAGTCTTCACCTCCTTCTCACCACAGTTGGCACAGGCGCATTGGCCAGGGGGACAAGTGCAGGCAGCACCAGAGCCGTTACAGCCGCAGGTCTGAGCCTTCTCCTTCTTCTCTTCGCCACAGCTATAATAACATGGTCAGCTAGACCAACAAGATGATAGAAAGGCATAACGCACTTGCAAGCACCGGAAGCCTCGGTCTTGCTGGACTTGGGGCAAGACTCGCATTGGCAGTTGCCAGGGGGGCAAGAGCACTTGGACTGGGTCTCGGCGGTACTGAATCGTTTGTCAGTCATAGAGTATGACGTCAAAGGGGCTTGAGTACTCACCCACAGCAGTTGGGTGTTTGTTGAGAAGAGCAGCCGCAACTGTCAAGCATCAGCTCCAGTCGCAAGTCTCAATATAACGGCAGTTGAGATACTGTACTCACGACATGTTAAGTTGATTTGTTTCGGAAAAGGTTGAGAGGTGGTGGAGAACTTTGTTCTGACTCGGGCGGTGGTATATATATGTCGCCAAAAGATGTTCTGGGGTGTTCTGAAGCAGGATTGTTGCGGCAATTCAGCTCTGTGCTTGGCTCGGATCTCTGGCAGCAGATATGATAAACGCGGAACCAAAAAGTTGAAATTAAACTCAGCACAAGTCGCTCAACCTTGCGCGTAAAGCGCGCACAAAGCACACCAGCCAAAACAACGCACAATAGCCTAGCCATAGAGTGGCTGTGGCAGCAGAGTCTGATGCGAGCAATACCATACATGAGTCCATGACATGTACATATACCGACCCCGAGGCCAAAGAAACACTTGATGTTGGTGATGCTCGGCGGCGCCCGCCTGAGGCCGGAGCCTAATTGTCTTACGTAAACGTAACCTCCAAAGTTTCGACGGCCGTTTCTCAAAATTCGCATCTCCTCTCTTTTCTCCATATGCAAGAAACCATGCCCTGCAAATCAAGTTGCTCTTTCATTCGCCACAGAGCCTCTCACTGTTCAGGGAATGTTTGCTATAGTGAATGTCCAAGTTTGAGGGTCGCCGGTGGGCTTTTACACCGACCTCCCATAGAGCGGACGTACATCCACCCAAAAACCCCACTCGTGTGCGTTTTCTCTCAGCTTTCCGAGGCTGCTGCGATCTATGAAGACCTTTGTCAGATGCCTTACCTCGCAGCACCATTCTTTGCCGATAATCTTGCTTGCTCCATTGGTGTTTACAGTCTCCGTCCACTCCTTTGGAAGCCCCCATTCCGGTCTTCGCGTCATATCCAACCAACAGTTTGGGCCTTCGGCAACTTTACCTTTCAATGAACAACAGGTCTTCTGAGAGCTCTACCCCTGATTGGCCTCCAAGCAGTGCTGTTCCATTGGAACCGCCTACCTCCCTTCATGCTGTGACACCCGCATGTCAGGATGAGCCCGTGGACAAAACTTGCTGGCAGACAGTATGACGCTCCCCACCCCCACTCTTGCCATTCAAACTCCGTATCTACCATGCCATCATTATCCTGCCGCCTGTTCGGAGCGGAAGGGCTAGTATCGTGCTCGTTATGAACCCAAGTCGGTGGGCGGCTGTGAGAAAGGAGGTGCAGATCATCAACAGGCGCGCCTTCTTGACGAGACTGTATATAATTGTCTTGCACGAGACCAAGGGTGGGGTCGACTGCCTCATCTCTAACGTTCGCCAGTCTGCTCACTGTCCAGCCTGCTCTTGATCCCGGCATTAACACGCGCTTCCTTATAGCTGCTGACGAGCCTCGTTGTTGCGAGGCAAGTCAAAGTTCACTGGCAGCCTTGGTCGATCGAAGACGACGACGTCAGCCACTCACGAGTCTTCGGAACACATTTCAGAAATCTATAAAGGGAACGAGGTCACTATTTGGCTCCTTACCTCTTGCACGCATTTGATTGCCTTGCCACCTCACCCAAGATTCTAGTCTGGCCCCATAACATTCTTCCAGGTAGCGTTTGCTCGCCCGGGTCACGCACGGTTTGAGGCTCTCAATCTTACTCCAAAGGGACTTTCCCAGAAAGACTACACACGCTACACACCTCCACCCCACAGTTCCAGCCGGTGATACTACAAAACAATTCGCCATCATGTATCGTCGTCGCATGGGAATGCCACACCAAGCCCCGGTCTGGGCAGAACTGGCAAAGTTGAAAGCGGCTCCTGTTCTGAATCCGCATTTCCGCATGGTTCAGGCATTGTGAGTACCGCTCTGAAGGAGTTTTGTCATTCTCCGACCATCTCGAGAGCGACTGTTGACAAAGTTGGCCCAGCGTGAAGCATCTCAATAGTCTAGCAGAGGTTACGGTACAAGTGGGCAACCTTCCTCGCTGGCTGATAGAGATTCAAGAACTCATCAGGAGGCTACATGACAGGACCTATGCTCGCATACCGCTGTAAGTCAACCCGCCGGTGCCTGTCGATCCATATCTGATGGGCCGTGGATCGTGATGGGTCGTCCTTCGCGTGTTGCGGCTCTTGAACGCGTGCTGATCAGTTTTCTTACGTAGAACGCCAGAGGAAAGAGTTTGTTTATTCACCTTTGTCAGTACCTGGCAGTACAGATGTGGCCCGCCTGTAAGTGATAAACCGTTCCAGCCCTTTCCCAGGTCGTTTTTTCGAGGGTTGCAAGGCTGACTGCATCCATGGGGATGACACAGTACCACATGGAACGGCCAGAGGCACAGGTTGTTCTGATTACTCTATTAGAGTTTGCCCAACGGTAGCCCCAAGCTGCTTCTCTCGGAACCTGCAATAACACCCATCGGCATATTCATCAGCATCCGGCCTTCTCTCGCAAAGAGACACCTTTCCATTATCATCCGCGTTATACCCGCTCTGAACCCTTATAATCACAATTTACCACCCGTTCACTAAGGATGACCCGACTCCATAGACTCTGCTTCCATTTCCCGAGACCAGGAAATGCCTAAAAATGTATGATCACCCTCTCCTTCGGAAAATGTTTTCGATCTCTGTGTGTGGTATATGTACTACAGGGCGAAGGCGCGGATACAGAGTTGAATGAGAGGGTGAGAAAGTTGCCACAACTCTAAAAGCTCGAGACTGGACGGCGCCATTTGCGGACATTCGAGGCAAAGGTCGTTGATGGCTAACACAAAATGAGGCGTTGGAGGGTCCTGACGTTGAGATCATAAATTGTATCATATACCATGCAAGATGCTGTTGCTATATCTGCTGACATCCCCCGGGCTCGAGTTCTGAACTGTACGGAAGTATGATCCGGCCTGGGACATCCTTCAAAATCAACGTCCCTGGATTTTGATCAGCCTCCGATGGCCGAGCTGTTGATGCGATTAGAGCATTGCACCTAACCTACGAAAGACAATGGTGCATCAGTCACGATTCCTCTTCTTCATTTTGTACCGGAAAGGGTGGACGAGGGGAACGAGGTGTATACAAGGCCGATAAGAACGGCCGATAACGTTGCGACGGTCGCGCCGCCGACTAGTGAAGAAGTAGACCAGCTGCCTTCGTCGGTCGTGCGGCGTTGCTTCCTACGGTACTTTTTCGGCTTGGACGTCGAGGATGGCATTGCTGGTGTTGGGAAAGAGGAAGAAGATGAAGAAGAAACTAACCCCATCTGCTTCAAACTGGAGATATGTCAGTGATGGACACGCTGAGCAGACACAAAAGACCTACGCCTGAATATAGAAAGTGTTGAGCGCCTTTTCGACGTCGGATTCAGTGCCAGCAGGGACGCCGTCGAGAGTGAATGTGGCTTTTTCTAGTGTTAGAGCCTGTCGCATTCGGCATGAAGTGCATACCGGAGGTGGTGCTAGAGCCTTGGTTCAAAGACAATGTCATGGTACCAAAGTGATCTGCGATCGATGAGCAAGCTGAGAGACTACTCGTCAAGGGAAAACGTACCAGTTGGCCAGGCAGGGTGTCGCACTTGCCAAGATTGCACCAACTTCTTGGGCGCGTCGATCGAGATAATCTTGCCTCTGACGTTACCGTTGAACAACTCGTACTCTCCTTCGGGCTTCAGCGGAAGCTGGTAGACCCATCAGCACTCGTGCAATCCTCACTCTGCAGAGAGAAAACGACTCACTTTGGCAGCAGACCTGGACCACATGGGAATCTTGTTCTCGTCAGTCAACAAACCCCAGAGATCATCGGCGCTCGCCTGGAGATCAGCCTTGACTTCTACCGTCACCGTCTTTCCAACCGAAGACTTGTCCTTCTTAGCAGCCGTCTCTTCCTTGACGGAAGGAGCAGATGACTGCTTTGAGCCAGAAGCAACGGGGGCGGGGGCAGAAGTAGGAACAGGGGTGAAAGACTTGGAAGGAGCCGGGGAAGCAGAGTCGGACGAGTTACCGTGGGCAGCGACAAGAGCGGGGCGGAAGGAGTTGAACTTCTCAGAGAGGATGGCGGGGAAGGTCTTGCGAACGAACGCCAAAAGCTCCCGAGATGAAGCATTGGTGTTTCCAGTAATCTTGAACTCGTACTACACACGTGTGAGTGGAAGCATCGGAAGGGCAATCAATGGGACAATGGGACTTACGACATAATCTGAGACGCCGTCAATGGCCTCGTGAGATACCTCGGGGACTCGGAGAGTGCCTGCAATCTCGGACCCATCTTTAGCCACTCCGTTCCAGCTTGCTTCTACTTCAAGGTCATAGATAGTCAAAAGTCTATCATTACATCATCAGCAAGAGGAGCGCCTCTCCAAAGTCGGCCAGGCTCACTTTCCCTTGCGCTGACCAAGATCACAATCTCCAGTGACGCTGGAGACCTTTTCGATCTCGGCAGTCTGCTGGCCGTCTTCGATCTTGAGGCCTGGAAGAGCGTTCTTGATCCAGTCGTAGGCGAAGGGGGCACAGTTCTTGTTCTGAAGTGGAGGCCGTCAGCGCCGAAGCCACGTAGATGCGATTGGTGACTGCTTACCCTCCAGTGGTAGGACTGCTGGTAGGCAGAGAGTTCCTTGGGTTCCACGTTGGTGATGATGTCGTTCATGGTGGGCGGGGGACTTTGCGGGTGACTTGAGAATGTGAGGACGCAATCAGTTAGGAATAGTAGTAGGTGCGTTTCCAGAAAGATCCCCTGCCGACCACGTGGCCCACGGCGATGTCCGCCGGTATGCCTTGGCTGTACACTGCTTCGTCGGTGCTCCGGTGGGTCAGTGTTGTAGTGCCAGTCTCGAGTATTAAATGCGCAGAGGTCTTTCAGCCACCCGCCATACACGATGCCCAGGTGGCTAAAGTCGCTCTCCAGCCTCGTCAGACGCGAGCCCCCGGAGAATCCACTCAGCCCCTTTATCAAGCGCACAGTTCCTGGCAAGCCTCCTTTTGGGCTGCCAGAGGGACATCCCAACGTCGAGGCTTTCTATGATGATCACAAAGGCTACTACTTCAGGACGTTTAGGACGGGAAAAGATTCGGACCCGAGAGTCTCGGTGGGTCGAGTTGCTTGCGCCACCAAGGGCTTTGCTAACGTCTTGGCGGCAGACGACTCGTATAGATATGGTCAAGGCCTGGGGTTACGCGACATATGTCGTGACTTTCTTCTGTGGGCTGATAGATGCTATGGAGAACGCGGAAGAGAAGATATACGAAGCTGAATTGAAGGAGGCTTGGAAGATTGTCGACTTGGTAAGTGGTCTGTCATGCTGAGGCTGTCGGTACGCTGACGCTGGGATCGTAGTATCGTAGCTACCAGAGTGCGTGACGAGATGCTCGGAGACGATGTGTCTAATATGATCTATAGGCGAGCTCAGCTATACCATGGACGCGTTCCTCGACTTGGAACTAGGCCACGCTCTGCCTGAACGAACCTGGGCCCCAATCCCAGGTCCAGTCGATTACGACAGAATCCTCCAGGTTGAAGAATCGATTCTTCGCCCAACACAGCACATCAAAGGTCGCGATGTCCCTCTCATCACTCCTCTCTTCATCTTCCTCACTCTACATATCCTCGGTTTGCAAGAAGAAGGATTTCCGCCCAAGTGGTTGTCGCTGTGGGATAGATTCAAGCCGGACAAGAAATTCTGCTATTCATTCCCCAATGACAAGCCGTTGAAACAAAAAGAGATTGCTATCAAGGACAAGGGTGGAGCGGTTTGGGTGCGAAGGTAAGTGACAGCCTGTCCGAATGTGTGTGATGAAATTGACGTCCATGTAGTAGATCAAGCTCGGTGTACAAATAGATAGTGTACGTATGATATGAAGTCTCTTGACCAATGATTGAACCGCGCATTCACGACATCTATGCCTCTACATCGGAACGATGTTCGATCCGATAGGGGCCTTGTCAGCTGGCCCCGCAAGTGTAGCATCGTCTGAGGTCCAGCCACCGTCTGATACAGCGGCAGCCACGAGTTGTGCCATAAGCTCTGAATGCTCCTGGGCTATAGACCGCTATCAGCTTGGTCGGTAACTTCTGTGAGCCAAAACTTACTGAGGCAGAAAGCATGTGGGACCTGTTCGAGCACCTTTACCCTGCCACCTTCTGTCCCTCCCAGACAGTCTTGGACCAGAGGCCCATCTCTACCCACCCAACTATCTCCTTTTCCCGCCGCCCAGACTCCGAACAAACCCTTCTCAGAGCGTCCTAGATCCAGTCCTTGCGATTTGAACCATATCAAATCAAGCTCTTTGATTTCTTTCATTTCGTCGGAAGCTAGAGCCAGAACATCTTGTATGACCGGCGGAGACAGGAGGAAGGAGCGGCTGGTCGGTGGGAGGGACATGAAGGAAATCAGAGGGCGCAAAAGTGGAGATACCAGGGGAAGTAGAGGTTTTATGGGGCGGTGAAAAATAGGCTACGAGATTGGATGAGCATGGAAAGCAATGGAATGGTGTCGCATTGACGTACCCAAAGCATCCACCCATTCCAAGTGTCCGCGATCCAACCCAGAGTAGGGAAAAGAATGATTCCAGAGTCGATCACTCTTTCGTGTCTGGAGTTGACCCTTTTCATCACCTCGCAAGCCATATACGCCCCCACAGAGTGTCCCACCAGAGAGATCTCTGATTTTGAGCATTCTCTCTCTCTAGCCCAACCCGCCAAGTAAGCCTTGACGGACTGGACGAGCTCTACTTTGCTGTCGATTTGCTGTTTCAAGGTAAGTGGGACTGTAGGCCCGGGGACCGATATGGAGTGTCCTATGTGTGATGTTGCAAGAATAGCGTGATTCGGCGGCAGGAGAGAGTGGAGGTGGTTGAGGAAGGGTGGGTAGTAGTCGAGGAGACCCGGATTGCCTGATCATTATGTCATTAGCGTTCTCTTCCCGACGGTCTCTCCGCTTTTACCTGGGAGAAAGATGATAATCTTTTTGGGAGGCTCAAAGCCACCAACTTTGGCAGGCCAATATCTCAGATCCATTTCGCATCTGGCGCCAGGCGTTTCATTCCCGAATGAGTACGTCTGTGGTGACGGCGGTGCTTCTGCTTGCCGTAGAAAAGCTAATCTCGAGTCCATCTTGCGTGATATGCGGGCGACTGTTCTCGTGGAAATTATGGGCAAGAGCCAGCGGCTGCTTGATCCTGATATGTTATTTGGAGATTGAAAATGAACATGGCTAGATGCCAACTAGATGCACCTGGTGCAGCTGACATGGCGGAATCAGAAAAGAACGACGCGTCCGTCGTGCGCGTCCGAGTGTGACCGGACATTAAAAAAACGCGTCAGCTGTAATGCGTGCATCTCTTTCCTTCCCCTTTACAGCCAACACCCGCGACACCCTGGACGATGAGAGAGGAACCCTCCCCTGAAGCCCCCCCAAAGACATCCTCCCCTGGCCTCTTCTTTCCTCCCTCCGACTCTGAAGGCGAAGACTCGAGTTACACCCCGGGACGAGCGACTGTCGCCCCCAAAGCCGCCAGGTCCTCCAAAAAATCCACGAACACTCGACCTAAGCCCATCAAACGTGGCTCCAGCTCTCAAAATCAGTCAGACGTTGTGGAAATCAGCGACGATGACGATGATATTGCCATCGTGAAGGCGCCATCATCGAGCAGCGGGGCCGCGTCCCGCAAGAGAAGTCGACGAGGATCACAATCTCGAGACCAGAACCATATGCCAACTGCCGTGATTCCCTCGGGGTTCAAGAGCGGCTTTCTCGGAGAGTTTGTGTGCGAAGGGTGGTCTCTGTCCAAGGGTCGAGGATACTGTTCCTCTGGCACTAAAATCATTATTGAGCGCAACAAACCCAAAGATTCCAACGCCGCCGAGTCAAGCAAGAAACCCAAAGGTGGGGAAACGGATACCGGGCGTGTGAGACTGGTGGGCGGGAAAGTTGTGGGCGGAAAAGCCAAGCCGAAGCAAACCACTTTGGCGTCCACTATGAATAAGAAGGCTGGCTTACCTATTCGCGCCAAAGCTGCTACCGATCAAATAATCCGCTTCAGAAACGAGCGGGGGTTTGAAGGTAGGTGGTACATTGTACAGTCGGTTGCGCAAAGCTAACCTAGACACTCACAGTCGGTCGCCTATCAGTGACCGAAGCCAACTTCCTCACCCACCTCCTCGATACCGGCATCATCAACCTCGGCGGCCATGTGATCGACTGCCCAGAGGTGCTCACCACTGGCTGCACCATCTTGCTCGACATAAAAGTCCATCTGACCCGGAAAGCTTTCCAGAATTCCAATAGATACGAGAGGACGGAACAGGGCACATTTTGGAAGGACCGACAGGAGACCGTTGTGGAGGAGGCTATGCGATTCAGAAAGGATTCTTTGGCAAAGTTATTTGGTCAGTAGCCTCAATGATGAGCTCCATGCGAAGCTAACTGCTACTACAGAGAGGATCGGAGTCAAACCCATACAGACCAACGCCTTGTCTAGAGTGCCTCAAATAAACAGCGGCGGTGTCTCTGATGAGCCCAAAGCGAAGAAAGTGAAGGCTATCTCTGACGCCAAGGACAGCGGTAAGGGTCGGGAACGAGACACTGGCGAAGACAGCGGAGATGAGGCGGAAGTGTTGGATGACAAGCAGTTGAACGAGATTGATAACATCTATCGCAAGTGAGTCTGAGCCGCATTACCGTTCCCTCGCCGGACGCTCACTCTATTCGCAGAGCTCAACAGGGTGATACTCGGCTTGACGAGATGGACCCACCTGAGACCTTTCTGTATACGCTTCGTCCGTATCAGAAACAAGCTTTGACATGGATGAATGCCAGGGAAAGAGGCGATCAGAGTGTTCGGGAAGAAAGCCTTCATCCACTTTGGGAAGAGTTAGTCTTTCGCTTATTTCGCTGGAACCACGACTTACCATATGCCTTAGATATCTTTTTCGAAAGGAGCTTCAGCCTGGAGAGCCCATTGAAATCTCAGACGACGAAGACGGACCCGATCCGAGTCGCAAGTTCTACTGGAATCCTTACAGCGGTGAATTGGCCCTGCAATTCCCGACTTCGAAGAATCTCTCCCGAGGAGGTATCTTGGCAGACGCTATGGGAATGGGGAAAACCTGTATGATGGCTTCTCTCCTACACACCAACCGGGAGACGGAAGACCTCGCGAAGGAGCAAGGCGCCGAGAAGCAAGAGGAAGAGGAGGTTGAGCCCGCCTCCAAAAGGACCAAGTTCAAGCAAGTCACGCTGTCCAACCAATGGCGGGCGATACCTTCGGTCCCGAAACCTTCGCCAAGAGCTCGCGCGACCCTTGTCGTGTGCCCCGTGTCGCTCGCGGCACAGTGGCATGAAGAGCTCGGTAAGATGTCGAAGGAAGGTTCCATCAATAGCTTCATGTGGTATGGCAATGATCGGACTGATATAGAGACGTTACTTTCCGGAGAAGGCAAGGATCAAGTGGACGTTATCGTCACGTCGTATGGGACCGTCTCGAGCGAGTACCAACGGTGGGTCAAGATGAAGGAGAGGACCAATTACGAGGGTGGTAGCCTTTATGATCGTAGGTCGAATGACCATTCCACCAATGAAAGACTTGCTGATAACATCCAATTGAAGACGAGTTCCTTCGTATCGTCCTTGACGAAGCCCACAACATCAAGAACCGTACCGCAATGGTTTCCAGGGCCTGCTACGAGCTTCAGGGGCAGAGGCGGTGGGCGCTCACCGGTACTCCAATCGTCAACAGACTGGAAGATCTCTACTCGCTACTGTATGTTCTCCGGCTGTACTGTTTGCATGGGTTCTAACTTCCATCAGACATTTCCTTCGCATCACGCCTTGGGGAGAGTACTCGTTCTTTAGGAGCTTTGTCACCGTTCCTTTCTTGAACCAGGACCCAAAGGCGCTCAACGTCGTTCAGTATATCCTCGAGACTTGCCTGCTTCGTCGTGAAAAGACTATGCGAGATAAGGATGGACGGCTTATCGTTGATCTACCGCCTAAACACGTGAGTGCCTACGTCTGGGACTATCGATGAACGGGCATTGACAAGCCGGCCAGGTTGCGGTCAAAGTCCTCGAGTTTTCTCGGCCCGAGAGGCAGATATACAAATTCCTCGAAGAGCGTGCCAAGAAAAAGATCATCGAACTCGACGCAGATGGTCGTGCTTTGGCAAACTACACGTCCATCCTGGCAATGTTGATGAAGTGAGTCAAGACTTTCATTTCGATGGTCGGACCAGGCTAACCAATAAGACTGCGTCAATGTGTCGATCATCCTCTCTTGGTCCTTGGCAAGTCGGGAGAGGACAGCGAGCTGGCAGAACAGATCCTTGATTCGAGCTCGGCAGACTTGACCGACAGTCTGAGGAATATGATTGCCGCGTATGCCGGAGGCGCGCGAGCTGAAACTCCAGAAGACGTTGACCAAGCTTATGCGGCCCAGGTGTTGAAGGAGCTGGGTGAACAGGAGGAGACACCGATCTGCGAATTGTGCTCTAACGAGATGTTTGACGAGGTCTTGCTACCTTGTTACCATCGGAGGTGAGTGCCACGTCCTTTTTGAATTTGCTGTGCTCACCGAGGTCATAGTTGCCAGGACTGTATAGTTGAGTGGATAGGCACATGCGAGGACCAAGACAAGCCTGCCAACTGCCCTACATGCGACAAGGGCCCGATCAAACTCGCAGACCTCCGCTCAGTACAGCGGCGTCACAAGCGTGTCAATCCCATTACCGGCGCTCATCCTGATGAAGATGAGAAAGCGTCGACTAGTGGTGCGACAGCTATATCGTTGGGGAAAGTGGATCTTGTTGCCAGCACTAAGTTGAAAGCGCTGGCGCGCAGGCTTGCAGAAGTGAGACAGGAAGACCCGACTTACAAGGCCCTTGTCTTTTCCCAATTTACCTCCTTCTTGGGTAAGAAAGACCTGATTCGTGAAGGGTGTTTGAACTGACACCGTGTAGATTTGATCGAGACTACCCTCACAAAACAAGGTGTCAAATGGCTGTGAGTCTTGTCCGTCCTGGCAATTGTCGCCCGCTTGCTTACAGTGCCATAGACGGTTTGACGGTAGCATGAGTCAAGCACAACGAGCTGGGACTGTCATGGAATTCGGCAATAAGAGCGCCGAGCCTGTTGTCATGCTCATCTCTCTGAAGGCCGGAGGTGTGGGACTCAACCTGACAATGGCTAACCGTATGTCGCATCCATCCTGCCAAACGGATCCGCTAATGACTTGGACAGATGTATTCATGATGGACACGTGGTGGAACGAGGCGACCGAGCAACAAGCCGTCGACCGTTGTCATCGACTAGGCCAGACAAAGCCAGTCTATGTCACGAGGTATATAATCAAAGGCACGGTTGAAAAGCGCATCATGAAGATTCGTGAGTCCATTGCTGGCTGTATCCTCATGTGCTAACAGGCTCGCTCAGAACGATCCAAAACGGCATTGGTCAATGCCTCTCTCCGTGGGGACGCTGCCAAAAGCAAAGAAACTTCGTTGGCCGATATCAAGAAGATATTCGGTCTCCTGGACGCCGAAGAAGACAGCGAAGAGGAGATATACTAGCACGGGATCACGGAAGACGCCTGAATCACGGAAGTGTATCAATGTCACATGTATCATCTATGTACTGTATATACACAACTCTTTCATACTCTCAAGGTTATCTGGTGGAGTCTAGTGACTAGAGCAAGCAGCGCAACATTCTCGGAGCCGGCATTGTAGGTCACAGCGTCAAGGTGAAGCTGGACAGGAGATTAGCGGGTGCGGGCGTGAGGGACGGATGACTGACCTTGGCGTGGTGGTTGAAATTGATCTCGAATCTCGTGAGGGCCGACCATCGCGAGTCGCTCTTGACCGAACCAGACTCTGCCACTGGATCTGCAAGGAACTTGGTGAGGGCGCTGTTCAATGATGTCTGATAAGAGACGAAGACGGAAATTGTCGTCATGAGTTTTGCGTAAATCTACACGTCATCAGCGTTTGCTTTCGCGCCGTGTCGCGACTTACCCCGAGCAACTTGGATGTAGTCAACATGCACTGCTTGAGACACGTATCTAAAAAGTCCACATGGTCCCTCAACAGTTGATCCACTGTCTGCACTTTCGCGAGCTTCTCTTCCAACGCTTTCCAATTGGGGTCGAGCACCTCGCCCGTCGCAAATGCGAGCACTTGTCGGACAAAGGCAGCCATCCTTGTGCGGAGGGAGAAGATTCGCATCTTCCATCTTTCGATATCATCATTTCCTGAGTTATTCCGCCATGCCGGGGCCTTGTGTTCCAGCCACATGGCAGACAGTGACGATTCGAGGTGATGGAGATGGAGAAGGAAACGGAAGATGAGTTGGTATCGCGCGATGGTCTTCCGCGAGATGACGAGGGACAGAGGGAATTTGACCGAGTAATCAAACGCGAGCGCATCGATCGCTACGCACGTCAGCTTCAGTAACATGGGACAGTGTAAGACTCGCCGATCAACGGTCTCTTTTCGTCTCTCTTGCTCCCAGCTTCGTCATCGTCTCCCATAGCAAAGTCCAACTCTCCACCATCTCCCAAACTCCCTGTCTTGCTGACAATTTTCAAGAGCCAGTCATACAGTCCTTGAGATTGCATCACAACTTTGAGATCATCCTTGTAAGGATCGTTCGAGCTTGAACTAGCAGGATTGCGGACCGCAAGGTCCAAAAGGGACTGAAGCTTGACGATGGAGGCGCTCTTGGCTGGCTTGCGGAGTTCTGATCCGGCCAAGTCGAGAAAGTTGGTAAGAAAGTCGGATTGGTTGAGGAAAAAGAAGTGCTTCATAGATCTAGTGGAGATATTAGCAATGTCAACCCGCTGTTGACCAGCGCACTGACCTGAGATGCGGTATGAGCTCCTGTTCATCCACCATCAGCTTCAGTAGCGTCTTGTTGGCGTAGATGTAAGCATCTTCGATCTGCTTGTAGAACCTGTAGTGAGTCAGCACCAAGTCCCTCGTCGTGGGATGATGGCCTTACTTGGGGTCGTTTATAGCAATCATTCCCTGCTCTTCCAAACGGACCTCCCCGGGCTTCTTCACTTCAATCCCACATTCCCGTATCACATTAAGATATTTGCCCGCAAGGAGGATTTTGTGCTTCCAAGGCTGCAGAAAGGCAGGAATGCAAGCACCACCTGGTAGCCGACCTGTGCCCTGACGAGGTGGGGGCGCTGCAGCGGAGAATGAAGGGGTAGCTTTGCCAGTGCTGATTTTGCCGGAACCGATCGAGGACCCATCACGAAGCTGAAGCGGCAAGTTAGCCACAATCTATATGCTGATGACTCTGACTGACCGTGTATCTCCTTTCCCAGTACTCATCGGTGTAGTCACTCTCCAATACACCCTTGGTGATGTACCCGCTCTCCTTCACCATGAATTCGTCAAAAGGATCCGAAAGATGCCCAGTCGATATCCACTGCACCAGCAGTCTGCAATACGGCTGAGATGCGTGGAGCAACAGGGTCGAGTAAAGCGTAGACGCCGTGGGGTCACCGCTCATAGTCGACTCTCTTTCGCAAATGATACCCAACACCTCGCCCCCGATGACTTCACCCCCGCCCCCAATGAGTCCTTCCTGTGCTTTCAAGTTCTTCATCAATCCCTTCAGACCCGCTCCTCCGAGACCAAGTTCGTCCGCCATACCGCCTAGCCCATCATCATCATCCGACAGATCAACCGATTCTTGCCCGGTGTCTTCTGTTTCGAAACTTTGGCAAAGTGATGCGAGGAGAGACATTGTGCGCAGCGTTGGGTGGAGATGAAAGTACAGGGTTTGTAGGGTGAAGGTGGGGGAAGATAGGAATAGGGACTCGAGTTGTGCAGTCAATACATGGTATTCCTGATGACAGTGTGAGGTCGTTCAAAGCATCGCGGATTGATACTCACCTTGAGCATTGCCCTGATGCCGCTGCACAAGGCATGGCTGACCATTCCAAACTCCTGAGTGGCTCTGTTGGCACGTCAGCTTTTACAACGTTCACTGATACGATGTGTGAGCTCACCTGGACTCCATCGATGTGTCGACTGCAGTAAAGAATGAAGCCAGAGGTAACAACCGATTGACTAGAGACACGAGCGAAGGGTCTAAGGATGTGGATCAGTAACATGGAGTCCGTAAGACGCGATCCACTCACCGAGATCAGGGTGGACTGTCCACTTGGCACCTTGAAGCCTTTGCTCCGCATCCAAGGGGTCATACGTCTCGTCGAAACGGATCAGAGTTCCTTCGATTCCCTGATGGCAGGTCAGAATACGAACACTAACCACCATGATTGACCTACCTGCAAGACAAAGAGTAGGTCTTCGCATATCCAAGCTTCTTGCACTTCCAGCGGCACTCCGTCCAAAAGCCGTTCTTCCTCAGCAATGGCCAGATTGCTCATTTGCGTCTCTGATTCGGGGACGGGGTCGGCAACTCTCTGGCGCTCCTTTCCCTTTCCTGATTCCCTCTGTCTTTCTCTTTCTTGTGCTTCATTGGGCGTAGGCAGTGTTGACTGAGACATCCTAGTACTTTGGGCTCGTCCCAGTGAGGAAGGATTGTACTCGCGCTCTCGGCCATGCGCACGGCGAACGTCCCGGGTAGATGCTGAAGATGAGGGGCGGGCTTGCAGTTGTGGTCTGTCATACTCGGTTTCTCGGGCAGATGACGGGCGAGGATGTCTTTCAGAATGGTTTGTATGTGTCTTTGAGGAGCCTGATCACCCAGACTGTCAGCGAATGCTGCTCAGGAAGATGCTTTGAACGTACTAGGTCGCGACAGGATCCCACTACCCTCACCCGAATGTTCGAGCTCTTCCAGTATGGAGCCCGGACGAACTTTCCTCACTGAAGCCATGGTTCCCGCGAACTGTATACGTATCGTCAGCTTTGATGCAGATAGATTCGCGGATGGACAAACCTCTCTGAGCTCCCTGTCGGTGAACGCCAGGCGGCTTGAGCTTGTCCGCTTGCGGGGCTTGGGGGTGAATGGGACAGTGGACGCAGCCGAGGACGGGCGTGGTTCTGGCATGGTGGATTGTGAGCTGCAAGAAAGCATCTCCTTGTTGTTTGTGCAGCAGCGAGAACGCGTCGCGCGGCACTTACGTAATGTAATGTCGCAGACTCGCAGCGTATCCTCACTCCTGCTGCTGCCATGCATAGGTCGACGGTGTGGCAGCCGGTGCCGGCGAGAGAGCAGGAGCAGGATGCATGCACTGCATGTCTGCATGGGCCACCCTCTCCGCTCGCTGCCACAGCATCGGTGGGCCGAATATGATCTCGCTTGGACGAAAGTGGGTGCGCATTTAGCGCTGGCAGTGTGCTCGGACCCCGGCATCCTCCCTAGCTTCTTTTGATCCTCCATCCATTATTATTGAATTCCTCCTCTCGTCATCCCACCCGCTCCTCCAGCACCCCTCGCCCTCCCTCCCGCTTGGCCGCCTCTCTTCATCCAACTCTGCTTTTCCATCTCCCATCAACCTTGCCCAGCCCTTTCAACCCTGTCCGTGTGATACCCATCGGAATCTCCTCCCATGTCCAAGGTGAGTCTCTTTTCTTTATTCTTCTCAGTCTGAAGTACCTGTGCTCACTCCGATCAGGCTCAATTCCTGCGCGAGTACAAGCTCGTCGTCGTCGGTGGTGGTGGTGAGTCCGTGCGCAGTGATCTGGCGAGCGATCAGCGGCCAGGCAGGGGGGTCAAAAGGCAGCACGTCAAGGACATATCCCATGTTGCTGCTCTCTTTCGACTGGCTCGGAAGTCGCAGTCATGACAGTCCAGCATTCGGCTCTGAATACCTTGCCGGTGTTTATCAGCGTGAAATGCTTCGATGGGCCGCCTGGGCCACCTTGATCGTTCAGAGATGGTGTAAGTCGTGATGCTAACACAATTACAAGGTGTCGGAAAGTCTGCACTTACTATCCAGTTCATTCAATCACATGTGAGTCGGCCTTGCAATACGACAAAAGGAATCGAACTGATATAGTCGTGTTCCTAGTTTGTTGATGAGTGTGTATTCTTTCAGCCTTTCGATTTGCATCAGGGTCTAGTGCTGACAATCTTCTCCTTGTCCACAGATACGACCCCACCATTGGTGAGCATACACTGGTATACAGTGAACACGGCTGATTCGAATTTGCAGAGGATTCCTACCGTAAACAGTGCATCATCGACGAAGAGGTCGCCCTGCTCGATGTTTTGGACACGGCCGGACAAGAAGAATACGGAGCTATGCGAGAACAGTATATGAGGACTGGTGATTAGCCCTCATGACTTGCCTCTGTGCATAGGTGCTAACCGTATATTAGGCGAAGGATTCCTGTTGGTCTACTCTATCACTTCCCGCAGCTCGTTCGAAGAAGTTTCCACATTCCATCAGCAAATCCTGCGAGTAAAAGACAAGGACTACTTTCCAGTAGTGGTGGTCGCCAACAAGTGCGATCTGGAGTATGAAAGACAGGTCCAGCCTCACGGTATGTCTTTGCTCGCATTTGCTTTTCTTGGGTGAGCTGATCACAGGCGGTGCAGAGGGTCGGGACCTGGCCAAGCGATTCAACGCTCAGTGTATCGAGACTTCTGCCAAGCAGAGAGTCAATGTCGACGAGGCTTTCATTGCCGTCGTCCGAGCCATCAGGAGATACCAGAAGGTACGTTCTACAGTGCATTGCACGCTGAAATCATACTGATATCTGCTCTAGGAGTCTGGCCCTCCCCAGGCCTCTGGTGCTCCTTCCAAGGCGCAAAGTGGAGGCGTTGGCGGACGTGCAAACGAGAAGGACGATCATGTGGACAAGGGGTGCTGCGGCGGGTGTGTCGTCCTCTAAGGGAAATGGATGGGCAGTGGAGGCTCTCTTTCTCTTTTTCAAATCTATTATCTGATCATAGTGTTACTATCTAATTGTATACAGCTATTCTACTTGTTAAGGGATTTTGGCAGCATGCAGTCATTAATCGTAGGATGCAATGGGCCTAGACGCGGTCGAAACATTCTCGATTTGTTTGCGATGCACCACAAATGATTGACCATTTGATCATGCCTGAACTGCATGTAGATCTTGTTGAACCTTTAGTTTGAAACATGCCTTGGAGAACGGGAGCAAACTCGGTCGCGTCCACTTTTGTGTTCGTTCGCAATCCAAGACTTGATGATACTGGCAACATCTCCATCTCCGACTTACGACTCTCCAAGTGCACATCGCTCTGAAATAGGCCCATGTCTCTCTACGGCGGTATCAAATTCACCGCTCCGACAGCGCCCCAGCAACAAGCTGAAGAGCAACCATCAGCATCCTCGACCCCGGCCTCCACCTCCGCCACGAGTGATGAACCAGCCAAGACCACAGCCCCTGCTCAACAGGCCAAGACCAAGTCAGCGGCAGAGACTTCGACAGCGCTCAAATTCGCCCCCAGGATCAACAAGAAACCATCCCGTCCGGCTCTCCCTGCTTCGGCGCCGGTGGTGATTCCTCATATTGGGATATCCTCGAAGCCGGATATCGTTCGGGCAGCTGAGCCTGTCTTGACAAGAAGCGAATCATCGGGGAAAGTCAATAATGACAATGAGGACGAAGTCGTATTGGGCCAAGATGGGATTCCTCTAGCGCAAGCTCCCTCTATGACTCTGGATCCCAAAGGCCGGACTCTAGCTGGAGGCGGAGACAGGAAGAGGAAGAATAAGAAGGTCGGTCGAGATGGACCGTGGTGAGATTCGGGCGCTGATATAAATCCACAGCGGAAGAGTCAACAGCAACCCCAAATGCCGACATTCAATCCAGATGAAGAGTACGATCCGGCGCGTCCCAACGACCTTGGAGAGTATCAAGATTATCGCGTCCGTGCCAAAGAAGAACGGCGGAGGCAGTTCATGGAGGCAAAGAAGAGAAAGGCGGACGGGCTGGACAGCGATGAGAGTAGCTGTTATTCCGACAGCGATGAGGATTATGGACCGCGGAGAGATGGTGAGTCCTTTTTGCCAGTTCCGAGCTGCTATTGACATGGGTCAGCTCCGAAAATGTTTGCTCCGCCCAAGATGTATTCTCCACCCTCTTCAAAGGCCCCTCTAGTACCACCGGAAACTTCGGCCCCAGTAGCACCACCATCTGCTATTCCGCAATCAGCAGATGAGGCCTATGCCCGTCGAGTTGCCATGTCGCAGCCCCGAGTTAGCTCGGGCGGCGACGACGGATATGACCAGAGACCTTCTTTCAATCAGCAACGCCCCACAGGTAGCGCAACATCGGGGGATGATGCGTTTGCGAGAAGGGTAGCCATGTCCCAGGGTCTGCCACAGAGCAATATGCCTTCTTTCGTGTCATCTTCCAGCTCTTTGCCCAACAATGCGCCGCCATCAAATCCGCCCAATGTCTTTGTGCCTCCAGCTCCGGCCCCTGCTCCTCCCAAACCTCTAGACTCACAAGCTGTTACTTCCGCCAATGATGAACCAAAGGACCAGAAGGAGTTTGAGGCCACGCTTGCCGAAAGAAAGAAGGCTGCCGAAGCTATCGCCGCCAAATTCAAGAATCCGAAAGCATACTCTTGGGCAAATGCTCCGCCTGATGCTTCGTTCTCTGCCAATGTATCCTTGCAAGACGTGTAAGTGTTGTCTTTCTGCATTGTGTGTGCATACCTGACGTGTGACTACTATAGCGAGGGCGGAACATTTGCTGAGAAAAGTATATCAATCAGAGTGCATTTCGACCAGGAGCTGACCCCAATTATCTAGTGATGCGAAAAATGGGCCATGTGGAAGGATCAGGCCTCGGCGCTCGTGGAGAGGGTATCGTCCACGCTCTCACAGCTGAACATGTCGCCCCTCCCACGAATATCAACCAGCCTCTCTCCAAACGCGCCCTTGCAAAGCAAAAAGCCGCCGCCGCCAATACCAAGAATAGGAAATGGGTACAATCCGCTTCGTCTAGAGGAAAGATTGTAAACGCGAATGAGGCGAAGAGAGCTACAGAGGAGAGAGGGCAGAAGGGCGAAGAAGGCAGAGTGATATGTCTGCGGGGCATGGTCGGCAGTGAGGAGGAGATTGATGAAGACCTGGCGGATGAGATTGGCGAAGAGTGTTCGAAGCATGGGTAAAGTCTATTAACAACGTCGGGAGTCCTGTCTGACGTGTCTCCAGTATTGTAGAACGTGTGCTGCTACACATGGTGGAACCGCCCCCTCCTGAACCCGAGGAATGCCTTCGAGTGTTTGTGGTGTTCTCTGGGATGGCCGGAGCGTGGAAAGCGCAGAAAGAGTTGGACGGGAGATTCTTTGCAGGTAGAACCATCGTGAGTGCCTCATATCAACTGGGAACTCGGCTGACTAGCAGTGTAGAAGGCGACATACTTTGACGAAGAGAGGTTCAACAGGGGAGAGAGGGACGGTCCTGTGCTGTAGATCAACATCATGTCAACAGCACCTTCACCAATACATTGTGCAACTATGTCTGTATCCTTCTATGGTGGTATTGACCGCTACACTGGAGGAAATCTCGAAACATCAACCACACAGGGTATACTGACCATCATGCTGGGACTATCCAGAGAGGTCTTTAGCCTTTCCCGCTATCACCTACAAGCCTTCTCACCGCTACTGGACTTGGTGTGAACAGAGCCGACGCCTGAAAGCTGCCCAACCTCACAACATTGATGGCCGAGGCGGACTGCTGGGAATTGGCCATGAACGAGCGATATGCGACCTCTCCCGCTTGTCCTCCTCCCACCGCAGATATCTTGATGGGGACTGACTTGGTGACACTGACACCGCCTTTCCTTGACCTGCCATAAGGCGACGAAGCTGAGTGGACAGCGAAGGGGTCATGAGTAGGGCTTCTCTGTGGACTCGCAAAGCTGGCGGTAGAGAGTCTAAGTTGCTCTGTCTTGACCTTCTTTTTCAGGGCCTCCAACATGAGTGACCTCATCTCCAGATTGTCCTGCCCCACGTCTGCCAAGAAGTCAGGCTGCCCTTCCACATGACGGTTTGGGGATTCAAGCTCCAGCAAAAGCGCAACAACAGATTCACAGGCAGCAAGGAAAGAGTCTTTAACGCTTGTGTAGTCTTCGTTTCCACGGAGCATTTCAGCATGGGTTCGAAGTTTGATTCCCAGATGTTGCAGGGCGGCAATGACAGGCGCCAGGGTTGCCAGCAACTCCCCAGCCGAGTCTTCCTGGAAGCCACCAGCGTTTCCGCCAGGACCGCCCTGCCCCTCGCTCCCGACGAGAGTCATGTCAGAATCTGCCGAAGTATTGGAGCCATTCGACCCGCGACGGTGCACCTCATCCATGGCCTCCGTCTTGTACCCGCCCCGATTCCAGCGATTGGTGATAGTTGCCCCTTTTGCAGACTTTTTGTTCGACATTTGAGCAAGAGCAAAGGCTAGGCGACCAAGACGGGATGGCTGAGGTTTCTGGACTATTGTAACCACGGAAGAAGCGGAGGAGATGGGAGGCTGCATAGACTTCACAGGGGAGTGGAGTAGGAAGGTGGAGAGGGCTTCGATGTCGATCTTGAGGACTTTCAGATCATTTCTATCGATAAGGACGTCAGCTAATACTCTGCATCATTGTTGCCCTCGCATATACTCACTTGAGGTTATCTAACAGAGCCTCTTCTTGTATACGAGGATTTTTCATCTTGACAGCTATAATTCTGACCTTTGGTGGCAGGAAATTTGACATACAGGCTGACTCGCCGCCATTATAACGCCCGGTACAATGCCTAGCTTAGAGGCACCAAGGAAGAGGACACAAAGGATACGGTGCATCCTTTCTGGCCGCATATTGCGGGTCCAAGATTGGGAGGCTCAGGTTCCCTATTCTCCTTTACGGGCCAATACCGCATACAACATCCGTTTTACCCGTTTTTCTATGTCTATGAGACTTATGACACTTTTTGCATTAGAGCTGTAATGGATGTAATATATGCCATCCGAGTTCCCAAGAAGACTTGTAAGGGCGGATCAAGCATCGTCAGTCCAGCCGTCCGAATTTCGAAGGAGCTTGTAGAAGAATCTGGTGGTGTTCAAATGAGCGTTCAGGCTGATGCGCTATGATTCACGTTAGCCATGACTCGCGCTGGCTGTTTGTGGGATCCACGAACCTCATCGACAGTGTGCTGATGCAGATTCTCAGAGTTGAGAGCAGGCGAGAAGCGGTAGATATTCTTTGTCACCGGCCACATGTGCTTTGTGTCCGTGTTTGCTGACGAAACATCAACACAGAGACCAAGCATCTAGGATAGACTCACCAAACATGCCCGAAGGCGCCACAATGGTGTCGTTGCCGAATACGTGCTTACAAGTCCCGGCCATCAACTCAAAGCTTTTCGAGTCTGCAGACGTAATGGGGGCAGACTCAAAGCCGCCTGGAGCATCAAGTGTTATGTGCGAAGACGACGCCTTTTGTGACGAGTCTCCGAATGCAGAGATGGTAAAGTTCAAAGACTCAGCAAGGGGCACGACGATGTCAAGGTAGTGTTGAAGGGTCTCGTTGACAGTGGACGTGAAGGCGATTCGGTGGTTAACAGTTGCTGTTTGTCATGATCAGCGCGCTATGCTCGAATAAAGACCTAGAAGGACTAACCCTGGACAAATTCAGGCAAAGCGTTGACCTTGACACCTCCGTTGATCAGATCAATAGCGAGTGTGGTGGAAAGGAAACTGTTGATGGTCCTGTCGCCAGCAGCAAGCTCATACGCAAGTTTGTCCCACTTTTTGGGGTTCTTGACTTGGGATTTGAGAGACTTGGGGACGTCAGGAGCAAAGTCGGTGATGCAGGAGAGGTACTTGAGGTATGGCGCAGCAGGGTCGAGAGAAGGTTCAAACGGGTTCCTTTCGAGCTCGGCGAGTATGAGAGCCATGAACCCGACTGCATCATCGAGTCAGTTTGTGTATGGTCAATGGGGGTAGCACGTACTGCCGGTATGAGGAGGAGGTACACTCGAGTGACCACCGAGGGTCTCGACCTTGATGTTGACATTGACGGACCCTTTCTCAGCCATCCCGAGGCTAGCCACAGTTGCTCCGTACTCTTCGGTGACCCCGGTGAATCCTTCGTCCACGAGGAAAGCGATACCATGGTGCCCGTATCTCTCTTGCAGCAATTCAGACGAAGCGCCAGATCCACGAAGACCGCCAATCTATCGGAGATCAGTTTCCCCTCTGTCTGCACACCAACAATCTCACCTCTTCGTCAAATCCATTGGAGATGATGATGGTCCGTTCGGGCTTGTAGCCCTCGCTGACAAGTCTCTCAACGGCGCCATAGATGCCCAAGAGAGAGTTCTTGCAGTCACTGGACCCTCGACCCCAGATCCAAGTACCAGGCGAATCCACGGTGCCATCCGTTGTAATGGACCCTTCAAACGGGGGGTATCTCCACTGGTCCAGAGTCTCGGGGAGGACGGGGACAGTATCAATATGCGCCATGAGGAGAATAGGCTTCAAGTCAGGGTTGCTACCCTCCCACGTGAAGAGGTGTCCGTGGACATTGACACTTTCGTGCTTCAAGCTTTGGTACAGCTTGGGATACTCTGTCTCGACAAAGTGCGCGAATGCAAAGTGCTTGTCGAATTTGGGGTCCGAGGCATTGAGGGGAAGATCGTCGAAAGAGACGGTGTCGATCTGGACGGCCTTGGAGAGTCTCTTGGCGGCGAGTTCGCCGTAGACAGTGTCTGTCAGGGGGTTCCAATCTTCACCCACGTTGAGGGGGGCAGGTTGGGCTGGGCATTTGGCAGCTGCTACCAAGTCGTGGTTGGCGTGGCTGCAGCCGGGAAGTGTCAAGAGATGCGAGTTTTGGATGAGGAGGAAGGCGAGGACGCCGACGAGGGGGAGGAGTGCTTTGTATGCCCTGGAGCGGGGAGCAGGCTGGGGCTGGGCAGGAGGCTGAGTGGTGGGGAGGGCCGCCTTTTCGTTGGACATGGTGGTACAGATGCAAGAGAGATATCTACATCTCTATTCTCGAGTCCTGTGATCGGAGATGGCCGACAGTTTTAAGCGCGCGGACCGAAATGGCGAAATTGACCGAGAAGTCGCCCACACTGCAGTGATAACACGACTTGCGCCTATCTCCTCTTGCATTCGTACTTCAACCAGCACTGGAGGTACAACAATGCTTGCCCCACCGCACGGCACTATGCTGCCCGACTACGAGAAGCAGGAGCCGCTCCACGAACAACAGCGGACACCAGATGTTCCCTCCAACCATCAACGCGCCGCCACAAGACGGGGCTATGTCCTCCTCATGGGTGGATTCGTCTACCTTCTCTGGCGCGCCTTTGGCTCTGCTAGCGGAGACTTCAATGAAAGTGCTCTGCTCGAGGTGAACGAGGACCAGTATCTTCGGGGCCTCATGAACAAGGGGGCAGAGTGGGCAGCAGCCGACAACCGAGAGCAGACTGGCCTGACAGGCGGATCCTGGCTCAGTCCTGAGGCAGCCGAGAAGCTCTATTTGGAAGTGCCCAATAACAGCAGCGTAGCCGCGTGAGTGGACAGGTCCTGATTGCAATTCAAAGCTGACATTGCATAGCGCCTCTCGTCGATACACTTCCTACGCACACCCAGCAGGCTCTGGATGGGACCTCGTCTCTGCCCTGAATCTCAAGAACGAGTGGGAGAAGGAGTTGGGTCTCAAATCATCTGGTCCAGAAGAGTTCATCTACGATGCTGGCAGCACAGAGAGCCAAGCTCGTGTCAAGGGTGGTATGGACAAGCTGGGGGTCTGGGTCGATACCGTACGTTGCCTTGAGCCTGGTGGATCGTCGCTGACTCCTCATGCTTGTAGTATTATCCCGTGATGAACACGCCTGTGCATGTTTCTGCAACTCTCCTGACCGATCCTCCCGTCTCCGCCAAACTGCAAGAAGACATTATCGAAGGCGATACCGACTCTCAGCTCCGAGACGAGGTCCCAGTCTTCCACGGCCTCTCTGTCAGCGGTGATGTCACGGGCAAATACGTCTATGTGGGATATGGGAGAAAGCAGGACTTTGATCTGTTGCAAGAAAAGGGTGAGGATCACAAGTGGTTAAGGCGCACATCAGCTGACACGAGGCAGGGATCGACTTTAAGGACAAGATTGTCCTTACCAAGTACGGAGGTTGCTTCCGAGGACTCAAGATCAAGGGTGATTGTGCTTCCATGGATGACTTGTGATGTGTCTCTGACCTTTTACTGTAGCCGCTCAAGAAGCTGGAGCGGTCGGCGTCATCATCTTCACCGACCCAGGAGACGACGGTGAGATCACCGAGGAGAATGGCTACAAGACCTATCCGGATGGCCCTGCTAGACAAGTGAGTCGCTCAACAAGTGGGATGTGCATATGAGCTAATAGACTCTCCGCGTAACAGCCAAGCAGTATCCAGAGAGGCAGTGTACAATTTGTGAGCACGGGTGGCAGTAAAACCTTCGGAAACCTGACAACAGTCTGTTCAGATCTCCAAGTACCCCGGCGACCCCACCACCCCAGGAGAGCCCGCCTACAAGAACGCTTCCCGTCTCGAAGGCGGTAATCAGCCCTCCATTCCATCGTGCGCTAGCGTCTCAGGTTATGCAATCACAGAGCCCATAGCTTACACTTGACCCAGCATCCCCATGTCATACCAGGACGTCATCCCCTTCCTCAAAGCTCTCCAAGGTAAAGGCATTCACGCCGAGGACCTTGGGCCTGATTGGGTTGGTGGCCTCGGGTTCTACGGGGTGGATTACTTTGTGGGACCTAGTGATGTGGATTTGCATCTTGTCAATGAGGTCAACACTCGAGTCATGCCTATATGGAGTAAGCATCGTCGTTGAACGAAGACTATGCGATGCTCATCTTGATAGATACTATGGCTGTCATCCCGGGCCACATTACCGACGAGGTCGTCATCTTTGGCAACCACAGGGACGGTGAGTCGTTTCTCTTCTCTCAATTGTCTGCGCCGCTCAAATTTTATAGCCTGGGTACTCGGCGGCTCCGACCCCAATTCTGGCACTGCCTCCCAATACGAAACCGTTCGCGGACTCGGTGCTCTCCTCAAGAAGGGCTGGAAACCTCTGCGCACTATCGTCCTCGCAAGCTGGGATGCCGAAGAGTATGGGTTGATTGGAAGTACAGAGTGGGCAGAAGATTTCGGAGAATGGTTGCAAGAGAATGGTAAGGTCACTGGCATGGCGGGAAGTAGAAGGCTGACCAGCATATTAGTGGCTGTCTATGTGAACATGGACAGCTCAGCCTCTGGCGGAAACTTTGACGCTGCTGCTTCACCTGTAAGTCTCCTCGATTATCCGCATAAACCAGATTGAATTTGCAGAGGCTGACTAGGACAGTCTTTGGCCCACGTCATCCGAACGGCTGCTGAGGAAGTCGAGTCAAGCCTGGACCCTACTCGCTCCGTCTTTTCCACAAGAAACGATGCCGGGAGCTGGGAAGCTTACAACAGGGAGAAATGGGCTCTCGAAGTCGAAGGCGATGTCTCGATTGCCAAGGATGATGACTATGAGATTGGTCCTCTTGGGTGAATCGGACAAGCAGAATTCTCGGACGATCTTGATCACTGACCTACTATGCAGCTCGGGCTCTGACTTTACACCCTTCCTCCAGCGATACGGCGTACGCCCAATTTCGCTCACCCACACAAAGATTCGAACTGACCCTTATCCAGATCGCCTCCGGAAACCTGGGCTACACCGGTGGACCCAAGGACCCTGTCTATCACTACCACAGTATCTACGACTCTCACTATTGGCAGGCCAAGTACGTATCCGTCTCCTGTGTTCAGTGCCGAGCCAAAAGTTTGAGGTCGCTGATGTCAAGTTTTAGATTCGGTGACGTTGGCTTCCATAGACACACCGATGCTGCCAAGGTAGTCGGGCTCGTCTGTAAGTCACAACCGGAGTCACATTGGCGAGAGCTAATGTCTTCTGCAGTATTGCGCTTGGCAGACAGTCTCATTCTTCCTTTGAACACCACCAAGTACACGGAAGATCTGTCTCTATACTTGCACAAGTAAGCAAACCCCCAGTCAATCAAAGGGGCTTCATTGACTCGGAATGACAGAGTGGAGAACGTCGCCAAGTCAAGCTCCCTCTCTTCAGAGATTGACTTTGCCCCTCTCGCCTCGGCCATCAAATCTGCCCAGCATGCGTCTACGGGGCTCGACAAGGACCGACACGACGCCCTGAAAAGGCTTCAGAAGCTCCTCGGAGAAGGGAAACACGCTTCCAGCTCGATGCTGTCTCGGGCAGCTCACAAGTGCGGATGGCAGGCGACGCCCGGTACAGAGCTCCAGCACATGCCCTCCTGGGACGACGAGAATGAGAGTGGTTTCCCCCACCCGCGCTTGCCCTTCCCCCTGCCCACCCCTGGCCGGATTCACAAGATCAAAGAGGTGCTTGAGGAGATCAGGGCGATCAACAAAAAGCTGCAATACTTTGAGCTCGACTTTATCTCTGAGAACGGAATCAAGGTATGTGGAAGAGGGCATAAGAGTGAGGCTCGGAGGCTGATGATGAGCTTGAAGGAACGCGAATGGTATCGACACAAGGGGACGGCACCCGGTCTTTGGTTGGGCTACGGGGCCACTACTGTGAGTTATGCGCGTACACCCGAGAGTTTACGAGGCTGATCATGGCGTTCTTTCCAGTTCCCAGCTTTGACTGAAGGTGAGTAGTATGCTGCCCCAACTTGAGCGAAGCTGATGGATATCTAGCTATCACCATCGACCATTCCGCCAAGCTTGCTCAAAAAGAGGCGGATGAGCTGACGCAGATCATCACAAAGATTGCAAAGCATCTCTCTGCTTGATTGTGTTGAGGTCGCGTAGCGAAGAAAGTGAATGCACTCGCATGCAAGAAGAATGAAAGCACATAAATCATACCGGGACTTCATACTATACAACTCCACATCAAACGTCGTTCTTCAGTTCTTAACATTGACCCCGCGCTCATTGCTCCCCTGCGACGGCGGTATAGGCTTTCTTGGCCATAGCGGTCGCTGCGGTGACCAGTCCAGCTAATTTCAGGCATCAGCACAATGTGAATATCCGTCTGCGGAATGACATACGGTCACTAGCAATCTTGTCTTCGCCCAGAGGTGCTAATTCACTCCCTTCGATGACACCTTCCTTTCCCTCAATCACATCTCGCGGCGGGCCAGTGGACTTGACGTAGGTCTCGGCGGGCTCAGAAGGCTCAATGACGTTCTGGACACCAGGGTAGGCGCCTTGGACACCCTGGGGGGACATGCTGGTGCTGTAGAATGAAGGGGTTAGATATTGCGCGGGATCTTTGGCTAGAGACGGACTCGTTGAGATTCGTAGCGGTGTTGGCCATGTTGGCGTGAGTTCCGGTGCTATTAGTTGAGAGCTGGAACCTGTCTGCTCAATCTTTCATCCCTTTATAGCATCGCATCTCCAGCTCTGGAGGCACAGGATGACGCTATCCACCGCAGACCCTTCCTCTTATCTTTCCCACAACGTCATTCCTTGATCCATGTGAAGCGGACACCGCCGCCATCCCAGCGTGTTTGTTACGTAACAGATCTTCACGTCGAACCATATGCATGCGCACAGACAAAAGTCGCGCTATGTTTTTGTTGTCGCAAATATTTATTCCACTCTCCGCGCCACAATGTCCACCGCCGTCCAGACAGAGACAGCCACCGTCCCCGCCAGCCTCCAGCTCGCTGATGTTAGTCTCGACACATACGATGAGGAGCAGGTCAGGCTCATGGAAGAGAGGTGTATTCTCGTCACCCCAGACGATGTCGTCTATGGCGACTCGAGCAAGAAAGTCTGTGAGTAGTGTGCAGGCCTTAGCTGGCGTCGCGTCGCTAACAATCTCACAGGCCACCTTATGACCAACATCAACAAGGGTCTTCTCCACCGTGCATTTTCAGTCTTCCTCTTCCGGCCTTCCGATGGACGACTGTTGCTCCAGAAGCGTGCAGACGAAAAGATCACTTTCCCCAGCATGTGGACCAACACGTGTTGCTCTCACCCCCTCAGCATCAAGTCGGAGCTCATTGAGGAGGACCAAGCGGGTGAGTGGGGGAATTTGAGTTTACCATGCGGCGAAGCTGACATCCATCATCAGGCGCCAAGAATGCTGCTATCAGAAAACTTCCCCAGGAGCTCGGCATCCCCGAAAGTCAATTGAAGTATGAAGATTTCGTCTTCCTCACCCGGATACATTACTTGGCTCCCAGTGATGGAATCTGGGGCGAGCACGAGAGTCAGTAATAATGAGGGCACACCTTTGGCACCAAAGCTTATATTCAGTGTAGTTGACTACATTCTCTTCTCCACCATCAACGTTGACCACGAGGCCAACCCTAACGAAGTCAGCGATGCTCGCTACGTCTCTAAATCCGAGCTGGAAGACATGTTTGCCGACCCTTGTGCGCCTCCTTCTATTCTTGCTGAGCTTCTCAGCTAATAGCCCGTAGCCAACTCCTTCACTCCCTGGTTCCGACTCATCGCCCGAGATCTGCTCTTCCCTTGGTGGGACGAGATGTTTGCCAAGTCCAAGGCGGCTGGCTGGGATGCTGAGAAGGGTGTTGGAGAGGTCAGGGCTGACCACTTGGCCAATGGGCCCCAGGTCAACGAGCTCATCAGGATGCTCTAAGCCGACGGTCCTCCATCAGGAGCTCTGAGAGGCGGTTGACTGTATCAGCTGTTCAGGGTATCGTACTCACCTGGACAGCCTTGTATCTCATTTGTGTTTACGTTCGAGTCACTTTGACAATTCATCGATTCATTGGGTTTTACGATATGCATGGTATTATTCGATCATGATGCCTACTAGGCCGTCAAGCGAAAGGTTTCGCTAGTGAAAGGCTGGCCTTCAATGGACGTGAATGTATACGAAGGTTGCACGAGGCGTGAGCGCACATGCTCGCCGTTCTTCATATCCGAAGCGTCGACTGGAAGCAACGTAAGCACAGGTAGACGCATGGTCTTGATCAAGACATATACCTCTAGCTTCGCATTTCTCTCGAGTATCGACGATACCCGCCGCCAGGTTCCTATCCACAAGTCGCTTCCTCGCTACCTCCTCATCAACGTCCACCCATATCCTGACGTCCATCATCTCGGCGGTTTCACTCCAACCAGGCTCATCAAGCATGGTGTAGAGCCCTTCAATGACTATGATCCGGTGGCGGGGCAATATCGGCTGCGGAGAAATTGCGGGGTCCTTGAGGGCGTGGTCAAAGGTCGGGAACGGTATGGCTGCCGGGGGCTCGGGGGTCAAAGGCACTCGAAGCTGCGATAGGAAAGCCTGGTACGATGGACGATTGAATGTGAAAGCAGCGCCCTGGCCATAGCGAGTCAGCACCCAACTCCACGAGGGGCGAGAAGATGCGACACGTACCCGACGCCAATGCGCCTCAACAGGGTCAGGGAAAGCATCGAGCTCCGCCCGTGTATGGTGCCAGCCATCAAGCCCCACAGCGATAGCGACCTCGTCCCCTTGGCCATGTTGGTCGCTGCTTTCGGCGAGGAGGTTGGAAGCGGGCTCTTCGAGGTGAGACGGGTTGGGAGGAGGGTGGTGAAGGATAAGGGCGTTGAGGGCGTCTGTGAGAGGGTAGGCGAGCGTCGACTTGCCTGAGCCTGGAGGACTTGATGCAATTATTGTCAGCTTCGATGATGGAGGATACAGGTTGAATGTACCCTGCGACAGCGATCAGAAGCCTCTTGTTCTCCGGCAACCTTGGAGAGGATGATGAGCTCTCGCCCTCATGCTACAATGGGCGACTTACTCCTTGTACTGGTCGACGATGTGGCGAACGAGGACCTGGGGTGTGACTTCCATATCCGTCTGTTTATTGATGATATTGTTATGACTGCAAGCGTAACAGAAGACTACTACTGATCATATTATGTACGTCGCTGGGCAGCCTCCACTTTCGCGACTAATCTCCTTCGTTCTTTCTTCCCGTCCTGTCTTGTATTTTCATCTTCAACAGCCAGTCTTCTCTCAAGCCTCGTCCACGATCTCAGGTCACGGGGCCACGGCGCCGCCATGAACACCCCTCCATCCTCTTTCCATCATGGCCACTCTCCCTCGCAGCAAGAAATGTCTATCCAGCACAATGACGACGAAGAGATGATTTGGGAGCCAATCATTTCGGTATGTTCTGACTGACTTGAGAGTCGAAGATTGATGCTGAGATGTAAGCGGTAAAGTCACGGGCACAGATATGCTACTTGGGTCTGGACACCAACATCCTCATCAAGCATCTCAACATTCTCAGGACATTGCATGCTATCCTAGCAGCTCTCGAGCCGCAAGAAGTGCTCATACTCGTCCCATCAAAAGTCATCCAAGGTTGGTCGTATCAGGGCAATGGAAATGCTCGAAAACTGACGAATACCGACAGAAATAGACGGTCTGAAGCATTCGACCGCCTTGCCAGATATCCACTCACCTGTGGACGTGGGCACTTTGGCACGAACAGCCAACAATTGGCTCCTCGAGACGCATCGAGCTAGGAGAGAAGGCCAACGCTCGGCTCTGCGATGCCAGAGCTTGAAGGAGAGACGCAGTCGAGGAGTCGTGGTGGGTACTGTCGACGCTGACGTGGAGACTTGCTGAACGGGCCACAGGGGCAAAATGCCGACGACGAGATCCTAGACTGCTGCTTATACTTCGAAGAGATGGGTGGAAAGGTGGCTTTATGGACAAACGACAAGAATCTTGGGGTCAAAGTATGTTTCCCAATGACCATTGAGCAATAGCTGATGACACCCACAGGCCGAGATCAACCACGTCCCAACAATAGGAGGACAGCACATTTCCCTCTCAACAATCTTGTCTGCAACAGGAGTCAACTTTCCGAAAGAGCTGTGGGAACAAGTCCATGAGTTGGAGGGTCATCCTCAGTCTGCAAACAGCGTGGTTGATGGCGATGTCCATATGGGTGCCGAGAGTATACAATATGTATGTGTCCATACCCCCCCCCCCCCCTTCAGTCTGGTACTGACATTTGGAGTAACAGACATCTTCGCATCGGCCAATACAGCCTATCTCAACAGCCCCGAAATACTTCCAAGATCTGCCTCCTATCTTCCTACCTGGAAGTTCTGAAGTGCAACACGTACATACAAGTCCTCAGCCTGCTGGCGGGGTACATAATTATCCTTTATTACACGGAGGCGTGCAAGAGTACATAGCAGGAGGAAACGAAGAAGGGATGGCGATTGATGAAATGCTAACCACAGATCCAATATACTCGACTGCCAGCCTAGGATCCACATCCTCTTCGACATCTCCGCCACCATCGACGGTACCTAACAGGTACACCAACCCCCCGCCACCAGCTGGGCCCCGTCCGTCCAAGCTCATGCTCACTTCCTTACGACTCGCCCTCCTCCCCTCGACATTGGCTCTACTGTCAAACCCTACTTATGCGCCGCATCTAAAGGTGTCGTCCCCTCCCCCCACCACTCTTCCCACAGACAAGATCCTCACTACCTTGTTTGACGCCTTCTCCACCCTGGACAAGTACTGTTTGTCCAAGGGGTTCGAGATGGATGATCCAACGCGGCTGCAGCTTATACAAGCTACCAGCTCGGTCAAGGTGGTGCAGAATTATGTGGCTTGCCATGAGATGGGGCTTGGCGGGGTCAGGAGGGTGAAGACGGGGGATATGGTGTATGCGCTGGGGGAGCTGAAGAGGATCATGAAAGGGTTGGGAGTGGGGTGGAAGGGCGATCTAGAAGATGTGTTGGACGACTTTGAAGGATACGAATAGTTTACGTTAGCATTTCAGTAGCACATGTCGATACCATTTCACTGGAACCATGATATACCATGCATATACACCGGAAATACAAGAGTGGATGGCAACCTAATGATCTGTTCGTAACAGACGTTTTGGGGGTAAAAGAAAAAGGCAGATGGTGCGACACCGCGAGGCGCGCTTGTGATGCTGAATGTGCTTTTTGAGACCACAAAAAGATATTGAATACGTTGGAGATTATTCAGACTTTCGGAGGAGGGGGTGGAGCTGTATCAATGGTCAGCATTTGCCCAACTGAACGATATTCGCCGACTTACGATCTGCTCGTGCAGGGCCTTGCCGGCAGGGACCATAGGGTAGACGTGCTCGCTGGAGACAAGGACCTCAAGAACGATAGGCCTGGTGCCGTCGTACTCGAGGAACTCCTTCATCTTGGCGGGGAGCTCTTCGATAGTAGCACATCGGATACCCTTGGTGCCCATAGACTCGGAGAGCTTGACAAAGTCGGGGTTGGTCATACGGGTGTGAGAGTATCGGTTTTCGTAGAACAGATCTGAGCCATGTCAGCAAAGGATAACAATGTAAAAGATTCAAACTCACCTTGCCATTGCTCGACCATACCCTGGAACTCGTTGTTGAAAAGCAAGACCTTGACACCGATGTTGAATTGGTTGGCGGTCTGGAGCTCCATGGCAGTCATGGAGAAACTGGCGTCACCGTCAATGTCAATGACATATTTTTCGGGAGCGGCGACTTTGGCGCCGATGGCGGAAGGAAGACCGAAACCCATGGTACCGAGACCACCGGAAGAGACCCAAGAGCGGGGCTCAGTCCATCGGTAGTATTGACAGGCCCACATCTGATGTTGTCCAACACCGGTAGAGATGACAAACTTCTCCTCTGCAGAAACTCGTCAGCGACGGATGTGGCACAATCGTGAGAAAGACTCACTGCCGATGGCCTCGGCTTGTCGGTCAAGCTCCTGGACAACCTCCTGGGGCTTCAGCTTCTCGCCAGAACCACTGGGGTGGAAGGTGAAGGGGTATCGCTCCTTGTTGGCTTTGCATCTGGCGATCCAAGCAGAACGGTCGACAGTGTTGTTGATTTGAGGGACAAGGGCGTCAAGGGAGGCAACGACATCACCAAGAACGGGGACGTTGGCTTCAATGATCTTGTTGATGTTTTTGGGTTGAATCTCGAAATGGATGATACCACCTCGACCCTCAAGAGCGGCAGCCTTGGCGGCGGGAGCAAAAGCTAAAGCACATTAGTCCATGCCCTCCAAAGACCTCAAGCACTCACTGTCGACCTTGCCGGTGACACGGTCATCGAATCGAGCACCAAGAGCAATCAACACATCGGCCTCCTGCATGGCAAAGTTGGCATAGGCAGAGCCGTGCATACCAAGCATGTGGAGAGACTTTTCATCTCGCTCGTCAAAGGCACCAAGACCCTGGAGAGTGGTTGTGACGGGGATTCTACCCTTGTCGGAGAGCTCTCTGAGGAGTCTGGGGCCATCCGGAGATGAGAGGACACCGTTACCGGCGTAAATGACGGGTCGCTTAGCCATGTTGATCAGCCTGGCAGCTTGAGCGATGAGCTCGGGGTCTCCGGGGAGAGGTTTTGTGGGCTGAGATGAAGGATTCAGGGGGTTGGAGGGGAGGTACGGAGAGTGTCCGGGCTGAGCAGACTTGGCGGGGATGGGGGTACGGAGGATAGCGGCAGTGACGTCCTTGGGGAGGTCGACGAGGACGGGACCGGGGCGGCCAGTGGTGGCAATCTTGAACGCCTCGTTGATTCTTCTGGGAAGCTCGGCAATGTCCTTGACCATCACGTTCCATTTCGTACAGCTTCGGGAGATACCGACCATGTCGGCTTCCTGGAAAGAGTCGGAACCAATGAGGTTGGTAGCGACCTGACCACAGAAGACGACCATGGGGACACCATCACTGAGGGCGTCTTGCATGGGGGTGATTACGTTTGTGGCGCCGGGGCCAGAGGTGACGAGAACGACACCGGGCTTGCCAGAGACACGGGCGTAACCCTCAGCCATGTGACCAGCACCCTGTTCATGTCTGGGAAGGACAAATTCAAAATTAGGAGAGTTGTAGATGGCGTCGAAGACGGGGAGGATGGCACCACCGGGGTAGCCAAAGACCTTCTTGACGCTATGACGGAGCATCATCTCGTGGAAGATCTGACCACCAGACATGCCGACGAATCTGTGACGTATTCTTTGAGCAAGATCCCAGCTTACGACGTGCTGATTGTCACTCACGAGTAATCGAGGCCGTTCTTGATCTGGCTGTCGGCGACATCGAATTGGGGCGTATTCGTGGGCATGGGCTGAGGCGCGGCTTGGAAGTGCTGGGCGGGCTGGGGGCGGACGGCGGGGCTGGCAGCGGAGCCAGAAACGGCGCTGCTCTGGATTCTCCTCACATGGGCTCGTACGCGCTCCTTGGCCTCGAGAGACATGCCTCGTTCGGCGACGGGGGCGGGGGCATTCTGGGCGGAGGAGGTGTGAATGCTGGAGGACTTATTGCGGCTCTGTGTGTGTGCGGCGCTGAGGACGTTGTTGGGGTGGGGGATGCGCCTGAGGAGGCGTGTCTGGCGGGAGAGCATGATGGGATGATGCGATGTTGAGATGTGGATGATAATTCTACTCGCTGTCAAATCTCATCTCATCTCCACATCGCGACTCGATCCCACCCAACTTTTCTTTTTCTTTTCTCCCTTTTCTCCCGCCGCCGGCCGACCGCCTGGCTTATGTAACACTCGTTGAGCAGGGGCCAGGCACCCCCGGGTTCCTGTCGAAGGACGTTCTGTCTCCCTCTGGCGTGTATGTTGACACATTCTTCAGCAGCGAGCCATATCTCACGTCACATGCGAGCCAAAGTACAGTTTAACCTGGCTCCAGTTCATCCGCCAGTCTGCTCGTAGTCTTCTGGCGCGAGGCGGAACACCGAGCCCTTGCAGGATCAGACAGCCCCAGCGGGACAATCCACTCGGCCCAGCCTCGGTCAACTCTCCGAGTCTGCGTGACCTCTACACACCACCCCACAGAGGCTATATATATTGGATGCACCCACCTCCTGAGTTTCCGAAACCCACTTTGCTCCATCAATATGCCCACCGCTCTCCCCCTCGAGTCCCACAACCCTCCCAATCCCAAGGCGTTCAAGCCCAAGGACAACCACGGCTTCATCCTCCACGGCGCTCTCGATACGAGTTTTGAACAAGTAAGCCGTTTGGTATATTCGAGTGCAGATGCTAATCTCGCTGCCAGCAACCTGTCCCTGAAATCGGCCCCAACGATGTCCTTGTCGAGATAAAGAAGACTGTACGTCGCTCCGAGATCTCCAGTCGCGCTCAACGCTGACTACTTTGCAGGGTATCTGTGGATCAGATGTTCACTGTACGTACTCGCATATGGCGCATACGCTCCTAGGATCAAGCTTACAGTACTGCAGTCTACAATACGGGCAGCATGGGCGCCTGCAAGCTTGACGGTTCCATGTGCTTGGGTCACGAGTCGTCTGGTATCGTCGTTCAGCTCGGAGCCAACATTGCCGAGCAAGCTTCGCGCTCCAGCGACATTGCTGCTTCTCGTGGGATTGCCGAAGAATCCAACAAGGGCCCAATCGCCGGACGACCACTTCGGCTTGGGGACAAGGTGGCTCTGGAGCCCGGAGTGACTTGCAGAATGTGTGTGGATTGCAAGTCGGGACAGTATCAGGTGAGTCGAGCCAGCAGCACCGCGTGGGCATGAGCTGATAGTGGATAGATCTGCGAACACATGCTCTTTGCCGCTTACCCGCCTTCCAAGGGCGGAACTCTGCAGCGATACTATGCCCTGTAAGTCTAGCCTCTGCTTCTGAACAAGAGCTTATACTATGACAGCCCCGCGGACCTGGTGTACCCTCTGCCTGAATCTGTCGCTCTGGGGTATGGTGCCATGATGGAGCCTCTCTCCGTTGCCACCCACGCCGTCGCCAATGTCGGTGGTGTCAGGTCGGGCTACAATGTTCTCATCACCGGTGCTGGCCCTGTCGGTCTGCTGGCCATGGCCGTAGCCAAGGGTATGGGAGCCAACACGATTGTGGCCGTGGATATCAACGAGGAGAGATTACAGTTTGCCAAGGAATATGCTGCTACACATACCTACATTCCTGTAAGTCTCGCCGAGCGTGTTACGAGCGTCAACTAACGATCGCAATAGGTCAAGCCCAACGCTGAAGAGAAGCCTCTCGCCTACTCTGAGCGGGCCGCCGCCCATCTCTTGAAGACCTGCGGCATTCCCAACCGCGGTCCCGGCTCTATCGATCTTGTCGTCGACGCTACTGGTGCTCCGAGCTGTGTCGCTTTGGGCTTGCAGACCGTTCGACCTGGGTAGGTATACACATGCCAGTCTGACCCTCAGCTAACCATTCCACAGCGGTACCTATGTCCAAGTCGGTTTCGGACCTCCCGACGTCCCCGTGCCCATGTTCCGCATCACCACCAACGAGATCAACATCAAGGGCGCCTGGCGCTACGGTTCTGGCGACTATCCCCTCGCTATCGACCTTGTCGCCAGAGGGCTGGTGGATCTCAAGCCGCTGTTGACCCATACCTTTAAGTTTGAAGAAGCGCTGGAGGCCTTTGAGATTACAAAGAATGGAAAGGATAAGAATGGGAAGGGCGTCATCAAGTGTGTAATTGACGGGCCAGAATAATTGGGTCGTTGGTGGTGGTTGTATCATAAAGCGCTATTTTTGCTGCATGGTCGACATACTTGTGGTAGTTTTTGGTATGGGTGTCTGGGTTCAGCATGGACGTTAATGTACGCATATTATTGACGCAAATGCACAAACGTCAACATGATTTTGAAAGAGAGATCAACTGAAGGACCAAGACGAAGGACGGAAGATAACACGGAAGATAGGTGCACGGAGTAAATTGCAGAACTCCGCGGCGCCACACGGTGGGGAAATAATTCCGCGCCTCTGCGAGCGAGTGGGCTCGAGATTGATTAGGCTTGCTCTGTTTGGCTCACATCTCTCCAGTTCCACCATGGCGTAAGTCCCCCGTGCATAGAGAGTGCCAACCGCTGACCATGGGCGTATAGCTCGTAAGTGAATTCCAGAACAGGGACGCTCGGAGCCTCAACCGAGCACACCCTCAGCGAGAGCGTGATGGGCAAAAGGACACGCAGCTGATAACAGTCGCAGAACATTCGTCAACTGGATAAAGTCTCCCGCCGGCAGGCAATACTTCTTCAGTACGTCTTCCCACATCTCAGACTAGACCATCGCTTACAAGGAGTAGGCACTCATTTCTGGGGTCCTGTCAGTCGCTCTCACTTTGACACGCCTCGGCCCTTATCTCGGGCTCGGTGCAGGATTGAAATCGATTCGAAGACATGCTGACTGAAGGCGTAGGTTGCCAACTGGGGTCTTCCTCTCGCTGCGCTTGCCGATATCGCCAACAAGGATGAGGAGACCATCTCTGGTGTTATGAGCCCGACCTTGGCTGCTTACTCGTGAGTGTGCATCTCACCCTGAGTGTGTATCGCTAGGGATCTCCCACGTGCCTGTATATCATTGAGAGCTCGACCGCCCCCACCCTGCTCCCCTGATGGTGAAGGGCATGCCATTGAGCTATCGGCATCATGGATCGCTCAGCAGCTGACATCCATCACAGTATGATCTTCATGCGGTTCGCTTGGCGTGTCCAACCACGAAACTACCTCCTCTTTGCCTGCCACGCCACCAACGCCTCCGCCCAGCTCGTGCAGGAAGGCCGATTCCTCAACTACTGGTACTTTGGCGGAAGAGAAAAGAAGCACCCGGTGGCTGCCAAGGTCGACGAGGTAAAGGATGTCGTCCAGGAGGGCATTGACAAGGTCAAAGCCTAAGATGGATGGCTTGGTTGAGAGTTTTGAGGACTGGATTATGTATACCCATGATATGACTCGTGGAGGATCGCATTGCGAAACGGTATAGACAACTATGATACAAACAGACAAGAGGCAAAAAGAGGATCATTTGAGCGAAGTCTGAGCGTTTCTGAGCGACAGATAAGCTTGGTCACCACCTGGACCCTGCATACAACGTCAGAAGCTGTACATCGACCGAGTGTCCCACTCACAAGGCCACGGACGGCGTGCCACACGTCCAGTCCTCTATATCTCAGCTTGGTCCTGGGATCCGTATAGTTGGCATGTAGGCCTGTTATGTCGCAGTATTTTTTGGCCGGAAGCAGTGAAGGAGGGGCAGTGGGTGTATGGTCTGCAAAACCATATCAGCCCCAAACCGAAAGTCAGGCATGCAGACTTACAAGTGATGATCTCTTTCTTCGGTGTGCCGTTACTCTCATCGGCCAGAGCTTCCGTCTTGGATGATTCACTTCCCTTGACAGGTGAGCTCCGGTCAACATCCATGGCCTCTCCCTCATCATCTTCCAACCCCGGTGTCGCTGATTCACTAGCAGCCTCGCTCTCTGCCGGCGTCAACCCTTCCCTCTTTCTCTTGCCCTTCATAAGATTCTGCAAGCTGCCCTTCTTGACCCCAACCTTCTTCTTGTTCCCGAGCTCAATTTTCACCCCCTTCTTGCGCATCTCGACATGCTGGGCCGACATGAACCCGTCGCCTCCCGACAAACGTTCGCGTTCGAGACCAAGGATCTGCTTGGCATTCTTGCGCACACCCGTGGAGGATGTCGTGGCTGTCCGAGAAGATAGCTTAGAGGTGAATGTCGTAGACTTGAACGGTCGTGGGCTGTCGGCGTAGGACAAACGCTCTACGATTATCTAGAGTGATATGTCAAACCATGTGCTGGGATGTAATTTGAGAGACTCACATTCGAGGAAGCATCGTCTCCTGGCACTGGTGTTCCAGTATTGGACTTTCTGGGACCGCCCTTCGTGTGTTTTGGTGGCCTACATGGGTAAGCTTGAATCCTGGGGTATGGGATCAAGACGCACATTGTGAGGCGTGGGTTGGGCGTGGGACTTGACAGACTTGAAGGTCAAGGTAGGCGACGTAGATAAAGCGAGGCTGCTGCGTTTGCTGTCTTTTTTGAGTGTCGAAAGCGGACTTAAGCGTGTATCCGTGAGAAGGGTATGGTGGTAAGATGGGTTTCAACCCATGAATGATGGCCTCGTACTATAACTGTTCCCAATCCGATACACTACGAGTGCGCCGCGTTTGGTCCCGCCGCGCCCGACGGCGACCGATTTCAGTTCTTCTTGATTCGAGACCACCATGTAGGCATGTATAGAGACCTCACTACATTGCCTTCTCGCCAACTGCTCCAATTCACCGGCGCACCCGTTCAAAGCACTGACATTGTCAGAAAACACAATGGCGTCTGTCCTTCGGTCACTACGATCAGGAAGCTCTTCAGCAGCTTCCTTCGCCAGAGCGAATCGATCAAATCCTCAAGTCCTCCGATCGTCTCGCCGACAGTATAGCTCGCCCAAGCAGTCCCGACCCAAAGTGGAAGAGCCCGTTCTTCCACCTCTTAGCGAAATGATGAGCCGAAAGTCGATCATGGCTGCTTGGTCTGGTAAGTCTCGTCTCGCTCTGTATCGACCATGACGGAGCTCGGCTCACGGCCCCGTCACGATAGCTCTATCACCCAGCAGAAAGCTGTTCTTTATATCACTGGTTCTTGTAGGAGGAGTAGGAGAGTTTCAGTTGATGAAGAAGTTTGTGCTGGAGCCCGCGAAAGAGCGCAAGAGGCTGAAGGAAGAAGAAGAGGCGTTGAAGGCGAAGCTGAATGTTGCCGGTGGTGAGGACAAGGCTGTTCTATTGGGTGAGTCTGGCGTCATTCTGGTCATTGACAGCTCTGACAGTTCATGCAGGGAGCTCATAGAAAATGCAATCAATGTCGTTCTTATAGGGGTATCGCATTGAGGTCGAGATGCTTCTCTGCTGCATCCGTAATTGGTTGCCTTTGAGAGATTGCTGCGAGCTAATAAGGACAGCGAACACCTGATATATAATCCCCTTCCAGTCTTTGTGCTCGCAAGTGGAACGATGGCAAGAGTCGCACTAGGCGTTATAATTCCAGCAAGAAAAGGGGGTGACTCTTGCCCTCAGCCGGTTTGTACCGCAACTCCGCAAGCTTCGGCTCCAGGTTCTCTGGCTTACCAGCAGGGCTAGCCGGCTAGCAGCCAGATAAATACCAGATACAGAAGTATGGATCCTCCCGCCCCCACTCGCTGTTAGGACAAGTCCGACACGTCACCTGATAAGACGGCCCAGTAAAATACACCGCGCTTCCCGCCGCTTATCGAAAATCGGGTATGTACTTTTCAACATTTGCACCAGGAAAATCATCGACCCTGAGTGCTCTTATCATGTGTTTCACTCCCGCAATTGTGACTTTGGGCTGTACTCTGCGGACCTGGCCCAGCTCCCTGGGTGAGTTTGCCTTTTTAACGCAAATATCGCCTATCGGCCAGCGCGGCAAAGTGGGGGAGAGTGGGGGACTAATTATCGGAAGCACCATGTCCACCTGGCTCACTCCACTACTCTATCATGATCATGGTTATGAAACGACTCCTCCCGAGTATATATGGACGGAGTTGCGATAGGCATTCAGTCGACCTTCCATATTTTACCGCTCACCAAAAGATATGGCCACGACTATCGTCAGAGCAGAAGACATGCAGGAGGACCGGGTCAGCCAGCTAGCCCAATCTGAAAAAGACTTTTACGCTTCAGACATCGACAAAGATGTTGTGACGGATATCGAGGTAGCTGCGGCAGATATCGATCGAGTGGCTGAAAAGAGGTAAGTCTCCTGTGTATCCTGCATGAGTGTAGCCCAAGCAAGAGTTGCTTGCTGATGATGGCGCGCCGCATGTTATAGACTATTGACGAAGCAAGACTTGAGATTACTACCCGTCTTGGCCATCGTATATCTGTTCAATGCTCTCGATAAGTGAGTCAGATATATCATGAGAATGTCAACAACATGAGCTGACACGAGTCTTCAGAGGCAATCTGGCTAACGCTAGGACCGGTGAGTCACTCGGCAAGGCTGATTAGTATCGTGTTATCTAACAAGAATGTGTTTCGTGTTCTGAATACAGATGGGCTTGACAAAGGTCAATTGATTCCGCCTCATGTGTGCCTTCCCCTTGATGCTGATGAAGATGACAGACCTTGGCCTGGTGGGGAATCAATACTGTGCGTGTCTACCGTGACGGGCCATCCATGCCTCAACGTGGCGGACTGGTACTTACACTTTCCAGATCTCATGATCACGATCTTCTATATCCCGCTCTGCCTCTGTGGTACTCCTCTTTCCATTGGTAAGTCACTCCAGTATCATAAAGAACCCCAGGAGCTGATCTCGCCGTGCATAGCCGCCAAACGTTTCTCAGCCGCCCGAGTAATCCCTCTCATGATGATCGGCTTCGGTACTTGTTCTCTACTCAGTGCGGCCGTGACCAACTTTGGTGGTCTATTCGCCCTACGTTTCCTGCTTGGTATATTTGAATCTCCTATGTAAGCATGATCATTGTATAATTGTGGAAGACCTCACGACTGATCAACATTTTAGGCTTCCTTCGGTCGTCTTTTATCTCAGTCAATTTTATACGAGAGGAGAGCTCGCTCGACGTGTTGGGGTCTTTTATGCTGCCTCATCCATCTCCGGCGTAAGTACATCAGTAATCCCTGCTCCAAGCTCTGCTGATGTGCGTCTTTCTTTGAGGCCTTCTCGGGTTTGCTGGCGTTTGGTATCTTCCAGATCAAAAGCGAGAAACTCCATGGGTGGCAGTATCTATTTGTAAGCACTCATCTAAGGCATGTGACTCCTTCCAGCTGACCACGCTTACTCCAGCTTATCGAGGGTGCTGGGACCGTCACCTTTGCCATCTTTGCATTTTTCGTGAGTATCCTATCGTCTTTGATGATCTGATCGCTGAAACTTTATCTCGCAGTGGCTGCCAAGGAGCCCCGCTACATGCTGGTTCTTCACACCAGAAGAAAAGGAGATGAGTCAGGTTCGCATGCTTCGTGATGGAACCGACAAGGTCGGAGAAGAGGTGAGTCGGTCGTTGCGACTTCCGGGAGCTGCAGCTGATCATACGCTTGACTACAGATCAATTTCAGGGTACGCTTGGTCTATACCTAACTTGCAATCCTCGCTCACTCCTCCATAGGACGCTTTCATGCCTTTTGTCCAAGACTGGCGGTACATCGTCTGGGCTATTCTGGCGCTTGGTCTCGGTGTCCCGCTCGCCTCTGTCGGCAACTTTCTCCCTCAGATCGTTGCCCGTCTGGGCTACAGCACTGTCAAGACCAATCTCTACACAGTAGCTCCAGTAAGTTTATCATGGCCACTGGGAGACAGAAGCCGTGCTTACCCTGACTTTTAGAACGTCGTTGGGACATGCTTTTTAGTATTGTTCACCCAATCCAGCGACTACTTCCGAGAACGCTCGCTGCACGTCGTGATTCCTTTGCTCATCACAATGATCGGTAAGCCAACCAAGTGCTTGTGCAGAGCAAACTGACGTTACCACCAAAGGCTTCATCGTCCTCGGTACGATCGATGTCGTGGCCAACAAGGGTGTGGCGTATTTGTGAGCAATTGGCGACATCCGTAACCTCACTGCTGATACCCTCCTGAGCGCCACATTCTTGCTATGCATCGGCAGCAACACTCCTTCCGTCCTACTCAGCACTTGGTACTCCAACAATTCCATCTCGGAGAATAAGCGAGTCGTTCTGACGGGCGTGATGGTCGGCATTGCCAATGCCAGTGGTCTCATCTCAGCCAACATATTCCGGGTGAGTTTAGTACTATGCGAGGCGTCTTGACACGAGCACTGACTCTGCTTCAAGGCTGAGGATGAACCCAAATATATTCCGGCTTTGGCTTGTTCGGCAGCTTTCGGCGGCTTAACAGCTCTTGTCGCCTTCTCGTTTGGGTTCTATATGCGTATTGAGAACAGGAAGCGTAACAATACACAAGGACTACCCAGGTCTTATGGGAGTAAAGACGTCCCGACAGAGCATCTGGGAAGGGGTCCCAAGGACGTTTCGTTCAGGTACATGTACTGATCTGAAAAGCGGTGAATATTTCAAAGGGGTACTGGAAAATGGTGGATATCTCAAAGGGTGTAAGTGTAGTAGTGGCTCATTCTTTTGTATCAGTGTGGAGTTTCGAAGGATCAATACGGTACGGCTGCAGATTGCATATGCAATGCAAGTATTGGAAACCCAAAAATAATCCAAATGCATTCTTGACCATACAATTTCCTGCTATCATCCATGCACTGTCCGAGGCTCATGATAATAACTTGGCAACCACGTACTTTCCAACGCCGGTGGTGGCGCCTTTCCCCTATCACGTCCGGGTTTCGCCCTCGGAGAATCCACCGCTCTGACTTGAGAGCCATTGTCCATCTCACTCTCATCGTACTCTGAGTACAGGATATGGTGCGGATGAGGCTGGCCACAGCTGGGATCTATTCCCAGCTTACGCAGGCCATCTTCGTATGTGATGACTACCAGCTCCGCGCTTGCATGTTTATCTGCGGGTAAACTTTTTCCACCGCCGGCGCCAATCATCATCTTTCTCAGCTTTGAGCTACCATGGTAGCCTCCACCGGTGCTTGGAGTCACCGAAACTGTTTGTCCTGTACTAGGAATCGGCGCGAGAGGTGTTCGAGCGTTCTGTGTAAGGATGTTGGTCGCTGAACCAAGACCCGAAGTCGTCATCGACGTCCCCCTCACGCTAGCCGAACGAGAATGTTGCGACGGGGAAAGAGAAGAAGTGGAGGAAGTGGGAGAGTGGTGGGCAGAGGTACGTGTACCACGCTGTCTTCGTCGATAGAGGCGATAAAAGACAACAAGGATGACGAGGATGACGGCGATGCTGGCGGAAACGATGGCTGCGATTTGAACTGGCGGAACGTCAGCCCGGGTCATTTATTTGAAATATCCCCATTCATCTGTACTCACGGGGCCCAATCTCAATAGACATTCTTGGGTTCTTCTTCCACAGCCTTATTATACGATGTGGTGGCAGAAGATAGATGTGCGCTGTGTTGTTGAACAAAAGCTAGGTGTGCTGGTTGAGGAAGAGGGATATGGTGAGAAATTGGCGGCTACTGCCGAGATGATGGGAGTAGAGATCAAGTGATGAGAAATGGTCAGAGTTGCCCACGTTGAAGGCGTTCATCTGTGGGCCTCCCATCCTTTGTCTTCTCCTTTCCGTCTACCCCTACACCGAGTCAAAGGAACTTTCTTGTGGAGGGCAAAGGCACAAGTGGGGTCGGTGACTTATGGTATACTCGCCCGAGGACTTAAATGGGCCGGTACCCTTGGCGAGGGCGGATTGCCAGTTGAAGATGACAGAAAACAAAGGGGTCGAGCTGGAAAATTCAGGATGGGCCTATAGTATAAATCATGTCGAGTTTCCTTTGTCCTGATGTGCGATCAGAGGTATTCAATACATTCATCACGGAGATTTCAGTATTGTGGGCCGAAGTCCTTGGGGCCCTTTTTTGATGATTGAACATGAGCATAAGCAAGGGGCAAAGTAGTCCGCGGTAGAAATGAAAGAAGAGCTACAGAATAAGGGGGCAAGATAACAGCGATTACACATCTTAGAAGTCTTACACGACAGCAGGTCGACTTGTGACAAGAGGCGATCTCCATCTTGTTTACAACACAGAGGCGGCGCCGAATACCAAAGCTCCAAGGACGCTGCCCGCAATACCAGCTGTAGCAAGGAGGCCGACGAAGGGGGTAGCAACCGATCCAGCCGAAGAGGAGCTGGAGGATGTGTTAGCAGATGAAGCAGAAGACGAAGAAGCAGAGGAGGCGGTATCAGGGGCCTTGGCTATTTCGGTGAACAGTTAGTGCCGTAACTGGATGCACCGCATTCGGACTCACTGCCAAAGTCGGAGCAGCACTTGGAAGTCAATCCCTTGTCGATAATGTTGCCCGCAATACTAGAGTTTGCCTGCAATGCCTCGTAGCACATTCCGTTGACACAGTCGGTACACAGCTGTCCAGTGGTGAACACGCTGGCGATACTGCTGTTGCTACTGCTGTTGCTACTGTTCGAGCCGCTCAAGAGGCTGGTCACGTCGCTGGTGGTGAGGTTGCCGCCGACAGCATTTTGGATGGTGGTAAGAGTCTCGGTGACACAGTAGTCACTCGTTCTGCACGACGTTTAGAGATAGAGATCACTCCTAAGATGTCACGTACGAGGTGTTGGTAGAACAAGCAGCGGCCTGGAACTCGGTGTAGTGGGCGAGAAGACCCTTCAAGGCCGATACCTCAGTGCCACTTGATCCGCCATCGCTGATATCAGAAGAGCAGCCTGAATCTATCGAGGACTGCGCTGAAGTAAGAGTGTCGTTGGAACATGTGGGAGTTGAGTCGGCAACAGAGAGACTTGAGGTAGGAATCGACAGAATCGACAACCGAGTTTGAGCCCTGCATAACAAGTGAGTATTGGAGATCCTCGTTTCAAGCATGAGAAATGAACGAACACTGAGTACAGGCAGCAGAGAAGTGAGCTGGAGACAGCTGCCGAGATCGCCCAAGGCGAGTACGCCGACCTTGGTTGTACAGCTGGTTGACAGACTGTTTCCAGCGTCAGGACAGCATTCTGGGACGACTATAAGGCAAGGCAATCAAAGCAGAGCGAGCAAGCATAGTGGCGAGTTGTGGTGAGGGATGTACGAGTAAGGTATGTACGATGGAGAAAGGCCAAGGAGTGGTTGGAAATATATCGTAAGAGTTGAGACAGAGAGACAAGATATTTCAGGGAGAGGCCTCACCGGTGCCGATTATCGGGGGTCGTAGTCTGGCGCTAAGAACAACGTCGAAAGGCCGAAGCGGTGTCGCGAAGATGATGCTGGCGACGGTTGCGATGTTTTTTGGGACTGTCTTGGTGTCTTGTCGATATTCCTGGGCCTCTGAGAGCGCCCGCCCCTGCACCATGCCTGTAATGCCCCACCCCCACCATGCCAGAGCCATGCCGCAGCCTGCATTGGATGGTGACTGCTGTTGTATAAAACGTTACGTTCGTTACACTTACAAGAAGGGTTACATGCCACCCCAGCGGACACCTCCGCTAGGACTGCCGGCGGCCACCGATCGAGCCGAGGTTCTTCCCCGAAAACGCGCAGACTTGGCCGACAAGTTCGTTCATGCTCATTGTTTTGTACCCATATCAGTGCAGTATCGCGCTGCCAACCCCAAGACTTGTATCTATAATCTCCCTCTACTAGGATGTCGATTTTATAACACACAATATGAGCACGATCTTGCAGGACTGGATAGACGTGAGTCACTCCAATCATCCCTTGTCTACGCACTCACCCACATCGCCTTCTTAGCTGCTTAATGCAGAGCAGTATGTACAAGGGGACAAACTGCGGGAAAACTCGCGGCATGGCGTAGCCGCACCCATCAGAGGTGTAAGTCCAGGGTCATTTTAACGGACAAGGCGGCTTTCTAACTGGTTGATTTTGCAGGAAGTCTGGCTGTACCTGCTCAATGTGCTTTCAGAGGACAAGACATCGGAAATCACCTCTCTGATGTCCCTCAATACCAGCTATCAGTCGCTACCATCCTCAATCCCACCTCATCTCACATCCCTCTTGACCCAGGCGGCACTCGCCCACCACACCAAACGTTTCCGCAACGAGACCTACGCAGATCTTATCACTGCGATCACAGCCGAGCCACCCGTTGCCAAAGATCCTCGCATCATGTCTCGCGCGGGTATCTTGGGCACCGTCAAGCCCGCAGCTGATGGACGGTCTTCACGCGCGTCGCCTAAGATTGGGTCAGAGCACCACACCATGCCCCCACCTCCTGTGTCACTGCTCCCACATCCGTCGGCTGAGGAACCGGAGGCTCTGAGTACGATTCGCTCCCAACTATCACGGATTTTACCCAAGCCTCCTAGCGCTCCTCCCTCCAGGCATGGGTTCCTGTCGTTATTGGAAGAGGTTTTGGGCAAGTTTTGGAATGCGGAGAACATGAACGGGAGGGACGATTCTTATAGGAGGGACGAGGCTGGGGAGTACGAGGGAAGCGAGAAGGATTGGGTGTATCTCGCGACACCTTTTGCTTGCTGCTTATCAAAGCCTGTGGGCGTTTTTCTGGGGTTCAGGGCTCTTATGGACCGGCTCAGTACGTCTCGGCGTAGATCGGACTCGCGAGGGTTTTGACTGACAATTGCGACAGGGAACTTTCCTCCACTGCCTATCCGGCTAGCCTCCTTCCTGACATTGTTCCGACAAGCTCTACCTGAAATGCATGCCTACTGCGAGGATGAGCAGGTACCTTATGTCCAGGTGGCATTGAGCTGGATGACGACCCTGTTGGCGAAGGAGATGTGGCTGGGCGATGTTTTGAGGCTGTGGGGTAAGTGATATGCAGACGTCTGATTCATGTTAGCTAATGACTTGTCCACTTAGATACCTATCTCGCGGCTGACGACATGTTTGAACTGCATTGTTATGTTTGTGTTTCCATCTTGTCGACATGCAAGGAGTAAGTCAAACCCCGTCAAGAGGCATCGGCGCTTACCCTCACTTCAGGACTTTGGAAGAGCTGGACGGTTCAGAGGCAAGGCTTGTCTTACTAGACCTTCCCCCGTTAGACGTTGACAGAGTAAGCCGCGCCCTCCCTCATCAACTGAAAGAGCTGACAGCGTGAGACCAGTTATTGCAGGACGCCGCCAATCTCCGAGTAGCCTTTCCACTACCACGTCCGGTGCAAGAAGACTGGTAAGGGGCGCCTGTCTGCGCGGGTCTCTGGTCATAGCCATAGAAGGCAGAGCCAGGGCAGAGCGATGGGGTGCCATATCATAACGAATTATCAATCGGCTCTCCTCTCTACAGTCTGCCCAACAGTCAGGGCATCTCGTTCAACATCTATATAATGCCCGTTTATTTGCATGTACCACCACCTTTCAAGAAAGAATTATGCAGTCAACAATCGAGCAACATTCCAAGCGAAGACTGTGCGAGTATCGATGAATGATGTCATGATCACATCAGCCTCCACCATACGCGGGAATTGCCGCTTAACGGGATCAAAAAGTTGGCAGAACGCTGGATCATTCTGGGAGCCAGGGCGATTATAAATTTTGTTCATCAGTTGATTTCAACTCGATTTCCGTGCACTTTTCGACATCCCCATCCCCCATATTATAATAAAGTAAGTCCAGCTCTCCCGCTCTCCCGCTCTCCCGCTCTCCCCCCTCCTTTTCTATGATGTTCAAATGTAATTTGCGTTTGAGAACCCTCTTTGGAGGGGCTTTGAAACCAAACTTATGCCAAAATGTCTGATCCCATTACCTCCTCCCAATCGTTGTCGAAAAACTGTGAATGAGGAGCTGACCCACTGGTTATAGTAGAATAGGAGCTATGGCTACCGAACAAAAGGAAAACCTTTTCCCCACTCTCGGAGAGGTAGCGGACCGCACAGGCGCTGGAGAGGGCGAGGAGGACGATGGTCAGATGCAGGACGTCGAGAGTCTATGTATGCGATGTCATGAAAATGTATGTCGTTGGCCCCCATTCCACAAAAGGTCTGCGGCGCTTATCAAGCTGTTTGGTAGGGCGCGACTAGACTGCTGTTGACTTCCATTCCTTACTTTAAAGAGATCATCGTATCTTCTTTCCGATGTGACCACTGTGGCTTTAGGGACACTGAAATCCAGAGTGCCGGCGAGATTCAGCGTTAGTATCCTCGCGCTCTCCGAGGGAAATGAGTTCTGACCTCGTGTGTAGCCAAGGGTGTCAGCTACACCGTTCACCTCCTCTCCCGTGCCGACCTCGACCGTCAAATCGTCAAGTCCAACTGGGCCACTATCACCATTCCCGACATCCAGCTCACCATCCCTCCCGGTCGTGGACAGATCAACACAGTCGAAGGCGTCATCCGCGACACTGTCCGAGACCTCAACATCTCCCAGCCGGTCCGTCGGGTTATGGACCCCGAGACGGCCGGCAAGATCGACACCTTGCTCGAGAAGCTCAGGGTCGCCATTGACATGGAGGATGATGAGGACGAGGACGGAGGTGTTGGTAGGGATGACGAAGACGAGAAGCGCGCCTACCAAGAGTCGAAACCCCACGAAGAGAAGCCTTTCGTTCCCTTCTCCATGATCGTCGATGATCCCTCCGGAAACTCGTACTTCCAGTTCAAAGGCTCTCAGTCGGACGCCCAGTGGAACATGCGTGCCTATCCTAGGACTTTCGAACAGAACGTCTCCCTGGGTCTGGTCGCTGCCAACGAGGAAGGAGAGAAGCAGGAGGAGCCTGTTGTGGCCGAGGATCACAAGCTTGGGAGTGTGGAGGAGTTCGAAGAGAAGAGGAAACAGTTGATGGCGAGGGAAGACGGAACTGTGGTGCCGGATGAAGTCTTCACTTTCCCTGCCACTTGTTCATCTTGCGGGCATCCTCTGGAGACCCGCATGCAGCAAGTCAACATTCCTTATTTCCAAGTGAGTCCGCTTCTTGCTCGTCAACTTTCCAGCTGATTAACTTTTTTAGGACATCATTATCATGGCCAGTAACTGTTCCGCCTGTGGCTACAGAGATAACGAGGTCAAGTCTGGTGGCTCCATCGCCCCTAGGGGTAAGAGAATAACCTTGAAGGTGGAGGATGAAGAGGATTTGAGCAGAGACATGTTGAAGGTGAGCATAGCTGGAATCCCGTTCGAGTATGAGGCTGATCCCCTTCAAGTCTGACACTGCTGGTCTTGAGATCCCCGAAATCGACCTCGTCCTCCAGCCCGGAACTCTCGGTGGCCGATTCACTACCCTCGAGGGTCTCTTGAACGAGATCTACACCGAATTGAGTACCAAGGTTTTCCGTACTGGTGACTCTCTCACATCTGGTCTCGGCCAGATCAGCAAGGAGGCTGGGTCCGAGGAGCGTAATTTCGAGGATTTCCTCAAGGGTTTGAAAGACTGCATGGGCGCCCAGAGGCCGTTCACCCTTATCATCGACGACCCTGTCTCCAACTCTTACCTCCAGAACCTCTTTGCTCCCGACGCCGATCCCAACATGACCATCGAAGAGTACGACAGGACATTCGAGCAGAACGACGATTTGGGTTTGAACGACATGGTTGTGGAGGGTTACAACGAGGACGTGAAGGACTCTTCTGCCTAGGTGTGAAGATTGGAAAACGTGCTTGGGAGGGGCTGGCTGTGTAATTATAGAGGTTGCGTCACAGTATGGTAGGCGTCATTGTATTGTTACAGATATGCATAGTAGATTAAGCATTGGGCAGTCACTGTGTTGTGGATGACGCAACAACCCATATGTAATTGAGCGTTGCTACGCGCGCAACTTGCTATGCTACTCAACGAAAGGCGCAAGGCAAAGCAAGCCATGAACGGCTGCGGCTCCAGGATCATCTACGATCGTGGGCGCACTGCTTTCTTTGTGACTGTCCAGTGATAACACATCCAACGTGAGCGGGGCCGCCGAGAGGGAAAAGTGTTGCGTACTGCTTGTCGAGTACGTATGCTGCGATAAGCACCAAGCGTTGCAGTACAAAGTTTGCGATCGATGCTCGGAAGTTTCAGCTAACTTTATATACGGGTATTGCTTATTGCCATCATGTAGGAGATAGGAGTTGGTGCAGTAAAGATGGGAGGATGGATCTCGGTGCTTGGGCCACGTGAAGCTCCGTTAGATAAGCTGCCGCTCGGACACGGGAGCATGGAGTGTGATGAATATCCTGCCCAAGAGGCGCATTTCTGGTGGGCAATAGGCAGAGCAGAGCCAGACACCTGACAATTTGGATACAGAGATACCGACTTTGTCCTTTGTCTTGTGAGACCGAGAACAGAGCTCGCTTTCAAGAGCTGATGGGCTAGTCTGGAGGAAGTGATGGCTTGGAGGCCCTGGAAGGGCTCGTACTCGGAGGTTTGAACATGTCTTCGATACGACGGATACGCATACAGAATGCGTTCCTTGGGAACTTAAAGGTTTTTACTACTGCTCATTATGGAAATAGCGGCTTGCCGAAAACGTGCCGACCAAACTCAACGGGCATCTCGAACTGGCCGTTGTGAATCGTCCATGATCGCCCGAGTGGCTTTGGAGAGACATGTATGCCCAAAGTGAGTGACTCCACGCCAACAGCTGGCCACCAGTGGCCGAACCAAAGTCAACGACGCGGATAGGAGATCGAAGACTGTTCGTTGTGCTACACGTTCCCATATATAGACGCAAGAATATAACAACAAGCTCCCATGATCAGATGATGTGCTGACTGCAACAAATCATGTGCTCGATTGATTCCAGAACACTGGTTTCGAGCTAGCGGGCCAGAAAGAGGGTGAAAGAGAAGAGGGACGAAGCGGCTGGAAACGAATATGTAGAAGGAACAAGACCAAAGAGGTCTAGACTCTGGACAGTTTCAAATGGCCACAAGTGGAATACGGGGACACGGGTGGCCTCGTAGACCGATTTTCCTCGGCAACGAGCCGCACGATAATAAAAGAGGCCCCGCGGTCTTCCGTCCGGCGATTTGTCTCTTGCTGCTGCTGAGGCGGGGGTGCACAAACGTGGCCATGCACTCGTCGTCCCCGACCGCGTTTGATTCATGCGCAAGCCATCCTGTGCGTCGTACCTCCATGGGCATGCGGGGCTCTGTCGGCCGGTCATGTTCATTGTCGTACTTCGCGTCCGGCACGAGATCGCAGACTGTCGCAGATCGCAGTTCGCAGGCACTTGTTCGTAGTCAATTTTCTACGTAGCTCGAACGTTGATTTCCTCGTCCGAGGTCTATTGTTCATCGACGGGCAGTCTGAGACGGTCCAGGTATTTATATAGACCACCGCATGTCATCAAAGAGGGTCTTTCCCCTCAAGCAGCCATACAAAAACACCTTTCCCACAACGCTCGTCACTTCCACCACCCATATGATCGACCGCGTTCCCACCCCTGTGCCCGCCAGCTACCAGCAGAGGCGCCATTCAGACGATGACCGCCTGCACCTCGACTCCCTCTGCTTTTCATCGTGCCATCTTTCTCCCCCCCACGTCCAGTCCCTACATTTCAAAATGACACCTCTCCCCACACCCACCCCTCCCTCGCTGCTCAAGCGGGCCAAGTCGCTTGAGCAAGCCCGTCCTCGGCGTCATGTCCACTCCCAACCACAATCTCCCCCAGCCCATTCCCATTCCTTGCCCCCATCCCATCACCATCATGTGTCTGGCTTGCACCACACATCGCAACCTCTCCATCATACAACCGCCACCACCGCGGCCGCCCCTCCGTCCGCGCTCGCTTCCGCCACGCGTCGGCACACCACAACTACCTGTGATATCCCTCCCTTGCCTCACCAGCGCCAGAGATCATCATCTCTGATATCCGTGTCATCTATCCCCTCTCCTCCACTACCGTTGACCCCTGGTCTGGATATCCTACCAGAGTTGGCGGACGAATCTTTCGAGCTTTTCCCTCCGGCAGCCAGGTCGGCGGTTGAGAGGGCGTCCGTCATGGCCGACGGATACCCATTTCCCCATGATCCTTATCCTGGGGGCATATCGCTAGGCGAGGGGGCGACGGAGATGGAGGCGGTTGATAAGAAGAGGTCGGCTGCCGGAAAGCGGCGGACAACCGGAGGGTGGGATGTTGAGAAGCCAAAAGTCTGCTGAGGTGGAGAAGGGAGAGTAGGTCTGTCGAGGATGGAGAAGGGAGAGAGGACCATATTCAAAATGAACCAAGGAGGTCACGATTATAGATATACACAAGTTGTCAGAAGTAAAATGTACAAAATAGCAATCGAAACAGAGCACGCCTGATCTTTTTGCACAACATACATGGTCACCTCTGAGGATTACCAGACCAGAGCCATCAAAGAGAACACCTGTCGTTGAATTATAGCATGATACGAGTCTTTGCTCTCATCCCATCCAGTATTTTTTCTGCCATGCCCGCCCATCTCCTCCTTCAGGCCCACACAACGCCCTCCAATCCTTTACACCAGCTGATTCTCCTGGCTTGCACCCAGTGTCCTTCTCCCGCTCGGTGTCTGGCAAAGGATTCGTTGACCGCAAAGCGGAAGGGGATCGGTTTGGTGTGGGAGGGTTTTGCCGAGGAAGAGGATTCGACGGGTTTGAGGACAAGGCTGGGGAGACTCCTTCGACAGATGTGGGTTGATAAGGCGCTTGTTTGTTGTGGAACATGTGCGCGAAACCTTCAATGACGGAGACGATGTCCCGCCAGTCTGTCATCTTTCCAGGACCTGGTACAATGAGCTCGATACCTGGGCAAGATGAAGAGGTGACACTTACCATCATCTCCGCAAGCCAGACGGCCACCTCCTTGAGGACCTGATACAAGATAGCCCAGCTCATCCTGGACTATAGTAAGATGCTTGGCTGTCAGGCGATGCTGGTACATGTGCGTGTTCATGGCGGGGCACAGCACCACCGGTGTGGAGGGAGAAAGTGCGCGCATCAGCGACGTCTGCCAAAGCATTTTGGTAAGCTCATGGCACAAGCCGAAGGATAAGACACCCACGGCCAAGTTGTCGCAAAGACCGCCAGCAACTTTGGCAAGAAGGTCGGCCGAGCAAGGCGCCACGACAACCAGATCTGCCCACCGTCGCAGCTACAGGAGACATCAGTAACGAAGGACAGCTTAACGATGTGTTGCCAACCTCTATATGCAGTATAGGGTCTCCTACTTTCCTCCAATCTGACCACTCGTCCGTGTCTGTCCATACTTTATATCCTACATCACTGGTCGTTGAATCCGAGAGTTGAAGCGACTTTCTCACGGAGCTATCTATGTCATTTTGGCTATAAAAATAAGTAGACGCTTTGGTGGCGACGATCTGGACATCGATATCGCGGTTCTATGCGTGTCCCATCAGTGCGTGCAGCATATGCATGCCAGAGTATATCCACCTTGGCCAAAGCCGCTACAATGTCCGGAACTTTGATGCTGGCGACGCTGCCGCTGGTGATGAGAACGAGTCGAAAAAGGCCGTCGTGGGCCTCTTCGGGTGGCCGATAGGAAGCTGACACGAATGGCCGGGACGGCTTGTGGGGGATGCGAGGGGGTACAGGGACGGGCATGCGTGGGTAGAAGGAAAGAGCGAGATGACCCGAGAAAGAAAGGAAAGAAAGCAAAAGAAAGCGCGAGAAAGTGCGCTGCAAGGGCAATGCAAGGGATGGAATGCCCTGGAAAGCGCGCGGAGGGTCGCGATGGCCCAGGCACGGAATGATGGCCTGCCTCCACTTTCGGCCCCGCGTGCATAAAAGAGGCAGCCGTCGTCACTGCCCAGCAGACATCACAATCAATCTACATCTACATCTACATCTACAACAATAATACTATGGCCGAAAACCTCACAGACAAGTCTTCTGAAGTCCTCAAGGCTGCCCTCGACAAAGCCGAGGAGCTCGCCAACGCCCAAGGTATGTTCCATCTCCACATCTTGTGACGCATCACTAACAGCACACAGTCCACCCACTCCACCTCATCTCTGTTCTCTGGGAAGAACCGAGCCAATCATCCACTGCCCCCGACCAGCCTACACTCCTCAAAGCGGCCGTCGAACATGTCGGCGGCAACCCGACACTCTTCAATCGCGCTCTCATGGGCAAGATTAACAGATTACCTGTGGTCGACCCAGCGCCCTCCCCTCCCCTCCCCCTCGCCAACTCTTTCCATGCTGTTCTCAGAGAAGCTCAAAAACTCCAGAAAGATATGAACGATGGCTTTGTTGCCATAGATCATCTCTTGCTGGCTTTACTGCATGTCGACGGTTCCGAGATGAAGGAGCTTTTGAAGGGTACAGGTGCCGAGATCAAGGCCCTGGAAGCTGAAATCAAGAGGAAGAGGGGAGGTAGGAAGGTGGATAGCAAGAGCGCCGAAAGCCAATTCGATGCCCTCAACAAGTGTAAGTGACTGTTCTCTCGCAAAGACGACAAGTATTGACGACAACCGTAGACTGTGTTGACCTCACTGCCCTCGCCGAACAAGGCAAGCTCGACCCAGTCATTGGACGAGACAATGAAATTCGCCGAACCATCCGCATCCTTTCCCGCCGAACCAAGGGTAACCCCGTTCTCATCGGTGAGCCTGGTGTCGGTAAGACTGCCATCGCCGAAGGCCTCGCTCAGCGTATCGTCGACCGGGATGTCCCTGCAAGCTTGATCAGTCGTCTCATGGCCCTTGACATGGGTGCTTTGATGGCTGGCGCCAAATACAAGGGAGAATATGAGGAGCGAGTCAAGGCCGTCCTCAGCGAAGTCGAGAAGAGCGGAGATGAAGGCACTCAGATTATTCTGTTCATCGACGAAATCCATCTCATCATGTGAGTAGCATCTCTCTTGTCTTGTAGAACTGAGCTAATACGTGTCGTAGGGCCGGAAAAGATTCGAGCGGAGGTATGGATGCTGCCAACTTGCTCAAGCCCATGTTGGCCCGAGGCAAGCTCAAGGTTATCGGCGCGACCACTCTCAACGAATACCGCCAATACATCGAAAAGGATTCTGCATTCGAGCGACGATTCGCTCAAGTCATTGTGGATGAGCCTTCAGTTCCCGACACCGTTGCCAGTGAGTACATCGAATTATCATCCTAGTCGAATCAACTGACATGTCTACAGTCATGCGTGGTATTCGCGAAAAGTACGAAAGCCACCACGGGGTCCGAATCATGGACTCTGCTATCGTCCTCGCTGCGCAGCTCGCCAAACAGTACCTCACCGCCCGACGCCTTCCCGACTCTGCTATCGACCTCCTAGACGAGGCTGCCAGTGCCGTCAAAGTCGCTCGAGAGACCCGCCCTGAAGCTCTGGACGAGCTCGAGCGTAAGAAGCTCGGTCTCGAGGTCGAAGTCCATGCGCTCGAGAGGGAAAAGGATGAAGCTTCCAAAGAGAGGCTGGAGGCTGCCAAGAAGGCGATTGCCGATGTGGAAGATCAGCTTGGACCGCTCAAGAGAGAGTACGAGAATGAGAAGCATATTGGAGATCAGATCCACGAACTGAGAAGGAGAATTGACGAACTACGTGCCAAGGCTGATGAAGCTGAGCGAAGGTGAGTACTGTTGAGCTCTGCCCAATTTTTGAGACTGTTGACTGACGAATCTCTAGGTACGACCTCGCCACTGCAGCCGACATCCGATACCACTCCATCCCTCAACGAGAAGAGAAGCTCAAGGAGCTGGAGCAGAAGGAAGCCGAGAAGGGTTCTGGTCAAGGTGTGACCCCCGATGGTATTGCGGAGGTTGTTGCTCGGTAAGTGTCGCACTCCTTGTGTCTTTGATGCGCACTGACCCAAGTTCGCAGATGGACAGGTGTTCCCGTTTCTCGTCTCGTCGAGACAGAAAAGGCCAAACTTCTTCGCCTCGAGAAATTGATCTCCAAACAGGTCATCGGACAGCCCGAGGCTGTCAAATCTGTCGCCAACGCTATCCGACTCAGTCGATCCGGTCTCGGTAACCAGAACCGACCTATTGCCTCCTTCCTACTTGTTGGACCCTCTGGTACTGGTAAGACCTTGCTAGCCAAGACCGTCGCCAGTGTCATGTTCAACAGCGAGGATGCGATGGTGAGGATCGACGCTTCAGAGTATTCAGAGAAGCATTCAATCTCTAGATTGGTTGGAGCTGTAAGTATTCTAGCATATCATCAGTGAGCATAGCTAATTTTTCCTCAGCCCCCAGGTTATGTCGGTCACGAGTCTGGCGGAGCTTTGTCCGAAGCTGTCCGACGCAAGCCCTATTCTCTCATTCTCATCGACGAGATCGAAAAGGCCGCTCGAGAGTTCCACCAGATCTTCCTCCAAGTCCTCGATGACGGCCGTCTCACCGACGGTCAAGGACGCACCGTCGACTTCCGAAACACCATCATCATGATGACCTCCAACGTTGGCTCCAACTTCCTGAACGAGAACCCATCCGAAGGTCCCGTGCAGCCCGAAGTCCGCACACAAGTCAACGGTGCTATCGCCAAGACCTTCCCTCCCGAGTTCATAAACCGAATCGATGATATCATTCTCTACAGGTCTTTGAGCCGGGCGGATATCAAGAAGGTGGTGGGCGTGAGGTTGCAAGAGATCCAGAAGAGGATCTTGGACAACAACAAAAAGATCAAGTTGGACGTCGACGACTCTGCTCGCGAATGGTTGGCACAAGCTGGTTACTCTCGTAAGTTCAATTCATCTGTATCTTCAACTGAACCGCACGCTAACCATGTCATAGCTTCATACGGTGCTCGACCCATGGCCCGTCTCATCCAGACCGAGATACTCAACCCTCTCTCCCGACTCTTGCTCCAGGCCCGAGTACGGGAGAATGAGACGGCGCATATTACTGCCGATCTGAGGAAGAACCGACTGGTGGTTATCCCCAACCACGAGCCAGATGTGACAATGCCGGACGATAGTGATGAGGAAGATGATTCAATGGACATTGAGGTGGAGGATATGGATTAGATAATTCAGTGGAAAATACTGAGAAGATAAATAGAATCTGGGAATGATCTTTCTATAGCTGTCTTGTGATATAGTTGTCTATCTGGGTAGTCGTTTTGGGAGAACAAATCTAATCTAGCATGTAAACGAATCTTACGAATCGAAACTTTTGTGCACACCAAAGACGCAGCGGTCCACTCTGACTGGATGAATTTCTAGGCTTGTCTTACATGTTGTCATTACTATCGTAGTTTCTTGTCGTATCCCTATCCCTTCTACTCTGCGATCTGGTAACCGGCCACCGTCAAAAGCGTAGCCAGTGTGACCTTGGCAATCGCCACGATCTGCTCAAAGTCGTACCCCTCCCTTTGCGAAAGGTCGCCCGAGTTGTGATACATCGGGTCCACAATGTCGCCATTACGCTCAAACACCTGAGTGGCAGGGAATCCGTAAGAGACGAAGGACTGGTGGTCAGAGCAGCACGCGGCGGTTGTGCCGACAACGAGCTCGGGAGCATAGAGGTGGGAGATGTTGCCGACCAGGTAGCTGGCCTCGGGGAGGTGGATGCTAAACAGTCATTATCAGTATCTCCACATCTGAGAGTCAATTGTGCTCACGTCTCGGGGAGGCCAAGCTGAAGAGACTCGCCGACCTAGATAGATGTAAGCAAGATGTACTGCTTGTTGAGCGGGGCTCGGCTTACAGCGTGGTAGCCCAACATGTCCGCCTGCACTTGCAACAATATTGAAACGTTCTGGGAGTGCAAATACTCTACCAAAGACGATCAGTGATGCTTTTGACTGGGCGATGTGCGGCTTACCGGCATAAGCATGGCTTCCAAGCAACCCTTGCTCCTCGCCCGCGAAGAAAGCAAGCGTGACCTGCTTCTCAAACTGTACGCCTTGGCTGCCAATAGCATGTGCCAGACCAAGCAGGTGACCAGTACCAGAGCCATCGTCATCGCCCCCAGGAGCACGGGTAGACCCGAACGAGCCACGCGAGTCGTAGTGCGCAGAGAAGATGACGTTCTCAGTAGAATTGTGAAGGGAGGGATATTGGCAGATCACATTGGGAGAGAAGCCTTCCAGGAAAGGCTGAAGGGTACAGGTAGCTCCCGTGGCTTCGACCTTGCCTATGATCTAGTCAGCAACAGAGACGGAATACAATGACTCTAGAAACTGACCTTGGATCCAGTGTGCGGCCTTGACAGCTCCTGGAGTGAAGCTGTGCCTCGACTGGATACCGCTGGGAGACTCTCCAGTAAGCCATCGTACATCCCTCCTGACTTGATTGAGGTCCAAACCATCCGACAAGATCCTGTCAATGGCAGGAGAGAACTGCAGGTTCTCGATAATGCCCGCAAGATACTTGGCGTACTTGGTGGGGACAGATTCCCAGCCGAGAGTGGCCACGGGATAAGGCTTGGTCGGTACAGCAACAGGCACAAGGTATGAGGGCAGTAGCGTGTCGATATAGGGAAGAGCAGAGGCTCCGACATGCAGCAAGAAGGAGTTGGCAGTTTGGTGGAGAAGAGTGATAGGCTCCTTTCGTGTGTCACGAGGGTCATCGGTCTGGATCACAAACGGGGAGCCTTGCTCCTTGCCGTCTTCCGACATGCTTGGCCATGAGTGAGCCGAGATATCCATGGGGAGCTCGCCATCACCTTGCACACCAGCCTTTCCGATCCAGACCATACGGCCCTTCTCCAGAGATCCCAAGTCCTCCAGGGGAACAATGGATCCAGCTGTAAAGCTATCGAGATTGGAAGAAGAGAGGCATTCAACTGAGGGGAGATAGATGTGCTCTTGAGCAGCAGCCGAGCCTCCGTATGACCCGTGGTAGGAGTGCTTGAGGCAGTCGGGGACGGTATCATGAGCGCCGTTGGCGATGAAGAGCGAGGGGGTGTTGGGGACGATGGCAGCCGAGGCAGATGCTGCGAGGACGGGGAGGAGGGCGAGCATGGCGGGGAGTGGGCAGAAGAGTAGAATCAGGATGGATTAGACAGAAATCAAGAGGTTGCGTGTCAAGAGGATAGATCGGACATCGCCGACGTGCTCGGACCGTAAGTCCGTAAGAAGCCGACGGCGACCTGACTCGGCTTCTTTTTGTTGTTCCCAAGAACTCAAGTTGTTCCTGTCCAGCACCACCATCGATGTCAGCGTACGGCGCCATAGCCGCCCCAAAACAGCTCGGGGAGCTGCCAATCCTCGCCTTCCCGCTCTCCACCCCTGAGCTTGCCCTCGTCACCTATCCCGTCACAGGGGCCGAGGCCCCAGAGGAGCTCCTCAAGTATTTGTACTCGATCTTTTCAGACGAACTGGATGGTACATTTGTGTCGGTACCAGCCAGCAATCGCTAATGCTACTTTAGAGGGGATCACATACCCACAAGAGGGGCCATTGACTTATGAACAATTCGTCGCATACTTCTTTGCGGCTACGACCATCGTCGGCGTCATACAACCGGTCGACTCTGAGGGCCGTGCAGAGACCTCTGGTGGACTGGAAGGCGCTCGAGCGGGGAGGACTTGGGAGGAATCTGCTGGTGGATGCTACTATATGTATGTCTGCGACACGATCTTGATGCGATGATGTGGCTAATGGAGAACGTAGTAAACCCAACTATCCTGGAAGAAGCAGCCATGTGAGTTTGGATACTGGAAATGTCCAAGCCAACCAGCTGACCTAGTATATAGCTTTGTGTAAGCAGCGACTCTCTAGTATGAACGTGCACGGATAGCTAATCTTTGCTTGTAGAACGGTGGCTTTATCGTCCCACGCAACCACCGAGGCAAGAAACTGGGACAAGCACTGGCCAAGAGCTTCTTGGAATACGCGCCCCGCCTGGGGTACAGAGGCAGTGTCTTCAACTTGGTATACACAAGTAAGTCCCCTGGCATCGTGACCCAACCACGTCGTGATGACTGACGCCTGCCGCAGCCAACGGCGCGTCTCTCGCACTCTGGTCCAAGCTTGGCTTCACCAAGATTGGAGTCATCCCCCAGGCTGGCCGTCTCAAGACTGGCCCCAACGGGACGGAACAGTACGTCGACGCTGCAGTCATTCACAAGAGCTTTGTATCATGAGTGAAGCGGCCAACATGGACATGTCATAAGTAGGGAACAAGCTTGATGCCAGAATGAAGAGTGCATTATATGATGGTCTTACAAGGCAGTCTTGCGAACTTCTACCGGCTCGTCCTTTGGTGCATCGACTGGAGACTCAACGGGGATGAAGATGTGCTCCCGGTAATACTCAAGCTCCTTGATGCTGGCTTGAATATCATCCAATGCACTAGCAGCAGCATCTGTCAGCGACTGTCGCATGAAAATTGGGGTCAACTTACCGATGCGCAATCTCTCCTGCACGACCCTTCTGCTCCTTGGCTCGCACTGTTGGATACCACCTCCTGCAGACTTCTTTAACAGTGCTGACATCTGCAATACCATATTGTAAGCTTCGGGCAGACGCGCGACGGGGAAGCGTACCAAGGATCCTGTAAGAGAGGTGCTGCATTATCTCCGGCATTCCAATGAGCATGAACCTGTCATGATATATCAGCTTGTGTACCACAGTGCGAACAGATGTAACCCACCTCATGTCTGCATGGACAGAGCTACCAGCCAAAAGCCCCGCACCCTTCTCTGGGATCCACTTTTGGATGTACGCCAGAACTTTTTGCACAACATCTTCGTACGAGTGTGGGGAGTCGAGACATGCTCGTGTCAATCCAGTCTTGCCGTGCTGCTCCGTACACCATTCGCCCATACTATGAACACACGACTCAGCAAGAGTCTATATGTTGCCGAAATACAGCTCACCCGTCCAGCACCTCCTTCGAAGTGTTGATGATATAGCTCACCCCTTCGTCTACAGGCTTCAGCCTGCCATCTGTAATAATGACAGCGATCTCGATGATCTTGTCATTGAGAAAATCAAGACCAGTCATTTCACAGTCAACCTATACGGGATCAGCGTGGGCAGCTTTCGCGCGAAAGTAAAGACTTGCCCAAACAAGGGGACCGTCATCGTAAGTCAGAGCGTCGGTGGTGGACATGTTGCCTTGAGGGTATGAGGTATACCTTGTTGATTCTGGAAGAGAAAACGTAGTTGGAAGACAAGTCACAATCTTTCAATTGATTTGTTGTCGAGACGCGTCTGGCGCGGCGGTTCGCGTCCGACCACCGCACAGGGGCCCCAGCAGGATCATGATACATATACCAGTGTACGAGTACTGTACGTTGATGATTTAGAGCGATAATCATGGACATCTATGTATGTAGGGGGCAGGCAAGATGCAAAATACATGAGATACTTTGAATGACAATCTATTCTTCCCGCTTTTACTGCTGTCGGTTGCCGGCATTACCACCCATGAACTGCTGAGCCCTGTTCCGTCACTTAGCCATTTCCCGTAGTGATACAGAGCCGAAACTTACAAGTTCCTCATGTTTGGGTCGTTGGCGAGCGAGCTCAGATCGGGCATACCGCCGCCATTACCGCCGCCGTTGCCGAAGCTCTCGGCCATGTTGCGCAGAGCAGGATTTTCCATGAGCCTCTCCAGACCACCATTACCCATCATTTGTTGGGCCCTGAAAGAGTCAGCATATCGTACAGGTATTGAGAAGAGTCTTGACTAACATGGCCATCATCTGAGGGTTGTTCATCAAAGACGCCAGATCGGGCATACCCCCACCACCGCCACCACCACCACCACCCAACATACTGGCCAGAGAAGACAGGTCGGGCATTCCCCCAGCGCCCCCAGCACCTCCCGCACCGGCGTTTCTAGCAGGCTCACGGTCCGCAACAGAGTTTGAAGAAGTCTCGGCAAGCTTGGTTTTGGCGGTAGCAAGAGCAGTCTTCATGTTAGCATTGGTAGGATCGAGCTCGAGACCATTCTCGTAGGCTTGGACAGCAGCAGCAAAGTCGCCCTGGCTGAACTGAGCGTGTCTAAAGAGATACGTCAACAATGGTGCAATTCAGACTCTCTAGCCATGACGTACCCGAGCCTAGAGTAGGCCTTGGTGAATTTCGGGTCGAGTTCCAGAGCCTTCTCCGCATCTTCCACCGCCTTCTCATGCTGACCAGCACCTCCCCAAGCAGCCGCACGGTTGGAGTAGTAGACCGGGTTGGGGCTGATCTTGATGGCTTCAGTGTACTGCTCGATAGCCGAGTCGTAGAGCTTCTGACCCATCAGCTGGTTTCCCTTGGCCTTCAAGGTTTCCGCCTTGGCTTTGTCGGCCTCAGATGGACCAGAGGAAGAGGAAGGAGTAGGGGCAGGGGATGATGCGAGGGGCGTTGAAGGTGGCTGAGAAGCTGCCTTGGCCTTGGTCTTGAGGAAGACGTCGAGGATGGAAAGGAGCGAGGCGGGCTTGATAGAGTAGGCGTTCGCGTCCTCTGTGGAATCGGGGTCTACACCAAACGCCTCCCCGATGCATTGCACTAAACATAATTTAGCTTCTCATTATCGAGCGTCTTTTTTGCTACGCACTGGCAACTTCCAGTGACTCCTGATCGTCCTCCTTCACAGTCCCGTCCGCGGCGGAGGTTCTGAGAAAGTCGATGCTAGAGACCTATCAGCTTACGCAAGTCGCACTCGCAGCAGGATGACTGACATGTTGTATACGAGCTGCTTCTTCTTTGCCTCGGCCATGATGAATGCGATGGAAGAATCAGGGGAAAGTAGGAAAAAGAGATAATGGCTGCACTACTGCAGCGAGTGGCGCATCGTTGCCGACGTGTCACGGACACGACTCATGTCCGGATTCAATCTCGGACAACTGGAGCCAGCGTTCACGACGGATTTTCGACACTCCTTTCATTTCGTATGCATTTCTCGTCGTTGTGTCGTTGGTGTATGGACATGTGTGATATGCAAATCAAGTTCGTTGGTGTATACAGAGATCGAAACGGCTCAGGCCCTAACCCCGATTGACTATGTACGCGAAGACGATCGAAGCTCATGTCATGAGGTGAAGAGAAGAGACGGCTAGCGCCTGGCCATCTACCAGACCATTTCTGATTGCCAGGCCTCATCCCCATCTTTGTCCACCTTGATGCCAAACATCGACGCCCAGAACTGGACAGTGTTGTCAGCCTATCTATCGTGTTGCAGAAGCGCGTAGCTCGACACTTACCCCAGGTAACGCGAGAGGGCTGGGCCCGTTGAAGTCACCAGATAGAGATGTGGCAAGGGAATCTGCTTGATCCATATTGTAGAGGCCGCCGTTATATTGGGAAGACCTGGGCAGACCATAATCATTCCCGCTTGGAAATTGAGCTGGATTCGTTTGGAAAGCGCCTGCTGCGTTGAGTGGTCGGGCAGACGAGGCAGGGCGTTGAAATGCCCGGACCTCTGTGAGAGGTGTAGGCGGCGCCTTCTGTTCGACCTGAGAGCCACCAATCCCAGCATTGGTTGGGGGACCGTCAAAGAATCCAAACATTGCGGGAGACATGCCGTTATACGAGGTGATGGGAGCTGGCGACCGACGGTGTTGATCATTGGCCAAGCTGAGAAGATGTCAATGGGAGCCCCTTCGCGATGCAGATATATAATATGCGTACGACACAAGTTTGTCGAGTTGAATGATGCCTTGACAGAGGTCGCTCTGAACAGGATGGGAACTGAACCAGGTTGACAGTCTCCCTGCAAATATCTCTTTGGCGCCTCGTAGGTCCTCCTGTTGAATGATCAATGTCAGTGTTGGGGAAAGAGACCAAGACACTCACTGTACACTTGGCAGCCAGCTCCGTACCGGGCTGTCTTAAAGCTAGAAATGCGCAGACAGCAGCCGCTTGGAAGGCCTGTGGCAGCGTCAGCATACTCCGACAATGACCCAAAAAAATAATGAAGCCTTACCCTGTATGACATTGACCAGACCGCCCACACAAGAGAGATATCAGCTCCGGCCATTGCACGGTATGCTTTCAACACCATATGGGCGGCTTCTGAGCAGTAAGCGGTGGACTCCGGGTAAGCGGCCGGGTCGGCTTCTGCTCTGAGGTAAGGGCGATGGATTACCAAGCTATTGAAAGTCAACTCGCGGCCCTTGGCTGGTCCCATATGCTATCGCTTACGTCAAAGTCCAAGTCTTGATACACAAGGCTAATGTCTGTCCCAATCGCTTTCGACTTCTTGACTTGTGCAGATCTTCTACACTATCGTTGACGTCCAGTCGAAGACCGTCGGGGACATGAGAATACCACCGCCGCAAGTCCTCTGCTAGCCGCAGTGCATCTCGGTATGTATGCTTGGGCTTGGGGGACTCCTCAGAGGCCATGTGCGCGTCCGGTGGAGGCGAGAACCACTTGTATAGTGCCTCCCGGCTAGCTTGCCGATCAACAAAGAAGATACCATCGAGAAATTCGAAAGACGGTATAGTCAGTTGATAGTAGGCGGTGTGGAAAGTCTGGTCTGTTATTCTGCTGTCCAAGTCATTGGACGTTGATAACTCTCGAGCACTTCCCGGAGATTCTGAAAGCTCCTCGTCGGCTCTGTCCTGCGGCAGATTGGTCGTGTAGAAGTTGATACTGCTCGGACGCCCGAAGAAGATTGAGAACATGGCGTCTAGAGATGCCACGGACCACCTGCAGCACGTCAGCATCGCTGGCACTAGAGACAATGGGGTGCGCTTACCATACACGCCGCTTTACTTCAGCTTCGCGTGCCGATACACGTGGGTCAAGACTCAGAGGGTCTCTGTGCAGCCCGAGCGCCGTTGCTTGCTTGATCATATTCCCGCCGATGGCCCACGCATCTGCAGCTCTTTCGCTCACAAGCCTGCAAAGACTGTTAGCTCGTCCACTATCCCCGGTGAGATGACATGCAAATATAATTGGATAAGAACCTCGTTCAAGTGAGCTACAGTCTCGGTATCAAATGATGATGGATCTCACCTGGCATTGCAGCACTTGGACTGTGGGATTCGCCATGAACGAGCAAAGGCGAAGCGCCTGATATGCTGCCGACACTGTACAGCTGTGAGAATTTTGCGCACGGAGACGACTATGTTACCCACAATACAGCTCGCTCTGCAAACGGCTTGTAGTCAAGTCTTTGGGCTCCTTGACATCCGGACCTCCGAGGTCATCAGGGGTCCTTTGAGCACGATTCGGATGTCCGAACATTTCTGCGGCGGTAGCTCTTGATAAGCATCCTGGAAAGGGTCAGCCAGTATCTGATGTGACGGCGCATCTACATACCCAAGGCGCAAATGGTAAGAATTACAGCTAGGGCGGACAAAGGGACGCTCATTTTTTCGTCGGGCAGCTTGGCAAACAAGCTGCTGTACTCTTGTTTGAGCGACGGTCTGGGCATATTGTGAGCGGCACAGCCCATACTATTCTATACTGAACACTCACATGTGGAATGGGCTCACATAAGAACCATAAGTATTGGCCCAATCCTCCCAGAGACTATTTGCAGGAGTCAGCAAACAATGACGAAAAGCGAAAGAAGGAACAGCAGGCGTACAGTTCAGATTGAGCTTGGTTAGGCAGAAGACCTATAATTTCTCCGCAGAAATTCTCGTGACTCCAGATAGTAGTGAAGGGGAAGGTCTTTCTGAGATTCGGGAAAGCACCTGAATACACGCCATCTTCGGGCACAGCCAAAAGACCGCTGTCGCCTTTTGCGGAAGCCAATTCTTTGAGCTACTCGAGTATCAGTATTTGTAATGGTAACCCACAGAAAGTGTTTATAGAATGCTCACACTTCGAAGCATTGATTGACCAGCAGAAGCACCCAGATATACCGTCCTACCGCTGGTGTCGTGCATGATCTCGTCACCCGGAAGGAGGTTGGCCGTGTACGGCTCAGCCCTGTAATCGGCTGATCCTGAGCCTTGCTTTTCACTCTCGTGACCCTCGTCATGTGGCGTTCTTGTAGGGCCTTCATCACCACCGGATGCCTCTTGAGACGATCTTTCCGCTTTGACAGTGACGGGAGCTGAACTTTGTCCTAGGCGAGCAACGTTGTCCGCTGCCTGAGCTTCGTCTAGCTTGAAGCGGGCATACCTATCAATGATGACGCGACGGTTTTCCCCATCACTGCCATGGTCTAGAATCGAGGCAGCTTTGCTAGGTGCTGGAGCTCGCGCAGAGGGTTTCTGTCGCAGATCGCGCACTACTTGCTCGAGCTCCGCAACGCGCCGGCGCAAACGATCACTCTCAGCTACCTCCGGATCATTTCTGTATCTTTTGTTAATCGACTTAATACAGCGACTGTGCACTTACGGATCACGTTGTTCATCGATCTCGTAAACGCAGTTCCCAGTCTGAAGGGTGGTCAGCAGGAAGCGAATAATGATCAATGTTACATACAAGGCCCAAAGCAATGCATCTACCGCAAGGTCGTTTACGGTCGCACTGTCATGTTTCAGCATTATGCCATGTCAAGGGTTGAACAAGCAAGCTCACTTTGCGCTTATGAGAATGGCACTGGACGCAGCTACGAATGACTTTGTTTCTTTTACGCTTCCGGTGGTCCAACTTGCGGTCCACGTCTAGCTCATCGTTGTCCATGGGATCATTAGAAGATTCCCCCTTGGTAGCTTCTGTGGGAAAAGAAGAGGTGTTGGACTTCAACACTCCTCTGCGAATTGCCTTGCCCTGGGATGAAGTAGGTCTTGAAGGGACTTGTGAAGCCTCGTCCCAGGATAGCATAGGTTCATCCGACGCCTTCCTGGATGGTGCACCTCCCCCCGATGTCATACGTAGACCTTCCGAAGTCCCTGGGCGACTGGCGGAGACACTGCTGTCTCCGGCAGAGTATGACTCGGCAGGATTATGCTTGACAGGCTGGCCGTGCTGTGCCGCTGATGAAGCCCCAAGACGAGGGCTCCCGGGAGAGGGGAAAGGTCTCGCGGTATCGCTGGTGGACTTTTGATCACGACTGGTGAAAGGATGAGGGATACTGGGCATCGCTTGCCAGCGTTTTGTCATCTCTTCCGTGGGTGATACAGACAAAGACCGGCCTTGAGGTGGAAGCCCACCGCTGGGAGTGATTGGTCGTTGAGTGTAGCGGTGATGGGCCGTGCTGTGAGCCGGTGGCACGGAGCCTGGTCTACTGGTATACGGCGACAGATAATGTGGTGGTGGGTAGACTGAATTCTGAGGAAGAGCCGTTCGTGGCTGCGGGTTGTCGTACTCATGAGCAGCCGATAGGTATGTATGGGGTGGATAGCTATACCCTTGGTGGGAACCCTCGGGCACGGGTAGAAACAAGCTATAGGGAGGTCGTATAGGCGGACCCTGAGGGGCTGGCGTTTGATACGATGGGGTCGGCTGATCAGGCGAAGTGGGGTATTGTCGATACGAAGGGTGATGCGAGGAGGTATAGAGGCTCCCAGGCTGCTCGCCGGCATGGGAACCACCTCTATGGGTGCGCTCAGATCTACTTCCGCCTCCTCTTTTCTTACTGCTGGCACCCCTTGAGTCCGATGCTTTAGAGCGGCCTGGATCCTGCGGCATCTTCAACGCTTTTCTCAGGCCGCACTCCCGCAAGCCTTTGAACTACTAAAGAAGACAGATGGGATTGGTTTGTTCTGGGGCCGTCCACAAACGTTCACACACCCCACAGACCACCTCAAGCGCGCTGGCTGACGACAAGAAGAGGTAGGTGAAGGGGATGAGGAGAGGAGTATGGGAAAGGGGCGGGGATGTCGCGTGGGTGTTGCTTGTTCGGCCTTGAGCTTATGGCAATGCGGAAGACAGATGATGTCGGGCGGACGATCGCGTGGAAGGGGAGTTGATGGTGATGGCAACGTCGACTGTTGCTGATCGCTGATGGTACAAAATAAGCACAAGCTCCGATTGTTTATGGCCTTCTCTCTCTCCCACACTGAACACCGTGTTCTCGTCGACCGGTTCCAGAGAGACTTGTACTTACAGTCAGTGATGGTATAATGATGCGTATGCAGCTTGGATAGACGGATGACCCGGAGGTTTTCCTGCAGGGGATAGGATGTGTTACCGACCTGCAGAGTACATACCCAAAGCCTTTCGTAACTGGGAACCCCGACTATTAGCCCGGTGCCGTGCGTTGGGCGATTGGGCCCCTCAACCATTCTCCGAGCTTACCACAAATATGTCTATCGTTTTGTTTGGTTCGACGCAAAGAGGGTGATGGTGGTGTCTGGGTACAGTGCCGAAGCAGTATGGATGGTTCACTGCTGTATGTAGAAGAGAGGTTCAAAGAGCGAATGAATTGAAAGTACTGTCCATCGGCTGCTCGATTATGGCTGCCGGTATATGGTCGTGACTCATGATGTAATTGGTCAGCAGCCGCATAACGTGCAGGTAGTACGCCTCTCTCTTCTTGATCTTGTCTTGAGGTACTCTAGAGGAGAAAATGAAGAACTCCGTACGCGGCGGGACTGTCAGACTGTCTTACTATCCTGTGGCATCTTCGGTCGCAATGCAGGGCATGCAGGCCGCAGCAAGGAAATAGTAGTATGAGTAGAGCTTGACCTTGCGGATGAAATTCCAAGCAACATCACTCGTCCGAGGCGTTTCAATAACTTCATACTCCTTAAAACGCAACTGTAAACTCTTTTCTTCTCTCTCTTGAAGTCTCTTCTCCTCCCGCCCGGAAGCATGCTCGGCGTACGACGCTGGCTCGACACAAGCCCTTCCGGGTACAGGCGTACGACGTCATTGCTGGTCTCTCCCGCGTCGTCCACTACTGTTGGCCTTCCTTGGCTTTTGCTATCGAGCAAGTTGGGTTCAGCGCGCCTCGTATATATATGCTTTCATATGACGCATCAGAGGTCAAAGGTCATTGGTGGTGTCATGTAATATTGCGAAATTGACTGTGATATTAACTGTAGGAGGTCTCATCCTGCCGAGGGGTTACACCGGGGTGCAGATACGAGATAGTTGCTGATTGAGGGTCCAGTCATTCATCCACATCACCGAGACAAATTCTGAATACAGTCTTCACTCGCTCCCATTGATATGATGACAGGTTACATATAGGACCTGACCTAAATACAAAATCGCCTAGATATCAACAGAATGGCATGTGTTTGCCGTCTTTTACTACAGTACACTACAGATGTACAACACTAACTATCCAGCCCAAAGACCCTATCCATCTCTTCGTGACTTGGACCATCTCCTCCTGGTGAGAGACCCATGTCCATCCCGTGCTGAGCCACCCCCACGACATCCAGAAGGGTCTGATTGTCCTGCACCGACCAATTCGCAAAGTCATGTTCCTCATGACTGAGACCTCGGTCGCGCAGGTCGCCGTCGTCGTCGCCGCACCCGCGAGCCATTGCCTCCTCTTCTCTCAGTCGCATCTGCTCTGCTACCGCCTCTGGCTTGAGCCCCTTTGCATCACCCTTCTTGTCGTCGAATTGTCTCATGAGTTCACTAAACTCGTCCCGGTTCTTCTTCAGCCTCATCTCCCTCACGAGATACCCCGGGAACTTGCGAGGCCGTCCCTTTTGTCGTTTGACGCCCATTTCCTTCTCCTGTTTTCTCAAGTCATACTCTGCCTGCTCGGCCGGGGTTCTTGGTTTGGGGGGCCGGCCTTTCGGGCGAGCAGCAGGCTTGGGAGGCTTGGGGATGCGGGGAGGAGGAGGACCGGGCTTGGGCTTGTTTTTGGAGCCCTTTGGGCGACCTCGGCCACGCTTGAGCGGAGGTTGGGATGGATCAGAGCCGGGAAGGGGTGATTGATTATCAAGCGGGGCGGAAGAGGGCCCAGCTTCAGAGTTGACGTCGAGTGAAGAATGAGACATATCAACGTCCTCGTCATGAAGGTTGTGGTGGTCATTCAAGCTGAGGAACTCGTGGCTTGGGGAGTGAGAAAAATTGGAAGGGAAAAGAGAGTCTGCGCACAGTCAGTAAGATGGTATAGCTGTGAGGTTGAGAGACTTACTGAAACTGGCATGTGTGAGATCATCTAGCGTGTTCTGAAGACTTTGATGAAGTCTATCTCTTTCTTCCGCATCCGTATCTGTTAGATGCGCGCCGATTGCAGCAGCGGCTTGAGCTGATGACATGCCCGAATTGTTGAGATGTGAAGACTGAAAAGGGTACCGTGTTAGTCTGAGCATCGTTTACTACGCGCACACGCACCTGTTGGGCATTGGTAAGACTGTTGACGATCTCGCGCAATGTTGGATCAATCTCAACATCCCCTTGAAGACTGTCCGACACGTCCAATGAGTGTCCAACAATGTCCTCTTGGTCTACTTCATCGGGTCGCTCATGGTCATGAGGATGAGACCCCTGTTCCTCATCGTGCGGAATCGCTTCTTCTTCTCTTTGCTCCATCTCGCTCTCCTCATCAAGGCGTATTCTGCCCTTGCGAAAGTCATTGACCACTTTCTCCAGCTCGAAAAGTGATGGGTCGATCTGGATATCGTCTTGTGTAGCCGTGCCTTCTATGTTTGCGAAGGAGGACGAGGGCGGTGGCGACAGATGGTGTGGGCGCGTCGGGGGCTGCTGGGATGTGAAGGCCGACAGACTGGGGTCGATCTGGTGGTGGCGCTCATTTGCGGCAGCGGACATGGTGGACGAGGAAAGTGGAGGTGGAGAAAAGCGAGAAAAGACGCAGGAAAAAGCAGAGGACATGAGGGGGCGGGATCAAATGGAGTGTATGTGTGCCCCCCTTTTGCCACCCGCGTCATGTATTCCTTTCTGCTATATTCTTCTGTTGTTCTTCTGTTGTGTCCAGAACAATCATGTCCGTCCAAATACCCCAGGAACATTCTGCACGCCTTCAGGTGAGTCCCTCTGTCCAACTCGATGATTTCGCTGACATCCAGTAGGCAGATGTGCAAGCAGAGCTCGAAAGAAGAGAATGGGCCGAGCCGAACGGTCAGTCCTATGCCATCTCAAGTTTTTATGAATACTAATACCTGGGTAGATACTGTCATGGCGGAATACGTAACTGTGCTACTAGGTGCGCGCTCCCTGACCACGACATGTGATTTACAAAACTGACAATCACTTTCTTAGTCAACGGAAGTGCCAGAGAACGAGTGCAGGCAGAGATGGAGGACCTTGTTGGTGGAGATTTCGATTCCGATTTTCTTGATTGGCTATACGCGCGAGCCAGCGCCATTTCCGGGCCGACCGCTGTCTCCTCGGTACCTCAGTTGACCGCGCCAGAAACGCCTGCCCAGCCCCAAGAGAGCAATCGACTGCTGTCCTCCGCCCTCGCACCTGTGACATCCCAAGCATCAGAGAAACGAAAACTCCCAGACTCTGCCCAAGAAGGCCAGAACAAGCGGGCAGCCCCGGCAGTCCCCTCTGGCCCTCGGTCTGGTCCGGCTGCCGGCAATGGTGGCCCCGTACGTGGACAAGGCATGGGGATCAGAGGCATGGCTGGGAGTGGTCGAGGAGGAATCGCATCTGGCAATGGCTCAAACGGATTCCACCAGCAACAACCTGGCTTCAGGCCCCGGCCTCCTATGCAACAGGGGAGGTTCAACGGGCCTGCGCCAGGCATGTTTGGGATGCCTGGTCAGCAGGAAATGATGGCGCAGATGATGATGATGCAGGCCAATATGGCGCAGATGGGACAGATGATGTCTATGATAACCGACGTAAGTCTGTTCAGTATGCTACGTCTAGGATGAACACTGACGTGCGCTCAGCAACGGCAAAATCAACCACAAGCGCCTCAACAGGGCGGCTTCCGTCCTCGCCCCCCTCCTCCTGTCAAACTTCCTCCCGGTACCAAGTTCGGCAGTCATGCTGTATCATCAATTGCTCCCGGCAAAGCTACAACTGGACCCATCCCGACGAAGCCGACTTCAACAGCACTTTGCAAGTTTGGTGTCGGTTGTAGCAACTCTCGGTGTATCTACAGCCATCCAAGCCCGGTTGCAGATGAGAAGAACGGAATGGTGCTGAGTGAGGAGGCGTGTGAAAAGGGCAAAGGTTGCAAGGATGCGGAGTGTGTCAAGAGCCATATCAGCCCAGCTGCCAGTGGTGATATTTCTGGGCCATCCAAGCTTTTGTGCAAGTATCAAAATTGCACAAATCCGTCCTGTCTCTTCCGACATGAGGACGCCAATGGCAATCCCATCGCTTTGCCGGCTCTCGCTAGCAAGGCTGCTACCAATGGCAATGACGCTACTGTACCTGCACCTTCATCCGACGATGGCAGTGTGGAAGTCATCACGTCGCATAAGACGCTCATGAACTCTTCGTTGGATGATGGGCCGAAGGTCGTACAATGCAGGTACGCGGAACGTTGTACCAGGGGTGAGTGATATCTTGATCGCCAAAGAGCAAATGCTGATTCGCCGTCTTTCTTCAGCGGATTGTAAATTCTCTCATCCTCCTTCTCGCCCTGTACCCAAAGGACACAACACCAAAAGTTTCAAACCGTCATCCTTCTCCTCCACTCCGTCGACTTCTACAGATATTGCGAGTGCTGGTATGCACAAGAGCAAGAAGTTTGGCACGGAGACCAAGCTGAACCCATCTGCGGGGGATTTCAAGCCTGCCTCTACTGCTTGAAGCGGGCGTAGGACGTGAGAGGAGGTAAAGGGGTCGTCGTATGATGATTGAAAACCTATCCACTGTACATTGGGGGTGCATTGGGGGACTGCATGTGCTAGGGGTACTATGATGTGTATAAGGTGTATACTTATGGAGAATGTAAAGGCTTTTGGCCATGTGCGTGCTTCTACGCAAATGCAATGAGCTCTGCAAGGTTTCCAACATACAAGTGCCCTACAGGTTGCCAGACCATTCGCCCATTCACGTCAATATCTCAAAGCCATCGGGGGTCACTAGCACCTGGTGCTCAAACTGCGCTGTCCTTGCGCCAGTCTAGGGTATTTTAGTACAATACATATTTCTCGTGGGAAGGGAAAACCCACATTTGAAGCAAGAGTCCAGCCATCATCCCACATGTCCCCTTTGGAGTCGCTGCCTTGCACTAGACAAGGTTCAATAGTGAAACAGTCCCCAGTTTCCATCTTTCCAGGCTCAGTGTTTCCTAGATATCATCAGTCATAAGCTGCAGGGTGTGACACGAGGCTGACTCACGTCCGTGGAATATCCATGGCGGCTGATGAAACCTCTTGCCAATGCCGTGCCCCGAAACTTGCGTGTTGACAGAAAAGCCATGCCTGGACGCAAAGTCTCTGGAGAGAAGGCATCAGGAGACTTTTCAACGTGATCACACTCTAACCCACTCGATAGCTTTACCAATTTCGTTGTACCTCACGCCAGGCTTGCACAGTCTGATACCAATGTCCAATGCTTCTTCTGTCGCCGAAACGAGATCTCTCCCCGGCTTGTCGGTGTCGGGCAGAACGAAAGTCGCTGACGTGTCACCATAGTAGCCATCCTTGAACAAGGTAAGGTCGAGGTTGATTATATCTTGGGGATGAAGAGGACGGCTGTGAGAGTTGTCAGCAGGAAAAGTCAGCAACAGGAAGGGGTCTACGTACTCATCGGGAATGCCATCTATGAGAAAAGCGCTCATCAATACATAGAGGCGACATGTATGGCGAATGACTCACGAACAATGACATTGTTCACTGATGTCGTGCAACTTCTGGGAAAGAAGGAATAACCAAGAGGGGCGGGATATGCCCCTCTTTCAATGATCATCTTGTGAATGGCTTCGTCAAGCTGGGAAGTTGTCACGCCAGGCTGCAGAGGTGAATCGTAAGTTAGTCTGGGGAGGCCAATGTATAGTTGACAATTCTCACTTTGACAATCTTTGAAACCTTTTTCAGTATCGAAGCCGCATCTTTGCAGACTTTTCGTACAGCCTGTTCTCCCTCAGAACCAAATTCTATTTTCTCTCCATTGGCAGCTTGGTCTTGATCCAAGTCGGGCATATCGTGTTCTCCCCATGGCGCTGTGAAAAAGTTGGCTGGGACGTAATCTGGCCGAGGAATATGCGCTGGGACAGGCAGGGGGTCGGGATAGGAGGTCATGGCTGAGGAAGCGAGCAGGATGGGGTACTTGCCAAAGCGCGAGGGACCGGCATGGTACGCCCATTGGCGGGCGATGAGCGAAGGTCGCATGTTCAGGGCGTTGATGTGAGAGAGTACAGGGAAGCTCTAGGCCTAATAGAAAAGTTGCTTGAAGATATGAGAGCCAAAATTCAGATGGAACGCCAGAAACCAAATAACTCGGAGCCCCGCTGCGGTGGTGCCTTGTTGTGGGCGGCCTAAAAATAAGGCCAGAAGCTGCACCGTTTGTTCGTTGCATCTTTCTTCGCGCACACCATGGACAACAACACCTCCCCTGGCCCCTCGCAGCCCTCGCAGGGTGCGACCTCAGAGGACACAGTCAGGGTGCCCAGCTCGGGTGAGTCCCTACGTCTCGCGGCCTGACAACATAATTGACCATGAAGACCAGGGCTCGAGTTCTTCGAGTATCGCAGACGTTTATTCCTGGCGGGTTTACCAGCGCCATCCACTCCTACGGGAGAACCCCTTCCTGACTTCTATGAGGTTCCCAGAGGGCTGCCAGACCCTTTGCCCATACCTATACGAAAGCAACCGAGCAATGCTTCTATGGCACGAGTGGAAGCGGCCCTCAGCCAAGAAGGCGTAGAGTATTCCAAGGAGATGTGGGAGTCCGGGGTACGACAACTGGCGGAGAAGCTACATGAGGGGCGCAAGTTCACCAAGGGGATGCGGCTCAGTCTCGTTGTGAGTCGATCCCAATCGCATCCTTCCCATCCCATCTCACGTCTTGTGTAGATCAAGATACTGATAGCCAGCTGGATCAACGACGGTCTGTGGCCTACAAATACCCGGACGGGACTGCCGGAAAGACCGCCTGAATCCCCTCTGATCGAAGGTATCGAGCTGTTTCCTGACGGAGTGCCTGTCAAGGTTATCGATACCCCCGAGGATCAACTACCACCAAAGAACGAGTATAGAGCCTTCACTCAGTGAATCATCGGGAACAATGTCGCCGTCGATGGCCTGCATCAGAAGAGTATATATGTACAACATCTTCAACTCCACATTCTTATCTTGTCGGTACAATGGGAGGAGGTCGAGCTTGCTGCAACAGAGCGGCCAGGCCGAGCAGGTACTGCTCAGCAATGCTTGAGAAATAGAACTCGTGAGCAGCATTGTGACCGGATTCTACGCACTTCCGTCAGCCAAATCGTACACGTGCAGCCACTGGAACATACCTAAGTTGTGGGCAAGTTCTGCGGAGTTGATCAGTCAAAGAAGACGAGGAGATTTGCACACGTACCGTGAGCAATGCTGAAATAATTAGAGACCCAAGCATCAATATGGTTTCCCCGTTGACACGATTGGTCATCTGCAGCCACAAAAACAAACGTTAACGCGCATTGTGAACCAGATACTAGCTTTTACTTACGCCATGCTTGGAAATAGCGCCTACGTTGAGGAACAGACAGCAGTCAGCTCCAGCCTTGCGAGTTTTCTTATTTGGTACTCACGCATTGCAATGGATAGCACCGCCTCGATTGAAAGCTATCAAAGGGCCCTCATGGTCCCAGAACACGTTAAGAACGGCCGGTTTGAGCTGGCCAGCATGGTCAGCAATAGTGTTATCGGACTAGGGAAGTTGGGGTACCATGAAAACTTGACACAAGGGGATGAGCACCTCATTCGAGAATCGCATACAGGCCTCCAGCTTGTCCCCAAAGTAACTGTCTACATCCTGAACATCTGCGCCGCGTCAGATGAGCCATGATCACGTATAGCCTGACTAAAGGCGTACCTGTAGGACACCAAATCTGTAACGGTAATCCGTACTGTTGGGATGTATCATACGCTGAAGTATGTGTTCAGCACATGCGATCGTCAGCACAGTCTCGTCACTCACCCAGCTTCAGGCTGACTTCAGCTGTAGTATCGCAATAGTCTCCTTGCGCTTCCGACACATTGTTCACGGCCTTCCGACTATCTTGGATACGTGTAGCAGTCTCCGGCCTTGATGCATCCATAGCCTTTTTGACGGTTGCGCCTATAATAGCATGAGCTCTCGTCGATATTACTGGCAAGGGACATACGAATATCGGACAAATCTGTTGGTCTTGCAGTTTGCTTCTGGTCCGGCGCGTACGTACCAGGTCGACTATAACCTTCGGCTCCTGATGCATGTCTGCCGCCAAGGCCATGGCGCAGCTCATCAAGCACCTTGCTCTGTGGCAAACTTTCCAAGCCGCTACCGGTCCCTATGCCGGGCATTCCTCCTGGCATCCTCAACTCTTCCTTATCCTTGCTCGCAGAACCTCTTCCAAATCTGCCAAACAGCCCTTTCTTCTCCGACGTTTCGGAGCCTATGGTACTCTCCAGGCTCTGTCTGTTTCCCAGAGTCTTCGTGTTTTCAGCTGCCTTTTCAGCTGCCATGATGTCTCTTTCGCGCAGCTCTGCCTGCAATCTGATCTTTTCTTCCTTCTGTTGATTGAGTATCCTGTCGACGTTGATGCCCCGCTTCCGCAAGGCCATGAGGGGAGTCGTCAAGATGGAATAGAGCAACAGAGCGTCGTCGGCTTTCTGTGTCTTGAATAGGATCTCGCATAGGGCTGAAGCGATATCATAGTCGTCTTTTTGAGCACTCAATGAGACAGTAAGAACGATGCTTCCTCTGGTCCTTCCAGGCGCCGCAATCGCATATAGACTTTCTGTGTGCGTCTTCTCGACCTTTCCATTCTTGTAAGTGCGCTGCACCTTCAAAGATTGACATTCCTCAACTTGGAAATTGCCGTCTTTGGTAAGGCTGTCGATGCTATAGCTGGCAAGCTTCCGTCGGTCCGTAAGGAAGATGGTGAGCCGTTCAAGAACATGTCGACGGAGCGGTATCGATTGAGCAGACGCCGCTTGGGAGGAAACGGGAGTCGATACGTGTTTTGTGCGAACGAAAGAAGACAGCTGTTGAGATCCAAGGACGGAGTAGAAGTTCTCGAGTAGTGCTTCCTGCCAGAGATATCAGCTGTCATGTCCAGGACGCCGAATCAAGACTGACCTCTGGAGCTGCCAAGATGAATGGCCCAAAGTACTGTGAAAAGACTATATTGTCATTGATGACAATCTCTCCAGCTCTTGCAAGGACCCATTCCCGCTCATACTCGTCTCCTTGCTCAGTCGTCTGCCCAAACAAAGACTGACTTTTTTTTTTGACATCCACGAGCTGGGAGGCAAGCAAGAATTTGGCGCTTCGCATGGAACTCTTTGTTTGACTGTCCAAACGGCTCCAGTTGGTCGCCAACAGCCTGATTTGCTCGAGATATTTCTCCGGCGAGCCCGCTTGTCGAAGCATATCATCAGAGTTTGCCATGAAGAGTCTTGCAATATCTTGCACGCTTGGCTCTCTGCGAACTCCGCAATACTGGAGGAACACATTGGCCTTGTCCCCAAAGTCGACGAACGTAAAAGCAGAGGCGTAGACATTGTCGGATCGTTCTTTACTGTGGAAGTAGACCTGAGAGGGCTTGTGAAGCCTGATATCTGACGCAGTTTTGACAGGGATCAAATGAGTATCGGCAAGAAATGACGGGGCAGTCTGGTTCACGTATGCACTCATATACTAGAGCCTGAAAGTCAGACATGACTGTTAACGACATGGGACTGACTCACCTCAAAAGTTCGAGTCGCAGTGGGAATGTCCATCGGCACATTGTTGACCAAGGCGATAACGAGCTGTCCCATAGGTGGATCCCTCCGCACACCGAGTTTACTGGCATTCTCTGGGCTTGCTATCTTCGGAATAGCAACAGCAAAGCCGAGTATAGCACAGTCGGGATTCGAAAAAGCCTAGACGGTCGGTCAGCTTGAGCATAACATATTGGGTCCACCAACGAACCTCGCCAGGTTTGACAAACACCCGCGATCCGCCTTTTGTTGCTGGCAAAAACGCAACGTCCGGGAACGCATCAGATCTGAAATCTGAATAATGATTGCTGAAATTGGCCAATAGGTAGTCAAGAGCCTTTTCGTTAGCCGGTGCTGGGCCACCCATAATCTTGAGAAGAACCTCTTTAGAGGGATAACGGTTGAGGCCAAGCATGAAGAGCATTTTGGCTGGACAGAGTCAGCTTCGTTCGATCGTGGCTGGTGATGAGCCACTTACCTTCTTCAGAGTTGGACCTCCATTTTGCGTCTCCCCAGTCCAACAGGGGCAGACCCATCTCTTTGAAAGCATCGATTGGCTCATACAGTTGCCATGGCTTCTGTCTAACAAGAGCAGGAGGCGCAGACCCTTCACCTTCTTTCGACGGTAAGCGTTCTCGCTGGAGAGGGAAGGCAGCTGTCTGTTTCAACCTCTTGATCTCGTCATCCGACAAGGTGTCCTTTACCGATACCAAATACTTCATCAAGTCCAGGCATCCCCAGGTCCCGCCCCCGATTAACCTCGAGAATACCAGCTGCAGATCCACCGTCTTTCTCACTCCAATTGCAAGCAGCATCTTCTCCATATTGCCTTTGATAGCGGTGTTCTTGGGGAGAGATATGATAGGAAGATCTTCGAAGAGTAGATTCTTTTCGAAATAGGCCTCTCGGGGGGGTTTGAACCCCGCTTTGGTGGGTATGCAAGGAACATCCTTGAGCTCCAGGGCAATACCGGATTGGATATTGCTGGGAAGGTTCGTCCAAGCGCGACTTATCAAACCAAGGACGCGCTCTGCAAACTCCGGTGAAATCCTCAAGTCGGTAGCTGGATCACTTCCCTGATGTGCCGACATAGGCGTGTTCAAAAGGAAAGTGACATACTGCAAGAGGTTGAGTTCTGTCCAGCCGAAAACCTTGTGAATTGAGTTGGCTCGGAGGTCTTTAGTGATACCGTATGGGATTGTATGCTGAGGGATGGGCATGTCAGGTGGTATCGTACCAGAGTGGGGGCGGATGAAAGTCTCCACCAAGGACAACGGTAGGACTTTACCATTGTCGAGCATGACGATAGCAGCATCTAACAGACGCGATCGAAGCGAGACGTTGAAATTATCATTCGACGCCAGATCTTGCCACCACTTGAGACATTCCATCAACTCCTTCTCAGTCAGCGGCCGTTTGCCGAGCTGATTGACTACATCATCGTATGTGATGTCAACAAGCAGCTTCTGTGCTTGAAGGCGGCGGATGAAACTGCTGGCTTGTTCGAGCATGGATTGCGTAATGACCGGCAGTTCGGACAGGAATTTGGCAATTGGGTCATTTGGCATCCGCACCTCTTTGACAGGAAAGATGCCGTCCGACGAAAGGATAGGCAAGGTATGATTATTTTGCGCACAATTGTAGAATGCTGCCTCCATCTCTTGCCCGACAGCCGCAGCAGGAGTGGTAGCTTTGAAGGTGAAAAATTTGATAGTATGAAGAGCCCGTGCGGACAGCTTGGCGCGAGAAGGACCATCAGTGTCGGTGGTCTTGGCCCACGCTGTGGCTAGAGCGTGCATCTCGAGCTCATAGATGAGCCGACAAAGGTATCCGCCCACCCAAAGGAGCTGGCGATTCCAATGAGACACATGTCGATCAACAAGGTCGATCGATTCTCGCTCGACAGTGGGGATGAATCGGGCAGCCAAATGACCACCAATGCCGGTGGTTTGACCAGTCGGCTGACCAATAAACACTCGGGCAGAGCTGCTGCTTCCCAGCTTCGGGCAGAGACCGCTGAAAACCCCGGCCTCATCCGCGCTCGGATCTCTCCCATCTTCTACCTTGGTGTCATTATCTTCGTCCCGAGAGTACACGATACTAGCCGTCATCTTGCCTGGTGCAGGTTTCTTTGTCGCTCTCTCAAGCTCGCGCCCGAAAGCAGGTGAAACGCTAACTTTGATGTTGGCTTGGAAAATCTGGATATCGCGCAGAAGAGTAGTAGATTTTGTTGGTTCCTCGGCTGGAGGGGGTGGTGGAGCGGGAGAAGGAGGTGTTGGAGAAGCGGCGGTGTAGCGGCCGAAGAATGAGGTGGAAATCATAGATGCTAGACCTCGTGCAGGTTTAGCTATTTGAGTAAAGGGGTTAGACATAGGCGGCGGGGTGAAGCCAGTATCTGCAAGATGTCAGCTCTGGGTCCAGATCCACGAAAAGATGCACTTACCAGCAAGCCATTTCATGATTTTGACACTGATAGTCATCCCTGTTGAATCGACGTTCTGTACCGTCATCATCCCTCCTGAGCTGGTGGTATTCAGTCCCTTCTTATCTACTCTGTTGGCAGACTTGATGTTCTTTTGAACTTCGAACACTTTGACGCCGTCGACCAGAATGTCAATTTTCTTGACCGTCCTCATGAACGTAATGCTTGTCACGAAGAATCTCGCGAGGTCAAGAGGCCCCTCGAGGAGGGAAGGTTCGCGGAGCGTCATGGTAAAGTTTGTCCACGAGTTGCCTGAGAGAGATGGTTCGGCAGAGGGAGGGGTAGGCAGTTTGCCGGACCGGGCGAGCAACTGGTCTTTGCCGTCTTTCCAATAGAAAGCCATCCATTTATCGCCCGACTCAACGAAGGGGCCATCTGCATGCGGTCAGTAGTAGCTCAGTAGTAGCACTTGCTACTTTATATAGACTTACCACAGACACTGAAGAGAGAATAAAACCCTACTCCGAATCTGCTCCTTGTCAGCAATCCATCGTAGGTCCATCAAAGTACTAAACGTACGCTCCAATCTTTTCCTCATCAGGGTTTCCTTCAGCAATCTTTTTCAATCTTTTCCAATCTTCATCCCGGAAAGGAATGCCATCATTGGACACGACATAACTACTCATCTGGTCAAGATTAATAAACTTCCCGAGGTGCTTAGCAAGGACATACCAAGTCACTCTTCGCATTCGGTAGTCTCGAAGACGTTTCACCATTTTTCAACGCGTCTGATCCCTCTTGAGAGTAGAATTTTACTTGTACGTGTTGAGCCTACATCATCAGCGAGGCTTCTACATAAGACTGTCTTTCATGATGACTTACTCCCGCATCGTCCGAGTTCTGTAGAAGCTCCCTAAAGACTGCGTTTCCTCAGCACAAAAACCAGTACGCCATGGTATGCCTTACTGGTATGTTCACCTGAGTATCTGGCAAGGATCTCTGAGTTCGCGTTCTTGTATCAGCCTCATGTCCGGTTCGCCTTGCTGTCGCCACAAGGGGTACAACGAGTACTCGAGTACCAGCTGGTACGAACTACTCACTGTCGATCAAAGCTCTCTGATTGACCTCGACGTCCTCATCCTGGCCTGTGGACCAGAGCTCCTCCTTTGTAAGCGGGGCCATGAGTTGTGCGAATGAGTTGCTAAAGAGGCAAAGTGAACCTTCTCGCCACCTGTCGGCCAGAGGGCCGTGGCAACGCGTAGACCGAGGGTGGAGGCTCAACCTCAAGGCTGGAGCGGCGGTCGCCGGGCCCTGTTGGACGACCCCGTTGCGATCAAGCTCAAATCAAGCTGCGAGTCCCCAAAGAGCTGCGCCGAGATCCAGTCTCGGATGGAGAATGGTTGAGGGTGACCGCGAGCTGCAAACACGTTGGGTGTAGGTAGCTGCCCTGTAGCTGCCCCGCGCTTTTGTTATAGTATAATTGGAGTCGGATCTGATCACATCATAGTCCTGGCGGTGGGTGTATATGCATTTTCTATTAATATGTGCACTTCTACGCTGTCCATTCGAGATAGCCGTCCTTCCCCGTCTTACAACAACTCGCCACAACACTCCTGACCCTCTGTTCGACTTCCGACCTCCTGCTCCCTTTGATATCCCCTTGAGCGTCCACAAACTGCTCTACCAGCTCTGCCTCGGTGAGGGCGAAAGCTCCAGATCCAGGCGCATACCCTTCTACGGCAGCCTTGACCGCCGCCTCACTCGGAAGTCCAAATTTCCTGAATTGACCCCAAGTTGAGTCGCGCCCGGAATCAAGACTGCTGGCAGAAGCAGGCGAAAATCCAATTTCTTCAATGTTCTTCAGGTGCGGCGAAGAAGAGGAGAAGAATTTGGAGTTGATTTCGGAAGGCGAGAGGGAGGGGTCGGAGATGGAAGAGGGAGTCCAGGCCGTAGGAGTCTTTGACCGCTCAATGAGGACGGCAGTGACGCCAGTGATAAAGTCGTCAGTGGCTCGGTCCTTGCCGCAGAAGGCTGTTGCCATGGAGAAGTCTGCATATTGTCAGCAAGGTTCATATTGGGCGTATGAGCTCAACATACCGTTCAACAGCGTTCGGTCGAGTCGCTTCGAAGACTTGGCTTTTTGATGGTTTTGCAAAGCAACAGCCATGCCTGTAGGACTTCTCGCGTCCATGTGTCCTTTCTGCACCTTAGCCCATTCCTTGACCTCTGCACTCAGGCTAGCATCTCCCTCAGCTTGGTCCAAAGTCTGGTAGATCTCCTGAATACTCTTCTTCTTGAAGGCCTTGTCCAAAAACTTGCGAACCTCGCCTTTGATGGGGGAGGGCCCGTCCGGGGAAGATTTGGATGAGGGGGTTGTGGTGGCGGATGAGGAGGCGGAAAAGGAAGCAATGAGAGCAGAGAGCGATTGTAGAGAAGGAGAAGTGTGTTGTGTAATTTGTGAGATAATCTCGGGAATGTTGTTTTCGGTCACGAAATGGGTCGCAATACCAAGCTCACTTCTGGAATCAGCAAAACCCACAGAATCAAACAGTTACGCACTAAGCAGCTCGGCCGTAGACCTCTTGACCAGTGACGGCGAGCCAAGCACCAATGGAGCCGTCGAGCTGGGAGAGGTAGTAATTGGCGCCCACATCAGGAGAGTAGCCAATCTTGGTCTCGGGCATGGCGAAAATAGTTCGAGGGGTGGCGATTCGGATGGGAGCAGGTAGAGAAAGACCGCCACCGCCGCCCACTAATTATAGTGTTAGTTTCGGAAGATCCCAATGAGTAAAGGACATACTGGTGACACCATCAATGATGGCAATGTAGGGCTTGCCCAAGCGCCCAAGAACCCAGTTCATCTGGAATTCGCCTTTGAAGAACTTGACAGCCGTGTCTTTGCCCGCTTCCAGATCAAGAACAAGCTGCTTGACATCGCCCCCGGCGCAAAACGCCCGTTCATCACCTCGCCCGATGATGACCTTCACAGAGTCGAGTTCTCGCCAGTTCTAAACAAAAGTCAGTTTTGGGAGAGATACTATTGAAATTACTCACCTTGAGTTTACTGGAGAGGAGGGTGATCATCTCTTCATTGAGTGAATTGAGCTTTGCTGATCGATTGAGCTTGTAAACCCTCGTGTCCTGGTGGGACTCGAATTGGACGAGTTCTTCGGCGCTGGCCATCTTTGGGGCGGAGGTAGTGAGGTGACGCTGGACGGCGGCAAGCCTGGTAGCTGGAGATGCGCCCATACGGGATCTGAGAGGGAGTCTTGCGAATGAAGACATGGGGTGGAGTAGAGACGGGAGTAGAAAGTAGTTGTAGCTGATTACGGTTACTCGAATATCCACAGGTGGATGCGGTTTCTGCTGCTTTGCCGAAAATGGCGGCTCGGTGCGGCGATGACCGCTAATGAACCAAGTAGTAGTTGATGACATGATGAGAGCGAGGCAAGTACTATGTATTGGGCTCTGGCCACTATTGACCTTCGGGGTTGGCCTTCCTCGTGGTCTAGAAATTCCTTATTTGCGTGATTACTGCAGAGAAGGCGATCTCTACCAAACTGATCTAGTCTACAGGGGTCGCCTTGGAGGGACTTCGTAATGACATCCGCTTTTTGTCTTCAATATTTTGAACCAAAGTCCTTCCAGTGAGTACCAGTACAGTACTCGTAGTGTATCATAGTTCCTAACATCGGCTTTTTTTTTTCTTTTTTTTTCTCCATACTCTACTCTACAGTATGTCAGATGCCGGAAATGATGCTCAAGAAATGTCAAAAAATAATTTTGAAGGTCTGAACAAGATTAATGCATACTGCAACACACACACACCAGCGAGCAGAGCCATTGCCAGACAAGGAAGAGAGAAGGAATGATATTTTTTATCATAAAGCACAAGTCATACATGTGAACATGACCCCACCACCAGCTAGTATATGTTGGCCTCGTAAAGGTATTCGTCCATTTTTACGCCAAGGTCTTTTGCCAGCGACTTGCTCGTCTCGTAATCAAGCTCACAGCGGAGCATGACATTATCCAGCCTATCTGGAGGCGACCAGCGTTTCAACAGTCCTTGAGCTTCCAATTCGGGTATCTACCGTAAACATAAGCACCATTTCGGCAGATTCGGGAAGGAAAGCCCACCATTCCCCAGAACTTGACCGACATCATGAGCTGCTGTACCTCAACATCCCATCGCTGTTCCTGTTCCTGCTCCCTCTTCCTTGCTTTGGCTGCCTTTTTCTCAGCCCTTTTGCTATCTGTCCGCAGCGTCGGTGGCCATATCTGCGCACTCTCCTCCTCTTCCAACTCTTCAGAGCTTTCGCTGTATTCGGTCTGGAAATCTGGGCGTGTGGCGTGTTCGGCGTAGAGAGAGAAGAAGAGAGCGAGTAGGCGGTCTAAGGGAAAGGCTTTCGGGCCCAAAAGTCTTTGTGCGACCTACTTTAGATTAGCTCTATCACTTTATCGCCAGAGAGACCCACCTTGCCGGATCTCACTTTCCCATACCCAGCCCTTCTCATGCCCCCACCCCTCTTCTTTCTCCCGTTCTCTCCCACACCTCTGCCGAACAGTCTCACATCTGATGTGGCAGGGTTATAGCTGGCGCAATAGCCAGCTACCAGCAAGAACTTTTCCGTCCGAGAAAGTTCCAGCGGAGGGAGTTTCGGAAGAGCGTCCTGTGCGGACGTGGTTGCTGAGCGCCTCGAGAGAGCAGAGGTGAATTCATATGTGCCGATCTGGCGAGGGATGAGTGTTTCAACGGCTGCCGCTAGGGGCAGCTTTATTGATCTTGTGAGGTCTGTCAAGAGCCTCAGACTGACTTCAAGCTTTGGAGGAGGATTTGAAGGATCTGGATACTCCAGACCCAGCACCTCCATCTCAGCATGCGGGGGCAAGTCCGACGTATACAACGGCCACAGTGAAGCCGCGATATGGGCGAGCTCGGCCACAGGAGGTGTTATGAGCGATAGCGTGGTAGCCAGAAGGAGCTCGACAAATTTGGGCCAGAGAGGATGAGAGCAGACGGGCAGGAGTTCGGCCAGTATGTCGGCTCGGGTTGGTGCTTGAAGATAGATGTGAATGGGCTCCGGGGCATCCACGCGGTGCGGGCGAACAAGATCCCACGGAGATGCGGAGGCCAAGATGACAGTAATATTGACGTTGCTCTAGGATGAACATCAGCAATGCTACAGAGAAAAGAGACTGGCACTCACGAGCTCTGCCAGTCTGGTCATGACTGCCCAATTACTTCCCAGTACATTCTTCAGCCTCTCTGCATGAGTTACCAGCAGCACAATATTTTCATTATCCACCTCTTCCTTGTAGGACCACCCTCTGACTTTTTTCCGACTGTTTCCTATTTGATGGCGCTCACACCACCAACTCTTCAATTTCAGACTGAACGCATCCCACGACGATACCTCCTCTACACTGGCGTCTTCGCCTAGAATGCGATGGAGGATACCAGAGTAGAACAGCTTGGTGTTGTAGTGCTCGATAGTGTCGAGGCGAGCGAATAAGCTGTGCTCGCGTGCGCTTTCGAGAGATGGAGGGAGATCGGTAGCAGAATGATGGGGGTGGTGAAGGTAGACGAAAGGTGGGGCGGAGGGGGTAGAAAGCAGAGTCTCAATCGAATCCGCCATTGTAGGATCGTAGACTTGAGATTTGAAAGTAGTAAGCAAAGGGCGGGTTATGGGCCAAATGAGGAGAATTGGCAAAAACAAGAACGACTTCGTGAGTCGTGACGTCCGACGCGTTCTTTCTTTGACACAGACGCGTCGCGCCCGCCGACAGCTCGGTAGAACCTTTCAGCTGGTACTTTCTAGTTGTTGACCCATTGTAGCCATGAATTCAAAGACTGCCAGCAGATGATGACCGGGGTGACATGCGCACTGGATATAGCCATACGATGTACCGGCGAACGCAACAAAGTGTCCGAGGATGGAGATACCATAGAAGCGGTTCTACTCCAGTCTCTACTCTCGCTCTCCTTGCCCCTGCCTGACGCTGAGACAGGGCGAAAGGCAAAAAAGTTGATACTCTCCCGGCTCTCTCTGCGCTCCTACAACTGTCCAATCCTCTTGAAGCGCATATGCCAAACCAGCCAGAATGATCCGTTGCCGGCCTATCTGCCATTTCAAAGAAATGTAGAACTGATTTGATTACCGAGCTTTAAACCCAAAACGCAAAATCATGAGACATTGGTGGGGCTCGAACACACACGCTAGAGGAGACGAGGTTGTATTATGGGAGCGCTGAAGAGAGGAGTTCCGTGATAGTAGAAGAGCATCTTCCCTTAAGCCATAACAGCATAGAAGAATCTGGTTTCTGCATGCTTGTATGGCCTGTGACTATTATTCCACGCGTCACCTGCATGCCAGCAACCTTCGCGTCGTCGCACTGTCGTCGCAATTACTTGACCACTGCATCTACAAGTCCCACTGCATACCGCTCCAATATAGCCCAGCTCCTCGTCGGGAATCGATATATATATATTCGGCACCCATCGCCGCATTCAACCTCCTCGAGAATACGAACCTCCGAGCAAGCAATACAAGACCAACTCAATCCCGATACCGCCATCCGTGACGACTGTGGCCCATCATGCAGTCCCTCAATGCCTTGGGAAACAGACAAATAGCGAGTCTGAATAAGGATCTGGTGAGGATGGAGAGTGGCGAGAGCGGGGCAGCCGTACAAGGTGAGTACGCCCCGGCAGCACAGTGATGAGGCGTGACACTGCCATCCTGTGAGCCTCGTGTGTCTATCGGTCCTCTGACGGACTTTGATATAGGTCAGATAACGACTACATTAAGCGCGCTCTCTCGACTCATTAACGACTATGACTCTATGGCTCAGAAGGAGATGGTGACGGCTGCTAGAGAGAAAGCCAACACGTCAGTTGACCGTGGTTGCCCAGGAGCGAATGTCGCTGACTATATCGTGTAGGCGAGTGGCGAAGCTGAAGAATGAGCACAAGGAACTCAAGTCTCGTTTTGAACGGGCCAAGAACGAGAGCCACGCAAAGGTATGGTTGTCTATTCGCACCTTCTGCTCCTCTGTTAACACATGTCTGCAGGCCCGCTCAGATCTGCTGGGCACTGCTTCTGGCTCTGCTCCGCCGTTTTCTCCCATGGGCGCCCAAATGTCTCAAAGACGTGCTCAACCTCAAACATTTGCCGAGTCCCCGTTCGCTTCTGATCCCCTCTTCCGGCCGAACAATCCTCCGACAGATAGAGAGAACTTTGCCCTGCGAGAACACTCTTTCTTGCAGGAGAGCGAGAATTCGATAGATCAGTACATCTCACAGGGAAGAGCAGTGTTGGAGAACCTCGTAGAGCAGAGAGGGATGCTAAAGGGTACGAGGACAAGACTGCTCAATGCTGCCAACACTTTGGGTATGAGCAGAGAAACGATTGGCTGGGTAGAGAGAAGAACGTGAGCATCATGTTTCCTGATTCCCTATCTCAATCTGACGTTGGACTGTAGGAAGCAAGATGCTTGGATCTTTGGGATAGGTGCCACAATCACGCTGTTCAGCTTCTGGGTGATATGGCACTATCTGGGCTGAGCGGGGTGGGAAGGCGATTAGACACGTTACTTGTATTATAGCGGGCTTTGCATATATACATTCATCGAGGATGCCATGAGCCAACGATGTATCGTATGACTCTGGGGTGCTGTCTTTACCTGCTGCCAGTGTGCTAGAACAACTGAACAATGCGTTCTATTACAGATTGACAGACTACTGCCCTTGGCCATCAGACTGCATGGTGACCTCCTTTGTCTTACCCTAAAAAGAAACTACTTTCAAGGCACTCGCTGACCTGCGCTGCCTGTCAATCATTTGCACTTATCATTCGAGGTCTATACCGGATACCGGCCGATTCTACATATAACCAGCAACTGCGGGGCTCCGTTCAATCTCTGCACCGACAAAAAGAGAAGTCGCGTCCCGTCCCAGTCAGGATGTCACAACCCCTGGACACGGCCAATCCCCCAGGGTCCCCTCTGGACAACGCCCCTCCATCGACTGCGGCCTCACACCGATCCATCCAAAGCGCCTTGTCCAGTCCCGAGAGTCAGACACACAGCGACGAGGACGAGTCAGACACAGAGGACGCGCTGGCAAAGGCCGACGCTCAAAGCGGCACAGATCTGGAGGAATGCCAATCAGAACAAGCTCTGGATGGTGAAGAAACAGACAAAGCGGCTGGAGACGCTCTGGACTCTGCAAGTGACACACAATCACCAATCTCCATCAACAGCGACAATTCGGCTGCTGAACGGACCACGGCCTCGGACGACGATAGACAAGGCCTTGATAGTGCCGATCAGACAGTGGAAGAGAGTCCCTATAGACCAGAGGAAATACCTGAAAACCTGGGGGAGCGATCTCTGGATGTCCGGAAGTCTAGGAGACATTGGACCTTTCGACAAAAGATGATCCGTCTAATATCGCTATGTAGGTTCTTCGAGAGCGAGAGCCATGAGGTGTACCGTAGAAGTTAGCTGACTCGGGTGTATAGATGCTATCCCTGTCGTATTGACTATCCCCCTCGCTTTGTCTGTCCACCTAAATTCTCTCATCCTTACCCCTCTCTACAACTCTCTCCCATTAAGAATACACCAGCTCTCCCTTCACATCCTCTTCGCAATCCCTCCTTCACTTCTCTACTGGGCCATCACCCTCTACCGTTCCCCTAGGGACGTTCTCTCAGGACTAGCATGCTTCAGCTTGGCAGCCATGAGTGAGGATGTCGTATCTGTCTTTGGACGTCGGATAGGGAGCTTGACGGGGAGACTTGCAGGTGCTGAGATGGGAGCTCTCATGGCCCAGATGATCATGGGTGCTGGAAGCGTTGCTGGCTGCCTGGGATTTGCTCTTCTGTGCTTTGTGAGTTTGGGATTGCTTGTTGAGTCTCTATGCTAAACCCGGGAAGGATCACATACTGCCCATATCGGCAGCCAGAACCAAACCCGACAGAGTCAAGAATCTACTCAATGTCTCTCTCAGGTCTGCTCTCTACATGACACATCTTTGGCTTTTCAAAAATGTACTTGGGAGACTATTGGGTAGTCGAATGTCGAGCCTTACATCTAATCCCGAGAAAAGTGTGAGTATCTGGTCCGGGCCGGGATTCAGACGCTTACCCATACCCAGCTGCTGTTCATCTCTCTCCTTTTCACCGTCATCGCCTTGATTGTACGCTCTAGTACTGGAAACACGCCTTTCCCCAAACAGATACAGGATCTCGTCCAGACACTACCAATATCACCAGCAGCTCGCAAAACCCTTACCAAAGCAGCTCGCAAGCTCCCCCGTCGAGCTCTTCCCCTCATCTTTTTCCTCCGTCTCCCTTTCCTTATCCTTGTTTTACGCCAGCAGCTCTTTCTTCGACCATCTGGATCGTTGTCAGAGCCTTACGTGACTGCTCGAGGGGAACTCCGTATACTGAGCTCGGAAATGAGCTTGACTGGACGTATCGTTGTCGCCGACAATCTCAAGGATAATTATCGATTCCTTCGGTGCGACAACTCCATCCTAGGAGGGAGATGGATCCGGGAAAGAAATGGAAAGACAGAGATGGGCGATACGTGAGTTTCCAGACGTGTCGTGCGCCTGTGACTGACTGTTTCTGTCAGTATATTTGCAGTCTTCAATCTCCAAGAGGTTGCTACCCTCGCTCATCGGTCCGATTCGAAAGAATCCCTGATCCACACTCTATCATTGACCACGGACCTACAGGTGGAGGCAGAGGGTGAAGACGAGGCTGTGGATGCTAGACCCATTGACAGAGCTCTGGTCATGTGAGTCGGCTTGTGATATCAATACTTTGCTTTGCTCACATCTATCCAGAGGGCTCGGTGTTGGTATCTCCGCTCAAGGCTTTTTGAGACGCGGTATGGACGTCGACGTCGTCGAGATCGACCCGGAGGTTTACAGAGCGGCAACTACGTACTTTGACCTCTCTGAGAGCCGATTATCTTCGTCAATCATGATGGACGGAGCGACCTTTATCTCTGAGGCAGCAGCCCTTGCACGAGTGAACGTATCCGATCCTGACATTGACGCGGAAACATTGGCAGCTATGGAACTGGTCCCAAGGTGGAACTATGCTGTGCAGGACTGTTTCACAGGAGGAGCAGTCCCCGGAGAGATGTTTACCGTGGAATTCTGGGAAGAGCTGACGGAATTGCTTGTCGAGGACGGCATTGTTGCGATGGTGAGTATATGATCCGAATCTGCTTGAGCTCATGGTGGTAGAACTTTGTTGGGTTGCGAAGGAGCAAAGCTTCGAAAGCTGTACTGGTGACACTGTTGTCCGTCTTTCCTCAGTGCAGAGCTTTTAGTGAGGGCTTTGAAGCAAATCTTGGACCCGATGCTATCGTAAACATGGTACGTATATCTGCCCATGGTCGTGTCAGCATACTGATGGACGTATCAGGTTGTGTTTTGTACAGTATGTACCCGCCGAACTGTCTTTCGAGACGACACTGACCACCTTTGCTACAGAAAACATACTCTCCAATCTTGACATTCCGACCTCCCAAACCGTCCGACGTCCATCGGTCACCCCTCAAGTCCCACGTGTTTTCCACCTTCCTGCTACATGAGATATATCTCGACGAGATCGTCACCGACGATGACTTCTCAGACCCAGAGTTGACCTTGCGGAGAGGAAAGACGGAAAAGCTGGATATATGGCAGACCGAGACGGGACTAGCGACATGGTCGGCGATGCAAAAGAGTGGGTTCTTTCTTTGATTCTTAGATGACAGCTGACGAGTACTGAAGTATTGACCCCCGAGATGTGGCTGGCCTACTGACGCGATATAGATATTGCACTCGCACGACAAGTGTTATTATACAACATATCTATCTACAACATTTTGTAGATATTTCATGATCGGAAACGATGTATAAATGATCCTCTTACGAAGAGATCCGCTGGCTATTCGTCTTTCCAGACGAGTACCGAGCAGATACCCCCGCTTGCCTGGTCCTCTTCGATGATGAGACCTTCAAATCCTACGAGTCCTGCCGTCTAGGTCAGCCAATGATACTGCCCTCCTTGACGGTCAACTTACTACTCTCGCCTACATTGATCACGCCCTCTAGTCCGCCTTCCACAGCCCTATCAAGAGCCATTGCCGGCGGCTTTCCGGCCCTCTTGGGGCTGTGATCTGCGTGCGCCTTGCCTGCTACTCGGCCAGAGTCTCCACTAACACTCTCTTCGTCCTTGACGCCTTCCTCTTCGCTCTGTACGTCATCATACTGGGACCGCTTTGGAGAGAGCTGGGATGTGAATGATCGAAGAGGCGATGTTTGGTCGAGATCACCAGAAGGAGCTGACAATACCCAGGGGCAGTGGGAGTATCTTTGGAAGAGCGGCGTGCCGGGCTACATACAAGTCAGCTGGGTAGTTGCGGACCGGTCGATACGGACAATGTTGGAGTAGCATAGGATCTTGGTGACCACATAATCAGGAGAGATGAGAAAATCCAGCCCATGCTGAAAGTAGTTCCAGAAGCCTTTACTAATCATCAGCCGACCGAGCCATCAGCTGGATAAAATAGACGCACAACCACCTTGTTCGCTCTCGCCACCCCACATCTTTTCCAACCGATCGTCCTCTTTCCAAAACTTTCTCAGTGGTGGTCCCAGATCTAGTAACAGATCCTGTGCGGTGGTCTTCCCGATCCATATTTCCAAGGGGTCTATACCAGAGAAGTGGAGGACGATTCCCTTCTTTGGCTATGGGAGTATCAGCAGCCATGCTAGACAGACGCGACCAATGACTCACCTCAATCACGCACGACACCAACTGCCCAGGAAGGGTTGACTCTACATCTTTAGCAGACACCTCCAGTTTATCCGCCACATCGTCCCTCCCGGACCCACTAGTCGAAGTCGCGCTCATCTCAAACTTGACCCCAGGAAACACCAGATCTTTGCCCTCATTGACTAGCGTAGGTCCCAATATTCTGCCGACCTTGGCACGCGTCAACGGCTGCCCTGGAGAGGCCAGGACTTGCGTCTCATACGTCAATGTCAATGTGGACGCTGATAAGGACGGGAAGGATATGAGAGTCAGCCGCTGAAGGGGTGCAGGAAAGTACAAGGTCAGAGATGGTAGGTGAATGATGATGGCAGACTTGTGAGGGTTCTACAGCGGGCCGTATCAGCGACTAAGCTATTCTGAAGCGCATTACTGACCTCAAAGTCCCAAGAGAGATCAATCTTGGGGTATTCGTTCTTGTGCGTCCTGAGTAGGTCGAGGACATACCACAAGCTATCGCCTATGCATGCTTGAACTGGGCTCCCGTTTGACGCCTGATGACTTACCGAGCTGGAAGATGCCCACCCTGTCCCCTGGCACGATATCGTATTGGGCGATCATGGTGCTGCAGCGTAGAGGAAATGAGTGCAGTCCACTTGATAGATAGCAGCAGCGTGTCGTTGCCGCCGAGTGTTACGTCATCCAGCGCGCCCGACGGCGTTCATCATGGTGTCCAGCGCGTTCTCCCTTCTTTCTTCTTTCTGCTCTTGCCACCCAATATGCCCACGTCGCCCCCAGGAGCGTCTTCTGCAGAAGACAGAGACGACTCTACAGCTATCGCCCGCTCTCTGGCAGCACGCAGACGCCGGTCCCTCGCGTCGTTGCTGCGCGACTTTCGGACCCAACGCCAAGAACAGCAGAAACAGATATCCGGCTCGAGGAGCACAAGAGTGGATGAAGAGTCGGGCGAGGGGAACCTGTCTGAGGAGGAAGGGGAGGAACAGCCTGCAAAATTCGATACCATCGATTTTGAAGCGTTCCAAAGGGCTGTTGGAGACCCAGTCAAGATTGAGGGGCAGGATGGGCACGTCATTGACCCCGAAGCTATCAAAGATGATATGGAGCTGGAATACGTGTGGGACGGTAAGCCTCTGTCTCCAGCGATGATGCCTGAGCTAATCGCTATATAGTGCTATTTGAGAACCAACGAGGGTAAGCCAGCCAGCCTGGAACCTCGCCTGGGGACTGACATCTACATAGCGCCTACCTGTTGGGCACGGCGTACTATTCTTCAAAAGTTCTACTACCATTGGACCCATCTCCCTTTACTCGTGCCTCGGGATCCATCCCTTCAGCCTCCTCCTTCTCTGTCAAAAGCAATCCGAATGGTAATGGTTCCACCCGCGCCATCTCTCAAGAACCCCAAGCGGAGAGTCGCAAAGATAGAGAGCCACCCCCTCAATCCAACAAGACTTCCTACACCCTCGACACCTTTCAGCCTCCTCTTCCAGACTGGGAGTACCTAACCCCTTGGCTTGTCAACATGCGGGAAGGCACAGATGAGCTGGGCTGGCGGTATAATGCGTGGTTCAAAAAGCAAGGGTGGAAGAGTGATGCCGGAAACATGGGTTGGTTGGGATGGGTGAGGAGGAGGGAATGGGTGAGACTGAGGAGGGTCAGGGAGAGAACGAAAGTAGGGCCCGACATGCCAGACTCGGCCCTGCAGGCTGAACGGAGGGAGAAGAAGCTGGGAGAGGTGCTTTCGGGGAGCAAAGCACAGAATGTGTGCAACATCTTGAAGGCATTTGGGAGCCTGACCCTGGACAGGGAGCGTCTGGAGCTATGGCAGAAGTGGCTGGACAGGTCCAAAAAGGACTCCGAGACGTGGGCCAGGATGGAGGCCATTTGCCAGGACGAAGAAGCCGTGAGTCTGTCTCTTTTTTCAGATTTCAAATATTGACTTCATACAGCTGGACTCTCTACGGCGCCAATTCACCTACGCTCACTCGTTCGATGCTTTCCGCGAGATCCTCATCTCGCACGCCCTCATACCCCGCGACCCTTCCCCTACTCCTTCGCCTGCTCACTCAGATACACTCTAAGCTTCTCCAAAGCCCGATACCGATGGGAGATCTTGTTCTTGTCTTCACTCTTCATCTCTGCGTAGGTCTTGCCCTCCCCTTCCTCGGGCTGGAAGACAGGGTCCCAGCCAAAGTTGGTGGGTCCCCGGGCGGGGACAATGTTGCCGTCAGTGCGACCTTCAAAGAGGATGGGCTCGGATCCTGGGCCGGCAGAGTAAGCAAAGGTGCAGAGAGCAGTGGCTTTAGTCGTGGGGAATCCTTGGAGAAGGGTGTTCAGGCCTGTTTTTCTTGTATTTAGCATCCATCATGTCGCATAGCATAGCCAATCATGTAGCATAAGCATCACTTACCTTCGTGGCCAAGGTTTGCCATAAAGTCTTTAATGTATGGGCCCGGCAGGCCGTTGAGGGCTTCGAAACACAGTGCGGTGTCTTCAGTGACACAAGCCGCCCCGAGCTTGTACAGATCAGCTTGTGGTCCCGACAGGAAAGAGGACATACTTGATCGGCGGCGGATTTGACTTTGGCGATGGCAACCTCCTGAGTCGTACCCTGCACTTCTGGGACTACATAGCTGTCAGTAGTGTGAAAGGCGAAGCTGCAGACTCACCGTCAAGAGACTGAGAAGTGCACTTGATACCACTGTCCCCCGTGGCGAGGATGGCCTGTACCTCTCGGAGCTTGTTGGCGTTGCCTGTGACGAACACTGCCGGAGAGTGAGCGGGTTATAAACGAAGGTAAAGTATTTCTTATGGCACACACCGAAAGAAGTCATGGTATTGGGAGTTTGAAGGTGGTGATGAAGATGGAAGAGATGGTTATAATAGGACTCGAGCAATAGACTATTGCAAACGGGTTTTGACGGATAATGAAGGCAACCGAGAATCTCAAAGAAAGTCAGAGATGCCGAATGGATCAATTCGCGACGCGACGCGCTCGCTCATGACAAGTCCAATCCACATGCATTCAGAGAGCCAGCCTCGTCCCCTGCAACAGCTACTCCCTACCCCATCCTGTACATTTCAGAGCTGCATGCATGCATGGCCAGGCGAGGGAGAATACTGCCAGGTTGCCACAAGCGGGAATAGCGGTGATATCCGCCGGTGCCTAGTTGCTGCATGCGGCCCACCAGCGCATCACGCCAACTCGCAATCTCCTGCTTTCTTATCTCGTCAAAACGCTGCATCATGGGTGGGTATTGCGGTAGATACAGAACTCCTGGAGCTGACTCTTGCAGGCATCTTCTCCAACTCTGTTGAGGACGACCTCCTCGTCTCTGCTGCTTTCCCCGAGACAAACGCTTTCGGCAGTAAGTCTCCACATTTACCAACTCTAAGCTTTCGAAGACTGACTGCTTGTATAGATGTCGTGAACGGCGAAAAGAACCCCCTTCTCATCCAGCTTGTCAACGCTGGCTCCAAAAACTACACTCTTCTTGGCGCCACATCCAGCTTCCACGACCCCAACAACCACTGGTCTTTGGTACGTTGTCGATCAGGTTGCTTTGAACACAGCTAACACCCTGTACAGATTAGGAACGGTACTTCTCTCAAGTACAATGTTCCTCTTATTACCGGATCCAACTTTTCCGCTCCCTACCACACCTACTCTGAGTGAGTCGTATCTCAACGGCCTACGATCAATGCTGACGGCAATCACAGGTTCCGTCCCCAGGAGCTTGGTCTTACCGTTTCCGTCAAGGTGTCTGAGGCTGGCTCTAAAGACGTCCAGTGGATTACCGCCCTCAACCGAACAGTCGGTATTGTCGAAGCCCCTGGATCATGGCTCGACTTCCAGCTCATCTTCCTCTACCTCGTCATCGGCGCCGCGCTGGCCCTCGGTGGCTGGTGGGCTTATGACGCCTTCTTGGCGCCCCCTGTCAGCAAGAAGAAGTCTGGTCTTGGACCCAAGAAGGTGCAGGCTGTCGTGCCCGGCAAGGACGCTGCCTACCCCGAGGTCAAGCCTTATGAAGAGGAGTGGATCCCTGAGCATGTGTTGAAGAGCAAGGGCAGCAAGCTGAAGCAGAGGAATGTGGAGGGTACCGTGTCTGGCGGGGACGTGACGAGCGGTGGAGAGACGAGCGGCGGGGAGGTCAAGGGCAAGAAGAGAAAGGGAAAGAAGTAGTGGCTGTAGTGTCTGCATGCATTGCTACGTAATCGGGGTTGTTGGCCCACCGCCCATCCATTATGGCATGGCTCCTGGGCGCTATGGATTTGTTGACATGCTCGACTTTCGGCCGTTTACCTGAGACTGTTCGGAATCGGGTTCGCGCCATCGCACTTGATAGCGCACCGTGGGAGAATTCGCCACCAAAGTTCACGACGACGCGTTCTTCTATAAAATTCAAAATCACTTTTTGGATCTCTAGATCTCTACGCGTACTCTAATTTCCAAACAATACTCGACATGTCTCTCCGAACCGCTCTCCGCCCTGCCCTTAGAGCCTCTGCTCTCTCCACTGCCCGTCGTGCTGCCATCGCTCCGGTCCTCAGGCCCCTTGCCCGTGCCGACGGCTGTGGTGACTGTGGATGTGCCAACCCCCGAGCTTTCAGCTCCACACCCTTCCGTCTTGGAAGCGGCGAGAGTGAGTACTCGACAAATCTAGTTTGTACAATACTGACAACCAGCTTTAGCCGACAGCACCCTTTCATCTGCCCTTGCCGCCGAGCACAAGTACGAGCTCGAAGCCGCCAACGGCGAGGCCGAGGTCCCCGTCTTCATTGAAGCCTTCAAAGCTCAAGGCTGTTGGGAAATCGATGACATTGCTGGCTCTGACGATGTGGTCATTATCAGAAAATTCGGCAACGAGACGTGAGCACTTTTATCGTCACGCTGTTACCCGCCTGACCCTCTCTCAGGATCAAACTCACTTTCCAAGTGTCCGACCTCGATGCCATTGCCTTTGACCCTGAAGTCCCCGTCAACGACCAAGAAGAGCCCGCTCCCGGCCCTGCGTCAATTACCTGCACTCTCCAGGTCACCAAGCACGCTGCTCCCTCCTCTTTAGTCGTCGACCTCGAGACTTGCGACGAAGGGTTCGAGATTACCAACGTTGCCGTCTTTGAAAAGGCGCTGGCCGACGCCAAGGGTGCCGAGGGTGATTGGGAGAGGAGGTCTAGGTACATGGGTCCTCGTACGTTTGAAATATCAGGATTTTGAGTCATTACTGATGGGCAGCAGAGTTTGACCACCTCGACGAGACTGTCCAGGAGGCTTTCGGTGCTTACCTCGCCGAGCGAGGTGTTGACGAGTCCCTCGGTACGTCTTGCACCTAAATGTCACTTCTACGCTGACCTGTTCTGTAGCCGACTTTGTCCTTTCCTACTGCGAGCACAAGGAACAGAAGGTACGCTCATTGTGTTAAATTACTGTCCGACATGCTGACTCGCCGTGTAGGGTTACTTGAACTGGCTCAAAGAAGTCCGTGGCTTTGTTGAGCAGTAGATAGATGGGTCTATATAGATCATCATGATCGCCTTTGATTGATGGGTTTTATGCAGTCTTTCCCTACTCCATTCTCCAACTTGCCTTGTCGCGCCACTAGTCCTTGACCTGTTTCGGCGCCTTGTCGATCGCTGTGTAGACCGATCACCATGACATGACGGAAATCAGCTTTGCCTTCTTGAAACCAGCTTGCAGGGCCATGACGTGGCACCGCGACGTAGCGCCAGTAGTCTTTACCGGGGCCACCGTTTGACTTGATCTGGAGAATCTCAGCGATGATGATGACTGTTGCAAGGGTCAGCGATGAAGGGAAAGAAATGTGGAGTGAACTTACGGACAGCGCCGATGGGGATCGTCCAGCGGGGCTTGTTGAGGATGGCCGGGACGACCTGACTCAATGCGCCGACAATATGAGGGTCATAATTACTTGCGGGAGCATCGCAGCCGAGACGTGCACTTAGGGCTCCTGTAAGTTCGCAAACACCTCATGGACAGGCTAGCAAGACGTACGAGGCTTCCAGCCAAAGGCGAGCTGCCAGTACGTACAGTCAGTTGGCATACAAGAGCTGGGAGGTACCCCAGAAGGCCATGGGGACGAGCACGACAAGGGAGGCGATGAAGGGGTTGGTAATGCTTCAGACGGTGCTGGGAAGGATGGCAGTGGCTGGGGGAAGCTTGGACTCTGAAGAAAAGTCAGCGATGAGTAGCGCAACGATGAAAATAGACATACCCCAGTAGAAGAAGCCGATGGCAAGAGGTCAGCAGACGATGAAGGGCGCGATGAAAGAGGCAGATCCCCATCCATCAATGGGGCCTTGGGTAAGACTGAGGATCAAGCAGATCAAGAATCCCATGATGAGCACCACACCCGGCACATCCATTTTGCGCCACTTTGGCACACCGTCTTTGGAAGGAGCGGCAGGGGTGTGGGGCAGGAAAATGAGAGTGACGGCAGTGGAGGCAAAGCAGAGGATGGCAATGACACGGAAGAACCACTTGTAGGAAGCTTCCATACAGAGACCGGCGATGACGAGACCAAAGACGTTACCGAGACCACCAGGATGTCTGCAGGCCGATGTCTGCCGAGATATCGGCAACTGCGATAGCCACACCTGTGACGGATGTGACATCGATGAAGGAGCAGAGACAGAAGACCGCGAGCAACACGTGCTTGCGGATATTCGTGAGCTGGCTGAGGGGGTGGATGGAGTGGGTGTCTTCTTCCTGAAAAAGGTTCTTGCTGGTGTTTTTCTGATGGTCCGGCCGAAGGCATGGCTGTGAGTTCCATCTGCTGGGGGGTGGCATTGGACATGGTGGGGGGTGGAGCTGCATTGCGAGCATTGGGATATATATTATGTGGGGGATGACTCGCTACTGGCCAATGCCAGGTCAATCTCCTCCACTCTCTCTGGACTGGCGGAGGGTGCCGCAAAGGGAACCCAACACCCCTGCACGTGGCGTCGCCAATGGGATACCGCCGGCTCGAAAGGACGATCCCAGGGTGACGGACAGCGAGGGTATAAAGGAGTGCATTCTCTTTTCCTTCTCTTCTTCTCTTCCTCCTATCCCCCTCGCCACCCACGCCCCTCCCACCATCACCCAACATGGCCGCCCCCGCCCCCACCTACGCCCGCGTCGCATCCATCACCCACTGGAACACCTTCTTCAGCCACGACGATGGCCTCTTCCGCCTCCCCTCCACCCAGGGCGCTACCATCGAGCACCTCGACATCGACCTGCGCTACGTCGGCGACGACGAGCTCGCCAAGAGCGGCCACCGCTTCCTCAAGAGCGACCAGCCCGTCCACATTCCCAAGGTCTGCGTTCTCACCCTCCGCGGGGGCGAGTATGTCCACGACGACGACACCAGAATAGACGCCCTCGCGGAAGTCTTGCTGGCGATCAACCCCGTCGAAGTGAGGTGGTGAGTGCGCACCGCCTCCTCTCGTCATACCAGCTGACCCCTCTTCCCAGGCTCAACGCCATGGTCGACCCCACCGAGCAGCTCAGCTTTGCCACCCACCTCGTCCACCCTGCGATCATTGCTGCGGGCGACAACTGGTCTGCCGCTGGGTCGCTCAGAAAGCTCGTCATCCAAGGTACGTTGAGCGAAAATGTGACCCCCAAACGACACGTTTCACACCGTCCTTTGGCCCTCCCTTGTGCACGCCGTATGCTGACTCGTGGCGCAGGCGGGTTCCCGTGTCCCAACCTGACTGCACCCACCCCCTTCTCCCTCACCCCCGCCGCCACCCCCTGCCCCTCCCCCGGCCCACACCGCACCAGCTTTGGCCTCGACTCGTTTTCCTCCATCAAGGGCCCCGCGCACCTGTCTTCCGGTCTTCCCGCGCTTACCACCACCAAGCCCAAGCGCGTCGACGAAGAGCGGCTCAAGGCCCGTGCAGAGAGGAGGAGGCTCGCAGACTATACCCTCAAGCCAAGGTCAGAGTATGCTTTCGGCACTTGGTCTGTCCAGGAACTCAAATGGCGACTTGATGGTATGTTTGTTTGTCTTCCATAGCCGCAAAGCTAATCACGGATCCAAGGCCGATACACACCCGCGTGTATCGTCTCCATCATTACTCAATTCCTCAAAGCCGTCAACACCACCTTTCCTTCTGCCACCCGACGATTCGACGTCGACCTTCCCGCCGTCGTTGCCTTTACTTCTCTTCCCAGAGATATCATCTCGGAGCTCCAGTCTCTCCCCGAGAAACTCGAACTCGCCGAGGAAGTGCACGAGTGGCTTGCCGATGTCGGTTTCGGCTCTCTTGGCGACGGGCGTCATGCGCGTCTCTGGTCTGTCGGCGAGTCGGCGCAAGAAGAGCGCAACACTGCCAGGCTCAAGGCAGATATCGTTCTCGCACAGACCCAGAATGGCGTGTCCATTGTCTCACTCGACGAGCTTTTGGCCAACAAGTCTGGCTCTGATGGCGGGCTCGACGTACCGTCTGCTTTGACAGACGCAACCGGTACCGACTTTGTCTCTCCTGCCAACTCTATCGCCTCGCTGCTCCCCCCTCAGAGCGAGGGTGCGTCGACTGAAGACGAGAGCGAGGCCGTCACCCCCGAGCTCCAAGGTAGTCCGGTGGTGGAGCCTACCGTCAGCGAAGTCTCCAAGAAGGTGTCCAGCATGGGCATCTCGGATGGTGAGAGATCGTTGGAAAACTCTGCGGTGATTTGAGCGAGTATTATGGACATGTCTACATTTTTCCCTTGTATACCACATCATTGTTATATAGTCCATTCTTTACGCCCATGAACGAGTTGTATTATTTGATCTGCATCCGTATATACGAGAAGACCATGTATATTTGACGATACATTTTCGGTACTATATGCATGACCCGATAATCTACACACTTGCTGATTTATTCTATCTGCCCCTACCCCTGCCACCGCCGCCTCTTAGAGCCTGCTGAGCAGCTCCTCGGGGCATGGGAGGTCCCGCCTGGGGCTGCTCGCTCTGAGGATTCCTCACAGTCTCGTCCACACTCAGAATCAAACACGCCGCATCGACCGCACTTCCCAAAGCATTCGTCTTGACAAGAGCCGGCTCCCACACAAAGCTCTTCATGTTGTCTTGCACACCCTCGCCGTCGACGTCGACACCTGCCCAGACATCGCCCTGCGCGTGACGCATACGGAGCTTGTTGAGAATGTCGGTAGCGTCAAGACCGGCATTGTCACAGATCTGGCGGGGGATGATTTCGAGGGATTTGGCGACGGCACCGACGATCAGCTGAGCCTTGCCCATGATCGTACGGGAGTGGCCTCGGAGATATTTGGAGACTTCCATCTGAAACATTGTTAGCACTTGCCTATAACAGAGTCATTCCGACGCACCTCGCAAGCACCACCACCAGCGACGACACTGTTGTTCTTGATCGCCCTCTTGACAATCATGATGGAGTCGTGCAAACTCCTCTCCACCTCGGCAATAAACTGCTCGGCACCACCTCGGAGGATCAAAGTACAAGTCTTGGCCTCGGGACAATCCTCAAAGAGGTTGAACCTCTCGCCACCAATCTGCTTCTCCTCGAACGCACCACACTGGCCCAGGTGATGAGACTCAATGTCGGAGCATGTGGACTGGATGGAACCGCCGACAGCAGAGACGACTCGCTTCAGATCACCGTCGGCGACTCGACCAGCACAGAAAATGTCACGGTCGGCAAAGTACTGGGTGGCAAGATCACCGATGGGCAATTTTGAGAGGACGACCTTGGCGCCGGTCGCCACGATGGCCTCGAGCTTGCGGTAGATGATGGACCACTCGGCGTCGACAATGGCCTGGTACTCGGAGACCTCGTTGACCCGGATCTCGGCATTGTCCTTCTCAGCCTTGAGCTCGAGCTCGACGTTCAGACAAAGGACCTTGGGGTTCTTGAAGCTCTTGGGCTGTTGCTCGAAACCAGCATAGGCAAAGGTCTTTTTGAAGGCCACACCCTTGATGAGCTTGGAGTCTTGCATACCACCACCGGGAACCTTTTTGATACCGATCAAAGACTCGTTGAGGTCGTTCTGGTCGAGGGAGAGCACGGCGTCGACGACCATGTTGGCGAAGAAGGGGGTCTGGGTTTGGATGAGTTTGGAGGACATGGAGGTGGCGGCGCATTGCATCAAAAGGTCACGGAATTTCCTAGCACCTCGATCAGTTTGACCATCTTGTGAACGTAATAAGACATACTCGGGGTTGGATTTATCTATTGTGACGGCAATTTCTTCAATCTTGTTGAGAGCCAAAGACTTGGCCTCTCGAAGACCCTTGATGATTACATGGGGAGAAACACCTTCCTCGATGAATGGCCTGACCTCTTTCAGGATCTCGGCAGCCCTGAATGTCTTGTCAGATTGAATCTCCTCGTGATGATCAGACTTACAGCAAAGTAACACTCGTCGTTCCGTCACCAACCTCGGCGTCCTGGGCTCGAGCAATGTCGACCAAAGTTCGCGCAGCGGGGTGGACAACATCTAGAAGCCTCAAGATAGTAGCACCATCGTCTGCCGAGAAGAATTAGTGACGGCCGTTTGATATTGCAAAATGACATACTGGAGATGGTAGCCAGACCTCTGTCGTCAACGATGAGCTTGTCCATTCCTCTGGGGCCAAGGGTAGTAGCGATGGTCTGCGCCACGGCAGTACAGGCAGAGATGTTGGACAAAAGCTGTCCGACACCTTGAGACGTGTCTGTGCCCTCTGCAACCATTGTCAGCGGCCGGCCTTGCGCGAGAAAAGGAGCATACCCTTGAGGAGGACGACGGTGGGCTGCTATGGGGGGGTCAGCGGGGGCATAGGGGTGGCATTAGACGTACCATTTGAGGAAGACGGCCCTGCATTTCGTGATTTTTGTTTTAGAGAGGGTAAATTGTCGCCTCGAACTTGAACAGATGGAAGCTTCGACGCGTACTGCCACCATTTGCTCCCGTCATTTGCTCCCGCCGCTCTACTCTCCTCTGACATCGCCAGCCATCTGCCACCATCTACACCACCACCACCATGTCTGATCTCTGCCCCCCATGGGCCTACTTCTTCGGGTAAGTCCTGCCGCTCATGGCCAAGTTCCTAGCTCATCCTGTGCAGCTTCGCAGGCGTCACAAGCGCGGTATGTCCCTTGCATCCCTCTCGACACATCGGCCCTCTGCTGACATTCCACCTAGATGGTCTTTTCGACTGTCGGAGCTGCCTATGGAACGTCCAAGGCCGGTATCGGAATCGCGGGTCTCGGTACCTTCAGGTGGGTTCGAGCGATTATTTGCGATTGGCCAAAGGTCATGGCTGACTGGTCTGTAGGCCTGATCTGATCATGAAGGTGTGTATGGCGTCTTGATAGGTGGCCTAGCTAACCATTCGCGGCTATGACAACAGTCCCTTATCCCTGTTGTTGTGAGTGATTCCGTCTGCATCCTTGGATATTCACTGATTGCATGTAGATGTCTGGTAGTACGTTAGGCCTCTGTGCTATGAAGCCGCCAACTGATAATCTCTCCAGTCATCGCCGTCTACGGACTGGTGGTTTCCGTCCTGATTGCGGGTAACAGTCAGTGTCTTCCTTTGTCAATGCGCGCACGTCCTTGGGCTCACAGCGATACTAGTCTCTCCTTCAGAACCCTACTCTCTCTTTGCCGGCTTCATCCATCTTGCTGCCGGACTGGGTACGTTTCAAAATGAGCTAGTCGTACCATGTGCTCATTATTCATACAGCGTGCGGCTTCACTGGGTTGGCAGCTGGCTATGCAATCGGTATTGTGGGTGATGCGGTATGTAGTCTCTCGCCTCTATGACGCTCAGCTGATCTCTTTCCCAGTGTGTGCGAGCGTATCTGTACGAATCAAAGGTCTTTGTATCCATGGTCCTGATCCTTATTTTCGCCGAAGTCATCGTACGTCCACGTTCCTTCCACCTCGACACCCAGCTGAATTTTGCAGGGTCTGTACGGTCTCATTGTCGCCCTTATCCTCAATACTGCGGTCCCCGGAGAAGCAGTGTGCGGCGCCACATAAGAGGTCCAACCAGACATTTGTAACGACATAATCGACCTGCAAAGGCATGCACACCTTGACCACTTGTCCGCACGACTCGAAAGGAAATTAGAAGGAGAATGACTAGGATGGCCTGCATGCTGGTCTTTCCCTCTATTAAGATAATTGATTATATGTGAGTATCGACATTATACTACTTGATACAATCTTTGGCCCCTCAAACCGACTCGCCACTGCATGCGAAGTCTATAATTTATGATTTAAATACCTTGGAACCAGGAGACCAAACCGTCTTCTTCTCCCCCGTCCTCCCCGTCCTCTCCTCCCTCATCGTCTTCTCTCGTTACATCAACGGTGATAGTAATGACCCGCTTACCCGAGGTGGTGCTGAGGGACATGTTCTTACCACTGCTAGCGCTGGCCGCAGCAGTATTGTTGGATGTGCTCAAAAGGAGCTGTGCACTGTCAGCAACACCCACCGAGTGCAGATCGACAACCTACCTCGGACGCCTTGTTTTCGACTGAATCAATGAACGCAAGCGCAGGACCAGCGACGAGGATCGAGGCGTCTTGATTGAGAATGTTGGAGCTCAAGGGGGTGGAGCTGTTGGTGAGGAACAGGTAGACAGCTCCGTCGAGACCATCTGGGACCTTGCAGTCGCCAACAGCAAGGTTGATGGCCTCGGTAGAGCCACCGACAATCATATTGCAGAACAAGCCCTGCTAGGGTCAATACCGTCCTGTTAACCAAAATCGAGATACTCACGCTTTGATCAACGTCCTTGATACCGTCACCCCCAAAGGTGACAAGATCGCCGGGCGATACGGTGCCATTGTTGGTGACTGTAAGCTGGGGAGTGGCTATTTCATCGATCAGCTCCCGTTTCTATAGTGCACACAGGACTCACGGGTCAAGCCAAGGGCAGCAACAGGGTCACAACCGCCAGAGACAAACGGCCCGGCGATACTGAGAACTTGTTGAGGAGACAGAGCCATGTCGAATGCGTTGGCAACGGAAGAGCCGCCTGTATACGAGAGTGAGCGACATCATCCAACCACGCGCGTATACTCACTGTTGAACAGATTCAAAACGGTATTGTGCCTCGACTCTACAGTCGTGATCTGCGCAGCATTGACCAGCAAGCTCTTGTCCCCGATCAAAGTGGTACCACCGAGGTACGCTGAGATACCAACAAACTCGAGGGTACGAGCAGTAGCCAAAAAGGTGCTGACGTCGGTGAGAGCAGAGTCAAAGTTGAACTGGCATGAGTCAACGTCGGCAGTATCGGCGCTCATGGCTTTGGCCACCGCCTGGAGAGTGCTGAGGTGGGTAGACTCGTCTTTGCCGATCACACTGGCAAGCGTCAGAAGGCAGCGATGAATGCAAGTCAACTGTACTTACGAGAGCTGATCGGAGATACTCTGGCCATCAGCAAACCCGGCGTCGGCGAAAGCCTGGGCATTGAATTTGGCGAGTGCCGTGTTGTAGAAGTTGTTTTCAAGGTTCTCGGCAAGCGCGGCAAACTATCACCGTCAGCTGTCGATCCCACCAACTCTCGAGGCTCACCTTTACAACCGTGAGATCGTTGGAGGTGTCGGCGGTACTGGCTGACGCAGAACCACTATCGGTGGAACTGGCAGTGGCTGACGCGGCGGCACCATCAGTCGAGCTGGCAGTAGCCGAAGCACTGTCTGAAGAGCTTTCCGTCGAACTGGCAGACACCGAGGCTGCAGAATCGGTCGATGAGACAGCAGCCGCAGTGTCCGCACCTGGAGTAGACAGGCCAACGACATCCTGTCGGATCCTGAGAGGCGTGGCGAGTAGGGTGGGGAGAAGAGGAAAAAGGACGAGTATGCTGGAATACATTGTGAATTGAGCGAGCCGTGTTGTAGTTTCGGTAGGTCGGGTAGAAGAAGCAGTCGAAAGAAGAATTAGGTAACAATAGGCGATTATGAGGCGACTACCAGTAGTCTCTCGTGATAATATATAGATGGATAAAGAAAGGGTAACGTCGCACAGCGAACGAGAAGAAGGTCGGCCCGGAGAGGATTGAGGTTGAGGAGCAGAAAAGCGACAGAGACGGAGGGCGGGGCGGGCGATCTCATCTTTTCACCGGGAGCCCTTTAATACCACGAGCAATGGTGGGTGAGCTCGGCAAACAAGGTAGACATTGTCGCCAGCTTCAATAGTCATCTCTTGGTGATATTTGCAGACGCCGTCCTCGTGAACGACGCGTACCTTGACGACTTTGAGAGGTTACCACAATTATACATCCGAGCGGAGGTTTTGTGGAACTTGGTTTCTTGGATGCTGGATGCCCTGTTTGGTTCCTTGTTGAGAACTCGATACTCTGCAGCAGAGACGCCACCTCTTGGCATTCCATCGATCGGTCGAGCCCTCTTCTTCTTCTCTAGATAAACAGGTCGTGAAGCTTTATTTGCGTAGTGAGGCTACGGTGTGAACCTTGGCCAGCGATTGCGGCCACGTCTGATGTCGACATGTCGTGGAGAGGCCGAAGGTGATTGGAAAGCACTGAGGACGGTGCAAAGAGAGCTCTGCACACTCGGGCCGCCGTTGTTGTGCAGCCATACTACATCCCTGTCTCTCTGATCAAGAGCTGCTATGGTCGGGGGTAGCAGTAATAATACATGCATGATATATTACAAGCTATAGATGATTCTTACATGGCTCCTTGAACGGGAAACCCTCCTTGAGCCAGCGTCGTGACTCTTTCGTCCCCGGCCGACTGGACAGCGTGTACGACTCGGTCCAATAGCGCCCGGCAGGCTGCCTCGTCGGCAACCTCACTTGTGGTCGATGAGGCCGCCTTACGCACATAAACATCGATACCTGCCGCAGAAAAGAGTGTCTTTGAAAAGACTGTGTATGTCTTAGTCTCATTCCGTCTCAAGACATGGGAGAAAGCTCACATGTCACAGCCCATTCCAGCCCCGAGGCTTCATCCGACCCATGCCCAAGGACTTCCCAGTGCGAGTGGACAAAGAAGAGCCAGCCAGATCCTTTCCAATCAAAGGTCGCCGCATTGGGCCTGAGGGTCGACTTGGTCAGACCGATTCTGCACATTGTCTCAGCAACCGGTCACTTACCCAGACGATGTCAAGGTGTCGACGCCCTTCACTGTGGCAACGGTGATCAGCCGAAAGCTCTTCGAACCAGACTCCACTCACCCGTGTTCACCTTCTCACTGTTGAGTTTGCTATACTCTAGGAGATCTTGAAACTTGATCGCCCCAGTATCGTCAGGCAAAGGCGTGTAGGTGAGCGTGACATCTTTGGGCATTCCATGTCAGCGGCGAGTTCGGTACTATTCCCAATAATGTACCCTTCTTGTCCTACAAATGATAGTCAGATCCTTAGCTAGTTCATACGAATATGCAAGCTCTGATTGAGACTCACTTTCCACATCGGTAATGTGCTCCAAGCAATGCCCCATTTGCCCATGAACCAAGATCGGTCGAAGCCTTCCGGGCCTCCTTCTGTCAGGGTAGGGTGAGTTGAACCTGGTGGGTGAATGGCGATATCTGAGGCCATTATGGGAATTGCGAAAATTAGAGCAAAGCGACGGTTTTGGACTTGAAGCAGTGGTTCGTTGGCGTCGCCGTCGGTGATATAGCAGCAAAGGCACCTCTCGATCGCGAATGAAGTCGCGCCTCATGCCTTGCTGGAGATCATGTCATGCTTCATATGTGCTTTATCTCAATGACTGCACATCTCGGTCCATGTGAGAGAGAGTCAAAGAAGAATAGACCTGTAGTATCCGGGGTGAGCTGATGCAGAACAAAAATACAAAAAGAAATGGAGGAGCTAAGAATTGAACTCAGTACCTCGTCAAATTCACCCATTAAAGAATGCTAATGACGCGCTCTGCCAAATGAGCTACACCCCCTTACATATTTAGGGGGCCGGCGGGTAGTTTTGAGATACCATTGCTTCCATGTCGCCCCGTCCTACACCAGACCGGCAACATCTTTGAACGTCCAAGTATACCCGTTGAGGAAAGATGCAAATTGACCCCACAAGAGGACACAGCGGCAGGGCGGAATACAGAGCAGTGGATGACGTATAGAAGCAGTCGTTTGTGTCAGGGCCGGAGATAAATTGCAAGGGCTCGTCATAGACAGGAATTGGTCCCGCGGAGATGTAATGGGGCTAGCGGTGATTAGGAACAGATTAGTAATGTGATTAGGGATTAGGAGCTCAGGACGAGATTGTGGCCGTTCTGGACTTGTCGATCTCTGCAGCGAGCACCGAAAGCTCATCGCAACGTCCACCCCCAGTCCAGCAGCCAGCCGCCCAGCCGCCACTAGCCCCGCCGCCCACAGCCCATGTCAGCACACACACGACTCTGAGACCGCCACCCATCAGACCACAGCGGGCAAGGAGGCGTTCATCCCATCGGCGGCTCAGAGCACCTTCTATTCAGTCCACACCCACTCCGAGCGCAACTGCAGCAGCCATTCGCCATCCCGCGCATCCAACGGCCATCCCGCGCAGGCCATGAGCCAGCCACCATCTCCTCGCTCTACCCAGAGCCGCGTCCCTCCATCCTCAGCCGCCTTTCTCCAGCAGCTCCACAGCGACCCCTCCTCAAACCACATAACCCTCTCCAATCACCGCGTTACCGCCCCACACTCTGTAGTGGCCCCCCTCGAGCCTACGGTCAGCGACACTCCTCATGGCTTCGCGCCCCAACGTGCGCATACCAGCCCAGTATCGCCCATGGCGGGGCCATCCGTCTTCAGCAGTCTGGGCAGGAAGCCATCAAAGAGGGGCAGGCCGAAAACTGCTCCTTCCAGGCCCGAAGACGGTGCTGCTCAAACAGGGTATGAAAGTCCAGAACTTCCAGAATCGATACCTCCCCAGCCAGAGCCTGTCGGAACGCCTGCTGCCGTTGCAGACACATGCTTGAACATGCTTGCTGCAGAAGAGGGCCTCGCCCCTGCAATGGACGCATTGGCGCTGTCCAATGAACCCAAAACATGTATACTGGGGAGGGCGGGTTCCCTGACGGGCACACCAGAGTCGCAAACAGGTCACAGTCGCCCTACAGTACCGACCAGCATGAACTGGGCCATGTTCTCTCAGGCCTATTCGCATGGCCTGTTCGACCCGAACAGGGTGCCAAACCCCCCGTCGGCCTCCACGACTCCCAATACCGCCGATCTTCATTCCACGCGGTCATCACCAGGCCAAAAATACGCTATGCCACCCAGCGTACCCCGCCGACTTGTAGAGCCCAGCAGCAGCTCTGACGACTATAGCTCAAAGAGTTCCAAAGGCTCCAAGGGATCGACTACGACCTCTGTGAGCTCGGCGCCGTCGACTTCTTCCGCGGGTGTTTCTTCGAACGGCCGTCCAATGTCTATGGCTGCTTCACTGGCGGCGCGGAAAAAGGCGTTTGAACTGGAACATCTCCCTCTACGCCCCGAGGCGCCCGTCATTGGCACCGACAAATTGGCATTTCCCTCGTACTCTCTCGCCGCTGCTACCGTCAGGATGGCATCTACGAGCTTTCTTGACGACTTTTCTCCGCTGGCGATACCCAGCCCTGAGCGAGAGCTGGTTGATCCGATGGCCAGTGTGACATCGGGTGATACAAACAGCATGCGACAAGACAGCGCCAGCTCTGACCCTGGGTCTTCACGCTTTCCTCTGCATCATAGCATGTCCAGTGCCGCGAACCCGTACACTAGCGGTTTGCGGCTGCCGACGATTCAGGCGAGTCCCGTCAACACCCCTCTCGAAGGGCCACACCGCCCAAGACTAAAAGAGAGGTCGCCACCCAGGGTTCGGCACGGCTTGGTCGACAAGAGCAAGCTTCCCGTCGCCTCTGCGCCTTTAGAAAAAACGGTCGTCACGGAAAATGCCACAGACTATTTCGGAGCTGCTGCTACCGCTACGTCGCCCCCCGAGACAAACTCTACATCGTCTACAGTCACCGACAATACCCCTAAACCACCACTCAACTCGACAGCCACGTCCACCCAACAAGTCCCATCCCTGACGCCCTCTTCTCAAAAAGTGCCGATACCCGCGGTGCCCGTCCCATCAGATATGGCCACTATCTACGAGCAGTACGGATGGTTACCAGCCCCGGTGCCGCCAGATGAAATTGCGAGAAGAAGGGCATTGTATAGGTTCAACATTTTGAATACTGCGGCCGATATCAACTTTAATCGGATAGCACACATGGCGAAACTGGTGTTCAACCCGAAAATCGTGCTGTTGACCCTGATCGACAGTGACCAGCAGTGGTACAAAACGGGCAGTGGTGTTGGTATGGGGTCAGATAGGGGGCCGAGAGTGTCGAGTATTTGTAGTCACGCGATCCTTCCCAGGTATGTCCTTCTATCCATCGTATCGGCCACCAGACTCATTTCTTTTCTCAGATCGGACGAGCCATTTGTGGTCTTGGATACCAGCCAAGATTGGCGATTCGCAAACAACCCTAATGTTGTAGGCCCCCCGCATGTCCGCTTCTACGCTGGTGCCCCTCTTCGAACATCGGACGGATACAACATCGGGAGTCTTTGCATCATCGATGACAAACCACGAACAGAGTTTACGCCACGTTCACGTCTGATATTGAAAGAGTTTGCAGCTGTTGCTATGCGGGAGATGGAGCTGTGGCGAGATAAGGTGAGTTTTCTCCTAGTCTTATTTGGCCTCTTGCTGACATCATCACAGCTACAATTGCGTGTACGCGACAAGATCCAAACCTCTATGGAAAAGTTCACTCGCGAATGTCTGGAAATGGATACTGCATCAGCCAGCTCCAACGCCGACGCCGCAGCCAAGATGGATCAAGTCTACTCTCGAGCTGCCCAATTGGTTTGCTCGACCATCGGCCTCGACGGTTGCTTTATTCTTGATACCGGCCAGATTGAGACGATCATAACAGAAACGCCCGAAGGCAAAAAAGTCACCTACCGCGCCAACCCGTATAGCGCCGAACATACGTCCCCAGTGCTCGAGAGACGCGAGTCATATGGTCCGGTAAACCCCTTCCCTGTGCTCGCTGCTGTACCCCCTGTACCTCCTACACGGGCTCTCTCTCTCTACGAACACGAGAAGCTTTCAGAGTTTCTGGAAAACCACAGAGACGGGCGTATATTTGAAGGCACAGCGCCTCTCTGGATCAGGTACATGTTCCCCTCCAAATTTCGCTTCGGCATGGCAGTTCCCATTTTCGGAGTGGACCAGCATCCTTTTGCCATGATTTGTGCCTATACCGCCAACCCAGAGAAGCAGTTCCTGGAAGGGTACGAGCTACAATTCCTTCGAGCCATTGGTGTCATCATCCTCTCTGCGGTTCTACGTCGACGTATGCTGATGGCAGACAAGACAAAGAGTATCCTTATCTCTTCTGTCAGTCACGAGCTGCGAACGCCACTGCACGGGATCCTTGCTTCCGCCGAGCTCCTCAGTGATACCCCACTCGATTCTAATCAGCTGTCATTCCTCAAAACGGTCCAGACTTGTGGTAATTCTCTTATCGAGACCGTCAACCACGTCCTTGACTTTACCAAGTTGAGTGGTGGCCATAGCCATAAGACCACCGCAACAGATCTTGACACGGTCAATCTGGCGTCCTTGGTCGAGCAGACCGTTGAAGGATGTTGGATTGGCCAAAGAGCCAGATCGTTTTTGGGCGATAACGACATCGGGAGTTTCTACGCTCCCCCGTCTTCAGCGGGCTACGTGCCCAAGTCTCAGCGGGCTGCCACTGAGGAGTCGCTGTCGTATGTGGAAACAGTCATTGATATCGATCTGAGACAAAAGGTATGTGGTACTATTTGCCGTCAAGGATAAGAGCTCACCTTTGCGCTTGCAGGGATGGAATGTTCGCTGTGAAAAGGGTGGTCTCCGTCGAGTGCTCATGAACCTGGTTGGCAATTCATTCAAATTTACCAAGGTAAGAATACTTTCCTCAACAGAGATGGTATATTGATATCGCTATAGGACGGCTATGTTCAAATTTCCCTTCGCGAGATGCCCCACCCGCCCAATGCCAGCAAAGTCCCTATCGAGATGACTGTCATTGACACCGGCAAAGGTATTGGCAAGGATTTCCTCAAGGATCAGCTTTTCCATCCATTCTCTCAAGAGAATCCTCTTCAAACTGGTACTGGTCTGGGTCTAGCTATTGTCAATTCCATCGTTCGATCGGAAAGTGTCAATGGTAAAGTCGACGTTTGGTCAGCCGAGGGAGTCGGAACAGAGATCAAGGTCACCTTCGAAGCCGAAGTCATCGACGAGGACGACGGAGACGTTGCCGTGTCGTCAAGCTCGTCTGTTGCGTCGAATAACACGACGATATCCACATTCGGTCGCGGCATCTCTACTGCTTTCGTCTCTTTCCTTCCAGGGCACCAAGGCCACATGCTTTTGTGCGAGGTTCTCATTCGCTACGTCAACTATTGGCAATTTGAAGTGAAGGACGCTTCCTCAGCCGATATCATCATCATCAACGACGACGATGAAGACCTCGAGAGTTTCAGCAAATCGCAGAAGCCTCTGATCTGCTTGGCAGTTGGAAGAAAGTTTGGTACCAGCAGAGTCGTCGAATCCATCAATAGGAGCGGTGGCTTCTGTCGTGTGGTTTTCAAACCTGTCGGTCCTACGGCTCTCCAGAAAGCACTCCTTGAGGCTTCAGAGTGGATAGAAGAACGGGACCAGAGCGGGGAGCGCGATCCTGTTGGAGATCATCTTCATCTCAGCATTGGAAGAGAGAACGTTGTGAACAGGCCTTCATTTTCACGTGGATCCTCCGGTGCCAGTCAGGATTCTGCGTCCACGATCAGCGGGATCTCCTCCATGATATCTATGCCGAGGCCTCACATCCCGCAAAGCAATTCCAGATTGCCTCTACAGCGCCGTAGGTCCGAAGAGAATGAGCATGCGCCCAGAAGGCCTAGCATGGCGCCTCGCGGGATGACCTTCCACAGCTCTCGTCGCATCGTCACGCCGGGTCTAGGCGATACTCCTTTGTCGTCACCAACGTTGAGTCAAGACTCTCCTACCTCGACACTGTCGACCATCTCGCTAGCAGACGGGGGACTCATGTTGAAGGCAGCAGCTGTCTCGTCTGGGACGCCAAGAAAGGAGAGGAAGGGTAGAGTGATGGTTGTGGAAGACAACGCCATTAACCGAAGAGTATTGGCCGCGTTTCTGAGGAAGAAGGTGAGTCGTGTGCCAAACAACGTACAACCTGCTGATCGCTCTCAATGTCAGGGATTCGAGTACGCAGAGGCGGTAGATGGTCAAGAAGGTGTCGATCTCTTTGAGGCTTCGCCACCAAATACCTGGGAGTGAGTTGCGCTCTGTATCCGTGTGTTTTGGTTATTGACAGAGTGTCCTACAGCGTCATTCTCATGGACATAACCATGCCAAATTTAAATGGCCATCAGGCTACTCGCGCCATCCGCCGTATCGAAGCTCTTCGTCGGAACAATCTATCGGACATTCCCATGGTCCCGCCGCCTGGCCGGCCGGTGACCATACCACCACAGAAAATTGTGCAGGCGAGAACCAAGATCTTTGCTTTGACCGGACTTGCCACGCCAGATGACAAGAGGGAGGCGTTCGGGAGTGGAGTTGACGGATAGTGAGTCTCATCTCAAGACCCGGTATCATCGGTCAGCTGACAAGTGGAAAGTCTCGTAAAACCTGTATCATTAGCTAGTTTGGACATCATCCTGAGGAGTGAGTCTGTGTCTGATCCTGCGACTGCTCAGCTGACCGTTGCATAGAAATCGGGTTCTGAGCTTCAGTCATCATTTGTGCCGCCATCTGCTTATACCACATTTCAACGCATACCCATTTCATTTCTAGTACTTTCCATCTCTTCTTCTGGATTTTAACAACAATTTTGTACTCGGTAGAGTACTGTACGATGGAGCAGTCGGAGCCATTCTATTTACTCTCATCACTGGTTGATGGTTTCTTCTTTGCATGGGCGCTTCATTCTCTGGGAAACACATAGAGATATAACAGTTGAGACATATACCAAAAAGTGTAATGCAAAGAGCTGTTTTGTTTAGTCATTATACATGCGTTTATAGACAATGCCTAGGGTTACACCTGGCCCCTGCTTGCTCCTCGTTATACTAGCAACATTCAGCTCAAGCTCTCCAGCCTACGTGCACTGCATCCGTGCGGAAGCTACAGCAAGAGTCAGCCCAGCCGTATGTCTGCTACGAGAGGCGTACCGTTGCGTCACCCCTGTCTTTTCCAATGGCATGCTGATACCCATCCTATGCGCTAGTAAACCCGCTTGGGCGATCATGATTCCGTTATCGATACAAAAGCTGTTGCCGATGTCAGCGGATGGTACTGAGAGATTACAAAATGACAGACCTTTCATCGGTGGCGAAGACTCGTCCGTTTCGTTCACTGGCCATGATGCCCATCATCTCTTGCAGTCGCATGTTACCTATGAGCTCCGTCAGCCTGTGTTAGTAGTAGAGCAAGATACATACAGCCAACACCTCCAACAATCAAAACATCTTTGGCCCCCACATGAGCCATCGCCCTCTCCGTAATCTCTACCAACATCGCAAAAGTCGTTTCCTGTAGAGAGAAACACAGATCATAGGGCGTGATGATGTCCTCATTTGAGGGAGTATCTGGGCTGTCTCTCACAGGAACCTGGTCCCAAGTGCGGTAACGCTTATCCTTGGTGTAAGCCTCGACAGATTGCAGGATACCGGCGAGGGAGATGTCCATCCCCTTGGTGCCATATGGCAAGGGAGCTAATCTATGACCCCTAGGTAGACTATCAGCAGATGCTCCCTCGTGATCATACCCCAACGCACTTCTTTGCCTCCTTCTCGATGTTGTACCCAGGACTAGGGTCATTTCTCAAGCCAATCACTCTCGCAAATCGGTCCAGGCAGTTGCCGATGGCGATATCTAGGGTTTCTCCGAAAATCCGGTATCTCTGCTGAGAGTATGCAATCACTTGCGTATTGCCCCCAGAGACATACAGGACGATAGGGTTATGTGACGATGTGATTTGTCGACCCATCTCGATGTGGCCCACGCAGTGATTGACGCCCACTAGAGGAATGTTGTGCAGAAGAGAGAGGGTTCTCGCCGTCAAGGCGCCCACCTGAAGGGGAGTGCCCATGCCCGGGCCCTTTGTGAAGGCTATGCAATCCAAATCGCTCATCCTGACCCCTGCTTTGCGAACTGCCTCTTCCACCACCTTGACTACCCATTCTCGGTGATGCCGGGCAGTGTCAGAGGGCAGAAAGCCCTCGCCCGGTGGTGTGATGTAGGTATGTCTGACGTTGGAGAGGACAGTGACAGTTGTGGCACCAGTGTCGGCGGGGGAGGGCTGGTGGGATATGATACCGCAACCAAGCTTGTTCGCTGAGCCTTCGATGCCGAGACAGAGGAGGCGGCGGGCTGATGGGGAGGTGAGCTGGGCGGCGGCAGGCTGGAGTGGGACGTACTGGGCTTTGGGAGGGGGGATATCTTCTTCTTTGGTGTCTTTGTGAGGGCCATGGGGGATGACGAGAAAAGCAAGAGATGAATAGATTTGAGCATCATTGTTGACTTTTTGAGACAGTGCTTCCCCAGGCACGCACCGAAATCATCCATCCGACCGATGTGCGCCCATCTCCTCTTTCTTTCTCCACCACAGCCATGTTCTGGGACCCTGCATTCAACAATGCCTCAGCCATAGTCGGCGCACCCCCAGACCAGCTCAAGGTGCGCACACAACACCACAGTCCCCCCAGAACTGACCCTAGCAGCTCATCTTCTCGCTCCTGGTGTCATACCCCCTCGGATCGCTCTACATCCGCCTGCCGTCGTCCAGGCCATATGTGGCGCACCTGTTCTCTATCGTGCTATCCACAGTATTCCTGGTCCCACTACTGGGACTTGGAGGGGGCATGCTCCATCTGCTGTTCAGCTCGTTGGGTACATATGCCATTGTAAAGTACATGAAGGGGACCAACATGCCTTGGGTGGCTTTCTGGTACGTGAGCATTGCCGCACAGCCTTGTACGACTACTTATTATCTCCCAGCTTTGTCATGGGACATTTGCTCTTCAAGTGTGACAGCCATGCTCTACCTGCGGCACCAGCTGACGTCCATGCAGTCACCTCAAGCGCTCTTACCTCGGTCTATCTTCAAGTAGCATCGAGATCTCTGGATCCCAAATGGTGCTTGTCATGAAATTGTCTACGTTTGCATGGAACGTGCACGACGGGAGGAGCAAGGACGAGGTGAGCCCGGAAATGCATGCTACAAGTGCATTGCTGACCGCACCACAGGATCTGGATACGAGTCAGAGAGAGACCAAACTCACAGATCTGCCCGGGCTGATACCCTTCCTGGGATACTGGTGAGCACTATTACAGCGTGTTCTGATCGAGGGTCTGATCGTCCCAGCTTCTTCTTCCCTTCCATTCTTGTCGGCCCCTCATTTGATTACGCCACATACGACGCTCTTGTGCACCATCGACTGTACAAGATAGCACCTCCAGGGACTTCTCCGGAACAAGCTGCGGCTGTCAAGACACGTATCCCCTATGGCCGCAAACGAGTCGCATATCTTCATCTCGTCATTGGTCTTTCCTTCCTCGGCCTCTATGCCACTTATGGCGGCAAATTCAGCTATGAGCAAATCCTGCGCAAAGAGTTCTTGGGGTACAAGGTACTACAGAAGTTCGGCTTTGTTCAGCTCTGCGGATTGTTTGCCAGGACCAAATACTATGCCGTCTGGAGTTTGTCCGAGGGGGCTTGTGTCCTGACAGGACTCGGGTTCAACGGGTATGATCCAAAGACGGGCAGGACGTTGTGGAACCGGGTCAGGAATATCAACATCAAGGGCATCGAGACGGCAGAGAGCTGGAAAGTCTTGTTTGACAGCTGGAACTGCCGGACTAATGTGAGTATTGTGAGAAACTGTCAAACGTTTCAGCTAATCCATCTCAGGTCTGGTTGAGAGATTCTGTTTATAAGAGGCTCACCAAGAAGGGGCAAAAAGGTGGCACCAAGGAGAGTATGGCGACTTTTTTGACTTCTGCCTTCTGGGTAAGTCGCATTTGATCGAACGATAGACTTGTCGCTAAACAAAAGTGCAGCACGGAATTGACCCTGGCTACTATTGTGAGTGACGAATCCCACGACAAGGCTGACCGGAGTAGTGGCATTCTTCATGGGTGGTGTCTTTCAATCACTAGGTCGCCAGTCGCGACGCTTTATCCGTCCATACTTTATGCCTGTCGAGGGTTCCACTATCGCCCCTGCCAAGAGATTATACGACGTCGCCGGCTGGTTGTTTGTACAAGCCAACCTCAACTATCTCGTCGCTCCTTTCCTGCTTCTCGATTTCAAGGATTCGGTCGGCGCCTGGGGCCGAATGTACTGGTACGGCCACATAGCCGCTTTCAGTACACTCGCCTTCATGTCTCTTGGTGGCAGGCGCGCACTCAAGAATGGTCTTCGATCACGAAAACCTGCCGTCCCGCCCCCTTCGCTCAGAGTGTCGCCTCCCTCACCTCCCCTTCTTGCACCCGAAATCCCGCCACCTGCGCCCGAGGACGAAAAAGACAGTCGAGATCTTCGATGGGTCAAGCACGCGCTCGATAACCCCGAGTATCAGGATGACGGCGAAGGTGTGGGGATGGGAGTGGCCATTCCCGACCATGGGTTTATTGATAGATGGATAGAAGGAGCAGAGACTCCTGCGACTGGGATGAGTCGGGTTAGTACGCCAAAGAACGAGGCTGGTGATCCCCTAGTCGAAAGGAAGTGAGATTGCGTTGGAATCAATTGTGGGAAGAATGCATCAATGACAAGAATGAGATACTAAGGTCGCTCATATCAACTTCAAGAAGGCTGACAACCTATAGTCTGCCTGAGCATTCGCTGGAAACTATCAGCTGAATCCTAGCTCTCCAGGACGACCAACAGTGAAGTATGCACTATATACGCATTTGCATACACGACTATCTCCACAATGCTCCAAGCATGCAATGCAAGATTTCCCGAAAACTCCCGAAATTCAAATACTGCCTTGTTTTGACTACCAACAATCCATGTACTATACAAAGTAACTCAGTTCTCTCGTTCCCACAAACACGTCTATTCCCGCCGGGCAATCTTGGCATAACTCGCCGCCTGATTCTGCCTGCTGGGCGGCGGGCCAATACTGACCCCTGCGCTGATCGACACCGCCGCCAGCTTGGCTTCTATAACTTCCTCCGGCGACAGTCCTCCACCACTTGCCATTGACCTAGATGATGTGGGCGTTCTAGGGTTCGCATTCACCGACGGTGGACGAGATCCACCGGAAATGAGGGAGCCCGAAGGCGCCGAAGGGTCATACAGCGTCGGTGCAGCTTTGGCAGGTACCCGCCGAGGGAAATCGGGGTCTTCTTCCTTTGCCGCTGGGGGAGCGTGATGATGGAGAGGGGGTTGAGATTGTGCCCGGGGGGCAGAGAGGATGGCGACATGACTGGGCACATGGGGAGCCATTTGAGGGCTTCCTATTCCACCAGCAGTCGCCCCCGCTCCCCAGACTGTTGGCGTAGTCATAGGCCTCATTTTAGCTCTCTCCACCTGCATGGGTTCAGCGGCAGTACCGCTCCTTAGCAAGGGAGGAAACTCTGCGGCGCTGGGTCCTTGCCCGGACACCAATCCCATGCCACCGTGCATCCCTGGAGCAGCCACTGACACACCCAAGTTGGGAGGCGTTACCATGGGCGATGGGTGATATGGCACGTTGTTGGCCGCCCAGTCGGGTCGCTGTGGGAGCTGGTGTTGACTAGGAGGTGGGACATTGATCGACGATGTTCGACGAGAGGAATGCGAAGAGGAAGCCGTCGTTGTGGAAGACTGGACACAGATGAGTTGTGATTACTAAGCATATGAAGACTAGACTTACAGGACTGTGCCCTCTTCCCCTCTTTCCTTCGTTCAGTCCGAGACTGGTCATTCCGTTCAATCCTCCCTGCTGCTTCATCCCTTTCTGCCTGTATCCACCTCCCATACCTCCTCCAGGTGCTTGTCCGGCAGGATACATTGCTCCCAGTCTCACACTACTCGCCGCACTCCGATTACTCGTATTTGACCCCCTCGAATGGGGCCGTGAGCTTTCGGGATATGACTGTGATTGGTAAGACCGAGACGAGATGGACGACGAAGCGCTACTGTGGGGATGCGGATGCGGACGCTGTGGGGTAGGTTGCACTAGGTGCGAATAAGGACTCTGACCTTGTGGCGGCATGGCTGCTGGCCTTTGCTGCTGATTTGAATAGGTCTGTGAAGGTTGTTGAGGCGGCTGACTGTAGCCATAGGTAGGACCAGCATACGGTATACCTTGCTGTATGGCCGGCATGGGTTGGTTGACTGTAGGCTGATACCACTGACCACCTTGACTCTGTACCATCCCATATTGCTGCTGCTGCTGCTGCTGATCATTCACAGTCTGAGGATACCCTGCAGATGGTTGCCATCCGGGCACCATATAAGGTTGCTGTGGCGCTGGGTACTGGCCATCCGAGTATCCGCCATACCCATAAGCCGTCTGTGTACCCTGATGGTAGCCTGCCCCAGCCGAGTGCCCGTTTGTATCCATTTGCGAAAATTGAGCGTAGTCCATGTTCGCTGGTTGATAACCGTACATTGGGTCCACCCTTGGCTGCTGCTGGCCATACTGGTCCAACATATTTGGTGCAGGCGAGGGAGTATGATTGCCGGAAGAGGGGTGGTAGAGAGATGCGTAGATTACCTCGTAAGGCGCACTGGAAGGGCCATATCGGCGTCTAGGGACAGGATCGATATCATCCTCCAAGGCGGCCGCAGCTCGATTGGCTGAGACCTCTGGCTCGTCGGCTTGGGGTGCAGATGATTCCTCTGTCTCACCAGCTTTGCCATATATCTTCTCTCTCGCAACCGCATAGGCGGCCTCGCGTTCCTCCAATGTCTTGAGCTTGTTTGACGCCGCCGTGTCGGATAGGGACGAGGAGGATGAGCCCTCAGCAGAGGCGTTCTGGGTGGAAGCGGGTGTGCGCTGCATGATGCGGAACTTTTGGGCTGGGGAGGGAGCTGCTGGGACAAGATCTGATAGTCTCAGTGATGTGCTGTTCGCGGTTGTCAGCATGGCACGACACGCAGGAGACCTATCCTCACCTCTTGTCATTGAAAGTGCCCAGAACGCCTATGATCATGGAACCATCTGGCCCCGGTACTGCCTTGATCCCGTACCACTCTGCCGACTTGTACACGAGCATCCGTTGGAACTTGCTGCTAGGGGTGACGGTCAAGGGCGCCGAAAGACCCAGTGCGGCCAAGGTGCTGGTCGTCGCTGCCAACCCTCCGGATGCCGATGATGCTGTAAGCGCCCCGTTCGCTACTCGCGCGATGAATGCCTCGAGCTCTTTTGCGAGCACAAGGACAAACATCCTATCCTTGGACTGAAGCGCGTTTTTGAGTTGCTCCTCGCCATGGAGGAGGCCTAAGCCTATCTCGGCCGGGTGAGTGACGCTGGCGGCGAAGGATGGGGGAACGGGCTGGGAGGAGGAAGCGGTGGTAGAGGTGAGGGATATGGTGGTGGGATTCGGGGAGGGGGGGTCTGGGGATAGAGAGTGGGATTGGGGGTCTGCAGAGTCGGGGGCGGGGGCGGGGTCGATGCGCCTGGTGGGGGTGAGCGGGATCTGCGGGGGTGCGGCGTACCTGAGGACGGAGGGATGGGGCTTGGGGGTGGCCTGGGTGGGGGAGTGGCCGTGGTGCATCGCGGGGGGAGAACAGGAGAACAACGAGAACAAGGAGAACAACGAGAAACAAAGAAACGAACAAGAAACGAACGAAGATGATCAAACCGCGACGGCGCGACCCAGTCCGGACACGGACATATTCATACCAGTACAGGATAATATGATGCTATCTATCGATCTCATCCCTTCACTGCCGCCCTCCGCCGTGTCACCCGGGGACTCGGCACCCCTCTATCCAGAGCTGCACTCGCAGCCACCTGTGCGCGGGTCTTGCGCACCTTGACTGTATTCACCGGCACATTCTCCTTTTCTCCTTCTCCCTTCCCACGCGTCCGGGTCGCCTTGCTCTTCTGCACACCCTCAACCGCAGTCTTCTTCTCAGGTGACGTCCCAAACACATCCTCATCAGCGGATGTATACGGGGGAGGCGCCGCTTTGTCGTCCTGGAACAGCTTCTTGCGGTTTGGCGTCCCCAAAACATCTGCCAGGTCGTCGATCCCACCCTTGCTTTTCTTGTTGGGGCTAGCCTGCGACTTGGGGCGACGCTTTGAAGGTGAAAGAGGTGTAGGAGGAGCAGACTTTGCTTCGACAGCATCTTCTACTTCTGTAGCCTGACTCGCCTGTGAACTCGGGAGTGCTTCAGAACTCGGGAGTGCTTCAGAGGACTGTGAGCCAAAGATGTCCGACACTGCACTGCACGAGTCTTGGGACGATGTAGGGAAGGAAGACTGTGTAGGTGAGGAAGGGGGGGTGGGAAGTCTGTTGATGTCTCGATTTGACAGTTCTAAAGCAGTGTTAGCTTCTACTGAGAGCAAGTCTGCGCGACCAACTGACCTTTCTTGCCCTTTGGCTGGGGCTTCTTGGCCGAAAAGTTTTCTTTATCAAGAAGAGTCTGGGACAACCAGTCTCCGGGCTTGATGCTCCTCCATTCCTCTTCCACTCTTTCGACCCACATATCCGTCTCTCCTTCTATATGCACATCGATGATGCCTTCCCACTCTTTACTCGGCGCAGTCGCATTGACGAAAACGACCAGTCCGGGCTTTTTACCCCCATGGACGGCCTTGGCGAATTCTTTCACCAAGCGCTTCAATCCGTGTACTTTGAGCGAGGTGCCCATGATGAGCAGAACGTCCGGGGAGCGCGCGGCGTCATAGGCAGCCAGTGAGCCAATGTCATCGCCCAGAGGGTGGGGCTCGTCATATAGCACGATGGAAGGGCGAAGGGTGCCAACGGCAGTTGCTCTTGCCGACCGATTGATCCTTGATTCGCCTGCCAGTCACCAATCAGCGCGCTTTCCCACACTGCAGTATCCATCAACCTACATCTTTCCGAACAGGATGGACACTCGGGAGCCTCCCCTTCTCTAAACATCTCCATATACTCGGAGGTAGCTTCATAGTCGCTGAAACACAGCACACATCTCACCCGTCCAAGATCGCCGTGCAGCTCCACATTCTTCGTGCCCAGCTTTTTCAGCCCCCTTCCTCTTCCGCCGCTCTCCAAGCCCATCCTCCGTTCCAGACCATCCACATTCTGGGTGTAGGACCTCAGCAGCTTCTTCTTATCGTGTAGAGTCTCGATGAAGCGGTGGGTACGCGTCGGTTTGGCCTGATTGCACGAGCGGGAGAGCTCCGCGATAAAGGTGTAAAAGATGGCTGTTGTGAGGGGATTCGCAAACGTCCCAGCAGAGAAGAGGTCTTTTCCGGTAAAGAATGCGTCAGGATACTTTTCCTTGACCAGGCTGTAGAGACCGCCTTCCGATCGAAAGTCCTGTGAGAGATGATACCATGAGCGTGCGATCCCGAGACAGATTTTGGGATATGGATGCTTACCGGGATACCACTGGAGCAGCTGATACCAGCGCCACTGACGACGATGACCTTCTTGGACTTGGCTATCGCAGTAGAGACGTCGGAAAGCTGTCGCCTGGCGGAGAAATCGGCAGGGCCGGTGGACGCCAGCAGGTGCGCGAGAGGGAGCGACGAGGGCATGTTTGTGTTGTGTGCACTGGTAGGTGCGAGTTTGGCGAGGTGGCAGAGGGGGAGGGGTGTGGCGGAGAGGTAGGGCACCAAGAGGAGGCAGCAAGGGCAAAGGTGACTGGAAGACAGGCGAGGATGGATGGAATGAAGGAAAGACGAGGATTGTTGTTGTTGACGTGAAGCGCAACTCCCTCGAAGGCCAGGCGCGTTCCTTGAATCTCTCTAAAATCATTTCAACTTCATTTTCAGCGATTCTCGTTTTGTTTCTGAGTACTGAGGATGCGTTTCTGGATACCCCACGGAGCTCATGGATGCCTTCTTGTATGCACAGGAAGAAGCTCATGCATCTTGGCTCTCAGATTAGCCGTCTATGAAACAAACATCAAAGGGGGTGTAGCTCATTTGGCAGAGCGCGTCATTAGCATTCTTCGACGAGTGGATTTGACGAGGTACTGAGTTCAATTCTTAGCTTCTCCATTTCTTTTTGTATTTTTGTATGTTGCTACTGACTGCATCCCTACAAGTATGTGGATAGCTCTTGCATACTCTCCCGAACGTAGAGTCAGCCATTTGTTTTCCTATAACTCGTTGTGTCGCATTACCAGGCATGCCGTTAGGGTGATATTCGCAAAAGCTCCTCGCCTAACGTCCACAGCATGAAGTTGTGTCCCCTCGCCTTCGTGCATACACTTATTACTATACATGTACACTCTAAGCGCCGACATACCATCTTACAGAACCCTCAAATAGGGGTCAATCACCTCGACAACTCGTCCCCAAAGTTGCCTTTCAGGATAGCCCACAGCGCCTCCTTTTCACCTTCATTGAACTCTTTGAACTTGATGATCTCCCTTGTGGGACCAAGACCATCATCAGACGCCAAACTATTCATGGAAGTCTGACGTTGACGCGTGGGGGTGGACGTTTTGCTGGTGGGCGATGGTGGGAGGGTTTGAGCGTCGGGGTACAACGTGGTTTGAGAGGCAGTGTATGCAGCACGTTGAGCGGTCATTGAGAGGAACGTTTGGTGGGAGTGGTGGTACAGTCTTGAGGTACATGTCAGCATGATGCGTGTGCTTATACGTATGTGAGCGGAGACTGAGAATACATACGACCAGACGTGTTTGTTGACAGCGTCGTCCTCATGGACCTGTTCCAGAGCTTTCGTCTTGAAGCTAGCTTTCAGGTTATGCAAGAGCTGAGGAACATGATCGAGTCGCGGTCTTGAGAGGAATTTGAGTACGTTTGATATAGTCATGGTCGTGCAAACTCACTTCCACTGCCGTAAATGCCCCGATGGATACCATATTCTGCTTTTGGGATCAACCATAGCTGTTGTAGATCAGTACGGCCATTCACAAGACACGGGTCAAGCTTACGATGGAAAACATCATTGGTGAATCGTATTATCGGACGGTCCGAAGGATAGTTGAGAGGGAACACAATTGAGAAGCGCAGCACTGCTCCAGAGTATGGACCTGCATTTGTCTATCAGCACTGGTACACGCCGCACGGGCATGAGGACGATCTGGACAAACCTTTGTGGACAAAGAAGACGCCGTGCCATTTGAGGATGGTCTCTTCTGAGGGGCTCAAATACATGCCTCTGGGGCAGTTCCGAGGGGCGCCCAAGGAGGCACTGAGAGGCTGGAATCAGCGTGGGACGGGATGAGATGGACCGTGCTCACTATTCCTGAGCGAGTTCTGCTGGCAGGAGAGGGGGGATGTCTGGATGGCGGGGAGGCTCCTGATTCCTGGGTGTGAAGAGTGCTCTGGGGGAGGAGAACATGGCTGTTGGGCTGTTGCTGACTCAGACACTGAGAGGAGACGAAGTGGAGGTGACCGATCACCGAATGACTCGGCGCTCGCAACGAGATTATATAATAATACATATACATATATAATGCACCACAATGCTCTTAGTTCGCCCATCTCAGCATCACCAACGCCATGGCAGCTCGGCTCGGATACGTAGGCCTCGGCAACATGGGCGTCCCCATCGCCCGCAACCTCGCAAGATACGCAGCGTCCTCGGGCCTCCCGCCTCTCTCTTTCTGGAATCGTTCCCAGGCCAAGTATGATCTAGTCAGGCAAGACGCCCCCGACGCCTTCTACGCCACAGACGTCCAAGATGTAGTCAAGAGATCCGATATAGTGTTCACCAGTCTCCTCAATGACCAAGCAGCCGAGGACATCTACGGCAAGATGTTCAAGGCGACTGAGGGCAGGAACGTGATCTTTGTGGACCAGTCGAGCGTAAAGGCTCTCACCACAGGTAGGTCATATCCATCTCCAAGATGCTTTCTGACATTCTGGACAGGAAAGCTCTCGGCGGAAGCGCAGACCATTGGCGCTACGTACATTGCCTCTCCCATCTTTGGCCGTCCCCCAGCTGCCGAAGCTGCAAAGCTCGTCATCGTCCTCTCTGGTCCAGCCCAAGTCAAGGACAAGATAAGGCAATACTTGGTGCCTGCTGTAGGCGATAGGGTTGTTGATGTCGGCGAAGACGTCAAGCTTGGTGAGATGACTATTCTAAGCACCGGGACGTATGTTGACGAGTATTCCAAGCGAGTGCTCTCAAGAGCATCGGCAACTCGGTCATCCTGGGCTGGGTCGAGCTCATGGCAGAATCATACGCCCTCGGCGATGCTGTCGGTCTCGATCCCTCCGTCTTTAATGATCTCCTCCGTAAGCATCGTTTGATCTGTCAATGAGTTTAAATTGACCCATCATGCAGACAAACTGATTCCTGCGCCACCTCTCCTGGCGTATGCCGACTCTGTGGCCAAGGGTCATTTCCCAGCAGGCGGTTTCTCTGTAGACGCTGGACTCAAGGGCAAGTCTTCAGATTCTGCATACCTGTAATGCAGCTAATTCCTCTCCCTAGATGCCCGCAACATGCTTTCTCTTGGTGCCGACCTTGGTCACCCCTGTCCTCTCCCCACGATTCAGCGTGCACACGACAATCTCGAGCGCGCACAAGAGCTTGGAGGGCCGAACCAAGACTGGGCATCGCTTTCGGCTGCTGTAAGGGAGCAGGCTGGTTTCACGCCTTATCGGGAGGATAAAGGACAATGAACCCTACTTGTCACTCATTATCTTCGCTCCATGGGGTGCTTGCAATGAAGATGGAAGACTTGTGCTCGTTATATGATATTCAATCTATGCATCATCACAGGCGTTCCGTACTCTACAGACTACTCGATCACAGTTCAAGACCGTAGTTTATTCGTCATCACCTCCCAGCGCGTCTCAACGTGTCGTTAGATCGTGGCCTCTATCTTGGGTATCTTGTCTTGTTTTCCCTCTAGGCACCGTTTGAACCGGTGCTGATGCCCCCAGGGATAAGCAGCCTCGACATAGGCTGGGCATACGCAAGAGAACGCTTGACGTAAAAGAGCATATACGCCCTCTGCTGAAGCACCATACTCAGCGTCGTTGGAGTCACTGCGCTTGTTAGCTTGGGTCACGTCATAGAAAAATACACACACCTTTATCATCATCACAATGCCACCACTCATCTCCATCCCTCACATCCGCCCAATAATGTCCATTGTCCAGCTTTCCTTCGTGGGTCACCACGGCGAAAAGGTCGTACAAGTAGAGAGAGTCTGGGAGTCCGTCATCGGAAGAGTGGTCGACGTATGAGCGCATGTCCAGGGTGGAGGGGAAGCGGACGTGAGACTCGATCTTGGCGGTGGAGGATGTGGAGTGGGCGAATCGCTGCAAAAATGGTAAACAGCCGCTCCATGGGGGCCTAAAGAAGTAAGGGGGCATACCTTGAACTGGAAAGCCAGCACAGGAGCAAGCTTCTTTACGCCCAGTCGCCTCATTGCGAATACTCCTCTCCCTCCCCCACAGCTCCCACAATCGTATCCCTTCCCGCCAGTCTCACCAGCATCGCCGATCCTCTCTGGGGCACAGTACTTTCTCAGCATTCCCGCCAGCGTCAATTGATTTTCCTTTCCATTCGCCGAAGGACCGAAAGCGGCAGCATCGGAAGAAGAAGAGAGGGAGGACGAAGATGGGGAAGGGGAAAGAGTAGGCGGGAAGTCGAGCTGGATGTCGAGGATGGGGTCGACGGTGGTAGATGTTTTGGAACACTTGGAACATGTCACTGAGGATTGCAAGGATCCAGCGAATGTTTGGTCTGAGAATGGAGTCAGTGATATTGATGCCAGGTGACTGGCGTCTGGCTTACGGGCGATGCAGTTGCAGCTGGAGAGTTGACCCTTTGCGTGTGCATGCATCTGGTCGAGGGCGGCGAGGAAGAACGAGTGGGCGTCTGTAGCATATTAGCTTCCACTCTTCATCACAAAATCCTCCTCACCTTGCTGACCGTGCCCCTCGAGCTCTGTACTAGCATGCCACATGGAGTACAGCATGGTAATAGGTCCAAATGGCGATTTGTCCTCCTTGTAAAACTACAAACGTATCAGTGGGCTGGTTCTAGTTGCCAAGACATGCGCTCACCTCTTCAAAAGCCTTGTCCATTTCACAACACATACACCCCTTCTCTCTGTCCCCACCAACTTGACCAGGCCCATTCTCCACCCCCAAGAACGGTTTGCCGGTCAGCAGACCTCGACTGCCGTTGCCGCAGACATGTCGGTTATGCTTGTCAGACAAAAAGTATGCTTTCAAGAGTGGGTTGTGGATGAGAGCCTGTAGGACCGCAGAGAGGAAGCAAGTTTGGGATAGATTCAGGAGAGGACGGAGACCTGCCAAACCCTGTCAGCGCCATCACGACATTCGGCAACAGACATACCTCTACAGCTCGTCTTGGAGATTCCCTTCTCATCTACCCCCACCATGTTGCTCGAATTCCACGGCTTCCAGGGCCCTCTGCTCCGTCCCTTCCCGCCCGATATTCCGGGCTCGCTTGACCTATCGTGCCCCTCCTCGACGCGAACACGGGCCGTGAGGAACAGCGAGTCAAAGCTGTCCGGGTAGATGGTGTCGTTACAAGCAAAGCAAAAGATGGAACCTGTAGGAGGATCCACCGCTGACAGCAACATGTCAGCCAGGGTACAAGAGGCGAACGGGGAGGTTCTTACCAAAGCAGCAACGTCCACTGCTACCTTTGAGATGCGATTTCATGCAGTCTTTTGCTTTGCCATGGCGGCCAGTCATCTGAAGACAGCCGACATAGCTGCAAGTCAAGCACGCCCAGGGTCTCGTCATAGATGACCGACACGACCCGCATTCCGGCGCTGCGGTCTTTGCCCCATAGTCAGCCTCTGGTTCCGAATTAACGCATAGCAACACATACTTTCCGCCGCTTGGCGCCTTGGGCCACAGCACCCCAGTTGACAGCTCTGACGAATTTGCCCTCCACTTCGCTCCTGCGATTTCCAGAAGAGGGACCAGGGACGGCGCCGTTTGTGTCGAGGGAGTTGGGGCCAGCAGGGGATTTGAGGAGGGCAGACAGGTGGTCGCATATGGAGCTGTCGGGGCGGGAGAAGAGGGGGGCGGGGGTGGACATGGTGGTCTTAGTAGCCATGGGAGTGCCGGTGGTGGGCGAAGAAATGTGTAGATGGATTAGTGGAGGAGATCATTCGCGCTGGAAAGTGTATCCGACCGACATTACCGACCGTGCCTCGCTAGCATTGCAAACGTGTTGTGCGTTGGTTGATCTCTTTCCGGCGTATGCATCTGGTATGCAGTCCGATACTCGAGTGTTGTGACCGCGTACGGTGCATAGTAACTGGTGACTTAGATGACAGCACCGTAAATGTGAAGGGATCGAATGCACGGTACTTCAGCGCGTACCCCGCCCAAAACCCTCATCGCGAAGTGACCAATGACGGTCGAAAAGATGCGCCAAACCAGCTGCGGCCGTTGGCCATAATTGATAGTTTTGTACCCAGCCATGAAACATGTAGATATGCATACAGACGACAGTGTCGTGAAATATTATAACACCATAGGTAGCCCGCGTGATCGACCCAATCTCCATGCCCGCATCGCAAGCCCTAAACCCACTCCCTACCACCAAATCTGTTGCTGACCGACAGCGCAGGATTCACCTCCCTCACATCCTTTACCTCCCACCCACTCGGATCTATCCAGCTTGGGAACTGAGGCCTGCCAATGGAGGCTTGGACGACGTTGGCCCAGGTGGAATGTTGGGCGAAGGGGTTGTCGGGGCGGACAGGAAGAGCAAAGAGAGAGTTGGATGTATTGGCTCGAATCTAAATTTCAAGGGTCAGTAGACGTATCACTCGGATCGTAATACGAACTTGTTCTAGCGTTGTGATGTTGAGCAGCAGCAACTGTGCATGATGTGAGCGATGATCATCCTTATCACGATTGAAGCTTACCCTGATATGATACTGCAAGAGGAATATCACTGGGAACAGGGTGAGAACGCCTAGTAAGAAACTGACGGCAGCGCCCGGCGAGTCCTTCAGGGCCTGCCCAAAAGACACATTGTCGTGATGACATATCAGGGAGAAATGGACAGCCGAGAACACGACGATATAGATATCAGATATTGTCTGCACTCTGTCAGATTGATCTATAGCATACACGACACGACTCACTGCTGTGACAAGGAGCACAATGAAGGAAAAGTAGTTGCGTTTTCCGACACATGTATGCAGGTATGAACAATGGTGATCGATCCCGTCCACACAGTTTCCACACTAGATATCCATCAGCCTTGTTTTTTGTAAATCAAAGATGCCTACCAATCTACAGTGACTGCACCGAGGAGCTCTATAAGATTCACAAGTCTCGCAGTACTTTACAGTCACCCTTGAATAGATCAGCGAACGTCGATATGAGGACAGACACCCTACCTTCCCTCTTTAACAGTAAGATCCCGAGGATAAGCTTCCCACCACTGTTCAATGAATGTTTTGGGAGGATCAGGATCCAGCTTCCTGGGTATTATTCCTAAGAGCAGTCAGTATTTAGTGTCGGCCGACTGGGATACTCACCAGGGTCTCTCAACGCTGTCACAGCAAACGAGCTCGTCACTAGACAGAACAGATATCTGCAAGGTGTCAGTACGGAGCAATACTCTCTGTGAAATCGTGCTTACACAAATATGATTGTGATAGCCACACCACCGCCTTTCGCCAATCCATATTCACTTCCATAACTCCACATCCACGCTCCAGTAGTGCCAATCCAGACACCCGATATGGCAAACAGTATCAGAAGCGCCGCCCCCATCGAGTACCACACATCGCCCCCGACCAGCACTCGCCCACCACACAAAAAGGTCGTCAAGGGGTTATCGATTGTCTCATACTTTCGCCGCCGCTCTTCCAATCGAACAGGGGAATTTCGGTTCCGTATCCGTTCAAACGTAGCGCGACTCCCTCGCGATTGCCGCCTCGCAGGCCGCACCATATTCGACGCCTTCTCCTGATCGAGGCGATGTACGAGATTATCAGACGAAAGCTCCGGTGCTTGGGCCCGTGAAGGAGAAGAGACTGTGGTGATGCTATGTCTGAGTGATCTGTCCCACATGTCTTGAAAATTGAATGCCGTACCCATAGGTGGCCCGGGGATATGCGGTATCTCGACTGTAGGCGCATCGGGGGGTAGAGACTCGCCGGGCAGAGAGATGGGTGGGACCTCTGGTGATAGCATGGTGGAGAATGTAGGTGACATGGTCTCCTGGCGGGATAGGAAGTTGGAAGCAACAGAGGGCTCGTACCGCTGCCCATTCTGGGTCGTAGTATCGCTCAGCACATCGGACGCATTGGACGTGTCCTTGTAGTGACTTTTACTTGTAGCAGGCGCAGTCGTCCTGCCGTCCTTTCCTCTTTCCAACCTCTGCGCCGCTGCCGACTTCTTGGGCGACAGGAAGCCTTTCGGAGTAGGGAGCGGCGCAGTTGGACGCGGAGGGGAGATGGGCGATAGCGGGTTGCCAGAGGGCATGGCTGCGCGGGAGGTGGTCGCAGAGATGTGAGAGTCGGACCGTGCACGGACAGTGCCAGTCGCCCGCGAGGTGGTGGAGGGGGGTCGGTAGAGGGAGCCATTGGAGTTGTATGACGGTTTGTGTGCATACTGGTGCGCATCAGTACGTTTGGCTGCTCAGTGTGCAGCGATGGACCTACAAAGCTCTTTGTAGTTTCCAAGCTGTCTCGTCGCTGGTGTCCGTGCGGGGCATGCTGGTCCGCCTCGTCCAGGTGGCCGAGGACGGTGACGCTCGCCTGGCGCATGGGGAGGGAGATGCCTCCGGTGGGGGGGTCGCCCGGGGCAGACATGGGATGCTGGACTGCCAGGTGGACGAGTACATGCAAGTTGTCAACATGAGCGTGCCTCGGCGGTCGCCACCTGCTTCCGAGTGCTCCATGTCGCAGATCAATTAGCGGTTAGCCCCGCCCTCCCTGACATTTCTAATCCCCACAAGCAGCCCATTATTAGCCAATAGCCCCCGCTGTAATCCCAGAATACTCCCGCTAATCCCATTTGCCCCCGGGCGCGCAGTCCGGCGCTAAACCTGCGACAGTCACCTCTCCTTAAGTCCTTATAAATACTGCAAACCTCTCTGCAACCCGCAATCACCCCTCCAAGCCATGTCCATCATATCATAACCACCAGCAATGCAAGACACCATCCTTGCTGGACCCTCCGTCCCCCGCAGGAGAGACGAGCCCGTCGAGCCCAGGCAGAGCGGCCTTCTTGTCAATCGTAATCGAGACGAGAGAAAGCCCAAGATCGCTCCAGCGTCGTAAGTCCAGTCTAGTTGTTTGGCTGTAATGTCTTGCTGACGCTTTTGTAGCCCTTCCCCCGCGAGGCCTCGGACCAGGCCTTCATCTTCACGGACTCTCCGCAGCGACGAGTATTCCCGGGGATCCACCGGCCCACTAGCGCCTCGTGTGCTATTTGATCCGTCAAAACCCATTCCACCTACGATGCCCGCTGAGCGGGTCAGGACGTCCGAAAGGGAAAGGTCCCTTCACCATGCTTCATCGTCCCTGCCAAGGGAACGTACACGTTCCGGGCTGGAAGAGAGCAGCGACAAGGACAGAGACAGGGAGAGATCCCGCCGCCGGACAGATTCTCGCAGAGCAGAGTCGTCTAGCAAGACACTCTTTGACCCGGCATTACACAATCCTCAAACTTTTACTGCCCGCCCCGCCCATTCGAATCTGCTAGAACCAGAAATCCCAAAGCCCGTCTCTAGGCGCCTGCAGCCGGGCTCAAGTCAAAGAGCATCAGAAATGGATGCAGATAGGGAGAGGGAGAGACGGCGGCGGAAAGAAGGGAGCGAGAGAGGAAGCGCCATGTCGGGCAAGAAGAAGGAGAGCGACTCAAAGAGTAAGGGGTCACGAAGCAGCGAAGGGAGTGAGAGTTTCAAGGATAGAGAAAGAGGAAAGGGTAGAGGGTGAGTTCTCTGAACACTGTTCAGTTCAGTGCTAACTGGTCGAAAGTGATACTGGTGTCAAGACCATGCTCAAAAAGATTCATGATGATATCAAGGACCTCGAGCAAGAACTCAACGATCTTCATCGAAGGCTGTCTCAAGACCCGGAGGCTGCCATTTCTAGCCTATCGGACAAGAAGATGGATGCTTTCTCAAGAGCTCCTCAGTCCACAGAGGATGATATTGCCGTATGGGTTCAGCTCATAGCCAAGCACAAGCAGTGAGTGTCATTCCGAGCATGTCCCTTGATACTAACGCCTTGTCCAGATTAGCAGAGCTACATGATTACTTTCTCACCACCCTCTACGACCCCCTCGTGCCCTCATCATACCACCAACTTTCCGTCAGATACAACATCCCGTCTCGTCTATGGCAAACCGCATTCTACTATCTCCTCGAGCAACTCCGTCACGCCTGGCTCTCCAACCACCCCACCGCCCTCGACCTCCTTACGGACGTAGTCTATGACGCCTATCGATTCTATTCAGAGCTGCTGGAGAATCAGACGCTTGTAGCGCTGAGAGGCGCTTGGATCGAAGCTCTAGGCGACTTGGCGAGGTATCGTATGACGATTGCTTCCCATGTAGCTGAAGCCGAAGCGCTTCGCACAGCGCGATCCAAGGGCAAAGCTCGGCAAATAGAGCAAGAAGAGCCACTCGAAGGCGAGCCGATTTCTTCGGGCGCTAGTATCGGCGCAGAGGTCGCTCAGAGCTGGGATGTGGAGGACAAAGAGACTTGGAGAATGACAGCGAGAGACTGGTATACAATGGGGCTGACTGAGAAGCCAGGAGAGGGAAGACTGCATCATCACCTGGCGCTGCTGTGTAGAGATGTCAAGGGACAGGAAGGCAGGGCGTTGCACCATTTTGTGAAAAGGTAAGTCTTTGACTCGTGCGGGCAAGACTCATTCTGACTTTGAACAGCATGATTGTGACCCACGCATACACTCAAACCCGCGAGAATATCCTTCCACTGTTTGACTCTGCTCTCCAATCCCAACGCCCCTTGCCAGAAGCAACGGCCATCGATCTCTACTTACATCTTCACGGCATGATATTCACCCGCATCTCCCTCGACTTGTTCGACGACGTCATGTCTCGTTTCATGGAGCGACTCGACGAAGACGCAAGTCTTGACGGAGTCAGCCGCAAAGCTACCATCACACAGGTCGACTGGATGATCATGGGAGTCGTCAACATTGCGTGTGTGCTCCAGTACGGAGCTAGCTCGGGGCTGATCCGGAAAGCCTTGGCGCAGGAAGGAGCAGAGCGACGAAAGGCACAGGTGTCTACGGTCGATGAAGAGGAGGAAGAAGGCGACGAGCTCGCAGGCAATGCTGACGTTACGCCGCCTGCGTCAGACGATGACTCTCCGCCATCGACACTCACCAACGCCCTCTCCCTCTCCTTCTCTGTCCTCTCGTTCGTCCTCGCCCACCCAAACCGTATCCAAGGCTTCCACCAAGTCCTCAACCCCTATATCACCATCTTGTTGACCTTTCTTGCTACCATCTTCCGCCAACCTCATGTGGGCGCGAGTATCTTGCTTGATGTCCCCTGGCATCTCCTTGCAGAGTTTATCAATGCCACCGGGCTAAAGGTGGTGGAGGAAAAGCGGCTCGCGAGTGGGGCACCTCTGCCGGAAGACTGGTTGATCCGTGGATCCGAGTGGGTCGGTCGTCGGGTATATGAACGCGGTTTCTGGAAAGGCAAAACACCTTCTGGACGCTGTTCTAGCGGCCTAGCTCAGCCACAGCCTCACGCTGGCGGTGAGCGCTTCCAGTCTGAGATGGACGTCCTCCTGTCTAGCTTTGACGCCACTGTCGATATCCAAGAGGGTGTCGTCGATGAGGCGGAGGGAACAGACATGACGGATGGCCCGCAGGCTGTCAACCAGAGGAGATGGAAGAGGGTTGCTTGGGCGGTGGGCGTGCTTGGCAAGCATGTGGACGGTTTCAAAATTCGGGACGGCAAAGTCTACGTTGAGGGGGTTTTGGAGGAGAAGATCGAAGAGAAGAATAGGAGAAAGGAGGAGCACGATCGCAAGGAGCACGAGATGTTGGAGATCAAGAGACAGGATAGGGAGAAGGAGGAAGAGCTCCTCAGACTCGAGATGGACGAAAAGAGCAGTGACGATCAAGAGCTTGCTGGTCTCAGGAAGAAGCTCCAGGATCTCAAGGCTCAGGCCAGTGGGGTTACCTCGATCTCGAGGAATGCCAAGAAGGCTGGGACAGCTGCGCTACAAGCTCTTGCGGGTTATACGATGCTTGTGTTTGATACAAACATTCTGCTCGACTCGTTCCACCTCGTCAAGAGCATCGTGGAAAGCGGCCAGTGGAGTGTAGTGATTCCTCTTCCAGGTGCGTCCATGTGTCTCCATCAATGTGCAATGCTAATCTCTTGTCGCAGTTGTCACCGAGCTTGACGGTCTCTCGAAAGAGACGGGGGCGCTAGGTGCTTCCGCACGAGCTGCCGTCGCTCTCCTCGAGCAGCTCATTCGCACCCATACCCTCTGTCTCAAGGTGCAGACTACCAAGGGCAATTACCTTTTCGATCTCCTCATCAGAACTGAGCAGATTGACACCTCCACCTACGCCAGTGACACTCGCACCATGGACGACCGGATCGTCCACATTGCCAGCTTTGCGCAGGACCACTTTGTGGACCGATCGATCTTGCTGGGTATGCCAAAGCCCGAGACGGAAGCCGCCAAGGTTCTTCTGGTCAGTAACGATAGGAATTTGAGGCTGAAGGCAAAGGCGAGAGGGGTCGAGGTTGCGAGTGAAAAGGAGCTTCGGGGTGTTTTGGCGAGAGTGTAAGGACGTATATGTAGTGGCTGGGCCAGTCAGGCAGTATCACCTGCCAGTGTATAATGTGTAGCAAGTACCTTTTATAGAGCTCGTACTCTAGAATTATACATATAATGTAAGCCATACGCTTGAGAAATGTGGAAACGACGGCGTTACATAGAGTACGGCTCGGGCGTTGCGCCTTGTCCGCTTGCACACACTCTTTCACAACATTCGTCCCTTGAGCACGGCCCTTCAAGCAAACATGGAGCTGTGAAAAAATGGATCCATACGTCTTTCTCATATATATATATATAACATACATCATACACCTTCGTAATGAGGTACGCCTTCCTCCTCCTCTCCAGCCTCGCCTCCTGCGCCTTGGCGACTCTCTCTATCACCGAACCCTCTGCCGCCCATTGGTGTGAGTGCTTTTGCTGCTGCTGCGAGGCTGCGGATATCACTCTTTATCTCTTGATCAGAGCTAATCTGGAATTCGCTACCGCGCAGGGGTAGGAAACAGTGCCAACACATTGGCCTGGGATGGCAAGGATCCTGCCGAGTTCAGCGTATTCCTCGCCAACCCCGACGTCAACATTCTCGTGCGTGCCTTGACAGATCGGCAGAGCGTATTTGAGCTGACAGAGTCATAGACCAGCATGCTGGCTCTCGCATCCATTGTCCCCACCTACCAGACCTCCTTGACTATGAACCCGTGAGCTCGAGTCTGCTCAAAAGAAAACGACCATTCTTACTGATTTGTGAGCCAGTGGAGATGCTACCCCTGCTACGGGGTATACCATTCTGGTCACCAATCCTCTCAATTCTTCTGGTGAGCACAGATACCCACTTCTCAGTGAAATATATGCTGACACAATCCATTGCAAGATGTGTATGCCACTTCCGAGACTTTTGAGATCAAGAAGGAAGGCTCCTCCTACCCGCCTCAGGGTGTGGCCGTCAACGCTTCTGCGACTGCTGAGGGGACCGGTATGCAATCCGGCTCCGGCTTGGCCTCCATTGCATCTGCTACTTCCTCGTCGAGCTCTTCGAGCTCTCAGGTGGGAAAGGGGGTTGTTTCATACGGCGCTTTGGGGCTAGTCGCTGTCTCTGGGTTGATCGCTTTCACCCAGAGTCTCTAGACAAGTCAGCTTCTGGGAATGATGGTATAGGTGTGGGTTTGGGATAGCTGGAGAATGCACATGTCCCGCCCGAAAATGGCCTTGCACAGAGCAGCGAGGCTTCATACAGGTACAGCCGCAGAGCTCTCTGAGTATCGTTCCACCGGTATCGGATTACTGGACACTGATTATCTGGTGGTCTCGAAAGTATTTGCAGGCCCACCGCACTACATGAAGACTCTGTTTGAGTTGGCGTCAGCCATGCCAGTCACTGTTCAAGAAGTGTAAGCCCTTCATCAGCAGAAGAAGAGTATTTTCTTAGTTTTAAAAGTCCATGACATAGTCAGCTCGGTGATGTGTAATCTCCGGTCTGGGAGAAACCTTGCCGTCTTCGGGTGGGGGACTACATGCATAGAAGCAGGTTCAAATCCACAACTCTATGAAAATGCAATGAAAATGCTTGACGCAATAGCTGACCGGCGATAGCCGCTGCCCCGTGGTGGAGGTTGTCCCACGACGGATGTGCTCGTATTGCATCTCCCGCCAGCATCCCCTTCCCGCTCAATCTTCTCCTCCAAACCTCACCATGGTTCCCGCAAGGCCGCCACTCACCAGTCTCGTAGGCCTTCCCCGTACGTTACCCGGGCGTAGCTGACAGACCGGTCTACGCAGCATGATGTCGTCCTTGAATACATCACTGTCAACGCCTATGCCTCTACCGCTCGAGCTCTCTTCAATTCCAATCAGGGATCTTTGACCGGTAGCTCTGAATTTGCACGGCTTCCTGTAGATGGGTTGGGTCAGCCCGGGCCGTCGAATGGCATCACAAAGAATGGGGCTGGGAACGGGAATGTGCAGGGTGACCATGGGGCCGAGGAAGGCATGGATGTCGACGATGGGAACGTCGATGACGAGGAAGCGGAAGATGAGTTTGCCCACAAAGGGGAGATCCCGGCAAGCAGAATCGTCATCGATAAAGACATGCTGCAGTCAATCGAGCGTCGTCGAGGTGGGTGGCTCTATTGATGGTGATGCCATAGCTGACGTCTGCGCAGAGATACTCGACCACATCCTGAACGGCTTCATAGAGAGAGCTGTCGAGACGCTTCAAAATCATTTCCCAGACGTGCTCCGGGATGTGCCCGAGGAACCCTCCTGGTCCACATATCACAGCGATAGTACCGCAAATTGCAATGGCGGTACCCGCCTGCACGTTTCGCGATCTCTTCAATGGGATAATCAAGCATCCCATGATACTCCCGTGTTCAACACTTCCAGCGACCCATCACACGTGCGGCTCAACCTGCAGATCCAACAGTTCATCGAGTCATTCCGGCAACTGAACCCCGGGTCATCTACTTCCTCTCCCGCATCTTCTATATCGTCCCTTGCCAACTCTCAGATGATGAACGGCGGAGGAGGCGTGACGCTCACGCATGCTTTGACATCGGCGCAGGGTCTGCACGCTGAAGCGAAGAAGCTGAAACCTGAAGTACGTGCAGTGTACATGCAGGAGATTAAAGATGTGGGTGCGCTCTTTGCGTATGAGAATGTGGAACAGAGTCCTCTTGGGGGATTTGTGAAACAAGAGCGTAGGATAAGGCTTGCTGAGCAAGTGAATCGGGCGATCCTTGGTGAGTTGCCATGCCAGCAAGGGAAAGGTAACTGAGGTGAGGTTTAGAATCAAAAGGGACACCGGTAGAGTCACAGCTGGAAGAATACACCAAACGGACACAAGCTATATACGCGTTACTGGGAGAGCATCGCGTAGATGTACAGCCGCCGTGGACCAGTGCGGATGGTGCGGCCAAGGAACACGTAGCTGAAGTGAGTGATAGATACATATCTGGGCAGCTGCTGATTGCAAAGATCCAGTTCTGGAAATACTACGGCGAGCGGCCATTCAGCCTTCAAGACTTTCTAGACTTTTCATGGTGATTTGTATCTGTAAAACACGTGTTGGTTGTGCTGTTTGCTCCTTGTATGAATGTATCTTTGAATCCACATTCATGCCCCAGTGTATCGCTTTCTATACGGGACTGCCACGCCACCAGACCTTTTACATGGCTGCCTACTTTCTGCCGTATCGCACCTTCTTGCCGAGGTCGAAGGGCACGTACTTGTACTTGATCATGTGTCTAAACAGATTAGCAAGTGGTCTCTTGGCAGAAGGGAACAACAACTCACTGGATCTGCCTTCTCATGGTGAGACCAAACAAGGTGAAGAAGTAGATGACGAGAATGGGCCAGTAGACGGGGACATCGGTAGCTCGGGTGATGGTGCAGAGGAGGGCGATGGAGGTGGCCTTGGTGGCAGAGTACCAGAATTTGAACTCTGCAGCAGCGTTTTAGACTTGTACGAAAAGAGGCTTTGGATGTGGACATACCAGGGAGACGCCTAATGAATGGCCTGAATTCCTCATCCTCCTCGCCAGTGGAGAAGCCGTTCAAGAGACCCTTGATGCCGCCTGCAGGCTTGGGACCTGCGCCACCACCGGGCAACCCAGGCGCGCCTTCTTCGACGTCGTCGGCAGCAAGGTCCTCTGCGAGACTAGGGTCGAACCGGGGTTGGAGGAAGGCGAGGAAGAGATTGAGAATGTAGATGGCGAGGGCGTAACATACAATGTACCACTGCGAAGAGTCAGCATGCATCAACTGTTTCTCTGTCTTGTACACGACTTGCGCCTTGACGGATGATGACGTTGAGCAAAAAGATGATGAAGAAGCCGAGGGTCAATAGCCACCTCTCTAGCACCATAGGAGTCGACCGGTCGAGGGCAGCCTGGAACCGACGCGCAAAGAGATTTGTGCTCTCCTTGAACTTGTGCGCGACAGATTTTTCCTCCGAGATGCCGCCGCGGTATGCAGCACCGGATCCTGGGCCTATGCTGGAGGCGCCGTACGCGTTGTTGGGGGCGGGGGTGGCAGACATGGAGTGAGGCTGGACGCCTGCGAGGCCAGAGGTGGGAGGGAATCCGGAGCCGGGGCCGGTGGCTGGGTTGTTTGGGGCGGGGGGATACGGGGAGACTGCGGGGTACTGCAGGGGTCAGCGGGGCAAACAGCGTCTGTACTCACGCTCATGGCGGTGGATGCGAAGGTTCAGGTAGTTGTTGCTTGAATTGTTGGTTTGTTCGCAAGTGGCAGAGTTACGTAATAGGTGGAGTCATAAGAAGTGACTGTACTATATACTACTATCTAAGTCACAACCCAGCCATACACACGGGAGACGGACTGCCGGCGATGTCTGCGCACCTCCACCGCCGCCTCGCCGCCCTCGCCGCCTCCTGCCCGCCGCCCTCCGCCCTCTTCTACGCCCGCCTCTTCCTCGCCCTCGCCCCCGACCACCACGACGCCGCACACGCCCTCGCCCTCGCATTCCTCGCAAACCACCAGCCATACAACGCCATACACCTCCTCAGAGACACCACAGGTCTCGACACCCTCGACCAGCACCTCCACCTCACAGCAGAGCCCACCCCAAACGCCTGCTTTGCCTGTGCACTCGTCGTCGCAAACGCCTGCGACCGTCTCGGCAGGTACACCGAGGGACAAGCCGTCCTCGCCAGGGCACTCAAGAGATGTCCAGTCACCAGTACGTGCCCCTCGAATGGAACGCGATCATGCTCACCCTGCTACCAGACATCACCTTCCCCTCTCCCGTGTCATCGCCAGCGACCGCGCATCTGCTCCTGGCGACCCTCTCGCAGAAGAGCAAGGCGACAGAGACAGCGGTAGATAGCTACAAAAAGGCCCTCGAAGAAGACCCATGGCTGTGGGAAGCGTTCACCGGACTGTGTGATATCGGTATGCCTCATCCACTCACTCGAATGTCCACCGCTTACGGTTCGCAGGTGCACATCCACCCGTCGAGCAACTATTCCCTATCCCAACCTCACACCCGCTCTCTCGCTCGAATACTTCCCGGTCATCTAGGCCCCCATTATCACCCAATCTGCATAGACAAAAGTCGCCTGCAGATCTCGCGCCAGGTATACTGAGGGCGCAAGGGAGTGGCAGCAATGGTAACTCCAACGTCCCTTCCAATGGCGGCGGCCTCTTCACCCCAGACGTTGGTGGCGCCGAAAGAAAACTCGGAATGCTGGGCAACACGTCCGCTTGGGAGTACGTATATCTTGTTCTTGCTCACAGTATACACGCTGACCGGGCCATAGCACATCTTCCGTCATGGGTGACTCGACATTTGCGCTCACCTCAGAGCCCCCGTCCAAACGACCCTTCCCCACATTCATGTCCCAAGCCACCTCCTTCCTCCCCTCATCCCTCCGCGGCGGCACAAGCACACCCGCCAACCCCAACGTCAGCGACTCTCCCCCCAAACTGCAAATTAAACGTGCCCGCGGCAAAGACGTCAAGAAGGCTGCCGAAACGCCCCAGAATCAGATGGGGCCCTTGGCTAGGGAATTGCGGCCGAACGGCGCCATGAGAGGGTTGGATGATGACGGGATCGTGCGAAGAAGCTCGAGGCTGAAGACCGGGACGGCCAAACCTATCGCCACCAAGCCTACAGCGCGCAGTGTCAGGTCGCGCTCGGCAGCTTCCTCTGCATCGACCGATATACCTTCCCCTCCCGCTTCCGCGCAATCGCAATCATCGCAAGCTCAAGCAAAAATGCAGGCTCAAGCACAAGCACAAGCACAAGAGGCACTGCTCCAGAGTGCGGCCGATGACTATCTTCGGGATATCGTGAGAAAATGTGCACAAACTTATAGGAGCCTGAGTATGTACCAGTGTGAGCAGGCACTCAAAGATATAGATCTTTTGCCCAATGAGCTCAAAACAAGTCCTTGGGCACTCGATATCTTGGGCCGAACGTTCTACGAGATGGCTAATTATCCCATGGTGAGTCGCTTTCGAACGACAAGTATAGGCTGACAATGAGCAGGCTCGCCAGGCATTCGCCTTTCTCCAACAGCTCGAACCCTACCGCCTTCAATCCATGGAACAATACTCTACCCTCCTCTGGCATCTCGACGATCTCCCCATGCTCTCCCACCTCTCCCAAACCCTCATATCCATCTCACGCACCTCCCCTCAGGCGTGGATAGCCATCGGCAACTCGTTCTCTCTCAAAGGCGAGCATGATGAGGCCATGAGATGTTTTAGGCGGGCAACGCAGGTTGACCCTGCATGTGCGTATGCGTGGACGTTGTGCGGGTATGAGGCGGTTGAAATGGAAGAATTCGAGAGGGCGCTGGTGTTCTATCGTACAGCCATCAGGACTGATACGAGACATTACAATGCTTGGTGCGTCTATCACTCATTCGATCCAATCGTCTGACCCCTGTAGGTACGGAATGGGATTAGTCTATCTCAAGACCGACAAGCCTGCCTATGCCGAACATCACTTCAAAAGAGCAGTCGAAATCAACCCCACCAATGCTGTCCTCCTGTGCTGCGTCGGAATGGTATGTCCGCCCTCATTCAGATCCCCTGGCTGACTCTATACAGGCTCTCGAGAAATCCGACGATATCGTCCAAGCCATTCATTACTATGAGCTCGCCTCAAGATATGCCCCCCACTCGCCCATGGTCCAGTTCAAGCGTATCCGCGCCCTTGTCTCGCTGCAGCGGTACGACGAAGCCATCTTGGCCCTCGAACCCCTCACGCATACCGCGCCGGACGAGGCCAATGTGTTCTTCTTGCTGGGTAAATGTTATCTCAAGAGAGATAGGCGTGCAGAGGCGACCAAGGCGTTGACGATGGCGAGGGAATTGGCGCCCAAGCTGGAGGGCGCCATCAACTCTGTGTTTTTGGCGAATGGAGACGAGCTCGAGGAAGAAGATTAGGAGGAGGGGAGAGACCGGGCGCGTTCATTACGTCAGTGTTGACGACCTTGCCATTGCCTAGTAGTATCCTTTGTCATGAAGACTCACAAAGGAGCTGTATGTATGTCTTCCAGCCCAACTACGCAAACTCTTGCTGGTAATCTTTCGTCTCGCAAGAATCGAGACAGACAGCAACAATGTCAAGCGGAGTCCCTCCGACGACTTTTAGAGGGATTCACGAATCCCTTCCTCGAGCTCAAACCCCAATACTGACGGAAAACTCTTTGGGTAGTGGAGGCAGCGGCTGGGTGACGACTGCATCCTCTTGGAGTACCCGGAACGGCTCGCCCTCGTATAACGCAGCAGGCAGGGTGTATCAGGGGAATACAGGTCCGGATGCTTTCCGACATGAGCCTCGGCTGGCTTGGGCTGGAATCAGACATCAGGTGGGGGATGCGGAAACAATCGAGGTCGAACAAGAAGGCAATCAGGGTAGGCTTGTTGCAGCTTTTGGTCTCGTTTGCTGATACGCGGGTAGTGTTCCATTGCAGCCAGGCCGTGCTAATTACATGTCTGCATCTCTCGCACTGGATGGCTATTAGAGATATCGGACCGTATGGATGGACCGTGCCTTCCATCAAAGATCCCATAGGAAGTATGGTCACGATCATGAAACGTAAGCTATCATAGTGTATTTTCTGGTGAATATACTGACGATATGGCAGAGTATACGAAGCAAATGAAGGATCTGAGCAAGCACTCCGACCTTAACTGTCGTACTGTAAGCATCGTCCTTTCCTCAACATCCCAGTCCCAAAGCTTATAACCTTCAAGGCGCCTGATCCTAGTAAAATCGTCATTCAACACCACTTGACCAAAGCTCGAATGGCAGCAGGTCTGAACAGCTATGTTGCCGTCATATATAACGGCCATGGCATCCAAGAGCCCCCCACAGAGGCAGGAGAGCTTTGGTGCTATGATAAAGATTTTGGAGAATGTTTGCAGAGCGGTGGGCCCTCCGAGTGAGTCGTTATCGTTCCAAGATACGCTTATGCTGACTCTCCCTAGGTACATTCCCATTCTCCTCTTCGACATGCTCACGTGGGCCGGCGCTTCTACCTGTTTCGTATGGGACTGCCCCAGTGCTGGTCGATTCATTCGCGCAGCTCACACCGAAGCGAATGAGATTGACTCTCAACTTCGCGCCGCTGCTGCTCAAAACCCCTCTGTCGCCGAAGTCCATCCCGCGATATACACCAGACGACAGATCCACTTTGCTGCATGCGGCGCAGGAGGTGCAGTCCCAAGGGTCAAAGGTATGCCAGACGACCTGTTTACGGCCTGTCTGACTACGCCCTTGCGGATTGCTCTGCTCTTTCACAATCTGCAAACGTTCCCGCTCACCAAGAGTGACAGTGAAAGGTCGATCCGCAAGTCTGCCAGTTACATGGAAGCGCTATGGGACAATATGAGCCAGAAACTCAAAGGTAGGCTATGGTCTGAATTGTCAGCCATACTACACACCATCGCTTGGCAGACGCTCGAGGGTGTAGATTACCAAAAGCTATTTGGCAAGTCGGGTGATGTTGTCAACAACCTTTCCAGCGGGTTTCTGCTCTCTCAGAGAGTCTTTGCGGCCTACAATGCTACGCCCGAGTCGATACCTGCCATCCCATCGGCCAACAGCCACGCGCTATGGACGACATGGGACTTGATTCTCGACAACTTTTTCGAGCAGCTTCCCAGATACTTTGAAGACACCCGACACGCCAAAGACACAAACTGGGAGAAGGAGGTCAAGCTGGTGTCGTTCATGGCAGACCAGCTGGAAAGCATCACCGCAGCTGATCAAGACCTGCTGTTCACCAGAGCTCCGAAATCAGGAATGATCCCTGGTCTTACCCGCCTGCCGATCATATGCGAAGCGGCAATGACCTCCGAGTTTAGGATCACAGCCTGCGCAGCGCTTGATGCTTGCCTTCGAGTTCTCGACGTTCGGGACTTGGCGCACGCTGTTCAAGGCGGGGCTCTCGACGTTGCAGCAAAGCTCTTGGCGTCGGACGATGTCAATATCAAGCCTCACGTGATCAGTATATGGTCATCATTGGTTCGGCATGATGTTTGCGTATTATCTCTTGCCCAGGAAGGACTCGAGTCTGAACGACTCACGACCGTCCCGGCCGTCCAATTCTTTCTCAACGCCCTTCAAGAGCAGCTGCTAATGCACGAGGAGAATGAGCAGTCTTCTACACTCGACGTAGCCCCAATCATACAGATCTCTGCGGTCCTTGCAGCGATTGCCAACTTTGTTGCAGGCCGATCAGCCCCTCGCTTTGTGCTTCGTACGCTCAACATGTCGACCGTCATGTTACGCACTTCTATCGACATCGTGCGACAGTGGGGCGCTTTGCTCGTCTCGGAAGTCTTGGGATGTCTAGACAGGCCAGACGACGAGGAGCTGGTGGCCAATCTCAAAAGTGATCTACTCGAAATGATAGACGATGGCAATGCGGAAACCCGTGCCGCCGGCGTGTATGCGCTCTCGAGATGGCTGCCTGTAGGAGAATCATGGTCGGAGGACGAGCTCGAGAAAGCTCTCGAGTTCTCTGTAAAACTTGTCGCTCAGAACAAGGTTGAAGGGTCACCTTTGGTACGGAGAGAGCTTGCCAAGGTCTTTGTCAAGATCCTCCAGTCGGCCAAAGGCTATGCGGCCGTTGCTCTATGGACCCACATCTTGCAGGAAGCCTTGCGAGACCGCCCTGCAGACCGCACAAAGGTCGAGGACAGTATCCTGGCTCTGGGGAAGAAACTCAAGATTGATCGAGAGGACAAACAGAGACTTTTTCGTGTTACTGGTATCATCAAGGCAATCTGCTCGCAAATGTTTGATCCTGACCCCGTGGTTGCCAAGCTTGTCCACCAATCATTGCGGGGCATCATTCTCTCGTTGAAGGCCCAGTCACAACAGCACAAGGGCGCCCAAAAAAGTGAAATCTGGGAAGACATATATCTGGCTGCCTTTCCCTCTAGCGGGGTAGATAACGGAGCTTCGTGGTCGGGGGACATGATGAACGTCATTCTACTGTCGGGAGATACCGTAGCAGAGCTCTGGGAAGAACAAAGGCAGCCCAGCGAGGACCTGTCGAGGCCATTGCATGACTCTGGGGAACGCAAGAAGAATGGGGCAAAAAGAAGCAAGGTCAACCACGAGCTGTTTTTGCGAAGCAAATTGGCTCTGCAAGCTCATGTCGCTGTAAGTCCATGGCTGAACAGCCAGCAAGAGAAGTCAGACTGACAAGTGCCCTATTAGCAAGCAAACCGCAAGGCCCCTGGTTCGTCTCTAGACAATGCACGAGTCAAGTCGTCTTCACAAGAAGACCTCTCCTCAATGAGACATCGAGAGTTGGAAGACTCTCTTGTCATTGGGGAACAGCAAGTCGGACTTCCTTGGAAATGGACCATGAGAGACATCACATGCCCCGATCCTTGGTCAACCGTCATATTCCACTCGTTCAACAGCACCGTCATGTCCTGTAATAAAGGGCACGACCTTCTCTTTTGGGACTGGAGTTCATCCAAGAAGACTGGACATGTCACGCTGAAACTACCAGATAACGAGATGATAACGTCGGCTAGATTCGTCAATGAGCTGCACGAGCAGAATGTCATTCTGGCGGAGATAAGTGCGTAGATACGGGCGTGACACTATTCTTGCAGCTGACGATTACACAGCCAACGGAGATATCCATATCTTTGCGGGATCCCAGGACTCTACACGCATCAAGCCAATCGCAAACTTCCGCGCCTTAGACATGTACTCTCCCCGATACATGATCACTGCAGACCAGAATCGTCGAAAGATTGTAACGACCTGGTACAGATCAAGCGGAAAACTTTGTGTCGGAGGGGCTAGCAACGTCATCAACGTTTGGGACTGTCCTGCCGAGAGATGTTCACAAGTAGGTGGCTGACGTCGTCAAAGGCTGAGCTTATATACTGATCTCTTACAGGTCTTGAACACCGAGTCAGAAGTTCCTGTCACGAGTCTCATAACAGAACCCGTCTCGGGGAGGCTCTTGTTTTCAGGTCAGGACGACGGGATGGTCAAGCTTTACGACCTGCGACAGTCCTCTGGAAAGGCTGTTCTGTATTGGAAAGCAGACGCTACTTCTCACTTGACGTCTGACGAAACAACAGGGTTCAAGAGTGGTGCCGCGCGCGGAATTGCAAAGATGGGCGTTATCCTTGGAGAAAGCAAGCATGTCTCATCAGCATGGTAAGCATATCCTGTACTATATACGGCCAGTCACTAAAATTGAGTAGTTACAACGGCGTGCTAAGCGTGCATGACATTCGAAACCTGTCTCAACCAGCTGCTTCTGTACTGGCCCACCCGGAGGGCATATCGTCAGCTTCATTTCAGCCCCAATCCGGCTTGATGTCAACGATATCCATACTTGGTGTATCGCAGGAGCATGGTTCACAGGTCAAGCATGACCCCGAGATCGTCAAACAGAAACCATTATCCCAGAAGTTTCAATTGGCAACGGCACTTTCGCACCTAAGCGTCCGACCAAGATCATCCTCCTCCACACGAACCCTTCCTTCAGTACAGCCGAACTCATCAGCCAGTCCGACTGCCAATTGGTCGTTGCACAGAATGGCCTTAGGGTCATGTGAGCCTGTCACATCGGAAACTATGGCTTTCCCGGTCCAGTCGCCAGACGTTCAGGCCCAGAATTACCGGCCCTATACCGTCATGCACCCGCTCCGACCCTTCTTGGGTATTGGGTATGGCCGGAACTGCCATCTGAGAGGATGTGGAGTCGGAGAAGGAGATTGCACGGATAGTGGCAGTTATACGTTCCTCAAATCGCAGGCAAAGTTCTTGATTTAGATAGCGAAAACATGTACCCATTTGTTCTAGTTCAAGTCCATTCTGTTCGGCATGCTATCTACAAGATCAACTGTACATTCTCTTTCAGCCAGGATTGAAACTTTGAGTGCGATTACAACGTTTTCCGGTCAGTCATGACCCGCACGATACACCCAACACCGGCAGCTTCGGTGAGCTAAAGCAGACCCACGAGATCAGCAGCGACCCACGGATTAAGCCAACTGGGGACATACCTTCTCATGCCAAGTCAGCAGCACACTACCACTAGTATCCCCGCTCCCCTGCCCAAGCGCGGCCATCCCCTTGTAGAGGTACGCCATCAAGCGGTCTTGCTGAACGTGGTCGAGACCTTTCACGAGTGCGGGAATGTCTGTCGAGCGAGTGGAGTTGAATATCAGGAGAAGGGAATTTGTTGTCAGAGCCTGCCATGAGCCGGGTAAGCAATGCCACGGAGTGATAAGGAGGGGCGTACTTTGGCTTCGTCCACGCCTTCGCCGTATGGAGGATCAGTCAAGATTGTCCCCAAAGCTCCTGCAATATCGCCCCTGTCTGATGTTCAGCCCCTATTCCCTTGAGCACATCGAGGCATCCTGATGCATCTCACCTTGATACTAGACTCCTGACCTCCCCGCTCCTGCTCTGGGCATCAGCTAACACGCCGTCAGGACCCCGGGGGTCTGGGTCGTAGAGGTCGGAGGGGAGGAGGACGTCCTCTTCAAGAGCGTCGATGTTGATCTTTCTGAATGCGTACTCGGACATGGCTGTACGAAGGGAACTGAAGATGTCAGCGATGCATGTGGACGCAGTGACGTCGTTATATGGGGGGCGCGTTTTGCATTGGCCTCCACTTGGGCGGCCTGCTTGTTGTTGCCATTCACTGCAATCGCATCTCCCTGGCATTTCCTGGCGTTCGACCTCGGCCCAGTCAAGTCACAATGGCAAAGAAGAGCGGAAATCCAGCGGACGCTTATCGTGAGCATCCTTGTATTCTGTGGTAGGTCTCTGCTGACGCATCTCTCAGGCAAGCAGCTCAAAGCCAAAGAACAGAAAAAAGTCCGCTCTCGCCGGTGCTCTACCAGGCCGTGTATACTGACAGCCAATGTAGAATAAAGAAGCGAGACAGAAGGCAAGAGATACTCAGACTGTAAAGAAGGATACTCGAGAGCTGGAGACGGAAATTCGAGCTCTCAAGTCGCAAAGTGCGTATCGTCGCTGAAGTACGTGCTGCATTATACTAACCATGGACTATATAGACGATACCGATAGCAAGAAGAGGGTACAAGAGCTTGAAAAAGAGCTCAAATACATATCCGGAGTCAAGGAAAAATACGTCGAAGAACATCCAGACGAACATGATAAAGTGTTTCGGGTTCGTCGCCGGCCCGAAGGCGAGGGTCAAGGAGAAAGCTCGGGGGCTGGGAGTGATAAATTCGACCAAATGGGGCGATTGAGGGATCCAAAGAGGAGTGTCTATTATGACGCGGTGTATAATCCTTATGGAGCGCCTCCACCTGGTATGCCTTACCGCGAAAGAAGTGAGTTATATATTTTGTCAGTGTTGCGGACTATATTAACATACAAATGAAGCGCCGGAAGAAGAGAGTGAGGAGGAGGACAGTGACGATGATATTGTGATGCCAGAAGGTCCTCGGCCAGAGTCTGGGGAAGACTCTGACGGCGACTCGGACGATTCAGACTATATACCTCTACCAGAAGGCCCACCACCCCCCAAACCTCAGTCTGCCCCCTCACTACCGCTGCCGAATCTGGGGCCTCCGCGCCCGCCTCACGGCCCCGGCTTCTTCCATGGGCCATTGTCCAGCATACCCCCTCGTCCGCATCATGGCATGCCCCAGAATGTGCAGCCGTGGGGCGTACCACCACCAGGGTTCAGGCCACCTCCTCCTGGGCAGATGAGAGGTCAGTTCAGCGGGCCACCGTCATCTGCCAACCTTCCGCCACGTCCGCCTCCCGGCGGCCAGCCAGGGGCTATCTCAGCCCCTCCCAAGCCGGCTGCTCCTGTGCCCGCCGTCGAGAGCAGACCATCAACGGAAGCACCCGCCTCTGCAGAGATTTCGGCAGCTCCAGTGCTGCGGGATCTTCGCAAAGAGGCTACTACATTCGTTCCCCGAAATATCAAGAAGCGTAAGCCTGGAACTGCAGCTCCCAACAGGATCAACGCGGCTCCGGGAGCGGGCGAGATTGACGAGGACGGCGACGAGCGTAAAAGGGCGAGGGTGGAGGAAGAAGGGGGTGGGCTGATGGGTAAGCTGGGTAGTGTACTCGGAGCTCAGACTCAGGCCAGTAAGAGTACGAAACAGAATGTGGACGATGATTACCAAAAATTCCTGGAAGGGCTTGGTGACTTGGGATGATGCATATGTACTTGCCTCACGTTCTCTTACTATCCTGCTGTGTCCCATGTAATCATCTGGTCCGTAGCATACTCCGCGTGAATTTGCAGAGTTGACTGTATGTCCAGTACAAACCTGGCTGAGCCGGCTTACGACCACGTGGCTTTGCATCGTCATGGCGGCCGCAGCTCGAGCGACGTTTTCAGATGTCAATGTCAAAAACAAGTAATCTTCCGTAGATTCTGCAAATTCCATACCCCGTCACTCACAAGCATGGTCAAAGAAACACAACTCTACGACCTCCTGGAGGTCCAGCCCGATGCTACAGACATCCAGTGCGTATCATTTCCACCCAGCTGAGAAAGCATGGCTCCAGGTCGCAGGGCCTGGCCACCCACCCGAGCACAGTCTTGCTCACATTGATCGTGTAGATTGAAGAAGGCCTACAGAAAGCTGGCCATCAAAGTGAGTATTGAGCATACCATACCTGCTCAACCACCTTTCTCATTATACAAACGGTTCTGACAGCGATGAATAGTACCACCCCGATAAAAACCCCAGCCCCGAGGCCGGTGAAAGATTCAAAGAGATCGGGTGCGCTCCATCTGAATGCAATAGGATAACAACTGATATCATTCAGCGAGGCCTATCAGATTCTCTCCGACCCCGATACCCGCGCTTTCTACGACAAGGTTGGCAAGGATGGTATGAGCCGCCCGGAGGAGGGCAACTTTGACCCCCAAGAGGTCTTTTCACAGATCTTTGGTGGCGCGGCTTTCTTCGACTATGTAAGTTTCACGGCTGCATTCCGAAGCAGGTGCTCATACTGTATAGATTGGCGAGATTGCTTTGGTCAAGGACTTTACTACCACCATGGATGTTGTCATGACCGAGGAAGAGAAGGAGCAGGTACGCTACATGGCCTTTCTGAATACGAAAGTTGATGGGAGATCAGATGGAAGCGGCTGCCAAGGCCGACGCAGAGGCTCATTCCGAAGCCGATGCCCCCACCGAGAAGACCTCTGCCGCTGCGGCCGCTACAGCTGCCACAACGGCTGATCCCCTGGGCCAGCCCGCTGCTGGAGCTACTAAAGACGCTGCTGTTGATGAGGTCGGCGAGGGCGTGCAAAGCATAGCATTGCATTCTGGCGCCAGTAACGCCCCTGCCCCCTCAGACAAGGCCGAAATTGAGAGCGCGCAGAAAACAGAGAGTGCTAAGAAGGCCAAGGCCAAGATCTCTCCCGAGCAAAAAGCTCAGTTGGAGGCTCTCGAGAAGAAGCAGGAAGAGGAGAAGGAAAAGAGGTGAGTCTACGGGCCTGTATAGATAAACGATTGACAATTGTAGGATCAAAACTCTCCAAGATAAGCTGTTGCTGAGGATCAGACCATTCGTCGACGCCAAGCATCCTGGTGATATCAATGACCAAGAGACGAAAGTGTTTGAGAGCCGAATCAGGATTGAGGCCGAGGATCTCAAGTTGGAGTCTTTCGGTGTTGAGGTGAGTGTCTTGATGTGAATTGGAGTGTCGCTAATGCAAGTGCAGATGCTTCACACGATCAGTCAAGTGTACATCACTAAAGCCGGCAACTTCCTGAAGAGCAAAAAGTTCTTTGGTGGCGGGTTCATTGGGCGTTTGAAGGAGAAGGGAGGTATGATGAAGGAGGGCTGGAATCTCCTGGGGTCTGCGTGAGTTCTATCGCTGTACCTGCGGCTGAACGTGACTGATGCTTTGCAGGGTCGGTGTGCAAACAGCAATGGCCGAGATGGAACGCCTCGAGGCCAAGGGCGACGCCACACAAGAGGAACTTGAGGCCCTCGCTCAAGAAGTCTCCGGCAAGATGCTCCTCACCACGTGGCGCGCCACTAGATGGGAGGTCATCAACGTCCTTGGAGTGGTAGTTGACAATGTCCTGTACGAGCAAGGCATCTCCAAGGATGTGGCGGCGAAGAGGGCAAAGGCTATCATGTGCATCGGAGGAATCTTCAAGGATGTACAGCCTGACGAGAGCGACGATGAAAGACGGGAGCTTGAGAGGTAAGTCGTGTCCCAAGCAGCTGGTATGGAACCTGACTGTACAGACTGGTGATGAACGCTGGAAAGAAGAAGAAGGACGAGAAGAAGGATGAGAAAGAGAAGAAGGGTTGGTTCGGCAGGTCTAGCCACAAGCATGAGTCTGTCGTCACCGCGGAGGGCACGGAAGCCCAGGAGACGCCCAAGGTCAGCGCTTAGGTTTGAATCACTTTCCAGGGAGGAGGGCGGCGTATCACGATGATTGATGAGAATAGACCACTCTACATGTTATGATTACTCTTGTTACAGTGCTGGGTACATCAACAATAATCAAGAGACATTGAATGCCCGCTCGACGCTTTCACTTCGATGTACCCGTACCCTCAGAAAGTCCCAACATCTCCATCTCATGCCTCAACTTGATCTCTCTTTGTCGGTGGAAAAACTTTTGCTCGACTTGTTTTTCGAATTGGTCTTTCTGCTCTTTGGCCTGCGATTCTGCGAGCGCTTCCTTGGCCTTGGATTGACGACTACGACGGCGTCGGTACCATTTGAAGGCCAGGAAAAGGATGAGGAAAAGACCGGCCATTGACAGGGTGCCTGCATGGATCATGTCAGGTTCGGGCTTCAGGGACTGATGTTGACAAAGAGACTTACTGACGACGGCTTTACATTCCGAGGGATTGTCATTGCACCAATTCTGCGCCTGCTCGGTATATCCATCATCGTCATCTCGTTCGTAGAGCCTGCTCTTGGATTGAGGGTGAGAGCCATGGTTGTTTCCGATGGGCTGCGCCGAGGCGGCGCCTGGGCATTGAACAAAGAGAGAGAGCAGTATGCTGCCGAGAGTCGAGGTCGGCAGTAGTGAAGTTGGCATCGCGGCTTGGGCGCCAGCCCTGGAAGGGCTCAATAGGGGGACAAAGCGGGTTATATTCCGCGACAGCCTGGATGTACAGAGTCGAGGATCTGATAGTGTTTGAACTGTACGTACAGTCGAGGGGAGAGATGAGAAGCGGGTGCTGGCAGGAATGCGAACACTGCGACTTCCACAGCTTCAATCCAGTGCCACCAATATCGACCGTCAGTGGTCAAAGGATCGCAACGACCAATGCTGAACGCCAAAGGAGACGTCCGCATGGCCGACCCCTGCGACAAAGGTCCGCATCATGCCTGCAGAGGGGTGGCCGCCTGCCTCAGAAAGAAATCGTACCAATACATACAAACGATACTTTTACAGGGTCCCATGAACTCTGAAGATGCCTTGCGGCAGATTCGGCTCATCATTGCTTGGCCTTATCTTCCCCCTCTGAGCTTGTAGCGCCCGCAGAAGTAGTTTCGCCTCCGTACGGTAGACGTACAAGACACGGAATGGGATCTTGCTCGTCTTCTTCCGTGCGAGAAGAGTCGGGCTTCTGATCCATCTGTGTGGCTGCACAACATTAGTCAGAATTGTCACACAGCAACAGCGTTCTAGATGTCGTACCAAACAGATTCAGGATTGAAAAGACATGGGGCCAGTTTCTCAGAACCCCTCCGATAGCTGATAGACAAGCATCAGTACCATAATGAGATTTCCTCTAGCTTTATATCTCACCCTCGCCACCATCCGCCATGATGTTGCTCATCTCTGACAGCTTTTCAGCTCTGGTCACCAAGTCCCCAGAGGCTTCTCGGAGGGCTTGAAGGCCGGCATACTCTTGTTGTTTTTGGTAGAGGTTCTGGAGGGACGGGGGAAGGTTGAGCTCTGAGGATCGATTAGACATGGCGGGGATGTGTTGTAGGAGAAAATAGAGTTGTTGTATATCTTTTCTACCTTCTGCTTGTCATTGGCTTGTCAACAAGAAGCTGTTCACATCTCGACGCGACGCGTTCAAATCGGCGATCGCCGTCCAGCCGGAAGCGTCATTCACGTATACGGAACGGCGGTTCACTTTGCTTTCGGTCGCTCGCAACGCTCACCTCTCACGTATACAAAGCTAGTCGCTCAACGCCTTGCAAGATTCTGCGCCATGGGTGTTAAAGGACTATGGTCCCTGCTCAACCCCGTCGCTCGCCCGGTCCAGTACGCTCACCGGCAGTGGTTGAGCATAGCTGACTGAGCTCCTTGTAGGATAGAGAGTATGGAAGGGAAGAGGCTTGCTATCGACTCTTCCATTTGGCTGTATCAGGTATGAGTCCCAAGCATAGTGAACCATGCGCTGACATACCATGACCCAGTTCCAAGCCACGATGAGAGACAAAGATGGAAGAGTCCTTGTGAACGCACATGTACTAGGTCAGTGATCTGACCAGCCCCGTGGTGAAGCGGGCCATTGACTCTCAGTTACTGTTTAGGGTTTCTACGGCGTATAAACAAGTTATTGTTTCATGGAATCAAACCCGTCTTTGTCTTCGATGGCGGAGCTCCGGCCCTCAAACGCTCAACTATTGTAGGGACTGCTTGACACTAACAATATTGTTGAATGGCACACTGACGGAGTCTGCAGGCCGAGCGAAAGAGGAAGAAGTCTGGGGCTGCAGCAAATCACGCCAAAGTAGCAGAAAAGCTGTTCGCCGCCCAAATGCGGAGAGAAGCCGTGAAAGCCGCACAAGTGTATGTGATTTCCCCGGTATGAAGTAGCAATGCTAATCCATTCGACAGTGCACATCAAGAAAAACAAGACCGCGAAGCCGCCGAAGCAGCGGCTGAATATGCCCGGCGCTATCCAAATGAGGCTGGGGAGCAGATCGCCGAGGATGCGATTTATCTCGATGAGCTCGAAGGACGAGCTGGTCCGTCTCGCCCTCGTTCGCCCAAGGAAAGTGAATCGAGAGCCCCCACAGATGTTGTGCCTACAGATCCCGAGAAGAGGAGGAAGTACTTCAAGAAACACGACCCTTATCGGCTACCTGAGACCAATATGCCGAAAGTGTCCACGGCAGACAAGCCTGACGCGCGTCTTGCGACAGAGGAAGAATTGAACCAGTTCATCGATGATGTGAACCCAGAGGATATCGATGTCGAGTCGGATGAATTTCGAGCTCTGCCAACAGAAGTTCAGTACGAGATCATTGGTGACCTTCGTGTCCGCTCTCGCCAACAGTCGCATCGTCGACTGGCAAACATGCTTCGCGCCGCCCCGACTGCACTGGACTTTTCTATGGCTCAAATTAAACAGCTTTCGCAGCGAAACGCCCTCACTCAACAACTCCTTACGGTCACGGATATGGTTGGTACTGCGCACTTGACCATCCCTGTGAGAATAGCGGCAGAGAGAAATCGAGAGTATGTTCTCGTGAAGAAGGATGAGACCGAGGGGGGAGGCTGGGCGCTCGGTATCAGAGAGGGGACGAAGGAGAAGCCGATCGAGGTGGAACCGGCACCATCACCAAAGGCAGAAAGTGCGGAAGAAGAATCAGACATAGAATCTCTCTCGCCGTGAGTAATGATGTTGATCGCACACAAAGCAAAGACTGACGATGCCCAGAGTGGCACAAGTACCGATGGACTCGGACCTTCGTCAACATCGACGGCAACAAGTGCTCGAAGCCCTCACTGCCCGTTATGCTCCTCAGAAACCCGCCCGAGCCTCTCTTGATGTAGCCGTTAAACCTTTCGGTGCGGCGAGGACAGCATTTTCCAAACCATTGTTTGACGTAGACGAAGATGTTGATGAAATCGTCCCCACTGCGAATGACGAAGCTCTCGCGTTGGCGCTCCAGCAGGAGGAGCTAGGGGATGATGAGACTGAAGTTGACTCGGACCTTGCTCGGGCACTGGCAATGAGTCGCGCCCAGGCGGAGAGAGAATCCAAAAGTGAAAGTGAGGATGCGGCGCTCACCTTCAACCAGAGTGAGGACGAAGAAGTTGATATGGAAGAAGTCGAGCTCGTGCCTAGTAGAACAGCAACTCCAATCGCTGGTTCTGCGGCGGAGCCCATTGCTTTCGAAGAGCAAGACACGGAGGAGGAGGATGAGTTTGAAGAAATTGACACGGCTTCGGCTACCCACAGTCGTTCACTGAGTGCAGTGCCTCTACAAGGCGAGATGTCCGATTCGAGGCCAAACAGGGACGAGCCGATTGTGATTGACGACGACGAAGACACTGAGGAGCCCCTGTTCCCGGAAGTCATACCTAGCCCCAGCCCCCCAAAGGAGCAAGAACTCATCACTTCTTCCTGTCAAATTACAGACCAGACACCCAGGATTATCTCCACTGAGCCACCACGGCCTAAACATCTGCAGAGGCTGAGCTCTGCGTCAATCAACCCGTCGCCTCTGCGAACCGTCACACGGCCGGAATCCTCTCCGGCTCCTTTGCCCGAGGCGCCAGAGGAAGAAGATGCCTCGCCAACCGCAGAGGTGAGAGGCGCTCCATCACCTGAACTTCCTCCTCCTGCAATTATTCCGCCAGATTCCGATGACGACGTGCACTATGCACCTGAGCCATTGAGATTGCCAAGTGCAGCCCCAGTGACAAGTCAACGCTACGATCCAGTAGAGGATGAAAGCGAACACGCAGAAAATTTCGATGACTCTCGTTCGAATCTCTCATGGTCTCGCTCACCCACGCCGCCCCCAAAGGCGTATGGGCTACGAGCTGTCGATTCCACCACTGCCCTCGTCTCTACTGAAACAGTAGCACCAAGAGACGACGATGCAGATGACGGGGACCTTGCACCTGCAGACGTCGCCGCAGAGTCTGACGATTACGCTAGATTCATAGCGTCTATCAAAGGGCGTAACCTAGAGGAGGTTCGAGGAGAGCTCGATGACGAAATCAGGGTGTTGAACAGTGAGAACAAGGTGGCCATGAGAGATTCTGATGAAATCACCGCGAGCATGGTTGCTCAAATTCAGGTGTGTCGCCGTGCTGCCTGTGATGTGACGCGATTGAGCTGACAGGGCCTAGACCATGTTGAGACACTTCGGTATCCCCTATATCACCGCTCCAATGGAAGCCGAAGCCCAATGTGCCAAACTTGCCCAGCTCGGCCTCGTGGACGGAATCATCACAGACGATTCGGATATCTTCCTCTTTGGTGGAATACAATGTTACAAGAACATTTTCAACGATGCCAAATACGCCGAATGTTTCCTGGTGGCCGATCTCGAAAGAGAGATGATGCTCACGCGGGAAAGATTGATTACGCTCGCATACTTTTTGGGAAGCGATTACACTTTGGGGCTGGCGGGTGTCGGGCCAGTGATGGCACTAGAGCTGTTGGCCAACTTCCCGGGGCCGCGGGGAATCTACGCCTTCAAAGACTGGTGGATGAAAGTGCAAAGAGGTCAAGACACCGAGGAGGAAACGCATTCCAAATGGCAAAAGAGCTTCAAGAAGCGTTTTAGCAAAGTTCTATATCTGACGGCAGACTGGCCTGATCCCCTTGTGGTAAGCCGCTCGACCGATGGTTGGAAATGAGCTGACTATGTTCCAAGAGGGAGGCATACTTGTACCCGACTGTGGACGAGTCGGATGAACCTTTCCATTGGGGATTCCCTCGGCTGCCGTCACTGAGAATGTGAGTCAGAACCAGAATAGCTTGGATCCTACTGACGCTGTTTTCAAAGTTTCCTACACGAAGAACTATCTTGGTCGATATCCAAAGTCGACGACGAGCTCACCCCTATCGTTCAACGGATCGCTCTACGTGGCAAAGAAGGCGGTCTCAAGAAACAGGCTACTCTGGACCCGTTCTTTGACCTCTCGGCCGGTACCGGCCATTATGCCCCGAAGCGAAGAGGTACAAACGTGAGCAAGCGGCTCATGGGCGTGATCAAGCAGTTCAAAGAGGCCGAGGCGGGCGCAAGTGAAGGAGTCTTGCAAGATGTTGTAGATGATATCATTGCAGAAGAGCAACAGGCTCACGAAGAAGAGGAAAGGGGGAAGGGGAAGGGGAAGAGAAAGGCGGGAGACAACGAGGACGAGGAAGGCGTGGTCAGAGGAAGAAAGAAGGCTGCCAGGGGAAGGAAGCGAGCTGCGACAGTGTCGAGCACTGGCGAGTCTGTGTCCAGTGAAGGCGGCAGTACGAGTGGCCGCAGTAGCAGTCGTGGAACAAGTAGAGGACGCGGCAGAGGTCGAGGTCGAGGTAAGAAGACAAACAAGTAGCGATCCACATGTGTTGTATCGATTAGCATGTAGCCTTATGCCGTCCTGTTATGATGACGTGAAACTATGGGAATATCAATACATCTGTGGCCATGGTCTAGTCCTCCTCGTCGACCTGTTCCTTCCTAGCAACATTGATGCCGCCAAGCTCTTGCTCAAGTCCGTTGTAAGGGTACTCTCGGGCGACAGCTGGTCGTTCCGGGCGGGTCTGGATCAGGAAGAAAGCGGCGATGCCGACCAGTCCAAAGGCACCAGAGAGCTATAGGGCCTGTCAGATGGATATACTGGGGTGCCAGGCGTATACATACCTGGAGGAGGGCGCTTTGCCACGACGTCTTGTGGACATCAGGACCCCACATGCCGATAACATCCTCACTCTCGTGGACCTGCAACAAACGCGTCAGACTTGATTGATGAGTCTGATTTCGATAATTTGACGTACCACCTCGCCAAAGTTCTTTCGCTCTTGGACATCCCACCATCCGAAAGGTTGTCTCTTTTGCAGGGTCTCGTTGGGAAGCTGGGGGTAACCGTTCACTAGTAGCCGCAAAACGCACATCAGTATCTTGTTACTCTTAAGCTGAGCCCGGATCCCGCAAATCCCTTCGTGCTCTTCCTCCTACTCGAGCCGCTTCGATCACACTGAGGACATACACTGGGGGTCGACTTCCTGGCCGGGCGGCAGAGGGTATGTTTCGTTGGCGATGGAGAGCTTTGAGGAGGCGGAGGCGAAGCGAGAGGCGGCGGGGAGGGCGGTGCTGATGCTGGGGGCTGCTGTGCGGGCTGCTCTGAGTGCTGTAGGGGCGATCATGGCTGGGGCGGAGATGTCAGAGATGAATAGGGCGACGTGCAAATCAAGGCAGCCCATTCGCAGGTTCCTCCACGCGCGCCTACCCGCCGGTCACCGCCGCTCTTTGTGCCTGCCAGATAGGCATGCCAGAAGTGGCCACCCGAGATGAGATACGCGATTTTTTGTTTTCATGTTTACAATGAATTCAACCACCTCTCGTTTCTGATATCGCCCTCTGCCAGCACCATCCAGCCATATATTCACCCCCCGTCTTGCCCGCATCATCAAGCATAACGACGGGCCGTACCACAGGAGATCCTTTCACACCTGGGATAGCTTTCCGACATGTCCCTCCGTCTCCGTAAGTGCTTGTTACCAGACACATCGTGGACACCCAGCTGACATCCAGTCGTGTAGCGAGCCAAAACAAGTTCAAACCAGTGGCAAGGCCGGGTATAAGGAAACCTGGTGCCCCCGGCGCGAGACCTGGCGTGATAGCCCAAAAATCTGCTCCCAATGTCGGCGCGTCTACGTCAATAACAACACCCCGAGCTGGGCCACAGAAACCAGTGCCGGTCTCACCATCGAATTCAGCAACCCAGAAGCCGCCAACCCCAAAATCTGCTATCCCTCTTACGCCCTCAGCTGAAACGCAAGAGTCTCCGGCCGTGCCACCAGGAGTAGCAGATGCTCCTGCGCCGCCTGTGACTGCATCTGCGCTACCAGCTGCATCCACGGGGAGGTCAGAAGTCCCCAAACTATCACTGCTAGAGGCTGCAGCCAGTACGCCGTCGGGCTCTCGTCCTTCCCCCTCATCAGCTACGCGCAGAACGCCAAATACCCCGCGGTTTCCCAGAGCACCGTCCGTTGCCCCTCGAGCTCGTGCGCCATCGGTGGTTCGTTCGCGAGTTTCAGCTACCCCTCAACCTCCTTCCGATACACGCGAACCTTCCCTACCCCCAACGCCAAGGACGTCTGGTTTCCCACCTACCTTGAGCGCAGCCATGCAATCTTCCGCGCCTGGTGGTTTCCCGCCAACTCTAGCGAGTGCTACTGAAGAACCCGTGACGCAACAGCAAATAGATCACGCGCAGCTTGCGGCCGCCGCTGTTGCCTCCATCCAGTCTGATATGCCCCCGCCCAGCACCGAGATTCGTCGCAGACCACCCCGTCGAAGAAAGGCGCCCACCGGGCAAGCTGCCAGAGGCAAAAAGGCAAACCAGTCCCTCATTGTCGATGATGAGGGGCCAGATGATGATGCCGCTAGTCTGGCTGGGTCTAAAAGAGGCGCCTCGGTGATGGATGAAGACGACGATGGGGCTTCCGTGGCGGATTCACAAATTTCATCCCGCGCTGGCTCTGTTGCTCCTCGATCCAAACGTGCCAAAAAGGCGAGGGGCCCCCGCGTAGCCACCATCTCTCTGCAGGCCATCCAGCCGGACGAAATGGTTGGCAGCGAAGTCACAAATCTGACTACTATGGGCGACTTGGCGACTATCCTCGCTGGCGAGGGTCGTGTCACCGAGCGCGCCATCAAGATTGACGAATTCCGTCGTGGGCAAGAAGCTCAGAAAAGGGAGGACCATCATAAACGCATAGAAGAAATGTACCAACGAAATCAAATCAAACGACGCAAAGTCCGATCTGCCAACAATAAGGATCGCACGAGAAGAAGAGAAGAGATTAGGGATCAAGGTGGGAATGAGTTGGATGTTTCTCCGGACGAGATGGACTCGGAAGAGGAGTTTGATGTTGTGCCCGAAAGGTTGACGCCTCCTGCATCATCGCCCGAGCCCGATAGACCCGAAGAGGGGGGACAAGAAGAAGGCGAGGAGGGGTCAGACGCTGAGGAAGTTGCTTTCGACAACCACGCCATTCCGAAAGAGCGCGAACCCGATATGTTTGACGGCGATGAAGGTCTGGTTGGCACACCAGAACCAGAGGCCGAGCCAGTCACAGAAGATGCGGACGATGACGATGCTTTGGCCGCTCTTCGTGCCGCTGGGTTTACAGTAAACGACGAGGAACCCGGATCGCCTCGCTCCGATGCAGACGAATGGGACCACGATGCGGTTGATCTGGACGAGTATCGTATGCGTACCCAGGAGCAGAGGCGGAGGGATATTGAGAGGAGAGAGGACGAGGATGAAGTCGTCGAAGTGGACGATGAGACTCGGTTCGTCAATTCTGCGACCTTTGGCAAAAACAAGCGAACGCAGAGGTGGACCAAAATGGAAACTGAGCTATTCTATCAAGTGAGTACCGCGCATGTCTTCCGGTATATGCAGTGCTGATTGTGTACAGGTTCTTGGTGAAACTGGCGAGAATTACACCCTCATGAAGGCGTATTTTCCTGGCCGCGATGTCCGCTCCCTCAAACTGAAGGGTTCGCGAGAGAACAAGGTCAATTTCGACAAGATGACTCAGGCTATCATGAGTCGTAAACCCATCGGTATGTTGCGTGAGAATCATACCTTCTCTTCACTTACACTTTGATTGATTACAGACAAAGAATATCTCGCCAAAGCCGTCGGTTACGACCCTCACCGCGCTTTTGACAAGGAGATGGCCTTTTTCGAAGAAATCGAGGCCGACAAAGCGAGGCTCAAGAAGCTCGATAGTGAACAGCCTATAGAGGGCGATATCGTTGGAGAAGGTGAAGAGCAGGAGGACGATGATCAAGCTGGATTGGACGGGATATCAGAGGGTGATGAAGGAGAGAAGCTGGACGAGAACGAAGATGAGCAAGTGGAGGAAGGGAACGAGGAGGATTATCAGCAGTATAACTTTGTGTAACCTACTTTTCTGGGCTTTTAGTGAGATTTAGCTGTTTTCTTTCATGCTTGGTTGTATCCTAGACTGTTGGCTCTCTGATAATGCATGTAGTGTACGATTACTCTACTCATACCGAGTAAAAGAGGCTCGGAGCCAAGATCCGAGTGTGTGTATGATACAAGTTTGTATCGTTGCATTTCGATCCATATTTCTCTATACATGTATGTAACGTTTGCCTCGTAGGACATTGTCGTAATGGTCGTAAATCATACTCACAAAGCGACATGGACAGTGCCTTCGTCGTAACCTCTGCTTCCCGCCCAACCCACATCCTCATCCTCATCCAGAACCCTCCACCCCACGTCTCGCACCCAGCACCAGCCATTCTCCTTCTCCACGACCTTGATGACCGGAAGTGCCTTCTCGGAAGCGGATTTGGGGAGAGTTTGGATGACACCGCGAAGAAATTCGATGATGGGGCGGACATGCCAGCGGCGGTGTCGCTCGGGGCCAAACAAGGGGCCGTCAAACCACCCAAGATGGCCGCCTTGGGGGACGCCAGCTAGTACCATGTGAGAAGAGCTCCGGATGGCAGAGAAAGGGAGACAGTCGCCCGAAACAATTGGGTCGTCAAGGGCAGAGATAGCCAAAGTTGGCCTGTGAAGTTTCAGAGATCGGACCCGTCGAAAAAAGAAGCGCATTACCTTTTGATTTTTCCAAGCCATCCACTGGGACAGGCCCACTCCATGAAGGAGTCCATACCCTCGAAGGGGAAACATGGTCCACTCCCCCCGACCTTGGTGACCACCAACTCCATGACCTTGCTCGCACGAAGAGTCCACTTGTACTTGAATGACGCGGTAAGGGACAGGATCTCTGGGATGGAGCTGTGGAGCTCGGACGATGGGCCGGACAGAGCCGAGTGTGGCAGTAGGTGTGGGTATATGGAGCTAAGGATCTTGCGTGCCATGGAGAGAGAGTAGAGCCGTGGAAAGATGTGCGCAGAGTCGAGTCTACTGTGACGTCAGCCAGAGCTTTTCCGTGCATTGACTGTACCACCGTACTTGGCCGTGACTGATCTAAACTCCAATGGGCAGCAGAGTACTACTGCAGCGCGTAAACGACTTTTTGCACCTTGCTCACCCATGTAGCGAGTCATGACAGCAGCGCCGAGCGAAAAGCCGATGCCGACCAGAGGGGCATCAGGAAAGAGGCTAGCGAGGTAGAGAGTGGCAGTATGGTTGTCGATGGTGTTCCCGGAAGAGTACAGCACAGGGGATGTGAGTGGCGTATTTGCACAGCCTCGGAACTTGAGAGTGTCTTTAGCTGGTATCAGTTGACCAGAGTGTGACTCACGTTGACCACAGCGCATCTGGCTCCAAGCCCTCCATCTTTCATGGGTTTTGCCAAGCACAAGACCAGATTTCGAATATAGCTGCGTGACATCGTCAGCCAGCCCAGCATGCTCTATGCTCGAACCCACCTTTCATGAGCTCCCCCAGTGAGGCCATGATTGACGATCACGACGGGGGCGCTATTGGGCAACTTGACACACAGTTTGGGATAAACATCCACACCGCTATCATTTTGGCACGTCAGCCGTGAACGCCCAAGCGGTCTTGCTATACTCTTGTGAATTGATCCACTGACATGGTTCCTCCATCTGGAAGTCTCAACAATTGTCTGTTCAGACCACAGAGTCAGCCTCCCTTTGAGTGTGGCAGTGGAGCTCTGGTGCTCGGACCCACCTTTGATATACAAGCTGGTCGTCCTTGGAGAAGTCTGCGAGCGCCGAGTAGATCGTCTGAGCATGGCCACTGGTGAGGCAACAGGCGCCACTGGTCAGCCATGAAATCCTGCAGAAAATTACTACCTACATGGGTAACCACCAGCTTGCCCTGAATCCCTGCTTGAGGCTGCCACACCAGCTCCGGACGAGCTCTTCTGTCGTCTCGCGGTTCTCACCCACCTCTGCGCGGCAAAGTGGTCCTATGATGGTGATAGAGGCGTATCGCCTGACGAGGATATAGTAAGCAGCATATAGTATGAGGATTAGGGAGCATATCGTCGCCACGTTGAGGTGGTGGGTGGGGCTGGTGAGGGGGCGAGGGGTGAGGGGGCTCAGGTCCATTGAAGGTGGACCGGGGGAGTAGGGGAGTTGAGTGCGGTCTGTGGTTTGGAGTTGGGATTGTAGAGAAGATAAAGAGAAATAGATAGAAATGGGTGGCTCGCTATATACTGCACTCCGATTCGGACATGAAGATACACACTGATCTCCAGGAACAACACAGATAAGGGCCCTCCCTGCCTCTCGCCGGCGCCGTCGGCGTTCCGCCCGCACTCCTCTTACGTACTTTAGACTTTTATTAGAGTACACATACTCGTACCTAGTCTTACCACATCCCTCATCGTCTTGCCACTCGTTATCCTCACACAATCCCGATACGCCCTTCGGCCCGTAGTATTGATTGGCGTTCTATCTGGATGAGGCGAAATCTCTCTCGCAGCCCTTCCATAGAGGCACCCGGGACATCTAGAACGTGCCGTCAGTCATACACCGCTCGGCTCGGGTATGAGATACTTACGCTCGCAGTCCCAATAGTCGATGATGACCTGGGCATTGTCCAAGGCCATATGGTAGATCTTATCTGCGTCAGCCCAAAATGCCTTGTCGATTCGGGACATCTCAAGGGCACTGTCTACTGGTAAGCCCACGACATAGTGGACCACTGTGCTTGCTCACCTGTATGCCTCAATGATCATCCACCAAGTGACCATGGGTCGCCTCTTTACACCGGGAACAGGTGCCCTGTCCCCAAGCAGACTGAGAAAGTACTTGAGCTCAACTTGGAACCATTTCTCAAGTGTTTTGGGGTCCACAGCCCCAAGAGTTCGGCGTAAAACTGTAATTACATCGATCAACACGGCGCGCAAGTCGCCCGGCAAAGCAACTCACCCATCGCCCAGTCCAAAGACTGCCAGAGGTAAACCTTCATTTCGCCGACTTGGTTCAGGATCAGGATGTCTTTTTCAATGACTGTCAATTCCTTGACAATCTGCTCTCTGTAGCGCGGCTCAAGTGGCCGATTGTTGGTGACAAAGTGCCTTACACAGGGTTTCAGCCACTGCTCTACGCCACCCGTCCATGGACTCACCACAAGCATATGAGACGGTCTTGCCTTGCTTGTCGTCTCCGGCTTCCAAAAACACCATTTCCCCAGGGAAAAATAACCGAAACTGCCTTGACTGTCAGCACAAGCAAGTGTGATTCAAACGAGACGCACCCTCTCCGGGTGACTGATTTGCAAATCCAGCGTCTTCTTCCCCACCATAAACTTCCAAAAACTGTGAGATGCGGCCATACTACTCGCCGTCCAACACATTCTCCTCATCTCCTCTTTCCACATTTCCCCGGGCGACCAATTCTCGCCCCAGCCAGGTACTTGTGCCCAAATGGCTACCGTCGCATCGATCTCCAACTTTCCTTGAGATTTCTGTGAGTTGACAGAGGTGGCGGCGTCCCACGTCAAACGTGGTAGCCCGAGCATATCTGACGTGACTCTATCATCGTCTGCATCCAGACGACTTGAAAAGACGATACAACCGATACCATCCAGCATCACCAGCGCATCTCCGAGTCGGTCATCATTGTGACCTTTGTGGGGTATGGTCTCAAATATTGCAATTACGATGGCCGCTGCCATTAGACTGGGGTCCTGGGAGCCAGTCTGGACGCAGTAAGAGAGGATGCTTTGAGCTTCGCGGTTGAAAAGAAGAGCCAGGGTATGGCCCTCTGGAGTGTGGCCTTGCTGGAGGAGCGTGACGAGGGCGAGTATGGATAGCAGGATATGAGGAGCAGCGCGAAGTGATGGAGTCCCGTTGTCACTCGATGTATTGGTCAACAAAGAGCTGAAGAACATGGGTTTGTTCAAAAAAGTGGACCACATTTGCGAATCTGTGAAACTTTTCAGAGTCAGCTTCACCGCCTTCAGTAACAGGTAAACTGACAAAGCGTTACAGGATCTGACGACTGTCGAGATTGCCAGGCGACGATCCGTGTCGTACTGACTCAAGATCCAAAGCCACCAGCCCTCACTCGCCGCCCCAATGTTTCCCGGCGCGTCATACATCTTGAATGATGCTATACCCTCCATCCACGCCTTCCGTTTCCTCGATAGCCGTGATAGTCGCTGTTCTCCAGTCTCTGCGTATTCTTGTTCCATGTACGGATGCTCAAGGACGGGCTCTACAGTACCGACTGGCCAGGCATACGTTTGATGAGCGACCTTCGGCCAGAGGTGCGTGGATATGCCCTCACAGCCTTGCATCGCAGGTTGCGATTTGGCCATGGGCTGCCAAACCAGCCCTTGAACACCGGCAGTCAGGATCTGGATGGCGGGGTCCATGCCAGCAGGAGGGGGACCCATCGATGATGAGACAGAAATTTTGCTGGATGTGAGAGAGGAGTAGGCGGTCGATTGACCCATGGCGGGGTTGCTTTCCTGGGTAGCAGCACCCATGCCACCATCCAGGCCCGGATAAAAATCGGGATTGGATCTGGGCCAATAGTATCGAACTTGACGTCGGCTGCGTGGGGTAGACCAGAGGTGCTGAATATATGGGGGGGACATGTTGGGAATTGAACAGCTCTTAACTGCTCGTCAAACTGTTGTTTGCGGTGAGAGGAGCTTCGAGAGCCCGACCTGGGTTATAATCATACGAAGGGTAGGATTCTAGAGGCTACGACAGCGGAGGTTGCTGTGCAGGAAGCTCCTGCTCCAAAGATGGATGGGGGTAGGCTTGGTAGGAAGGAGTTCCAAGAGAAGAAGGGTCATGGGGGATCCCGCTCGCAAGCCCGGACTGTAGCTGGTCTATCCCACTACTTCGGGGATAGCCCAGCTCTGGGAGGGGTTGGGGGTGAGGACGTGAAGGAGCTTGCCTATGCGAGGCCGGCTGGCGGCTCGACACTGAGCTCTTGCGGGACGAACCAGGGGATGGTTCAGATTTTGCTGCTGCTATGTCGCTCTTAACAGCAGTTGACCCTAGCAGCCTGGGCGCAGAATCGTCGCGAGCGCCGCCTGTGGACTGAGGAAGTTGGGGAACATGGGGCATGGAGAAAGATGAGGTGTCAGAGGAGATGGTCTCGGATGACTGGGTGGGACCACTAGGAGCCGTTGAAAGTGGCTTTTCCACCTTCTTGCTGAGAGTTGCTTCCAGCGGCGTGTCTAGCTGGTTTTTCTTCTTCCTGTTTCTTTTTGTGGCACGAGCTAGATACAAGTCAGCTTCTTACCCTGTAGAATTGACATATACACACTTCCTGGCAGCTTGTCCGGCCTTCGGCGTCTTATGGAAGTGGGATACGTGCACGCATTGCTTTTCTTTTTACAGTTCATACACATGGGTTTTTCTGCCGAGCACTTGATTTCTCTGATGCGGCTAAGGAAACAATGAGCCAGCGCTGAAGGGTGTGATGCTACTCACCAAGGATCGGCTCTTTGCCGAATTGTCGTCAGCCAGTACGGACTGCCGACTTTCGGGAGCGACTGTGGTGCGCACAGAGAGATCCACAGAGGTCTCGGGGGTGGAAGAGGAGCCGCGGGGGCTAGCTTGAGAGGAATTCGAGTGTTCCATGGCGGCAGGGTTGTTCGTGAAGGAGTGGGTGATGGATGGTCAGGCGATGCTGGTGACAGAGTATACACTGGGTGCTGCTTGTGGCTGCACTGGGCGACGGTGTGCGGCTGGGAAATGGCATGCTCATGGCAAGATATGATGGCAGAAGACGACCCGGCAGCCGGCCACGTGAGTTCTGCGGCCATCTCCGCAAGACGCGTCGCGTAGGATTGTTTACGCGCAATGTCAAACCCAGCATCGTCTGTTTCTCTCTCAATCGATATGCCCAAGGCTGTCCTCCGCTGAGAAGACTCGCATCGACAATCCCGCATGCGCCTCCCTCTAGACATCTACCAAGAAGACCAAAGTGCTGGAACACCCTCCGCATACTCTCCTTCAGATCCAGAGTCTGAACCCGAGTCGCCCCCTCCCAGACGAGTAAGATCTTTCGCAAGACTACGAGGTGGCTGTTGACTATACACAGGGTTCAAAGCGCAAGCGAACAGCAGGCAGCTCAACACACCGCAGACGACGCTCGCCCTCACAGTCCTCGGATGACTCTGTCTATGCGGTAGCCCAGATCCTGGCCAGGTCTCTAAACAAGTGGCGCAATCCAGACACCAAACAATTCGAACTCCGTTACCTTGTGAGGTGGGAAGGGTATGGCCCGGCTGACGATACGTGGGAGCCGATCTCTAGCTTGATGGAAGGGTCGCAAAGCTTGATAGATGAGTTTGAAGATTTCGGCAAGTCCCCGGCAAGTATCCCGACCGGTGCTAATCGATGCTCAGAGTACCACCCGTTTGCCATCCTGTCGTCCAGGACTATTCCGTCAAAAGCCGCATCTTATCTTGTACGCTACGGCCTCGCGTCCCTCGACACCCCACCGTCTCCGCTATACGACAAGGTCTGGCATACTGCGTCCCAGATTCACCGTATCGCTGGGATCCCAAAGAACATCGTGGAAACAGCCATAAGAGACTTTGAAGACGAGCAAGTCGCGGAGGACAGCATCGCTGTCCGGGGCGCAAGCCCGAGAAGACTACAGCTGTTGAAGAAACAGTGCATACTCGACATTCTCACTCGAGAAGAGCAAGGGGACCAGAAAGGCTCGTCTTTGCTGTATCATGTCAGGTGGAGGGACAAGATGAAACTGAAAGAGGAGTGGATGGACTATGAGCAGATTGTATTCACATTTGAAGAAGACGGCGTGCTGTTTGTCAAAAAGTGGGAGACTGAAAAGGGGTTCAAGCGGCGGCGGAGCCAGGAGGGCACGTCTATAAAGAAGGAAAGCAGTAGAAATACAAAGCCAGTCAAGAGAGAAGGTCAGTAGTCCATGGCTCCTGGCGCACTGTGCTCATTGTCCTGCAGCGTTAAGCGAGTATGAGATGGAGAGACTCGAAAACATCAGAGCGAACAGGGAGCTCATGAAGGAGTTGGGACTCTAGATACCTTGCATTTGTCACGCACATCTTGGCATGTATGTATCAACATGAATGTATGCAATGGCACGGCGACAAGTCGCAAAGTCTGTCCGTCAACCAGATGACCGCCACAGAGGGCCCTGACGAAACGCCGGTCGGTCGGCGTTTTTTTGAGTGATTTTCTTCAAGCATTCATCGCCATATTCGATCTCTATACAAAAACGGCAAAAGGTGAATCCGCCTCTGAATACCCCCTGGCCCCGCTGACAACCAACAGCCTATCTATATACAATCAACATGTCCGCTGAAGACGTTTACGAGGGTGCCATCGGTATCGGTCAGTCGGCAATTTGAGATATCAAGGAGGAATCAGGAAACTGACGGGCGTCTGCAGACCTTGGAACCACCTACTCTTGTGTTGGTGTGTGGCAGAATGACCGAGTCGAGGTGAGCATGATTGTATACAGGCGATTCGAATGAATACTGACGTCCTTCGTAGATTATTGCCAACGGTGAATAAATTTTGACCTACGCGAATGAGAATCAATTCTGACTTTTTGCAGACCAGGGTAACCGAACCACCCCTTCTTACGTTGCCTTCACTGAGGGTGAGCGTTTGATCGGTGACGGTGAGTATACTTTCTTTTGCCCAATCCACAATCGCCTGACAATTTTATCCAGCCGCCAAGAACCAGTCTGCCATGAACCCCCGTAACACCGTCTTCGACGCTAAGCGATTGATTGGTCGACGATTCGACGATGCCGACGTCAAGAAGGACATGAAGGTGAGATTTTTCAGGATAGACGAGACACCTGGTCTGACGTAAAATAGCACTGGCCCTTCGCTGTCGTCGACAAGGACGGCTCCCCCTACGTCGAGGTTGACTACCTCGGCGAGAGGAAGACCTTCTCTCCCCAGGAGGTCTCCGCCATGGTCCTCACCAAGATGAAGGAGATCGCCGAGGCCAAGCTCGGTAAGGAGGTCAAGAAGGCCGTCGTTACGTGAGTCTGATCGATCGCATACATCAACACTACTAACGGCTTTGCAGCGTCCCCGCCTACTTCAACGACTCTCAGCGTCTTGCCACCAAGGACGCCGGTGCCATCGCTGGTCTCGAGGTTCTCCGAATCATCAACGAGCCCACCGCTGCCGCCATCGCCTACGGTCTCGACGAGAAGACCAAGGAGGAGCGAAACGTCCTCATCTTCGACTTGGGAGGTGGTACTTTCGATGTCTCTCTTCTCACCATCCAGGGTAAGGTCTTCTCCGTCAAGGCCACCGCTGGTGACACCCACTTGGGTGGTGAAGACTTTGACAACAACCTCCTTGAGCACTTCAAGGCCGAGTTCAAGAGGAAGAGCAAGCACGACATCTCCGAGGACCCCCGTGCCATGAGGCGATTGAGGTCTGCTTGTGAGCGAGCCAAGCGAACTCTTTCTTCCGTTACCCAGACCACCGTCGAGGTTGACTCTCTCTACTCTGGTGTCGACTTCAACTCTTCCATCACCCGAGCTAGGTTCGAGGAGATCAACGCCGTTGCCTTCAAGTCTACCGTTGACCCCGTCGAGAAGGTCCTCAAGGACTCCAAGATCCCCGCCGCCAAGGTCGACGACATTGTCCTCGTCGGTGGTTCCACCCGTATCCCCAAGATCCAGTCTCTTGTCTCCGAGTACTTCGGTGGCCGTCAGCTCAACAAGTCCATCAACCCCGATGAGGCTGTTGCCTACGGTGCCGCTGTCCAGGCCGCTGTCCTTACCGGTCAGACCTCCGACAAGACTGCCGACCTCTTGCTTCTCGATGTCGCTCCCCTCTCCCTCGGTGTTGCCATGCAGGGTGACATCTTCGGTGTTGTGCTCCCCCGAAACACCCCCATCCCCGCCAACAAGTCTCGAGTCTTCACCACCGTCGAGGACAACCAGACCACCGTCATGTTCCCCGTCTACGAGGGTGAGCGAACCCAGTGCAAGGACAACCGACTCCTCGGTGAATTCGAGCTCTCTGGTATCCCCCCCATGCCCCGAGGCCAGGCCGAGCTCCAGTGTACCTTCGAGGTTGACGCCAACGGTCTCCTCAAGGTCTCTGCTCAGGACCGTGCTTCTGGCCGAAAGGCTCAGATCACCATCCAAAACTCTGTCGGTCGTCTCTCTTCCGAGGAGATCCAGGCTATGATCAAGGATGCCGAGCAGTTCAAGAACGCCGACAAGGACTTCTCTGCCAAGCACGAGGCCAAGTCTGACCTCGAGGCTTACCTCCACACCTGTACGTTGCTCATGTTGATATGTAAACCCCCGCTGACCTTCTGCAGGTGAACAATCCATCTCCGCCCCTGAACTTTCCATGAAGATCAAGCGTGGAGCTCGTGCCGCTGTCGAGTCCGAGATCGCCAAGGCCCTCGAGGTCCTTGAGCAGGAGGACGCCACCGCTGACCAGCTTAAGAAGGCTCAGCTCGGTGTCAAGAGGGCTATGCAGAAGGCTATGGCTTCTGCCCGTTAAATTTCCCCGTGAGATATAATGGTTCAGAGGTTGGAGGAGGGAGTTGAGGTGTAGCAGTTGTTCGGGCATGCTTGGTGTTTTTATTCCTGTACCAAGTATTCATTTTCTCTTTTCCCCTACATATTCATTCTCTTCATTTGTACAGGACATATGGCGAGATGAAAAAATTCGAATCCAAACGATGTTGCATTAGAATCGTGTTGAGCACATACCGGCGATTGGTACAGGATCAGTATTCGGCTGTCACCATCATACGGACGCGCTACATCTTGTCCACTATGCTCATGGGACCCCTCTTGAAGGTGTGAAGGCGTGTTCACCCGTAACATATCACAAGCAACGGGATCCTACATCTCACCGACTGCCACCCAGCCGACCGTGTACACGTAGCGACCAGCACGATTTCCCTCGACTCTTGCGCCTCATTGTGCAGATTCAAGCCACGTTTGAAACGGCGAAAGCTCGGCATCTGAAAGCAGGAACAAATGAACGAAGCCTTCTTGCCTACCGATTCAAGAGGCGCGTCGCGCGCGTCGGTGTGGTGGGTATCTCTGATCTCTGACCGTCGTCAGGTTGTTACGCGGCTGGTCACCCCGCAACGCAGCAACCGTGCTCCAAGCCCTTCCATGCCCGATATAAAAATATGCAACTGTATGGGCGATGCAGGGCCGGTTACATGGCTACGCTGTATATTAAAAGGCAACCAATCGCCTAGCCCTCATTGCTCCGAGCCGTATATGAAGACATCTCTATGCGACTCTTCCTGCCCCATTTGACTGAGACGACTCTATAACTTTCTTCTACCCACTTACTCAAATATATTTCAAACGCTGGACGTTTGCGACAATGGGTGGAATTGGTGAACGGCTTCGTATCGAACTGGTTAGTGGCGCTGCTCTCATCAGCTATAGCTGACCCGGATGTTAGACTGGCCGAAGGCTTATTTGGAACATCATCTGGTATGGTGTCCACTTTTTCCTCTGTAAGCCCGTCTTGCCTTTGCAACATTCGAATACTGATCGGGGGTCGCAGTTGCCTACGGGTGGTACTCGCAAGCAACCAACACCAAGCTGGCGGCTTTGAACGGTCTCAAGTTTTCCGTGTGGATTTCACGAGGAGCGGGTCTCGTGTTGGCCTTTGACGGGGCTGTCATTCTGGTACCGAGTAGGTACTTTTGCTTGTGACAAGACGAGGCTGATGGGTGCAGTGTTGCGCAATGTCATCAAGCTGGTGCGACCCCGGTTGATGTGGCTCTTTCCTGCGGATGAGAATATCTGGTTTCACCGCCAAGTCGCGTACCAGATGGTATTTTGGACGATGGTGCATACAACTGCTCACTATGTCAACTTTATTAACGTACGTCTATGATCAAAAGGCACGGGCTGATTGTGTGTAGGTCGAGAGGACGCAGGTGCGCAAACAGACTGCCTGGGAGATTCATTATACCCAGCCGGGTGGATTGACGGGACATGTGTAAGTCTATCCGCCCCTCTTGCCACGCTGACGAGAAATAGGATGCTCCTGATAATGTTTGTGCTGTATACCACGGCGCACGCGTCCATCCGGCAACAGTGTTTTGAAGCGTTTTGGTACACCCACCACCTCGTACGTTGACGGCCTGTTGAATGACACTGACAGGACCAGGCATTCTTCTTTATGATCGGACTGTATACCCACGCCACTGGGTGTTTCGTGCGTGACTCTGTGGACCCGGCGTACACGTCCGTGTTTCCGTTCTACGATACAGAGCACTGCCTTGGGTACGAGTCGTGGCGATTCACCATCTGGGCCGGCATTCTCGTGAGTCGCCGCGAGGACTTGGTCAGTACTGACGGGGAGTAGTACTTTGGCGAACGTATCTACCGCGAGATCCGGGCACGCAGAAAGACCGAAATTGTCAAGGTGTTGGGTCATCCCTCGGGCGCCATGGAGGTGCGATTCTCCAAGCCGTCCTTCAAGTACAAGGCCGGGCAGTGGTTGTTCTTGAACGTCCCGGAAGTGTCCAGATTCCAGTGGCATCCAGTGAGTCTTTTCCGCGATAGGTCATTGCTAATAGGTATAGTTTACGATATCGTCTGCGCCAGAAGACCCGTTCGTGTCGGTGCACATTCGCCAAGTCGGCGACTTTACCAAAGCCCTCGGCGCGCGGCTGGGCGCTTCCCCCGACCAAGGACTGATCCCCGGGCAAGTCGCACAAGACGACGAAAAGGGCAAAGGCGGGCGACGGGGCGACTTTATCCAGATCGACCCAAAGAGTTTGGGGCTGGAGATGCCAAAACTGAGGATTGACGGGCCGTTTGGGGCGCCGGCAGAGGATGTGTTTGGGTCGGAAGTGGCAGTGCTGATCGGGGCTGGTATCGGTGTTACCGTGAGTTTATCCGCATATCTCGGGGGATCTGACGGCTGATGTGATGATTAGCCATTTGCGTCCATCTTGAAGCATATCTGGTACGCTCAGCGATCCGGGCAGTGCGGCGCACTTCGACGGGTCGAATTCATCTGGAGTTGCCGAGATACGGGTGAGTATACATGGTGATAGCTGGACTGACAAGGTTAGGAACGTTTGGCTGGTTCCAGTCGCTTCTGGAAGAGATTGAGGCTGCTCAGACGGATCGTAAGTGGGAGAAGATGAAAGAGTGCATGGCTGACGACTTGTGCAGCCAACTTTTTGCGCATCTCGGTACGCCGCTGCACCATGACTCGGGATAAGCTGACCCGTGCAGATCTACTTGACGCAAAAGATGGACTCTGACCAGGTCCAGAACATTGCACTCAACGAGTGAGTCGTATTCATGGGATGAGATTCATCCGCTGACCATGCCTAGTATTGGGCAGGATTACGAGTGAGTACGGCCGAGTTGGCATTCGCGCTTCGCTAACCATACGACCTACAACAGCCCGTTGACGCTGCTGCAATCGCGTACGCTGTTTGGGCGTCCCAACTTTAAGCAGATATTCCAGTCGCTTGGCACGAGTCTGTCGCACGGGACGTATCTTCCGGGGCTGGAGGCGACGCTCAAGACGCGGGTCGGAGTATACTTTTGCGGGGTAAGTGCATGGCTGCGATCCTACGATCCAAGGGGCGGGCTGACGCTATGCAGCCGTCGGCGCTGGCACGGGTGATCCGAAGCGAGGCGCTGGGGGTGAAGAGCAAGGCTGTGGATGTCAAGTTTTACAAGGAGCACTTTTAGATGCGATGTACAGGGCTGCGTAATGAATGTCAGGAGACCGGAGGGTGGTTTCCGATGCTACCGGATGGGTGTTTGGTGAGGGCGGGGGTGGCCGCAAGGGCGGGAGGACGGGAATGGTGTGTGCCTGGCCTGGACCGTGACGACATGGCTGGGGATCGGGAGGGGCGATCTGCTGGAATGGGAGTATGAGATGGATGGTTGTCATTTGGTGCCGTGCCATTCGAAGTATTCGATTCCTGGCAACAAGAGCTGCAGTGCACAGACATGGCCAGCAGCGAGGCAGCCCATCCCCCCATGGACGCCGTCTGGGACCGCTTCTGCCCACACCTCCACCCCCGGCCCCCGGCCACCCCCCACGCCGCCCATCCGGAATGGAAGACTTCTCTCGACAGCCACGTCGAGGTGGATGGCGTCGGCACACTGCCCGTCATCAGGGTCCTCCAAGAGGTCTGGAAGCGTGGCGGCGGTGACTCGGCAAGTCCTTTTCATCCCTCTCGCACATCGCTAACACTCCCCAGGTCACTGCCCTCTGCCTCTGGCCCAGTGTTATTGTCGCCCTTGGCATGCCCTCAGATCCTGCTTCCCAGGTGCGCGTCCCACCGCCCTCGGCTCAATCAGCCATGTCTCTCCAGCAGCTGTACAATCTCACCATCCGGCACTGGGAGCCCTCCATTTTTTCAGGCCTCCTAGGGGCGTATGCCTCGGGCACCATGCCGCCACCTGTCGCCCAGCCAATGGACCGCGCCTTCCAGTCCCACCACTATGGCCCGTCCACGCCCATGCGCGAGGCGGATCTCACCCAGTGGATCAACCTCACCCCTGGCGCCTGGTCTGCCCAGCATGACCCGTTCATCGGCAACGGCGGCCAGAACACCCTTTTTCCTCGCAAGTCGTCTTTGGCGTCTACGGCCTTTCCCTTTCCCTTCCAGCTTGATGACGAAAAGAAGCCTGCGGAACAAGACGAGCAGGCCTCGACAGAGGATGACAATCACGTGGCGGGTCTCGACGAGCTGTTGGCGGGCATGGAAGACCAGCGCGATGATGTGCAGCAGGATGTCAAGCCGGTAGAAAACACCACCACCCAGACATTCAATCTGCCCACGCCTGAAACGACGTCGCCTGATTCACCCAACACCACGTCAAACAAGATGGTATTATCCCCCCCGACGACCATGTCCTCTCCGTTTGTCACGGCAGGCTCGTCCGTCAGCGCTGCCCCCGTTCCCGTTCCCGCTCCCGTCCCTGCCAAACCCCACACCAAGGCACGTCCGCCCCAACTGTCCATGCCCCCCGTCGACTTTGTACCGCCGCCTCCGATGTGCATGTTTTTCAAGTCGGCGTTTGACAATCTGACCGACGGCAAGGTCGGGATTTGGAAGGGTGATTTGGAGGTGCGAGGCAGGGGCGGTGGCAAGTTTTCAGTCTTGGTTGTTGGCGAGCAGGGCTTTGATCATTTATGGTGAGTCTTCAAGACGGCCAAGTGTCCCAGGCTGACAGAAACAGGCAATCAACCGCTTGGCCGCAACAACTCTCGTATCCCATGCGGTCGGTATCGGATAACGACTGCTATACCAGTTCCATGATCCCCGTTTCGCATCTCGCCCGCGAGGGTCTCGTCCCCATTACCATGGGCATGGTCCTGTGTAACGAGCCGGCAGATAGGATCGACCCGTATGTCAAGATGGTGCACGGCCTGCATGCGGAAGGAGTCGTAAGTCTTACCGACACTATGATACATCCACTAACACGAAACTAGGCATTCCACTTGCCATGCGATGACCCGAGGCTGCCCGTCGTCTTTCTCCCTGCCAAGTTTCATGCCAACGACCCGCTCCTCCGGCTGGGCGTCGCATTCATGGGAAAGGCCGGGCTCCCCTACCCCGCCGCCGGGCTCCCCCAACCAACCAACCAAGATGCCGAAGAGAGCGGGGTGGACGAGCCGGCGAGAAAGAAGAGGAGACAGAGTGCGCCTGTGCCGTCCAAGAGCAAGAGCAGGAAAGGCTCGAAAGATTAAAACCAAAAGCTAGACCCTAGCATCCCGCGCAAAGCAACATTACGACCATACGACCATCATGACCAAATCGTCTTCCATATAGACGCCCATTCGTCGTCTACAAGGACAATTTCTTTTTCTACTGTAAATTACAATCCCGTCTCGATCTGTACAAAAGGCAAAAGGCTAGAGACGGAAGGGGTCTCAGAAGGGAAGAAACCGTACGCGAGTCGAGGTACAATAAATAATGCAAAGGATCTCTTCAGACAAAATAGCTGCATATATCACATACCTGGGGACCGCATACGGTGACACCAGGACTATCATGGGTTCCTGCGTACTGCTGGCAGATGCTCTGTATCGCTTCGTCCAGCTCTTCGACAGTGAGATCTGCCGAGATTGCGGTGTTGGATATAATGACATCCTCGATAGGTCGCTCTTCCTGACTATCGCCGCTGATGCCACGTCAGTCTCACACAGTGACTGAAACAACTCACTCGTCAGACGCGGAAGGAGCCCGGCAGTATCTGAGATACCTCTGCACCCAGTCCACAATCACCTCCATATGCTCCCTCTCTGTTTCCTGCGGCGCCAAGTCGAAATGCAGCCTGTCTGCCTTGCCCAGCCAGTACTCGTGCAGTGCCGGCCGCGCATTGTGCAATGTAAGCGCATGTTTCCGCCGCGCCAGCAGGCCGAGAAAGGTATCAAACGGCCGGTCGATGAGCCAGCCTCGTCCAACGTCCAGTGGGTCCGGGTCCGGCATGTGGATACAGATCTTTTGTGGGGCGAACGGCTCGAGTGACGGGGCGATGAATTGAGCTTGTTGAGATAGCACCAATTCGGGCTCTTCGTACAGCACCAGGCCGAGGAGGGGGCCGAGAGAAAGTCTCTGGACAGAGGTGAAAAGGTCTCGAGGTTCGCCCGTCTCTTGTCCTGCGCGTAGCGAGACAGCTTTGCGCCAGGCATGCCTTGCTTTCAAGAACGAGCTGAATGCGTCGGGCGTCTCGAAGCGCAGTGTCTCGCAGTATCGCACCAGTGCGACTTTGCGCGACCCGTAATGTGCCTCTCCTGGGTAGAGAAACCCATAAGAGAGATGCGTGGCTATATCCCCGGGGAACGGCGGGGATGCTTTCGCCAGTCGAGTGCACGACAAGAGCCCTTCAAAGAAGCGGTCGCCGTTGGTATCGTTCAGTGACACGGTCCGGTACAGTCGCAATATGTTGTCGAGGTAGAACTCGGCACTGAACGAGATGAGCCTGGCTATATGCGCCAAGCACAGATCGTCATTGCGAAAGAGCAGCTGGAATATGCGGTTGCACACCTCGGCAGGCAAGGGGTGGAGGGTGGTGATGCTGGGGTAGAGTGGGATTCTGTCAGCATCCTCGCAGGTGCAGGGCATGCTAGTCTGGGAGGCATACGGGACAGCACAGCGGGATGCAGCGATGCAGCGATGCAGAGGATGATTGGAGAGGCATGTTGGATTACGTTGGAGGTTGCGGCGATGTCCGCCCGCTGCCACAAGCGGTATCCCCGTGAGTGGCTCCCGTCTATTCTCTCTCTCTTTCAGTGCATCCCTGCCATCTCCACAAAATGCCCCCCTTCGCCGCCGTACGTGCCCTCCCATGCCCACAGCGATGCCCGCGGCAGGAAAAGCTGACTCTGCCCCTCCCAGCGCCTCCTCCGCTCCCCTCTTCTCCCCACCTCTGTCGTCGCATCTACCCTCTACATGTCCTCCCCTTCGCTCGCTGCCGACGAGGGCAAGGCCCCTGCCGCCCCCTCTGTTTTCCCCGGACGCTCAAGTGCAGGCGAGAAGGTCAGTCAGACATCATCATGACGTGCTCCAGCTCAATATCTACGTAGCTTCCCATCTACCCCACCCCCAAACACACGCCCACAGTCACCCTCGTCGAGACGCACAACCCTATCGTGCCGTATATCACTCAGAGCAGAGAAGCTGTCAGCGGCGTGTTGGGCGACGCAAAGGGCGCTGTCCAGGGCGGTGTCTCTAAATGGATCTCTTTCGAGCGAGGTGTCGAGCGTGGGTATCGTCATTGGGACCGAAAACGGCCAGCTAATGTCTTTGATAGGCGAGGTCAAGTCGGTCCTCCCTTCTGACGAGCCTCTGAACCCGGGATTGATCTATGTCCTCATTTCCGGTCTTTCTGGCTCTGTCCTCACCCGAACCCGATCCCTGCCCATCCGGTTCCTCGCCCCTCCCATCTTTACCCTCCTCGCTTTCCCCTACTTCCTCCCTAAAACCTCGCACAACATCCGATCATACTTTTCCAACCTCGAAAACAAGCACTTTCCCGAACTTGCTGCCAAGCACGACCACATTGTGCAGACTGGCATTGCCCATACCTCTGGGCTCTTCTACAGGATCGGAGATGCCGCCGAGGATGCTAGAGAGTGGGGACACAAGGCTGTTGAGGGTGTCGAGAAGACTACAGGGCTGAGGCTTGGCGAGGCCGTGAGCAGGGTCGAAAAGGAGCAAGGGAGATTGGCCGAGCAGAAGGCTGTCGCGGTCCCTGTGCAAAAGTACGAGACGGTTGGCTATGTAGTGGAGCAAAAGCCGGTGGCAGAGGTTGTGGCTCCTGTAGAGCCCAAGGTGGAGAAGAAGTTGGTGTAATAATCAAGAGATGGGTAGAGTACATGCAATTATTACAGAATATCATGACGGTCAGACGGGAAGAATGTGGCAACCAAGAGAGCCCCGACCGCCCCAGCCGTTGCGCGGTGTGATAGATATTCGGATCTGCTCTTGTTCACGCAGTATGAGGAGTGGGAGGGCAGTCTGGAACAAGTCAGCGCGGTCGCAAACCGGGTTGAGACCTGCATTTTCTGAACGCGACACGACGGCTGCTATAGCTTGCAAAGCCGCATCAGAGGCATGTGTGATACCAGCAAAAGAATAGACGAGATCTTGTGCTTTGAGCCCCTACAAAGCGTGTCAGTGATCTGCCAGCTGATGTCCTAGCTACATACCGCCTCAGCTGCTGGGCTGCCTTCGGCCACAGAGTTGACCTTGACCACCGCCTTCTCGGGCCACGCCTCTGCCGATTGGGCACGAGGTTGCGGAGGGTGTCCGTTAATCGCTAAAGTATTTCCATTGGGCTGGGTAGAGTCAGAAGACCCCGAAGCGAATGCCTCGTTCAGAGCATTGCCGAGTAACTCGTTGACCGTCTGCCGATCGGTTTGCAGGCGCACAAGAGATGAGCGAGCGTGTCGGATGGCATACTGACATGACATCAGTTGGCTGCCACGCAGGGGCCGTATTGACTAACTATATCGATATCGCCTCGAGGATAGCCCTCATTGTCCACCAGAGAAGTTGACTGAGTTGTTCCGTGCTACATGGTGTGAGCGACGGCATGTCCGTTGGCAGTCTATACTGACAGAGGTGAGAACACCGGTCAGTACGTCCTATACATGGTTAGTGTGGTACAAACAGACACGAGGCGCCTACAATCTCTTTCTGGATGGCGTCCCGACGCTGCATCAGCGCCAGCGCATACTCTCTGGGTTCTCCCTCGTACGCTTCCGGATGCGGAAGGGGCAAGGCGAGGATGGAGGGCTCTTCTGGGGGCGGGAAGACAAGGTCCATGTTGAGTGGAATGGGTAGAAATGATTAAATGCATTTGGAAGAGGAGATGGCCAAGATTCCGCGTCACGACTTGCGACTTTTCATCTCCGTCGGTCGCCTTGTTGATTCCTCGAAATCGCATGGTCACCGCGAAAATCATAAACACTTTCCGATCCATCGCACCCTTTTCCCCCCGCCTCCTGCACACAAGACACACCATGCCTGCCCCTCTCCCCTTCACTACCTTCGTCGACGAGACCCAGGTCGGCATCCTCTCCGTCCTCCGTGCTTGCTACCTGTCAGTCCCTGCCTCCCCCAGCGCTCATCTGTCTGACTCATGCCCAGTACCAAAAACGTCCAAGACACTCTTGTCACCAAGGACACTCTTCTCAAGTCTGACAAGTCTCCCGTGACAGTGGCCGACCTCTCCGCCCAGTCCCTCATCTCCCTGCACCTCCTTGAGCACTTTCCCAAAGATCCCATCATTGGAGAAGAGGACACCAGCGAGCTTCGGGTCAACGAGCCTCTGAGAGAGAGGGTCCTCGGTCTTGTCAACGACGGTCTCAAGAGAGAGGAAGGGTGGGGCAAGGACAAGACTTTCTCCGAGGAGGAGTGAGTAACAGCAGATCCTCTGGCACTGTCCCTGCTGACAGTATCTAGAATTCTGAGTGCCATCGACGCTGGATCGTCCGAGGGCGGTCCCAAGGGCCGATTCTGGACGATCGATCCCGTCGACGGAACTTCTGGGTTCATCCGACACCAGCAATTCGCCGTTTGCCTCGCCTTGATCGAGGACGGTGTCGTGCAAGTCGGCGTCATTGGATGTCCCAACCTCGGACCTGAGCCTGCAAAAATTGGCGAGGAGATCATCCCCAACGGCAAAGGTGTTCTCATGGTGGCGGTCAGGGGCGAGGGCAGTTGGTCTGTAAGTCGTCGTGTCAAGTCGTTGAGCCCTTGCTCACTTGGTGCATAGCGACCTTTGGACTCGGAGGTCTACACCAAGCTCAACCTCCCCCCCTCTCCCCCGGCTTCAAACCCTCTGACATTCTTGGAGTCTGTCGAGTCTGGGCACTCTGCGCACTCTGTCCAGGCCCGCATCGGTGCTCTCCTAGACGTCCAGCGCCCCTCTCTCCGTATGGACTCGCAGGCCAAGTACACCTGTCTCTCCCGAGGAGAGGGTGGTGTCTACCTCCGCATCCCCACAAAGTATGCGGGCGGAAAGATTTACGAGGAGAGGATCTGGGACCACGCACCTGGAGCTTTGTTGATTGAGGAGAGTGGTGGTATCTGTACAGACATGTGGGGCAAGGCGCTCAATTTCGGTGTTGGTAGGACTCTGAAGGAGAACGACGGTATCGTGGCTGCCGGTAAGGAAGTGCACCCCAAGGCCGTGGAAGCTGTCAAGACGGCCATCGAGGAAGCTCAGAGCAAGAAGTGAACTGTACGAGTATTGTATGCATGATGGGTCATCTAGACTACTCGTCGCCCCAGGCCTGTAGCCCCTCGTTACCGACTCGAAAATGAAATCCGATGCCCTCTTTCCCCAAGAGCGCACCGTCCGACCTTACCATCCTTACCAGGCCATTGTACGTATCCCCTCGTGTATCTTCGGCCTTATCATTCCTCTCGCGGGCTTTGACTCTGAGGGCGTCGGCAATCATGGTATCTCCTGGCAGTTGAAGGCCTCGTGAACGACCCATGAGGCTCAACTGGATGTTGAGTGGCCAGTACATGGGGTTCGAAGCCGACAAGGGCAGATTGTTGGATGAAGCGAAAGGACTCGGGTAAGGGGGTGGCAGATGTGGCAGATGAAAGGGCTGGGCGTCGCGGGAGACCTGTTGGACGATCAGACATCCGTCAAGATATTGATCAGCCTGACTTACCCGTAGACTCTGTGCGCTCATCACGACCACGCTCCCGAGCTCCTTGCGAACAGCTCCTATAGCCTCCATGACCTGCCTCAAACCGATATCCTCCATTTCCACTGCTTTTCCAGTCAAGTGAGGCTGCTGTCTCCGACCGCGCTCCTCCTCGGACCATCTCTTAAGGTAGTAGGCATCGGACAGGCCGTCAATGGCAAGCAAGTCAAGGGCATGGCCAGAGTTTGAAAGAGGAAAGGTGTAAGGCGAAGTCTCATCTAGAACACTCTGAATACCCAACGCGAGGTCTTTCCACCTGGGTTTGCCTGTCCATATACGAAGCCGGCTCATACTGTCTTTGATGACACTGTTGACCATATCATCTTCTACTCCCGGGGCACAGGCTTTGATGTGGGCTTCCATGGCGCGTCGAATGAGAGGTAGGATTGGCCGATGCGTGTTGGGCTGAAAGAGCATGGCCTGAGCCTCTTTCCCCCCAAGATTCGTAGACAGCGGGGCCGGAAGGGTAGCCGAGAGTATGGTGATGAGAATCAGGAATGTAATCAAAGAGCTTTTGCCTTTGCAATTGAGCTCTCACCAACATAGGCGATACGAGACATACCTGATCCACTGGTGCCGACAATTTCCACCAAGTCGCCTCGCCTCAAGGATGAGCTGCCCGGATGCGGACGAAGATGTAGCAGAGCAGCATCCAGCGACGGGACGAATGTAGGACCAGGAGGAGAGGCTGTATCGTTGTCAGTTTACATCGCGCGTGGTATCGACGACGGACTGTTGTAGCGGATACCCATGAGCGCCTGGTAGCCCGTCAGCATGCCCTTCGAAGTGATACTTGCTGGTATGAAAACAAGAGGGGATACTCGCCTCGGCAGCAGTCCCATATCCAATCTCTGCCAAAGATGGCCCGTTAGAAGAGCTATCTTGTTGGCCGACCATGATTTGTAGTCGGCACGCAGGTTTGTCGGCTACAGGAGGGATTTTGACAGCCAGAGCCTCGATTGGCGACCGGGGATCATAGAGAAGCTGTGTGAAGGAGTGAATGCGTGAAAAAGGTTGACAAGGAGGGAGGTCTCTCTCTCTATTCTCTATCACGCTGGGTTGGTTGTGTGACGGTAGCAGGACGGTAGCAAGGTTAACGGTCCATTCAGCCCACCGGGCAGCGTGGAAATAACTCACAGTATAGTTCTCACAGCAATTAAAACAGTCCAGGGGGTGTAGCTCATTTGGCAGAGCGCGTCATTAGCATTCTTCAACGAGTGGATTTGACGAGGTACTGAGTTCAATTCTTAGCTCCTCCATTTCTTTTTGGCTCCCAGCATAGATTGATGCCTTCTCGCTGCCTACATTCTTTTCTTGTATTGCTCTCTTGTGGAGCAAGAAGCTTCACGTAGCCGGTTGTAGTCATGATGGCCAGCACGTCGGAACCACGTACTCACTACTGCTGGGTTGTTGTCCTCCGATCCGTCCTTTTGTTCAACGTTATAAGTGTTCCCCAAGCCTCCTTCATTTCCTTCAGAGTTTTCGGCGTGATTGAGCCTCTGGCGTGTCAGAATGATTGCAATACCCACTCCCGGAAACCAGTTGCCGTGTGTTAGTGCTTGAGGAAGAATTAAATTTGCCGAGTGGTATACACCAACAAACAACGTCAGCAGCCACCAACGTTCAAGCCAAGGCAAGAGCCAGCGTTTGTACTGTACTCTACTCCTACACTGACATGCGTGTGCACGCTTTAATGCTGGTAGACCCAGCCAAACGACTCAAACCAAGGATCACAGGACACAAAAAGTAAAAGAAATGGAGGAGCTAAGAATTGAACTCAGTACCTCGTCAAATCCACTCGTTGAAGAATGCTAATGACGCGCTCTGCCAAATGAGCTACACCCCCTTGATTGTTAACTCGCAGTTTGCAGTTTCTCTCTCAGGCGAGCATTGTGGCATAAACAGAGATAGCGAGCCTGAACCTTGCCATATATGCTACACGTAGTCTGTATCAGCCAGTGGGCATCGGGTTGATCGTGATCGATGAATGGTCTTGACGAAGCGCAAACTGACGTCGAGCCAGACCGACGGGCACATGATGATGCGCGCGGTGGAGGTCAGGTGGATCCCATATCATGTTGTTGTGCAGTCAAGCTGGGAAAGGCGCTCCCATTGCACCAGCACACCCTCTCACCCATGTCGCTCACTCGCATACCCCCATCTATTAGACTCTCGGGCTGCCTCAGGCAGTCGATATCACGCCGGTCATTGTCCACCCAGTTCGAGTCACACGCCTTTCTACGCCCCCTCTTGTCCACTCGCTCTGACTCTGCTTTATCAGAGCTGGAAGGCGTATTATGCCTGACTTTGAATCGGCCCAAGACCAAGAATGCGCTCAGCGTACAGATGGTCGCAGTAAGTCAGCCAGGGATGTGACATGCGTCATGCCGACGGAAGGGTGCAGGAAATGCGTGAGGCGCTGACGAGGATTGAGACACACAAGTGATTACCCATGGTCGAAAGCAAGAATTGCAGCTGAATCGACATAGTGCTCGTCTTCTCCTCCTTGAATCGTCCACACCGTCCATTTTCTGCTCCGGGGCAGACCTCCGTGAACGCCGCACAATGTCTCCCTTGGCCGTCTCCAACTTTCTCGATTCCCTCCGCGGTCTACTTGGCGAGCTGGAGGATGTGCAGGTACCCACAGTGGCAATTGTAGATGGGTATGCCCTGGGAGGTGGAGCGGAGCTTGCTCTGGCATCTGACTTGCGGGTCGGGGGCGAAAACTCAAAAATGGCGTTGCCAGAGGCGAAACTGGGCATCATACCGGGGGCAGGCGGGACGCAGCGTCTGACGAGGCTAGTCGGTCCCTCAAAGGCCAAGGAGCTCATCTTTACAGGCCGCCATGTGAACGGTCCGGAAGCAGAACGTATAGGTGAGTTGTATGATCATGTGAGAGACGACACCGCTGACGTTTGTGTGGGCCTTCTTAACATCTACGCCCAATCGCCTTCGTCCGCAAGAGAAGCTTCTTTGATCCTAGCCCGCCAGATTTTGAGTTCCGCCCCCTTGGCTTTAGCGGCCGCCAAAAGTGCTGTCGATGGCGCTACCGATTCGTCTCTCGACGCTGGGCTCACATTGGAGAGAGGGATGTATAATGGCTTGTTGGATACCTATGATAGACAAGAAGGATTGAACGCATTTGCAGAGAAGAGACGTGCCGTATTTACCGGCCGCTGAAATGTTGGGCCGTACTAGCATAATCTACATACTCGTACTGTACTCGTACATGTGACGTATTATGTGTTGGTACGCTTACACAGCAGCTTGCTTGGCTCGCGAAGCCTTCTCCCACTCTTCGGCTTCCTGCACTAATCTTGACCTCTTCTGCACCTCTGTTTCCTCCACCTTCTCGAGCACATACTCTACACTAGCAAGCCCTCTAGTAGCAGAACCGGCAAAAGTAGGTTGGACATGATGAAGATTTGAGAGGTTGGAGGAGGCCGAGAGGATAGGCTTCGAGCTGAGCTGCTGGACAGCATTGCCGGAAGGCTGAGTCGATTGGGGGACATGAGGTGTATTCGTGTGAGGCTAGATAGATGTCAGCTCATTGAAATCGTACATGGAGCAAATGTCTCACCTCGTAGGCTGCTCTAATGACACCAGCCTGCCATTTTCTTCCCAAACCCCAATTGTGCGTGCTCGAAACGTGGCCCTCCTTTTCCACAATGATTGCACCCGCTTCTTTAGGCGGCTCATCCATCATGACATCGCCTCCTGTTTGTGAAGTCCCCTCGTCTCCCATTACCACTTCATTCGAAAGCCCACTCTTCTTGATTTCGCTAGAGCTTTCCACACCAATGAAACGATGTTTATCTCCTTCCGCTTCCTTCTCCGCAGCAAACACCCAGCCTCTGGCACCATCCACTCCCTCCAGTACCTGAAGCCTTTCGGCCCTGAAGCCCTTGAGCTGCTCGTCAACAAGCCGGCTCTCCTCGGCCGTTTTGTACATCCAATCCTCCTCCGTTACGCCAGCGGTCTTCAGCTTGCTTCGTTTGTTGCCCCATCCACCGTCCGTCCAAGGATCAATACCATTGCTGGCGAATTGCGTAGTAAGACCACCGGCAGTGTAGAAAGCAGACAAGCTAGCGAGTGTTCGAGACTCGTTGGCAGCAGCGCGCGCGCCGCGGTCGCCGGTATTTTGGGCGATTTGAATGAATTCCTCTTCGGGCACCAGGGATCCCGGTTCGATACCTTCCGCGGCACATTCGGCTGCAGCTCGGTCCTCGTAATAGTCGTCAACCACATGCCTGCCATCTGAGACCATCAATATCATCACAATCATACATGATAGGGCGACTCACTTTTGACGACCTTTGCACCCATGGCCTTGTAGACATTACGCAAAGCCACCATGGTCACCTGGCGGTGTTTTAAATTGCCTGAAATGCGATTCAAGTCGATGAGTTTCAGCCTCTCTCCAGCTGTACACGACAGCTTGAGAATGGTAGGATATCTGCGCAAGAACGCCAGAGAGTCGCCATAGCCGCAGGCTCGGGCAGCATCGATAGTGAGGGCGTAAAGGCGGTCGGAATTGCGGCGTTCAGTGGAGGTAAAGGTGACAGGCTTGTACTCTCTTCCACCCAGCAAGCGGCCACATTCATCGATTTTGGTGTCACCCTTGGGGTCGCTGGCAACAACCAGCTCGTCGTCACCGACCGTGTACTCCTCGCCCTTGATTGTGACCGTTGTGCCCACTACTCTGGTCAGCAAGTTCTGATCACACGACTTGGCCGGGGCTTACTCTGATAATCCGCGGGCGGACCAATGGCGTGCTTTCTCACGACATTGTTTGATTTTCTGCTGGGCTTTGGTGTATCTTCCTCGCCTCTCTCTGCCTTCTCCCGTCTGACCTTTTCCCAACGAGCTCGAGCAGCAGCAGCGGCAGCGCCTTTGACACTGAACCCGCCTCGACCTGAACCACCAGGGATCTTCTCCTTCTTATAAGAGCCATCTCGCTCGTCATCCCCATCATCTTCGCCAGCGGCTCGTTTAGGTGGGCGTCCTCGTCGTCTTGGTGTCGCAGGAGCTGTTTTTGAGATTAGCAGGTTGGAGATGCTTCAAAGTGTTGCGACTTGCCGCCATGTGACTCGTCGTCGTCGTCGTCCTCATCCTCATCATCTTCTTGAAATGCCTCCCCTGGAAGAATCTCCTTGTAGCTGACGCTCTTTCGCCCTCTCCGCCACGAAGCCTTGTCCTCCTCCTCATCGTCTTCCTCTCCATCCTTTGCGAGGGTCTTCTTGTTAAGCGATCCCTTGGGCCTGCCTCGCTTCTTTGTTTGGGGCGCGACGTCCTCCGACTCGTCGTCGTCTTCCTCTTCCTCTATCTCTCCTTCGGCATCTTCATCCAGGGACTCGTCTTCTTCAATGGCGGGCTCGTCGTACTCGAGCTGAGCGCGTCTGCGGCGAGTGCGGGGCGTTCCCTCGGTGGGAGTGTCGGCTGCGGATGCCCTCTTTGGGCGGGAGCGGGAGGACATGGCGGTGGATGGCTGACGCGACAGTGCTCGATAACAAAAACAACATATAATAGCCATTCATTCAGAAACAGGTGGGTAATAATGCCGGTGTGGCAGAGACGGCGGCGATCCCCGCAGGCCACCCCTGAATTAGTGCTGGCCGGCTGGGCATTACGCAATCAGTTACGTCCCTGCTGCAGCAGTTATTACCCGCGACGCGGCCGGCGTTTTTTGTTGTTGTGATTGTCGTTTCCTTGGCGTCGCCACGAATCTCTTGTCCTGGCATGTACAGCATGCAGCCCTCCACTAGACAGCTGCCACTAGCGGGAGCCTCCTTTGTCATGACCCGCAGCCCTCCTTCGCCGCCTCTCCCGTCGCCATGGGATGTTGACTGACAATTCTCGACCTTCTCTCCCTGTAAATCTTACCCGCTACCCCGCATCCCACACGGTCTTCTACATTCAATTTCTTGCAATTGTATCCCACTGTCTCCTCCAACGTTTCCGATCCGAGCCCTTTCAACCCTTCCTTTTAGTTACTCCACCGGCCACCCAAGCCGCCTTGGCATACGACAAGTTTTTGATCAACGCTGTCTGCTGTCCAACTACGAAAACGTCTTCACCACGCTCTTTAAAACCCACCGGCCCCAACGGTACCGACTTGGCCACCTTCGCAACCTTTGATTCTCATCACACGTCTCCTCCACGTCTCCTCACACGTCTCCTCACATGTCTCCCAGCTCGCAGCTACAGGATCACCCTCTTCGGCGCGTTCTCCAATCCCAACGTTGGACACCATGCGCAGCTTTTCTCAAGCATTGACTCGTGTTCTTTCACTGTCACTACTCGCTCCAACCGCCTTTGCCCTCTCGTCATGGTATACGGAACCAGGCGGCACTCCTGCTGGATCGGACAATGGAGATAAAGTCAGAGGCGTCAATCTTGGCGGCTGGTTCCTCCTAGAGAACTGGATGATGCCCAGCTTTCTCAAGACAGATATCGTCAAGGACACCTACATCAACGACGAGGTGCGTATGATGGCGTCGGTTTACTAGTGCAAGGCGTAGACTTATGGGTATCGTAGTGGTCCTATTGTCTTGTCCTTGGACAGGATGAATGCATGACAAGGCTCGAAGCACATTGGGACAGCTACATCTCCGAAGATGACTTCAAACGTTTCGCCAACTACTCCCTCAATACTGTTAGAATTCCGATGGGCTATTGGGCCTGGACCGCTGTTGAGGACTATGAGCCGTGAGTCGACGTCGACGTTCACGGGCGCGCACGAGGCTGACCGTTGTGCTCAGTTGCCCTACCTCGAGCGAGCCCTCAACTGGTCAAGCCGGTATGGTCTCGACGTCATGTTGAACCTCCACGGTACGTGGCTGTTCAACTGTAGCTGGTGCCTTTGCTGACTTGACTCTAGGCTTGGCGGGTGGACAGAATGGGCAAGACAATCAAGGCTACAAGGGGCCCATCGAGTTTCAGCTCAACACTACCAACATGGACCGGTCTCTTGAGGCCCTCGCCAATATGCCCCCGTTCGTTATGCAAGAAAAGTGGAATGGTGTGGTCAAGGCCATCGAGCTCACAAATGAGGTCCGTGCATCTGATAGTTCACGGTGATACCAGACTGATGATTCATTAGCCGTATATTCTCGAATACAGTAGTGAGGGAATGAGCTTTGATGACCTTGCCGATTTCTATGTCCAGGGATATAAGACTGTCAGAGCCAATGAGAAAATTATTTAGTGGGGCCAACGAGACCATGATAGTCATTCACGATGCCTTCCAGCCGCTCTTGAACTGGAAGTACTTTTGGTCAGAAGCGAGCTTGGGCTTGAATTGGACCAATTATGCTCTTGATACTCGTGCGTATCGAGCTGCTCTGGAAAATCATCGCTGACACCAGCTCCAAGACGCATCAAGAGCACCTCATATGCGAACAACTATACCAATATAGATATTTCTGGGGTTGAGCCCAAAAATCTCAACGCAAATAATGCCAACACATCCGACTCAACGACAGGGTCGTCCTCTACCTATTCTTCGGCTTCTACTGCATCCTCAACAAGTGGTGCTCTCCACACGACTTCACTCTCGATCTCTTCATCCATCGTCTCTTTCGTATTTTTGCTTTCAAACTTTACCATATTCTAGATACTTTTATCGGGACTGTGCTCCGTACATTCCTCATCTCTTACGGACACTGTCACAATTGACTCGGATATAGAATACATTTGGGGAATATGCACGCTGAGCCATTTTCCTACCCACTCTACTCGTACAGTCTCCAACTGGTAACAGCGTACCCGTATTTTTCTCAATCGCTTGGAGGCCAAAGACTTCCTCTCAATCCTGATTTCTGATTTTCCCCGGTCTGACTGATTGACATCCTCATCAACGCCGAGAGTGGTGAAGATTTTCTGACAACGTCGCTAGGATATGCCTTGGTCCCATGCGTATGTCAGTCTGCAATGCTGATACCATACACAACAATCAAATCAACATACTGGATGAACGATGTTCACGAATCGCTGGAGTCGCTTGACTCCTTTTTCGGTCTTGAGCTGTTCGCGGACGCCGGCGACGCTTGGATATGTCGATGTCCGACGACGATGTTTCATTGTAAGATAGACATCCTCACCGTCTTCCTCGTCATCCACCGCACTGTAGTAACCCTATCAGAATCTCCTCGAAAGTAAACACTCTGGAAGAATGAAGCTCACAAATCGTCCCCATTGTTAGTACTAGTGTGGCCATCCAGTTGGGCTTGGCATGTTCCCTGCCTGCCCCTCCCAGGTCTCAGACGCGGTTCTTCACTGATTTGTCCTCCTCTTTTACCCAGTCCCACTTTGGCATGCAGTCCCCTACAAGCGTATACCTTCTCTTGAGCTTGCAGGGCACTCTTTAAAAGGCACAACCGGCTGAACTCGTCTGCGGAACCTTCCAAGAGGTGGCGCCGCAAGCGGAATAGTGCGGCATTGATAAAGATCGGCCGGGTTGGATCAGGGAGAGGAACTCCGGAAGAGACTCTGGGGAGGAGAGTGTTGGCCAGCTGGCTAGTATATAGATCAGTATGAATTTAAACACTGGGCCAAGATCACTATGAGTGGCTTACATCTGTTTCCAGCTGGGCTTCGTGAGCACAAACTGCCGCATGGCCCTCTGCACAATGACATCCCCTCCATTTGGATTGCAGAATGGATCACGAAGATCATCGGAAGATATCTGTAGCAGCTGTTATCATTAAAAGTTAGCGATTTTGATGGTTTATACGACTGACCTCCTGCTGATACTTGACGCCAGAGTTTGATTCATCTACCAGTTCAGGGTCTTCAGTCTTTTCTTCGTCTAGACACTCATCATACGCCAAGTCCCTGAATGGGTCCAGCTCCTCAAAAACTGTCCTCATACTGTCAGAAGCACCTCTCTCCTTTTCACTTTCACTTATTTCTTGTTGCTGCTATGTTGATCGACGGACTCGATCGCTGGTGACTGATATGAATGATGTGGAGAGGTCAAAACGAAACCGATATAGGGATTCTCGTGGCTACCATGCAAGAGAAATGGTTCCTACCGTGATCCATCCCATGAGCGCCCATAGTCAGGCGGATAGAGTACGCAGGCGGATAGACAAGTATCGCGCGAAATCCTCCCCTGTAATGCGCAATTAGAAAAATCAAAATCACACGCGGAGGCCTTGACGTCACGGCGCAGGGCGGTGTGCATGGTTGCTATCGAAAGCATCGAGAGTGGCTGCGCATCTCAACGTGCAGCAATGGCATCCCTCAAGGACACCCATCCAGAGAACGTAGAGGCACACGACCTCCTCTCCATCGACCACGCAGTCGTCAAGCAGGCAAGTACCATCTTCATCCCAACCAACCCTCCCGCCCCTGACGTCCACAGTGCTTCGACAACGAGGAGGGCACCCTGGCAAAAGGGCAGTTCAGGTGCGTCCATCTCCATCACCACGTACAGGACTGATGTGGTCAAAGACTGCAATGTGTATCGCTTCCCATCCCCAAGGAGATCGGGCGTCAAACGGCGAACCCTTTTGCCCCATCTCCTTCAGATCCCCCCATCCCGACCCATGACTACTGGCTCATCATTCAGGTCGGCGCGTCATTCGAGCTGCTGGCTACACCGGGTCAGCTATTCACCCCGCAGGTGACAAAAGACAGCATCACCTACACCATTACTTCCCGAGACATACCAGGAGCGTCCATCGCCTTCATCTTGCCATATCCCCAGACCAATGCCCAGCTCGAGGACTTGGAATCGCTGGAGCTCTTGCTTCACCACTACAAGTCCATGGGAGCAGAAGCGACGGCTTTGGCCGGTATCGAGCCGCAGAATCTGACCGGCTCAGCGCTCGCCCCGGAAGAGTTGCGGGGCAAGTTGGTTCTGGTCAACAACGACAACGGCGAAGTGCTGGGTGAGATGGACGAGAATCTGGATATTGAGGTGGATAAGAGGATTGCCAAGGAAAACGAGAATCTTCCTGTTGTTTTGGACTTTGAGCAGGTAATGGAGGGTCATCAGGCTCTGAGAGTCAAGGTCAAGACGGTGCCAGAAGGCGATATGGATGACTGGCTTCTTCGTGGAGCAAACTCAATCAGGTATGCCTGATACATGAGACGTTTTGAAAGATACTGATTGTCTACAAGCCGAGGAATCTTGACTTTCGGAGCGTGGTCGTCACGCCAGATGATGTCAGGGGCAGACCAGTTTGTCAAAGGCTCCACTCCTCGAGAGAAACCTGTGGTCTTTTCGCCTCAGACCAAGGAAGGATTTATGAAAGTTCATAAGGCTTCTGTTACCACGGCAACTGTCACAAAGTCTACCTTGAACAAGATTCACGGAGTCAGTACCTTCTGTGAATGACGTCTGGGCTGCGCTGACGGTTGATGTAGGCGATTCAAACGGTAGCAGGAAAGACATACACCCACGGGGTCCAACCAGTCATGAGTACCTATCAGGAAAACTACCGAGAGCTCGCGGGACCCCCTCTCCCCCCCCGAAAGCAGCCCCAACAGGTTGCAGCATCATCAGCATCTCAGAAAGGCGCACCCTCCATCCCAGACAAACCGTTGGAGCTAGGTGGCGCCCAAGTTCCGTATGCCGCGCGTCAATCCCCCAGCCCAACTAAAGGGAATCAGCTAGCTTATCCAGCGAGCACGCAAGCCGCCACAGGTCAGCTAGAGAAACCACCCAACTACTCTGTGGATCCTAGCGCATCTCGCCTGCCATCTGACGTCGTCCCAGACCAGCCAAAGAAGAAGAGAGGGCTTCTGAGCCGAGTGGTGCTGGCAGGCGAAGTGGTCTTTACTTCTCTTGAAGCCACCGCACATGATATCATCAACAACGGTACCATCGCAGCTTCCACTGCGGCTGGTCACAAATACGGCAGAGATGCCGGAGAAGCCACCGCTCTGGTGGGAGGCTCAATCAAGAACGTGGCTGTGGTCTATGTCGACATTGCTGGAGTGGGAAGGCGTGCTCTCTTGAAGTCTACTGCCAAGGGCGTGATCAAGACCAGGACCAATGACGGAGAGATCGTAGAGCTGAGGGCGGAGGGGAATGGTAATCAGATCAGAGCCGGTGAGGCAGAGAGGGTAGATGAGGGGGAAATCGTGGTCGGCATGACGGAGGTCAAGGAAATCTCTCCAATCGTACAAGTCCCTTGAAGCGTTGATGTGTTGCTGGGGTGCGTTGCTGGTGGGCATTGCGATACGCACATGTCAATCGACATGCTGGCGGGTACAAGTTTAAAATGTCATTCAGAGTCTGTATAAGTTGTGTATATATAGAATAGTTCCTTGAGATGAGACCGTCGTGATATACATGCAGACGATCTCAGCCCACAATCCGGGTGTGCACATCAAGGTGGATAGTATGCGCGAATGATAGAAGGCATATCGGAGTCTGGAGATGGCGACCTGCCTCCTCCGTATCTGCCATACTCGTCCTCGTATATTCCAGTGCTGGCCTGAGCATTGCTATTTCCATCCTTGATTTCGAATCAGCTCCGGCATCATGGGGGCTGAGGGATCTTCAAAGAGAGACTCACTTCAATCAAATGCTGAACATCATACGGGTACTGAGCCACGACATCATGAGTCAGGGTTAAGCATGGGTCCAGCAGAACCAACACTCACGTCAAAGTATCTTGTGAAAGGATTGATGTGGTGTCTAATGAGGGCAACCCATTGGATCCAGGAGTCTGGTGGAAGCGTATGCACAGCAAGCATGTCCCGACAGGCATCAAGGGCGCAATCAATCGTGGCCGGTTCCAAGACGTTGTCTCGCTGATCAAGCTCGATTAGCTAACGGGCACCCCTTCACAGATCATCGTGTCAGAGCGAACTTACATGCAGGGTGGCGAATATGTTGAAGTTGTCTTCCATCCAGCTACCAAAATCATCCCTGATTCTTGCATCAGTAGCAGTCAATGCGGACGAGACAAATCCAGATCTACTCACAGTCCAATAATGCCTGGGTGCCCTCCTCGCCCGTAGGCAGCGACCATGCGATTCCGAGCTGTCCTGAACGAATACTGGAGGTAGTTGTTTGCTTCGCGAGGGCTGTAAGGAAGTGCAGGTGGTCTTGTCATCATCGTTGTCTGAGAGCAGATTGATCAGATGTGGCGTTGGCGTTTGTGAGATAGGAGAGTAGACCTGATTGCTAGGCTTGTCAAACACTTGCCCTCTTATATACTCCCATAGTAAGCCACAAAACGAGGGGAAGAAGAAGAATAAGGGTCAATGAGTGTCGCTCACGTCTCTGCCGCACACGCCACAGCAGCTCGTTAGGCCGTTCTACAGGCTGACACCCCCACTTGGCGTACACCAACCTAATCTGCTCATATGCTGGCTTGTGATACAATCTTCTCTGTTCTCATGCGCTTCTTTGGTACCGCGAAGCTTACAATGCGCTGTGGCGGTTTGTCGGAGGAATTTATAATGCGCCCCGGTCATAGGATGGGATGCATCTGAAACTATGATGGAAGCACATGAGCGCAGTGCACAGAACAGAAGAAGCTCACAGAGACAGATCACCCCATTCTATATCAAGTCAGTCCGGCGATGATATGTGTAAGGGTGATGCAGAGAGGTGACAGCCCGAGGGGTGACCACCGACAAAAGGATCAAACAGCAAGATGGGAGGACACAACGATTCGCTGACGGCCGCCCGGAGATCCTATGTGCGGTTGTTGTGTGGTGTGCCTCGTGTCCCGCGCAGTGCGTTGACTACGTACGTACTGTCCTGTATCGTGTATACATACAGTACACTGTCACGGGACGAGTCAGCCATCAGTATCCGTTACAAACTCACACTGGTCAGGGAAGCGCTACTGTGGTACTCGTCTGTCGAGCTCCGGAAAGAGCGGCCTGTCAGTACATTGAGCCATATATTGCCGCGGAATGTTGCACACGGTGCATTAATCGTGGCGGATACATCTACTTGATTCAGCAGCTATTGATATACAACGATGTGCTCCCCGTACGCAGTCTTTGCACTCCACGAACGCCGGTGTATGTCCTGACCTGCTTACACCTTTTCCACCCCTATCAGTCCGTCAACACCGATTGCCTTTTCTTCAGTATCTTGTCCAAAGCCTTTTCCATCGCATTCGCCTGTTTGGTGTACGTGCTCTTCTCGCCATTGTATTGTCGGCAATTGGCGCACATGAGTTTCACATCAGACACAAAGTCTTCAATCGACTCGTAGTGATTGTTCTCAAGTTTGTACTCCATCGTTGACAAGTCTAGAGGTTACGTCAGAACATGTCGCAAAGCGGGGGCAGAAAACGCCACTTGACTTACCCATCGGCTCGGCAATCACATCATAGTAGTCGGCCACGACGTTGGCGTCAACAGGCTTGACAAATGGCCACGCAGAACCCTCGTTCTGCAGGTCGTTCAGGACGAGCTGGAGAAGAACGTGGTGGGGGTTTCGTTTTGGTTGTCGGATGCTGTGTAATACGCAGGTGAGCCACTGATGATGGCAACGCAGGATGTTTGACTTACATGTCATCCAGATCAGGATTCCACCCACTTTCCGCTGTCATTCTGTCAGCCTTGTTCTAGAACGTGATAAGAATCAATCCGATCACTGACCGAGACCAGGGACCTCCTCTTTCGCGAGCTTCCTGTTATCTCCTTCCGGTTTTCTGTCTTTGAAGACATCAAGACCCGGATGAACTATATGCGATTTCGTGAGGGTTTTGATTTTGCCGATGATCGCCTACAGAAGTGTTTAGTCTGTCCATTGGTTCTGAAGACAATTGTCAACTCACCGCCTTTTGATCCGCCAACATTTGATGGACCTCTAGGTATTTCACTTTAGGCAGCATCCGCCCTTGCATGATCGTACCTCCCTCATAGTCCTTGATATACCCCACCCAACGTTCCCTAGGATAAGAAATCTCCTTTGTGAAACCTTGCTTTTTGAAATATCCGACGGCATAATTGTCGGCGTACGTGAGGAACACATTGATGGTCGGGTGGGCTTTTCGGACATGGTCTTTCAAAGAGTTCATCAGATGGGAGCCGTAACCCTGAAGCTCGGTCAGCGAGGCAAGCTAGAGAACTGCATAAGAGAGCCTCTCACCTTGATCTGTTCTGAACTGTCGACTGCACAGAAAACAATCTCTGCGAAGCCTCTGGCTTCGAAAGGCCTGTAGCAAATACCGCCAACTACCCTCCAGCCGCGCTTGACGATCGCCATGCTGATATGATTCTTGTCCAGCACTAGTCGGGTGATATATTCGCGCGGCATCTTGGGAAGCTGGCGTTGAAAAACATTCTTGAGCCCAACGAGGAGAATGGTGGCCACGGGAGTGGGATTACGGGAGGAAACAACAGGAAGCATGATTTCTTGGTTGGCTTGTTCTATAGCGGCAGGTCTAAGTGGTAATTTTTGCTTCGTTTCTATGAGTATGGCCCAATGTGTTGAGATGTCACCCACAAGTTCGATCCCTTCCCATATCTCAACTGCCTCTTCGGCATTATCTGCTTTGCCGGTTGCCAGTCTACTGACCAACTCCTCCTCTCGTTCTTTTTCCTTCACTTTGATCTCTGTTCTTCTCTTTCGCTCGCTTTCATCCAGCTCTGGCCTTCTAGCCAACGGTATATCCTCCTCCTCCTCGTCTTCTTCTTCTTCGTCTTCCATCTCTTGATCTTGTCCCCCGGCGCTGATGGGAAGGTGGCCAGCGACGTGTTGGTTGCCGTCGGGATCGGTAGCCATAGGAATGTATCCCTGTGCCCCACGAACAACAGTCCGAGGTTTGGTTCCTTTGACAGCGCTCTTGCCCGACTTCTTTTTGCCATGTTTAGGATGGTCATCTTTCACCGGACTCTCATTATCCTCATCACTTGGAGCGTCCGAGCCGCTCTCCTGTCTTCTCCGTTTCCGAGGCGGTTCGTCGTCCGTAACTTCATTTGGAGTTTCACTACCAGGTGTGGACATGTCAATCGGTACAGGCAGTGAGGGAGCGGTGGTTTTGCCAGCCGGACGGACAAAATGGTCAAGTTGTTTGAGCAGTGAAGATATCGATTCTGTACTAGGTGTCGGGAAAGTGAGAAGATTGTCCTCATCCTGTAGTTGTCAGCCCCAGTGAAGCCAGCCAAGCAATTCAAGCGTACCTGGAGTATCTCTTCCATCCTGCCTACAACTTTCCCGCGCCTTGTTTTCTCTTTTGGAGGTATGTCACTGGCCCAGATATGCCCCTGGCCCTCCCAGCCATGTCCACATCGACCACATATCCTCCACCACCCTTCTTCTGTTCTCCATTCCTTCTTTCTCCGCTCCATGCTTTCGACACTCTCAGCGTCCTCCATCGAGACGTCTTCATCTTCATCCTCGATGTCGTCCTCATCCTCGTCCTCGTCCTCGTCGCGCTTGCCCAGTTTGACGACCCTGTCAACAGGAGGTTCTAGACCGGTACAAGCGCATTCTGCGACAGTACAGGGTAGAAAGCGGCCAACTTTGAAAGCCTTTTCGCGATCTGATAATGTTGAAAAGTCAGGAGCAGACGGTGGGTATCTGAATCTGATGCCTTTAGGACACGAGTGGTCTTTCTCAGCCTCGTCTTCTGCGGTCCGCTCGGTGAGCTCTGTTCCATCTTGCTCAGCCGTCTTCGACTCCTCCGTATCATTGTCGTCATCCGCGTTTCTCCCATTCTCCTTGTCCTCAGGTTCGGACTCTGAATCAGAGTGACCGGACTTGATAGGTGAAAGAGACGAGGAGCGTCCCCGGGAGCGCGCCGGAGATGACTGGGCGGTTGTTATTGGAGTGTCGGCGGCAGAAGTAGGCGTAGCAACCTTAGCTCTTCCTCTTCTGTTTCTGGGGGCCATTTGAAAGGAATGATGCTGGTGTTCTGCAGCGAAGATAGAAAGCGAACCAAACAGAGGGAAGTGAGAGAATCAAAGCCGGAAGAAGACGCGGTCGGTTGGGGTGTCAACAAAACGTATCGCGCCCAGATCGCGCCTAACCCTGGCGACGCCTAATCCTAAAATTGCGCTATATGTTGTTTGCCCACCCCCTTTTTGTGAAGGGGGTGTAGCTCATTTGGCAGAGCGCGTCATTAGCATTCTTCAACGAGTGGATTTGACGAGGTACTGAGTTCAATTCTTAGCTCCTCCATTTCTTTTTGGATTTTTGCTTTTGATCGCTCGATGGCATGCTGCACGTCCGAGCGCGTTTCGTAGACAACACACACTGCCTGGCGCAATCACACTGTTCTTTTGCATCTGGCGTTGCCTTCCCATCTCCCTCATCAGAGCACCCAGCCATGTCCCTCGACCCCTCACAAGCAAACCACTCTCGCCCAGTCGCACCTCGCCATCGCAAGCGCCTCTCATCCTCCATAAGCCCGAGGACATTTCCGACTACGGCTAGGGAAGCCCGTGAGACGACGCCAAGTCCCATGTTTGGGGACGCCACCGGCTCGCTAGCGCCGAATGGAGATGGTGGAAATGCCCTTGTATTGAGCGAACTACGACAAAGGAGCGAAAGTGTGCTGAATAGAGCTGGGCGAGAGGACGTGGAATGGGCCTTGAGGGAAGAATGGGAGACGAGGGAAAAGGTAGGATGAGTGATTTTCCTCGCTGCTTCGTCAGGCTTATATCAATCCTTTAGCTCGAGAAAAGACTTGGGAGCCTTGAAGGCGAGATGGGCGCTTTGGAGGCGACTAATGCGGAGCTAGAGAGAGCCCTGGCGGTTGTACAAGCCAGAACAGACGAGGCTTTCAACGAACAAGTCAGTGTGCTTTCTGTTCCCACAAAGCTACTAGTCGCTCATGCTCGGTAGGCGCGTATGGAGGCAGACCTAGAAGAGAGGGACAGGCTGCTGGACAGACTGAGAAAGAGAGTATCAGACACTGAAAGGCAACTCAAGGATAGCCAGGGACGCAATGCGGACCAGGTGCGCTATTGAAAGCCAGCTTGAGCGCTTGATGGCTGACAAACGGGAACAGGAAAAGGCGTTTGAAACCGAGCGTCATGCACTTCAAGCACAAGAGGAGCATCTCCAGAAGCGTCTCAATACCGCTCTGTCGGCAGCACGTAAAACTCGCCCACCATCTCCAACGCCCGCTCATTCAGACACCGCCTTCTCGACCTCGAATCTCAAAGAGGAGCTCGCCACTCTCCGTCTCTCCAAATCTACCCTCGAAGCAAAGTTTTCCACAGTCCTGCGGGAAGTCAGCGAACTTCGAGAGGAAAACAGAGAGTTGAAGGAAGAGAATGAAGGCTGGGAGTTCATGGTCCGCCAGAAGACCTTGAACGGGCATATCATGAATGACGGAGGATTCCTGGGGATGGATGCTGACGGTGCTGATGCCGGGCGCGCACAAGATGATGACGCTCTAGTACGAGATACTCTTGACCCCCACAGTCCTATCAAATCCAGGAAAAGTGTCCGAGAGGCAAGTACCGGACAAGCCGGTGGTGGGTCTCATCTGGCCGCTGAAATCGGGAGAGCCCAGGAGACGAGAGAACTGGGTGTCGTCGAGGAGGGCGATGAAGATGAGGGTGAGCCTATGCAGCGACCAAATTGGAACTTCCCTAACAAATGTAGCTCTACGAAACGAGGTCAAGCACCTTAGAGAGGCACACAAGGCGCTCTCCCTATATTGCTCCAAGGTAGATATATATCATACACAGCAAAGTCCGTAGTTGACACCATCCGACAGATCATTGACCGCATCATCGCTCAGGAGGGCTTTGAGCAAATCCTTTCCGTCGACTACAAGACTCGCCGTGTTGGATCCAGAAACGTGTCTGCCTCCCAAACTCCTCTCAAAGAGATAGCTATCTCCCTCGCTGATTCTTCGGTAAACACCAATTTGCCACCTTCTGTGCCATTGTCCGAAGAGAGGGTTCGCGAGGCTGCTGAAAGGAAGACGAGACCCATGAGCATGTTCAGGGCCTTCTCCAGCTCGACCGATAGAATTGTAGAAGAGCCCAAACCCCTTCCGCCACCTGTCGAAGTCCCAGTACCAGCACCTGAAGCAAAAGCAGAGAAACGCGCCCGTCGCGGCTTTTCTCTCGACTTCCGGTCGCTCGGCTTTGGCGGAGCTGCCACGCCTGATCCTCCAAAGCCGGCTCTCCGCCCGCTCACTCTGTCTTCTCGTGCTACTAGCGCTACTCCTCCTTCTGAGAAAGACAAAGGCAAGAAGGATACAATGCTCCCTCCACCTCTGAGCGCTACCGCTAGGAAGCTAGAGCCGCAGGAAGAGGATGAAGATGACAAGAGAGAGAGACACAGGATGGAGGCTTCACTGAAGCTCATGGGCATACAGCCAGGCAACGTGGAAGCCACATCGCCAGGGCCAATGACTGCTGTGGAGAGGAGATCACCTTGGTCCAGATTGTATTCTGTCATCGGCACCCCCGATCCCGAACCTCTGTCTCATCGTCCAGGTGCGGACGCAAAAGACGCAGAGGTGGCGCTCAAAGAGTTTCATCAGTTGGAGGCGGAAAGGATCAGGGCTTTGCAGCAGGGCAAAGCAGAGCCAAGATATACCACCCCACCAAAGGTCGGCCTTCATAGGAGACAGAGTTCAAGTGAAGCGGGTGCCAGGGATAGGGCGATGAGTGGAGGTAGTATGAGAACGTTGTGGAGCCTAGGGTCCAGCAGGCCTGCTAGCCAGGAGATCGCGAAGGAGTAAAGAACACGAAACACGCCTTGTCTATACTAATCCTCACGAACATTATGTTGATAACGGGCTGGTTTACGATGTGAGTATGATGACATTATGCATGGTATCTTGTCTTATAGTACAGTATAATCATAAGCTGGTTAATGAGCGGGTCGGAAGCGTTGATAGTAATTCTTGCATCGTGCTTCCATCGTCTCCTGGTAAGTCTCGGGGAGAGTGTCCACTATGCGCCCTTTGAGGAAGGTGTAAGCTATAGTAAATCACAATTCAGATATCTACTTGCCTGGATTTCCGCCCCAAACAGACATCGAAGCAACCACTGTTCCTTCAGGAAGTACTGTGCCAGGCAATATGACCGCAAGATCTTTGATCACCACGAACTTTCCCTTGCCGCTACTTGTCAGCGTATGCTTGAGCCAAATCATGGGATTTCCACCTACTATGACACTGCCTTCCCCGATATCTACCCCAGACCCGATCTGGGCCGCCTCCACTATGCAGTTGGTACCTATATGGGTGAAGTCTGATATCCTCACAGGGTAGAACGTGAACGCGCTGCATTCAGTCATCAGTCTTCGGAGATATTCCCATGTAAACCATACCTACCCCTTGTAAATCTTGCCAGGCGGCCGAATGACCGCACCCTCGCCGATGAGGCAGTATCTGCCAACGGTAATGACAACATGCTGCCCAGCTGTCGACCGTCGAAGATCGCCTCGGAGGATGGCAGATGTTTGGATGATAGACTTTCCTCCAAGAACAATGTTGGTGGCGCCAGAAATCAGCGCCCTCCGAGAGACTTTGTCTACTAAAGTGAGCATGGGCACCGAGGGGAGGCGAGGCCACTTACTGCCCGTATCTGTCTCTATGTATGTCGCCTTGTCATAAGTGATGATGGGGTCGAAGGCGCCCATGTTCAGCCATCTCCACTTGCTAGATTGTAGCGATATGGCGAGAGTTGAAGAATATGTTAGGGGATGGGTGTCGAAATGACAAGAGTACAGTAATTTCACGACGCGACGCAGCGCGACACGCTGGCGACCTGAAATGACGCTCAATGCATCTTGTTACCGCACACTTACTTTCACCACGGATGGCTTCTTCAAGCTCGCCTCCATTGCCACCCGTGCCAAAGGCTTCAGCGGCTCTTGCAACCGATGCCAGCACAAGCTCTCGCGCCATGGCCAGGCTGGCGAACGAGTTTCCCGGTGGTACGTCGCTGAGCCTCTCCTTTCGGTCGTAGCTTATCCTCTGATCTATAGCGGCATCCCTGGCTGACCACAAAGTGACTCACGCCAAGCTGGGACTCGAGATAATGGATATCAGGGAGGAAATTGCGAGGTTAAAAGCCGAGCTCAGAAGAGACCAAGACCCAGGCAGAATGAGCAACATCCAGAGCCAGATCGGTGTACGCCCTGCATGCTGTCCTGACATGGACCTATGGCTGACAAGGATCTCAGCAACTCATGCTTCAGATTAATGTGATCCAAGAGAAAGCTGCTGAAGCAGAAGCCATCGTGAAAGGCATCACCTCGGACATCCAGCGGTTGGACGTCGCCAAGAGCAATCTGACCACTGCTATTCAGATGCTTGAGCGGTGGGGCATGCTGAGTATGGCAGCTGAGAGTATGACTGCCCTGACGCTAATGCTACGTACAGGGCAATCTCACGAGCAATTGAGACATCTCCTACCTACACGGCAGTACAAGAACATGTCCCAAGCTTTCGCTGTGAGCTGGTCTGGGTGATGGGTGTACTTGAGGCTAATGTATAATAAGGCTGTCACACAACTCCTCGCCTCCCTCAAGCCCCTCTCATCTGTCCCCGCTGTTGCTGAAATATTCAAAGCCGCCGAAGCAGACCGAAAAACCGTACAGGAAAAGGCCGCTGTTGAGATGGATACATTGTGAGCCTCCGCTAGCGTGACTTGTGCTGGGATGTCACTGACGCACAGTAAGCTTTCAACAAGACCCAAACAAGATCGTCGACAGAAGGAGCATTGCTGAAATTTGCTTGCTGATAGATGTTTTGGGAGGTGACTTCAGGTAAGTTCCTCGACTGCCATGTCACTGTCCGTTGACGAGTCTATCAAGAAATCACATCGTGGAACGCTATCTCCAAATTCAACTTGCCGAATATCGTCGCATCTTCCGCTCCACCGACGAAGCTGGACAATTAGACAATGTCCCGCGGCGCTTTGCCTGGTTCAGACGCGTCCTGAAACATCACGACGAAGAGGATTCAATGCTCTTTCCAGCTTCTTGGCAGGTGACAAGGTTGTTGGTCTCCGGCTTTGCGGAGTGCACGAGGAGTGACTTGTCAAATTTGCTAGGGAAGCAGAGCCCGGCTGTGAATGTGCTGCTGGACGCTTTACAGGCGACTTTGGACTTTGAGCAGGCAATGTCGAGAAAGCTTGATATGACGGCAAGTCATATCCTCTATGGAGGTATTGCTATGCTGATTGCCGTAGTTTGAAGAAATAACAAGTCTGACATTACGAGGTGGTAGTCTTAAATGGACAATCGCCTCGATATTCGACCAGTACCTCAATGTCTACGTGGAAGCCCAAGATCGGTATGATATCTCCTGTGACTACTAGAACCCACATTGATACGGTCCCAGTGCCATATACGACATGCTCTCGGCATACCGCGGCTCAAACGCTCGCCCATCCCTCGAGTCTGTCATCGCCGAAGAACCTGAAACCCCCGTGCCCACCGTCCTTCCCTCCTCCACAGAACTGTTCTATTTCTACGGCCAACAACTGGACCAGTGCGAAAAGTACTCGAGAGGAGAAACTATGAGGAAGCTGTCAGACGTGTTTGTCAAGTGGCTGAATGTGTATGCCGGGGAGGTACTGCTGGCGGGGATGAAGTCGGCACCGTCGAGAAAGTCGTTTGAGGGGAGGGATAGTCTGCAGGAAGTAAAAACAGCTTGTATGGTGTTGAATACTGCGGAGTACTGTCAAAACACATCGATCCAAGTACGTTGTTTGTAATTCGATTGAAATGAGGCTGACAATATTCAGCTGGAAGAAAGGTTGAGGTCTAAGATATCTCCCGACTTGAGTGAAAGTATTTCCTTCGAATCCGCCCGCGAAACATTCTCCTCCGTCATCAGCCAATCCATTGCCGTCCTCTTGCGGGAACTCGAATACTCGTGCGAACCTGCTTTCTCTGCAATATTGAAAACTCCGTGGATCCATTTGGAGAATGTCAGTGGCCGGTCGGCCTATGTGGTGGATCTGGTGGGAAGTATCAAGAGCGTGGCCGAGGGGGTGAGGGCGCGGATCGAAGGGAAAAAGTATATCAGGAATTTTGCGGATAAGGCTGTTGGGTACGTATTTTAGCATATGAGAGAAAAACGTAGCTGATCCAGGCAGTGTGATCATTACGAGATTCACCCAGGCTGTAATCAAGAGTGCGCCGCTCAAGAAGATCGGTGCCGAGCAGATTCTTCTTGATGTGCAGGCAGTAAAAGCTTGTCTTCTGGATCTTCCAGAACCACACCCAGAGAACTCTTCCACCATGTGAGTCTAGCCTTCTCTTCATATTTACGAGGCTAAAGTTATAGCTATACGAAATATGTAACCAAGAACACGGGCCAGCTGGAGACGATGCTAAAGGTCATCCTGGCCCCCGACGAGGTTCCAGAGGGTACATTTTGCATGCTCATACAACCAACTCTAGCATGGTGCTGACATTGTCCGTAGGCTTCGTTCAAAATTATTGCCTTCTCATTGGCGATCGTTCGTTCACCAACTTTCAGAAAATTCTCGACCTCAAAGGCACCGCCCGCACCGACCAGCAACGCTTGCTTGACATCTTTCTCTCCGTCACATCTACCGACTCTGACCTCACGGACACTTCTTTCCTTACTCATATCGACATGGACCCACCTGCGAGCAGCGAGGCCGCGAGGGGCTTTGCGTCGCCGTCGGCAAGCTCGACGGGGCTGTTCTCGCCCACGACAGGGCCCGGAGGGATAGGGGGCTTGCCAGGCTTACTGAGAAGTGGGAGCGCGGAGGGAGGGGAGCGGACGGAAACTCCCAAAGCGTTTGGGGATTTCAGGCGACTGGTTAACTTTGCCACGAGAAGGGATAACAGTGCTATGAACGTCCCACATTGAGGGGCGGTTGTATTATTAGATGTACAACCTTATATTGTTTGCATACATTATAAATGGTATATGCTTACATGCGGTTATAAATATATATATATGCCCGCGTATTATTGTGTACCGATATACGATGCGCCAGCATGAGGCGGCTGCCCATTCACGCCATGTTGGTTGACAAGCTTTTCGTTCAAAAACCTTGCAGGCGATCCCGTCATATCTGGCGTCACGCCGTGCGGTAAAGTCGCTGGCGATCCTGTCCCCTGGCCTGGTGTCGCTCCTAGCCACCCCCCCTGCGGTGCGGGCGCACCGAGATGACTCCCAGCCTTGGGCACTCCCAAACCCTTCACCGACCCCGCCCCGCTCGCCCCTGCTATTCTGGGCACCACCGATCTCCCGGTAACGCTCTCCTGCCCCCCACCTCCCCCCAACTGCTGAGTTATAGCAGCTTCTATACTCTTCAGTTCTTCTTTTGGATCGGGCTTTTTCCCGGGGGCTCTGGACATGGCTGTCAAAGAGGCGAGTGATGCGCGGGTAGATTGTAGAGCATAGAAAAGATGCCAATCAGGTTCTTGCACTTGTTCCTTGGTCTTGCCCGCGGGTTTTTCTCCAAGATCAAGCTCTCTGGGAGAGTCGGCGGGGGCTTCCGCGTGGTCATTTTCAACGACAGGCGATTGATTGGAGGATGGACCGAGCTTGGAGGTGGAGGGAGGGAGGGACCGCCAGAGTGTCGTGGTTCGGGGGTTGGCAGGGGGTCTATTATCGGAAAGGGTTCTCATTGTCTTGGAAATCAGACTTGTGGCATTTTTCTACCGCCTCCCTTCAGTATGGCGCACATTGTATGCCAAGCACATGACTTACAAGCCTCGCGGACATGACATCGTACAGAGAAGGGCATTGATATATCTTTTCCTGTAGGATGAACCAAGCTCCGGTGACATGGTCTCTCTTGCCTGATGACTCGACATCGCGGCGATGAATCACAAACATATTTGGGGGTTGTGAATGGGCTACAATGTACTCAAATCCGGACATGAACGCGTTCAGCTCGCTAGATGCCATCAGTCATTGCCTCGGGGGTCAAAGAGGACGTACATTTTCTCTTCGGCATGTCCATAAGTGGGATTATCTATCCGCCTTTGGGTACGAAGCACATTGTTGTTTGAGCGAGAGTCCCAGAAAGGCGAGTAGGCAAAGTAATCCATGCTGAAGATGCGTCAGTGAACGGCTCGACATGATGAGGCGGACTCACGCCAAGTCGGCTGTGGCGAGTGAACGAGCTGGATTAGCCTGCACATGGATGAGCAAGGTAGTCTGAAAGATCTGAGATGGTTCTCACAGCCACTGCTTCTGGCCATGACCTAGATGAGAGATATTAGCGAAGGGTAGTGTGGTGTGGATGGAGAACTTACCAATGGATGTGGGAGAGATCTTGCTCTACCTCTGCTACCGACATTTGTGTATGGCGACGGTTGCTTTGCTGGTATACAAAACTATTATAAGCTTGAGAACTGTATAGTTGTTTTGTTCTGGGGAGATTTGAGCATCAGTTGAGACTGGATGAACGAAAGAGGTCGAGATTGTATCACCGTGGGAATGTTCGGGACACCTCTCAGGTCTGCCTCAGGTCCTCACGCAGTCAGTCCACACGCAACTGACAACACAAGTCTCCATGATGCTCATGATAATGTGTCATATCCTCGCTATATTCGGGAACGACAGTCAAAGTTCCAGCAATCAGAACTCATTATGCATGCCGACCAAGCTCTATGGAAGTGTGCATGCTGCCTCAGGAATGAACGGCCGGCCGCCCTCGATTCACGGGCGATAAACCCAAGACACTCTTTCACTATATTCACAAACAACGATACATACTATCCTATTACGATCCAGATGGGCTAGTCAACCTGCGTATAGTTGCCGGGGAACACACCCTGCCTGCCATCGAGCCTTCCCGTCCACCAGTCCTCCGAACTATCTGTCCTCTCTACAATCTCAATCCTATCTCCTGCGTTGAAAGAGAGATCTCCATCTGCCTGCGCCTCATAATCAAATATCGCGGTCGCATACTTGACAGCGTTATAGCTGGGCTTGGGCTTGAGAGGAGGCGGGGGAGGCGGGGCCTTTTTGCCGACAGCGGCGCCACCAGCAGTATAGGGAGGAGGGGCAGCAACGGCAGCGGAGGCAGAAGGGGGAGGAAGACGCTTCTCAGAAGCATAGGTATCGGGAGAGTCTTTGCGGTCGAGCGCATGGGTGGTAGGGGTGCGAGAGGCGATGGAACTGGTGCGGCCGATGGTGCTACTGCTGCCAGAAGCACTTCGGTGTTGCTGAACGAGCTTGGCTATGGGCGCATAAGAATTTGCGATGATCATGATGATATGAGACTTACCAGTGGAAATGATCCTCTTGGTGATCTGCAACTCTTCAATACGGTCCGCGGCGTCGCCGCGCTGCTCGAGGTAGATATTTTCAATGTCCTTTCTGGTCAAGTCGTACTTGCCGTCGGCAAACGATTGGAGCTTCTCCATCATAATGTAGTAGACGTTCAGCCTGTGGTCTTGTCAGCTGCTACTCGTGCCGGATGATCAGTCACATACTGCATGTAGTAGAACGAATGGAAGAGAGGGTCGATGAATCTGGTAGCCATCGCAAGGAATTGCGGCAGCTCGGTCTTGAGCAAGTTGTTGTAATGCTCATACTCTCCGCTCGCGATTTCATAATCTTGCTCGACCTTGAACAAGTTCTTCTCGTCGCTCAAGCTCTTCTCCTTCTTCTCCCTGAGCTTGTTCAAGCTGTTGTTGTGGCGATCATAGTCGACCAGCTTGTGTTCTCGCTTGACAATTGACTTGCGGATCTTTTTACAAATCTCAACAAGTTCCTTGCAGGGGTTGACGATTCGAGATTCGATCAACTCCAATTCGGGGACGAGCGTCTCTCGCACTTCTTCCATCAGACCCTGGTAGGTGGAGATGTTTTCGACTGTGGTCTCGGCTTGGGGATGCTTGCCAGCCAGGTTGTACTCGGCTCCCAAGGGAGAAAAGAGGGTTGCTAGAGAGCCAGAGAAGCTAGACCCGGACGTCAATAGGCCTATGGCATGGTCAGTCTGCAGTCTGCACACATGAGAGGTGTCCTACCGGATACAGCGTCTCGGAAGGTGACCGAGTCCTTGTGCATTTTCGCACACGCCGTCTCTACAGCGGTAAACTTTCTGTCTCTGTGTACAGTCCGTCAGCTTCGGCGGCGAGAGGACAGCCAAGAAAGGACGGCAGAGCACAGCCGAGATGGTGCCGTACAATTCGTCGAATTCAGCATCGCTCGATTCTGTTTGAATTATCAGTCCGAGGGCCCAACATGGGTGCAGGCTGACTCACTCTTGGACATGCCCATCCTGCTTGTGAGATTGTGGGGTGTCCTAGGGGATGCGTGTCAGCGCCAAGAGTGCTCGGTCATGCCCCTCCGCTGGCCGTGCCCGCTGCTGCTGGGGAGGGGGGCCGGCGTGTACGCACCTCTGGAGGACCTTTGTGAATCCCTTCATGTTGGCGGTGTGGTGGATGGGGACAACAATCACTAGAGATCCATACTCATAGAGAGCGGTCATGGCGGCGATCCCCGACTGCTTCCTCGTTTGCTTCCGTCACTCAGCGGGGACCGCCGCTGGCTCAAGGCCCAGACTCTCTGGGTTATGAGGGACGATGCTCTTGCTCCCTGACTTCTTCTGTTTGGTTCTCCCGCCGCAAACATGCTCAAGAGTAAGACAGCCCCCGGGGGTACACAAGAATGCCTCTTATGCCCCCTGCCTCCGCAGACTGCCCCTCATGCAGTACATGCAGCACCGTCCAGTCTCTTGCCCCCACGAACGCTCTCCCACGTCTTCGGCCCTGGGTTGTCGTCGGATCAGCAGCGAGTGCCTGTGCCTGGGAGCTTTGTCAGTCATTCTTCGATTGTTGTTGGTCGCTCCAGAATTATTTCCATCTCTTCTCTCTTCTTCCTCCAGACGTTTACTCTTCCATAATCCCACTCTCTTCCACCCACTCTCTTCCACCCACTCTCATTTCACCCACGCTCGTTTCCCTCCCCTTGTCCCAACCCGCCCCACAGCGACGCGCCACCAAACCCACAAGGGCCATCTGTTGATCACACAAAGACCGCAGAGACTGAAAGCGCGATCCCCCTCCAACTGCCTGCAAGATGAGGATACATGCCCTGGCAGCATTAATAGTGCTGGCCAGCGGTCCCGTCTTTGGCCACATATCTGGGCTCAAGGGGCGAGACCATCACCACCACGACCGCCTTGTCCTAGACCTCCTCGCGCACGAGCCTCTTGCCTTGGAGGCACCCGATGAGCGTAGGCCCGTGGCTGAGGTTATCCTCCTCGCGGAACACGTCATCGACCAGGTGCTCGTCGCCCGTGCCGACTCTACCAATGCCACCGCCACAGTCTCAACACTCAACAGCACTCTTCCTCTGCCTCGGTCCCCTGTACCCACATCAGCACCCTCTCCCGTCCCTACGCCGCTCGACCTCTCCATCTCCAACGTCATGTCGTCGTCTTGCATGACCTACCTCACCTCCCTCGTCTCCTCCAGCACCTTTATGGCATGCCTGCCATTTTCGCTGCTCTTGACGACGTCGTCAGCGTACGCGACCCTGGTATCCACCGCGCTCTCATCGGGCAACTATACACATCTGAACGAGCTAGTAGGGTACACGTCCTCTCCCCAGCCAAGCAGCGATACATGCGAAAGCTACATGGAGGGAGTCATGACTGCCCTCACAAGCAAGTCCAACTGCGCCAGTGATATTTCAAGCAATCTCGCCGTTGTCAAAAAGACAAAGCTGGGAGTGGGCAACTATAAAGTGATGAAGGAGGCAGAGGCATTGGTGGATACGGATACGGGAAGCTATTGTTATCTTGAAGCCATTGCGAGTGAAAAGCCGGACGATCTTTACCTGTGGGGCCTGCCAGGTGGTATCTCGTACATATCGACTTTTCCTTTGAGACTCGGCTGACGTCTCCTAGTCTGCCCTCATCTTCCACCCCCTCATGTTCCAAATGCTCCTCCTCTCTCCTCACCACCTATGGCTCCTACATCTCCTCCACATCTACCCTCAACTCTACCGTCATCAATGCCGCCGTCAAGCGCCTGAATGATGCCTGTGGAGCTAGCTTTGTAACATTTACAGCTACGAATCAGACGAGTAGCACAGAAAGAGGGATGGGCACTGGGCAGCGTACGGGGGATGCCGGGTTCTGGCTGAGATTACTGCTAGGGGCAGCAGTGGCGGGCGGTTTATCTTGGATATGATTTTGGTCAACAATACTTTTCTTTTTTCTCATCGGGTGTGCGGATCATGACCGCTCTTTTTGTCTTCTTTTCATATATACAAGTATTCATCAACATTGTAAACATCTCAGTAGAGTACATGCATTTGAGAGTCTTCCGTTGTACGTCGTCTATTCTGTGACAAGTGACTCCTTCTCCAAGTCAACGTCGCTGCATGCTTTCGGGGCGCAGCTCAGCAAGCTGGATGTGCTTTGAGTACGCAATCTTCAATGTGTGGGGAAGCTCCATGATTCCCAAGAAGGCATTGCGCCAGGGAAAACTTCAAGAGAGGAGCCGCCGTCATCTTCATTCACGTCAGATATTTCAGACGCGTCAAGGTCATCTCGCGATGAGTGTCCTCTTTTGGGGTCAGACTGGTCTCCTTCTCCCGATGATGGAGATACTGAGCTGTCAGGAACAGACCTGGACCACTCGGATGATCCCCCAGACCGGGGAGCGTCCGCAGGAGAGTCGGAATGATGGTGATGAGCCGCTACACTTGGCGTCGACGGCTGCATCCTGTAAGCATAGGTATCAGTCGAGGGCAGACCTTCGCAAGTCCAGCCATGCGGGGCTGCCGACGAAGGCAGTTGATGTGATGACCGCGGCCACCCAGCTCGATACGCGGGTCCCTCACCGACTTGTTGATCCAGCAGATGACTCTATGTAGATGTCGTTGTCAGGTGCAAATCTCAACAACTATGCATTCACCGTGCCAAGGACTCACCTCAGGTTCCACATAATCGGGGAAAGGCTCTATGTCTCCTGGTGCAGGCTCACAGCACGCGACGGGGGAGACTGAGCGACTGATACTGGTCGCTGCCCACTGCTGTTCGAAGACGATGACCTGCTCGTCATCATTTAGGAGTAGCTCCGGTACACTCAATTGAAGGGTCATCCTGTCGTTTCGATATTCTAAGGGTTGATGGAGGTTGCAGGAAGAGATGGCTCACCGCTTTATCAGATCTGGATAGTATTCTTTGACAGCGGACTTTTACCAATTTTGTGACCCCCGCCGGCGGAGGTCGGAGTTGCCATGTTTCTCAATGCTCCTTTGCTCTAGCAGACATGTGCATCAGACCGAAATCGAGGTGCGCAGATGTTTGACTTTTGTTGGCGTGAGATCCCATGCAAAAGCAGAGAATGGGAAATGCGAACCAAATGCGAACCAAAGAAGCAAAGGAGAGGCGGATCCCGGCCGCCGAAGTTGCAGGCCTCCGAAGTTGCAGGCCTCCGAAGTGCCACACGGAAGCAATTATCGGGGATTGGAGAGTTTCGTTGTGCGCGATTGCTAGCAACATGGAATGGCAGTCATTCTCACCTAAAACTAACGAGTTTGCAGGACAGCCACAGTGAGTACACCGCCCCAGGGAGAGCATCGTGCTGACCCGTTCTGTAGATGCAGATTTTCGTCAAGACGTACGTCCCCCTCCCCCTCTTGCAACAATCTCGAAAACCTCGAATTTGTCGCAAAAGTAGAAATTGGTTGAAGAGGGTTGTGTTGACAGAGCTGTAGCCTTACCGGTAAGACCATTACCCTCGAGGTGGAGTCCTCCGACACCATCGACAACGTCAAGTCCAAGATCCAGGACAAGGAGGGTATCCCCCCTGACCAGCAGCGATTGATCTTCGCCGGAAAGCAACTCGAGGACGGCAGGACTCTTTCTGACTACAGTGGGTATCATCCTTATATTGGCGGCGGACGGGTATGGATAGGATGTGGATGCGATGGGAAGGGCAGAGGGATGGGCGGAAGGAGGAAGGCAGTGGATGTGGACATTTGGGGCGGCGTAGTGTCGGAAGGGGATAGGCGCTGACTGAGACTCTAGACATCCAGAAGGAGTCTACCCTCCACTTGGTCCTCCGTCTCCGTGGTGGTATCATCGAGCCCTCTCTTAAGGCTCTTGCCAACAAGTACAACGTGAGTTTTTTTTTTCGACAATGTCATCTATATTCGTCGCTAATGGCTATCGCAGTGTGACAAGCAAATCTGCCGAAAGTGCTACGCCCGTCTCCCTCCCCGTGCCACCAACTGCGTACGCCTATAATTTTCTGTCAAGCATGGGCATCAGACTGACCGATTTTACAGCGAAAGAGGAAGTGTGGTCACTCTTCTCAGCTCCGACCCAAGAAGACCCTCAAGAAGTAAAAGTGCTTTGGAGGACTTTTTGGTTACGATTGGGGTGCGGGAGTACCCATAGCGAGATGTATTCCTTTGCTCTATGATTGTGGGATGGGCTTGTGTGACTTGTTGGAATCAGTCTGCAGGAATTGGGTTGTGTGAGGGTCACGGCGCAGAGGAGAGTGTGACTGGTCGACTTGTTGCTCATAATCCTGTTGACGTGAAGTGGGCAGAGGCATATCGTCAACAGGCATACCAGAAGTTGGCTGCTCTTTTGACCGGATGGCTGAACATAGTGGGCAAGCTCCAAAATTGGCGTTCGCGTCGAGTCTGGGTGCTGTGCCATACTGATTGTCCTGTGGGGGGTTATTCGTTTGCAGCAGTTATCACACCCTTGTACTTGTTGCTGTACTTTGCCCCGTCAAGTATCGAAATATCCTATGTGGCTCTGCTATAGATGACGTAAGCAAGTCAGCGACGCGGCTCGCACGAACGCATGCGTGGTGTATCCTCTCCCACTCACTGCGCGATGGACTCGGCCCTCTCCACCTCCCAGTCCGCCACCTCCTCCCGGCCCACCCGCCGCCCGTCCACCTCTGCCCGCCGCCCCTCCGCCGCCACCCACCGCCCCCCGCCCCCGCCCCGGCCCCTCACCCACGACGAGGCCCTCGACTCACTCCGCGCCTTCCTCAAAGAGCGCTCCAGCTACGATGTCTTCCCTGTCAGCTTCAGGCTCATCGTCCTAGACACACACCTCAAGGTCAAAAAGGCCCTCGATGTCATGCTGCTCTACGGTGCGTACTGCCCAAGCGGGCCGGCTTTGACTGATCATTCATAGGCGTTGTGTCGGCGCCGCTATGGAACACCGCTGCCGCTCAGTTTGCAGGTCAGTGTGTACCAGCCTAGCCGGATCTCAAAGCTGATACGTGGTATAGGCATGTTCACCGTACAAGATGTCATCCATCTCATTCAGTACTACTACCAGTCTTCCAGCTGGGAGGGAGCCACTGCCGACGTCGAACAGTTCAGACTGCAGAGTATCAGGGGTGAGCCACACTCGTATCGACTCGGAGATTGGCTGACATAAGCAGACATTGAAAAGATCCTTCACGTCCCCCCGCCTCCACTCCTCTATGTCCATCCCCTCCGACCGCTCTATGACGCCTGTCGATACCTCATTCGGACCCACGCCCGTCGTCTTCCGCTCATTGACAAAGACCCTCAAACTGGAGGCGAGGTCGTGATCAGTGTCTTGACCCAGTATCGGGTATTAAAGTTTATTGCCATGAATGTGAGTCTGGTAGATAGTGTACGCACGACTCTAGCTGATAGATGACAGTGTCGCGATATCACCCAATACCTGACAGCTTCTGTGCACCAACTGGGTATCGGAACATATGTGTCTCCCAATCCGGACCCCGAGAGCACCAACAAGTTCTACCCCCTCGCAACTGCCACGATGAAGACGACCGTCTTTGATGTCGTTCACTTGTTCTCTGAGCAGGGTATCAGTGCAGTGCCGATTGTTGATGACCAGGGGAAAGTCTTAAACTTGTATGAGACTGTCGATGTCATTGTCAGTACTCATTGGGCATGTTTGTCATTGTTTCTTGCTCACCGTCCTACAGACTCTTGTACGGAACGGCGCCTACACCTCCCTCGACCTCACCATCGCTCAAGCACTCAAGCAGCGCGCTGTAGACTTTCCGGGCGTCGTCACCTGCTCTCCCAATGACTCTCTCAGTGCCATTTTCAGCCTGATCAAGATTAGAAGAGTACACAGATTGGTGGTTGTTGCGGGGCAGGACGACCCTAAGCCTGGGCGATTAGTTGGGGTGATCAGTCTCAGTGACATTATGAGAGCTTTGATCGTAAGCACATCCCACTGCGCTCTCGATATGCGTTACTGACTGCAAACAGGGGAGCGATGTACCTTTGGGAAGTGCTGGAGTAGGAGCCAAGGTTGTAGACAAGGTGTTGAGAGAGGAGGGCGAGGATGAGGTGTTTGCCACGTCAGAAGGGACCAGAAGTGGCGGCACAAGCATGGAAGGATAGACACGACGTCAGACTCCTATGGCTCCAGAAAACATTTGTAGCAAATTGTGTAACTTTAGATCGGGAGGATCCTATGTAGACTGGTTGATACTCTCACTTCTCTGGAATGGCGCAAGGATGATGCTCGACACCAGACGCACAAGAAAATGCATTCAAGTCCGTCATGGCGTCAGCTCCTTTTTCAACGAGAGCTGAGCTATTGTGTGGAGGTCGTGTAGAACGGTGCAGAGTCAAGTGTACTCTCTTTCTCAGAACAACACTAGGCCCAACAACCTCTCCATAAGTTTCAAAAGATACCTGAGAAAGACAATGATCTTGCGCTTTTCCGTTCCACCTTACAACTAAGAGTAACTGGGTCATGAGCGACGCAATGTATCGTGCATAATTGAGTGCACTATATCAGCCCCACGCTCTTGAGAACTTCATCCGCCTTCTTCCCCTTAGCTCGTATGAGCCCCAACATCCTGGCTTCTTCGACGAATCTCACAAAGATCGCGTGAAGTCTCTCCTCCTCCTCAGCCTCCTGTTTGCGACCTATCCTATCCCCATTGCTGTTCCCGTTCGCACCTCCTACGCCATGTTCGGCATGCGTTTCTGAAATCTCCAATTCCGACTCTTTGCCCTCTCCTTCTCCACGACCCCCCGCGTTTTCTTTCCCCTCGGCATTGCTCTCGTCCATGACATCTCGGAATTCCTCCAGCCAGTCCCAGAGATTTACAGATTTTCCAGCCTCTTTCCATATTCCAAAGAGCACTTTCAGCCTCTTCAACTCTTCCGCCAGATCCACTTGTCTGACGCTCTCGTCTTTGCGCGGCGCCTCCAGCCTTGGTCTCTTGTTGCTGCGCTCAGCAGATTGCTTTTCGGCACGTTCGGAAGGCCCTGGGGCGATGTCTCTGGCGTCGGTAGAGAGGCTTTGCCCATTGTATGCGTCAAATAACGAGACGAATTGTTCGGGGTTGGAGAGAGCGTGGAGAAAAGATAGTCTGGGGGATGGATCATGGACCTTTCGATGATATTAGTATTGACATCGGTCAGAACAACTCAACAGCTCACAGATAAGAGGTTGTCATGTAGAGTCAAATTGAGTAGATATTTGACGCTTTCCGGTACATCAGGCTTCGCTGGGTTCGCACGGATAATTTTGAACAATTGTAAAATCTTGCGCTGTTTTTCAGCAGTATCGGCGTTCTGAATGATCACCGCCAAGGGGCCGTCGACATAAAAGTCCAGAAGAGCCCACTACGAGTAGTGTCAGCAAGCAAGAATCTTGGCATCGCGAAACTCGGTATCACCTTTAGGGTTTTCAAAGCAGCCGCGGGTCCTCCATCAAGCTGATCCTCCTGCGTCAGCAACTCGTCGGCCAGGTTGTCAGAAATCTTCAGTGGAGCACGCTCAAAAGCCTAAAGATAGTATTCAATTAGCTGTTTCCGCGCGGTAGATGACAGTTCTGACCCTGATGATAGCATCAACTCCTCCAGCCTTCTTCTTGATACGGCCAGCTTGTAGGATGCACATGTCCACAGCACTGGGTTCTATATGTCCCCACGTAGAGAGAAAGACCGCCGAAGAAGGGACAGAGAGAAGTACACGCAGTGGGATGGCAGGATGTAGCCTACTCGAGGGTCAATACATGCCTTTGTCAAGGCAGCGACTTACGTGAGGGTAAAGATCAATTCCGACAACACTGATGAAGGGATCATCTGCGCATCTCGCACATGTATCAAGAGAGGCCTCTCAGTTTTCGACTTCCACCATAGTTCTAGCTCATCAATCCCTGACCTCCCAGTTCGTTTTCCAGATACGGTCGCATCTCCGATGAATCCTATGGCGATGGAGCGGATAGCAGATGCGAGATCTGTAAAGCTCCGGGCACCCTGGACTGTGTGGTGATATATATCAAGCTGTGAGAAGTGGGAAGGTAAAGACTCCGATGCGTCTACAGGAACATCGTCAGCATAAATTCGACAAAGAGAAACGACCACTCACTCTGGAGGACAGCCACAGGTAGACGATGTATAGGCCGAATTAATTGGATGGTCTGTGGTTCATTACATCTTTCCAGCCAACTTAAGACATTCGATATTTGTTGCTGTGTTCGCTGCTCTTCGTAAACCTCCATAGGAAATCAGCATACCCCGTAGCTGTGCTGGTATCAGGCTTACTGAATAGGCCTCCTCTATTGAGTTGAGAGTAGAAGCGTAGATTTCGTCAAAAAGCTCTTGAACCACAGGCTCGCTTTGATCAGGTGGTACTTCTGTAGCTTCATCTAATGTGCCCAGTCAGCTCCGCAATTTCTGGCTGGTTTGGCGATTGTTTGATTATATACCTTGAGGACTAAATGGGAGAACGAAGACGCCCTGTGCCAGGTCAGCAAGCGAGGAGGGAAAACGGGAGCAATGCTTACTTTGCTCAGGGATTGGAGGGGGTCATCCATTTTTCCACTATATGTCTTGGTGAGGATGAGGTCAAGGAGAGTAACAAGCCAAAGAAAAGCAAGTTGGTGCAGCCGTCTTCAATCGGAGAGATAAACGGACGCGTTGTCGCGACTTGAGCGGCGGTCGCCGCACCTCCACCTTCAATTGCTTCCATTCGTCGGAATACCGATTCGTTTTTGCTCTCTGCACGGCTCTCTGTGTTGTGTTACTCCGAGAAGGGAATGCTCGCCGCCCTTCGCCGCTTGACCATGCCCAGAAGAACATCCGCAGACCACCGCAATGTCGTCGCTGTCATCGGTACCACAGGCGTCGGCAAGTCACAGCTCGCGGTATCCCTCGCTCAGTCTCATCAGCGCTTCAGCAAAGGCCATTCGGCGGCAGTGGTGCTGTCCGCAGACTCTATGCAGCTCTACAAAGGCCTTGATGTCATCACCAACAAAGTCACAAAGGAAGAGATGGGAGGCGTGGAGCACTGGGGCTTGGACGTGGTCAGTCCAGCCGCGGGCCGGAGTTGGGAAGTCGGCAAATGGTGCAATGAAGCGGACCAGGAGGTAAGAGGCCAATCAGACATCACTCAGTGGCATAGCTGAGAATGCGTCCCCTCTACACAGATAGCCAATATGCCGCTTGAAACTTTGCCGATCGTTTGCGGAGGCACCCATTACTTCATTCAGCACTTTCTCTTTCCCCCACCAGAGCTCTCCTTCAGCCGAGAAGACTCGGATGGACAAGGGCGCCCGCTAGAAATCAGATGGTTTCCCCCTGGACCGACGCCACCTACACCCGAAAACCTGACCCCTGCCTTGAAACGCCTTCTCGAATCATTCTGGCTGCCAGATCCCGTCTGGCCTTCGGCAGAGCTGGAAACGCCTTCCTCACCATCCACCAAAGCTGAATCCTCAAAGTCTAGCCGACCGACAGTGCAAGACGAATACAACCTTCTGAGCTTGTTTCGTCTACTAGAGGCTGTGGACCCGACTGAAGCAGGACGATGGCATTGGAAAGATGGGCGAAAAGTGCGGAGGGGTTTGGAAAGGTGGTGGGAGCGCGGAGGTCGGGTAAACCAGAAAAACACTGACGTTTTGGAGAGCGAGGCGAGGCCTCCTGGTAAAGATGGGAGACACGCCAAGTTCAGAACTCTCATATTTTGGGTCTATGAACCTCTGGTATCACTACGGCCAAGGCTCGACAAACGCGTTGACAAGATGCTCGAGGTCAGCCTTATGATTGTAATCACGATATGACATACTGACTGAGTAGCAGAATGGTCTACTACAAGAGATCGAAGAATTGCGGGGAATTGCAGCCGAGCTGTTTGGCAGCGACAACCCTGTCGATCATACGGAGGGGATCTTTCAGTCTATTGGCAAGTCGCGGTCTCGGTTGCAAACGACAATATACTCACAGAAGTCTTGTCAGGATACAAAGAGTTTGCCAACCTCCCACTACCCCAGCCAGACCCTCAGAGTCACCCTCTCTTCCCAGCCATGCTCGAGAGGACCAAGATATCCACCCATCAGTACGCCAAATCACAGATAAGCTGGATCAAGAAGCAACTGCTGCCAGCCGTGCGCGAGGCCCGGTCCCTGGGTGGACAGGTCGAAGTGTATGTTGTGCCTGGCGGAGAAAAAGGGGAGAAACCTGCCGTGGATGTTCTGAGTCGATTCTTGAAGGAAGAACACCTCCCGGATGCAAGCGCAATCGGCCACCCGGATGCGGGTGAGCTGTTGGCATGTCTCAAAGAAGGCGATGCAAAAGTTCCTGACATAGCCGAGTGAGTGTTTACGGCTGATCATGGTTTTCCTCTCATGTCATCTCTTAGTCGTCAAAGCCTCAATGCGCGAAAGTTTTGCGATATCTGTTCCACTCCAAACCAACCTTATTCCGTCATCGTTCGCGACTGGGACGCGCATCTGAAGTCCAAGATACATAATCGGTACGCTTTATGTGCATCTTTCCAGAACGACTGTCTGACTCAGCTTGCAGCAATTCGCGATCGTATGACAAGTCTGACAGAGAAGCCTGGATAGCTGAGCAGAGGGCGAAAGCCGAGCAAAGAAGGGCAGAGAAGGAGAGATCAAGAGAAGAGTCGGTACAGCAGCAGGAAGAAGTCTAGATTATATAGATTGTGATGTCTTTGCCTTATTATGAGATGAAAAGATATCATTTGGATCGCACGATAATGCAAAGTATCTGCTCAGCTATCTCTGCCCGCTCCTCTATCACCTTCGGCAAGGTCCCTTTCTAGAAGGTCGATCTCTTCGGCAGACATGAGCCATCGTTCGTCAATCTACCCTGGAGTAAGCTCTACAATGAGTAACCCAACGTCACAGCTCACCTCCGAATCCACAGATATCAGCTTGTTATCTTGTGGTTCTTCAGGTGGATCCAAGTCCAGCCACTCTCCCCTATCTTTCACATCGGGCAACGCGCCTCCTGTCTTGGCCAATCTCTACAAATTGTGTTCAGCACAACAACTCGTCTGGTACGGGCGCACTTACATCCGCTTCTTCATTGCCTATGATGCCAGAGTGGGCTGAAACGTGCTTGAATCTGACGGGGGCATTGGGGCCTCTTCGGCGGATGATGGTCATCAGGTGTTTGATGAGATCGACATTCATCACCGGTTCACCTCTACTACCTTTGAAGCCCTTCTCAACCCACTTCGGCAGCCAGATGGTCATACCTGACCAATCGATCACAAGTCAACCGAGGAATACGAGCAGCGTGGGTGTACATACAGGAAATGGAATAACGAGAGTCGCACCTGACTTCCAGAGGCAAGTCGGGATATGGACATCGCTCTATCGCTCTGATGACAGCCTGCGTTCGCGGTCAGCGTTTACATGTGCTGGACAAGCGATCACCCACAAGGAGCTCGCCTCTGTTGTTTGTCTGAGGATGTCCTGGCACGCGTTCTGCCCAGTTGCTAGTGTATACGTTCAGAAAGGTTCTGGACGACCTCCCGCGACTGACCTCTTTGATGCTTCACCCTGAGATCCCCACCACACACCCGCACCCGCTTTCGAGCCAACTTGACCGTTTCCTCGAGCGGAGCCATCGGTATAGACGATCAGGTGATGCGGCGAGCTCTTGGAGAACAAAAATCCTTTCTTGGCGATGTCTGCAAGGATGGGCGAAAGAGTTGATGGGGTGACATCGTTGAAGGGGGAGGCTGCGCGGTCGGTTTCGAGATCTCTGACTTGTGATTCGGGGAGAGAAGGCTGTGTGCTCGTGTTGGTGTTTGGGACGGTTAACTTCCCCGCTCTAGTTGTAGGAACTCTCTCTTGACCATGATTTCTTTTTCGAGGTCGTGACTCGGGACTGCATGATCTGCGCTGAGCAGCCTTTGAGGAGGTATCGAGATCGACGCCCGATTCGGCTAGCCATCCCGTGGCTTCTTGTCTCGTCCCGAATTTCTGATGTTTTGCACTATACCACGTAAGATTTAGCATCAAGACGGATTATGCTACATACCCAGGATATCCTCTCACTTGAGCATTGGCTTCATCCCACGTCTCGTATAGACCAGGCTTAAAGCCTATCGCTACTGCGTAGACACCAGCCTTGCGTGGCCTGGCGAGTGGCGATGAGTATCGTCTTGTGCTCTGCTCGACCGGCGATCCTCACATGTTTCCTTGTGGAGAAAGTCCACCTATTCCTCGAGAGTTTGCCCCGATGATTGAAAACTCCCTCTGGACGAGTTTCGGAAGTCCGTTGATGGTGCGCCGGAGGCCCGAGGTGTCTTGAGGTTGTAAGCTGCGAGGCCGGTGCGCGGGGGTGGCCAGGCGAAGCACGCGAGGAAGGGACAGTTTGTCGGTTGTTGCACTGTGTCGTTCCAGGTGAGCAGTAGAAGGGCAGGGGGAAGTGGGTTGCAATGGCCCTCGGAGCAAAGTATGACACCTGAGTTGCCGGTGACGGACGGAGGCAAATATCGAAGGTGCGAAGTGGAGGTCAGTGCTTCGCTCGAGCTGACTTGTTGAGTGAACCCAGAGTGATTTCTCCTCCTTCTCGCTCATTGAATTCCAGCAGTGGTAACTCATAGGAGAGGCTACTATAGGACATTTCCGCCAGTCAAGTACGCGAACAGATGCGTTTCCATGGTTGTGGGCTACATCAACTCAGTGCAGTGTCAAGGTGACGACTCACTCTCTCGGCGGTACACTGCAGCTCGATCGGACAAGAAGGCATAGAGTACATACTCTGAACTCTGTCCCTCTACATGGAACACCTAAAGTTTGGGATCGAAAGGCAGCCGTTGTGCTTGTGCTCGAGCGCTGTAGCTAGCAGGTAGCTAGCTATAGGTTGAGGTTCAACGTCGGACAACAACGGGCATTGTACCCTCGCCTCGGGCCTCGGGCCTCGACTGTGCCCCTCCTCCGACGTGCCTTCTGTCGAGAATCGCCATGGATGCATTATGTACGATGATAGAACGGCATGGGTCCCAGTCTGTCGTCAACGACAAGAGCAAACCAAGGGTGACAAGAGAAGCACGTCCAGGTCCCCATATCCCCCATCACCCTCCCGGACCTCCGGCGCTTTGGCCAGTGTATACTTACGAGGAGGCACAACGATACCCTCTTAAACCCCTTTGGGTGAGTACGTATAACAGTATAAAAGGAGCTGCATCAAGTGTCTCTCAATTTCCCCATAGACATTCCTATAACCATACATCTGCAAGATGCTCATCTCCGCTCTCACCGTCTTCGCGCTCCTTCCCTTAGGCCTGGCCCTTCCAGTCGCGCCTGTCGTCGACCGAGCCGAGCCCGCCATCGCTCTCGCGGTGGATGAAAGTACGCCTGCGATTGCTTCGCTTGCTGCTCCCGGGGTCATCTCCGTCAATGCGTTTGGGCGTGCCATCGCGTCTGTTGCCTCATCCGATGAGAGTTTGGCCTTTGGCGCTTTGCCCCGTGCTGCCGTCCAGGCCGCTGCCAATGACGCAGCGTCCATTGACGCTTTTGGGCGACGAGACGCTCTTCCAACGGCTGTCATCACGGATACTGTTCCTCTTGACGCCTTTGGCAAATAAGACGTCAGTGAGTCTCGCGTGTCTGCAGGCGATATCTGCTGATCCCTGTCTTAGCAGACGACAAGGCTCTCTTGTTGAGATCGAGGAGCAGCACCGCTGAAAACAGAAAAAAAGCGCCTGTCGCAAATGATATCGGGAATGCGTCCGTAGACTTCTTGTTACTTGTGATGCCACCATCTGACCGCCCGTGAGGATGCTGAAGAGTGCAAGAGATCCATAAGTGTGCTATATGACTCCAAAAAGACCACATTATTCGAGGGGACAATAAATTAGACATGCAAGTGCTGTATTAGTTGTTGTATTGGGTGACAGATAGATTCAGATCGACTTTGCCGCAAGCATTGGGTATTGCAGGAGGTGCGACTAGACGTTGACGAAAGAGGCCTCGTTAAAGATCCAGCCCTCGACAGGAACAGTCTCCTCGCCGCGAGTGACCTCGAGGGTGGTAGCGTTGTGGTACTATGATCTGTCAGCAGTGCAATGTGTCGACACAATTCTCGAATTGACCTGGTAAATGAAAGGCTTAGTCCCGGTAGCAGCCGCAAGACCCTTCCTGATGACATAAGGAATCTCGTGCAGCACATCAACCTTTTCGATCAGACCACCCTCACCAACAACCATGCCGGTCTTCTCGATAACTGCACGGGCGCTTGCCCTGCCAGTACCGTCTCGCCTATCGCCTGCCCAGTTGAACTCGAGACCCCCGGGTACAGAGTATCCCGTCTCGCCATCTACAACGGCGTTGAGATGGGAGGCAGTGGATACGTCGGAAGAAGGGGCGGGGTAGCCCTCGACGCCAGCAGGAGTGTGGGTCTGGCCAGTGACGAGGAAGGGGACGGGATCCGTCTTGCTGGAGTAGACGCAGCCAATGTTGACTTTTGTCTGGCCAGACTTGGGACCCTTGGGTCCGTAGTCCTCCTGGAGAGAAATGAGCATGTATATTGTCATTATTTCGAGGGACCCACAGTAGTTTCAAACTCCATCTGGATTGCCCTCACAACCCCGAGCTTTACATCTTCCTGCCCGGGGGCAGTGGTGAAGAAGGCAAAGTTCCAAGTTGAAGCCACCAAGTTGGGCCTCATACCCTGGATGGCATGCACAAACATGCCTTCACCAGCCATGTCGACGATCGCGCCGCTGAGGATGAGGGTCCCTGAGCTCTTGACGAGGGGGTGGAAGCGGTGAACGACATAGCCATCTCGCTTGAGCTTGTCCTTGCCGAACACAGAGACGCCACCTTCGGGGCCGGAACCAAGCTTGAATCCGGGGGCAGAAGAGGGCTTGGTGAATTGGACGGAGATCTGGACGTCCTTTTCGAGGTGGGCCGTGATGGAGTAGGTCTCGTCGGTGGCGGGGGTGCCGGTATGCTTGATTTCCTAGCCAACGTGTCAACAAAAGAGTATATGGGACACGCAAGGCTCACGAATTCATCAGCCTTGCAGTTTTGCCTGTCGAATTTGGACTTTGAGGCGTTCACAGACTTCCAAATGGACTTCTTGGTGGCGGGATTGTAGTGCTTGAAGGTGATTTGGGTGGTGGCGGGGATCAGGAAAACGCTGGCACATAGTCAGAATTTGGGGCCTACATGCACCTTGCCGGTCTGAGAGTGAGAATGCAAGAACGTACCCGAGGTATGACCAGATGATCTGGACCATGACCAGACTACCGTCGGCAAGCACAGTGTACCAAGTTTGGGTCTCGGTCTGGAAACCAGCGTCGTTCGTGTTGAGCCACTAAACGCAACATTGTGAGCGTTTCTCAAGATACGCTGGGTAGACTGCTCACGGCCGTGTCATCGCTGTTGAGCTCGCCGAACCCGGTCTGGGACGAGGTTGCTGGCCAGAAGTTGTTGACGGCAGCGGCGACATCGGGCTTTGAACTGGGAGGGGAGGGTCAGCTCGGGGAGTGTGAGGGGGAGGACGCACGAGAACCAAGACATGGCGGCAGATGGAGTTGTGGTACTTGTGGACGATGGGGTTATGTAGTGGGGCGAGCGCAACAGAGGTGGAGCGGCACATTCCTGTGGGTGTCCCGATCCCGCCAACTTGCGGTTTCCTTCCTTGTAACTTGTTCCTTCAACCGCCCCTATGTTTTGAGGGGTGGTCCCCGGGCGAGCGTGGCTATAGACTACATGGGTGCTGCTACGCTACTACAACGGCTCATCTTTGACAGGCCTTTTGCCATGGCCTCCATGATCACGCGCCTCTCTCGGTCTCTCTCGCTCTGCGTCTCGTCGAGGCGGCGAGCGTGTACTCGACCTCTCGCGTTTCACCAGAGCATCATTCAAAAGTGGCGCATGTTCGCGCCGCCTGTCTCCATACCGCCCGCCCGCTCTGTCTCGGTCGTCACGCTCGCGCTCTGGCCCTCTGCCACTCCGCCTCGGGGACTCTCTCGTATCATCGTCTCGGCGGCTGTAACGTCTGTCCCGTTCATAATCGTAGTGGCGCCTGGATCTGTCGTGGTCACGCTCAGAGTCATCGCGATGCCGTCTGGACTCTGAACGATGGCGGCCTTTGTGGTCACGCTTCACTTCCTTCTCGGCACGCTTCATCGCACGTTGTTCTTTGCGAAGGCTTTCAGAAAAGTCAGCACGGATATACAACGAGTGGAAGAATGCATCAGACTTACGCCTTTTCCCTCTTCCTCTCCTCCTTCTCCAGTCTCTCAATCTCCTCATCCTTTTCGCTTTTCTTCACCGGCACGTCGTTCGCTCCAGTCCCAATAGCATCCGGGTCTCTCTTTGTTACCGGCAGGCCGAGAGCTTCTGCCAATGCATCTTCCTCTTGCTGCTTGACCCGTGCAATCTCTTCCGCCCGCTCTCGAGCGGCCCGTTCTGTGTCGCCGTCATCGACATCGCGATTGTACCAATGGATATCCTTATTTTTGGCCCAGCGACCTACTGGGGCGTTGACAGAGTGTCCAAGGTAGTTTTCTGAATACTGTTAAGCCATGACCTGTGGCTAGAGCAGCAAAAACCCACCTCTGTGCTTGTCATCTGCGACCGCAGACCATTTAAAGTCACCCTGTCCACCGCGAGTGCCTGGGTCGGAGTGAGCGAATGCATATGCAGGGGAAGAGAGGACGCACCTCCTCTTACAGGACCGTCGTACATGGTATGTATGCTGAGGTTAGGGATATGAACGAGATGCAAGATAAACAAGCGGTGCCACACGTCTAACACCGCAGATTTCCGCTGGCTGACGCGCTTTGGTAGAGGATAACAACCCGCATAGGCGCAACACGTCGAAGCATCCCTCGTCACTCCTCCGCCCCCTCGTCGCCACCGCCACCGCCGCCACTCTCCCGCCTCCCCGCCACTCCTTCGCTACTCCCCACCATGGGCAACGCAGTCAGCAGCTGCTGCAGGCCAAGGCGCAAGAACAGCTACGAGCCCCTTCTCCTAGAGACAGAGAGGGAGGCCGTAGCCGACTTGCTGCAGTATCTTGAGAGTCAGTCGAAGCCTCACCGGTCTCGCATGCATGGCTGACGCGCAGGCTTATCGCAGACCGATCCACCACCAACTTCTTCGCCGGCGCGCCCCTGGCTGCCCTTACGACCCTCTCGTTCTCCGAGAACGTCGACCTTCAGCGATCCGCGGCCCTGGCGTTTGCAGAAATCACAGAGAAGGAAGTCAGAGAGGTTGGCAGGGATACGCTCGACCCGGTCCTGTACTTGTTGAGCAGCCACGACCCCGAGGTACAGCGTGCGGCAAGTGCGGCCTTGGGCAATCTGGCCGTGAATGGTGGGTGGATCCCTTGGGCGGCACATGAATGGAAGGCTCATGCACATCTCAGCGGAGAACAAGCTCCTTGTGGTGTCTCTTGGTGGGCTCGAGCCCCTCATACGACAGATGCTCAGCCCCAACGTGGAGGTCCAGTGCAACGCGGTGGGATGCATCACCAACCTGGCAACCCATGGTGCGTAGTGCTATCCGCCTGGTAGCCTGGCTGATACCCCGTGTAGACGAGAACAAGACGCAGATTGCCAAGTCGGGCGCATTGGTGCCGCTGACTCGCTTAGCCAAGTCAAAGGACATGCGTGTACAGCGAAACGCCACTGGGGCGTTGCTCAACATGACTCACTCTGGTACGTGTCGCTTCCCATGTATGCGCCATGACTGACAATCTGTAAAGACGAGAATCGACAGCAGCTTGTGTCGGCTGGCGCCATTCCCGTGCTTGTCAGCTTGCTCAACTCTCCCGACACGGACGTTCAATACTACTGCACGACCGCTCTCAGTAACATTGCTGTCGATGGTGCGTGAGAGGTTCTTGCGAGAATCATGGCTGATCGATCTGTACAGTCAACAACCGGAAAAAGCTCGCCACCTCCGAGCCCAAGTTGGTGCAGAGCCTTGTCCAGCTGATGGACAGTCAGAGTCTGAAAGTACAGTGCCAAGCGGCTCTGGCTCTGCGTAACCTTGCCAGTGACAGTAGGTCGTCTCATTGCCACACTGATGTATGCTGACTCTTGCACAGGCAAGTACCAACTCGAGATTGTCAAGTTTAACGGCCTCCAACCTCTTCTTCGCCTTCTTCACTCCTCTTATCTGCCCCTCATCCTTTCCGCCGCTGCTTGTGTCCGAAATGTCTCCATTCACCCCGCCAACGAGTCGCCCATCATTGAATCTGGCTTCCTCCAGCCTTTGATCGAGTTGTTGTCTTTCGACGAGAATGAGGAAGTGCAATGTCATGCAATCTCAACGCTGAGGAATTTGGCAGCGAGCAGTGAGAAAAACAAGGGCGCTATCGTGGAAGCGGGTGCGGTCGAAAAGATCAAGAGTCTGGTCTTGACCGTTCCCTTGGCCGTTCAGAGTGAGATGACAGCCTGTGTGGCAGTCTTGGCCCTCAGTGGTGAGTCTTGCGTCGACAGACACGGCTCGTGCTTAACCCCTGATTAGATGATCTCAAGCCTCAACTACTCGAAATGGGTATTTGCGAAGTCCTCATTCCCCTCACCAACTCCCCCAGCGTCGAAGTGCAGGGCAACTCTGCTGCCGCTCTCGGCAACCTCTCCTCCAAGGCTGCCGAAGACTATGCGCCTTTCAATGCTGTCTGGAACAAGCCCGACGGTGGCCTTCATGCCTATCTCGTCCGATTCCTCAGTTCTGCCGATATCACCTTCCAGCATATTGCCGTCTGGACGATTGTTCAATTGCTCGAGGCCGAAGACGAGCAGCTTACAAACAATATCCGCTCCTCCCCCATCCTAATCTCCTCTATCCGCCAACTCTCTAAATCACCCCCACCCTCTCACTCTGGCGGAAGACGTGACCCCACAGATCCGTCAGGGGGCTCATCAGACGAGGAGTTTGACGACGGCATGACGGACCAGGAAGGAGAGGGCGAGATTGTGTCTCTTGCGCGAAGGATCTTGGACTTGACAGAGGTTGGGGAGGAAGAGGGGGACGCTTTCGAGTCCCTGCCCAGGCCAGTCGTCGCTGCAAGTCAAGGGGTGCAACAATACTCTTCAGGCGGGCAGGGTAGTCAGGTCGGGAGTGTTGGGTCGGAGCATGCGGCGTTGAGAGCGAGTATCCACAGGGCGTTGAGCGGAGGTGGTCGATGAGCGGTCGAGCTTGGCCAAACAAGTCTTTCTGCTGTTCGAGGCAATAGACACACATGCGTAACAATCATGTTGCAGCGCGTACAAGCGCCAAATGTTTGATGACGGACCGAACCGAACAAAACCAAAGGCGAAGAGTTTGTGAATGACCCTGTGAGATGTGAATGTATGTATAGCATTTTGATACTACGTCTTATTTTTATTTGAATACCTTGACTCGCTCCAGTCTTGAACCTGGCAGGGATAATGCATATGTTTTTGTGTGCGGATACGCGGCGGGGGTGGCCGCTCGGAGGAAGTCGGACGACGGGATCAAATGGGGGACTGGCGAATGGGATGCGGACAATTAGCACTTGAGGTCTTGAACTTGAACTGAACTGGACTGCCCTCGTAGCTCGTACTGCCCCATACACCGCCGCCATGTCCCTCCTCCGACAGTCCATCGCCCGGGTCGCCCTCAAGCGTACGCATCCCCACTTGCCCCCTGCCGCTCGCTGACTTGCCGTCTCCAGCCTCAATCCTCCGGTCCACCCCCGGTCTTATGCTCGCCCAGCGACGGTCAGTCAATCGCTATAACGGAATACCGAGCGGAGTAGCTGACAGCACATGCTCCAGATTCGCTTCTACCGAGCCCATGTCTGCCAGCGAAAATATCGCTCTGCTCAACTCTCAGAGGCAATACCGACCCACATCTCCTCACTTGGACATCTACCAGCCTCAAGTATGTACACTGTCTGTGCTCAATCGATATTTGAGACATGTAAACAAGAGCGCTGCTAACATTCAACCAGCTTACCTGGATCCTGTCCAGTCTTCACCGAATCACTGGTGTCGCCTTCTCTGGAGCTCTCTACCTCTCCGCTATCGCCTATCTTTTCAACCCCATGTTCCCCGTAATCGACTCTGCCCATATCGTCGACCTTGTGCACACTTTCCCTGGATGGGTCAAGGGTGGTCTGAAATTCGCGGTGTCTCTGCCGTTCACTTTCCATTGCTTCAATGGTCTCAGGCATTTGAACTGGGATATCGGAAAGGGTAGGTTTCAGCGGGCGTGCATATGCGAGAGTTGTTGCTGATGCTGTCTCAAGGACTCACCGTCAAGGGCGTTTACCAGACCGGCTATGCCGTCCTCGGCGCCACATTGGCCTCTTCCCTCTACCTCGCCTTCCTACTCTAATTTCATAATCCTGTATGATGACCTGTCGTGGAGGAGCACGAGTATGGGGGAGTGAAACGATTATGTGGCGCGGCGATCTGAAATCTGATCAAGCGTCGCAGGGTTCGTGTGATGATAGGGATCTCATGGGACGCATGCCTTGAATGTTGTGCCCATTGTATTTTAGTCCGATACGAATGCATTAGTATCTTTTTCGGACCAGGCCAGTTTGCTGGTCAAGATTATATTCATCTGAACCAAGCACCGACACCAACTCCTGGTCCATTTATGCCCTCGGCGGCATGCCACCATCCTTCGGGTATCAACACGCTCTCACCAGGGCCAACTACAACCTGACAGCCTCCTTCGAGCTCATATGCTCGACGCAATCTGTCTCTACATTCTGCCAACGTATTTGGCGGGAGATCGTCGAGATCCGCAGATTCTGAAAAAGGAGAGACGATTCGGGAGACAGGAATGGGAATCTGCGAGGTATTGGCGTGTAATGGCTTTGGCGACGGATTGAGATGTGGGGATGCGGCAGGAGGAACCACATGAAAGATTTTCCGACCTATGACTATACCGCAGAGAAGGTATCGGCATCAAGCTTCTCATACGTACACTAGGCACTTACTCTGCGTGTATATACCCACATATGGATCTTTATGGAATGGGGTAAAGCTTCCCGCCGGCCCGATCCATATCGTCCGCCTATACAGGCTTTTCTCTTTGCCCACGTAGAAGTGAGGCAAGAGAGGGACATCCGATAGAAGAGACGGAGTTGAGTCAAGGAGATCAGATTGAGCAAGATATGCTGTTGGCAACTTGAAAGAGGGATCAGAGGAGGGTATGAGGTTGAATATAAAGGCGTCCAAGAATACTCCTGTTCCCTACATCAGAATTCGCCAAATCGTTATGCTAGAAGACAAACCAAAGGGCATGTTGATCTTTTGCCATTCCTGGTCTAGATAACCGCGACCGCTCTTTCCCAGCTCGATCTCGGCCACCCTCTCTTCACCAATTCGATCACGAAGGATTCGAAGATTATCTTTCAGGCTCCAAGAGGCCAGTGCCGGCCATGCGTCCGCAATATTTGGCAGGTGGAGGGGAAGAATGGGCGTAGTGCTCAGGTGTTTCTGGAGGCTGGCCGGGGTGAACGCGCTCACTGAACAAGCTGTAGGGATGGCGATGTGGGATATAGTCATTTTGAGCGTGGATCAAGGCCTAGTAGTCGTCAGTGTCGCCTGAGAAAGGATCGCCGCGCAAGACACATCGATGGAGTCTGTAAGCCAAGGAAACAAAGAACAAGAAGCGGTCATGAAAGTGGAGGTCGGTCGCGTCGGTTCTGACATCTCAAACTTTTGTCTTGCTTTGCCTTTCGCTCCATCTTCCAGCTCGCGGTTAAACACTCTACGCACTCCCCTCTGCCAGAACGCTCCTGTATACCACACAATCACTCCTTCGGCCATCTCACCCACAAACCCAACCAGCATGTCCAACTCTCAAAAAAGAGAAAAGCTTGATATCGAGTCTCCAGAGGAACGCGAAGCCCGTCTCGGTACGTGGCACATAGCCACATCTACTACATGCGTCACCATAATCCAACTGACTGTATATGCATACAGGTCAGCTGTTATCTAGTATCTCTACCGGGGCAAAACCGTCAGATATCGAGCCCTCAACACCTTCAAACCCCTTACCAAGTCGGCCACATGCCATGCCCGAGAGCGATGGTAGGTATGCCTGACCGATGATTATTCTCGTGTTGACGTATGCTCGACATTAGTTTTGGCTCGCGTACGGGCCTTCCTACCCCAATTCCAGGCTGCCAACGAGGATCTGCTCAAGCGCGCAGAGGAAGATCCAGATTCGGTGGATATCGAGAAAGGCCAGGGTCAACACATTGCCATGGTATGTCATTCTCATCCTGGAAGGGACTGGTCATGAGTGCATGTTATGAGTGCATCTTAATGCTGCCAGAGTTTGAACGTTGACATCCCATTTAGGATCTTGGCCTGGGTGTGTTCGATGCCCCTGAGAACCCTTCGAACGACATGGGGCCTATTATCGAAAGCACAGTGCCAGAAGGCTTCCAACAACGGCAAGATGAAGAGAGCGAGGACGAAAGCAGCAGCGATAGCGACAGTGAAGGTACCAGTAGTAGTTCAGAGGCAGGTGAGAGTGTGTCAGCTGCAAAGTAATTCGACGTGAATGCGCTAGACTTTTGTTTGTGTTATTGTACGCACCTAAATATGTACTGTACTCGTACATGATGAAGATTGAGGAGTTAGGAAGCCTCCATAGACTCGTGATTTCTTATTCACTCATCGATTGACTCACCAAACCGTTGTCTCCGAACACTGCCTTCGTACTCGTATACCTGCACCATGCCACTCAGAATGCCGCCGGGATGACCGTCGGGCGTCAGCGTCGCCGCGTCTCGCTCCAACTTCGTTGTCTCCAACAATTCATGCAACATTTCCAAAACATTTCTCATTTCTCATTATCATCCATATCTCTCCTCTCAACAGCGATATGGAGAGCCTGTCCAATGACCAGGCGCAAACATTGTGGGAGGTAGGAGGGTTTGTCATCATCACCGACTTGCCAGAAGGCAGTGAGTTCGGTATCGACGGGACGTGAGTTAGACAATTAGCTCTTTCGAGCACGAAAGCTTGAGACTGATATAGCTGAGTTTGTAGGTACCATACCACCAGAAAATTCTCTGGAATCAAATTTGTCCCGCCAGGCATCCATATGATCGCCTGGTGTCCACCGCCATCGACCGCCCCATCCTCCGGGCCATCCGCTATACCCATTCGCCAAGCTATCATCAAATATTTCAAACCGAAAGAGCGATATGTGCTCAAATACGACAAGGGCACGGAGAGTGTGATTCTTCCTGAAGGAGAGGTTCTGATGAGCGACGACAATCTCAAAAATCTCGATGCCGAGCTCGCGCCGTACCCTTTTGATGAAATCACAGGATGGAAGGCTCTCACTTCCGAGATCGCTCCCTCTGTCGTGTCCGCTGTGGTACCGGTTGGAATTATAGATGGTCTCACTCCAGTGATGGATCAGGACGACGAGACATTATCGAAAGAGATGAAAGACAAGCTGGAGGAAATGAAGATGAGGTCGCATATGGAGGAAGGCGAGATGGAAGGGGCTAGTTTGGCATTCACCCGATTCAATTTGAAGAAGAGCTGGAGAGAAGGAGCAGTGGGGGAAGAGGTAACGAGGTACTCTAGGGACAAGAGTTGGCTGTTTGGAAACGTCCTGGAAGGGCAATTGAAACGAGGTACGGGTTTTTTTTTGCTGAGAATGAACATAGCTGACGCTGTGACAAAGACCCAAAGCTCTTGCTTGGGCATCTGCAGCTGTCTTTCATTTTACTCCTCCACCTTTCGTCGTTTGCATGTCTGCAAGCCTATAGAAGTATCATTGCCCTCTTCACGGCATCACCATCCCTCCTTCAAACACCATCTAAATACCTCTCGCCCCCGAAATCAGACCCCAATGTCCATGTGGGCGCAGGCATCAAACAAGCATTCCAAACGCTCGTTGACACCTTGGTGTCACAGCTGGGAGCATTGCCAGAACAGGTTTTCGACAATGGACTGCCCGAAATGGACGTTTTCTTCCTTGACCAGATTGAAGCCCTCCGTCAGAACCTCGGCACTGCTTTATGGGCCACCTCTATATCTGGGCTTCAAGTCGGTGTCGAGGAGGGTGCACAATGGTCAGAAGAGGAGAGGCAGGATATGAATGCGAGATGGAATAGGCTGCGTGATGTGGCATGGAAAAGATGGAGATGGGATGTGGACGAGCTGGGTCATCGGGTTGAAGAGGAGGATGAGGACGAGGACGGCGAGTATGCGCCAATGGTGGTAGAAATGTAAAGATCATACATCTAGTCCCATCTATAAGAGACCAGGGACGACTGCTGTTCTGTCCTTGGGATACTTGTCTCCAAATTCTTTTTGATACCAACTGTGGCCTCTGATCGCCCGGGGCAGCATGCTCGTAAATTCCGCCAATACAAAAGTCCACCCCGGTGCAAGAAGATACGCCGGCCAGTAATATCTTGAGATGGTGTGTACCAATGTATGAGCAGGGCCGCCGGAAAGGAGTAATGATGAGGCAGGCGGAACAGCGATGACTGCTGAAGAACTAGCTGCAAAAGTCCATCCAGTCCATTCGATCCTGGAGATGTGAGCTCATGAAACGCGGGTGTAGAGAGAAAAACCCACCATTCAAACAGATAATTCGGATATGATACCCACCTAAAGAACCCCCCTCGAGGAATCTTGTATCTTTCTGCATTGGCGCTCCCATCTCCTGGCTGATGGTGGATGATCAGGCGCCTACCTGGGGGTCTACGGAGATCATTGAGTATCTCATCATGGACAACTGCCACCGGTAACATCAGAAGGAGAAATCAGTATGGGGATGATGCTCACTGTTTCCAACGAACCCGACTGCCCAAGTACATACCCCCAGTATGAACTTCCAGGTCAATTCCTCCCGAGGTGGATAGAAAGCCAAACCAAGGGCCAAAAGATAGCCATTGCTAATATATAAATCAATCACACTCTTCGAGCTATATCAGGGGCCCCCGGTAACGACGCACATCAGATTGAAGACCACGGCTGAAAATGCTACACTGATGTGTAATGGAGATCGGGACGGGGAAAGAACGAGGGGTGATATTATGGCTCGGTGGGCATAGTGGACCGTATAGAGGACCTGTAGATATGAAGACGCATCATCGAATCATGTCCAAACGTACGAATCAGCTGTAGCCTTCTCGCTTCCTGAAAGGAGTGCTCACCTGAAGTAACCTTGCTGAAAGATTCAGAGGGGGGTGATCATGTGTGTAGAGAGCAACCATGAACGTCACAGGCTATGCAAGACGTCAGCTCTCCCTCCTGAGCTCTTGCCCGACCTACCGAGACTATCTCCATGGCGGCCCATCCGAGATTACCTACCGAAGTTCGGTCAGCGTGAAGGATTAATAGTATGATGGAAAGAACGAAAACTAATGTACCATTGATATTCAGGCGACTGCCATGGCTTGCGAATTTGCCGAAAGGCGCATCGATGAGTCCCGAAAGAGTGATGGGCATGTGGAGGGCGAAGAGGTGGAAGACGATGAGGGTGGGGAAAAAGTTTCCAGGGGGCAGCATGCTGATGGTGAAAGGGTATACAATTGATTTCTGGGAAGGGTCTCCACGCCAGGAGCACTGTTGTGATCGATGGATGTCGCGCAGACGAGAGGCAGCAACAACGAAAGTAACGAAAGTTCGGAACGGGACCAAACAAGCCACATGGTGAAGTAATTTGAGTTTCATGAGTAGCGGCGACTTTGAACGAGTGCCGTTTGTCGCCCCGAGCTCTCCAGGAGTGCAGCGCCAATGCCATGCAGTCATTGAAGATATCCCTGGGACTATTGCATACTGTACACAAGAAATAGACTACTACAACGATATATAGGATCACAGCTCCATATCTTCTGCTCCGCCCGTACTCTCGCCTTGTCCTTGCTCGCCCAACGGGAGACCGACTCTCGCCCCCGCAGGTTCAGACCCGGCTCGACGACATTTACGGGAGACAATAGACCAACCTTCCTCCTCATCTTCTTCTCTGACAATCTCCAAGCTCCCGCTCCTGCCTGTCTTTCCGGGAGGCGTACCATCTGCCCCACCTGCGTTGGACTTGGAATTGACGGGCACCAATTTGCCCATTTTGACAGGCCCAAGCGGACTGGTGAAATCAAACCTTCCACTCTTGACTTCCTCTGGCATGCCGAACCCGCTCGGGGCTGTCTCATCGCCCGAAGGCAGGATTCGAGGCGGAGTATAAGTGCGCCTGACAGATGCTGCCGGGGAGAGTTCCCCGACGCCGGAAAGGGCATACATACGTTTGTCTCTGTCTCTCCGAGTAGGGGTGCGGCGAGGAGAATTGGTACGCTGATTGGAGAGGGAAGGGCGGATGTAGGATGCCATGGAGGGAGAGCCCGCCGTGCGCGGGGGCGGAGTGGAGGGCGCAGAGGGAACGATGGACAAAGCTGGTATAGTGGGGTCCAATTTGGGTTTTGGAGGAGGAAGGGAAGTACGCCTTTTCTTAGGCACACCAAATATTGAGTCGAGGCGCTCGTCGGTGGCAGAAGACTCTCCGTTCGCCTCAAAGACGGGCGTCGACGCCGACCGACCGACCTCGCGCAGGACCCGACCCCGCTCTTCGGCCAGTATTCGGAGCTTCTCCATGCGGCGTTCGCTCATGACCCAATTGACCTGAGTATTCCATTCCTCCCTTTCGCCCTTGTACTTGGCTTGGTTGTCCTCTCCGGTCACACCTGGGTGCAGGCGTGTGCGAGCAGAGTGGGCTTCGCGAGCAGTGGCGAGTACGTCGAAACCACCTGGGTTTTTAGCATGGTGGTATGCACTTTGTAGGGATGCGGACGCGAGAAGGGGTGGTTCTGGACGAAGGTGGAAGGGGATCAAGCGAGCTTTGATACTTATGATACTGAGTTTTGTGGGATCAGCAGGGCGTGTGATGTGTAACCTTCTTGATTGCTTACGGTGGCATGAATTCGTTATAGATGCGAACGGGAAAGAAGTGGTTCCCCCGCGGTGTGGTTCTTCCTTGGAAGAATGCCTTCTTGTCGATGATCTGAAAGCGTCACGTCAGCCATGGAAAGTCATCAATCAACAGCCAGCAACTGATCTCACCTTTCCTGGCCATATGCCGTCATGAGCCGTGTCGACGAGAACGACATTTCCCAATCTGGGGTTCCATTTTCTCCATTCGTCCTCCTCATCCGCAGCCAGATTGTGCACAGAGACAGCCCCCGGGTATGCGGTGGGCATAGGTCGGCTTTTTCCGTCCCGTTCTGATTTGACTAAGCGGGTGGCAGAACACGCACAAGTCAGTGAGAGTCAACCAAGAAGACTGCAGAGGAAATGCCAGTACATACCGGTATTCTCTGCATCCTCCATCACCCCATCTTCTCCATCTGGCAGGGACCCAATATACCCATTGCGGTTGCCACCCGCAGCACGGTTCTTCTCAGCGCTGCACGTCAACTCGTCCATGCTCTTCATGACCCAGTACCGCTTGACTGCCTCTTCCCATCTTGCGTGGACTACGCCGTCGTTGAGTTTTACGGCGGCACATGCCTCGAACTTGGCGGCGATAGAGTCGAGGCGGGTGAAGGTGTCGCAGACGAGGAGGTCGAGGGCGGCGTCGAGGGAGGAGAGGGGCGGGGGCTGCGGGGGTGCGGGGTCTATGGACTTGCGTTTGGGCATGGGGCTGGTGGTGGATGAGGGCAGAGGATAAGGATGTATGGGTCTATATACTTTAGTGAGCAGGAGATGGGTCAGCTCTCTGCATCAATCTCGCGGCGGGGGGCCCCGCATCCCTTCTTCGTCTTCCTTCGTCTCCGGTTGCATTGATATATTGTCGATGTTGATATACCTCCACCATGGCAAAGAAGAAGCTGTCCCTCAAACGTAAGCCCACACCCCATGGTCTCTCCTGACACCCAGCAGCCGTACAGAGGGGGTTCGCAACTACCTCTGCCGCCAAGAAACCCCAGCCACAGCAACCGCCCTCCCCTCCGAGCCAACACGAGGCCACGCCGGAGCAGCCCTTGGATGACCAGCCCAGAGAGAAGGTAGAGGCAGAATCCACAGACGCAAAGAAGGAAGATTGGGAGGACGACGACGCGACAGAACGCAATGCGTTACAAGGCTTCGTTGACAAGCTTCACGAAAAAGGAGAGAAGGAGGTCGTCAGAGTCATCAAGGTATGCTCCAGTTCGTGCGCTTTAGAAACGGGGCTGATATCCCTCTCAAGGCTATTGAGTTCGACCAGCGTCTTGGGGCATCGTTCCCGAAAGTTGAGATCAACCAGTCGTTACGAGACCAGGCTCTGGAAACAGCTCTAGAAGAAGAGCGAGCAAATCTCACTGGTATGTCTGCTCTGGAACAGCGACCATGGGCACTCATACTCCTTTAGATTCATCCGATCCCCCAACGGTAACTCACCCAGCTGCCAACGCTCCAGAAACCGAGAAGGGTCTCCTTCGTTTCTTCATCGCCTACCATGTCCTTCAAAGGCTCGGCTTTAGAACAGCAAGGATCGAGCAGTGCTTCTTGCAGGGCTTAAAGGAAGGCGAGGGATGGGAGGAAGCCCTGGAGTGGCTATGGTTACATTGCACTGAAGATGAGTGTCTGCAGAAAGGAGAGTTTGCCAAGCAAGAAGGTGAGTTTTGGGTTCCTGGGTCAGGCAGCGAGGCATGTCGAATAAGCACTGATGATTCTACAGAGCGGCCACTCGAAGAGCCGGAAGAAGCTCTACTACCTGCTTTGGAATCTGTGATCGAGGAGAAGGTGATCCAAGACGCTCCACCATTACAAACAGCCTCGGTCGTTACAGGCCCAGACCCTTCAACGACGACTTCGTTATTTCAGGCGGCCGATTCCGAATCAGATAGTGGGTCAGACTTGGATGATGTTAACAGCGTCAACGAACAATGGGCACGGCTGCAGCTCTCGCTTGACACACTGAGAGGGCCTGGATCAGGCAAGAAGGGCAAGAAGGGGAAGGGGTCTGGGGTGGTCTTGGACACACCAGAAATCAGAGGATTGAAGGAGAAAATCGCAGCGGCTGAAAAGGAATACATGTTCAGTCGAAAACATGCTGGTGAGTATGCCAACAAACCCGGGATAGCGGAAGCTGATGCAAGCTAGACTCGATATTGAAGACGCTGAAAAGTCAAAGAAATGCCGAGTCAATTGCTGCAAAATTCAAAGGACTCTCGACCAGACCCGAAGAGAAGGCTGAGGAACAGGTCGACAAAGACGTTCAGCCAGAAGACGAAAGAACCGGACTACCGGTCCAGGAAGAAGAGGAGAAACCCAAAGCGACGGATAGCAGCAGTATCCTTGATGCCTCTGCGTCCGACGATGACGATGGCGGCGGTCTGTTCGGTGCTATGCTCGACGAGCCGACACAGCCAAAGTCCGGCATTCAACCCGACACTGAACCCTCTTCATCAACTAGCATATCAGTCCGATCAATGCCTATCCCTAAACAATTGTCCTTTGCGGGAACCATACCCAAGAATGTCCTCAAGGCAGCATTTTCAAAAGCCACCAAGCAAGTGGTGCTCTCGTATGTCAACTTGTCTGGTCATAGCAAGGCCGCAAGGGCAGGCTTGGAATGTCGATGGCAATCTGGCAGTGACAAAGGGAGAAGAATATGGAGGATGGACGATCTTGCGTGCGATGACATGGCTCAAGCCGAAAACTATGTTTCCACTTTAGCTTTGTCGGATCTAGAAGCCGAGAAGCTCATCAGTGGAGTCAACTGGAGGACGATGCCTGCTGCCTACCGAGAACTGTGGGAGGAGCTTGGTATTGAAAGAAGGGAGAAGGAGGATGCCAGTCGAAGAGAGGTCTGGAAAACGATCAAGAATCTTTGGGACGCCAAAGCGACCGAGGCGATCGTGGAGAAGGGCATAGTCGACAAATCGTCAGGTGGGAAAGAGAAGGACGGGGGAGAAACGAAGGGAGTGGAGATGGACAAAGAGGATGTCTTTGTCAAGAAAATCCAAGACGATTACGCGAGGCGCCGAGAATCCGCGCCTTATCAAACTATGCTCAAGCAACGAGGCACTCTCCCTATCGCTTCCTTCCGAGATGAGATCCTAGCGACGCTCGAACAAAATCAAGTGATGGTATTCAGCGGTGAGACGGGGTGCGGGAAATCCACTCAGCTGCCGTCTTATATCCTTGAGAACCATCTTTCACAGGGCAAGCCCTGTAAGATAGTTGTCACCGAGCCGAGACGAATCAGTGCTATTTCACTGGCCCAGAGAGTGTCTCAGGAGCTTGGTGATGCTACTGGTGCCGTCGGCTCTCTTAGCAGTCTGGTTGGCTACAGTATTCGACTGGAGAGTAAAACATCCGCAAACACGAGGCTGTCATTTGTCACGAATGGTATAGCTCTGAGGATGCTCGAGTCTGGATCTTCTGGTGACAGTAAGGGTACTGCTTTCGACGAGATCACCCATATCATCGTTGATGAGGTGCACGAGCGCTCGATTGAATCCGACTTTCTTTTGATCGTGTTGAAGAATCTCTGTCAAACCAGACCTGACCTCAAGGTTGTCCTCATGTCTGCCACGGTCGACGCTGAGAAGATTTCAAACTTCTTCGGCGGAGCGCCCTATATGAGCGTGCCGGGTAGGACTTTCCCGGTGACTGTAAACTACCTTGAAGATGCAGTCGAGCTGGCTGGCTGGAGTATCGACGAGAGGTCACCTTATGCTGTCAGGGGACGTAGGCAAAAACCACAATCGCAGATGGTGGAATGGAATGAGGAGGGTGCAAAGTCGGACTCTGATCCTTCGGACGATGAGGACGAGTCGACGTCTGATAATCCGGCCAAGCTATCTTCTGCGAGATACAGCTCCCAAACGGCCAGTACCCTCAACTTGCTTGATTCTCGGCAGATCCCGTACGACCTTATCGTTGCCTTGCTGGAAAAGGTTTGCTATGACTCGCTCGAGCACGTAACATTCTCTCAGGCTACGCTGGTGTTCATGCCTGGCCTGGCAGAGATAAGGAAGTTGAACGATATGCTTCTAGCCCACCCACACTTCGGCAGTCAAGACTTTGTTGTGTGGCCTTTGCATTCCAGTATTTCTTCGGAAGGTCAAGGTGCCGTGTTTCAGAAACCACCGAAGGGAGTCAGGAAAATCGTCATTTGTAGATCTTCATTCTCGACATACGGAGGCTGGAGCTGACCCCGACAATAGCAACCAATATCGCTGAAACCGGTGTCACTATTCCTGATATCACATGCGTAATAGACACAGGAAAACAACGCGAAATGAGGTGCGTCAACGTTTTTGCAAAAAGGCATTGACTGACAGCCTCAACAGGTATGACGAGAAGAGACAGCTGTCCCGTTTCGTCGAGTCCTATGTCGCGCGGAGTAATGCGAAGCAAAGACGTGGCCGAGCGGGTCGTGTCCAAGAGGGTCTCGCCTTCCATCTGTTCACCAAAGCCAGACATGACACCCAGCTCGCTGAGCATCCGATACCCGAGATGCTGCGTCTTTCTCTTCAAGATCTCGCCCTTCGTATCAAGATCCTCAAAGTGCCGCTCGGCAACACCATATCGTCGGTGCTTCTACAGGCCCTTGATCCCCCCTCTGCGATCAACATACAGCGTGCCATCTCCTCACTTGTGGAAGTTAAGGCTCTTACGGTCAACGAGGATATTACACCCTTGGGGAGATTGCTCAGCAAGCTGCCAATGGATGTTCATCTAGGCAAGTTCCTGTTGGTTGCGGCCATGTATGGATGTTTGGATCCCGCTTTGACAATAGCGGCAACCCTCAACTCAAAGAGCCCGTTCGTCACACCGTTTGGCTTTGAACCGCAAGCGAGAGCTGCCAAAGCAGGGTTTGCAATTGGTATGTTGCCAAACTGGTCTACAGTGCGTATAATGCTGACTCTCATCTTGTAGGTAACAGCGATTTCCTGACTATCGCCAACGTTTTCGCAAGCTGGAGACGGGCATCTGACAATCATAACTTTGTTCGGACTTTCTGCAAGAGAAATTACGTCTCCCAACAAAACTTGCAGCAGATCGAAGAGCTTCGCCAGCAGTTACTTGCGTATGTACCCTGCCAAAGCCACGACTTTACTGACGCTACAAAACAGATACCTTGTGGACACGGCGTTCGTGGATACCACACCCGAACAACGGCGAGCTATCAGCCAGTACGTGTTTCGCAATGTCCCTCGTCTGCGCTGACTTTAAGTAGGAGCCGTTTCTCCAAAGGGGTGCGAACACGATTTGTCCCCGTTCCAGCGGCAGTCAATGTCAATGGCGAAGACTTCAAGGTATTAGGCGCTGCACTTGTCTCCGGCTTATATCCCAAACTTTTGGCCCTGGACCCATCCGGCGGGCTGAAGACTATCACCAACCAGCAACATGTTGTGATTGTAAGTACTATACATAGCATCGTCCGCATGTCGCTTATCTAGTCTCATAGCACCCCAGCTCAGTCAACTTCAAAGTTCCCTACAAGGGGTTTGGGACCAACTATCTCGCATACTTCACCATCATGCACTCAAAGAGGCTGTATGCATGGGAAACAGGGCCCGTGGAAGATACGGCGCTAGCGCTCGTTTGTGGCGATATCGCCGACTTTAAAGTGCGTACTACGGTACTTCCCAGGTCTCCCCAGCTGACACCTATGTAGATATCTGCGTCTTCCCTCATCATCG